GGGATTGTTTGTTAATGTCTCCAGAGGAGCCTCATATGGTTGGTAGACTACATTATTTTACATCCCACAAGCCTCTACTATCTATGCTGTTACGACAGCAACTGATGGTTTGTTGTTAAAGGTATGCCACTGGAGTATTGACGCACACAAGTGTTGCCCTCACATTGATGCTATATTAATCAAAGTGCAATCAAAATGGCAGAGAACAGGATAAACAAGGAGGTGTTCATGTGGAGCAAGATACATAACTCCACGGACAAATGAGCTCTGTGGGAATTTTGAGGAGATGGATATGATGCTCATTTTAGGGAAAAAATCTGTGCTGTAATGTGAACTTCCATCCAAAGAAAAACTAAAAACGTGTGCAAATAAAACAGGATTTTAACCCTGAATTTAACCCTCATCCATCCAAAGATCCTTGGTTGCACAGTTTGGATCTGATATTCTTCCTCTTGACGTTGTGGTTGGATGGTTCAAACTTATTTAATAATTTCTTTTTTTTACATTGTTAAAAAAAAACATAATGATCCAACAAAGTTTTTGTTTTACAATGTTGCTTTAAAAAAGCCTGAAATAATTTGGTGCCCAGATGAACAAACACTGAACTGGCTGTTTAGATTTGATGTGTTCAAACTTGATGATTATGTCTCAATAGCCTAGAAGAGAAGAAAAGACAGCCTCTTCAGTTACTGAATTTTTAAGTAACAGTGTGTTTTATTTATTTATTTATTTTATTTATTTTTAATTTTCCTCTTTTCTTTTATGATACTGACCCGAATTATATGAACTCCTGGAGTCATGGTGTAAGTCCATATAGATATACATAGGGCACACTACTGAAATGAAAACTTCAAACTTCATTATAGTAATAAGATACTGTTTCACGTCTATGGTCAACTCTTTACTCTGAGGGGGTCCAGGCCTGGAGCCAGAGGGAACCTGAATCCTGTTGACCTCTCCTCTGAACCACGACAGGCTGAAAGGAAACAGCACAATGTGGATTCTGCTGAATGCAACAGAAAGAATCAGGAAGGAAGACAGATGAACTGGTTTTCCCTCTGGATGCACCCTACAGTATAACTATGTTTTACAGTATAAAATGCAGCCACTAGACTGGATTTCAAGTAAGTTTCTCTCATATGCACAATAATGTAGACCTGATGAATAAACCTAATAAAGACCAAGCCCAAGAATGAAAATAAAAACAGGAGTGTAACAATAACAACTAATGCTGCTGAAATTGATAACTAAGAACCACCAGTGTTAACATGGTTACATTTAGGGGAGCCTTTTTCTCTCATTAGAGCCAAATAACATCAAACATCTGCCGTATATCCTCACCTTTCTTTTCTAACACTCAGCCTATTTTTGTGCCGGCTGTTACCTGCAGGAGAAATCAAATGCTTCAGAGCCTCTTGAATAAGTCGGTGTGCTATCACACCTTCAGATACAGATTTCCACCTCATTTCATTTGAGCCTGTCACATGTCATTTATGACTGCAGTAAGGATTATCCAAGGTTTCTGAAAACCTAATGGTTAATTGTTTGAGTGAACTGAATCTTCATAATGTTTGAAGCCATTGATTTCTGTCTTGTACATTTTATTTTGAGAATCATTTTATTGTCACATTTCCTCCCACACTGATGTCTTATTGGTTCTCATGTTGCCATGCCTTTGTTTTATAAGTTTTAGTTTAAGACACTAAATTGCAAAGAAAAGAGTAAGAAATGACAGGTGTGTAAATATACCTTTTCTATCAAGTCTGCATATTAATGCACATCTTTGTGTCCTTCTCTCCGGGCTTTGAGTCATCGTGGAAGGAAAACATTGCAGCTTAATGCATTTCATAAAAGAACGCATCGAGGCTTTGTCAACAAATAACCCGGGTCATCAAACAGAACCCAACTGCACATCTATTAAGGCTAATCATCATGAATAGATGGACATTGGCGTCCACAGGGAGCTGAGATTAAACCCAGCAGGCAGCAGAGACAAACAATACCTGGAACAGGAGCTAATATGCAGAGAAAAACAAAACAGAAGCAATAATAATTTTCTACTGATCAGTCACTCATCTGTTTACGTGACTGCTGATGTTTTCAGGTGATGAGTTTATTTTTATGAAACAGGCACACTTAGACTTAAGCATCCATTGCGAATTATTTTTTTATTCCTTTATGCAGAAAAGTTTGCATTTCCTGTAACACTATGAAGCAGTATATAGGACGTCATTTGCATGTTATTTTGGGTAAGCCGTCCACCAACTGCTGTTCCCTTTCAAACGTACTCAAAGATTACAGGAAATATGGAGCAAGCTTTTTAAATGAGATGCCTTTTGAAGGGAATAAAACTCAAGGGAGGGAGATTGTCGGTTGAATGGTAAGAACATAAACCAAAGAGACCTTCAGTCGAGCACAGGCCAGAGGAAAATGTTATGTTTACTGTCCAAGCTGCAGTTATAGATCTACCATCTGCATTCTGCCCTTTTGCTGTTATTGTTGGTCTGAACTTTAAAGGGACATTAAATCTGACAGGAATCTGACTGAATGTTACAGTGTTGGTGTAATTATGCCATGGTGGATGACGAAAAGCTCCCTAATAGGCTAAATTTGCTCTTGCTTGCAGTCGCTCAGCTTCAGATGGATGCCAGTAGGCCTAATTGGCTATATACAGCCAAATCAGACCCATTGGATTGTCTTGTTTAACATTTTATTCATTTCTTGTATCAATTTTCAACTAAATTACCCCGGTACACCAGAGACAGAGCAGAATTAGGGAAAAGGAGGAGGAGGAGGAGGAGAGACGGCATTCAGAGGGCTACAGTGAAGGCTGCTCAGTGTGTCAATCAGTGGCTGAAGACTCCACACAGAGTTCGGTGTGTGTCCTGTGTTTTCATGTAAACGCCAGGATTATATTAAGAGAGGTTCCTGGTGTGACATTATGCTTTTGGACCCTTTTCTGCGTAGACCATGCATTATGAAGTTGGAGAAGGGCATCACAATGAGTTGCAGTTGTGTTAAACTCTGTAAAGTCAGCAGCTAGATGTAAAAACCAGGCCTGAGAGAGGAAAAACTGCATCCTTTTATTTAAATTTTAAAAAAAAAACTGGCAAAATTGAATTGAGGGAAAAAAAAGGTCCAGCTACCACTAAACAGAATGTAATTTTCACTTAGAAACAACTCTGACCTTTTCTCAAATTCCTAATGACTTCTCCCCAGATAAGGTTAAAAATGTCTCTTTTCCTTCTGCCTTTATCAGTTCAGGTTACTTCCTTAACTTACTAAAGTTGTCACTTTGGACTGCCACTTGCTAAAACCCCACTCAGGAGTCTGGTAAGGTCTTTAGTTTGAATAGCTTTAAGACATTTATGGGACCTAAAACTTTGTTTAATGTAACTTTGTAAATCATATATAAACCTGTAGTCTCTTTTACGGCCTGAATTTATTTGGCATGGGTTCAAGTCAATTGAATTTAAATTTGGCCCAGTCCTAAATGGTTTCACTATGTGCCTGTGTAGGCCTACAGTATAAGATTATGTTTATCTTTTATCCGATATAAGTTACAGCCCTCGTCTTTTCCTTATTTGTCCTCTGTTTACATCCATCTGCAGGAACCTAAAGCTTCATTTTTGCTGTCATTGATTTAGCATCTGGCAGAGGAGCTGCAGACTGGAGGCAGCAACAGCAGCAGAACAATACAGGCGGCAGAGTCTTTTATCAGAAAAGTGTAGAAGTGTACTCAAACTATGGCACAAAAGCATCTTAGAGGAGTGTGGCTGTAGGGGGAGTGATGAAAAAGGTGGAGAGGAAAAGGAACTGTGAGCTGACGAGTAGAAAGGAAAGTTGTCTTGGCTGTGGGCAGATGCTGGCTGCACTGCCAGCTGGTGGGGGGTGGACCCACCTGTCTCTGGCTCTCCCCGTCTCCCTGTTCTCCCTCTGCTGTGGAGAAAGCGACAGATGGAGTCCTGGAGGTTGCTGCTCTGGTCCCGGCGCTGCTTCTTCATTCTGTCCAGCTCCCCTCCTCTCCCCCACACCACCCCCCACCCTGGTCTGAGGGCCTTGCACCAGGGGGACATTGGGACTGCGCCCAGCACCCAGCCCTACACTGCCACAAGGGTCAATTGCTTACAGAGAGGGGTCGTGCCTCCACCTCCTTCTTCGGCAAACCCTCTGCTACCTCCTGGTGGATATCTGCAACAACTGCATCTTTGCTTTGAAGTCCTGACTAAGCGGAGACAGTTTTTTTATACAGACAAAACATGCCTTCTCAAGGTCTCCCAGCGATGCGACTTTGAAATGATGAAGACTGCAGGCCTCATGTAAGATGCTCATTTTTCACAGACAGAGAGGGAGAGGTGCCAAATTGGATATGTTGTACATATTGATGTGACGCTGTATCATCCCCAGGGAGTGCTTTGGATGTGGTTTGATTCATGAGGACCGTGTGACAGTATGATGAGGAGAGAATCCTTATGCAAGGTGGAGGGTCAAAGCGGTCACATCAAAACCCAGAAGAACTGGAGTCTGTCATGGAGCTGCTTGGTGACCTTTGTGTGACTGGTTTTGTAATAAATCAATGCATGAGGTCTCTGAAAAGCTTGGAGAGCTCATTAGGGATCCTGTAAGGAGTTAGCCACCCACAGTATATCTCCTCCTATTAACCCCTTGCTTATGTGTTTGTGGGCATACACACAGCTTTCATTAAAAAGAGAGAAACTCGAAAAGCTCCTGGACCGTCCCTCTGCAGAGTCATAAATTCTTTCCTACTTGGTTTAACCACATGCAGTTTGGATATTCCTGGGTGTCTGTTTCATTTACAGTAGAGCTGAATTATAACTAAGATCCCCTCTCCAAAAGCAGCCTTCCTGAGCTGTTTCTCCTACCGCCAGCCCACAATGCTCCCACAGGAACCTTTAGAGCACATTAATGGATTCTCTGCCATTCACCAAGAAAGTTATGGCTTCAGCGAAAAGCCTCCTTTTAGTAATTTAAATATCAGGCCAAACCCCATGGTACTTGTCAATACTTGAATAACAAACTTATTAGATATGATGTTTAGATGTGAATAAGAGACAATGGCTTTTAGGAGTGATAGAGAGGAGGATTTAAATAGGACTAAGAGAGAGCAGGGCATCATGAGAGGTCTGTCTTTGCTCAAAGAAGAGACTGGAGCATTTCTTGCGTCGGCTTTTTTAGTTTTTCAAAGCTTTGCATCATTTCTATGCATTGATTTTATGTAAACGATCCAGAGATTTTCCCAGCACACCCAAAATGAAATGAGTTTTTGACTGGCCAAAGAATTCTGCAGTGAAACAATATGAAGACTGAGGGATGTGTTAAAGCAGTCAGTGGAACAGTGTGGTATTATCTCGACAGACAAAGCTTCTCAATTATCAACAAACATGAAATGAATCCAAAGAGACCAATTTTCGCCAAATAATCAAGCCATTATCATTCATGACTCAATCACAGTGGAAATTACCAAGTCTCTGCTTGTGCCCGGCAGCAGGAGAAGAAAAAAAGAGCAGACATGGGAGGGAACAAAGGGATGATAATAGAGCTCAAACCAGTCTGTGGCTCCAGTGGGACCAGTGTTCATACGCGTCACTAGGGTTTGGTGAGATATGGGCGCGCTGCCATACCCAAGCCTGATTGAGTGCAAATTAAATCTTGTTTCATGGTTTGAATGGAAGGCATAGGAGAAGACAAAAACAACAAACTATTTAGAGGCAACATCTGCACGGAAAATCACATCAGGAGAGTATTCAGGAACCACATGTTTCCTCCAAGCTGAGTTTATTTACATCTCATTGTCATCACAATGTAGAAACGAAAACATCCTGTCAGTTTGGCATTGTTTCACTTTCCACAATAATTAAAGCTAGATTTAATGAGAATCTTAGTTAACTTTCACTTTGTATTGACCTTGGCGCCCCCGCTAGGAAAAGTACTATCTCTCGGGTCTTCACTGATTTTCTCCTGTGCATGTAAGAGCTATGATATTTTATCACTTATTCAATACTCATCAGATCCAGTTTCCTGAATGGTCACTTTAGACCAGCTTGAAAACTGTCAACTCTTATATACTTCTTATATATTCGAATTATTGCTAGAAGCCTTTCTGCCTTAGCTACAGAAGGCGATGACATGCTCCCTTTCAGGTCATTACTATCAGTTCCTGTCCTGGTTGTTGTATTTCACATTAAAACAGTCTGCCAAAGACTAACGTGATGTAAGTCGAACAATGAAAGCACCATCACTTTTACAGCTCTGTACTGATTGTTTGTTAGGAAAGTTTGTGTCCTTTTTATGTTCTTTATTTGTCAAGGTTACGACACAGCTTTCTGCTGAGCAACTTCAAACTCAAAGCCTGGTGTCCACTGAGCGCCACACACAGGGCAATACAACCGTTTATGTGACAGTCAGACTAATGCGTTTGCATGTTTTTTAAAAGTCTGGGTTCAGTTAGACACACAATGGGCTCTACTTTTGTTCCTCGCCAGCCACGTGGCATAGGCGCAGCATAAGTCAGGTCCGCCGCGCCAACAAGGCGTGCCCAAGCACATTTTGGTATTGTGGTGAGCGGCGCAGCCCAGTGTAAGTATCCCCCCTCCCTAACTCAGCTCCTCCCAGCGGCGTAAGTCGTAGAGAGAGGGCGTGGAGTGGGTTTAACACAGCCGAGATCTGTTTTCGCCAATCAGAACTGCTCCTCTCCTCACCTTTGAATCCGCCACTGGCAAGGCATATTATGATTTTCGTGAATTAGTCAAAGAGATCAAGAGATGTCTGAAGACAGTAATGCCACACGATGGCGACAGAAGGCAGCCCCTCAACAAGTGTCGCTATAAGTGCTGCAGAGGGCATCCTGCACACTCTCTCATATGAGCACAGATGGATTTTATGTGTGTAAGGTTGGACCCACTGGTAAGACAAACACCCTTTTCCACAAATAAAGACACTTACATAAAGTTGCATATATTGAAACCTCACGTGACAAAGGTGGGTTGTGCGGACAGATCACAACATAAATTCCAAAAATGGCATTAAAATCGGAACCATCTGTGCGTAATGACGCATCGCGCTCCATGGCCTGGCTCTTTCTTTCATAGATGTTGGCATATAAAATAAATTTGGCTCACAAAACTGAATATTATAATATTTGTATGTAGGCTTAAAGTACATAACTTATCTGATCACTAAAATAAATCATCTGTTCAGCCGCCGGCGCAGCAGCAGCTGCAGCAGGATGGAGAGAGGACACAGAGACATGTCCAGGTCGGGCTGCATGAGAAATAAGAGGAAGAGGAAGAAAGAAAAGGAGGGAGGCGAATTACATATCTTGTTAATTTCATCATGTGTGTCTATTTACTAGATATTTTATTTAATTTAATGCGGTTTCAGCTGTGTTGATTTGGTCAGGTTGTGTGTCCAAATGCGTGCCAAACGCGCTCATCAGATCAGATATAGATCAGAATATATCGAAATAGATCTAAATGTATGTGCTGACTAAGAATATTGGTTGTTGATTATTTTTTTAACTAAAATGTGCCTGACACTGTGGAAATCTGCCGATGAGGCTTTATATAGAATAGACGGCGTCTGCCTCCTTGCAGGGTGAAGCCACCACAAGAACAGCACCCTCTGGTGACAGGCTGCAGTATAGGTCATAAATCCCTCCTCCAGTAATTCCTATGGAGCAGTTCACAAACTTTTAAAATTAATTACACAGAATATACATTTTTCTTGCAATGTTGACATGTAGTTACTGTAAGACTGGTTTGTTCCCAAGTCCTCTTTTTTCTAAAAATGTTTTTTTTTTTTTTTCCCCTAGTTTTTTTAAGTTCCTATGAATGTACGAAGATTACATAGCTCATCCAGGGGATATGCTGTTTGAGCGTCATCACACCTACTCCCCTGCCAAATGCGTACAACACTACTGCACAAGTGGTGGTTCCAGGAAGTGGAGAAAATCCCAGAAATACAGAGAGCAATTCGGCTTCAAATTCGTATAATGAGGGAAGGCGGGAGCAAGTTGTCCATAGTATTTACAGTCTATGTGCTCACCAAACCTGACCATTTAGCTTTTCTGCTTATCTAGTTAGAATACAAGCAAACAAATAAGGTGAAACCTACCATTGCTAACTTCTCCTCTCTGTTTCCAATTTCCCTTTTTACTGAGTCTTAGTTTGTAGTCTATGGAGAATTAAGGTGATGGCTGTGAGCAAAGGGGGAAACAGAGTCTTAAATATGAGAAAAGGTCTTCCAGTCTGATTGTCAAAAGCCAGGTAGCTTTTTTGACACTTGATGATAAACTCTGAAAAGTGAGACCTAAAAGCCTTACCGGGGGAATAAGGTAAAGACATGGCATATTGTGGTTTTACAGAAGTATGATTTCCTGAAGTCTTTCTATCACTGTGACTACAGAGGCTTGAAAAGGTCAATGCTTCAGGTGGAGAAATGTTTGATTCATGCCTGTGAACCCTGCTCAACCCTAGATGCATTTTTTTTAACCAAGCATTTCTATAAAGTCCCATTAAAAATAAACATTCTTGTAATTACATGGTGTCTTGAGTTACCTTTTTAAGAGTCAGACCAGCTGCTTCCCCCAGCCTCCATTCCCAATGCGAAGCTAACTGGTGTTCACATCAAATTTGCTCCAAATAGGAAAGATCTCTAAACCCAAATCTAATAAATATACACAGTATTTATGTTTATATCCCTGTTACCATTCAAGTTACAGTGGATAGGAAGAACTTCCTTTAACAGGTAGAAACCACGAGCAGAACCAGAGTGATGTTAGACAGTCATCTGCTGAGACTGAGCTGGGTTTAGAGAGGGGAGAGAGGGAGATGACTGGTGCACATAGTTGAATCTGTTTATAATTGGAGGCCTGTGAAACTAATGTTATAATTTTGTCCAAAGAAGTAATTTCACTGTGTGATGCATTCAAAAGGTTTTTTTGTTTCTTCATATTTGGTGGTATTAGGATGTGATGCTTGGGTAATTTGTGGTGTTTGTGGTGTGGTGCTATTATATGAACATTTGTGTTGTGGTTGATGGCGTAAGGCTCCTGTTTGGAAAGTTTGTGGCAAGAGTATGTGTTTGGATAGTTTGTTGTGTGTGGATATGTTGTTTGGACATTTGTGGTGTGCTTCATTTGTGAAGGATATGCTGTTTGGACATTTGTGGTGTGGTTGGAGGTGAGGATGTGTTGTTTGGATAGCGTGTGGATGGACTCTGGTTGCTGGTGTCAGCGTGGCTCTAATCAGCTGTTGGCAGGAGGATGAGCGGGCGGTCTCTCCCTGCGGCGGCACCCCAGGTCGAAAGCCGGTTTGAAGTTTAATGATGCCAGCTGCCAGCTCCGCCAGGCTGTGAGCGCTAACGAGCTGGCACTGGCGGCGGACTGGGCCACGGCGGCAGCACCTGGAAATGTAGCACACGTTTCAGAGAGGCGGGGCTCCACCGGGGCTGTTGAGGGGCCTGCTGGAGACCCAGGACAGCACCGAGAGGCCCACGTCTCTTTGAAGAGCGCCCCAATTTCCATATTTCATTACGCACTGCTGACTGACAAGGCCCAGCCAGATGTTCTATTTTCAGCTATTTAAATTTTGACCTGCTTTCCTAGCATGGATGCAAAAAGAAAAAAAAAAGATTTCATCAAAACACAGATGCCAACGATGATAGGAAGTTGAATCTGGCACTTCTACATCTGCTTTTTTTCCCATCATTCTTCACGTCTGTCCATCGTAGTTAGCATCAATAGAATAGCCAGACATTAAATGTTGCTCCTTAACTCACACAACCTTTGACAATCTATCCTGAGGCATTCACTGTCTTGCTCAAGGACTCTATAACAAGACAGGATGGCTGTTTCAGGGATCAAACCTGAGACCTTGTATTTATGAAACAACCTCTAACCATCCAGCCATCCCGGCGCTGAATTGGCTCCAAAGTGAGTGATGCATGCTCTGAAACAGCACATAAAGCGTGCTCGCACTGCTTCTCTGTCCCTGAGATCGGGGATGATTAATTCCTTTGGTATTCATGTTGAAACGGCTGTTAGATTGCAGCGTCCTCACTCAATCCCTCATGCAAAAATACATCGACAACCCTGACCTTTTTGTGCATCTGCTGCAAATGGCACTTTGTCATCCTGAGTGAGCAAGCTCAAGGATCAATGTGGTTTTGCTGAAATAAAACTTCTACGATGCACTTTCTTTCTGTCTCTCACTTTTTATAGGCTGTGGGTGAGTGTGGGTTCCTATGTCTGGGTTTCAGGACAGCAAAACTCTTGGAGTGGAGGAAAGACAAAGCAAAAGAAAGACTAGGGCTGGGACACAGCAGGAACAAGTCGAGAACATCTCAGAGCTGAGCACCACATGGCAGAATATTAAAAGCACTCATTTTGGGAGAAACAGAGGAAGAAAGGCTTTCAGTCATTACCCAACTCAACTCACAGCAGGAGAGGAAAAGTGTCTTTTTCCTTCAGTAATGCATTTGTGAGTGTTTACGTCTAGGTCAGTCTGTCTGAGTGGAAAATAAGGAGGTAATTGAGATGTAACAGATGCGCTAAACTGGCAATACTGACACCGAGATAAAAGGGAATGAAAGCTATTAAAATGTGTTTTTTTTTTCTTGTAGGTGCATATTATAAATGTCCACAAATTGACAAACTGAGGAGGGAATATCAGCTTTTCCATGCTCTGTGTTCGATGGAGGAAGTGTGTTAAAGAAAGTTTATCATCTACTCAGCTGTAGTTCATTGAGAGTAAACACTGGAGTCTACAAGATAAGGTGACATAATCAATACATGTTTAGTGCTCAGAGGAGCTGTAAGGTGGAGGAGATATCACTAACAACCCATGCTATGAGATAACATAATAAATCCATTTAAACTCTTTAATCCAAGATCTCAGATCTGCAGAGGTGTAATAGTTCAGAGCTAACACGTTAGGACTTGAATTTTGACTACAACCCAAAAAAAATGTGGATATGAAGTCACGAACATAAACATTTAACTTAAGGATCCACAATTCAATTCCTTCCAGCTGCAACATCAAATTTTCCAAACTGCCAAATAATCAAGCCATTATCATTCATGAGTCGATCACAGTGTGAATTACCAAGTCTCTGCTTGTGCCAGCAGCAGGCAAAGAAAAAAGAGCAGGCAAGGGAAGGAACAAAGAGATGATATTAGAGCTCAAACCGCTCTGTGGCTCCAGTAGGACCAATGGTCATCATTGGCATCACTGGCATTTAGATAAATACATACTTGCTGTCATACCTGAGCTTGACTGAGTACTATTTTAAGTGGGACGTTCATACTCTTTACTTAAAAATGACTATCTAACCATCTGTAACATTTATAATGTTGTGAGAACTGGTCAAAGACCAATTAAGCTGCAAAAAAGCCAAAACTTAAATACCAAAGACTGCTGTCCTTTTCATGGCCACTTGAGGCTGTGCCAATATGAGGCAATCGCCATAGAAAAATCCTGTTGTAATGTCAAATTTATCAGCTGCAATATACAGTTTTGGTCTCATCATGAAACTGTTTCTGGCCTATTTAAATCATACTATGGCAAAAGTTGTGCACACTGAATATCTTGGAAATACAGAGTGACATGTGGCTGTTTGCTAGGTTTCACTTGAGCTAATCCTGTCACTCATCTCTTGGCTGCTGGTCTTGTTGGTGCATTTCAGTGATTTTTGACATGTATTACATCCTACCTTCATATTGCTATCTACAATTAAATAAATGTTTAAGATACCGCCAGTTATAGGTTAGATCAAATTAATGACTGACAAGTAAAAATGTAAGTTTACATCAACAAAAACCTCTGGATTTCTTTGTTGTATTTATATTTCACTACACTGATTTCAGATATCAGAAATACCCATGTCAAGTTGTCCAGACCAAAGGAACCCTAATACATTGCAAAACTTCATACAGAGGCCTGTCCCAATTAAAGGCTCTTTGTGCAGCAGGGTGATTGACGAATAAAGTTGAGTCTCTATCAGAAGCCTGTATAGGTTATGCTGTCAGTTTGTCAAATTTGCTCAACAAGAGAAGCAGAAAGATACTTCTCTAGTGATTTTTAAGAGAGTAAGAGGAATCATGAAGCTGAAATTCAAACTTGATATGAGAAAGAGGATTTTAAAAGGGGGGAGGGGGCTTAAAAATTAACTGAACTGAATGCTCAGGTTGGCATTTCTGGCTTTTGAGGTGACAGGATTATTTATGTTTCTTTTTTTTTTTTTTTTTGCTTTGTTTTAAATCTAAACCTAATAAAGACTGAAAAAGCTGTGAAAACTGAACAATTAACAAGCAAAAGTTAGCTTTGTTCTAAAGTAATCAAAAGCCAGTCTCCCATTGTAGCCTGCCTCAAATAAATGCAGGATGCGTTTTTAGACTGAAACAAATAAAAGCCTGGGCTGCAAATTTGAGTTTTACGGTAGTTCGTGTGAAACAAACAAACACAATTAAGATTTTTTTTAAATGGATTGTTAGAGTTTATGAGCAACAAATTTCTCATTTCCAGCAGCAGCTGTTTACTTTTTGAACCTAGTACTTTCTTTTGCCTGAATCAGACAGAAAAAAGTTAGCTGTTGTTTGTGAACACAGTGTAGACTGAACTGAGAAAGAATCCAGTTTACGTTTTTACGTTCACTATGAAATGAATGATTTTGCTCCCTTTCTATTAGATGCATAAATAACCTTTACTTTACGAACAGATAAGTTGTAGTTAGTTACAGAGCTACAGAGAAAGTAAAAGGTTTAAAACTGCAAAACTTGATATAAATAAAAAAAAAAAAATTTCAGTGATATAACCTCTGTGGGGAAAGAAAGTCTGCCAAAAATGGAGGAAAGAGCTGTAGATTATTTTCCTGGCAGAGATACTTTCATAAATGATTAACATTCAGTAATTTCAGCCAGAAATATGTCATCTGTATTTTTATATAACCACCTCAACTGAACAAATAAAGATTCAGTGATACCGGTGGTACCAACAGAGATAATACAGGACTTTGAACTCCATGCAGTCATTGACTTTCTTAATATTACATTTTTATTACACACAGATAAAAAAGTGAAAATGTTGTATCATACAGTGGTAATAGTGAAACTCCTTGAAGTCAAGCTAATATTCTTTTCAAGAGAACAATTTCTCTATGCAGCCAAGAAATTTTTAGTGAGAGTAAATGTTAGTGCAAGTTTACACAAATATATCCAGATTATTAATCCCTCCTCCTCCTCGTTCTGCTCACTCTCGGAATTTCCCCCAGCCTCTATGAAGATGCTTTAGTCAGGACTTTGTTAGTATGAACGCTGCAGGATCCTCCGCTCCCTGTTTCTGGACTGCAGGACCTTTGGCATGACCTTTTGAAGACAATTTGCAGCAGTAGCAATCGCCCTTCGCCTCGCCCCATGTTATTTTCCCTCATTATTTTTTTCAATGTTACCTTTGCAGCAGGGCAAAAAGAAGGGCAGGACTCCACACAGGGGTCAAAGGTCAGGAGGAAGAGGGTAAAGATGCAGGTCAGATTGGCTCCACAGTTGTGTTCACCCTGTGTCCTCAGAGAATTCACTGTCATGGCGTCATTTGAACTCTGAACCCTGCAGCTGTCAGTCAAACAGATGACCCTCAGCGGTGACTGTTATGGGGTTTGGTGATTAGGAACATTTCCCAGCCTGCAGGGATAAGGTGGACAGGCATTATGGAGCTTCAATGTGTGGCATTAAATAAATTAACATGTAAGGGAAATCTATTTCCCTGGCAACATGTAGTTTTTAGTCCTGCTGCTACATGGCTTTAGGACACGTTGGTCAGTCCATCCTGATAGACCAAAATAAGTTACCTGTTGGCTGACCCTGAGTCTTTCCCAACAATTGTGAGTTCTCCTTATTTATTGATACTTTTTAGCACAACCAATATTTAAACTTGTTTTTTTGTGTTTTTTTCTGACAACTGTTCACCCCTTCGATCTTTATCTAGCCCAAATATATTGACCTCCATTTTTTAAATTAGCCCAGCAGCATAGTCTACACACCAACAATGCAACCACCTGTCAGTCAAATCAGTTAGGCCTCTAATTATACCTGACTAAGCATGATCCATAGCCTTCACACACAGAAATCACCCTCTGAGCACCTGCCACAACCAAATAAACCAAAACTTTTTGTCTCATGTTCTTGGCTGTCACCATGTTTATTTTTGCTCTTAAAGCTGTTGGCATTTTTCCATTGGCTCTGATGGCTTCTTTGGCTTTTGGAGCCAGCCTCAAGTGGGCAATTGAAGGCCATCAGCTTTATGCATTAGCTTTATTTCTCAACAACTTTGCTACACGGTTTTTCATGATGGCTCTTTTTATTTTGTGTTTCTATTCTTTTTGTTTTGGATCCAGAAGCAGCCATACTTCATAAGGTTTCTTGGACCTCTCCACGACCCATTGGTGTGTCAGGCTTAAAACAATGTGTGGTCAGGTAAACAGGATGGAAAAGGCAACTGATCCAATTATAATCAGGTCATAAGTCTTCTGTACTTTTCCTGCTATTCAAGAAAGGGTGCATTAGTTTGATTAGCTCCTAATCGTGAAGAAATATGGATGGATTTACTGAAACATCTGTTACAATGTTCACAGTGTGACCTGGCAATCACAGAGCTATAAACTAGTACTGTGACATAGACTGTATGAACAACTTGGGTCCACCTTCCACCAGTATATGGATTTGAAGCTGAAAAGCTCTCAGTAATTCTGCGTTTTTTTCTCCTCTTCCTGAGACCACCACTTGCACAGTAGCATTGTAAGCATTCGGTGGGAGAGTTGCCAAGAGTCGCTGTGATGATGCTCAGCTCAAACAGCGTATCCCCCAAGTGAGCTACGCAATCTTAATAATATGTAATAAATTTCTAAAGTTTGTCCACAGCTCCATAGGGATTGCTGGAGGAGGCAGGATTTTTGACCTATACTGCAGCCCATCACCAGAGGGTGCTGTTCTCGGAGTGGTTTCACCCAGCGAGGGGGCAGACGGCGTCTATTCAATGTACCATGACTTCATTAACAGACAGAACTTCACAGTGGTACTGTTCTAACTATCACAACCGATGATGCTGGAAAGGGGCTGAGCAGACCACATCCAGAAAAAACAATAAAAATGTCTGTTATGGTAGTCCTTCCCAAACTCCTCATAAATGCAGGGATGTTGTTGCCAAGGCTCTACAAACTGAACCTCTGTCTTATAGATCCATCTCCATCTGGCAGCACCCACTCAATCGCTCCCCTTTTGCTTCACTGTTTGGTTTGTTCATGCTTGTGACTTTTGCACCTGCAGAGAGCTCTGTGCTCTCATCGGTCAATGCCACTGCAGTATAGAAACAAATTGTAGAAAGCAAAGGGAAAAATCAAACATTTTAGACTTCCTGTCAGGAGGTCATGAGCTATCCCAGACATGGTTTTGATTGTCGTTAATAATGACACACTGCACAAGATAAAATGATCGATTTTTGGAGCAGACAGGTCCTGACACCCTACGTCTGCCAGATCAGGCTACAATTCTGCTTATGTCATATCGTTTGACCTCAGCAAAGAGCATACCTTGCTTACAATTACATATTACTCTGAATGGCATCATTATTTACAATGCACTGTATTGAAACAAACTTCAAACTTGTGGTACCTGATCATCTGAGGAGGCCATTTTTTTATTTATTTCTTTAGGTCACAACCTTTACTTAAAAAAAAATCCAAGTTGCCCTCACTGGTCTCCACAAAGAGTGCATGTTAAGGGCACTTCTGCTTTTCCTTTGAAAGGACGACACTTCAGGAGGATATGTCGATTTCTTATTTAGAGCTATCATGTTCAAATATCACCAAAGTTTTTTATTAACTTTGCCTTCTTGTCAGATTCTTATGATCTAACAATAGCAGTAGAAGTCTTTATTATTTACAAACCCTATTCCAGTGAAGTTGGGACATTGTATAAAACGTGAATAAAAACTGAGTATGCTTTGCAATTTTTTTTATCCACTCTCCCTTAGGAACATGCCACAGCATTAAACTCAAAATGAGAAATAAAACAAGTTTATCAGCTCAAAGATTAAATATCTTGTCTATAATGTATTCAACTGAATGTAGGTGGGAAAGGATTTGCAAACTATTTGTTTTTATTCATATTTAACACAACGTCCCAACTTGATTAGAATTGAGGTTTGTACCTGCTGGACACAAGTATGTTAGCGTGCAAATTCTGACAGCTCCAGTATACATACTTAACCACAGAGCAGCTGCAGTCATGGCTGTACCATTGAGGTTTGTTGATTTTCAAGTCATAACAGCAACAAAAACTCTTTGAAATCTTGTTTTATTTTCTAGGTGTAAAAGATTGAAGTTACAGAATCCCCGATGCAAAACTTTTAAGCACAACTCTTGTGAATTAAGAATCAAGTGTAAATATAACCTGATCTGCAGATAGATCATTTGTACTGTTACAACCCTGAATGGCAAACTCATTGCAGGTCCAGTTTGTATTTGATGCACTTACTCAAGAAACCAGAAGCACCATTTAATGTGCAGGGCATTTTCAGATGAGATTTTTTTTTCGTGAATTACTTCGATATTAAGGCAAAATACTACAAAATCCCAGAAACATATTTGCAGCATCAAATGATTCCTTCAACAGTTTGTTCATTAGAGACATGCAGAACTTCCTCCTCTTCAAGTTTGAAGCCTTATGTTTAACGGTGACACAGGATTTTACCAGTTTTCAGTTTGCTTTCATGAAGGTATTAAAATTGCAGGTAAATCAACAAATAAATGAGCTCCAGAAAATGGAGGTATCTTGGCATTGTTTGGAATATTGGAAATGAAGCAGTTGAATACTGTGCCGAAGTTAATTTTCATTTCCACTGATGAAATAAAATCCAGTTATAAAAAAGGTGGGTGAAGAGTCAGACATGAGCTTCTGATCAAATACGCTGGTCTCCTTGACATTTTCTGCTCTGCGTTGGCTGTTCATTCTCATCACATTTCACAGAGGTGCATACAGGATGACACGACCTGTTGACATTTGCAAACTCATCTAGATGAGAGTAATAGCCTTCTATAAGGAGCAACACCTACACGTGTCCTTCTAAAGGGTCCCGTTTCTGTTGCTGTGTCATATGAGAAAATGTTATTGCTTTAACAGACATAAGTCCACCTCGACAGACAGGTCCAGGTCTTATTTTCTTGTCTGTAGCATCTTTCAGATGCCTGAAATGATTACAACAGATGCACAGAATAGCAGGAAGGTCTCATAAATTGACTTAATGCCAGTGAGGTTTCATGATCACATTGTCTGGACTGCCACCAGGGGGACCTGGCTGCTTAAATGTGACCAGCTCAAAGTCTGCTCCAGCTTTATGGATAAGGGATCTGGATAGCTGCCAAGAGCAGTGTAGTGCAACAGCAGCTGAGGTAAGGGCAGAACAAAGGTGAAATGAGGTGAAGGCAATAAACTCATATATGCAGCAACAGCCACACATGACAGAACTGTAAACAATGTGTAGACAGTAGCCCGCAAATAAAGCACATTCAACATGCATATACGTGAGCATAAAATGATCAAATAGCAAAATGAATGCAAAAAAATGCAAAATGCAACAGGTTCTTTTCTCTGTATGGAGGAGAAAAGACTCCTTAAATTTATTGACAACCACTGACAATTAGAAATATCAGACACCATTTCAAAAAGCTGATGAGATGCAACGAGGAAACTTAAATATGAATAATTTGTGCGGGTTTAGCCTCTGCATCATCAGGTTCCCACAGGGGGTTTCACATGGGGCTGTGCGGATCAGCTCATCTTTGTACTTTTGGTCCAGCAGATGTGATGTTTAGAAGTCTGGACCCTGCTTCTTCAGCTTGCTGTAGTCCATGTTCACTGTGTAGAACTGAGAAAGCAACAACAACAACAAAAAACTCAATCAAAATGTTACACAAAAGAGATGGACAGAGAAAAAAAAAAAAGGTATTTTAGATACTTTAACACAATTATCTATCTTCAAAAGACCACAGAATAAGTCTCCCTGAAATAGTTTAATACTAGCATTAGAAGTGTGGATTTAATTGCTTGTTTAAACTCTTACTGTTGCTGTGGACTTAGTCTGAAGTTAATGACTTCATCAGATTTGTTAGTACAAGTCAGAGTTAACCAGATAATCTCATTTGATTAATCCAAACATTAGACAAAACCATGGCTCAGTGCACCTGGCAAAGTTCCATTTAAAGCCCTTATCCCACACACCTTCTCTTGTCGATGCTAAAAATCAATACAGCACGACTAATAAGATTTGAGAGCACACCTTGTACTGATCAGTCGGGGCCATCTTGTTCCAGGGCTCAGGGTTGTTTTTGCGATCCCAGCTGCAGAAAAGAATAGAAGGGTGACATATTGTGAAAGATAAAACAACAGAGAGAAAACTCCCTGTAACTCTCATTTTTTCTCATACGCAGTTTTATTAAATTAAAGAAACATGTACCCCTGCACGCCTACTTAGGTTTCTGTAAGAAGGCATAAGTTAGACTCCTCACCAGACATCAGGATTTCTCAGACCCAGACGGGCGAGGTACATCATAGACATGGTTGCTCCACCGCCGATGAAAACGAAGAGGGGGATCAGCTGTGTGTGACAGAGAGAATATCAGGAATCTTAAACTTAAACAGAGAACAGCTCAGGAAAGTATTCAGTATAGGATGGCAAACTAACAATGCTACCTGTGTACATGTAGCTCTGTTGACATTTCCTTAGTTTAAAGCTCGCCCAAAACAAAGCAATTACCTTGCCTTCAAAATACATAATGGGACAATGTATTTTTGCTGAAGGTTGTCCAGTTTTTTCATTTGATAAAATCAACCAAAAATGTTTGGAGCAGGTATAAAACTCACAGGAGACTGTTTAACAAAAATCATGAATATTCAATGTTAATATTTAATCGTAGTTTTCTTCCTCTTCTTCTTCTTGGTGAATTATATGTAATACTTCAAGGTAAATTTATGTATTAATTAAACTTTTCTACCATGAGTTGTAACATTAGCATTGCCTAAAACTTACAGTCCCTGTGACCTCCAGCTGCTGTCTGGTCCGATGAGCCACGTTAGATCTAATACTGACGCTATTTTACATTTTCTCCAGCCACCGCCTCTTAACCATGAGACACTACTTAAGATTAATGAAGAGATATTACTTTGTATGTTCATAAATGTGACAGGTTACTCGATGTAAACATGTCAACAGCTATCGGCTAACTTGCTATCTTGCAGTAGTGGGTGGTGTTTCCAGCTCACAGGACCCTCTCCTGGGCTCACTATCCTGGGTTTAGTGTTGGTTAACGAGCCCGTGACCTGATTTGACTCCAAATCATCACTAGACTTTTCAATGTTATTACAAACTCAACACAAATACAGTTTATTTGTGACTGTTAAAGGGTATTTTTTAAAGTATCATCTTTTCGGCCCGAGTCTCTCAAAGTCAGCGCGGTCAAAGTCTGAGTATCTGCTAATGCTAGCAACTAGTTAAGCTAAGCTAACTCAGCTACACCAGGGAAGGGGTTGAGAAAAACACTCAAAACAACACGACTGTTAAAAAAAAATAACCGAGTTTTACTTACAGCTGGGTGGCTCTTAAGTTGTTTGCGGACGACGGCAAACATGGACATGGTTGTGAAGCTGATTTATCTGAATTTGTACAGAAATAAACGGATTACGAAGAGTGTTGCCAGAACGCTGCGCAATTTAATCTGCGTGAAGGAAGGCCGAGGACGCTGTCGTAGGAAGCTGCCCTGACTGCCTGAGAGCCAGCTGCGATAACACAGAATTATTAATTATTATATTAACATGGAAAAACTTATGTCACACGTAAGGCAACGAATTCAGGTGAATTTTTCACTGTTTTGTCAATAACTGTATTTTTGTGTCTGAAGTGGTTTTATATTCTTGCATTGTGTTCTGGCAAAAGCAAAGAGTTAAAATGTCTCACAACAACAAACTTTCGACCCAAACACAAAACCAGCCTAAACACCAATACGGAATTTATTCTTCTCACTATGGGGAGACGTTACGTGATGTATTTCATTTCATTTCATGTTTATTTATTTCATTTCATTCATGATACATGATATATGAAAAAAATATAATACATTTGACGGATTTACTTCATTTCTATGGCACAGTTGCAACATTAAGTGTAATTTTGACTGATTTGACGTGTCCATCATTTATTTTTTAGTTTGTAAATAATCATAATGCCAGAATTTAGATAAAAGAAGCCTAGTTGAATGTGTGAGTGTCACTGACATGATGGAGATAACCACCTCACTGCTCTAGTATGTTATCAATGCAAGAGGAATAGTCTGAACAAAGTGACAGTCTATAACAGCAGGGGGCGCTGTTTCCCCCACCATTAAAAAAACTGCTTTCCTTTTTCAGCGAATATCAGAGAGGAAATTCATGTTTACTTTTTGAACTATTTCAACAACTATTCCATCTGTTCTGATACTGTTCTTGGTTGAGTCCCCTCTATACAAATTTGTTTAAATGCAATATTTTCAACAACCAAGAGACTGTGAGCGTGAGCATTTTAAAATTAGTGACCTCCAGTTGATAATACACTTAATGCCTTAAATTGACAAGGATTACTGGTGTCAATGGTTATCTCTGTAATTGTAATAATAGAGGTTTGCGATTTTATAGCCAATGAACAAGTGCCATCCTGTCAGAGATGATCATGTTGATCTATCCAAGTTTGTAATAAAAAGAAAAACACCATGATTTATATCAATTTCCCTTTATGGTGAGATACTTTCAGCTAGTAGAAAATAAAGGTAAAAACAATTCGATAATAAGACTGGACATAAAGTAACAAGTTACATGTATTTATATTTTGTAAAGGACATGATCAGTTGGTATCCAGAAAAATGAAAGATGTACAGTATGTAATAATTGCATACAATAAAGCAACAACTTGCTAACCAAGCCTTGTGGAGATGGCAGTTTATGATCGAGATGGTGGAGATCAGTGTGTCGTCGGCCTTGTTTGGTTCAATGTCCATCCAAAGGAGGTGAGCTGGTTTCAGAAACAGATAAATATCTAGATTCAATATTTTCCACTGTTGCCTTTCAGTCAGCATTCTTCAGATGTTTTGTCTTGTGTGCAAAAAAAGGAGTCAATGGTTTGTGAAAGTTCATCCAGGACTTGATGCCAAGTAAAACAGGTCTCTTCAACAGATAAAATGTAAATTAAAGACGTTGGAGTTGATACTACAAGAACTCTCTTTCAAATACAGTTAAGTCATCTACCAATAAGATACTTTCTATAGAGTGTGTCCGTTTGTTCTTCTCCCAGGTTTTCCACGTGTTTTAATGTGTTGTCTTTTTGGGGGCTTTGCCATATTTAGCATCAAGTCCAAGACCTACAGAGAGAAAACCAAAGACATGAACACAAATCATCATTTGAACAGAAATCCTTTTGCACTCACAAATTTAACCATAAACTGTATCCCAACATCGAGTTGCATTTATGACCTCAGCTTCAGATACTCTTTTATGCATTTATAAGTAGTTTGCATGGGAAGCCAAAGTTTTCCCCCTTTTGAACCTAACTGTTTTTTTTTTTCTTTTCTTTTGTTTTTTGTTAGTTTGTTTTATTACGAATGCATGAAGTAGGGCTGTACCATTATGGACATCAACTTTGCAGAAGCATCAATAAGAATCATGCATGGTCTTTGCAGTAAAAGCACAGGGAGAGGGGAGAAAAATAAAATCAGAGTGTGTGAAACCAGACTGAGCCCTCACCGAGGAACACCAAGATGGTGCCAACCCACTGCATCGTACTCATGACGTTTCCAAATAGGATAACTGAGCCGAGGATGGTGAAGAACTTCCTGGTGGTGGTGACGATGGAGCAGGTCAGGGGTCCAAAGTACACCACCGTCATGAAGATGAAAGTCTGTTGGTTAAGTCATTTAAAACAAAAAAAATAGTTAAGATGTTAAGTTGTACCATTTCAGGAAGCTTTCGATGCACTTTCCAGTTGGAGTACTGTCACTAAACCACCCACCTGGCCTAAAGAACTGGTCAGTCCAAACAGAAGAATGTTGTAGAGGATGCTTGGGTGGCGTTCAGTGAAACTAAAGAAATCCCAGACTTCTCCTGTCCACAATACGACTGAGAGCAGAGAGGAAGAAGAGAATAAAGTTTATGTCTATGATTGAGCATTCTCTCATATACTGTATATCTATTTTCCTTCTCTTAAGCACAGATATGTAGTGATAATAAGATCATATTGTTCACAGTGTAGTTACATAGCACCACCAAGTGGTGGAACACTTTAACAGCAGTTAGATGAAAACCTTGGCATGGGGGCGTCATTAATTTGTGGGAGTGAAGGTACAAGAATACCTTCCTATCTTGGGAAATAACAGCACTTCAAAGCGATCGAAGGTAGAAGAGTTACAAGGATGGCAGGAGTATCTAGCTCTAGAGAAGTCTGAAGAGATTCTAAAGCAGTCTTACTCAGAGTTTTCCTAAAAACAAATGTGATTTTTTTTTGTGACAGTCTTTTGAGTTGAAAGCAGATGCGAAGGAGAGACAGACACCATTTAAGAGGTAAAAGACACAGCCAATTAATCAGTTCTTAGACAGATAACAGTCTCTCAGTTATCATATATGCTCTGACCTTTTGATCGTATCTTTAAGCCCATTAGCACCTTACATTAGAAAGCACCTCGTTAGACTGCGCTTGTTTTATGCCCCTAAGTCTTCAGCATATAATAGCAACCTCCACTCAGAACTGAGCGCTTTGAGCTGCAGCATTCCTTATCTTTAGAGATAACACTGAACACTTTCGCCTCCTCTGATTTAATGAGTTTTTGCTCCTGAGAGACTTCAGCTCACGTTTTCTTCAAGAGCCTCCAGTACAGGTGGTAATGACTTTTGTTTAGATTTCTTATTCATTTTGATTGTAAGTAAGAAGTAACAGCATCACAGAAGCTTTTTTTCTGTATTTCATAATACAAACCAAGAAGAATGTCAAAGACAGCTTGGTCAAAAAGGCCTTAACCCTGTATTCAAGACATATTACTTGATCTAAGTCTGTAGATCAGTTAAGTTGAGAATTTTTTTGTGTTAACAACCCCAAAAAGAAACACATTTTCTTGTGAATCACTGACATTGGTCAGTTATAAGTTTGCCACAGTAACAACATCCTAATGCAAATTTAGAAAAGTAAAAGAGGAAAGAAAACGTCAATAAATGCTTGATATATTAAAAATCTAGACCACTGAGTATAAGCAGTAGAGATACCTTGAACTTCATCCCTTTAGAAGCAAAATCAGATTATTTTCAGTGTTTCAAATGTATAACTATAAATAATAATTATTATTAATATAATTTGTATATGTATAAGTAAGACTTTGCTTTGGTCTTGCACAAGAAGTGCAGACAAAAATAAATGTTTATATTTAAAATAAAACCATTTTTGGCATAGCCTGCAGTCATGTAATTAGCCATATGGGGTGACAGGGGTCATTAATGCACCAGTTTAATGCATTTGAACATTTGGGGGGACTTATTCAGGCAAAGCTTTCTGAGAGGAAATCCAGTGCTCCAGCTTTTGTCTCCATTTTTGGCAGTACTGAACTTTATCAAGGTGAGTTTCCTCATTAGTTGTTCCTCTCGGACTGCCAGGAGCCAATCAGTGAGCAGCCTTGCTGCAGGAACATGTTGAGGTAGACCGGGGTTTGGCAGAAAGCACAGCTGACTCACCTGATCCCAGCACCAGTGTGGACCACAAGTTGATGTTCAGCATCATGTGGTTGGCACTGGTCTGGAAGCGGGCCCTCATGTGGTCCTGGGCCACACCGGTCAGACCATCCAATGTCAGAGAGACCAGCTATGATGCAGCAGAACACAGAGCCATGAGACAAATTTATTGGTAATTACCGCTGCTGTGGAGAGAAAGTGTGTGATAATAAATGTGTTACAAGTGCAATGGATGGGACATGAAGGCGTGTGAACTTACCAAAAGAATCTCTCCAAACCCAAACACATGATCATCTGTAACAGCTGAGCTCTTGTTTGGTTTGTAGAGGAACAGAGCAACACCGCTCACAATAAGCAGCACACACAGGTACTTAGCCAGCGGGTACTTTTTCCTTAGTATTGTCACACCAAGGATCATCACTGCAACAACACAACATTGGCATGATGGATGGTTTGTAGCCATGGTTACCACCCTGACATATTACAGATGTGAGTTAATCCTACCCTGGATGCCATGTCAGGTCTACATCGCTGAGAGTGGAAAAATATGGATAGCCAAAGTGTGTGAGCGTGTGTGTTAAAGTATGTGTAACTGGAGATAACCAACAAGTTGAAACAGAACATACTGTGACCCGCCCTATAGGCTCCCCTCTTTGCACATTTGCTTACTCAGTGTGTCCCTGAACAGTTTGGACAGATAGCAGGATCCCTCTTACTTGTCATAACATACACACAGCATGTTATTTTACAGCACCTGGTAAATTCTGACTATGCTAATATTTACACACATCAAGGACAGACGCATGAAACCTGTAGTTATCACTGAAAAAACAAGGACTGCAACAAAAATGGGATCACCTCTCCACAGAGAGTAGTTTAGTACATCTACCTGGGCTGTTACTCTATTTTTTTCATTAAACGCAAGACTTATTTGATGGTCCCTAAAAAAAATAGGTGAGGGACTTCACTCACCTGGTATAGGCTTGCAAGATTTTCCCAACACCTAGCAAAGAAAAAGTGCTTTAGGATATAATATTATTCAGTGTTATTATTGTCACAAGAATTGATGCAAGTAAATTCTATAAAGGCAGGTTCACCTGAGTAGGGTAGTTGACATATAAAAGGGCTGAGTTACTGGACACCATGGCTCCAAGATAAGAAAGAGAACACGCTGCATAAAGCCAGCTCTTGGTGGTATCTGGCTTGGTACCCTCAAAAAACTGGATCACTGTAGATGAAGAGACAGATTTTATTAAAGGTGAGGCATCAATGTCTTGAATTTAAGTGACATAATGTAACTGGATGTCTGGAGTGTCTAATGTACACATCAAAGTCCTACTTCTACATCTAGATTAAGAACAGTGGCATAAAAATATTTATCAAGACGGTCCTAAGAGATTGCCTGATAGTTTAAAAAACTCAGAAACATGTTTAGTTGTACTTACAGATCTTAGCAAACAGGGAGCTGATAATGCACTGGATCAGGACTAACGTCCGAGCAAATCTGAACTTCTCTTTTTTGTCACCCTGACCATAATCACCTCTAGTGCTGCAAATGTAAAAAAAAGAAACTTTGTGTTAGCTTCACATACGGCAAAGAATAAATGGGAAACTTAAGCAGTCTTCCTGGCAGAAACATGTTTCAGAGAGTGGAGTGCTTTCACAAGTCTCCATGCTATGAAAAGGCCCACCAGACAGCATGCATTAAATTACAACAGACAGGGTGGGGTGCTAATTTTAAGCTGCTGTATTGCTCACTGCACTTACATCATTGGGAAAGTAAACACAGGATTTGTAGAAAGCATTGTCAATGGCAAAACAATAGAGACAATAATTCAGATTTAAGATTAAAGCTATTGCGGCACTAAATTATCGCTTTCTGAAAATGATATGACTCCTGCCAACTGAGTGACATATACAACAACATACCAACTGTGTCACAGCTTAGCATGTGGTATGACATAAAAGCAGAGATCATATTGCTTCTGTCACTCACTCTAAGTTTTCAAGTTGCATGGTGGTTGGACTTTTAGGCAAAAAGTGAAAGGTGATAATTATGGCAGACAGTTGAGGAGCTTATATCATAACAATGAAGTTCACAAGGACCAGCTTTTCAAGGGGATATGAACCAGTTTTCTGTTTCTGTTTGTCACACCAAACCTCTTTCAAAAATTCAACAATTTAAACTCAGATCTGGTTACATATTGGTATACGGTAATATCACACACTTACACGACCTGAAATTAGTTTAACTTTGACACAGTCTCTACTTTCTTACAAATAAACTTCAGTTGTATTAAATCGGAGAATGTCTCCTGTTGATGGGGTAGCTGTTGACATGTTTCCCACTTTCAAATGTGCAGATTTTTGAACGGAGTTTGGGTCTTGAAAGGACAACATCTGTAACGGGGTAACTAGTAAAACAGTGACTTACATTGTCTCCTGTAATATACCGTAGTAAAAGTAACACACGAAGACTCCAAGGAAGCAGACGATGAATCGTATCCGCATGTTGTCCCACAGTGAGACGGATTTCACAGTTCCTTTTCCCGCAGCCATGCTGTCGTCCACCAGCCCGGGGATGGAAACCGACACCGCTGCGCTACCTGCGCCCCTTAGACCGACGTCCCGCTCCACTATAGCCGCTGTCACGAGCCCGGAAATGGTGCTCGTGCTTCCACGCTATGCTTGGTTTCTGTGGTAACGTGGGGTAAAGGTTTTACTGTAAAGTACTGTCTCGAGCACAGGTACTGTTTATTTTTCAGACCTTGCAACCGGAAAATCGGATTGTCAAGACAGCAAAATAACACGTTTGTTATTTATTGTGTATCATTCTGATATGTTCTTCAGATGTTCTTGTCCCATTTCACCTGTGTTCTGTATCAAGAGCTCAGTTTGTGGTTTCAGTGAGACATTTCTGTCTATATTTACTTGGGAAAAGCGGTCGCGTCAGAAAATTAGTATGGAGGAAGGACCATATTGGTGCTACAAGCCTAGCCTTAAGAACTGGCCTACACTAAATACGTTAAATCTCAAACACAACTCACAAACTGTGAAAAGCGTCACTACGTTGATAAAAGCGCAGGAAATCTGCACGATGGTGAGTTTTTCAGCCTTATTTATTAAAGATTATTTACAGTGAATTTAACGAGGCAGTTGTACAGAGACCCTTTCACAAATATGAGGGCTTTTCTTAAGACTGTCGCGTACCTTTTTGTCGTCGTTGGATGTGGATTTAATTGATTGGTCCATGTAAGGCAAAAGAGAATCTGAATCAGCGAATCACAGAGCAGATTTCAGTAAAATGGGTGGGGCTTAGATTTAAAAACCGCAAATCCACGTGTCAAAGACAGGCACAACAACAAGACAGAAACCACAGTAATTAAAGGCATAAGAGAGGGTATTTGGGAACCATGTAATTTCCTCATTTTTCTTCTTTTGAATGGCAGCAGCACACTTGACTTATTACAACTTTGAAACGTATGAAAATCAAGTCAGAAGAAAAGAAGGGTTGAAGGAAAAACACAACTTTAATACTTCTGCGCAGGATTGTGCAGATAGAAATAGCATCTTAGTTATTAAAACATTAACTGATCACAACCTTGCCAAAAATAACATTTGAATTTTCTTTACAGAACCGCTTTGTATAAAAAAGGCTCATGCTAAACCAAGATAGATACCCATCAATGAGAGAATTGCAGCAGTTTTGTAAGAGAGGCCTGCTGCAGACAGGAAATGCTATAACATCCATTCCTGCTTTGACAACCCCAAACACTGTATAAATGCCTCGTTTCATCAGTGGATTCCAAAAAGGTTTACCAGATTTATCACTCTGTAAAAATATTCCAAAATCATATATTTTCTTTTTATATCCTCTTGGAAATGCATCTGTAAAAGGGTGGGTTGCCACAAACTTAAAACCTAAATATTATCTTTCACCAAAAGAGTTTCATGAATTTTCAGGAGAAATAATCCAAGTACTTACTTATTTTTCATTAATAGAGTCCTTCAAACACAAAGTTCTTGTTAAGGGGTAGGACTAGATAAGTCTCGACTTCTTCCCACTCCTTTTTGAACTCAAATAACTTTTTGTCATTTGTTATTGTATTCTTTACTTTTTTATTGTTATTTCTTTTTTATATGTTCAAAATAAACTTCAATCAATCAATAAATTTTAGCAGTTTTTGTCAAATATAAATCAATGGTAAGGGGTGGTATCTTATGTATCTTAAGTTGTTGAGACACATGTTTTCTTGTTTTACATTAACAATGCAAACATCTCAAGCTGATTGCAGTCTTTGTCAGGACTGATGAAACAAAATAACATTTCATTTGATCAAAAGAAAATGTCAACATTTAATTATGATTTTTTTTTCTTCGGTACAAAGGTAGAAATACCACATCAGTCCTGTATTGTACTCCATAGCACAAATAGCTTTCTTGGTGTGTGTCAGGGGCTGTACAGACAAACATCAGCTCAATCCAAGCATTCTTCAAGGAAAATTATCAACAGAGCAAACAAATATTCAGCCAAGGCTCAAGTGTGATGTCAGAAATGCTTTCAGTCACATAGTCTTTTTCTCCCAGTGATCATGACACAGTAAAGTACAGATGAGCCAGCTGACCACAGGCCTTTTGCACATCAAACATATCCAGTTTTTGTGAGCCCTGACAGTGCAGTGTGTTTTAGTCCAGAGAGGCTCTGCTCACGTATCCTACTGCATGCCCAGGTGCCTGGTGGGAGATGCCTGACCTGTGCAGCCAGTGACTGGAGAGACTGACAGGCCCCGGAAGAGGAGGTCCATAGAGGGCAGTAGGGGCTTCAGGAGACTGACGGGGCAGAAAGCAGAGCCTCCATGGGGGGTGAAGTTAACTTTATTGGGGTCAGGGCAAGATGGCTGGAGGAAAGGCTCATCCTGACAGGCAGATCTGTGGGGAAAGAGAGAGATTGGCATGTACCTCAAGATGCTTTGTCTTTAAGGATAACAAAAGCACAGTCATAACAAATCAGAGACAAAATGAATCTTCTTATTTTTCTTCAATAAATAAATCTCATTCAATGCCACAATATACCAGAGAACGCAAATGAAACATCTATTTTTTTACAACAACCTTAGCTTAGCTCCTGAAAAATCACTGTGGTCATGGGGACCAGGCATTACTTTAATGATAACGTGATGAATGCACAGCGTTTAAGTCCAGCAAACAGTAACATACATCGCCTCTTCACATATTCGCATTCTCTCACAGCCCTCTGGTGGCTCCCGCTGGAAGGAGCAGGTTTTTGTAGCACAAAGAGAAGAGGAGCAGGGCTGAATCAGAGGAGGGTCCAAATCAAATAAGGGGAGTGACGTGGATGGAGAGAGTCGCAGGGGCCCACAGTGCACTGGCTCTGAAATGATGTGCACAAATACCTTTATCACTAAAACAGAGTATAGTTATGCAAAGCTTTGAAATATGGGTAGCACACCTCAGGGTGTCTTACCTGGTTCTCCAATGGGACAAGGAGACTGTGATGAAGACAAAAGAGATGGGCTCAGAGGACAAGGAGAGTTTGAAGGAGACAGAAGCGATGGATCCAGAGGGCAGGGCGAGTGAGAGGGAGAGAGGAGAGAAGGATCAAGAGGACCTGGAGATGGTTCACTCTGAGAGCCACTACTGCACCTTTGGGCTGGGTTTGGGGCCCTGTGGCCATCTGGAATATCTAAAATCTGCAATGTTGAGTCACAAAGGAGAGAGACAGTCAGAGTTTCATTTTTTGGTGGGTGGAGGATAAAAACTTGTACGTTGAAGTTTTGATGCATGTGAATGGTTGTTTTAAATTTAAATTTCTCAGTCCTAAACCTCACTTCATGCTGATCGCTGGGTTTCTCAGAAACAAACACCTCCTCCAGCTCCAAGTTTAGGCCTTCAACACTTCGTCTCAGCCTTGAGGCGAGTCTGTTCAGAGGCATCAGGGGCATCGTCTACAGAAACACAAATCGAATTCAGGCAAAATGCAGAAGAGCTCAGTCTAACCACAGACCTAATTCAACTTTTTCTTTATGAGGACAGCACTAGTGGAATACCTTGATAGAAAGACATTCGTAACAGGTCATAATGAGTCTCTACAAGTTAAAGGAAAGCTAGCAGAGGTTTAGAAGTAGATGAGTAATAAAGGCTTTTTGGACTTGAATATTCTTTGTTGTTTGAATTTCTTTTCCTGGTTTCAACCATGTGTTAAGTTCACTCTTAGCCTGGCTTCAGATTTTGCTCCCAGCATAGTGTTATGTGCAGGTTCAAATATTCTTTCTGTGACTGTAACACATGATCTTTGATGACAGCAGATCCTAAGAAAAGCATCTGTGTTTTTTATATCTCTGTTACTGAGCTCCGTCTAGTCTGCCCGCTCTTTGGCATCAGTGGTAGCCATAGAAACCTTGATCTTTGTATCTTTAGCTTACAGGTTATCAACACACAAAGGAGTTAAGAATTACCTGAGAGATGCCTGCTGCATGACCTGCTGGCAGGGGGTGGTGGTGGCTGAGCTCATATCCGGCAGGGGGAGGGGCGTGGCGGGAACGCTTCTGCAATTGGTGCCTTAGCTTTGCCACCTGAAAAATGATTCAAGTCACTTTTGAGTCACTCTGAAAAGGAGAGGTCATGCTTCACCCTTGGGAGCTGTTAATGTTTTACAGCATGATGAGGGGGCATGAGAAACTGCAGCTTGGATGAACTGAAGTAACTCACCTCTCTTAGGTGCTCTGCGCTGCCCCATGATGCCGAGCGCTTGTGTCCAACGGCACTCCTTCTTCCTCGGGTCTCCTCAGCCCATGAGCTCGGAGTCTTTGCAAAAAAATAAGATCACAGTGAGGTCAATAAAGACTCCAGAGTACGTCTATGTGAGGAGGAAAAAGGCCTGTTTTTGACACCTTCTGGGAGCTCTGATAAACACTACAACACTCAAACTATGCACAACAGACATAACACTCCACAGCTGTGCCACACACCTGCCTCACAACAGCTGTACAGATGCAGGCAATGAGAAAACCACAGAGCAGTTTCAACACTCATAACAAAAACACCCAAACCACACATTCGTAGAGACTCTAAATATAGCACAAGAATCAGCATTTAGCACAGATGTTATCACTCACAAAAAAACCCTGTTATTCAAAAAGTCAGGTGCTGTGAAGGAAAAACAGACTAACTGCCTCTCTGTCTGTATTTCTCCTTTTGTCAATCTCAGCTCCATGATGCATGATCCTACCGATTTCTTCACATTGACTCTGGATCTTCTACCAGATGGAGTCTGATCAACCGCTCCGGCCTGCTGGCAGTTCATCATCACCGGTCTAAGCCCAGGCCAAGTTCAGCCCCCAGACCAAGAGCTGCAGTCCTCCACACTTCGAGTCAGCTGTTTCATACACTCAGAAACAATCCGATCCCCTCACTGTTCGTCTGTGCTGTTCATGAGGCAGCTAACTTTACACACATTCACATAGCTCTCACTGCCTGACCTGAGGCTGTGTCATGCTCTCCTGTCTCTCCAAATACAACTTGTCCTTTAGGGATCGGCCTCACGACTCAGAGAAATCCTATCAGTGCTTGAACTTCCTGCAGGAAAGCACGGGCACCATCTCGCAGACAGATATGCAATTCATCGCCGGGCTAAATAAGTCAGAAAGCCGTATGAGTCAGTCATATAGTGACATCGGTGTTGAGTTACAGCTGCTGACCCTCACAGTCATCCAAAACATGAACAGGGAGGATCATGGGACTCAGAGCTATAAAAAGACTGGCTGGTTGGCACAGCTAGTGTTTCCATTTTGAACGACTCATTAGTGTATTTAATTCCAGTCTGCATATGGCCTACATAATAACACCAGCAGCTGTACCTACAACCATTTTATTGACTATAAATGTGTCAGCCCCCATGTCCCTAACTGGTAATAACAAACTTAATAATGTCTGTTTTTGTCAGATCAATGGTCTAAAACCACAGATATTTAATTTTAATATAGTGAAACTCAAAAAAGCAGCAAGAAAGTAGAGAAATGATTAACGTTCTTGTTTAAAAAATCCAAATAACATTTACAGTTTTAATAGTCTTTTTTTTTAATTCACTCACAACTGGAATGACAAGTTATCTTAACATCAAACAATGGTGCTCATGTTTCTAATGCAAGCTCTTTACCCTTCATACTCTACATGTTTTTGACCCTGAATGTTTAATCTAAATTTGAGTAAAATTACTGTGATTTTTTTGGACTACAGTTCTTGGGTTTTATTGATCAAAAACTAACTTTTAAAGCACACGTTTCTAATTTGGTCCTTAAACTCAGGGTGAAGGTAGGCATTTATTTTAGAAATAGTTCCTGCTTCTCTCTTAGTGCAAGGAAACTTCTTGTAGCCTACCAGCAAACTTTTCTGCCTTAACTCTATTACGGTGATAGGCGGTACATGTTTACAGTCTTTGAATACTGTTTATTACTGAGCCCTGAGGTTTGTCACAGTTGTTCACAGCTCACTCATCACCGGGACCTAAACACTGAGTCTGACTGCCCACCCTTGAGCAGTTGCAGGTGTACACACTAATTCAGTCTTATTTATGAAACTATTCTCACTAGTTTTCTACCTTTTAACTTGATGTTTTTATCCAATTGTTTGTTATTTGTTTTTCAAATTATGTAATATTCATAAAGACATGTGCTGCAGGCCTCTTGGCCAGGTCACCCTTGTAAAAGAGATCTCAATCTCAATGGGTTACTACATGGTTAAATAAAAGGTTCAATCAAAATACATAAAAACAGAGGCTACAGTCTTTGTCCCACCTTGGCACAATGTACACCTCAATTCCTCCTCTCTCCCCACATTTCCTGTCTGTTCTGAGCTTTCATATCTAACAAAGGAAAAAAGGTAAAACACATACAATTTAACAATTCTATCGTGGTACTAGAACCACTGAGGGGACTAGCTAAACCCTCAATGAACTACCAGCATGGCATGTGGCCCTTTTGTGGCGCACCACAGAACTACCAACAGATGCTCCATAACTATTGGCACATAATGTGTCCACTTCTCAGTCTCAGCACTGCAAACTTGGACATTTGACTGACATCAAAGTTTTGTGATCAAGTGTGAGATTGCCTAAAAGTTTGGAAGGACACATTCACAAATTTACAAAACAGACTTATGAAGAGAAAAAGCTCAGCTCTCTTTAACCTCTACTAAACACCAGTCAACCCTTTTTAACAGCTGTGCAAACTCCAGCTGATGAAAATGTGCAAAATTATTCACATCATCTAAGGCAATACAGAGGAACTCTTGCACAAGGAGCAGCTGGGTGGGGTGCTGGTGTGGTTGTGCATGCGTGTGGTTGAAGCGAGTGCTGGGGGATGGGGTTTCTGTATAATGAGGTCAGGAGGGGTCTGCTCCTCACAATGAAGGCAAAGGGGGTTCACTGGGGTTTTTCAACTGTGTCAGGAGCGAGGGCGAAGCTTGGTTTGTGTTGGTTGGGACTTTGTGCATCAGTTGGGCGCAGATACAGTGGAAGGGGAGGAGGAGGTGAAGGGGGGCCAACAGAGTTTAAAGAAGAGCAGAAATTATCCAGTTGGCTGCTTTCAAGCTGCAGTGTCAAACTGGAACAACGAGACACCTGCAGAGTCAACGTCACAGAAGTTGTCCTGAACATACAGGAAAAGCAGCGCAGGGAAATGTTTGCTCTGATGAAGCAACAGGTTTAATGTGAAAAGGACTGAGAAGCCTGCCTTTTACTTAGACCTGGTTTTATGTGATACTAACTTTACAACACAAATATTGTGGCAGTGTGATCATAATTGCGTAGATATACCTGTGTGGCTTTGTCGTTGACACAAGAAACAGCTGAGCTCTCTGCTTCTTTAGGCCACTGACCCTGTAGGTAAGGTGCCACAATGGCGTCCAGGGAAAGAGTTCGACGGATGGTGGGTTTCGGTGGGCGAGCTGATGTCCTGTCAGCTTTTGGAAACAGAAACAACACATAAAATAAGTAAGGGAGTAAATCAGGTTGTGCGAGACTTCAGTCAAAACCATGTCCTTCAGCAGCGTGTGAGTTTTTGCCTGTAAGATCATGTTCAGCTTGAAGCAACGCTTTGTGTGATAAAAAAATCTGTTCAAGTATTTTAACACCAGTGTTTCACAAAATAGCTGCAAGGCTTCCTCCCCAACAAGTATGCAGCACTCATGTTGGCAGCTCTTTGTAATCTCAGGCAGGTGTGGACCCTGCGTGTGACCTGAAAGTAAGTCATCATACAGGCTACACTATATCTTGCAAACATATATACACACAAACACACAAAGTGTGTTGTCATTAGCCCATGTTTCAAGCTTAACAGGATGTAAAAATAAACGGTATCCATGCAGATGTGACAATGATAGATAAAGTTACAGGACAACATGCTCAGAGTGAAACAAAGAGGCTGCTGCTGTGTGAGCATGGAGCATGGAGCACAGATCCCACAGGTCAGAGTGCAGAGGGGCCACTCAGAGTCCAAATAACAACATAAGAACAGGATTGTATTTCAGCATTTTCAGCTTTCAGTGTTGGCTTTATTTATTTTTTTATTATTATTTTATAGCTGGAGACTTTTGGGACAGATTTAATTATTAAGTTGAAGACAGAAAATGAACAATTTTGAGGCCTGTATTTTGATGTGGAGCGCAGTCTGGTCTTTTCACCTTATCAAAGAGTGTTATTGTCAGTTTTGACATTTCTGCAGTTCAAGTTGAAGTAGCAGAACTTTTTTTTATTCAAACTAAACTAGACCTGAATTTTTGAGTACAACACAACATGCTTCCCTTTGGGGCTGCAACTACAGACCACTATTTGCCTGGATACCAGCATATTTAGAGTGTTAGGTTTTTGAAAAATAATACATGTTTCATGAAATAGACAAAAATGTTCTACTTTAGCAAACGTGCTGATTCATTCTCTGTCAACTGACTAATCGACTCACCATTTCGACTACACATTCTTTTGAGGTACCATTGACATAAAGTGATTGGGAAATGAAATTGTTCACGGATATGTACGTTATATCTAAAGTAGACAATCTTGAAGGCTTAAGAATTTATTATCGATACCGTAATGAACGTTTTATCAGTTCTGGACCACACAGACGTAGACGAGGCGTAGACTCAACTGGTAGAGAATATTTACCCGTCTTGACCTCCCTGCAGAGGAGAGCAGAGCCCCTCTGGAGCTGATAAGGGACTGTGGCTCTGAGGGGCAGCAGGCTGGGGTGGCTGCACCCCCGAGGTGCTCCTCCATTTCTGCCCGACATCCCCCACTCCGCACCCGGCTAATAAACACACACACACACACACACACACACACACACACACACACACACACAAACACACACACAAACACACACTGCTTTCTTCTCCTCTTCTCTGCAGCTCTCCTCGACGCTGGCTCTCCTTTAGCCCACACTCAGTCCATCCACAGAGTAGATCCACAGCTCTGGCCCAGAGTTTTTCTCTCGGATACCCAGTTCGGGTTTTGTATTGGAAGGATAACCATGGTTTTAGTTCTTGAATGACTTGATTCCGGTTTGCAGATAGTTGAACAGCTCTTATCAAAATCGCGGTGTATCCTTCACCCTGCAGGGCGAACTTGCTGCTTTCACACTTGTTCACTCTCTGCTGAGAGACAAACTCTGTAACTTTTTCGTATAATGAGCAGGCCTTTATTACTCCGGGAGACGGCGACCTAGTTGGCTGCTGCAGAATACTACTGAGCACTTATTGGTTTCCACATCCATCTGTCTCTTAAAGGGAAACCCCTCCCAAAGCTTAAAGTTGTGTTCAGACTTTTCTCTTGCACCTCCCCTCCTCCTACCTTTCCAGACTATCCAAACCCCTGGATATATTAACTGCAGGGCTGTGTTTTTGTGGTCCCCAAATGTCTGGTTCAGTGTTCATGTAGGTCACTTATAGAACCTAAAGGATCTGACTTCAAGCTGAGTGTAAACTCACTTTCACCCTTTTTCAAACATGTACAAAGTTCCTGAAAATATCCCGAATTGTACCGTGTGCAGCAGCCGAGTTTATCTGCCTGAACTGTGTATTTGTTCAGCTACTCATAAAGATGTTATGACGGCAGAAACTTTTGAAAAGTGTAGCTGCTATTCTGTCTCCTTCTCGTGACTTTTTTAAAAATATAAAATTAAGTAAGTGGAAATGCTGATTAAGCATTTCCACTTATTGTTATTCTCCTGTTTTTTTATTATTATTTTTCTTCCGTCATTTTTTGGCACTTTATAACTCTTCTCCACTTTGTGCTATTTCAACCATTCAAACTTTAAACTATTCCTCTCCTTCAGGACAATATAGCTATTACTTTTCACTTGCAGAAAGTGACTGATCCGGTAGATATCTTAAGGGACCTCGTTATTTCTTCTGAAGAGGTAAGTAGACACTAAATGATCTCATTTGATGAAACAAGAAAAAAAAGATTATCTCTAATAGACATAATGTGTGAACTGTGGGCACTAACTCTATTTACTCTTTTTACTCTCTCAGGATGGTCAATGCTACAGCCTTGTCAGCACAATTAATCATCTGGACAAAAGAGCAGGATCAGGTAAGATAATCAGTTTCCTTCTGATCTTATTAAATTTTACACACACAAAAATGTCACAGTTAAAAAAAAAGCTTACAATTATGTTCTAATGCAGTACTTATGTGAACATTATGAATTATATGATCGTATGTGGTTACAGACACAGCCCAGTCTTTAACATTAAACATTTAACATTAACATTAAATTGGACTTAATCTATGATTCAGATTTATAAACAAGCCATCCAGATTAGAGTTTGGAAGCTTGTAGCTTACTCCCTGGGCAAGTAAACTGAAAAAAAAAAACCTTACATTAGGAACCACTGCACTATTGAGTATTTAATTAGAAGTAAGAAAAATAATTTTTTTCAGGTTGTTAATTGCATACTTTGCTTATCATCAACAGCAGGTGTTCCAGGATGGATAAAGGACCTCTTGTCTTCTCATACTTGACATTATTTGCAGTGAACAGTGCATGAAGTTGTGTCTGCGTGGGTTTACTCTGGGTGCTCCGGTTTCCTCCCACATCCCAACGACCCCTTACAAAAAAAAAAAAAAATTAAATCCGGCCTAGCTACAAAATAAAAATCAAACAAATAAAAAATTTCTTCTTTACAATGGTTTTCTCTCGTTATAAATAATTAATTATTGTTACACTGGTCTAAGCATCCTTACTTGGCTATCTAGCATACTGCAGTCCTGCATTTTTATCTAAAACCTGCAAAACCAACATGTGGGCAATAATACAACCCGTTTGAATTAGGGACCTCCCTAACTTAAAGACCTTGACAGATAGGACCTCTTGTCTCATACTTGGTGTTATTTGCTCAGGACAGCCAGGGGTGCAGAAGTTTGTGTCCCAACCCCTTAAAAAAAAAAAATCAAAAAAGGCCAAACTACTAAATTAAAAAAAGGCCAAACTGCAAAATAAAAATTAATCAAATATAAATTTCTTCCTAACAATGTTTTTTTATCTCATTATCGTTAGTTATTGTTAAACTGGTTTAAGTGTTCATGTTTCTGGGAAGTGAAGGTATCATATATACGCTGATGAGCAGCTTCGTTGACAAATGGCTATCTAGCATACTGCAGTCCTGCATTTTGAGTCTAAAACCTACAAACCATCATGCGGGCAATAAAACAACCCATCTGAATTATTTGCATTAGGGACCTCCCTAACTTAAAGACCTTGACAGATAGGACCTCTTGTCTCATACTTGGTGTTATTTGCTCAGGACGTCCAGGGGTGCAGGAGGTTGTGTCCTAACCCCTTAAAAAAAATAAAAAAAAGGCCAAACTACAAAATAAAAATCATTCAAATTTAAATTTCTTCCTAAAAATGGTTTTCTATTTTTATAGTTAGTTATTGTTATACTGGTTTAAGTGTTCATGTTTCTCTGAAGTGAAGTTTTAACAAGGTATCAAATTTACGCTGATGATGGCAGTCACTGAAGCACAGCAATAGATGGTGCTGTTCTGCATTCTCAAGTTATTATGATTGGATGCTGCAGACTGCAGAAATCTGTTTTACTATTTGTACATTTAATGGGAACATTGTTACACATTATTTTAAGGCATTTGTTTTTCAAATTCAATTATTCTTATTATCAGTTCTGTTTATTCACATAAGTCATATACACTTTTTTCACTTAGGCTATTAGACAATTTGTACATTAATCCAACTAATTTACCTTCAGCTATATTACAATTCTTCCATTCATACAATTTCTTCCTCTTCTACTCCACCTTTTCAACAGTTTTTCCATTCATACCTTCCTCCATTTTTTATCGGCAGTTTAGCATTGCTTTTTCGGCTTTCAGCACTCAGCATTTCCACACAATTTCTGCAAGGAAATGCAATTTTTCTAGTATAAAAATTGTGATTCTTGATTCTAACAGCAGTGAATCTATGCATGAACATATTTTAGAGGTTGAGAGGAAAACAAACATAGGCTAAAGAAAATAAAATATTCAGTAGGAGAGACCCGGGCTTGTTGTCACACTTTTTACACTTATATGTTTCTTGGAATCAATACAACATATATAAACAAAATGTGTACCAGATGAAAGACAAAAGTGTCAGGTATATACAGAGCCGGCCCAAGCCTCAACGGGGCCCTATGCAAAATTTGATTTTGGGGCCCTCAATTTCTTATATTGATTGTTGATCATTTACACAGCTTCAAAAATCTCTTTAACTAACATTCCATGACATGCAAACATACCTTTATCTGGCATTTTTTCTCTTCTTCCTCTTTCTTCCTCTTTCTTTTCTCTGCTTGTGAAGGATATGTCCTTTTTTGTGACATTGTTTTGCCCCAAAACTACCTGCGCTTTGCATGCTCAGTGCACATTGCACAGTGGACAGTGCACAGTGGTAGTGGAGCTTTGATATATCGGTAGTAGGAATCATAGGCTTACATCAGCAGCAGCAAAGGGTTTTTACTTTATTTTATTTTATTTTACAATAATATATATTTGATCATACAAAAAGCATCACTCATACATGCAAAAAATCAAAAATATAAAATAATTATTTTTTTGTCGCTCTTGGGGGGGCCCCCTGTCGCGGGACCCTAAGCAGGCGCTTAGTTCGCTCATGCCTTGTGCTCTGGATATATATTTTGTATTCATGTCATTTTCATATCTTGCGTCAGTGCAGAGTTATAGGCAATCAAATAGAGAGTGTAAACATGTGACACGTTGCCCCACCGTGGAGTAAGTTGTCTCACTACATGAGGGAAAGATGTCACAGTGGATTTTGCGGCTAATAAAACAAGGACAAAAATATTGTTATTTTCATTTTTTACATGAAAGTGAACATCAAAGTCAGGCGCAGAAAATGTTTATAATTGAGCTAGAAAAAGTCATTGAACATAGTCATTAACCAAATGTTAACATAAAATATTATGCAACATGCTCTGGAGTTTGGGAGGTGTCTAACTCTGTATTTCATCTGGGGTGAATGTTTTGCAGTACCGAGCCAAGGTATGGTAGTTGACAGAAAAGTCCTTTTTTGTACTCCAGATTGATTCATTAGCCAGGGTCACCTGACTGACTGCCCTCAGCATCACACCAGGCACTGCACTGCCACATCCTGTTTTTAATTCCTGACCATGTCTTTTTGCTTTCTCCATGAAAATCTGCTGATTAGCAGACTCTCTATGTTAATTTTAATCCCTTTTAAACATGTGACAACTAACCCCAACTAACAACTAATGACTGAGACATGTTGCCCCAAACTACCATGTTTGCTAATTCTATCTCTAGCTTAAAGCTAACTTAAACAGAACAATGTCTGAGGTATGACAGGATGCCTTAATCTCTCCTCTAACAACTCCACATGTTTCACTGCTAGGATTTTTATCAGGAAGAAGCTTATTTTAAAATATATAAAGTTCTTTTTTTTTTTACTTTGGGTTTTGCAAAATAGTTAAGTGGTGCTCATCTCAGCTCAGTGTGCTCTTCTCTTCTCAGACAGGACACAACCCCTGACCATGTAAAGGAATAAAACTAGTATTCCATTTTTTAGTTGCGCCCTCTGGTGGCAAAGATAATTGCAATGTGACAACTTACCAATGTGACAACAAGCCCTGGTCTCCCCTAAATTAAAATAAACAGTCAGGGGTTAAGACCAAAAAATTAGTCAGAGTCCACCTCCTTAGATCCTCTATATGCCCCCCAGGTCCAACAGGGGATATTTCACTGTGATTTTTATTATTTTTAGAAAATTTCCGGTGTATGTATTAAAACAGCTTTCAAATATATTTTAAAATGATACTGACTACATGAAAAAAGTAGGTTAATGTATAAATATGGATGCAGAAATCAAACCAAAGTTATAACCTGGTCATTTCGTTATATTTGTGTAGTAATGCTATACATTCAGCTATTACTCTGTAATTACCAAATAGTAATTAAGGATATTTCAGCCAAATGAATGAACTGTTTTTCAGGACAAATGCATCATTTCTTTTATGTATTTAAAATGCCCCCCAAAAGCCCTTTAAGTGATTTCTTTACAATTAACAACATGTTGTCCTGGCTACTGAAGCTAAGATGTATTGTAGCTGGAAATGAATGCAACAGCTTTATATTTCTAATATGATTTAATGACTGCTCTACATTTATAGAGTACAGGGAGTGCAATAAAGCAGCATTTTTAGCTATTCAAATTATAATTTGAAGTATATTCTCCTGTCGGACATCACCAACAAGGACATTAGATATAGAGTTTTTTGTATAACAAAAATTTTAATTGTTGCAATTTTAACCTGTTTGACCATAGAGTTGTCTATTACCCATCTTTATCTTTTCATCTCAGGTGTCCTGATTACAGACAATAATAACATAATGTTGAGAGAGCCAAGCATTGGTACAAGAGTATAGTTCATATACCCCCACCTGGTGGATGGATGGTGTAAAGCCCTATGACTATGCAGCTGTGAAAATACATAAACTTAACTTATTAAGCAGACGCACTAAATAGTCGGGGAGCTCAAAAATGTCTCAAAAATGGCTTGAACCTGACATAGTCTGTTATACTTTTTTTTTCCTGTTAACTTTGACTGTAAGAACAGGGTCTGCTCTGCCAGAAACACTGCAGAAAAAAATGTTGCCATTTTACTGCATGCACCCTTCAGTTCATCAAACAGCTTATGACTAACTGCAGCTCAAAGTTTCAACATGACAGCTATAGCATTTATCTTCTGAGTAGACGGACAACACTTATTTGTGTGACTCCTCATGCAGCCAAATTTAAAGCTCTCATGGAAAAATTTTAAAAAATAGTGAAGTTTGAGGCAGATCGAGCATTGTCTCTGTGTTACAAAAGCTACCTGTACATCTTAATTCAGCCAAAACCCCTCTGGTTCCCTTATGCATTGATTTCTATGGTTTCTTCATTCTATTAACAACAATTCACACAAAAAAAATTCTTTTAAGCCATTCCCTTGATGGTGGGTCCCAAATGGGCACTTTTTAAAATTGCTTTTCACCTCTGCAGAAGATTTAGTGGACACCAACTGCACATATACCAGAGTGATGTAGACTTCTCTGCAAAAAATTATATTAGACTCCCAGTGTAACTCTGCAATTTGTCTTTAATCTAAAAAAGACAAACAACACATATTTGTGCTTCAAGATCCATTTTACAGAATAAAAGAAAGGTTAAAAAGTCAGCATACCCACCTGCTGGTGGTAACTGTAAAATCATTACAACAGTGAATGCCACAAGATGACGTCCCAGCATCCGTGTGGTTGACAGTTACCTTCCACCCTGTCTATCACCTAGTTGACTTTATTTGATCCATGTCAGGGCTCTTGAAATCAAACTGGCTTAGGGCCGTCACTTTGTACACTGTCATCTTAAAGAAGACCACTTCAAAGTTTATTTACCACATAAAGCAAAAAGCATATTTCAGGTAATGTGCTTTTATTACCTGATTTTAGCCAAACTTATTCAAAATGTAAACTCCCAAAAAACTACAATGTTCATCTTTTTTGAAACCATCTGTTTTTCATATACTTTCTTTCTCAGTTCTGAGAGATACATCTTTGTCACCAAACAGCAACAACAGTCCCATTCAAAAACTCAGAAGACAAGCCTCTTTGGTCTTTGGCTTTTTTGTTTTAATGTAATTGTGTTTTTGATTTACTCTTATATAACAGGGAAATTTAATGGGCACAAAAAAAAACATAGAAAATAATAATTTAACATGACTACTTGATTAAATCTAAAAAACATTGTCGGCCAGATTACATCATATTTCTCAGAGTTCAGTGAGGGGGCAGAGATACCAGAGATGGTTCTTTGGCGGGCAGTTTGAGACCCCTGGTCTAATTGAATCAGGTGAACCCTCTTGGTATTTCAGAAAAACACATCAGGTACATTATGAGCCCATGTGGCCATGCCGCTTATCAAAAGCTATTTTAGTTGAAGATAAACAGACAGAAACAGGAGAAATGAGGTAAAGCAAATATATTTGAAATCATTTTTCAGGGGGCGTGTTATAAATGTACAAGAAGTTGTTCTCTCTGTCATATTTGATTGTGTTCCACCTCCTCATGATCAAATGACACATTATTAATAAAGTACTGCTGGTTCATGTCCAGATGTCTGCATATGAAAGATGAGATGAAAATCCTTCTGTTCACAAAGGGGACCAGCGTCTTCCTCAGCTTTTGCACCTTTTGATATTTTTTTACATACTCAAAAACTTTTAAAAAAGTGAGACTCTAACTTATAGCACTCATATCATTTACTAGCTGCAACAATCTCAATGTAACAGATGTATCTCTAACATTAGGAAAATAAGCTCAGTTCAGAGTGACTGACTTTTTGAATCTGGAGTCTAAATGTGCAAATGTTATACAAAGTGAACACATACAGACATGTTTGTAGTCCTTGATGGAAACCTTGTGTTTGGATGATTCAGCAACTGCATGGCATAAGTTTGTGATCTTACTAATAACCCAAGACTGACAATCATCTCACCCAGCTGGGCAGGATTAATCTCTTCATTGCACAGGTTTGGAGGGATGCTGGAGCAAAAATGACAGTGGCCCATGAAGGTGTCGCTGAGTCCATACCTAACATAAGGGAGGCGCTCTGAGCCTTCAGACATCCCATTTTCTACAGCAGCTTCTGAGGAGGTTTCAAAGGAAGAAAAAGAGCAGGGAATATATGGCTATCCTGTCCAGGATAAGGCTTTTTGCCGGTGTTGGTGGTGAATGTTCTAACTGCCTGGCAAGACGGGGTCAGAGACATGCCTCTGGATCTCCTGCATTTCTGTGGAGATCTCCAGGTGCTCAGGGAGGGAGGGGAAGCGTTGACTGCCACACATCAGTCCAGGAGGATCTTGAGTTGGGGCTAAGTCCAAAGATGGCAGAGGAGGTGGGTCAATCTCTGGAGACATAGACACAGTGTCGTCAGAGGCTACGGTGAGGTGGATCCCACTGGAGAGCGAGTCCTTGGATTTGTGCTTGAAGTCAGAGTCTGGACTCTGGAGAGGGCATGAGAGAGGGAGAGAGAGAGAGAGAGAGAAGGATTGAGCCCTGTATTTAGACTACCTTGTATTCTATTGTTTCAAAACACTGTATTTAGTGACCCCTAATCTGACCTCTGACCTTTTCAGAAACATAACCCCCAGCAGCATTTTAAAAGATAGGGAAATATCAGTGTATTTGCTCACACAGTAAAAGTGGGTTTTTGACATTAGGACAGAGACAGCTGGCTTTTGTTTCCTCATCCTCATGTTAGTGCTTCTGGAATCAGGAGGATGAGAACACAATTTTCTCTATGTCCTCAAATGCCTGTTGCACCTTAGCCCTGCTTTGACCAAAATCTGCAGCCCTCTACAGCCCTGACACTGACACCAAGCTCACCGTTGTGCGCACTCACAGACAAAACCATTAGACCTGTTTGCAGCCCATGATCCATTTGGGGTGTTAGTTAACATTTGATTATTCTTTCTAAGTAAAGCCATCTGTCTTTAACATTCATGCTAAGGTTTGGTCCATAAAAACACGCCCACAAGGCACATCTTCAGACAAACCCCTAACGGTCCGTGTCAGCTTTATTATGAGATTTTGTTTGTTCTAGTGGGATTTCTGTGGCAGGCATGAAATTATTTCATACATATCCAGAACTGGGTGATCACAAAGTATGATCACTATACCTGTAGAAGTGAGGCAGTGCTGTCTATCTTTACTGACTGGATTGGGGGAACAGTGTGGATTGTGGGTGCTCCCGTGCTGTACAAGGTGGTGGGGTGAGGCAGGTGAGGGCTTGGGGACACAGCGCTGTAGGCTGGAGGCACCGGGGCCATCTGCCTCTGGAGGAGCTGCAGGATCACATTAATGTCCGCTGTCATCCGGGTCTCCAGTCTGGATGAGAACAGAAAAAATAACAGTAAATATATATGACCCAAAGGACTACAGTGAAGTTGATCAGCTGTATCATCACTAAACCTGCTATCTCTAAAATGTCCACTAGTTCACTCTCTCCTTCTCTATAGAGAGTACCTCACTTCCTCAGACACATAAAGTATGTAGGCAGTTCTCAGAGCACACATTCATGTCTGACTTCACTAAAAGTACTTTCAATCTGTAGTTTAACTGCCCCTCCTCCTCAATCCTCTTTTTTTGTTGCATACCAGCAGAAGGTAATAACACCAAGCTCACAACCAACTGGGAATTGATATGCAAACACAGCAGTAGAGGGAGGAGCTTTAGAAGCATGACTCAGAGGCAAACACTGACTGCTGAGCAATCACAATGAAAAACATCATGTGACAAGGATTCAGTATCTGGGGGTATAGCTCAGTGGTAGAGCATTTGACTGCAGATCAAGAGGTCCCCGGTTCAAATCCGGGTGCCCCCTCTTTTCTGGTTACTCTCTCTGGTGGTTACTCACCTGTTCAACTGGGACTGCAGCAGCTCCAGCCTGGACTCTAGCTCACTGGGCCGGTCCTCAGCACAGGGTGGAGGGTGGAAACTGGCTCTGACTCGATTCTGGCTCTCTGAGAATTGGCTGGCTCTGCGGTCTGGCCAATAGCCATAAAGGCCTGACATGCTGATAGGGGCTGCTGCTAGGATGGAAAAAAAAACACTCTTCATGAGTGAATCACAACTGACAGTTTTGTTCATTTTGATAATGAACATCCTTTTTTTCTCATTACTATTTTTTACTAGTTTTGGTAAGATTTAAATTTCTAATCAATATGTCAGCTGCTTTTTCTTAACTTCCTTCATAGGTAATACTTGGGCTATAACCAGCTGAGGACCTTGTATTATACTGTTTCAAAACACTTCTTAGCCATTCATCAGAGCCAGTCTCAAAAATTCGAGGTCCTAGTTTTTGCAACAGGGGTAAAGACCCAAAGTATTTGTTTTTAAATGCAACAATAAAATGCCAAATTTACTTATGGCTATAAATGTCTACTGTCTTGTCAATTTTAGAAATATTTTTAAAATATAGCTAAAATAAAGCTCTTCTTTACTCTTCAAATTTTAACAACTAAAGGGCCTCTTCTTCATTCCACTTCTATATTTTTCTACATTAGGGCCCGTGTCCACTGATGACATTTACCCTTTTACTGGTATTGTCTATTTTCTGGAGGATGGTGGTGCCAAAAATGCACTTTGTGGACACAAGCCCCTAAATGTAACAAAAATATGTCAGTAAACATTCAGCTTATGGAAACTCATAAATTAATGAGCATCTTACAGCTATCTCTAAATATTGATTAGCATGCCTCATTTAGGGATAATCCAAACATGACAATTGAGGGAGGGAGGGCATGTTTACTTGTGTATGGTGGTCCTCCGAGGTCTACAGGTGGCCCTATCCCAGATGAGGGTCCACTGCATGGCAGGAGGTTGACCACTGCTGGAGGGTAATCTCTGGTGTCACCCCCTGGTGGGTACAGCTCCACCTTGCTGTGTCCCATCGGCTTCATCTCCTCATCGCTGGACTGTGAGCAGATACTAGGGCTACTGCAGAGGTCGTCCCAGTGGGATCCTGTCGTAGTCCGGTGGTGGTTTCCCATAGGGCAAGACTGATCAGGATATGAGTCTTCACGATCTGTACCATCTGTGCCATCAGGCAGAAAATAATAGTACCAGAGGATATTGCACAGAACACAAACAGAGAAATGTGTACAACCGAAAATTTCACTAACCTGGTCGGTTTCGTCGGCGCAGCGAGCTTCTGCGATGTCTGGTCCGGCGGTAGCCACAGTCAGAGTCCTTGCCCGGAGATGTCTGGTTTATTCTATCTGCCTGATACACATCAGCTTCAGTGATTTGGAAATATACACAAAACCTCACACTCTGTGAATGTGCATATATTTGAACTGTCGTCTTTGTGTGTAATTTGTGAAACAGATCAAACATGAGACACAGGCAAAGGAAAAATTAATCCAGTTACAGAAATTTACAAAAACAAATCGAGCAGGCATGGAGAAGAGCTTCCCATGGTTCCGTTTTTTAAAAACATGCATTTACTTTTCTTTTTTATGCTGGGTGGATATTTGAGTCATATGCAGCTTTCAAAAGGTTAATGAAGAGTAGGAAAAAAATGCTGACACACAAGCCTCCTACTTTTAAAACAAGAGCTGCCTGTTTTGTGATAAGCAACAGTTCCAGTTCAATACAAAAAAGACATTTCATATTTTTTAAGGCTAAGTAACTACTTCAAATATATAACATACACCAGAGAGGGATTATCTGAGAGGGTTTTTCCAGTTTACTATTCCCATTGATTTCTCCATCTCTGCCTTTTGGTATTTGAGCCAAAATTTGTGGCGTAGCAGTGAAAAGAAAAGAACAAAGACAGATAGTTCCAAAAGTTTCAAAAGTTAAGCTAACATACTGCCAGAAGACTACCATGACTTTTAGGGCAGGGTTTCTAGGTCTAAATCCATCTTCTGGTGGCACTCACATCTCGTAGGTTGAACGTGATCTCCAAGTTATTCCAGAACATGTCAGAGAAGTCAGGGTACATGTCCAGCACTTCAAGCAAGTCCTCTCTCAGGATTTTGTGAAGATCACAGTAGGTCAAAGCCCTGACATCACTACTCGATTTACCGGGCCTTCCATACAAATTGATGGGTTCACCGAAGATATCATTTTTCCCTATAAGAAAATAACAAGCAAAGAGAAGACAATGAGGGGAAAGAATGATTTGTCAATTAATGTTAGAGTGAGTGAACCATTGTAGGTTTAAGTGAAAATAGAATCATTTTAATGAAATTGGATCTAAGAGCAAAGCTGAAATACGGAGTTATAGGGTGCCAGTGATCTAAATAACACGTTTGCTCAACACAAATTGACTCTCTGAAACACATCGGACAAAGAAATGACCCATCCAGCCTGGATCTGAGTGCTGGGCCTATTGGTGATCAATACCACAATGGAATGGAAGTGGAGCCGTGCCCAAACACCTCTGGCACCACAACACAAAGTGAGTGTGTCTGTGTTTTGTGCACTGTGAGTTGTGGCTAATCGGAACAAAATAGGAAATGTATTTATAATGAGCTTTGGTGACTTTGGAAAAAACGTCAAGTTTGTAATCTCCAGTATGGTTTCAGCTCACCTAGTATCGCCACAACTACATCGTCCCTAAGGATCTCGATGGAGCCTCTAGAAATGAAATAGAGGGCAGAGAGGATGTCCCCGCTGTGGACCAAAGTGTCACCAGGAGGAGCATGGGTGGTCCTAAAGCGCATGGCCAGAGCACGCAGACAGCCTTTGTTGGCACCTCGAAAGGCTTTGCAGTGCTGCAGGAGGCTGCGGTTCAGATGGAGGCAGATGTCAGCTTGAAGACACTCAGGGAAACCCTTTAAAACCTGCAAGGATACACAGTGCACTGAGTCAATCCACACCTATGTGTCTTTTACCATTAAAACTCTGTGAATAAGACATAATAATAATCAATAAAAGTTAATTAAAAAAGAGAGTGGAGGTGAGAGAAGGAGAGCAATATGGCATGAAGGACAGTCGCTCCGAGTGATGATCTATTCTCACATTGAATTGGCAGGCATTAGCGCTGCACCCTGGTGCTGTTTGAAGCCCAAGCCTGAGTGACAACATGACGCACATCATCTCTCAAAGTCTCAACAGAAACAATCTTGTGTGGTGTGAAGTTGAAGGGGGCACCCAGATTTGAACTGGGGACCTCTTGATCTGCAGTCAAATGCTCTACCACTGAGCTATACCCCCCAATACACCTTACAATGAGCTGTGTATTTTCAAGTAGTGAATTAAATCCAAAATCTGTTTAAAATAGAGGTAAAATAAATGACCAAGATTGTGTTTTAACCCCAGTTAGTAACAAAAATGATATCTTGTGTTGCAGCACAGAAACCGTCTTTATGTGAGGTTACCTGAAGACAGTGAGGAAAAACTGTGTCAGCTTCTGCAGAGGCAAGGTGAACAAACCATGTAGGTCAAACTCTGACAATACTTGAAAATAACACTTTTTCTGGATTGTTTAAGGATGTTCTTTCAATAAGATATTTCCAGGATTTTTTGGACATGTGCTCTCATATGTCCGCACCATTGACTGTATATACTATGGACAACTTTGCTCCACCCTCTGCCAGTATACGGATTTAAAGCCGAATTGCTCTCAGTATTTCTGGGATTTTCTCCACTTCCTGGAACAACCACTTGCGCAGTAGCATTGTACACATTCAGAGGGAGAGTCACTGTGAAGATGCTCATCTCAAACAGCTTATCCCCCCGGATGAGCTACGCAATCATCATACGCCCATGGGCTGTATCAAGTGTCAATCATAGAAAACGTCAACCCCCTAATAACTTTAAAAAATTGAGCTGTACACAAAACAGAGCACTTGAGCATAAACCAGTCTTACAGTAACTACATGTCAACATCCCAAGCAGGGGAAGAAAATGTATATTCTGTGTAACAAATTTTTTGAAGTTTGTCCACAGCTCTATAAGAATTGCTGGAGGAGACAGGATTTATGACCTATACTGCAGCCCGTCAGCAGTGGGTGCTGTTCTCGTAGAGCCTTCACCCAGCGAGGAGGCAGACTCTGTCCATTCTATATAATCTATAGCACTTTATCTACTTGTTTACTTCCGTCTAGTGGCTCCTGTGGGATTGGGATTTCGGATATAGGAAGACCACATATGGTGATGCAAGAGAGGGGGCACCCGGATTTGAACCGGGGACCTCTTGATCTGCAGTCAAATGCTCTACCACTGAGCTATACCCCCAGACATGAGGTAAGTACAAAAGAGGACATCTTAAATTAAATGTTTTTGTGACAGAGTATTAAGTAACCTGTTTCAAGCTCCTCAGCCAACTATGTGTGTGTGAATGTCTCCATGACTCACAGCATTCATGTCGATGCCGTTGGTGTAGGACCAGGCGTGTTGGAAGTACTCTTCCAGCCTCTGTCTCAGGCCTCCAGGGATCTGATGGAAACGTATGAACTCTTTGACCCGCAGCATTTGGGTGTGGTACCGAGCCGTGCCAGAGTACAGCCTCTGAATGATAGCCGACACATTTCCAAAGATACTGGCGTACATCAGAGCTGCACAGATGACAGAAATACTCAAATCGTGATTCTGCAACTGAATTAATGCACAAGTTGACAATGAGACGTGACACTAAGGGATTGCAGTTCATGGAAATTCAAAAGAATGATTCAAAAAGCATTTTTTAAGTTGGTCATAATGAAACAGGCCTCTAAGAGTTCTTGTGAAACAGTCATTTCACAACAAATAGGTTGGCACAATTTTAAGGAATATGATTAATGTGGTCAAATTCGAAAGGATGTTGTTTGTGTGGCTATTTTTTAGGTATAACAACTGGTTTTGTTATTGTTGTCATAAACCAATACAAAATTCCTTTTGTTTGAAGAAACCACAACTCTGTATACGATCAAATACAAACAATGGCCCACCATGATTTAAGATACACACATGTTTCAGTGGCTTATACTGACAACATGACAGCAAAAGTTGCTGACTTATTATGCTGATATCACATTGGTACTTTTTAGTTTTGCAACAGTTTAATTGTACTAACATATATAGGGAATGGTGATGTACTTGAGAATATTTGGCACAGTAAAATACTGCCACAAGGATTTCGATCAAGCCATCTTAAAGTATAAAAAAAGAAAAGAAAAAGAAAATAACTCGTAAATAATGTGATGAAAATTTACAAAAGTAATAAATGGCTAATATAAAGTAATGAGTTTTTTTTTTATTATAGGTCAAAGTTAAATACAATTTTAGTTTGGTTCAGATCTTGATAAACATATCAACTAGAGTCTATTTTATGAAACAAAAATATTGAAAATATGATGGTGGGCTTTGAGGGTTTTCTGAACGTTGCTCATAATTTTTATATGACAAAAACATAGTGGATGTTACTCTCCTTGAACAGCTTGGCTTTGTGGTTATGTTTTTATTAGAGGCTGTTTTATAAAACAGCTTAGGAGTAGTTAACAATGCAAAGCCAACAAATTTAGCTCCATAAGGTGATGCCAAGTTTGGCTAAATAGCTCCTAAATGGACTGAAAGGATGTAGATTTTTGTCTCTTTTCAAGTTGGACTCATTCATAATTCATGACAAAGAGCTGATCCAAACCTTTTTTTGACGTTACTTTAGATTACCTTTAAATGATGATTGTTTTGTTTGTTTTGGAGCTCATCTTTAGGGCATTCCTTCTTTATACTCACAGCCTATAAGCATAACACAGATGGAGAAGATCTTCTCGGGGTTGGTGTTGGGTGAGACGTTTCCAAAACCCACACTGGTCAGGCTGCTGAAGGTGAAGTACAGGGCGGTAACATACTTGTCCTTGATGGAGGGTCCTGAGGCGGCGTCACTGTCATTGTACTGTTTACCAATTTGCTCAGCCAAGTTGTCCAGCCAGCCGATTTTCAGGGCTCCGATGCGGGCCGAGCCTGTACGCTCCACATTGCCGATGGCATACCAGATACAAGCCAGCCAGTGAGCGATGAGGGCAAAGGTGCACATGAGGAGGAAAAGGACCGCCGCTCCATATTCTGAATAACGGTCCAACTTTCTGGCCACTCGGACTAATCTTAGGAGTCTGGCAGTTTTCAGTAATCCAATCAGAGTAGTGGTCTGAGGCTGGAGGAGAGAGATCGCAGTGTTAAACTTTGAGAACTTAAGCTGCAGAAATAAAGTGCTTTGAGACTTAAGGAAGCAGGAAAGCAAGGTAGTGGAACAAAAAATAGATTCTGACCTGATACACTGCCTGAAATTAAGATCCACCCACCACACCAACTCACCAGTCTCAAAACCTTGAAACAAAGTCTAATACAGTCTTTTTAAGGAGGCAGTCATGATCAACTGGTTAGAGGATCTGAGTTTGACCAGTCAGCTGAAATGCAGCTTCTTCAAAATAGCAACGAGGATAAAACCTACATTTTTGTTAGGACTCAACATGTACAGATTTAGTTGTCTGCTGGGAGTGGTGAAGGATTTTAGTTCGTCTGGTCAGACTGATTAACTTCATTAAATCAAGCAGTTCAAAGTCAGATCATGTGATTGCTTTCATGAAACAGTAATATTTGTATGTCTCCCTTTCTTCCTCACCTCCTCAGACCCTGAGCGGAATATAAGCAGGTCAAATGGAATGGCAGCCACGATGTCAATGAGGAACCAGCCCTTGAAGTAGTGCTGTGCAATCCGGCCCGGATGGCTCACCACCTCATCATTGTGGTTGACATAGGTGGTCCTGAAGTTAATGAGAATATCCACGATGAACATGACGTCCACGACCAGATCTATCACGTTGAGAGGGTTGCAGGTGTAGCCACAGGCCTCTTCCACCTCATTGAGAAGAAAGGCGGCAGAGTACGGCGTGAAGATGGCGGTGTAGATGACCAGCAGCAGAATTATCCAGTCCCACACTGCTTTGAAGGGACTGTAGTGAAGGATGGTCCATTTGTGAATGCGTGGAGCCTGGAGCTTGTACTCCGGCAGCACATCAGCACCAAGAGACAACACCTGAGGAGAGAAGGACAGGATAGTTGGAATATTAATGATAGGGGGATGAAAGTGCAATCAGTAACTAGTGGGATCTAGTCCATTATTCAGATATGAAGAGAAGAGGATCTATTTTGAGGATATAGGAACATAGCACTACTTGAACTTCTGCATTATGGAAAAATATATACAAAGTCATTATGGATAAAAGTAAAAGGAGTGATTTTCATTTTTATTGAGTTCAAAGTTAATCTCACTTTTAATGATCATTTTTATTAACTTATCACAGTTTTTATGAGCAGGTTAAATCTTTTAGGAATTTTAATGATTCAGCAGATTCCAGATGAGGTTTAATATTCATGCACTTCACCGTGATTCACCCTCAACTTCTACTTTTCTCACACTCAGTAGTTATCAGGAAGGTCAATGCCACTGTGTAAAAGTTCAATGCAGTGTGTTGTTTCTGTTCAATAGTTGGTCTTGTAGGCAAAACACACACACATATCAACACACTGATAACTCATCAAAACAGGGTAACTAAATCATTCTTATTGACTATCTCTCACTTCACACTTGCACATTTGCACATTTTTGTTATTGCAGTATGGTAGTAGCAAGGACCTTCACATTTTTACAAATTAACACACAAAAACACACTAAAAAGAAAATACACAACTGTTAAATAACTCTGACTAATACACAACTTTTTAAATTTTTCATAACCTGTCAAGGTTGACTTAAATCTTGTCCATGATCACGACTGTTTCATGATAAAAGTGCAAAACACTTTGGGCTGTACAAAGTAGAAAGTGTTGAGGTTACCAGTAGGAACATGACCGCAATCTGATTTGTTTTGACTAGCACTGATTAAAGAATAGATCCTGCAACTAATTAATTAATGTTAAATTAACCAAAGAACCTGCAGATGTACCACAACAACAAACTCTAAAAGCCAGTCTTACACCTAGAAAGTTAGGGGCTGTTTTCAGCAATAAAAGAAGGACAAATTTGAGGTCCTGTATGAGACAAAAGGTGAGATACAAACTAGCAAAGTATATAAGAACAAAATACAGTGCAATATGATGCAATAAGATGGGGATATGATGTCATATAATACAAAACTGTGCGTTACAATTCAATACAGTGTGACGCAATATAATCTGACTACAAAAAAACAAAAACAAAACAGAAACAATATGACGCAAAACAAATCACAGTTTCATCTGACTGATCAACACATTACCCCAAAAAGATCCTCACAAAATCCGTCTGATCTGAACTTGTGGAATTTTAGGATCATAAGTTCAGACTCAATTTGTTCGACATTTATATTGCACCTGTAAACAAATCTTCATCCAGAGTCTATCTTCAAACGTTAACAAGCAGACTAACACGAAACAAGAAGTAAACAGTGAATGAGTCAGTTATTCAAGAGTCCAGATTTCACTGACCGGTAAGATCATGAGAGCCTCTTTATCCAGAGTTTCTTCCTGGTGTTCACCACAGCAGTACAGAATAAGATTCCTCCAAACCCTCTGCAGCCCTACCTGTCTGCTGTGCAGAGGCCACCTCATCTCCTGCATCCTCCCACCGCCAGAAAAGACTTTCATAACTACATGAATGTACAGACCGCTAAAACAACCTCCAACTCCCCCACTAACAGTCTCTGTGGAGCTACATCTGCTCTCCACTGACAATACACCAAGTCTCCCTTTGACTGAGGCCATGTGACCACTCCTATCAGCACGCTGGTCAATCATGCACCAGAATTAAGTACTGACATTGATTGGACGCCATGCAGAAGAGTGTTTTTAATTCATTCTTGTTAACTGCAAGGTCAGAGCTCTGTGTTGTTGATGTAACCGTCTGCTGGTGTGAAAACTCAGCCTGCTAACCAATTGTGCGTTAATGAAGCCCAGTGTTTGAAAACCAACAGGCTCAAAGCTCCTTATGCACTGTTGTCCCTCCATCTCCTCACAAAACCTCCACCAATATTTGAATTTTTTATTTGCATAATTATGGTCATAGTCACCATGACAAAAGAGGCTGGACTTGTTTGACCAGCAGCTGCAGTGCAGCAACAATCACAAGTGGACCCACGAGGCTAACATAGTAAAAATCTATTTCAACACATTTCCTTAAAGGCTACAGCCTGCTTCAGAATGACACGCCCCCACAGGTAAAAACAATGATGAGAAACAGTCCAAGAAAACTCTTCCTAAAAGAACAGTACCCTAAAACTAGTTTCGTGAACTAAAAAGTGGAAAGACAAAGTTTGTATTCACAGACAGGCTATTGCTTTCAGTCTTTCTCTGTGTTGTTGTGTTGACCATCATTGAGGGTAAAGTTTATGGATTTACTGTAAAACATTTTCTTTGATTCCTTCAGGCTGAACGGCCCACAGCATTTCTGACCCCAGAAAGTGAACAGATGTAAAATGACAACACAATAATGAGAACGTAAACACATGAGCAGAAGTTCATTCATCCAAGAAATGTTAAGTTATTGATGTCGTCCGCTCTGTTTCATAATGATGACCAGAGAACAACTCCCACCAGCAGTTCGCACGCTATGGCTGTCCTTCAGTCATTACGCTGAGCTCATAATTAACATGGCAGATTAGAGATTAGAGTTTTACACATGTATTAATATCAACTATAATGAAATAAAGAAGCAGTGTGCATGAGGAAAGCAGGAAAAGGCTGACATTATTATAATATTCACTTTAATATCACAGACACGGCTGTGCCAAGTGATAAACCTCAATTAAAACAAACTAACCCAACTTTTGTGCACAATTTGTAATAAAATCAAATTACAAAGTGTTTTTTGTTTGTTTTTAAATGAAAGTTGTCTTAATCATTTTTAAACATGAAATTTAACTCTTAACTCTTAGTCCTGTCTCAATCAGAATTTAACAGAAACATAAAATCTCTTTCAGCACTCTCACACTCTCAATAAACCCACAATAAGGGTCACAAAAGGTTCAAAAAGCACATAAACGCAAGAGTTCAGTGCAAAAAGAGGCCCTGTCACAGCATTGGCTCAGCCTGGATAAAGATGACTCCTCTCACCTGTGAAGGAAGAGGGGGCAAGGATGAAAGCAAAGGATGGGAGGAAGAGAGGAGAAAAGGCTAACTGAAAAGAAAAGGAAAGGTTTTAGGAGGACACCAGGGTGCCTGAGACAGAGCCAGTCTAGTAAGGCTACTTGGAGTACTCACAGGCCGAAGTTTATGTTTAAAGCTCATGCTGAAGCACACAACCCAGAGGGCCAACACGGGAGGACGACTAAGAGACAACCAGGCAGCCCCATCCATCAGTGCGTCCCTCCCTCTTTCTCTCTCTCTCTCTCTCTCTCTCTCCTGCAGCCTCGCTCATCCTCCTCCCCGTGTGTGGCCCGGCCCTCACCACGGGATCCGCTTTCAAACAGAGGGAGTGAAAAATCAACTGGCTCTGAGGATCACGCCTCCAACAGAGCAACAGAGGAAAGTCAGAGCTGGTCTTTTGCTGGATTTGACAAAAGACAGTTTGACTTTTTACAGGTAGGAACAGGAAGTTTTGGTGGGAACAAAATACACATCTGAGGGCACTTATCCTGGCAAACCTTTATGTCTATCATGCAAAGTTATGGCTGATCTCTAACCACTTATCGGCACAAGAGTATTGTTTCACTTTTTAAACAACAAACACTTAAATTGTGCACACACTCGTATCCGCAAATGTAATTATTCTTGTTGTTATTCTTAAAAACATGAAATTCTGCTTTATATTTCCAGTTTTTCTCCAGTCCCATGTAATATATTCATTTACCGCCAGGGGCCGCCACACATACACACTCCTTCTCTTCCAACTACATACATGTATATACACACACACACACAACGAGTTCCAGCTCACCGAGGCTTTCTGCAGTTACCAGTCTTTTATGATCAATCTCACTCTGTGCCCCATGTTACGCAGACAGATCAATACACACAATGATCAATGACAACCATCATTTCCCTTCCTGTAAGGTGCCAATCGAAATCCAATTACGAAGGCCGAATAATAAAACATTTATTGTATAACCAAAGGTATCCAAAAGAGGCTCATAAATTTTGCTACAGGTACAAAAAAATGTTTATTACGAAGAGAAAATATTGTTTGTGTGTTTATTGAACAGCTAAAGTTTGTAGCAGCAGTTGACCTCAGAGCTGACCTGCAGGGTTTGACATTAGACCTTTGACTATGATACTGCTATAAGTCGATTTAAACCCTTCCACCAGGACCAAACCCTCTCAAAAGGAAGTTACAGAGTGATTCGGCAAGCTCAGCTGGAGATTCGTCACCAGTTTGAGAGCATGGCCGCTGCCCTCCACGTCCATTAGCTTCAAAGGCCAAGGTCACTTGTAGCATCAAGCCGCTCAATAACCTCACAGCTGTCGCCTTTTTTTCACTCGTTTCATAACTGCATCTCTTCACTTCCACAGACAGCTCCATAGCTTTGGTCCCTGTGCACACACCTATATAAGTACTCAGTTCATGACATTTTGAGGAGAGTCTAGAGTTGGTTGACTGTGAGAGATTTTTTTTATCAGATTTATGTGTTTAACATAAATGATTCTTTTCCAGAGTGGTGTATAATGTATGTGCAGTATGCTAAATAAAATCACAAATAAAGATTTCATCATAAAATGTTTGAAATAGTCGCTGAAAAAGTGCAAGCATCTCACCCACTTTCTTGTGCCGGACTAAACTGAGAAAGACTGAGATTTCTAACAGCAGGAGGCATGCCAGAGACAGATAAATGGAAAAAAATATATATTTTTCTTCCTAAATTTAGTTTCTAAAGATCTTACACCAGGACAGACAAACCCTCCACTCTCATGCTAAAACTAAAAAGGCACTCTGTATCCACCCAAACTTTACCAGACATCAGAAAAGTAAATATAGGAAGTGTTCTGTCAGGCCTGAGAGGACTTCTGTTCATGCTGCCAGTTTTTTTTCCACAGCCTCAGAAGCCATGCTGCTTTCACACTGTGCCCCAAGTCACAGCCGGCTGTTGATACCACTCTCACTCCTGGTGTGAAACAGCGAGAGCTCACTGCCAGCAAGGCAGCTTGTTCAGTCCTTAAAGCAGTCACGTTTGCATAATGCAAATGTGAAAGTAAATTCTGAATGAAACAACCAACTTACTAACAGTAATATGGTTTACAATCAGAGGCCTTACAACCACTGCATTACAAGTACAAGTATTCATGGAAGTTTTGAGGTATATTGCGCGTAACAGTATCAATAACGATATCAGATTTTCACCTCATAATAGTTGTGGCCAAAAATATATATATATAATAACAATGTTATAATGCTAATTTGGAAAATTTAATGACTAAAAATTTAAATCAAAAAAAGCAAACAAGGCAGGAGCAACACACGACCTTGTAAATCTTAGGAAAACAATGCTTTTATTTTGAAGTATTATCCTAATTAAAAAAAAAAACAGAAGGTACACAAGCTGTAACATTTTTAATTCACAGTAGGTCTTTGAATGTCAGTTTTTTAAAGTGTCTCATCATCTCAAAGAGTACATGAGAGCTGCTGCACGCTAGCTGCCGCTGCTTCTGTTTAGTCTTTCCCCCTTTGAGAACTTCTTGCAGCGAGTGATCAAAAACCTCTGAAATCGATAACAGAGTATCTAAATGATCAACTAAAGCAACCAAAACAGTCAGTGCACAGACTTATTATTCTGTTATAGTCATTTTTTATATAAATAATAACAGTCTTCAGGGTGAAAGTGTCAGACAAAGGGATAAACAAAGAGATTAATACTCTTGTGAATAAGCCTCTTTTTAAAATTTCCACTGAAAAGATCCTTGACATCTTTTGCCATTTACCAATTAACACGAATAAGACATTTGTTAAAAAAATCTTACACATGTAGAAGACAAAATAAGTAAAGAGATTAGAAGTACGGCTTTGTCAAAAAAAACTCAGCAAACTGAAACTGACTCCCAAAAGCTTTCAGAGAATAATTTGCCTTTTATGCTTTTAAACTGTTGTGCTGTTTCAGGTCAAATAGGCCAAATATCCATAAAACACTCGCCTGTATCAGCTTGTATCCAGATTTTCTGTAAATCAGCATCATTTGCTCCTTGGTTGACACCCCATCTTTTCACCAAGTTTTGTTTATAAATCCGAACGCAGGTTTTTCAGTTGCCCTGCTGTGTAACGAACTAACTGAAAGACAAAACAGATGAACTGGGACAAACCCTCCAGGCTAGTAAGAAAGAAAGTCAACTGCCCTCTGTGGAAACCCCTGTGGTAAACTAGGTTAATGTGAGGTACCGAGGGAGTCCCAAAATGTCCACTCAAATTAGCACAAAACATCCAAACAAGAGAAATCTTCTAAAATTATCTTTAGTATCTTTTAGAATTAAAAATGATAAGGCCATCAATGTACTGAGCACCCTTCGTTCACTGTGCGTCAGATCCCAGTATACAGTAGGAATGAGTGGTGTGAGAAGAGGTGGCTGATGAGTGTGTGCTCTGCTGCTGATGCCATAGATGTCACACCTCAGGTGAGACTATTCTTTCACACTTTCACCCTGTGACTGCAGATGTCTTATAGCATCTTCACCGAGCCAGAAGCAACAACCATTTATAGAAATCTATGAACTGTAATTGTGCAGAGGCGATGACAGGATCTATGTGCAAGCAGGCCAACAACAAAAAATGGCCAGAAACTTAATGTATCAAACAGAGTGACAGGAGAAGTAACAGGACACAACTGACAGTCATATGAAAACTCAAGAACTCAGACACTTCACCACCAAATCACTGCTCAAGATGAGGTTTTGAAAATGTGCTGCCTCTATTCTTTCACAGAGATGGAGAAGGACTCTCCTTACCTGTGTGACCTGAGTGACTTTCTCCGTGACATTCTGGGTTCGGTCTTTAATCTTGCTCGGTGCAATGATTTCAATCTCAGTGGGTGAGGGAGGTCTCACACGGTCCGAGCCAAAGGTGAGAGTGACCTGAGGGATGCGGCCGATGGTCCTGTGTCTCATTAAGTCTGAGTCTGATGTGGAGTTCAGGGCGCTTGGCTTCAGGTCTGGAGCAAAGAACATTAGTGATTACAAATGAAACACGGGTCAAATATGGTTCAGTAATAAACACCAGAATTCACCTCATGACATTATAGGAAAAGAGTTAAATAGATTGATTTAAAATTGCATTGATGCTGAATATGTGTATTTCTTTTGTATTGTTGAATGCAGTTTAAAACTCATATTTCTTTGTTTTTCTTTGCTTCAAAGATTTTAAACCCAAATCCCATTGCCAAATGCTGTATTCTTTGCTGAACATTTTGAAAACTTTCAAACTAAGAGGAAGGCAATAATGGAAAACTGGAAATTCAAAATATTTTAGCCACAATATGATTCATGTTGAATTGATAGAAATATTAACATGAATAATAAAAACACAAATGAGAAGTGAGTTAGCTCTGTCAGTGGAGCTGGCACTGCCATGCACTGGGGCTTCAGTCCTGTTTGCACAGAGTGAGGAATCGATTCCTGGTTCCGACAGTGTTTGGTGTATGTCAACTCCCTTCTCTCTCTCTCTTCTGTCTCTCTCTCAAGCTGCTCTATTAATGAAAGCCGTAAAATCCCAAAAGTAATAATAATAATCTGCTTACATTCAGTATCTGTACCATTTATCCAATTAAGGGTAGCTGGGGCTGAACCCAATCCCAGCTGTCAGGAGGTGATAATAGGTAAACCAGTCTATCACAGGGCCAGCATAGAGACAGACAACCAGACTCACACTTTCAGACAATCTAGAGGGACCATTTAACCCACCAAGCATGTCTTTAGACCACGGCTTACCCTTTGACCTCAGGGAACCTGCAAGAACATGCAACTTAACTAAAAAAAGGCCGGTGCTGGATTTAGATCCAGGAACCTGCCTGCTATGAAGCAATAGAACCGACCACTGCTCCACCAATGTGCCCTCCTGTCAAAGTGAACAAGTTTATATGTACCAAAATATACAGCTAATGTAACCCATATGAAATTCATGACCTTTTATATATTGTAAGAGGTTTTGTTTGATTAATGTAAACATTGCATTCATTTTGTATGATATCTCCAACACAGCTTCATTAATCCACTGTGGAACAGAAAACTCCCTTTGACACACTCGCAGTGTCCCAGTCAGACACACTCACTGCTGTTGGGTCGAGGGTCCCCAGGTCGACTGTTCCACTCTGCCCTCATGCCATCTATGTCATCCAGCGAGGAAGCGCGTCGTAGGCTGCGCACACTGTCCCGAGAACAGCTCCGGGGTAACGCCCCCCTGGGGAAGGTGATGCCAGGGTCCAGCCTGTCTGTCAGCAGGGAGCGTTGCTTGCAAGAGGACTGGGCTGCAGGGCAGGGGGGGTCGCAGTCCTGTTCTATTAGAGCCTCCGTCTCAGACTGCATGCAGCTCTCCTTCGACGGGATCCGAAACTCTTTGAGAGGGACCTCCTCGCTGTTAGGCTGTAGAGAAACAGAGGTAGGAAACCATTCTTTGAGATGACAACACAAAAACTACATGAAAACAGATGAATGTTTCAGTCCTGCCAAAGAGGTCCAACATTTACAGCAGAGGGACTTAGTCCAGGGTTCCACAGTCAGGTATGGAGACTGTCAGGAAATACTTCACTCATCAAAACAACAACGAAGGTTAAGCAGAAGCGAGGGGATTTTCTGAGGAGACAAAGATGAACTCAACAATGGGAAATTTCTTCCTCCTTCTTTCCTTTGGTGTGTATCAAACTGAGACACCAGTCCCAGAATTTTAAACAAGTCCCTCTGCTATTTCAGGCAGCCGACAGGTGAGGCTGCACAGCACCAATTCAAAGCGTGGAATTTTTTATGTGAAAAGCCAACACCAAAACAGTTTTTTCATCTGGTTTCAGCATGAAAGCATTCATGTTTACAGAGCTTCATGCATGTATTAAGAACAGTTAGGTCAAGTGACTGCTATATGTCATGCAAATGTATTTCTGGTATCTTATTTAAGTTATTAATAGGATATTTGAGGAGAGGAGGCTTTCTAAAACTGCTCTACTTTCTGCAAAGCATTTTTACAGCAGTTCTTTCATGCTCTCTGTAACTGCACAGGTATTTCTCTGTAAACTGTTCTCAGTCACACCATATAATCAACCACACACTGTTCTCTGAGTGAAGAGGGAACAAAATGGAAGAACAATGCAGTTCCATGTTGGTTTAGAGGTTTTTTTTTTTTTACCACAGCTCACCTGCAGGTAGTCCACTACCACCCCTTCAAACTGATCTTTGGAAATTGAGGCTCGCCTCATGGAGCGCAGCACTGGCAGTCTCATTTTCAACCTGCGATTCTGACCTGAAGAGGAAAAAGACGATGTCATCAAAACTACAACTGCAACACGATAAATGATCACAAAAGAAAAAAAACACCTCAGTGTTTTTTCACCTCAGTGTTTGTGTAAATACTAACTGCTGCCTGAAAACGTCTGTCTATCACATCCATAACTGGAAGCTAGATCTCATATTGATTGATATTTAAAATGTCAATATTGACCACTATGCTGACACGAGCCTGGGCAAAACACTGACAGTAGTTTTAAGTATTAATAATAATAACGTGTCAACAAAAACAACATGTTCCCTTAATGCTTGGCTTGTTTAAATCGACTGTATATCACGCAAATTATGTTTAAGAGCAGTGTTTACAGTAAATCCATCCTTGGGCGACTCTCTGTCTGAGGCTTGACTTCTTCAGAGAACGATCCACCAGCTCCTGGAAGTCGAGGATGAACATGATGACAACACCTTCCTCGTTTTTTACAGGGACAATGTCCACCAGACACGGCCTGCATGTCCCTTCAGGTACAGAAAGACAAAGAGATGGAGGTAGATTTAAAACAGGGGGCACCCGGATTTGAACCGGGGACCTCTTGATCTGCAGTCAAATGCTCTACCACTGAGCTATACCCCCTACATCCATGCTTCCTTTGTGTGATCTTATATTCTTCACAAGGTCATGCTTTTAACTAAAGTCATGAAGGTAGGAATAAGGGTACAAGGAGAGAAAACAGAGGAGTGATGAGGATCAAAGCTTAAATAGTCTAAATAAGCTGACTTCCGACAGGACTAACCTCACTCTGCAATCAGAGTGGTCTAAAAATAGAAACAGGGGAGAGGGAGGATCACACAAACACATGCCATACGTCACACACATTGAGTGCCTGCTTTTACTTCCATTCACACTTCCACTCTGACAGGAATCCTGTGTGAGGCCAAAGTAAAAACAGATCAGTCTGTAAAAACAGCTGATTTGTTCTGAATATATTGAATATATGTTGGGGTCCAATCACCAAATGATGCAAACTATTCTACCTATAACCTTTCTGGAGCCACAGTTCTGTGCTTCATGTGGTTGCAGCTTTAAGAGCAAGACTAGGAGAGAGGATTAAGTAAAGAAAACCAGCAGAGACAAACAAATGTGGCTCATTAGAAACCGGTCTCAAGCAAAGATCAACAATCCTGAGCCTGGTCTCAAAAGAGACGTCGCTCAGTGAGAACAGCCCAGGCCCTGATTTAAACCCTGGTTATAAAAGCCACAATTTCAATAAAGCATGGCAGGTTACTGTAAGTGGTCCCCACACACTGTAGCCCGATATTAAAGTTATTTTTCTTCCTGATCAGTGGGGTTCTCTGTACTTGTTATGAAAGTCTTTCATTAGAGGAAGAAACTGGATGTTTTTGTCTCTGTACAGGTTTATGATGGCAAACAGGCTCACAGAGGTTGTATGAAACCCCTTTGTTTCTCTATACTTCGGGGATAAACAAAATTCTTCCTCTCTTACCTTCCTTAGCATAGTACAGGATCTCCACCTTGCGCTCTTCAGAGCCAAGCAGAGCCTGTGCCAGTTGAGAAAGGGCACTCTTCATGGTACCGGGACCCACCAAGAACTGACATGTACAGGGCTGCTGCACGATCTCTGCCCTAGTGAAGCCAAACATTCGACAGAAGCCTTCATTGCAGTAGATGATGCCACAGTTCTTCACCTGGGCATTAGCGATAAGGAACTTGCGATCTGAAAGGTAGAAGATGTTCATTGTCATTTAAACTGTTTGCTAATTCATGTCAATTTTGATAATTCATGTCAAAGGTCATTACAATTTCAGAAACTATGGAAACCTCTCCTTAAAGCTCCTGTGAGGAATTTTTCATGTGCACAGAGCAGTCTTTCCTATTTTCTACATATGCAATTGGGGTCTTTTGATAAAAAAAACATATCATTCTGACCTTTGACAGTCAAATGTTTCATTTATTAAGAGTACTTTATGTGGAAAATGTTAAAGCAGGGCTCACACCATATTCAGACAACGATAAAAACAATTGTCTAACTTGTCCCTGATGGGCTTGTTTGCTTTTGCAGATCATAAAACAGCATCATCATGATTTCAATCCATTTAATCAACATCAATAAACTCTCTACAAGAGCTCCAATTTTGCAGAGTTGCAGAACATTGCTGTTACATTTGTATTAATGATGAAATAAAGAAGTAAGTGTCAGAAAACATGTTCAGATCCACAGGCTTCTGCAGAGGTGAAAAGTGATTCCCAATAAAAGCTAAGGAGCCTGTTGTCTGCTTTTCCTTATTTTGACAAACAGCACACCAAAAAGGAGGTTAAATTGAGGAAGATTTACATTTATGGGGCTAGCTAGGCAAACCACTTCAAAATAAACCATGGAGTCTACCTTTCTACAACCCCTATTATGTAATTGAATGAAAGAATCACCTATTTCAGTTTAAGTTATTTCATCTTGTACACTTCAGTTTACATCCAATTTACATCCTTCATAACATCAATTTTTTATACGGACTTTAAATGTTTAAGTACCAGCATTTAATTTTTGGAAGAATGTGTCTAAACATACCTTATCGAAGTAAAAACATAAGTCAATCATCAAATAGTGTAAAGGTTAAACTCAGACTGATTTAACCAACTACCCTTTAGTACAGATGCTTCAAATAATCTGCATGGCTCTGAACTCAACACTCAACAATCGGCTGAAGTGGAACTGATTAAGTCCGTTTTTCCTTGGTGCTAATGCTATTAGTGTCACAATTTCTCCTGAGGGACTGAGGAGGAGCAGGTGGGGACTTAAAGATGAGAGCTTTACAGCGTCACACCTGCTCTCATGAAAATTGTGGGAAATTAAAGTTGTTAGGATCTGCCCAGATTGGACAATAAGATTTAACCAAACACTTTTGATTGTTTTTTGTTTGTTTGTTTGTTTGTTTGTTTTTTACGGTAAAAAAAAAATTCATTAAATCTGATAATTGTTTATATGTTTTCATTTCTATTTATACTTGATTATGTAGGCCTGTTCATTCATTTTTTGGTTTGTATGGATCAGGATATCTTTTGATCTGAATATATTTCCAAGTGCAGAAAATATCGATTAGCTTTTGAATGATAATTAAAGATATAGCAGTGGTGAATTACTTTCACATGTATTTTCCACAGACTTTTTACTCAATTATGTACATGTCACATATTGTACATATGCATATTCTAACCTCAGTTGCTTGCTTTGAAATGTCTGCTTCATAGAAACTAAAAACTGGTGAGTTACTGCACTGATTGGATTTTCATACTATGCTATTACACCTGCTGTTACAGTGTATGGTAGAAACCGGATCAAAGTCCTCAATTTTCCCGCTGAACAATTTGATACTGATTACCACTGAGTAACTCACATTCAAGACCATTTAAAAGCTTGTGCACACTTGAACACTGTTGCATACATGGCGGAGGCCTTAACAGTCCCTTTGCCAAAAGACTCTCCACCATAAAGGTGAACAAGGCTGGATTTGTTTATGTGCTGCTAATGTAAGAGTTCAATGAGCTAAATGAAAAGCACATACATATTCTCCACAGCCTCTGACCTTTTTATCATACTGTGGTGAACTGGGTTAAACAGCTCACCCTGTTTACAGGCTGCACAGCTGAGAGGAGGGGACTCACTCAGCTCTCCTCTCTAAAATAAATGGTTTGAGCCCCTCTGATGGAAAGCACATCCAGTCCAAAGTCATTATCTGGGACCCAGAGCGGAAACACTCATCGTCACAGGGTTGCTTAGCAGCACTGCTGTCTGTGGCACGTGCATTCACCTGGTCCTACATGTACATGTTGTTGCATGTGCACAAATATACACATACAGCATAGACCTTATATAATCTCTTAAAGGTGCTTGATAGTTTTAGGAATTATCAATCCCTGATATAATCAAACTCTTTGGAAGTTTCCATCAATCAGATATTTTTCTCTGGTTGGCATTTGATCAGAATCTGGGCTGATATACACTATCGGGATTGGTCCTCAGTGAGGTAGACACAGGTTCTCAAAAACAGTCTAGAAAGAAGTGGGACACAAATTATTCAAATCTTTTTAGATAATATAATGAATTAACAAGTAAGTAAATGGCTTGTGTTTGATTTATGGAGCTTAGACTGACCACAATGAGTCAAAGGCAGACATCTGTGTTTTATCACAAGCTGGAATGGTTGCAGAAAAAAAAGATTTATTTTTCCATTACAGCTGGTGGAACATATGAGCTAATGGAACATAATGTAAGGCATCAGGTGTGCAGTTACATGCAAACACATTTGCAGGTGCACCAACGGTTTAATAGAATGGAAGACAAACTATACTGCACTATTCTTACTTTCGTTTATGCACCTGTTTCGAGCTGCCAGGGCTGCACATAAAATTTGCATTTTCGTTTAACATGCAAAAACCCCCCAGGCTGAAAAAGTAAGCTGTTTTAGCGGATTTTATAAGGGCACATTCAGCCGTTTTTGTCCTCGTCGGTGAGTGTTTTATTGCCTGGAAACCAACTCGCAGCTCGTCAAAACTTATTTTATATAATGCGCACTTACTTTGCTCGTCGAATTTCCTGATGATAGTGTCCAGGTAGGTGTTCTGGAGCGCAACATGACCGCGTCTCACAGGCATTTTGGAGCTGAGTAAATACACTTCTCCGACACATGTACCGCTTTTTGAAAAAAATAAACACAACAGAATAGAGATACGGAAAAGTATCAGAGTCCTCTTGAAGGAAAAGTGTCAGAGGCAGGTTTCTTTTCCCTCTGATTCCGATGATGGTGATGGTGAGGGATGAAGCGCAGCAGGATGATGGAGAGGGGAGATCTGGTTGCCAGGGCGATAACACAAGCAGGATGGTGCACGCGGATTGTATTATGGGGGAAAAAAGTAGATGAAGACGTGAAAGCCACGTGCGCCAACACTTAACCGTTTAAAAAAAAAACCATTATATTATCATTTTGTTTTCCCCGCATTCAAATTAACCTGTCAGAGGAGTGAAAGTTCCAAACAAGCGTTGAATCTCTGAGTTTGTCCTTAGGTCGCGGTCTCTCCCTCAAGTCTGAACACGGTAAACTGAGGGCGACGAGGAAGAGGCTGCTGTTATCCACATATCCTGGATCCACTGACCCCTCCACCGCCCCCCTGGCTTGTCAGGAGCAGCTGTAGGCAGCCTCAAGTCAGTGTGAGTGAACCAGGACGAAGGCGGAAATATATGAAACACTTTCAAATTAAAAGACAAGAAGCTATTTTTTTATATTCCATTTTATTTTATTTTATCGGTTTCGACTTATCCAAATAGGCTAATTCAGCTGTCCTAAATTACAAAACTGATTGGCCCATTACTTCCAAAGATTCAGCCTTGTTGTCCAAAAAAGGCTTGGAAACAAAGGCTGTGTCCGAAATGACCCCTAACCCCTATATAGGTGACTAAATGGGGGTTAGGGCCTTTTGAGGGGTGTCTGAAACCTCAGTTATCAATTCCGGTGCCCTATATAGGCGACTCAAAATTTCCCATAAAGCACTGCAAAATGTAGTGACCATCCGATGGTCACTCAATGGTGGCAGGCATCCCGTCATGCATTGCGTCTTGCCATGTAGTGTCTGAAACCTCTGGTAATTGAGTACACTACATAGTTAACTATATAGTAAAACCCCATATGGGGCTTAGGAGCTAGGGTGATTCAATTCGGACACAGCCTGAATCTACATTTCTTCAAGTGACAGTGTCTGAAATGAATCACTCAATCCCTAACCCCTAACCCCCATATGGGGTTTCACTATAGCTGACTATGTAGTGAGCTCAATCCTCGGAGGTTTCGGACACTACATGGCATGACGCAATGCATGAAGGGATGCCAACCACCAGTGAGTGACCATCGGATGGTCACTACATTTTGCAATGCTCTATGGGAAATTTGGAGCTGCCTATATGGGGCATTGGAGTTGATCACTCGGGTTTCGGACACCCCTCAAAATGGCGCTAACCCCTGTATAGTCCCCTATATAGGGGTTAGGGATCCATTTCAGTCACAGCCCTGGTTTTCATCCATCTATAGTAGCTGAAAAGGACAAAATAATCCATCCAAGTTCTAGCTCCACTGATTGCGGACCACTGCTGAGAAAGCACAGTCACCCCTGGTTTTCAGTCTAGCCCTGGACACCACAAAAAGCACTAGATCAGCATGTCTCAAAGACATTGGGACCAGAGACAGCTGGGGTGCAGATCATTTAGAGATTTAAAACAAGCACAATCTTAAAATCAATCCTAAAGTGATAATAAAAACATAAGAACTGATTGGGAAATCTAAGGGAAGAGTCACACATGTAGAGTTGTCAAAGCACCAGTGAAGAGTTTTTTTTTTTACATTAATAACTGAAGTTAATACTGATGCCTTCACACATTAAAAGGCAAACCAGGCCACCAGTGACGAGACTGACAACTTTTACAAGGGAATCTTTTATGACTGAAACCAGAATTAGAGGGTAGGTGTCAGCTGAGCAGCTGAAGACACAGCCCTGGTTTTACAATTTACACATAAAAAATCAACAATAAATGACACATTTGAGGGTTAGAAGTCAGTCAGATTAGACTTTATTGTCAAAAGTGATGACTTTAATATGCAGGGGAGAGGGTTAGTAGAGGCTGCTTTATCCATGGGAGGTGCAAAAGTTGACACAAACCAAAACTTCGTCACTGGACCTTTAATAACCAATATACAAAGAGACCAAGAGCTGATATGTTAGTTTTTTTAATCAGTTGGGATTTACAGATTTAGTGTGGCCTCAGTTTTTCTGTCCTGGCTTACTGAAACAAGATGTTTTATTTTGAAAATCTGTGTCCTGCAGCTCAGTTTGTTTCTACTGGTGACTTGATAATAGTGTGACACTGACAGAGTGCAGACCCCCGATCAGTCTACTTTGCCTCACTCCACACCACCAAGTCCCAGAGCTCAAAATAGCAGCATCTTCTCTTTTTCCAGCTGCCATCAAATTTATGGAATATTATGTTAATCTAAATACGTGATAAGCTTTAAAATGGCACTCTTTGATGTGTTCTGTTTTGTGTGCCTGAGTGTCCTGTCCTGACTTTCAGTTAAGTCAGTACCTCTGGTTTGTCTATTACAGCTGCTTCTTTTAGTGTTTTATAGACAAATTTTGCCAGTACCAAAAACAAAATGTCCTGCTGAACTCAATGACTACAGACCAGTGGCCCTCACTTCACACATCATGAAAACCCTGGAGCGGCTGATTCTACGCCTTCTGAGGTCTGAGGTCAAAGACAAACTAGACTCCCTGCAGTTTGCATACAAAGAACACATTGGAGTGGATGATGCTGTCCTCTACATGCTTCACCATGCCCTGTCTCATCTGGAGGAACCTGGGGTTTATGTGAGGATCATGTTCTTCAACTTTTCAAGTGCATTCAACACCATCCAACCCACCATACTCAAAGACAAGCTCACAGAGATGGGAGTGGATCCTCCATGTGTTTCCTGGATCACAGATTACCTGACAGGAAGGCAACAGTTTGTCAGGCTAGGGAACTGTGTTTCTGGGACATTAATGAGCAGTACAGGGGCTCCACAAAGGACAGTGCTGGTGCCATTACTGTTCACACTGTACACGTCAGACTTGAAATAAAGTACTGAGTCCTGCCACATCCAGAAATACTCAGATGACACCGCTATTGTGGCATGTATCAGAAATGGACAAGAAGCTGAATACAGAGATCTAATAAGAGCCTTCAGTGACTGGAGTCACAAAAACTGCCTCCTCCTCAACACCTCAAAGGCAAAGGAGATGGTCATAGACTTCCGTAGATCCAAACCCCCTCTTCAGCCAGTGAACACCTGTGGAGTGGACATCGAAGTGGTGAGATCATATAAATACCGAGGTGTACATCTGGATAATAAGTTGGACTGGTCTAAGAATATAGACTTCATCTACAGAAAGGGGCAAAGACGCCTTTTTTGCCTGAGAAGACCCCAATCAGTAGACATCTGTAGTAAGACGCTGCAGATGTTTTATCACTCTGTTGTGGCAAGTGTTCTGTTCTACACTGCAGTCTGCTGGGGAGGAAGCATCAAACACAAAGATGCAAGACGTCTGAACAAACTGGTGAAGAAAGCTGGCTCTGTGGTAGGACTGAAGCTGGACTCAGTGGAGGATGTGGTGGAGAGATCTACACTGAGGAAGGTGGAGACTATTCTAAAGAACATGGATCACCCACTTCACAACACCTTGATGGACCAAAGGGCCAATGGTGGTGGATGGCTCCTCTCTCTTCGCTGCAGGACAAAAAGATTTAGAAGATCTTTTGTACCAACAGCCATCAGGCTTTATACCTCTTATGTAAATAATAGATAACTTTTAGAGACATATTATGTGAGACAACAGACAATTGAATTTTCCTTCGGGGATCAATAAAGTTCTTCTTATTCTTATTCTGAAATGAAGAAAAGGAAGGGCTTTCAAAAGCAGAGACAGGGTTGGCATTTTGAACCACATCTACCTGATGAGCCTGATAAGTGCTACTCAACCCGGTTAATTATGAATAAGAAAGGTCAAAAACAAAGCTGTGAAGTCAAATGAGGAGACAACCAGTGCTGGTTTTACAGGCAGATAAAGCCAAACACAGCAATAAACCCTGTCCTTAATCTGGGGTACAAATGGGATCAATTTAGATTTTCGAAAAACAAAACCAGCTAATCCAGCTTTAACAACCTGAGTTTTGTTTGAGGATTTGTTTCTTATACAAAGACTGAATCTTTTCCCTGAGAACCTGGAAAGCTAAATGTCCTCAACCGAGAGACTCTTCCCTGGCACACACCACGCATTCAGAGACAAAGCAGACATTCGGGTCAGAGTTTCACTTGTATACCTCCTTTAAGGTCACATGGAGAGAATCCTTGTGGATCAACACTCTGCACATTTTTATTTTTGGTTGCAAGAAAGATTTCGTTTTTTTTGACCAGCTGAGTGATGTTTACTGTTTCAAGGTATATACTTGTCAGTCTTTTAACTTACAGTTTCTTAAACATCTCTGGAAACACGTTCATGAGGTCTGAGTTTCTTTGAAATCAAATACATAATCTTGGTGTTTCAGCTTATATCTGAGCACATTCACAAGGCGACGATTATCATCTGATAGGAAAGAAGAAGCTTAAATGATGTTTAAACATGGTTCTGCTAAATTTGACCACTATTAAACATCTTGTTAAATTACATGTTACCATGAAGGGCTTTCTCAGTATCAGATTTTCACCTCATGATTATCGTGGCCATCAAATATCATAAGATGTATGATTTACCATCAGCCCTGTGATTAAAATGTTCATGGATATGACTTTGCCTCTTTATATCATTGTTTGTCATGCTTTTATTTTGATGTTTTTGCAGTCTTGTTTTTAGGTTTCTTTACATCCTGCTCTGTCACAATAGTCCAATGGTTTCACTCATTAGTTTCTTGATAGACTCAAAGATGCTGGTTGGAAATTGGGTTTTTGTCCCTTGCTGCCTGGCAAACAGCTACAGTGAACCCACCTTGCCTAATCATGAGTAACCACATGTCTTAATAAGATCGGGGCGCATCTGAACACTTGTCTCAAATACAAGTGTAAGTGCACAAATATAGTCAAAATAGGTCTGATTCACTCAGGGCTCCAAAGGTACCGACTGTGTGAGAAGTGACTTTATTGTAAAGTATTCAATGTTATTGAGCCTACAAGTTCGGGGAATCAGAGGTACAGTTGACTTGACCTATCAGAAAGGAGCATTGTAGGCATTTGCAAGGAAGCTAAAGGCCCAGCTGCTATATTGGGTGATGTCAGTGACATTACATCCAGTTATTATACAGTCTATGGGTCTTACTGGGTCCTCTGTCAGGCTAGCTTCAGGAGTTAGCCTCCAGTGGACTCCAGAGGAACTGCAGTTGTTTGTGCTTAAAGTCCCACTTCAATTGTTTTTGTTTGTTTGTTTGTTTGTTTGTTTGTTTGTTTGTTTGTTTTTAATACTTAAAGTGTTCTCAGTGGTCTTTAAATTGTTATCATGACGTTGTCAGACAAAATCACGTTACGTATGTTATTTTCAAAATTTCTTCTGCAGAGCTCCAGTAGCTCATTAGCAATTCACCTCTGAGTCGTGGGTGGAGACAGTGCTGCTCTGCACACTCCTCTTTGTGATAGCTTGCAGCCTAACATTGTCAGTGTAGTAGATGTGACAGGTAACATGGGAGCGTTTCAGCTATCTGACACTAATATCTTTGGGGACATGACAAAAGTTAATATCATTAGCTTTCTTACGAGCATTGCAATCCGCTAATGCACACACTTGTTCTGTGATTTATTTCCACAAGTCTGGTCTGCATAGCAGAGCTTTGAATTGCTACATAGGAAATCTCACTGTGTCTGAGACTGCCTTTTCGGTCTGCCAGAGTTTCACCGTGATTTGAATGCAGAAATACTTAGAAATGCAATTTGGCACTTAGTTTTCTCATGATATGTCCTGTAGCATCAGAAAAATACCATATGAACATGTAGACAACGTGAAAAACAAGATTTTCATTGGAGTAAGTCTTTAAACTCAGGACCAGTGATGTTTCAGACTCAGTATGTACAGTAATTAGTAATCAATATAAATTTTATCATGATATGCAGTCTGTTGTTTCTTTGGATTTCTACAGTTTACTGTCTGATCAACTAAGAAGCATTAAAATGGTAATGGTTTGATTCTGTAAGGTTATGGTTTTCAGCTTGTAATATAAAAGCACAACTTGTACATCCAAGCTCCCCACCTTGTTGCAGAAAATGGCTGCTGCATGATTACAGTGAATTGTGTTGAAATGCAGATCATTAGATGTCCAGTAATGAGCCGCCAAGCAAACAGGGTTGTGACCTCTGCATTGAAGAAGTCAGGGCTGCACTTTGTTAAGAGAATAGCAGTCTCCAGAAGCCCATGTTTGTCGATCCAGTTGTTCTGTCTGAGAGGTGTTTAGAGATCAGAGGGTAAGTGGCTTTGTGCTACAGCAGACAGGCTGAGGTGCTTGCTCTGTGTTTTGTCTCAACAGCTTGATAAAGTGAGGGCTAAAATTAACCAAGGAGTACACATGCCTTCCCATGACCCTTCGGTGTGAGAGCTAAGAGAGACGGGAATGTGCACATGTGAGGGCAACAACCAGAGACAAAGAGCAGCAACACTGCCTGATCCGAGTAAGATTGTGTTACCTACTGAAGAGCATCTCTGTGATTATTTCTTTATAAGAACATGCAGTGTGGTATTTTAAACTCTCCTCTCATTGCCTTCATTGAGATGTTAATGTTTTTGATTTGTTTGTCATCTTTGTGTGACAACCTTAAAACTTCTATGAAAAGTCTTGACATGAAGGACTGCTGTCTAACACACGGGGTGACTGTGCGACTGTGAATTCATGTTTAAGCCGACATGACAGCTGTTGTCACCTGGCACGAGCATCTCTGTGATTATTTCTTTATAAGAACATGCAGTGTGGTATTTTAAACTCTCCTCTCATTGCCTTCATTGAGATGTTAATGTTTTTGATTTGTTTGTCATCTTTGTGTGACAACCTTAAAACTTCTATGAAAAGTCTTGACATGAAGGACTGCTGTCTAACACACGGGGTGACTGTGCGACTGTGAATTCATGTTTAAGCCGACATGACAGCTGTTGTCACCTGGCACTAGTTGTGGAGCGATAATGAGCTCAGAAATGCCGATCTCTGAGCCCTGAGATGGGAAAGAGTCTGAGAGTTAGACGTCAGGGCTGAGTTTTATCTCCGTCAAATTCCTTCGGCTCAGGGTCGCCTTCGGTGCAGACCTGAGACCATCGAATCCTCTGATAAGAGCTGGCTAACAGATACTAACTGTACTCTACACAACCTCAGTTACTGAACAGACTTCAGTGCACGTTACACACACATCATCCCAAACAAGAAGGTGAAGAGGATGCTGGAAAACATTCTTCCCCTTCAGGCTCAGAGTGAAAAACTATGGCCATTATAAAGATATACAGTCTCAGTTAACATAGAATCATTGAGTTTTAAACCTGAACACATTCCTGACCTTATGCTGGTTTTTCAAATTATTTTGAGATTTAAGATTTGTTAATACCTACAATATTATTGTTTTTAACCATTTTATGAAGGTTCTCACTAGGGATGGGCGATATGGGCTAAAATATTTATCACGCTATGATTTGCAATTCTGGTGATAGCGTTGTCCGATGTCATGCGCACCTGATTGCACTCATCTAAGCCTCAATCTTGAAGGAAATCCCTCATGTGGAGCTTTGTTCAGTAACGAGCTGCTCAGAAATGTCTTCTTCATTACCTTCAGCCATGTTTGTTTGTTTGTTTGTTATTCTGCTCTGTGTGGGCTATGTCTGTGAGTCCATCGCTCGCGCTTATATCATCAACCTGCATTTATCGTATTTATCATGAGATGGCAAATATTTATCATGGAGGATTTTTCTGATGATACATTGTGAATGATAATTTATCGTCCATCCCTAGTTCCCACAGAACTACCAAAAAAGAGGACATGATTTAACTTTTTGTAGTTCTTGCTCCACTCCTCTTATAGCTGTCTTTGTGCTCCGATTTAAAGTTCCCAAGAGAATTTTGATTTCATTTTATTTTGCACACAACACTTTAAAGTAAGGAAATGGTAAACATTAAAATGGCATAGCACAAGTTTCTTTAAGCATGTACGAGACAAAATTACCATGAAAATTCAACCTCCTGTTTTTCTAGAAGAGGCAGCAAATTCAATGTAACCTGAAAGTTCTTTCAAGGAGGTTTTTAATGTACAAGATAAACAAACATGATAGATTAGAGCAAACTTCCCTTATCTTTTAAACTGAAGTGTCTCTTGTTAGATTGAATCAAACAGGAGTGATTTATATTTATTGTGTTTTTTTAAACTAAAACTGGAAAAGATATTGTGCAGAACGGAACATTTGTGAAATCAGACCAAGTTTAGTCAGAATTTTGGCTGTAGTTCTCTCTGCCCAGGCACACTGTGTGTAACTTTCACCATCATCCATCTGCTTATGCAGAAACGTGTCCCGTCAGATGGTTGGAAACAATCAGTTCTGATAAACAGTGTAGTCTGACCGCTGCTGTCAATCCTCCACCACCCTGAAGTTAACTGTCATAACATGTCAGTGAGATTAAACCTGAAAGGCTGCTGCCATGTGTCACTTCTGAATGAGGAGCAAAGAAGCACAACAAGAGGACACCATCTCAAACAAACAAAAGGGTTTATTGTCGGTGTGTTAACATGACATTAGAGCATGTTGGTCAAGACTACTGTTATATTCACATAGACGGAGGTTTCCTCCAAATAAAGCAGAAATAATTTTTTTCTACTTGGGAATACAGGAGTCTGTCTAACACTAAAAACAAAACAGGGGATACAAACAGGGCCTGCATGTTATAAAGAGAAACAACAGAAGGAGCTGAGTGATGGGGGAGAGGTTGAAGAGGATAGAAAGAGGGAGGGAGGCACATGGGAAAACAAATTCACAGTGTGTCCTTGGTGACGAGCGCAGCCACCAGCAGCTTCAGCGCAGAAAAACTCTCATTAGAGCAGGAGCTGTCAGCGGGGTTTCAGACAGCCTGGGAAGCAAGAGGCTGCGATTAGGGGGTTTCAGCTGTGATATCTATCCATCCATTTCTCCTGCTTTCTTTTTTTTTCTTTTTGTACCCTTTCAGTATCCTTCTCAAAATAAGAAAAACAGCATCTTTCTGGCCCTCTAAGTCAAGCATGCTGGTGAATTACATAGAAGCTGGGGGGCAAAGGTCATATCAGTCTCCAGACACCTCTCCCAACACATCCAACCTGGTACTGTCCCTGTCACCTCTGACTGGACATGTCCGAGTATCGGGAAATAATGGGGTCTTTTTAGGTTGCGTTCAAGAGATAGAAAGGGGGGTGATGGAGGACAGCTTGAATTTTAAATGTTAAACCTGACTGTATTTATCAAACTTAGCAAGACAATCTGCATGTATATAAGGTAAAACCATATTTGAGCATAATAACATTACTCAGAATGTGTTAAAACTAGACTCATAAGTCGTTTTTTTAATCAAACTCACTCCCCAGTCGACAAAGACAACCGGACTGGGGAGAGTAGCCAGTGATTTTTACTTTTTGCTGGATATTAGGATGTAGTAGTGAGACAGTAATGCACCATTTGAAAACACCTGGGCAGGCATGAAGAACCTTTAATACAGTAAGTAACACAGAGGTGAGTAAGGTGGCTACAACAAGCACTTGAAATGCGATGCAAGGCCATACACGGTTAGATAAATCCTCCCAAATCCACCTGTTGTCCTGCCAAAAGCTGCTCTAATGTACCCACTCAACTCATGTTTCCTGCTCAAATCCAGTTCTGACACAAACAAAATCTCCCTCCAGGACCTTCTATCACACATTTCACATACACAACACCACATCTCAACCTCCACAACACTACATATTAGCTGAACACGACCGCTACATGTCACAGCCTCCTTTACGGCGACTAATCTGAAACAGTTATACAAAATCAGGTCTGTCAGTTCAGTTTAAAATCTAACAGGTCATCAGTTATTTCCAAGAGGCTTTAATGAAGCCAACTTTTAGGACAGCTGACCTCCACCAAACTCAAGTTTTGAATCTATCAGTACAAAAGCTCCAAGGACCTATTTGTAGAGGCTTTAATGACTGCTTTAAGGAGTATTTAACAGCCAAATTTGGTGAGTAGTTAGCTTATTAACTTGCAGACTCTGAAGAAAACAATGTCAAATGATTAGGGCAGCTTTGGGGTTTGGAAATAAAAATCAAATGTTGGAAGAAGTGCTCCAATCTTAAGATCATGAGTGAGGGCCAGATGGTTGTAAAACTTCAGGGCAGATCTTTGTGTTCAGTTGTTGATTCCTTAATGATCTGAAAATAAAAACAGATTAGGGTTAAACACACTGAAAATAGGGCAATTCTCTGGTGAGTGTGTGGACTTTCATGGCATCAGGTGTGTGTTAAAGCCGGCAGAAGGGTCCAACATTGCCCCCCAGAGGAATTCAGTTTGATGTGCAGAGTGAGTGAGTGAGTGAGTGAGTGAGTGAGTGAGTGAGTGAGTGAGTGAGTGAGTGAGTGAGTGAGTGAGTGAGTGAGTGAGTGAGTGAGTGAGTGAGTGATAGCACATTTTGTACCTCTCCATCTCTGGTCTCCACAGTTCGAACCAAGATACTCCTCTTTACGTGGGCCTCTGGGGTTTTAGTGTCCAGATTAGTTTCTGAAAGATGAGTGGAAGGAAGGTTACATTTGGTGCGAGCTGAGGCATGCCAATTTAAAAAATGTTCTTGGTCTGAGGTTATTCCCATCTAATATCATGCACTGCCTTGTTCATTAAATGAAGTGTACCTGAGGAGAAAACGTTCAAATATGCTTAGAGAGGCACAGAGAGATACTCTGAAAATGAGGGTTTGACTGCCACTAAGACAGACCGATGACAGAAAGTGAGAATAAATAAACATAAAACACTTTGTGATTAAAGGGTCTAAACTCATATAATTGTAATCAGTCTTAGACATGCCTATCTGTGAAAATACATCATGTTTGTAAACTGTCAGAGTATTTCAGTGTATATTTCTATTTTGTTGTACACTGGTCGGAGCACCTCAAGCTCACATTGTTAAATTATCCTTGTCCAAGTTGTGTTCAATTATGCACCTCTTCTGAACAAAGCAGGAAGGTTTGTTTCTTTCTCATCTTGTCATGTACATTTTCACTAAGTCTTGTTACCTGATAAAGAAACTCTCCCTGCATTCTTTTAATTGTCTTGCGTGTCATCCACAAGGACTTTTTTTAGACTTTAATTTTAACAAAGCTGTTTCTGTGGCATGCTAGTCTAAAACATGGACCCCAGGTAAGAGGTTGTATAGAAATAACCAATCCTATCTAAAGTGGTCTTGCTTGCTTCTGTTTGTCATGGAAAAAAATCAGACTTCATTTCACTATTTTTCATTTCCTGCGATAAAAAATCTACAAATGTGGATAACGAATAATTTCTCCTCTATCAAGTAATAATTTCTGCAGCTGTACTTGTAAGCATAGACTGTACTTAGGAGAGGGTGTTTTCTCTTCCTCTTTCCTCTTCCTCCTTTAACAGAGAAGCCACTGCAGAAGTACCTTTGATGTGTCTCATTTATTTATTTACTTATTTAATTTAATTTAGAATTTTGTTTTATTTTGAATGACCAGCAGGGGGAGACCTCATTGGCTGCAAAAGGAAGAGTCCTGTGCTAAACTGACCTTTGGTTGGTCATTTTTTTGTCTTGTACTTCAAACTGCAAAATTCTGCTGCTGTGAGGAACTTTTGGTTAGCGTATCTTTTGGCGCCCCCTGTGGACAACAGTATACCTCTTATTTCTCACCTGTACATGAAAAAGTGGTATTTTCAGACAAAAACCTTGTCCCCTTGTCTTGTAACTGTGAAATGTATCTCTCACTGGGAATATTGGCTGTGGGAAAGGTTTCTTCAACCTTCTGAACAACCCACAGGTCTGATACCAACCCCCTCAAAGTGTATTTAAGCTTTAAAACTCATAACAGATTAATCCTCAGCCGTGTTGCTGGTGGTGTCATTTGTTTTTGAAGGTCAAAAAAAGATCAGTATCAGTTTTAATCTGTTTTTCAACACAATGCATTCAAATAACAATATTGATCCCATTTCCTGTAAATTAGATACAAAAGACTGTTTGCATATCACAGGTGCACTATGCTCATGAAGCTTGTAAGCTAGTTATTACTAAGCTCTATATATCTCATTTAGAAGAATTACTTTGAGGGGGGCCCAAATGCCAAACTCAAAGGTCACAAACTGATGGGTGGCAACTCCAGCATCCCCTTAAGTCTGGGTCTAACAGTCTGGTGATGTCTATTTGTTAACAGGAAGTCTTCCAAATATAAAACATTACTTTGTTGGGTCACAATGCAAAAAAAAAAAAAAAAAACTGCATAGACAAGTTGAGTGGACAAAACACAAGTTGAAGTTTGATACTGACCTCTGAACTGCAGGTTTGAAAAGCTTTGAACCGGAATGGTAATCCTAGAGGATCAGTAAAGGGACAATTTCAGTCAGTGTGAAAAACCATCTTTGATTGCGGATATGTGTCAGTTGTGACAAAAGTATTTTGTTCTGGGTCACCTGCTCTCCTCTCCCTCCAGCAGCTTCCTGTAGGTAGCAATCTCAATATCCAGGGCCAGTTTGACATTAAGGAGGTCTTGGTACTCCTGCAGGTGTCTCGCCATCTCCTCCTTCAGCGCCTGGGTCTCCTCCTCTAAGTGGCTCACTGTGTCCTGATAACCAGAAGTCTCCATGGTGAATCGGTCCTCCATCTCTCTGAGCTGGCGTTCCAGAGACTCGTTCTGTAAAAAACAGAAGGGGAGACCACAGACTGTAAAAAGAGACTCAGAAGCTCCCAATAGTGAAGTCATGACACTTGGAGCTCCCCCTAGAGACTGCCTGTAGTATAGATGAGTCTTGTGTAGTGGTTGCTGTGACGGCAGCAAGAATTTCTTGATCCAAAATGTTAGACAGCCGTTACAAAAGGTGCTCCATGACAACAGATTATTGGATATGGGTGATGATATCAGTTCAAAATCAGTTATATTTTCTCAATCTGGTCATCAAAGTTAAATTTTATGTTGCTGTTTTTTTTAAAACAATCTTTTTTAGGGGTAAATTCATGCTGAAACTTGGCTAAACACCATGACTGACAGCACTGTAGACAACTGCAGCTCCGGCAGCCCCTGAATTATGGGAAACCATCAACAGTGTTTGAAAGCTACACAAGCAGCTGTTACACCGTAGACTGAGCCAGTCTGAGGATCTTTGCCATTTGCCAAAGACAAATCTGTTCATTTGATTAACATGAAGGTGCGAGCAGGACACTAACCAAACATCCAGCACAGACTGGCTCCAAATGCGAGATGCCAGTGTCTGTTTACATGTATCACTTTGGTACAGAGAGAGATGTATGCGAAGAGGAGACAGATTGCTTCACAACTTAAAGGAATAGTTCAGTCTTTTTTAAATGAGGCAGGGACGCGAGCTCAGTCAGACAGAAGCTTCATGATCAACCCTTACAGACTGATGCCATCCTGAAGTTTAGCCCATTTTAAGAAACTACAGCCAAAACATGATTGTTAGTGTAAGTGTTCACTCATGTTGGAAAATTTCAGTGCTTTAATTTGCCATCAATTTTCACTCTATATGTATATAAAATCTCAATCTAAAGGTTTCCATATTGATTCAGAGGGTTTGCACTTACACCTGGCTGTGATTTTTTAGGAAATAACACTCTGGAAAAACACCCCAATATTGTATTTCCCAAGGTGGTGAGTGATTGTAGCCATATGTCTGCAGTTTTTTATACTGCTGTGTTTACACTGTGTTTCTCAGTTGACTTACTGTCCCACGGAGAGCCTCCAGATCGCAGGTCACCACTTGGATCTGACGCCTGTACTCATTTGCCTCCTGTTTGGCCTGGCGCAGCGCTTCCGCATTACGATTGGCTGCATCTGTCAGGTCAGCAAACTGTGGACAAAAGCGGTCAGTTCAACCGCCTGTGAGTTTGTGTGATGTCATCACAGCCCCCTCATTAGCCCAGTTACATCCAGTCAAATTTGGATATGAATAACTTCTCAGTACAATTTTATGAAAGGCATATGAGAAGTTTCTGACCTTGGAGCGGTACCACTCCTCTGTGTCCTGCATGTTTGAGGTTGCCATGGTTTCATACTGAACCCTGATGTCTCTCAGAGCAGCAGTCAGGTCTGGTTTGGACACATCAAGGTCCACATGCACCTGCTGTGCCATGATTTGCTCCTGTAACTCACGCAGCTCCTGAAAAAGAGAAGGGTGGGAAAGTGGAGTAGACGTTGAAAAGAGGTGGCTGAACGAGGTTAAAAGTACAGACAAAGAGTTTAGTCCTTACCTCATCATGAGTTTTTCTCAGGAAGTTGATTTCATCCTGAAGGGCTTCGATCTTCCTCTCTAACTGGACACGATTCAGCGCAGCCTCATCTACGTCCTTTAAAGAGAGCCATGCACATAAAGAAATGAGCCTACAGTCAGTTATAAAGATCATAAATTTAAAGGAAGGTTTGCAGAAGTACCTGTCTGAAGGCATTCAAACTGTTCTCTGCATCCTGACGCAGACCGCTTTCTTCTTGCAGCCTGAGAGAGTCACAAAAATGGAGGTCAACATCAACGGTAGGGAATAATAAATCACAACTACAAGCAATTACCTTGTTTCTTTGTTATCTTTGTCAGGAACATTTTGATAAGCACCCTGTTTACAGTGCTTTGTTTGCATTATGTCTGCTCCCGACAAATGTAAGCCCTCTGGTGGGGAATACATCATCAAACTGGGGCAGCATATAGTGAATTTCCAAATCAAAACAAATATTTAGAGAGGAAATCTTAGGCTTTCTTTTTTTTTTTTTTTGAGGATGATTCTGAACCACGAAAACTCCAAAAAATATTCAAAATCTGCCCTTCTCTGCAGGAGCATGATCAGAAGCTAGCTCAGACCTGAAACCATGATGAGCAATTTCTTAAATCACAGGTGGGACAGTTTTTATGTTTCCACTTAGTTGTGTTTTTTTTTTTTTTTTTTAAGGTAGAAAAAGTAATGCAAGGACTACAACATTGAATTGATAGGTTTGCAAACAAAAAAAGATGTGATCAGTAGAGACAGAAAGGGTAGCCAAATGCTGTTCGTTTATGTTTGACGCCAAAGACTGATTATAGAATGGACGTCTTCTGCCTGCTCACAGTGAGAACAGCACCCTCTGGTGACTGATTGCAGTAGAGGTCATAAACCCCGCCTCCTGCAGCAAAATGAATGGAGCTGTGGACAAACTTTGAAAACTAAATATTAGTCATACTGATTTTTTTCACCCTTGATTGTGATGTTGACATGTAGTTGTTGTTAGACCTCTTTTTTCCTGTGCAGCTCCATTTTGCATACAGCCAATGAGCATAGAAAGGTTGCGTAGATCATCGGGGGGGACATGTTTAAGCAGAGCATCATCACAATAATTCTCCCACTATACACTATTGCTAAAGCGCGGGATAAGGAAATGGAGGAAATCCTGAAATACCGAGCAATTTGTCTTCAAATTCGTACAATGACGGGAGGCACAGCCACATTGTCTTTCCCAGTCTATTACAGTCTATGGTGTGCAACCCCACAGCTGGGTCACCCCTGCCCAAAAAGCCTTGACCCACCTCTACTTCTGCCTGCTGCCGTTGGTTTAGCATCCAAAAAAGCATTTATTTTTCTAACTTACAAATGAGAAACTCCTCTATAACTGAGGCCACACAACAAAGGGCAGAGCATGTATTTCAATAATATTTTGTGCAGATTTGTTCTGTGTGCTCCAGAGCTGCTGGAGCTCTGAAGGCTCCAGGGGATGACCGAGGCTCATCTGAAAGGACAGCTTACGCATCATTACACTCTCACTCACATTTAACAGCCACACCAGAGGCCTTTCCCACGGGATGGAGTTCACACTCACAGATAACCACAAAGGGTCCATGTGCAGCCTCACACACAGACATACACATCACTCTGTGGTACATCTGCTATACACACGGACACATAAAACCATAACGTCCCAGACTTTGGGCAAACATCTGTACAGCTTCACGCAGAGTTAAATGAATGGAGTGGTGCTTGAAAAGCTGCAGGAATCACAATGGTGACCTTTGACCTCCTCAGCCACAGCTATCACCATTCACCCTGTGCTCTTTCTTTGAACGAGCAGCTGTGCAGTCATTAGTGGATGGAAAGGAGTCTGAAGTGGACATTTCCTCCCTCAGGGGCATTCATCACTTATTTTCTGACTAAATTATACATTCAACTCACGAGCACAAAAACACTGCTGCCCCACTGCAGTGAATCCAAGTTCTGGAGGAATTGGGGACAAGAGAACATCTGCCTGCCTGTCTGCCTGCCTCCATTGTGCAGGGCCTTCATTGTGTTTGCCTCATTCCTCTGCACTTGCTCAATAGCTGCGAGGGGTTCAGTCAGGATCAAGTTTATAAAGAGGGATCCAGGAGTAAAGCTCAGGCAGAGCACAGTGGGCTGCATTCCACTGAATCAGAGACGGACTAGATCTGCATATAAATACAATTCTAATTAAAAAAGGACTTAATTTTCACCTCAAGACCTCACTCTGCCACAGTCTTCTCATAATTCTCACCTCATTCTTTAGAGTTTAGAAATCAGTATGCAGCATCAAGGATGAAACAGTTTAACAAAAAACTTAGCAACAAATTAGTGAAAATACAGAAATAAGAGGTTTTATGCTTTTCTTCGATGAAATGAAGCTAAATGTTAAATAAAATCTGAATAGATGAAGGGAGGAAGTTTTGGAGAGTTTCTTGTTTTTTTTTTTCTGATGCTGTTTGATTCATAACAATAATTTTATACTCCACAGGGCTTGTTTTATTCTCCACAAAAAATTTGCAAGACATCACAGGGATTTGATTTCAAAAGAAATTTGAAACACTTTTGACGAATGCCAGACTAAAGTGAGGTTTTATCATCTATGTAACCTGATGAGTAGAACCAGCTGGATCCAAAAGTAAGGGTTTTGGCACTGCTTTTATTATTCACAGACACAAGCCCATGTACTTGGAATTTAGAGCAAAGAGTATAACCATATCTGATTGGAAAAGTGTGACAGCATCAATCTATCTGAATCCCGCCCTCATGAGTCCTGCTCTGCTCCCCCTCACCTCTGCTTAAGCATAGCCACATCTGAAGCCAGGTTGTCCCTCTCTATCTCCAGTCGAGCTTTCCCTGCAGTGAGCCCGTCCACCTGCCTGCGAAGCTCCCTCAGCTCCTCCTGGTAGATGTCTCCCAGGCGGCTGGGCTCCTTCCCTCTCAGCTGATTCAGCTCGACCACCAGCACCTTGTTCTGCTGCTCCAGCATACGCACTTTCTCTATGTAGCTGGCAAAACGGTCATTGAGGCCCATCATCTCCATCTTCTCGTTGGTGCGGATTTCCTTGTACTGGGCCTTCATCAGGGAGTCAGCTGAGAAGTCCAGCCGGTCTCCAGGGCTCCCCAGCAGCAGGGCGCTGCTGGATGAGCCGAAGGAGATCCGAGATATGGGGCTAGAGTGGGTGAGGCTGCGGGGGGTGCCATGCCAGGAGACACGGTTCGAAGAAAGGCCCCCAATTCGAACTGCTGTGCTGCCTGAGCTCTGGGGCCCAAAGCGTTTCCTGTATGAGGACTGGATTCTCTGGCTCTCCATGATGTGGAATGAAGCCCACTCGGGGCACAAACGAGGCTTTTATAGCGGCGGGCAAACCCCCCAGATCCAAAGCAGAGAGGCCACAGGGTGCGGCAGAAAGAAGGGAGGGTGGCAGTCAGTGAATGGGACAAAAAAGGGAGAGCGAAGGGGTGGTTTACATGACACTCAAAGAGCTGTGTGCCAGGGATTGTCCGTGCTCGTCCACTCAACAACAAATGTCTCTTGGCCTTCTCCCCCACTCTCTCTCTCTCTCTCTCTCTCTCTCTCCACCTCTCCTCCCTTCTCCCCAGCCCCTGACTCACTCCTTCTCTCTCTGTCTCACTCTTACTTTCACCCCCTTTTTGTCTTACTCTCCTCCTTTCTCTTCCAGCTGAATGAAAAAGGAATGTGTGTGACAGAGTCTGGCCACACATGTGCGCTCACAAAAAGAGACACAGTAAGTTTGATCCAACAAAGGCATGGAGACGTTGGGGCGAGATCCACTCCCTAATCAGAGAAAGAAACATCAGATTGACTGAAGCAGATAAACAAGACAGAGACAGGCTTGGAGCATTTTGAGAGCATTGATGTGATGTACATGTACTATAAAACTTTGGGGCAAAGTCCAACAGATAAAGCTGCAGGATTTAAGGACATTTTTTTCACTGAGTCCCAATGTGAGACGAGACAAACATCCTGCAGGACAGAGGTGTTGTTTCTCCTCTTTGGATCTCATTTAGTTGCACAGTTACATAACAAGCACATAACTGGAAACAATTATTCAACAAACACCTGCTTACTCTAATGAGAATAATTTATTACAGAAATAGTCTTTGACTACAGCCACAATTTCCTCTGTTCCTCTGAGCTCTTGTACTTTTGATCAAACAGAGTACAGAAAAATGATTAAACTGCTTTAAACATTAAAAATGAAATGTGTTGCTGCTCTGTGTTCGAGTGTAAAACCAATGCAAACCATGATGATTGAAAAATCATATGAACTTTTACACTCCTGGTAAAATCATGCCTTTTTGAGACTTTTTTAAAGGATATTTCATAACACATTTCATTTAATCAAAAATCCCCTCTGATAATCGTTAAGGTGTCTTTTATTAAACATGGAATAATTATTTTTTATTTTATATAAATGTCACAGGTAAGTTAGTTCTTTTCTTTTAAACTGGGGTTATATGGGGTACTTGTTAATAGTAAGTGTTTCACCCGGGGAGGCGGCCAGCTCTGCTCCTTTTGTTAAGAAACCAGCATGGGAGCAAGGCTACTAACGGCTGCAGGCACAACCAGTTTTGTCAAGGAATTGAAGTGCAACCATAACACCAGCGTAGGTGTTACTCAGAAAATTAAAGCACTTGACTAATTGCTTAAAAAAGGAAACTAGTTTTCTGGTGAAAGTGGCCATGTTGCTATAAAGGAGCACATGTACCCTTCAATGCAGCTAGGCAAGCTTGAATCTAAGACTCCTGAGAGACAGAAGGACTCTGGGGTGTGTCCTGTGTTCTGGTAGTTACACATCCAATGGCTCTGAAGACTGATGGATGGTACAGACAAAGGAGAGGAGGAAGAGGAGGAAGAGTGGGATGTATGGAGGGAGAGAAGTGGTGAGTTGAGACCTAACCTGAACTCAAGACAGACTAACAGAGACTGCGTTACAAAGACTGTTCCTTAACCTTGACAACTGCTACATGTAAAGGGCTTCAACTCATCAACTCATCTGTGTTACACACACACACACACACACACACACACACACACACACACACACACACACCTATATATATACTTATATAGATAGATAGATAGATAGATAGATAGATAGATAGATAGATAGATAGATAGATAGATAGATAGATAGGTCAACATAGCCAAAGTGGTTGAGTTTTAATAACATGTAGAAATATAGAAAATAGATAGGCATTTTAGTATGGACTCAAAAAAAAGCTTTCTTGGGTCCTGCAGCCATCCAGTTTCCAGTAAACACTCCTCAAAGAACTGCAGCTGTATTGTATTTATTCAACGGCTCCATCTTTCAACATTGGAACTGCCAATTGGGGAAACCAATGGCCGCCTGATGGAGAACTAACAGGTAATAAAGTAATCTGGGTTTAAAGATAATAGAAACAGTGGTACCTTGTAATAACACTCATTTATGTGCTGTTGCTACAGGTAGTTAAAACCACAACAGCAGTGGGACATAAAGGACCTCTTTGTTCCCAGCTCATAAAATCACCGGGAGTGGAAACCAGTGGTACTGGGAGACAGTAAATAAAGCCTCATACGACTCTACTATCTGGCCTCTTGAGTGTTTTTGCAATCAAGGACAAAAAACAACAACACAGTGTCTTGAATCCCAATTGGACTCTGTTGATAGAGGTTAAATGTGATGGCACACTGTAAGTCTGGCAGAGATTTGTTGACTCTAAAGGCTCCATCGCGAAGGATTGATGCCACGGTTGCATCATTAAGGTGACAGCAATTGTTTCTGCCTTCTGGATTTTTTAACAAACTCCAGCGTTGCCTTAGGTCTGGTCACTGAGGTAATATGTCCCGAAGATTAAACATTCACAGAGAGGAGAAGAAAGGGGAGGTGCAGGCCTCTCCCTTTCCTCCCTCCCTGGTGCTGAAGTCACTAAAGAGCCAAGTCAAACAGCTGATTCATGTGTCCAACATGAGGAGACTATTTCATTTGCAGGACGTACAAGGAAAAGGGGTGAGGGGTGGAATCTTAATGTTGATGGACTCTGACTGATCTGGGCCCAAGGAGCTGCCAGCTGGGTTTGACTACATAATACTTGACTCTGGCTTTGTGCTCTGGCATTTTACACCCAGAATCCCCAGTGTGAACCCCACTGATACCATCACTGATGGCCACAGTCCAAATTGAATCCTGACAAATGAGTTAGAAACAAGGCAGTCTTAGTCCCACCTTTATCACTATATCAAGGCCTTGTTTCAAGAAACAGTTGAAGTTACAGAAGCGCAGAGGCCTCAGTCTAGAAAGTAGCTCTAAGTGCAAACAAAAAAAAACTGATATACATATTTAATTATAAACTGTTCATTTACTGCCATGACTCTTGTTCTTTAAGGAGAAATCATAGATTTTAACCCCCTATTGGCCCTCATTAGCAAGGGTATGTGCTGATTGCAACAACTTGAGGCTGCATGGAGTGATTAAGAAACCATATCTGGTACAATTAGAGAGCGGGATCAGAGGGCAGAAAAATTAGCGCAGATAGATAAACATATGAGCAAATGAAAATAAAAAAATGATGCCAAAATTCCTTAAATGACCAACAATTGAATTCAAACTGATGCAAGTTTGAGATCCAAGGTGATCCTCATCAAAAAATAATAATAATAAAATAAAAAACAACAACAACAACAAAAAAAAACAGGATGATGTTTCATCTAAAAATCTTAAAGCAGGTTTCTAAAGTTAGTACAGACCACATAAAAGTCTTGATTCAGTCCTAGATTAGTTGCCTAAGCTCTTGTGAGTAACTTCAAGTGTAAACTTTGAAGCTCACTTTTTTATTCTGACAAAAATCTTATCATGCTTTCTTTGTCGTGGAAGATTTTAAAACAGACTGTTTTAGCAGCGTGCAGCTTAGCACCTTCCCTGCAGAAGTGCGATTGGAAATCAAATTGAACTGTATAGTGACCATAAAACTCATTTTTGTTATTGTATGTCACAAACAGTCATCATTATTAGTTTAAGTCTAATTCATACCCTGTTAAAAACTCTTCACAGGAGCTTTAATCGAAATGTCTTTACTTCAGGGTGCTGATTCTGACATTTCAGTCATTTCAAGTCTTGTTTCATTTGAGTTTAAAGCCAAGATTACCACCTGGTTTGGACATTTATGGTGCTCTCATGGGATGACAACTTGTTTTGGTGAAAAGTAGAGAAGTATTTTGGTCTTTGACTTCACATTAACATTACCACAGTAATGGCAAGCTGTCTCTTGGACTTAAAAACATTTTCAAACAAAATATTGAGTAACATCATCACATTATTTCTGACTATAAACAAGTCATTATACTTTAATGTCATGTACCTGGTACACTTGACTTCCCAAAGACATGACTGGTCAACATAAACAGCTAAAAGGTAGAGAAACACTGAACCAGCACGGCCTCATGGGAATGAGCAATGATAAAAATCTGGGGGCTTAAGTGGGACTGACTAGCTAGCTATATGACTCAGCACCATCAGGCCCAAACACAGCGTAACCACAAAGAGGCTCAGAGCGGAGCCAGTTCAGGACCGAAGCTCCAGTCTGCCTGTCAGCAGGAATTCTAGGGGCCCAAAAACACCACACAGACAGAGCCGCATACCACACAAACATCACAACACAAGCACAGCTCTTATACAAACTCAAGCTGTAAACTGATGCTTGAGCTACTGTACGTGGGCTTTGAGAGGGAATACACTTAATAAAGGTTAACACACATGTGAACTCAGCCAATAATTTGTAACAACCAAGATTATGACAATATGTGAGACTTTATGTGTACAGCTATGCTCACTGCTTCATGAGGCATGCTTCAGGTGGAGCTTCGAGCTACATGCTAACAAGCTCACCAACACACCCGATTTTTAAGAGGTTTAAAGATGATCACTTTCAGTTTGTTATCATTTTAGTATGCAGATTTTAAGCATGTCAACATACAGGTTTTAGCTGGTACTTCACAATGTGTACCTTCTCATTATTGGGTCATTTAGCATGCTTGGGTTAACCCAAGCTGCTTTAATTTTTAGACCATTATAACCAGAGTATTGGCTCACATCAAGTTCAATGCTTCATAGTGCTCGAAACAAAGATCATCATAGGGTACCTAAAAATCTTCAGCATCCTTTAGTGTTATTACATAATCTTAAATCACCAATAAATACTTCTTTTCAAGTATGATTTTTTTTAATCACAGGTAACATAGATCTTTCACAGCCTTGAACTAGAGTGTGTATGTTTGGAAATAACCTGAAAAAGCTACTCTTCCAATCTTTTTGTTGTTGTTTTTGTTGTTCATATCTAAAAATGAGGTATCTGTATTCATCTTTGTGTCAGATTAAAATCTGTTCATAAAGCGATGAAGCCAAGTTCAGCCCAAAGCAGTGCATCCCTGTGCCTCACCCGTTAGAGAAAAAGGCCCTTTGTTCCATCAATCTGTTTTCTCATCTCACTGCCAGACACGGTTGCAGAAATCTGTCCTTCCTGTGTCTGCCTCCTGTTTTAGCTCATGGACGAGAGAAAGAACTTAAATAGAGGTAGAAACACAATGAGGCAGAGAAAGTGAGAGAGAGAACAAACGAGTGCATCCATCAAGTACTGCCAACAATGAGCTCTGTCTCCTGTGTCTGTTCATTTTCTGCCTTTGTGAGTGTGGACAAGTCTCTATCTGAAAAAAAGGTTTTAAAAACGATCCATTTATTTTGAAGAAAAGGCATAACATATATACAGTATATAACATATAAATGTATATATTCACACCCTCTTTAAACATACCACTCTTTTCTTGCTGTAGAATAAATTTGATACCTTAGACTTTGCACTGCAAGTCTCGTCACGATACATACTCATACATTAACATATAGATAGATCTCTAATCAACTAGTTCATTTCATTTGCATACCACAGGGTTCTTTATCTCTTTTCCATTGAAATTAATTATTGCAACATATTGGAGCTGCCTTTAGTCTGTAGCAGCCACACTGAGAGTTCCCATATTAGCCTTGAGGCAGCAGGAAGCCCTTAGCCAAAAATATTATTCAACACTGGACTTGTTGTCTGAACCCTGGGATAAACAAAGTCGTCATCTAGGCTGGAGAGCAGACTCTGAAATCCAGCACTGGCTCTGGTCCTGCTTGTCTTTGGCTCACTCACACCCTTTTAATTACACTACAGAAACACTGAAATCACACATACAAGATTTCTCTGTCCAATAATTCTGTAAATTTAGCTTTCGCAGGTGTCTTTAACAAGACCTCCATGTGTCAGATGAAGCAGAGTTTCCTCAAGCTGAAACACTGTCATATGAATATGCGACTAAAAATGTATGGAAAGTGTTTTTGAGCTGGATCACAAACCAGGCAGCCAGAATCTGCTTTCCACCCATTTTTCATCATAAACCCATTTTCTGTTACATCTGCAAAACCAGTTGCTTCAATGATTTACTTTAAACCACATAAAATCCCGAAATTATCATTCAACTCTAACACAGTCTAAATATAAAAAAATATAGTCATACATTTGCTTATAAAATCCGCCTGGAAAAGGGACACAAGGACATAAATAAAAATCACATTTGAAGTGAAAAAAAAAACAAAACAATTTGGTAAAGAGAACAAAAACTCCTCAAAATTCAATTTACCTAAAAGTGCATCTGATTCAAAAATTGATCTTTAAGGAAGCAAAGAAGTCTGCTTCCTTGTTTGGTCTGGACACACTTGAAACTGAGAGCCTTTCTAAACTGAGGCCTTCAGTTTGTCTTTGAAACCATAAAAAGCATCATTTGCATCACTTTCACTGATACCAAGCAGAGCCTATGTGTCTGTCTTTCTTTTGCCACTTTGTCAGCTGAGCACACCTTTGACTCTGAAGAGCTACAGGATGCTGGTTGCTACAGGGATATGTCAAAGTAAAGAAAGGACAGAACAGGACTGAGAAATGTGAGTGATGAGGAATAATCCAGCCTTATCTCCGGACAAACACTCACATGTTTTACACATACTCAATATGAGGGGACAACTTTGTTGCTTAAAATTTAGCAGTACATAATCTTTTTTTTCTTTGTTTTAAGTTTTTGATGTGTTGAGCTATGGTGGAAACTATGTCTATATCTTTATTATGTCGGATTGTTACTGAAGTTTTACAGGATTTGTACAGGATGTTAGCTGAACGCTATTCTGAATTTTTCTGAGGTTGTAAGGTTGATATTATAGATGTTTTGACTCAAAATCAAAGGTATTAACTTAAGATACACAAACTGGAGTTAGCAGCTGCAGTGCTTTTTTGCAAAATCATATCTTAGCTCCAAACTTCTTTCACGTTTAACTCCATCTACACAGACATGAGACAGAAATGCAAACTGCATCACAAATAGCTTAAATAGCCGTTACAGAGTTAGAGGGTGGTGTTTCTTTGTTCAAGACATTAAATGAAAAAAAAGGACAATCCTGTCAAATTAACACTGTTTTTCACCTGCAGTTGATATAAACTTGAGCTAGAGGCCTGCTGCTGTAGCTTTTAAACTGTGCTTGGTTAAATGTTTAAATGTCAAACACTCGAAGGGCTTCCTGGCATCACTGCCCACCAAGTGAATGTAAACACTGGAAAGGGAACTTTTTGAAAACACAGCGGCACATGAATGATGCTGCCTTTGGTGAGTATCATTTGGAGTGTGTGTGTGTGTGTGTGTGTGTGTGTGTGTGTGTGTGTGTGTGTGTGTGTGTGTGTGTGTGTGTGTGTGTGTGTGTGTGTGTATCTGAGAAGGAACAGCAGCCCAGCAGACACTTGATCTGTGTTTTGTTTCCCCCTGTTGGTGAAGGCTGGTACTGGCTTTGGCTTTGGTTTTGAAGGCATCGGCTCTTCGGATTTTTGCTGCAGGAGGAAATCTTCTTGAATCATCAGGATGGTTGCAGAGGTCTGACCAACCTCTAGACCAGGTCCATGTCCACATTCCTGCTGTGGGTGTGTTTCAGAGAAGGCTACAGATACTGCTGATGCTACTGTGTGACCCTGTGGTTTAAGTTCAGACCAGGCAGGTTCATCAGCACAGAATCTGGGAGAAGGGATGTCTGAGTAGCTCCTCAGCACTGGGCCTGTGTTTGGCTTCCACAAAAATACAGCCAATGAAGTCCCGAGCCTGGTCTGATGTGTGTGAGGGTAGCAGAGGGTTCGTGGGTTGGGTGGCGATCTTGAATATGGCCGCCATGGCCTCAAACTCAGCCCATGGAGGCTTCTCTGTCAGCATCTCCACCACTGTACAACCAAGGCTCCTGTAAAAAAAACACAGATTTAGTTTCCTTTAAGTCCAGTCTGCAGAGGAGCTACAAAACAAGCTGAAACAAATACCACATATAGGTCTCAGCTGCTCTACACGAAACCTTTAGAGGAATGTTTTGAATGTAAACTCTCACGGGGCCTCCTCCACCTGTCTGGGAGGTACAAGCCCTCCTCGGAGCAAAACTCCCCCTCCAGCCTGGGCCGAGAATCTGGAACATACCAACCTCTATTACGACCTGTCTGACTGGCCAACAGCCAATCACATCACTCTCTTGGAAGGTCACCTCTCACTCAGGTTGCATAAGGGAATATTTACTGCTGTGTGTGTAGGAGCCTGATAGAAACTGGGTTACATACAGCAGACTAATAATTTATTTACTCGTTTTATCAGGTCTCATCCCTTCTGACTCTGGCTTAGTTTCTCAGTCTATTCATAGGAAACTTCTTGAATAAAGACATCAATTTTACTACAAGATGCTTCAAAACACACAAAGAAAGACTTACATGCAAACATGCGAGTCCCATTAAATAGAAGGGGTGGGAGAAAAAAAATCCATATAGCATAGTATTGCGATATTTTGTCTGGTGATATATCGTATTGTCTCATTGGCCAAGTATCAATTTTTTTTTTATTAATTGCCAATATGAAGTCAAATCTACAGTGCATCCAGAAAGTATTCATACCACTTGCTTTTTCCACATTTTGTTTTGTTACAGCCTTATTCCAAAATGGATTAAATTCCTTTTTTCCCTCAAAAATTCTACACAACATACCCCATAATGGGGACAGCCCGCTTGTGCACCGATACAACCCTGTTTCGGAGGTCTACAGACAATTCTTTCAATTTCATGGCTTGGTTTGTGCTCTGACATGCTGTCAGCTGTGGGATCTTATATAGACAGGTGTGGCTTTCCAAATCATGTCCAATCAGCTGAATTTGCCACAGGTGGACTGCAATCAAGTCGGAGGAACATTTCAAGGCTGATCAGTGGAAACAGGATGCACCTGAGCTCAATTTTGAGTTTTACAGCAAAGGGTGTGAATACTTATGTATATGCAACACTCGAGTGTCTTATTTCTAATACATTTGCAAAATGTTCTAAAAAAAGTTTTTCGTTTTGTCATTATGGGGTATGTTGTGTAGAATTTTTGAGGGAAAAAAGGAATTTAATCCATTTTGGAATAAGGCTGTAACTTAACAAAATGTGAAAAAAGTGAAGTGGTATGAATACTTTCCAGATGCACTGTATGATGATGGAAAAATAAAATCAACTGTTTGTCTAGTGAGGTTGACAGAGGTGACATCATAGAGCAGGGAAAAAAAATATATATATATATATATATATATATATATATATATATATATATATAAAGTTTGCAAGATGTGCTACGTGAAAATAAAATACAGCATAAATAAGACAAACATAAAGGAATAAAGGTGCTTGTTTTTTGCAAACCCACTCAAATTAAAAACATTTTTACAGCAGTTATTTTATTTCTAGCCAATAAAGCTCTGGCTGGTCTTGCTCTTACCTATTATTCAGATTTGATCTTACGAGATTACTAGCATGCTCAGTCTTATGGAGGTCACTATTGAAAAACTTGCAAAAAGTGTCAATTTCACGCAGAATCATGTTGTTTTCAGTAGTGCTAAAAATTGTAGAGCATGACTGGACTCAAATCAAGATTAGAGGACAATTTAATTGGGATTCAGTAATCTTAAAGTCTGTGATTAGTCTGATGAGTTTTTCATTGTTTGACAGTAATAATAATAAGTGTTATACAAACACAGTTTGACTAATCTATAGGATCCTGATAATATCTAATCCCAAGCTTTAAGCAGACAGCATAACCTTTGAGGTTATGCTGTCCAATTGTGCTATGACCATTTCTTATTTGAAGTGGCCACTGTTTGTTGAAAAGCAAATAAGCATCAATATTCGGAGTTTTATGTAAACCTCTTTTAGTTTAGAAACCACCTAAACCAACTGTGATTAAGCCAAAGCATGACGTCTATTCACAGTACAACTCCATGCTGTAAGGATCTTTAGATCTTACCAGACATCAGCCTTCCTGCCGTAGCCTTCTCCACTGATCACCTCTGGGCTCATCCAGTAGGGGGTGCCGGTCACTGAACGGATGCCGGTGCCAGACATGCAGATGGTCTGCAGCCTCTTGCTAGCACCAAAATCTCCAAGCTTCACATTGCCAGCTGAATCTCTCAGGATGTTGGCACCTTAAGAGCAGAGTAGGCAGGGATCATGTAAATATAATATCTCACCATTCACCTCCCACATCACCAGACACATCCGTCTAGAAAGCAGGGAGGCTCTGCAGTAAAGCAGGACTACCTTTGATGTCCCTGTGTACAATCATGTTGCTGTGCAGGTAAGACATGCCCTCCAGGATCTGCCTCGTGTACTTGCGGGTCACATTTTCTGTCAGTGCTCCATAGGCCTTCAGCTGGTCTTTGACTGAACCCTGGCAGATAAAAAAAAAAAAAAAAAACATGCGACATACTCAGTTAGCTGAAAACGCCAACATTACAGCACACCGACTGCAAGCACATCCAATAGTGCACACGGCTCTCTTGGGTTCAACTTTTGAAACACTGATTGTCAGCTTTATTTTCTTGTCAGCATCAACATTTTCAGCACATCCATCATTTGCAACCACTAGACATTTTGTAACACTTTCCACAAAATTACTGGCAGATTTGGCAGTTTTACTTTGAGCCAAAAGTCGTGTTTCTAATCCTACTGCTGAAGGCTTAAACTGGGTAGGTAAAGAATCAAGGAGCTGTATTTGAATGAAGTTCTTGAAACATGTCTGTGACACATTTAATGGGATGTTATTGAAAGTAAGGAACTGAATGCAAAATCAGGGAATGAAATAAGCTCAAAATTTGCTTAAAAGCAGCTTAAAATGAGAGCAATCACATGGTTGTTTGCCATTGTACAGCATCTGAAGTCCTGGAAAAAGATCCTGTTGAATGTTGTATGTTGTTGCAATGCCATTTCACCAATGTGAGGCATGTGATGCAGAAGAAATATGCAGTTATTCAGTAATGTAACACTATGAGGGGACCTGTAATTTCTTAGCTGACTCCACAACAAACTGCTGAGGATTTCATCAGCACTTCATCTGTCACACTCTCTTCCTATTGTGAATTTTTGACGACAGGAAATTGGAAACACGACTACTATTTGAAAGTCTCAAACTGAGGCAAAAATGGATATCTGAGTTCCCAAGTTCCAGCCATGAGTAGTTCATGTCACAAATAAGGGGGCGCACACTTTCAAGTGAAATAACAGGAAATGTGACCACTTCTCTGGATGTCTAAACTCATTAATTTCACCAGCTGTAGTCGTTGAAACCAACTGCTGTATTTTGTATTTGTTTTGTGCTTTTATGTGACAGACTTAGTTGCCTGGCGTAAATTAAAGCTCCCTTGTATCGTAATATCAGATGTTGCTTGGACTCACCCCAGGCATGTACTCCATAAAAATAGTGAGGGTCTTCTCATTGTGGTCCCTCAAGCAGCCGTAATACTGAACAATGCGCTCATGATGCAGATTTTTCAGCAACTGGATTTCACACTCCAGAGCACTGACCTCCTGTTGGAAAACAACAAGCGGTTGGGAAATTAAACACTGGAGATTAAAATGATCACCAAAGCATAAAACACAAAAGTTGTTACAGCTACACAATGCGTTGCTGTTGATTTACTGTTTTCATTTGCAGACAAAATGCATTCTTGGGACACAGCGGAGCCCCACAGGCTCTGTCCTATCTGTTACCGCTGATGACAAACAATTGAACCATAAACACAGGGAAGACAAACAGTGATTTAAGACTGCATGTGGTGTTGACCAGTGGTGGAACCTGAAGCAGGGAGTAAATGAAAGTTAATAACCAAGTTCCCCATAAGAAGTTCCTGTGTTTACATCAGAGGTCGAGGCTGGGCGACAGAGAGGGAAGTTAAAAACACAGAAAGTAGTCCCTATGAGAAAAACATAAGTATCATAGAAAAACATCAGCTATCTACAACAAGCTGGGAGGCCTTTTATGAAGAGGTGATGGGAGGCCAAGGCAAAGCTGATCCCTCAGCCCTCTCTGACACCACGGTGTCTCCCAATAACACTCGGCTTCTTTAAGAAACAGGAAGTGACAGTGGATGTTTCCTCTGTGGAGGATAGGAAAACACATCTAAATGGGTCCAACGATAAGGGGGAGAAGGAAAAGCTCCTGGGCACATTCCATTTCTTTATTAAAGTGAATTATTTATCCTTCTTCAAACTGTTTATTTTACTTTTGTGTCAGGGGATGTGATAAAGTTTCTGTGGCTTCAAGTGAAACTTGGGAACCGCAAACAGGCAGTGTTTTTAAGAGTGTTCTCAGTTAAGTCCTAGCTTACTGCCTTTAACTCAGTATAACAGCCACAAGAGTTTGTAATGCACAAAAATGAGGTCACTGTTGGTGTTTGAAGGAGTGGGCAGAGGTGAAGAATCTTAGAAGATAAAGCTTTAATTCATCTGTTAAGGAGTTATTCTGTAAAAAAGAGGGAGGAAAGAAGTCATTTTCTGACAAAAAGTACATGCTTGATTTGTAGGCAAGACTTAAATAAATATCTGAAGCTATTGGTTGTTACAGGGGACAATAATAGCCAAAAGCATCCATCCGTTTTCTACTGCTTATCCCATTGGGGGTCGCGGGGGGGACTAGAGCCTATCCCAGCATCTTGGGGCAAAGGCAGGGGACACCCTGGACAACTTGCCAGTTCATCGCAGGGGTGATGTATAGATACAAACAAACAAACAACCATCCCACAGGCAATTTGGAAGTGACCAATTAACCTAACCCCACTTTTGCATGTTTTTGGGATGTGGGAGGAATCCAGAGAACCCACACAGACACAGGGAGAACATGCAAACTCCACACAGAAATGCCCTGACCTGGATTTGAACCTAAGGACCTCCTTGCTGTGAAGTGACAGTGTTAACAACTAGACCACTGTGCAGCCCCTCATCAAAAAGCAGTGTGTGGGAAATATTCTCAACTTCCCTGCAAGCCTACCAACTCTGTCTTACCTTGCTGGTGTCAGGACTCTCGGGATCAAACTGGACTTGCTTGGCAGCCAGCTCCCTCCCAGTATCCACATCATAACACAGATACACCCGGCCAAACGCCCCCTGACCCAACAGCTTCCCTCTCCGCCACGTCACAGGAGCACTGGGCGCTGGGGAAGAACACACACAGTCAGCTGTCTATTTCTGATTTTATTCCAATATACATGTGACAGAAAATAGAGAGAGCATAATTCTTGACTGTATACGAGACAGCTAGTTTGCCCCCTGACCACTAGCATTTGTGGGAAAGTGGGCTGAACAGAGAGGTCTGTGTGTTCGATGCACAAAGTTGAAATGGTTTTGAGTCTGTTGAATCAGTTCTGGGTAAGAAAGCAAACTGTACTTCCAAACAGTGAAAAGGGTTTCTTTAACCTCATTTTATTAGATTTGTCCACTCTGAATCACGAGATTAAGTGAATTTGTTCACATGGTTTAGTTCAAATACAAATCCATTTCGACATTTATACTTTGACTAATTGTATGATTTTCCTCGGCTTTTATTACATGTCTATTTTCTTCCATTTCCTTTTAGTATACACCCTGCAGTGAGACATCATTTTATCTTTTAAGAGTTTATACCAACTTCCCTCAACTTTATCATTAAAGTGTATTTCACTGTGGGGCATTTTGTTGAGACTATCCACACTCACACTTGTGTGCAACAGAACGATCCTGGGGGCGGAGCCTGCCTTGAGCATCGACAAGCTGCCAGCTTCCCAGACTCTCCTCACTGCCATTGAGCGACCGCCGGGAGGGAACCAGTGTAAAAAGGTTGCCCTGAGGGCGACGGATCCGCGGAAATGTTCGACGGCCTGAAGGATGAGCAGGTAAGGAAAAGGTCAATACCACACGATGAGGAGGAAAACAAAACAAAGAAAAAAATGTTCAAGTTAAAAGAAAACAGGTCTATGATTGGTGAATACAGAAGCAATAAAAAGCACCCTACCTTCACTGTGGTCCTTATGATGCAGGGAGACATGATACCTTCGAGGGTAGGTGCCTCCTTTCCCTGCTACTCGATCATACACATGATTCTCCCTGTCTGGAAGTAAATGTCCAAAAGTCAAAGGTCAGCAGGATTTCTCCATTGTCTAGTAACAGTTCAGTCACTCAGCCTTCTCTCTTATAAAAAACTTCAGACTGACTTTCTCAACTCAAGCATAAAAAGAAGTGCTGGACTGATCTTCTTTTTTTTTATTGATAGTATTTGGATTAATCTTTTACAACTTGCAGCCAAAGTATGTAGAACTCATATGTAGAACAACATATAGTATCAGTAAGAAAGTGTTTTTTCAAAATGCCAAATTCCCTGTGATGTGACTTTCCTGCTTTAACCTTGTGTGCCTCTGGGTGAAATTTGAGCATTCAGAGAAGCTTCTTTCACCTGAGCAGTCCTGGCGATTATCAGGATAACTCTTGGCTCTGTGCATGCGGGACTTCCTCAGCGATGGGCTGTGAAAGAAGAGAAGGGAGGAGGACAGTTAGAAGAGGCTCTCCTTTGAGTTTTGGATCCACAGACAAACAAATTATAGTTAATCTAAAGTCACGAAAACCTGTTATAACAAAATGAGATGCTGTATGAAAAATAATGGATGACTTGTGTATTTCTGGTTAAAAGAGCAAGAATATTTGCTCCTCACCTGTCAGAGTTGCTGTCCAGAGACTGGCAGCTCCCTGAGACAGAATTTTCTGCACTGCTCCAGGGATCCAGCACCTGAGCAGGGCACAACAGAAAGTGAAAGGTGTGCATGCATATGTGCATCATGTACAGATGTTTCATTCAGAAAAATCCACCCCTAAAGGATATATACAATCAAGTCTGACAGCATGGATTCAGTATAATGCTGGGGTGTCACAGATGACTTTGCTTGACGTTTTACTTAGAGATGTAAATTAAACTTGTAAGTAAAAATGATCATTTATCCTAAATGTTGTGCCCAAAATCAGACAAGATAATTTCACAGGGAGAGCCAAATTATATTAGAAACCACAACTACTGAGAAAAGGTCTCGATTCGAGATTTGTCTATGTGGTCAGATCTCATCAATAACTCACACACTGATCGCTGGTCTCAGGGATGAACTCCCCCTCACTGTTTATGCTGGTGTATGAGCCTTGACGGGCAATCCTCTGCTGGCGTTCAGGCACATAGCCAGGAGGCGGTGAGCTGCGGCCCGTGTTCTGAGAACCTGGGATCACAGTCGTTATGAAGACACATTAAATATGTGAAAAATGAGAATTTCAAATGTTTACAGGCCTGAGGGGCGTTATCTACAGCGTGATTCCAGGACTGTACTAGACTGCATGATCATGTTGGAAATACTACTTGGCAAACTTTCACACTACTTTCAATCCATCGCCTCTAAGAGAACAATTAACTAAAAATAAGAGCTGATTGCTTTAACCATGAACAATTTTTTAGCACTGATAACCCAGTGCTGTCAAAATCAAGCCCTTCCGCAGCCACTTCAGAGGGAAAAGGGTCCTAAACCAGAGCACTGGTCGACCACACTAATAGCATTCTGTAATCTGATTGGCTGCTTTCCAACAGGCAGTCGTCTAGTTATGGTGAACAGGAAAAGGAAGAGGACCCATTGCTAAAAGGGGAAGCCAAAGAAGGAACAGCCAAAGACGGAGTGAGCGTGAAGGCGACAGACAGGGAAATCCAGGTAATTCAGACAGAAGTTGCATTCACACAATTTGATGGCTGCCCGTTACCGCACATTTATGAAATGTTGACATGCCCCTCCATGAGTCAGAAAGTGAACAGCCTTATTGTCAATACAGTCAGAGAAAAACTTTAAATAACAGATGAGTACCAGTTGAAAGATGGCGCCCCCTGGGCTCAGAGGATTGGTACACTGTGCTAACATCTCCAGTGGACTGAGAGGACTTAATCCTCACCTGCTTACATGGCACATGATGAGAGGGGGAGGAGGCCTGACGAGAGGAGAACAGCAGTTTTGAGCACAATACAAGGCTGGACAATCTTTCAATGTGATGTAATGAGGAAATTTGTCTTTTTTACAACACGGATCTATGGTGAAATGACTGTGGTGTAACACTACACTGTAAATTCATGCCTAAAGAGTGTGTGTGTGTGTGTGTGTGTGTGTGTGTGTGTGTGTGTGTGTGTGTGTGTGTGTGTGTGTGTGTGTGTGTGTGTGTGTGTGTGTGTGTGTGTGTGTGTGCCTCACATTGCTGTGCTCTTGTGTGAGCAGCAGGATCCTGATACTCTTCATGTTGGAGCTTCGATCAAGCAGGTCGATGGCTTTGTCCAGGTCACCCTGATCTCGAAGAGGGATAGATAGCTGCCGGATAAACACACAACAAACACACATAAATACATGAACTTACTAAGATACACAAGCACAGAGTTAATTCCAAACTGTAGCCATATCTTTTCTGTATGCACTCCTAAAAATCAATTAAGACCATTGTGTTATTCATAGACTAAGAGTAAGAACTGCAGGAAATTATATGACATGACATATGATATGATGACAAGATATGATACAGTATATCTGTTGTAATATGCTATCCATGACTTGCTACATATATGATAATATATATGAGATGACATGACATTATATTTGATATGATACGTCATATCATAACATGACTTGATATAATATATGATATGATATACTGTATAATATGATGATATAAGATGAGAAGAACTTTATTTATTCCTGCGGGGAAATTCGACATGATATGATATGATGTATGACATGACATAAAAAATGATTTACTGTGAGACATATCATGACATGATATGTATAATTTGATATGGTATGACATTTTATATAATTTGAAATGACATATGATATGTAATGATATATTATGTAAAATATGATGGAATGAAATATAGAATGATTAATTGTGAGACATATCATGAAACGATTTATGATATAATATATGACAAATAATGTATGACGTAACGTAATATGTGAAATGATATAGAATATGACATGTCATGACATGATTTATATATTACATGGTATGTAATATGACATATGATATGATATATTTCAAGGTATATGATGCTTAATATGATTTACTCTATGATACAGTACATGAAGCAAAATGAACATGGTTTGATTCCATACTTTGCAATATGATATAGTCCAACAATACGATACAACACTATACCATACAGTAAGAAATGCTTCCACACTTTATATCGTGCCTTACCGTACCATACCATCTGATAATGAGTTACAATAGACAGGAAAAGTATTGATTACTGTATAGATATCTTATCCCATCTTTATCTCAGCTTTTTTTCTGATAAAGCGAAACGTACAGAAGACAGACACACATACATAATGTACAGGTATAGAAAGACTCAGATATGTTTTTAAAGCTGAAGAGGTTAGCTGATCTTTACATTTTTTAAACTTAAAAACACAAAATACTCTCTCGCTGCAACTTCTCAATTACAGACATTCTCCTTAGATCTAAATGAGAGGGTAAAAAGGTTCAGGAACACTACACAAGAGGCTCAACTTTACCTCATTATTCATATAGTTCAGGTCTAGCTGCTGACCAAAGACAGCCTTGACCTTCTGCTGGATTTCCTCAAACTGTACCGGCCGCCCAAACATCAGAATCCTACAGGTTAAAGAAACAGTAAAGGAATCACATGAACAGACAGATGATGAGAAATTTATACCGGCTACTCGGGAAACTGTTTTTTAAGTTCCATGCACACGTGCAGGCTAAATCAACACAAGCTGCTCTTTCTGTGTGCAGATTCCTCTAAGTGCACCTTGCATATTTGTGGTTTGTGCTGGCAGCCACTGGCTAACCACAGTCCTTTCCCCTGCTTCAATTCTCCGGCTCACATACCAGTCTGAATCAGAACTGGAGTGTGTGTTTGACTCTGAAATGTGCTTTTCTTCATGAACTGGAACATGTGACAAGAACAACGTTTGACTAAGTGTGTTTATGTCCCTGAGTGAGTTCATGCTCCCTCTGACTTCTCTGGATGTATACGTTTGTACCTAAACTGCCTTAAAGAAGAACAGGAAAAAAAGCTGTACCACACTTACCTCCTCTCTCCTGAGAACTCAAACTTTATCCTTACATCGTCCTGGAGAAAAGCAGAAACAAGAGTCAACAGGAGAAAGGTGTGATGAAGAAAAACGGTTGTAGTAGGACAACTGCACTGTATGTGGTGATGACGTTTTTATCAAGTTCTAGAGCTGGATCCTTTCTTACAGTCTCCTCTAAGTCTGAACCAAGTAAGTGAGTTAGGAGAATAGTGGAGTCTGTCTTTCCCAGGGGAACAATCTCTGGTTTTAGGCAAACACTGTACTGCACACGGGCTGTCTACTTTCACTCCTCTGGGCTGCAGCAGTGGTAGAACGTGAGGGTGGGTGGGCTGCAGGCTACTTTTCAACATGAGCAGAATATATTTTTAGAGAAGAAGTAGAAAATAACTCAGTGCGCTTTAATACATTTCAGATGCAGAATAGCGTGGGTGGCTATCTTGGGAATCCATCAACCATTATATCAAATTAGCAAACTGTGTGGGCTGGGGGAAATTCTATAAGAAATACAAATATCTCTGCATGGGCTATACCCAGTAACACAACTCTTTATTGGAGCAGTGGTCCAAAACTTGTACTTCAAAATAGAAAAATCTGTTGTCATGAGGAAAAACCTCATCCTGTCTGCATTTAATGAAGTCCCGGCTGTTCACAGTGATCCAACTGTGCACCAATAGACTATTGAACATTTATTCACTGAGTCAAGATCATGTCTGTCCTCCCAAAGTCAGAACTGTTAAAGACCCACTCCGATGAACATCATGTTTTTCTTGTTGTCTACATGTTCATATGGCATTTTTTTCTGATGGTAGAGGACATATCGTGAGAAAATTGCAAAATTGCATTTCTGAGTATTTCTGCACTCAAATCACTGTGAATCTCTGGCAGACCCAAACAGCAGGTTCAAACACAGAGAGATTTCCTACGTCACAAACCCAAGCTCCACCCCCAGAGCCCCACTATGCCGATCAGACTTGGAGGAATAGAGAGGACGATCGCGGAACAACAGACTCACACAGACAAAAATTTTGGGGGTAAAACATGCTATCTTTGGACATCAGGGTCTAACAAGACAGTATTAAATTGCCTTTTAATTACTTTTAAAAAATGCCATATCACAAAAAATAAATTAATAAATTTGTGCTTACTTAGAGTTTAATATGTATTCTCGCCGATGAGAAGCCAGTAAGCGTCTCCAGAAACATGGCTCATGCCCTGTGTTTAAACCCCAACTCATGACAACTCTACACAAGCGCTGCCATCTGCTGTTTTTAAAGCCTTCTGAAATGTTTAGATGGTGGTGCAGCTGTGGCTCAGTGGTCAAGTGGGTCGTCTCTTCAATCCAAAGTTTGGCAGTTCTACCCCCAGACCTACAGCCACATGCTGAAGTGTTATTGAGGAGGACACTGAACCCCAAACAGTCCCTATGACAAATCTTGTTAGCTATGAAGAAGGCGTATGAAAGACTAGAAGCGCTTTATACTTGATCCCGTTTATTCTGTACTTCACCTGTCTGTTGGCCTGGGCTGGTGTCTTGGGTTTACCGCTGTCATATGACGATAGAGGCTGGCGCCGTGTCATCTGGAGGGCAACCAGGTCCTTCATTATGGAGTGGAGAGCCTGCCTCTCATCTGGAGAGGGAAATACACAATTAGAGAGAGGAATGGAAAATAAATGTGCTGCGTCTACTCATATGACAGAAAGCCTCTTAAAATTAACTCTGTACGTCAAGGTGTGAGCAGACAATTAGTCTGTGGTCTTTAACCGCAGCCATATGGAGACTATCCTGTGTTGTAGTATCAGAGCCAGAGAAGGACTGCAGTGTATTTCACATGCCTATTCCCATGTTTGATCTCAAGGCAAGCTCTGCTCGGCTGAACAAGCTCATGAAGAGAAAATATTCTCCTTGTGTAGCTTGGACAGACTTCATACAGCCCCAGGGCAGCGGAGAGAACCAGACCCCTATCTCCATAACGCCAAAACCCAATGTTTCACCCGCCAGTGTCTGAAGCAGACACTCGAGCAGACTCCGACCTCTGGCCTCAGGGATGCTGTTTAGTGTGAGTGTCTGTTTTTATCTCATGATTTAAGGATACCAGCCCCTCAATAGCTGTCGGACATCAGACAGACTTACTCATTGTGCCGATGTTGCTGTGTGAGCTTCAAATCAGTCCTCAGATGTTTGTCTCCGCTGTGCCAACCAGCCTACAGCCTGAAGTGATAAACACACAACACACACAAATCCATTAGTTACAACAAAGAGCAGTGAACTGAGGTTGGCTCTGTTTTAGTTCACAACCTTAAGGCTGGCATGACTGCAGCGTTATTTTTGATCAGTTTCAATCCCATCTTTAAGGGTTTGAATGAGACATTCAACAGAAAAGCTCATTTTCAGTCAGCACAGACCCTTCTTCTTCTTCTTGCATAACTCCTTGCAGGCATGTAAGAAATGTAACTTAACCCTCCAGAACCCCAGACCTACAGATTTCTCTCTTACAAGTTAGAGTGAATGTGAAAGTGTGCAGCGCATGTGTGAGAAAGTGTGCCGTCTGTTTTGCCCATGAGAAAGAATGACAATTGGAAACGGCTGAAATCCAAGCTGCACTGGCAGCAAACAGTCTGGCAAAGTTTTTCTTTTACAGAGTTTTCTGTGTTGTCAAAATTCAGCCGCTACAAAACTCTGATTTGACGAAAGGCAGAGCCCTTTACCTCTGTGTGGAGTTTTCACACTCCATTGTTGATGGAAACTGGACAATTTTATCAGAGTCTCTGGAGGCGTCAACAACGTTATAAACTGAGGCATTTCCTTCAATGGAGAGGGTTTTCCTAAATTTGTACCAATAAACTGAAGAATTCAAACTAATTCAGCACAACACAAAAAGACTCTTGAGCTGTGGTACTTCTGACATCCTCAAACATAAACTACATTTTCACAATCACAGCAAATGATGGAGGACTTTGGTGCTGTGATTTTGGTAAGGTACCTCAACAAATGATGCACTTATCTGCCTTTTTTTTCTTTTACGTAACTTTGAATCACTTTCCTGCACAACTACTTAAAGGGATTTCTATGGCAGCAAATGCTGACCTGGCATCTTATTGTGACTGTATGAATCTGGCAGAGGCTTTGTATGAAATATAAGCCAGTCTTGGCACAGACTTCCAAAGACTCTAATGTAACTGCCAATGCTTGGGCTAACACACAGCTTGGGTTAATGTGTTCTATATCTGTATGAGCTCCAATGTTGAGTCATTTTGTGTCACTAAGAATAAGATCAGCCCCTCAGGTAGATTTCAGATCAGTATTTTCCCATAGCTGTACACAGAGAAGAGATGAGATGAAAAGCAGAGTCCATTAAAAATTAAGCGAATCTCAGAAATATACAGTAATAAATTATTCCAGCTGTGCTTATTCTGTGGTGAGGGAAGCTTGGATAGGTTTAATTTACAATCAAAGAGTGGCAAACAGCACAGGGGAGTACTACAGAGCATGATGAACAGTGTCTGAGGATGGCGCAGACAGGAGAGGTCGTAACTGTCCCCCAGAGGGTGGACTAAAACAGTCAGAAAGCTGTCTGAGAGGCAAATTCAGATGCAGGGAACTATTTCTGTAGATGAAATGGGCATCATTGGCACCTGAGGCAACCCATTGGCTCTGTGGATTTCTGGGTAATAATCACCCACAGGAATCCCAGGCACGTCCGTCTTTGGTTGGTGGAGCATTTCCATGCTGCTTTCAAGCTTCTGCCGCTCTCGTGTTCACCTGCCAATCGAGTAGGTGCCAAGGACTTTTATCCTCCAGTCCTTCTAACTTTCATGCTTACAGCCTTTTCTCACATTTCTGCATAACAGAGTTAATGAGGTGTGCAATCCCCCCCATCAGAAACATGACTGTACGGTCACTTCAGGACACTCAGAGAAGTTTTCCCCACTGTAAACCTCAAACTTTCCTCCAAAGAGAGCTGTAAAGGTGCTTCACAAAAATGCACAAATTGTGCACTCAAAGGAGTTCTTTTAGTAAACAACACAATAACAAAAAAAACCTTCCTGTCCATTCTCACAGTAACCCTCTTCTCTCCCTCAATCCTCCTGATTTTAATTACCTCCCAGGCGGAATTCAGGGAATTCATTGGAGGAGGCTGAGCTCTACCAGTCCCGTCAGCTGTGCCCGCTTTATTTTCCTTGTATCGCATTTCCAGGACTAGCAGGATTTACATGGGTTTTACTCCCTCCCTCTCTTCTCTGTCTGCTTCGAGAGGTGTTTAGTCTGAGGCTGTTTTTCCCAGCCACGGTTCTTACTCTGTCTCTGGCCAGAGATGCATCTGGATTCACGGCTGGTCAGCAAAATCCCCTTGGTCTGACATCTCTCCTGTTTCAGGTGCACATGTGTTTCGGGTTCAGCAGCCACATTTAAATATTGAAGGCTCGAAATGATGCCAAGTTAAAACACCTTTTGTAGCGTCTCAAACAGCACATTAAAAGAAAATTAGAAGTTTAGCTCACGTAGCTCAATATGTAAAGTATGATTGTAACATATAAGTAGTGTGAGTAAACACAGCTGTCAGCTGAAGCTGTACTTTCATTGATGATCAGTTGTTTGAAGTTCATATCTCCTTTTACAACATTCTTATGGACCTGATTTTTAAGGAACTTCTCATTAATGTCCTGCATTTTTAATGGTTTGCATTTGTCTCCATGTGTAAGAAGAAAAGCCTTCAATTGTGGATCATTACAAGTAATTAATTTGATTTTAGGTTCTTATTGGTGGCCTCAGAGGCAACCATCATCCTGCATGTCATATTTTTGCTTTTAGTACCACTGCACAATGATGCTTTGGTTATTATAAACCCACTCTTTATTCATGCTGTTCAGTTTTTCCATTGTGTTCGTTATTGTTTCGATGAATTATCTATTTTCACTGTGCATCCCAGGACTAAGAATGAATGCACAGCCAACAAATAAACGTAAGAACAAAGCTTTGCACAGCCAAAGAAAAACCCACCACTAAGTCTAAAAAAAATAAAAGACTACCATGATTTCAAAAAAAGGTTCAAGCTCGACTAACTTCAATTTGATTACTAGAGGTATCACAATGAAAAAGATCTACATCTTTCCATCCTTGGAATAAGGTCTGTAGTTTTTGGTTATTATTGATGAAAATGATAAAACACACTTAAAAGACTTTGATTTGGATACATGTCCAGGAAGTGCTCGAGTTGTAGCCTCATTTGTGAGCAGAGACATAGTAAAGGCATATTTTCCCGGATTCCTTGAATGCAGCGTAATTCACTCCCCATATACCTGTCATTCTTGTCACGTGCACCATCCGCAAACCCTCACCTGTTGCCTTGACGACCTCAGTCAGGACAAGTCGGGGCTTCTCCCACATGCAGTCGACTCTGGTCACCGGTGTCTCGCGGCAGAGATGACGCAGTAAGTCCAGTTTTCTCTCACGTCCATTGGTGCTCTCATTCACAACAACACACCGGAGAGTGTGTGTGTGAGTGTGGGGGCGCCATGGCGGGGATGACCCCCCAGGTAACAAGGAGTTGTCTCCTCCGACAAAAAAAAAAAACTAGAGCTCACACACAAGCGGATAGTTTTCCAGATAGTCACAACAAATACCGTCACATCAGACAGCTGTGTGTTTTAGAAAGCAAATGTTCCGACGGACAAGAATGCATCACACCGCTCCAGTCAAACTTCTGCTCCGCTGCAGCCCCTGATCTCTGCAAAACTTACATTTCCAAAACATTTTAGAGGACAAACTCGACAAAAACCGCTTTCAGGCCCGATGGACAGGCAGCTGTGTTCCATGACCGTGTTACATCTGCACAAAATCTACAGAACAAGGTGTATAGCCTTTATGAAATCCATTTGTGAGTGTCAGCTCGCCAGGGGGAAAGACCGTACGATTTCCGTGATTTGATGGTCTCTCTTCCTGCTAAATTTGCAGATTTTCCTAATCTGCGCTGCCAGCTTGGAGTCCGAAAACCTCAAAGCAAGAAACACCTTTACTTTTATAACGGAATTTCATGTAAATGCGGTGCATTGCAGCTTGAATATGGGTCACCACATATAAAGAATAACTGCAGGCCCATGACAGGCCTGTGGCAAAAGTTTAAGTGAATTGGATTCAGTGTGGTAAGAAACGGAGTTCAAGCTTAATGCAAAAACTGACTGAAATATCGAGGGTTTTTTTTTTTTTTTTAACAAAAATGTTTTTTGCATTAACAACTGATACACATTATCTCGAAACTGAACGTGAGCAGAAACCTATCATCAAACTAAACTTAAATAAGTCAACTCAATGGATGTCTTCACTTCACATAGCTTTAGACTCTTCAAATACAGTCAAACTGAAAAATCGTGCAAAGTTTTCACTGACACTATGGTGTCAAAAAATAAAGACAGTCAGATAGTTTCCTTGTGGGCTCTGTGGAAAATGGAGGTCCAAAACTTTCTCCAACCAAAACAAAGTCAGAAATAATCTGGAGCCGAATACGTCAAACTTCCTGACAGAAAAATATCGCTACCGGAACCTCTCTCTGAGCTTCCAACGAATCATGAAAACTGTTCTCCAGCTTCGAATCCACGATATCCAAGAGTGAGACTTTCCATCGTCCATTCGTGTGTAATAACAAATGTATTCCTGAGGGGATTTCTACAAACTATCTTCACCAGCGCCGAGCAGACGCGGGAACGCGCTGTTACTTGGTCGAAGTCTGTTGACGGGAACGTGCACAAAATTATCAGAGGGGCGGGTCAGCTGTGACGTAGTTCGGTTTATGATGCCTTCAGGACCTCAAGGAAGATCGGGTTTTCAAACTCTCCTATATGTAAATCTAAATCCAAACACTTCATTCCGCTCCAACATTTTTCTGGACAAATAGGCGGTGAAATATTGCTGCAACGATATTTTTTCCCTAATGACTCCTTCAGAATTGTTGATTTTTCTTTTTGTCAGCTAATTTATCTGATCTTTATTCCTACTAGTAGCAAAGCACTGAACTCTTGTGGGATTATGTTACAGCCAAAGTAAAGGAAGGGTGTCAGTGGTCCAATAACTCATCACAGTTATTTATAAGCTGCATTTTTCTTTTCACAACTCAGTCATAAACATTATCCATCCAGGCTTTGCAGAGAACATCTGTCACAAAACAATCCTCTTTTACAGCACAACACACGTTTTTAATGGTAATCCAACCAGAAGAAATCACAATTTTATTTTCATAAAAATCCCTGAAGTCATTATGAACAGGAAATTAAAATAGCAAATCTCTCTCATCATTAATTTTACCAAACTATCACACTTAACATTCTTACATCAGCCATCTTTACAAGTCTAATTTTGAGTCCAAACATTTCACACTTGTGTCCAATATTTGGAAGGTCTTATTAGGGATGGGCGATAAATTATTGTCCATGATTTATCCTCAGAAAATCCCTCCACATTGCCATCTCACGATAAACGTGTAAAAAGCAAGTTGATGAGGTAAGCGATGGCCTTGCAGCTGTAGCCCACACAGCTGGCCGGAGCTGCTAAAGAAGACGTCTCTGAGCAGCTTGTTGCTAAACGAGGCTCCACATAAGGAATTTCCTTCAAGATTGGGGTTTAGATGAGTGCAATCAGGTATGCCTGAATTGGACAGTGGATTTGCTCACTCTGTACAATAAGAGTTTTCAACAAATGTTCAAAGTGTATTTACATTTTACTAGTTTTCTCCATAACCTACCCCTAAACTTGTGGTTAAGTATCTTATTTGACTCCTCCAACCAGTGTCTTGAAGACAGAATGAATCAAAAACATAGAGAGGAATTTTAATTCTTTTTATCAGGACTTTTATCGTTATCGCCAGAATGACAAAACTTATCGTGATTAATTTTTTAGCCCATATCTCCCATCCCTAGCTCTTATCCCATATCTTTGTTCACGGCCAGGACCCCTCAAAGAAGCACCTGATAGCTCTCGTGTGTAAATCAAGACTATCTTTATATGAAACAACACACAAAATCACTTCTTTAATTATCACCAGCATTTTATTTTTTTTTCTCCAAAAGCATGTAAAAAACAAGAATAAAACAAAGAAGAAAATGCACAAAATGAGTGTGTATTGGCGTAGAAAGGGGGCGCTTACGTCTTAAAATGATACACTTCCATACCACAGCTAGGCGATAGAGGGAGGGGATGGAGAGGGAAGACTGCAAAAACAGCCCAAGGGTTCTTTTGCTGTAAGGCCACCTCAATCCACAGGTCAAGTTTTTAAAACAGATTAAATTGAAATGTGCATACATTTAAAATGTCTTGATAAAAACAGCATTGAAAAGTAAGTTCACAGCAAGTATAGCACAAAACTAAATGACTCACAGGTTTTACATTTAAAACGTTACACTGCAATCATTCACCTGAGCCTCTTGGCACCAGTGTAAAGTGTACCTTGTCTGCTCTGTTACACTAAGACATTTGAATTCACAGATACTGCAGTTGTACCTTGGCGAACTGCTAACAGAGAATGACAAGACAGCATTTCTAGATACAATACTCTTGATTTTAAAGCATTCTCAGAGATCCAGAGGACCGATTTGAAAATTAAGAAGAAAAATGAAAATATAAAACACACACTGTCACACGGATATAATCAGAATTATAGAATATTACATGTGGATAAAAAGTGGTTCAATGAGAAAGTGGCTGCTGGTTGGGTGAAGTAATCCTATGTTACAGAGTGGGCATCTAACATAAGCCTGTTTGTTTCTGAAAAGGCATTAACAGATTTCTTGCTCAAGATCTGCAGATTTAGAGATCTTGTTTGAAAAAAACTCAAGGTTAGCTATTTATTTCTAAGGCTTTTCCTTTCAAAGAAAAATCGAGCAAATATTCATCCAAGTCTTTCTCCTGCACAGCATGCTTAAATTCACAGTTAAACCTTCACTCACAAAAGGTACTTTGTCATTCAAGTGTCAGTCAAGTCTTAGTGATAACCGGACGTTTTACTAAAATGTGATATTTGAATGGCTTTAGACTCATTCTTTGTATAGAATGAAAAAATAAATGTTTTCTAAATGGATTCATTTCTCTTAGGTGTTGGAATCAAAGAAGATTAAAGTTGCTGGAGTGCAGTTTCTGCACAGCAGTCTGAGGCAACGCATTTCAAAACTTTGAATAAAGGCTTCCTTATGTTTACAGGCAAGATATTTTTTCTTCCTCCTCTCGTTCTACCTCCAGCTGTTACTGTCACACTTTCCCCAGCAGGGGGTGCTCTGCACCGGGTTTGGCATGCAGCATGCAGGAGCACAAATGGGGACCAATACTGTGACAAACCCTCTCTGAGACACCCACTTTTCATTCGATATTAGAAATAGGTCCAGGCGCTAAGATGCATTTAGCTAATAAGACAGGAGACGAGAACAGAGAGGCTCTCATCTAAAGAAAAAGGAAACCTGTCTGCTCTAACTAGACAGGACTGTGGGAAACAAATGACAATACATGTCAGGGTGACTGGAAAGGGTCACACCTACACCCCTGTAAAAACTACCCAGTTATATGAAAACACTTAAATACAGCAGGGAAAATAAATCATCTCAAGATGCCCAAAACTGATGAATCAAATGACAAAGGAACAAGGTTGTGTGATTCCCTGCAGGACTTCAGCTTTGTTCACCAACATCCTCCTCATTTGTGACAAAGAAATGTATCTGAATAAATCAACCACACTAACCGTCTATGTCTCCTCTGAATTGTTTCACGCTCAGGTGTGAGGAGAGATGTTAGGAACAAAGCCAAAATTCCCTGTGATTATCAACATATTGTCTGGTGGTGATGAGCGGTTGTACGTGTAAGACGAGAGTAGAGTTTGTTGGGGAACGTTCACTAAATTACAAACTACAGCTCTATGTACAGACAGAATACAAAACACAATCTGAGAATTCCATTAAAATTTTAACCATCAAAGCTCAGAGAGGATCAACTTCTGCCATGACATCAATCTAATCCTAACTCCAGTGCTTTTAAAAACCCTTTAAAAAGGTGATTTAAAGAAAAGAAAAGCTTTCACAACACAACAGATCAATACAGTCATAAGATAAGGCTATTAAGACTCAGTCATCCCCACATGCAAGAATTGGACTAAAAGTGGTCATAAAAAGAGAACCATGGATGAAGCAACGAAAACATAACACAAAAATAAAAAAAAACGCGAGAGGTGAGCTGTTGCTGACATGTGCGGTTGTGTTACAGTACTCTGTACCCTGTTTGTTCCTCAAATATATGAAACCTGACAAACTGACACAGACGTCTCTGACAGTGAAGTCACAATACTGAGGACTGTTGTTTCGATTTGTGTTGTTTTGTTGAGTAAAAGTGTGTTGTTTTTTTTAAATCCTTGGGTGAAAATTGACCTGAGTTTATGCTCTACTGCAAAACATGGATGCACCGTAACCCCTCTGATATGTCTGCCTGAGCATACAGATGTCTCACTCAACAAAAAAAAAAGGGTGCAAATCATTTTAAAAAATTAAAAAGGAAAAAATATAAGTGATTATTTTTACACTCCCCATTCCAGAGAAGGCATTTGGTCACAATCATCCACCTATTTCAAGAAGGAATTAAGAAAATACACATTAATAAAAACATACCCAAAATACATCCCCAAACTATGGTTATGACTGGTGAGTCCTTTCCTATCTGTTTGTGCATGTATCTGTATTTGATGGCCTTTAAAAAAGCAAGTGAGAGTGTGGGTGATTTAACACTGCCTCAGCACATGAGGCATGTGTTCACTGTGATGTATCAGAGGTGTAAAGAAGGAGGGACAAAAGGGGAGAGACAGGGCAGGTAGAGGAAACAGGTAGACATGATTATGCCGTCTTTGTTATATTATCTGTCTCCTTGGAGGCCCAGAGCTCTTTGTGCTGTTTGCGTCCAAAGCCCTCGTCGTAGTTTCCTTTGCTTTTGAACAGCTGCTGGAAGTGGGGTTTGCAGTAAAATTCTCCTTGAAGAGCTGCAAAGGTGCCAAGGCTGTCGGGAGGAGAGGATGGTGTTGATTATAAACAAACCAGGGGGAGTGATCAGCAAAGACAGATCAAGTAAAAACAGAAACAAGAAGTCCAGAAAGTGGGATTCTGTGTAAAATGGTCATAAAAACATAAAGTAAATAATGTTCATCAGCATAAAACTGCAAAGAATTTGGAGATTTGAAATTCTACCACAGAAAACATCATTGAAAACTTCAGAGAATATGGAAAAATCTCTATAAAAAGGACAAGGCTGAAATCCAAGATGAGATGACTGTGATCTTCGGGCCTTCAGGCAGCACAGCATCAAAAACAAACATGGACCACTGCAATGGCTCAAAATTACTTCACTTTAACTTTTAAAATCCAGTCCATGATTGTATCCACAAATGCAGGTTAATACTGTACACTTCAAAGAGGAAACCATCTTCAAACATGATCCTGAAATAACTGTGTATCCTCTGAACCCATTTAAAGTTGACTGAGTGAAGGAAAACTGTCCTGCAGCCAGAGAAATCTACATTTGACGGCCTTTTTGGAAATCATGGACAAGGGACCACCCTCCCAGCTAGTCTAGTCTTCTTGGTACCCAGTTGTTGACAGTGTTGCAGAGGTTGTAATGGTAAACAAGTCTCTGTCTGAGCCTCATTTTTTAACTATATTAATGGTAAAACTTTAAAATGAGAATAAGTTTTTCAAAGGAAAATCACAGTTCTTCATTTTAACATTACATATGTTCTCTTTGCACTATTCTAAACTGAATAAAGGGTTTAAAAAACTTTCAAACTATCACACCCTGTTGTTTTTTTTTTACCACTGGGTCTCAGCTTCTTTGGAATTGAGGCTGCGCTGGATATGCAGTCACCTGAGTTTGGCATTGCAGTGCTTGCAGCAGAAGCATGTAGAATGGAAGACCATATTGTTGGCGACCAGTCTCTCCATTGGGTAGACTGTCTTCTCACATGATGAACACACTTCCTTTTGGGTTTTGAAGCTGAAAGACTGAGCACATACAATATACACATTTACAACCAGGCATGAAAAACAGGCAGGGGTCTGGGCCTCCATCTTCAGAGATGAAAGCAGGCATCAACAAAAGATCTGACATACAGAAAAGACTTCCTCTGCTCGCTCTTCAGATCAAACGAAGGTGAAGGTGAAGCAGAATGGAGGAACACACACACACACACACACACACACACACACACACACACACACACACACACACACACACACACACACACACACACACACACACACACACAAAACGCACAAAGCTCAACCAAAAACTACAAAGAAACAGAAGATGCATATATACCTTAGATCGCTGAACGGGTTTCTCTTCAGTGGTGTTTCTGGTGTCCTGGATAAATAAAGAAAAACAAACTGAAACAAATGTGCTATACTGAATTTTAATGCATGTAAAAACTCCAGTTTTACTCCGACTGAAAACGGCAGCTGATAAACTGAAAGAAGGGGGGGGCATGGGAGACACACACCCCTTTCATTTCTCATTGTCCTCTTACTACCTTTAAGGGTGTTTCAGTATTGTAAACCTGATCTCTTGTTTTCTACCTCTCTTTCTACTCGCTCCATCTGTCTCCTTGCACCCCTGGGAGAGGATCAGGTGCCTTCTGTCTAGTCATGTGAGCTGAACTGTTGGACGCTCTGCATGGGGCTGTCCTCGGCATAGCACAACAGTTAAGAACCAGCCTTACAGCGAGGAAAAGGAGCACCGCTGAAGTCTCACAGAAAAAGGAGATCTCTGTTTAAAAACGTAAACTCTATGAATGTCTTTATTGCTTTGTTTCTCACCACTCTGTAACTCATGCGTGTAATGAAGCCCTTCATTAAATAAACCCTACAATCCTAGGTTTACTCTTGCAGTCTCTGTCTACTACATAAAGTTTCACTACATTTCCATTCACGCTCTGCTCTGCCTGTTGATGTTTCTGTCAGATAATTATAGTTTGAGTCACCATGAGTAGAGGAATGGAAAGACTTCCCCTCAGGCGTTCAAGAGGTTAGGGAGAAAAAGATAAGCCTTCATGATAACAAGCTGGAGGAAGTTACAGAAAAGTAATGGCTCCTGCGGCAACGAGCAACAGCTCTATCTTTAAGTGAGGCGAACAGGTATTTAAGCACAAACACAGAGAGAGACGCTCAGACTTGCATGTGTTAACCGCTGTGGAAAAGCCAGTGTGCAGGAAAGAAGGGCAGCCTCTGTTTAGGCAGGGGAAAGTCCACTGCAGACTCTGCTAAACCCCTGTTATGTAAGGCAGTTTGGCTGGAGCTGGAGGGAGAGCTGTGGTGGTGGTGATGGGGTGGGGGGTGGGGGGGTTGTTGGGGTCTGTGATCAGAGTTGTAAGGGGAAGGAGATCTTTGGCTCCAGAGGCAACTGCTGATCATCAGTCTTGAGGGTCTATTAATATTTGACTTGCAAAATTCCCTGCTTTTTGTACCAAACAGCAGCTTTTCAGAGACAGGGAAATAACAGCATGGAGTCTCTGCATACTTTTCATAGAAACAGTCTTTTAACCCTTTAAGGAAAATCTTCTTTATCGTCAAAAACAAACTGGAGCTGTTCATGTTTAAAAGGTTGATCTTTAACTCAGCATGTAAGTCCCAGATAACTTAAAACAAATGGGTTGTGCCTCTTTTTCCGTCATTGTCTATTTTTCTGTTGGAGTTTTTGTTTCTTAATTTAACTAAATACAACAATTTAATAACACTAACCAATGTGAAAATTCTGTACTTGGGGGATATAATCAAATAAACGTAGATGGGGAAAAAAACTGGTTCAGTTCAAGATCACCACAGGAGACTTTTGGATTTCTGTGCAATAATCTGAAACAGTTATGAAAAAAAATATCACAAGGTAAAATAAAAGAAATTTTTTTCCCCCGCACAATAAAAGGACATATGCTTATGCATATGTATGCTACAGGACATATCATGAGAAAAATAAGCGCGAAATTGCATTTCTGGGTATTTCTGCATTCAAATCACGGTGAACCTCTGGCAGACCCAAACGGCAGGTTCAGAAACAGTGAGACTTCCTACGTCACAAATCCAAGCTCCACCCCTGGGGCCTCGCTATGCAGGCCAGACTCGGAGAAGAAGAGAGGACAATTGCGTAACAAGCAATGCGTTTGCGGATTGCAATGCTCGAAAGAAGAAAGCTAATTATAATATTAGCTTTCATTATGTCCCTAAAGACATTAGTGTCCAAGAGCTGAATAGCTCCTATGTTACCTGCTTCCTTTTACTACTGGCAATGTTAGGCTGCAAGCTAGCATGAATAGGAGTGAATTGCTAATGAGCGACTGGAGCTCTGCAGAAGAAAAGCCCTTGAAAATGATACAGGTAATGTGATTTTGGCTAAAAACTTCATGATCACAATTTAAAGTTTACCGACAAAAAAAAGGTCAGAATGAGACTTTAAATGTTATCACCCTTACAAGTTGGCTCCAGCACTTTTAGTTGGTTAAACAAGTAATTCATACAGTTATTATTATGAAGAATCCTGAAATGACATATGTCATATGTTGCATCTAAGATGTATCAAAGCCACCTGCAGCTAGCCTAGGCTAGACTGTAGCTCCAATTTAAGGTCCCTGTCGTAATGCTACATTGTTCAACTGTTTGGGTGCAAACCAACAAAAGTGACAGATCTTGGAGCACTGTGCTTTTTGGCTGTATTTTGATCTCAAAAAGATGGGTGGTGGTGCCACACCAAATAAACCTTTTGACCTGTTCACCGACAGACTCTGTGAGCTCATGTTTAACTGTGTTAACTAACTACTCCTCAGTTTAGACAAGATGTAAATGAAGGGGTGCTTTTCAATAAACCATAAAAACGGTGAATGTTGCTTCTGTGCTGTAATTTGCCTGATCTTTTTGACCCTTTAATCCTAATATGACATCAAACACTTGAGTAGGTGGAACACACGGGGTGTTGACTGCACTGATGGGAACAGGATGACATGCTTTTGAAATAATTGGGTCATTACAAGTGAAGCCATGCAGCTTCCTGTAGATGCAATCACATCTCAATTGTTTGCCTCCTCTCCATCCCTGATATACCTCTGCTGCTCAGTGGATCTGTTGCTGCGAGAATGCTAGCAGACAGCTCACACATACACACACACACACAGAGTAAACCACATCCTGGTGCTGCTGTAAACCCTGAATGACTCTGACTCTGACCTTAAGTTATTCAACACTGCCTAAAACTGAGTAAACCTCTGACAGGTCACTCACAGTAAAGTCAGACTACCTTCAGAGGCTGTGAGAGCAACAACATGAGGTCAATGCCGTCTTCATTTGTGCCCCAGAAATCACGAAGCTGAAGATGCCAAATAAGGAGAAATGATAGGAGCGAAAGCCCAGAATTGACAAAGTTTTTTACTCTGGTGAAAAAACAACCCAGCATGATAAGTAACCATGTTAGGGGGGTAGGCATGCATTCCTCTACACACACACACACACACACACACACACACACACACACACACACACACACACACACACACACACACACACACACACACACACACACACACACACACACACACACAAACTCGCAGACATCCAGGAAGACTTCAGATTAGCTTTGCCATCTTGTCTTTTTTGCCTTATATGTACATGAGTCTCATTTGCCACTAAACAGTTGAATGTGGCAGGAAGTTATTGTGACACATGTGGCTTCCTCTATCTTACAGAGTTTAAGTCCCATCTCATGACTTTCATCTTAAAGAGTGTGAAAAACTACACGTTCCTGAATGAGTGAGTCCAAAAATCACTGAGTATATGCAGGGTCAGGAAACTGACTGTCTTCATGAGCACAGAACAAGGTGTTCAATGTAAAGAGGAATAAAAGAAGGCTTGTAGTGTAATTCATTAGCTTTGCTAGTACCAACTCTATTTTAGCGGTGAAGCAATTTGACATACCAGTGTGTGAGAGGCTAGAGCCAGCTGGAGAGCTGCATCACACCAAACAAAGACCACTTTCACACGAGTGGAGAAATCTTTCTTTCAACAGAGGTTCAACTCGGAGTTGCTTGCAGCACCACGTCCATCTTTCAACTCTAAATCACTCCTGCAGCACATCTCTGAATCTTTCAGTATGCCTGAAATAGTTCTGTCTTCAAGAGTTTGGGGTTATTTTTGTTGTTGAAAGAGTCAGATGACAAGGTCAATGCAAATCTTGTGTTTGTAATGTAAACAACAACCTGCAGCCTTTTAGCATGGCTAACTTTACACTCAGAACAGCAGTGGGAAAAAGACAGCTTGTGTTTGAGAACAAAGTCTGACTAACAGTCCTCCATTAGCACATGAATCTTTCACTCTCACCTGGACTATTTTAAAGACTAATCAAGAAAGACGTGACTTGGCTGTCAAAATGTGAGAAAAATTCCTAAATGTGCAACAAGCTTGTTTACAAATGATGACTTGCAATCAAAACTAAAAACAAACCATAAATCTAGATGTACGCGGGAATATTTCTGCTCCTGTTTCTTTCTCAGTGCTGGCGTGTGTTAACAGCATCTTCCCCAGAGTACAAAATTATCCAAAATAGCAAAAGTGCTGTGTTTTAAAACATCAAGCTCGTCATCTGACTCATGATCTTCGCTTTTTTTCCTTCTTCAGTCATCTTACACATCAGTCTGCTTTGCATGCAGTCACCACCAAAGCGACACCTACATATAGGCAGTCTCAAACGGGTGAAGTGAATGTGCGTCACGTGTATGGATTAAATGGTCACTCCTTTTTTAATGGTCTGTTTAGTGTTACAATTGCAGTTCCAGATACAACCATAGACTGTATAAACATAGATATTAGGGGTGGGAGAAAATAATCGATACAGCTCAGTATCACAATACTATGTCTGGTGGTATATCACATTGTCTCATTGACCAAGTATCGATTTTTTTCAAATTCATTGAATTTAAATCTACGATAATGGAAAAATAAAATCAACTGTTTGTCCAGTGAGGTTGGCAAAGGTGACATCATAGAGCAGGAGAAAGTTAGTACAACAAACAGCACCTGGGGAAAGACATAAGGAATGCAAACAGGGCACAAATGAGATGGACCTGACACATAAGTTTGCAAGATGTGCTTCATGAAAATAAAATATTGTGCAACTAAGACAAACACAAAGGAAAGACAAATCCTAAATTAGTTAAATAGTTGAAATTTTTTTTATAAATCGCAATATATTGTTCCGCAATACTCACTGTATTGCAAAAAGTTAAAAATCACAATAATATTGTATCGTGGCCCAAGTATTGTGATAATATCGTATCGTGGGGCCACTAGTGATTCCTACCCCAAATAGATATAGTCTCAGAGGCGTTAGGAACAATGGTGATCCCAGTGTTGTAAATGCTAACCCCAACTAACTTGACTAGAAACCAGCCTAACCTAACAATAAGCAAAGAGGAAGGCAGGCCTTTAACCATGTGGCAGATAGCATCATTCTATCAGTCAAATCAGCCACACCCCTTAAGATGCACGACTGTTAGCTTTGAAGAGGGATCTGGACCACGACGAAGCGATATTGAGCTGACTGCCTGGCTAAAAGTGTGAGGTATCGCAGATTTTGTTTGAGAGTCTTATCAATCTTCTCCCCAGGCCAGTGCAAAAAGCAACTGAGTGTGTTTCTACCATTACTCTAACAAGTTCAACCATTTTTTGTCACTGACAAGAAATGAAATGACCCCTGACTTTGCCCTTGTTCTTTCAACATCAGGAGAACGATGTAACGGTTAGGGAATTTAAAAGCATGCAACATCAAAACAGTCTGTGCGAGTCTTTTACTGCTTTGAAAGCCCAACAGACGCCCAAACCCATAAACCAGACCCCTCTAGTCTGAATCGTGCTGTTTACAAGAGCTATCAGCTGACGTAAATAATAGCAATTTAAAACAGTTTCAGCAGCTGTAGAGGCTTTAACAAGGGTTAAAGGTCAACATGTTTACAAAGAGTACAAAGCAAGAGGAAGAATTTGCTCATTTTGCCTTTTTGGTTCTTCTGAACACAACAGCATCTGATAAACTACCCCTGCTTCACACTTGATCATAGCTGAATACGCACAATGTACTGACACAGCTCCATAGAAGGGAAGGCAGGCGCTATATTAACAAATGCATTATATCATTGAAACAGGTCTCCCACTCCCTCTCACCCCTTATTTTTAGAGACATGATCATTGCTTCATCATTCAGGACAGCAGAATGGAAAACAACAGAGTGAGAATGTGGAGAACCTCATCTTTTCAACTCAACTAAACACAGTCTCTCAGTCGTAAATCACTCTGACTTTTAATCATAACAAACGGCATTTTTCAGCTCTGTACTTGCAACATAAACCACGAGTCTTCACTTTAATATCACTGTAGATAGCATCACGCTATATATTGCACTTTCTGGCGTTTTGAGCCATGGCACTGATCCAACAGCTGAAACAGCTGCTGCAGGGGAAAGATATATGGACTCCTTTTGACAGCCAGCCTCCATCAGGAACTCTGAACATGAAGAGACAAAGCAAGATATGCGGACAAGATGCCAGAGAAGACAACAAGTCAAGTCTAATATGAGGTTAGAAAAAAGTGCCACTGTGATGGAAAAGTACGCACTGTGGGGTTTTGACACTTGACTTGGTAGGGAAGTGATGAAAGTCCGAGGACACAGAGACAAAGAGTGCAGATGAAGGTTCACAGCAGCAGTCTGCAGACTAATCATATCTGGGAGCGTGTCAGGGTGTTGGGTCTGTCACTACTTCTCTTTCCTTTCTGAGCTTCCTGTAGGCAATGAGAAGGTGACCGGGCAGTTTTCTGCGCCTGGACTCACTAGATAGTGAATATCTTCTGTGTGTATGTGTGTGTGTGTGTGTGTGTGTGTGTGTGTGTGTGTTAGAGAGAGAGAGAGAGAGAGAGAGAGAGAGAGAGAGAGAGAGAGGGTGAGCTGTTCAAGTTCTATCTTTTAAAGACTAATCTAAAAGTATTTAATGACCAACAGGTCATTACTGTCAAAATAAAAGTGAAACATGTCAACGTTGCATCTTTATATTTTTTATCTTTTTTTTTTTTTTTTTGGGTAAACACTCAAAAAAAAAAAAAAAAAAAAAAAAACGGTATAGCTGTCCAATCACATTTGCTTGTCAAAGATGATAAAAAGCTTCTGTAGGTAACCTTAGGTTTTGGTTGATTATTGTGTCCTCTCTGAACACTGGTCTCTTTGGTGATGTTGTCATGTACATGTGTGACTGGAGTCTTCTAATCCAACCCGTCATTAATCTTTTCCATTGAAAATATAAAAGCAGTCTGTATCCGCTGCATGTACTATCTGAATTTCACTGATTTACATCAATTCCCCTGTTCTTTAATCATCAATAAGGTTGACTTTATGACTCTCAAATGTAAGAAAATGTCTACATTTTCCATCACTCTCCTCTTATGACCGAGGGGAAGACTCAAAAAGTCCAATCTGTGCCACAAATGCAGCAAAACGTTACTTTCTAGAAGTTGCAACTGATAAATTCCTGACATTTTGGTTTGGGAAATCATAAAAAAAAAACATATATTTTGGTTGATCCACTTGCTGCATATTCAGATAAAGAAATCAGGTCAGAGTCCAATCACATCTTCCATTATAAGAAGTGTGCATTTTCTCTATAGTTATTTTTTATTTGAGGGTGGACAAACCCCCAAAAGTGAACGTTTATGGCATAAATTAAACTTTTGTTTTGTTAATTTTTTGGCTTCTCACACCTTTGATATGATGGGACAGCAGATAGAATAAGAAACTGGAAATGAAAAGTGCCAAAAGGGTCCCAAGTTGAAGTCAAACCTGAGCTGTCCACTCCAAGGACTCTGTACATGGGGCACAATTTCCCTGCAAAGCCAAACTGGCAACCTTACAGACAGAGAAAATGAAAGTGATTTTAAACTTTGAATTAAAAGTCAGCAAGGTTTGCTCACAGGACTTTTCCACTGCTGTGTCTTTGTAACTTCCCTGAAAAAAGCCCGTAGAGCTACTAATGCCAGTTCTTTGAAAACAGAGCCAGGGGCAGGTCTGGCTGTTTATCAGAAGTATGTAATTTTAGCTCATCAAGCTTTGAAAATGTCCCGGGTTATTTTCAATTCAACAACTAAGTTAGAAACTATATAAACTGCTCTTAAACAGAACGTGTAGTACATCTCATTTTTGTGCGCTGACATTTCACCTTGTGGCGTGTCAAAGTCTGTCATCTTCATGAAAACAAGTTTCTGTACTGGTGTGCTGCAGCAGCTGGTCAGCTTTTTCTCCCCCTCTTAAAACTGCAAAAAGCCAAACCAGTGATGGCCTGTGGAAGAATGTTCTGTAGCCCTGCTGCCTGTGTTAACTTGAAACAGTGAGGGGATGCTGCCTTCAGGAACTCAGAAGGTGCAGAGAAGAAGAGACAGCCCAGAGTGCTTTGCCTGATTAGATATTATCATGAGCTAGAGAAGTGAAACATTTCAAAACCTAAGTCCCCCAAAGGACTGGTATTCACGCTGACATGCCCCTTCCTGTCTAAAAGAAAAAAAATCAAATGCAAATATCTGCTTTGTGAGATTTCCATTTCACTTTAAACTCTCCTGAACTGGAGTGTGAGACAAGAGGCTGCTGCAAACAGTCATTTCCTTGAGATGAAACGTGGATCACAGAAGTTGCAGAGAGTAGTTTCCCACAGAGTTCAAAATGTGACGCCTATTGTTGCCTTTTGAAACGCTACACTGAGAAAAAAACTGCCTTTGAGTCTTCTGAAACCAGGTTACCTACAAAGTGTCAGTGCTGCTGACAGTCAGAGAGATGCAAATCACTGTGGGTGCACTGTTGTTTTTTTTTCAACGATTAATACTGAGATTCTTTACAGGAAGATTTGAAGGGTGGAGAGCTGCTGTCAGACCAGAGAGACTCTACCAAGTATTAACAATTGAACTAACATGTAACATACACATTAAAAGCAGTAAAGGGACAATTACAGGCCTTTCCTTATAATCCTGTCTGAGATCTTATTTTCTTAGAAGTCTCACCGAATATGACAGAAAAAATGAAATAAATGAAACAAATCAAAGTGAAAGGAATGTGCTAAGACTTTGTGCTCAAAGTCTGAGCCAGAAAACTTCAGCACTGCAAAATCTAAAATCAGGTTTGCATTCATCAGAGGATGAAAAAGAGGCCACAGAAATCTGGCCTTCTTTTAAAATCAAGGATTGAAGAACAGGAGTATGGATTGAGTGACTGGGTTGGAGGTTAAGACGTTTTTTTGTCTATATTTCAGACGTTACAAAGTCTGTTGTGTATTATGTTTCCTTACCTCTTTGTTCATTGTAAGCACCAATGAACTGAGGCAAATTCCTCCTGATTTAAAGGTGCTTTGGTAATAAATCTGATTTTGATGACTGAAAAATAGCAACCTCACTTCTGTATTGATTTAGCTAGCAAAAAATGAAACATTTGTATGTCTCACACATCGTAAATCAATCATATTAAAAGCAATAAGCATTTCAAAACACTGTGAAACAATCCACACTTTTTCAGGCCCAGAAAGAGCTTTGTGTTCCCAACCTGACCAGATTTCACATGTTTGAGCTTCCACGAAGTGTAATAACTTAAGTGACTGAGGAGAGGACACAAAGCAGCAAGTATGCAGCTTGTGAAAACTGGTACTGTGGTCTTTTTTGCCTGCAGCTCTGACGTCTGGACCTGCTGGCGACCCATTTACTTCTGTTCTGCACATCTGACAGCAGGAAAAACTCCCCTCCTCCCAACATATGGCCCCTCAAACATGCCCACCAAACCAGGTTTTTGTGCTGTTAATGATAATTGTTTGACAGGGGAGCATATGGTCAAACTGAATAGATGTCATTAGTCCACGAAGCAGCTTCTGCACAAAATCCTTTCGAATTTCCACATTACTATTTTTTTCCATTGTTGTTTTTCCTTACTTTTTTTTTTTTTTACAAAGACAACAACAGGCTCTTAAATCCACCAAAACAGTGACGCAAATCATCCATCAGAGCACGGTGTCAATCCGTGCTGTCAGCTCCAACTGGAATTACAGTCAGGCAGCCCACTGATGGAGGCAGGAAATGAAACTGACCATATACTTACTTAAGCCTTTTCACCATATGCCAAGGCCATAATGACAGGCTGGTGTAAATGTGGTGCCCAGGATGGATGAAAAGTGGTTAGAGCAGGCCACAAAGCAGTTTATAAACTGTTCCGCAGAACAAACACAGACAAGAAGGGTGCAATGAACAATACAGAAGCACACTTTTCCTTCCACCTGGGGTAGAGCTTTAATCCACTGCTGATTTCAGTTTAATCCATTCACTTATTCATTTGGTATGACTCAGCTGAATATTTTAGCAGCTGCAGGTGAATTCATAAACCGCTGTGGGGTTTTATGTTCCCATAATGGTGTAAAATCCACTCGGTTCTCATTCAGAGGACCTTTAGCTATGTTTCACGATCTTGATTTCTGATAATCCCAGTTAGGTGATCTAAATGTAAGCATCTCCTTTTTTTGTATAAGGGACTGACTAGGTTAGGATAATGACCAGTGAACTGATCCTGTAATGTGAGTAAAGGGTGCTGTGAAGAATCAGGATTCTCATGTTTCTTTAAATGGCATTTATCCAAAATAACTTGTCTAGAGGTGTATGAAACTAAAAACTCGGATGCTAATACAAATGTAAACATATATAATCCTTTTCTCCTTAAGTTTCAGAGCTTGTTTCTTCTCATGTCTCTGCTCTGTGGTTTTCAGAGGGTCAAGTGCTTGGAAACCCTGTAACAGGGAACTTCTCTGTCTGAGAGCGAGTCTTTAGAGGAGACCTTTATGTAACACTGTGCAGGTTGGAGCCGGTTTATGGCACATTTGGCCAATTTTTAAGCTAGTGCAAAACAAAAACAAGAACCAAACCACAATAATTCTACTTACAATAAGTAGAGGCGTTTAAATTTGATCTGTTACACTGAAAAACTGGGCTAATTGGTGTAATTTGTATTGTTGAAATGGGTTTTGACTAACCTTTAATGTTGATATTAGTGATCCAACAAGCTAGCTAACTAAAAGATGTTAAAACAAGCGGTGCATCGTTAGCATTTGAGGAACACGACGGCTGGTGCTTAAATTCAACATACGAGCCTCTTTACATTATTCTCCCTCAACATTTCACTCATCCCCTTGTTACAGACGGAGGTTTATTGGAAACAACCCGTCCCCGGTAAGCTAAATCTGAAGTGAACCGAGTGAACGGACATCATCACCTCACCTCCTCTCTCATACAGAGAGGCAGAGAGGAGAGCAACGGAGGGAGGGGAGGCTGCAGACACAAATACACACAGGCACACACACGGTGCAAACAGAGCAGGGAAATCACTCACCATCTGCGCTTCTTAACTGCAACACACGGGCTCAGAACCTCAAGTCTGCTCACTTTGTGGCTGGAGGGTTTAGATCTGCTCTCTCGTTCACTTCTCCAGGAAGCTTTGTTGCAGTCTCTAGCCCCGGTACCGGCGAGTTTCTACCCTCCTCTTGATTCACGTCTCGGCTTTCAACAAAACGTTTTTTTCTCTCCCAGGCAGGATGTCGCACGCTATTGGTTCGCATCTGCTACTGATGCGTTCAGGGGCTGTCGGACGAACTGTAACCAAGAGAGGAGGATGAACTGTCACTGTCAATATTTTTAACGCTTACATTAAAGTGACAAACATCTGTTGTTTGATTGATCCCGAGTTTTTTTTTTTTTTGGAAATATTTTGTTTTGTCTGTTGCTGTAGACATGAACATCAGCCTCACTGACATTAATAACGTAAAACTAGAGTTAACTACTATTAGGCCTGCTGACTGTAATCACGTTAAATTAATTCAACATAGTCCATAATCTCTTATATCCTGATCCGTTAAACTGAATTCATATTGTTTCATCATTGCATGAGTTGTTTTTGTTTTTACTGTTTTGTAATGTTGCTGCTGTCCCCTGTCTCCCCCTCGTTCTCTACTCCCTTCTCCCTTGCTAGTTCCATCGCTCTCTCTCTCTCCCCTATCTCTCTGTATTCCTCCCCAACCCAGGAGCGGCCTGGTGGCTGTCTGGGATGAGTCGGGTCCTACCCAAGGTTTCTGCTTGTTAAAAGAAAGTTCGTTAGATGAGACGAGCCAAATCTCATTTTATGGTTGGGCCTTGATAATTCATCAATGAGCGTGGTCTAGACCTGCTCTTTTACTTTGGAAAGCGTCTTGGGATGACGACTGTTGTGAATTGGCGCTTTGGGCTATAAATAAAATTTGATTGATTGTTTTGGTTTTCGGGGTGAATGGTCATATCGTCCGTAACCATGATCAACATCTATATTTACTATATTTATTTGGCACGTGTGGGTAGGTGGGATACATTGGGCAGCCTGTGAACATTTCTTTCTCAAAGGTGATGTGTTAGAGAAGCAGGGAAAATGGGCAAGCCTAAGAATTTGAATGAGTTTAAAAAGGGCCACATTTTGATGGCTAGACATTAGGTCAGAGTCCCTCCAAAACCACAGCTCTTGAGGGGTGTTTCTGGTCTGAAGTGGTTAGTATCTATGAAAAACCCTGCCAGCAGAGGCAGAATGATCCTAGGGGCACTATTTTTCTAGGAAACCTTGGCCCGATCATCCATGTAGATGATGCTTTGACACTTGCCACCTACCTAAGCATTGTTGCAGACCATGTACACCTTTTCATTAAAACGATAATCCCTGATGGCAATGGTTTCAGCAGGCAGTGCACCCTGCCTCAATAAAAAAAAAAAGGTTCAGGAATCGTTTGAGGTGCACAGTGATTAGTTTGAGGTGTTGACTTGGCCTCCAAATTCCCCAGATCTCCCCTTCCAATCAAGCATCTGTGGGATGTGCTGGACAAACAAGTCCAATCCTTGGAGGCCCCACTTCACAACTTCCAGGACTCACAGGATCAGCTTCTAACATCTTGGTGCCAGATACCACAGCACACCTTCAGGGGTCTAGTGGAGTCCAAGCTAACAGGTCAGGGCTGTTTTGGGAGCAAAAGGGAGACCAACACAATATTTGGCAGGTGGTCATAAATCTTATGCCTGCTTAAATTTGTATTTTGCCTACTTTGTATGTCAAAGGTTGGGGATTTTTCATAAAGGCTACAGGCTTGACAATAAGAAAGGAATGCTCTGACAGAAAAACAACCCTTTTAAGAAAGGGCATAAAAAGATGAACTTGGTTATTACAGAAATAAACAGAGGACAAAAGCTGTGCAGATGTCAGAGGACAGAGCTAAAAGGTAGATGCCATGAGTCTTTTTAATCAAAACTTCACATTTTCCATGTGTGAATGAACACCTGAAATTCATCTCATACAAACAAATGCATCTTTTTGAAAAACATTTCAAAAGCATAGACTAAATGCCAAGGAAAGGCACTTCACTATAACTTGAATACAAGACACGAAAAAAGATGTACAGTTTCTGACATGGTTTACGGCGCCTTCAAAAAGGACGAGTTAGCCTACTTCATTAACAAAATGCAATCACACAAACACTGTTGGCAATATTCCAAAATAAAGCAAATGGTTTGCAAGCACAGAGGCATGTCTGACGCTCAGTGAGAGGAAAAAAGACGACAACCTACACAAACCAACAGCAGGATTCCTTACCCTTCTATTGCTTGACCAACAGTAACAACAGTCCCAATGGTATATGTACAGTGGCTGTCTCCTCGCTGCTTGTGTTTATATGCCTTATACACTGTTTAGCTTTGAACAAATAATGAAGACCTAACCGATCTGACAGGAGTGTCAGTTCACATCTACTCACAGTCCTGTGCTTCTGTCAGCCCTTGATATGCTTCGTTGTCTGCCTAACAAGAGACAAGCTCATCATGGAGCAGTTGGTTGAACATTTAATTTAACTGATGGTTTTATTTCTTAGTTGTCCCACCTGCTCTTCCTACGTTTTGGTGGGTCAGGGACAGCAAAACTATCATCTCCGCCTCTGTCCCTCCCATCCCCACTACCCCTGTCTCCCCCATCCCTCTCACTCCTCCGATCTTCTCTGTCCCTCCTGCTTCCATCTCCATTGCGACTATCACTGTGGCGGCTGCTGCTGTAGCGGTCGCGGTCACCATGGCGGTCCCGATCTCTGTCACTGTGGCGATCACGGTCCCCGTAGCGATCGTCACTATGTCTATCACTCCTGTCGCTGTGGCGATGGTAACTGTCACGCCCTCTGTCCTCACTGTGTCTGTCTCGTGAGCTGTCTCTCTGTGAGGGGGGGGCTGATGGAGGGTAGCTCTGCTGTGAACTGGTCTGATTGGGCGGCACTGAGCTCAGGGAGCCGGCGCTGGTGAAGCCAGCCATAGACATGGAGAAGCCCTGGGTCCGATCTGAACCATTGGGGGACTCTGTGGGCACAGAACTCAGGCTGCCAGCACTGGTCCAGCCAGAGGAGCTGCTGGACTTGGTGCTGAGTTTTGGGGGGCCGCTGGATGCAGCCACAAAGTGGCTCTTATACTGGGCCTGAAGGACAAGGAGGCATTGAGAAAGAGATTACAATCTAACAGCACAAAATGAACAAAAATTACGTCGCTGGTATCTTAGCTTTGTTGTCTTTGTGGTTAAGGATTCAGCTAACTGCCGTTTACTCAAAGGGATATTCCGGCGTAAAATTAAGTAAGGGTCAAACACACCGTCATACAGAGTTAGACAACCCGTTGAGAGCTTAATGTTGCTGACCGCTTGCTTCTCTAGTTATAACAAATTTAGTAACGACCGCAAATAGCAATACAGAGAGCCAAGTGCTCAACCAAAAAGCCATTCTATAGCCACAAATAATGCTCAGAACAGCACCTAACTTCATCAACAGTACATATAGAGTCCTAGCCACCAAACATCTTTATAACTTTGCCTGATTTCTTTAGCAAAGAGACTAAACACAACTCACCCTCTCTCTTCCAGCAGCCGCTTGTTTTTTATATTTTTTTTAATTATTAATATGGTGATTATTACTTCAAGGAAATGATAAAGAAATGATCATAAATGTTTTTCCTTGAGCTGCGTCACCCCTGCTGCAGTCGATGGACTTGCCCGAAGGTCTCCGTACAAACAGCTCTCTGTTTTGCTATATGCGGTCATTACTAAAGTTGGTATAACCAGAGAAGCAAGTGGTCGGCAACATTTATCTCTTGACGGGGTCTTTAACTCGGTGTTATGGTGCGTTTGACCCTAACTTGATTTTACGCTGGAATATCCCTTCAATTTGCTCCTTGCAAGGTGCTTATATTTTAACGCACTACCACCAATATTGAAAACTTTTATGCTGTGGTGAGTGGCAACACAACATTTTAAGACTTCCCACTCTAAGAAAACTGCAGCATTGACAAATGGTTAAAGAAGACAGAATCTGTCATTTTCAAACCAGACTGTACTAATATAATTCACATCAAGTCTGTGTTTGAATTTGAGGCAGGCTATCTAAATAAGAATGACACAAATTCGAAGAAACAGCAACAGGAGTGTAGTAACAACACTCTCGTGGGTTGGATGAAAGAAAAAGAAATGATATCAAAGATATAAAATCAGATTTAGCACTAGATGAAGATTTATCAGATAAGATGTTAGGCACCTGAAAGGCTTGTTTCATGGCAGACATGCGATCCCCCATAGCCCCTGTAGTTGTTTTAGTGAAGCCTTCGTAGCTGCTGGAGGAAGATAACACACTGCTGCCACGGTCCTGCAAACACAACAATCACTTAGACCTTTCAGAATAATCTCAGATTATCACCCATTATTAACAAGGGTGAAAACTTCTGTGGATATTTTTTAATTTTTAGCACATAGTTGATAATTATGTGCTAACTATAACTAGTAACTCACAGAACTTTCAGCCCCCAGGCCTGGTCTCTCTTTGTAACCAAGACCACCTCCACCAATGTTCAGCTTCTTTCCTTTACCACCCTTAAACCGGGACTTCCTGAACCAGGGGTTCTGGGAATAATGAAAGGACAACAGAGTTAAAACCATTCCCTCAAATCTGAATCAACACATTAGTTCCAAAGTTGATTTTCAAACTCTTGAACTCATCCATCCTACCTGCATAGCCAAATCCATCAGCTCTTTTGAAACACCTTGATTAGCTCCTTCCAGGTTTCTAACCAGGTCACCAGCAAATGATGTGTCTTTGGAGGTGAGGAGAGTGTAAGCAACACCCTTCTCTCCAGCACGACCAGTTCGGCCAATCCTGTGTGTGTGTGTGTCAATGTCTCGTGCCACATCGTAGTTCACTACTGTGCGGATGGATGGGATGTCCAGACCACGTGCTTAAAAAACAGGAATATTAAAGGACATTACAGCCAAGGCATCATCATTTCTTACTCTGCTGCGAAAACACCAAGATTTTACCAAAAAGGATGTAGAAAACCTGCTCTTGCACTCACCAGCTACGTCTGTGGCCACCAGGATGGGCAAATTCTTTTTCTTGAAGTCACTGATAACCTTGTTCCTCTCACTCTGGTCCATGTCTCCATGCAGGAGGCCCAGACTGTATCCTTCCTGGGTGAGGTTGGTAGCCAGTTCCTCGCTGTTTGCCTTTTTGGTGACAAAGATGAGGACTGATCCCGCAGAGGTGAACTCAACCAGCCGCTTTGTCAGCCAGCCCCATTTGTCTGCTCCCAGGGGGAGCAGCTCTACTACCTGGGTTACATCCTCGTTTGCCTGGTGAAAGAGAAAAGGATTAAAACACAGGGTTAATTTTTATTGTGGTTAAAGCTCTAAGAAGATTGATGTGTTTAGACAGATTATGAGATGCTGCATACCTCTCCAATGTCACCCTGCACCACACGTATCGGATCTACCAGGATGTCCCTGGCCAGCCTCTCTATCTTCTTTCGGAAAGTAGCGCTGAACAGAAGAGCTGTGAAAGAAACCATGTGAAGTGTTGCTGCTTTTATCACTTCTTATTTGTCTTTATGCTAAAAGGAATCCACTTACTCTGTCGGTCTGGGCGGACATGACTGGCAATCGACCTCACCTGGTATTCTGAAAGGAATAGAAAAATAAGCTGCAGTGCAAATAATGGGTTTCAAAAATTGTATAATGTGGGAAATGTTAACATACCGAAGCCCATATCAAACATACGATCAGCCTCATCAAACACCAGGTATGTCACTCTCTGTAGGGACGTGGCCTTCTTTTTAACATGGTCAATTAGACGACCCTGTTCAAAAACACATAAACAGTTACACGCAACAAAACAGTTAGCAAAGGAGTGCATGCAATTGCCTGAATAAAAGTAAAGTTAGCTGTCTCTTCTCTTACTGGAGTGCACACAACAATCTCTGCTCCCTCCTGAAGAGCTTTGGCCTGCTCCCACATGCTGCCTCCTCCATACACAGCCACAGAACGCAGTGAGTAGGCTTTACCGAAGCGCTTACATTCCGCATGGATCTGGCAAATATTTTAAAGTGATACACAATAAAAAAGCAATAACTTTTTTAATCAATATTGGATCAAATCTTCTCTGAACATTGGCCAAGTCTGACTCAGTCTTTTTCTTAATGCTTACCTGCTGACAAAGCTCCCTTGTTGGACATACAATGACTGCAATAGGCCCCTCTCCTGCCTCAAGTTCCTTTTGGTCCATGATGTGAACCAGCATGGGCCAGATAAAAGCCGCTGTTTTGCCACTGCCAGTTTTTGCAATGCCAATCATGTCCCGTCCAGACAGGGCTATGGGCACACCCTAAAATCCAGGTAGGGCACGAATATATCAGACGCTTTTTTGATTCATTATAAAAATAAAAAAACTACTGTGTTGCAACCTTTCAGTCGAGATAAAATCACACTTTACCTGGCACTGAATCGGTGTGGGCTGAGTGTACTCAGACTTGCGGATTTGGTGCATCAGCTGCTCATCAAAGCTAAAGTGAGCAAAACTCGTGCAAGGTTTTGGAGGGGCAGCACCAGATACCTGAGAAAAGAGGATTTGATATTCAGAGCAACTACTAAAAATTGAGGCAACAACATTTTTTTAAATAACAAGAACTTTCACACTTACTACTAAATAATAAAAACATGAATCTATCTGTGTTTAAGAATCCAAACTTACCCTCAAGTTCAGTTTCTGCCTCAACTCTATCACTTGTGTCCCTGTCAGGTTGCTGAGCTCCTCGTGTTCATTGTAGAAGTTTTTCTCAAATGGTGAGTAATCAATCTTGAGAAAAAAAGGGACACAATCAATAGCTGACCCACAGTTCAGATGGCACCCCAACACTGTCTTTAAAGCAATGTCAACTGTACCTCAGAGTGGTCAATGGGAGGAAGCGGCAAGATGATTTTCTTAGTGGCAGACACAATTGGGTTACCGTCACTGTCATAGTCAATGTTTTCCTCCTCTTCCTCTTGGGTCAGCCCAGCAGTGGGATTCTCTGCCATGTAGCGGAAATAGGCTTCCTGCAGAGAGCACAGCCTTACATGTGAAAAACTGAGACAGTTTGCTGCTTACACCAGCATCACAAATTCAAATATATCCTGCAGGATATCCAAAGAAACCAAAAGATAATTACTTTTTACAAACTTGCATCAATTATTCCATCCCTGGCTGACATAAATCGGACATAAAAAAACATGCACAATGTAATCTGCACAAGAAAAACAATGCATTCAATGTGATGCTAATTCAACCTGCATTGTCACATAGAGCAGAGGGAAGAGGCTTAATGAGGGTAGAGAGAGAAATTTATTCAATGCTCTGAAGAACTCTCTGATCAGCCATGTAGTGAATGAAGATTTCTGAAGGGCTCACTCACTTGTTCATCTTCCTCTTCAATGTCATCACGAATACCCCTGAAATGACAAGCGGAGAAAAAAAAAACTTCCCTGCGGCTCGTTCATACACCCAAGGCAGCCCACATCCCATTTTGACTAATGTCACCTTGCTTACCTGATGACATCTATCAAGCTAACAAAGACATTGCTTTATGTGCAATGTTTCTGATTATTAATTGGAAAAAATCTGACAAATAACCTTTGCTAAAACCTAACTAAGTTTTTTAAAAGAAGATAATTTTACACGGATGGGACACAAACTGACAGCATGACTGTCCCACGTCAGTGGGCCTATACTTTCACTCACTTGTTGGTAAATGATCATGTACTGACTTGGATACCTCCATAAATACTAAGAAATGACTCAAAGTCAGATCTATGTAAAAATGTATAATCAACATTTAAGTCTTACTTGGCTGAATTTTTCTCCTTTTCCTCAAGCTTCCTCATGTCTTTAGCTGCCTGGTTCTGCAAGCAGAAAAACACATGTTAATGCTTGTTAAAAAAACAAATTGGATAAAACTCTTAAAGGCGCACATATCAGTCTCTTTTGATGCACTCCCTACCTCAACCTCTGCCATGAAGGCATCAAGTGGATCATCTTCACTATCTGAGCCCCCACCAGACTGCATCTGCTTCCGTGTGGGTGAGTTCTCAGCAGGGATGTACGGCAGGTCCACATTGCTGGACTCCTCTTCATCATCTTCAAAGTAACTGGTTGAAAAAAAAACAAAGAAACCAATTTCAGTCACCTTATGTGATAATCAGGGAATTCAATAATATTTTTTAGATGGTGTATGTGTCCAGAAGAGATGCTGTACTCACGCATTCTCCTCATCAAAATTAGCTCTTTTGGTTCCTATTTTGTAGAATGAAGGAAGTTGCTGGTTCTTTCCATAGGCTCCACCTGATCCTGTTGCTCCAAATGAAGTGTGAGATTTCTGAGGAAGTTGAGGCTCTTCTTTTTTCCCTGCTAGGGAAAATCCTCCAAATCCAAAACCTCGCTTCACACCCGGACCGCCTTTGTTCCAGTTCATTGCTGTGCTCTAAAAAATTGGAGAGGAACCTTAATGAGCCTCAACAGTAATAAACACAAAGAAAAGACCCTTCAGTTAGCCATTCATTCCACTTGCCCTTCTTTCTGGGAGCGAGTTGTGGTTAAGAATGACAATAAGAAACCAACGGCTGTTCAAGGGGCCATAACAGTTAAGTAGTGGCATGAAGGACTGGTGATTTGAGTAGATAAAGCATACCCACTCATTTCACATTTGTATTATGGATACTCCGATAAATAGACATCTTTAGTAAGATGCTGCAGATGTTTAATCAGTCTGTGGAGGCAAGTGTTCTGTTCTACGCTGCAGTCTGCTGGGGAGGAAGCATCAAACACAAAGATGCAAAACATCTGAACAAACTGATAAAAAAGGCTGGCTCTGTGGTAGGACTCAAGCTGGACTCAGTGGAGGTGTGGTGGAGAGATCTACACTGAGGAAGGTGGAGACTATTCTAAAGAACATGGATCACCCATTTCACAACACCTTGATCGACCAAAGGGCCAATGGTGGTGGACGGCTCCTCTCTCTTCGCTGCAGGACAGAAAGATTCAGAATATCTTTTGTACCAACAGCCATCAGACTTTAAAACTCTTGAGTAAATTGTAGATTTTCTGGAGACATATTATGTGAGACAACAGACAATTGAATTTCCCTTCAGGGATCAATAAAGTTCTTCTTATTCTTATGCTCAAAAGCATTCATTCAAGGCAAAACTGTTTGTTGTCATGTTGAATTCAGCAGTAAGGAAAAATAAAATCACTCTTTCCAATGGTGTGAAAATGGCTTTAAATTACATTTTTGAAGTGCATTTGAAAATATCACCACGTTTGATGTCAGCAGAAATCTAATATCATGCATCTTGAATAGATATTAGAACACTGCTCGTCTGTCAGCTCATGTCACCAAAAACCAAACAAGCTTTCTGGGGGTAAAATGCAGCAAACTGTCTGGGTTAGACTGCATCAGATTGGCCTGGAAATCATAGTGCTATAGCTAAATAATGCAAGTATAAAATACAAAATAGCTGTGTGATTTTTACGAAAGACGACCGTTACGCCACTACATTTAAAAAAGACATTTATTTATTTGTCCGTGATGGTAACTATGCCTATCAAAGATAACATCACATTTTTCTTTCATTATTTTAATTCTCCTCCTTTAGGACGGCGACAGTATCACTACCTGTCGTTATAAACGCTAATATACCGATAACTAAACACAGCCGTGTAATCATGACAATTACATGATAGATAACGGTCAGGCGTATGGAGCAATACACAGTTTGTTATAAGCTTACACACCGGATAGTTATATTTGATATAAGAAACTCGAAATGCGTGGTTTTACTTTAATTTGTCGATTTGTTTAAATACACTGTTAGCTTTAGCACAAGGCCGCAAAATGAGGCCGAGCAGGGGGTGTGTAATAGAAAGCCGATACTTTACCTTTCAGATTAATTAGACTGCACTTTGCAATCTCTTGTACTGCGCGTTAACATTCTTAAATGACTGAGTTAATCGAAAAAAATGTTTCCAGTTATCACTCGTGTGTATCTACCTGTTTTCGATGGAAGTAAAGGCTTCACTGTTGTCAGCAGATCAAGCAGCGCTTACGTCATATGTGCGCGCGAAATTTCTCATCGAGTCGTTCTTGCGCGACGCGACGTCCATCCAAGATAGCTCAGTGGAGAGCTGCCAAAAACATCCGCAGGAGGGGATGGATACCTAAATAAGCTGCCCTGAACTTTAAGAAAATACGCTTCTGCTGCAAAGATTGTCTAGGTAAGGCATTCAAATTATAAGATAATGCCAACTTTGGTCGCTTAAATACGCCAAGTCAGCTACTTAAGCTAACGGTACTATACCCTGGCTAGCCTGACATCATAGCAACATAAGCAAATATTAGCAAGAACCCACACCTCTTGTTTGTTACAAATCTGCTCCAAATAACTTTTTTCTTCAAGTTTGAAAGTGTAACTTCAAAGGCTGTAGCTGGTGGTCAGCATTTTTGTGTTGAACAACTGTGATCGAAGTGTGAAAGTTTGGACCTCTAAAATCAGCCGAGTTAAAAGCTGTATCACAGATCCAGTTCTCAGGGGTCTTCCTGTTATAAAGTTTTCTTATTGAAATGATCAAACAGGGTATTAGTTTACTGTATATTATTATTGTCAGGACCATTTTGGCTCTGACTTGATCAGACCTGGACCTCTAAATGTGTGTTGTTGTATCTTGCACCAAGACGTTAGCGGCTGATCATTGAAGTTGGAAAGGTGAAGCCTCCATGAATTGGACTTGGATGATCCAGATCCTTCTATAGATTCTCAAGTGTATTTGGATCTTGCCGTGCCCTTGAGGCCAGCTTCCTTAGTTTCTCCATGCTCCAGTTCTGATGCACTGTAGATGTTTTCAGTGGTGGTCAGGTGTAAGTATGGCTGGGCGAGATCTGGAAAAGTTTATTATCATATATTTTTTTCACATCAGTCAATATCGATAAATATCATGATAGTAAAAATGAAATTTAACAGTGCTTATTGGTAGCATGTCTTTTGCAATACAATAAGCTACTGCATCTGTGAGGTCTTTGTGTCTTTTTGACGTTTTGTCGTTAGGCGTTGCGCTAGAGAAAGCTATTATAAATGGCATTTAATCAACATCTGTTAATGATGTTTCTCTTTAATGATATTGTCTTTTATTCCTTGATCCTATTCAGAAGTTTACTATTAATTTAAAGAAGACACAAGAACATAAACAAGTCAGTGTGAATGCACGGACTGGTTGAGCTTCCCTCTTTTCAAGCAGTGTTTTGCAGTATTAAATCAGTCTGTGGTGCATTTGTGTCTTCATTTTGCTTAAACCAAAATGGCTTGGCTGCTACATTTCTTATTAAGGATGGGCGAACAAAAAATGTCATTCAGTGGTAGATATAGCCACAGACCCTTCTTGTCCTCATTTGAAGAGTGAAAGTCTCATTCCCACAGAATTATCCGGCTGTACTGAACAGACTGCAGAGCTTGATTTTCCTTCTTTCAAACTGTTCAATTAAAGTTTTAGTCACCTTTAAACCCCTTCTGTTGGATGTAAATATAAGAGATAACAGTGACTTCTCCACAGCTACTTTATTTTGACTTTCTGGCAACGAATAGTTGGTGTCTTTTAGCTTTTGTGTTTTGTTTAATTTCTTGATACGCTGCTGTCTCCCCACAGGAACAGGACAAACAGAGACATCTTCTCCCTCAGCATTTTTCACTTTCACCACAGACATCCCCCGGGTGTGTTTTCAGGATTTCATATGTAACTCTCTCAAAAGGATCCATGTCTTTTCTTGTAAGTATTTTCCAAGTATCTCCCTACTTCTCCTTTATGTTTGTCTTTGCTGCAGGAAAGCTTTAATCCTATCTTTGACAGCTTTTATTGCAAGTATTCAGATACTATTGTTACTGTTACTCAGTACTGTATGATTATTTTATAAGGTTGTTAGACAGACTTGTTTTCTAACACCTTTTTCAACATTTAACAAGCTTTTTAACCATCTTATTTGACTGTTTTGAATATAAGCTGAAGGAACATTTCCTTATCTTTGCTTGCTTTTCTCTCTTTTCTCCCCGTCTGTCATTAACCCTGTGTGTCTGTCAGCGTTGGGTAACTGAGAAATTGAGTGTGGAGAGTCTGCGGGATTTGGAGTTATTTGGAGGTGAGGCTCAAGGCATCTGAAATACAACACTTCCAGTTCACTGCTTACACATGTTACACAGTAGGCCCTTCATCCAAACATTTTCTTCCAGCTGAGGTTTTGCTCTGAGTTGCTGCTTTGCTAAGCTTCTCAGACACCATCTTTGAATTCAATTGATCAAAGGTTTCTAATCAGTCTGTCATTTGTTTACTGTCTCATTTCTTCAACTTCTCAGAGGATGGCACCATACATTTGAATTAGGTCTTGTATCAGCTCGATACTGAAGAGAATGCGTTTATCCTGTGTGTAAAAATGTTGCACACTTCATTTTGGTTCCTTCAATATTTTTTTAAATTTGCCTTTGTACCTGAATTTGACTCTATTCTTCTTGTGATTGCGGTTGCTTGTGCATTTGGCCTTATTTGCTCATTGAATATTAAGCTTTGCCACTGAATATAGAGATGCAGCCGAGTGTCAAACTTATTTTGGCGCTGAGCTCTACTAAAGCAGTTAGCTTTTGGCCAGTGTTTGTTTATTTTAAATCCTTATTTTTCATTTGAACCATGACACTTTCTGGAAGTGCAAAGAGGCCAGAACAAGATTTTTCTCAGGGTTCAGAGCCTTTATTCATCTGACAAACACACCATGCTTTGTTTCAATATGTTATCGGCGTTATCAGCTTATTTATTTATTTATAAGACTGAAAGAACATCTGTAGTGTTACTTGCATTATCTATTGATTGATTGCCAGACTCCAGAGAGTTGGTTTTTCTGAGTTTGTTGGAATAGAAAACCATTTTTTTTGTACCAGGACTGGTCAAACAACTGATGTACACACCTACACTCTGTACCAATCCCACTCAAAATACTCCACAGAGCTCACAGCTTGTCCTGCTGCCAACTTGTACTTTTTATATTCTTAGACAAAGATACAGACCCCCAAATGTATCTTCCCATACATTCCCTGTTTCTATTTGTTAATTAAACAGCTGAGAGGAATCCTTCTTTTTGATTTTCACGGTCCTTGTATGACGTGATAAGTTTTTTCACTTCTTGTCACAAAGCTTCTCTATGTAGAATATGATTTGGACCAACCGTCCACTAGTAACAAATCGGGGATGGAGAGTTTCCTAAGGGCTGGTTTGGTTGATTGTTTCAACATTGAATAAAACATAAATACTCATGCTTTTTTATGATGATGGCAGGTGTTGTCATTTCCTTGAACTGTTGGGACTTCACTGAGTTAAACTGAGAGGGTAGAAAAGACAAAGAATAAAAAAGAAACTTTATTGATTTGATTGTGCCGAAAAGGTGAAAGACATCAAATTTGCTGCAGTGTTTAAAAGTTGTAGTTTTTTTTCTTTTTTGGTTTATTGTTTCCTGATAAGAATAAGGGTTTAATTTTGGCAAATTATGAGATCTCTTCTTTTCATGGAAAGATGTTGGGGTGATTATTCTTTTCTTTGCAAGCTTTGATTGAGTTTCATTTTCCTGCTGTCATATCATTGCTTAATGCTGCATGCTGGCTCAAGTTGATCATTTTTGTTTTGGCTGCTCTGTGTTCTCATAGCCCATCATAAGATCTGGGAAAACCTGGAGGGTTTATGTGCAATTCTTCTGCATTTGCTTCATTTGCTTTAGTAAGAAAATATTCAATAACTTCAGTCTTTTTCCCATAAATGTTCATGACAAAGCCTGCTGCAAACTCCCTTGACCTGGCGCTGCACATCCCAGTTGAAAGAGCTGCTCTAAACACAGATCCTTCTCCTGTTTGTGTGTGTGTGTCTTTATGTCATTGATGTGGTTTCTCTACCCCAGAGCAAGCTCAGGGACTCCCTCACAGGAAAGTAAGTGTGGCACTCCTGTCACTGCCTTATCATCCCCCATGTGCCTCTTGTTAATGTGCGTGCATGCATGAGTATGTGCGCACAGAAGTTTGTAAGTAGAATTACCCACAACCCCTTTCCCTTACCGCTTTTGCACATTCATGTTTGCATGCGGTCCACCAAAACACGATGTACATGCTTGTAGCTTGAAGGGACATCTCACTGCACTCACCAGAGCTTTGGGGGGAGGGGGTCTGTTGAAGTAGTCCTGTTTGAGTCTTTAGTGTGCTGTTAACATGCTGTGCTACAGATTTTGGTGTTTTTGAATCACCTCACTGAGAGTGTTGTGTGTTTTCTACACTGCCTGTCTGTGCCAGCGGCCTGTTGTTGAGTTGATGGTGAATTGGTACTTGTGGCCCCACTTTGATATCAAACAAACACTGTGTGTCTCTGCAGGCTGTAGACTGATGAGGTTAACATGTTCAGCTTTAGCAAAGCATGGCAGACCTGTTTAAATCTGATCATGATGGTAGCTTGTGCCCTCTGATTAGATTCACCGGTACAGATGCTACCCAAACTTATGGCTGTGATAGCATGTGAGTCTTTTCTGTCAGCCTAGTTTAAATTTACAGGCTTTATTGGATTTTATTTCCATGGAAGTGTCCACATGTGGTTTAAGAACATTCATCTGATGTAAAAGTCACCTCTGGCTCTTAGGATACAATTATACTCAACAAGGGACAGTAAGTTAATTATAAAAGTGTGTCTTCATTCTTGTCACCATGGAAACAATTAAGATTCAGGTCCAGCTTGCTCTCATTTGCCTCCACAGCTTGCTGCTGCAATCTGCCCGTTTCCATCATTTCAATGGGGAATTCAGGAGTCTTCAGTGCCAAGCACACTATCTTTTCTCCTAGTGGGTTTGTGACATGAACATGTGAAGGCATAGACTACTACTGTACTTTCATTTTAATTCGATGCCAACCACAGGTTTTAAAACAGTTGGGACGGGAGCTTGTTTACCACAGTGTGACAAAACCTCTTCTTTTACCCTGTAAGTGATTGGGAACTGGGAGGCTGGTTTCTGGAGTCTTAAGAGTTTAATGTCGTGCCATTCTTGCTTGATATAGGATTTCAGCTGCACCATAGTCCTGGGTTTCCAGTGTGTGTGTGTGTGTGAGATTGTTTGAATGTTTCATGAAGCCATATATATTTTCATTTAGTGACAAGTGAGGATTACAGACTGGTCAGTTTATTACCTGGACTCTTCTGCTACTGAGCCATACTGTTGTAATAAATTCAAAATGTAGCCTGGCATCTTCTACCTGTACTACATACAAGTTCCTCTCTGAAAAAGGTGGTGTGAAGATGGCAGCAGAAGTTGCTCCAAATTTTGATTACAGTATTGATGATGTCTTCTGAGTTGAGTAAACAAGCCATGCTATGAGCAGCTATAAACCTCTGTACTATTAGGTATGCTGGCTCTTGAAGTCTGCTCTAACCCCCCTCCCCTTTTGATAGCAGAGCATGCAACAATCTTTAAAAGGAGTTTTAAACTTTGAGTAGAATGAAGTTTTCCACTCACTCCATTATGGGAGCATTTCAGGATCACGTTTACTTGGACCAGTTTTAACCTTCCCGTTCTCTAAATATTTTGATTACATTATCTAGTGTAGTTGCTCAAATCTTTAAGGTCTTTGCAGATTTATGTTCCAGATTATTCTGACATTGCTGAACTTTCTCCTCATCCAGTCTCTCGCAGAGCGATGAACACCTTCCTACCTTTATTTCTGATCAACTCAGCTAATCTGGGGTGCCGTTTTTTTACCCAGTCATGTAATTTACCTGTTTCAGATCAGTGTAGCTAGCAGGCAAATATTCTTCAGGTGTTTTGATGTAGCTTCACTAATTTTTTTTTCTTGTGTATTGTTTGTCCCTGCCCCATCTGTTTTAAAATGTGTTTGTGGCATCAAATTTAAAATTAGATTTAAAAAAAATTCAATTTCATAGAAGAGTAACTTATTAAATAGTGATGTATTGTGATCTTCAAGGACCATAAGTGGATCTAGGTTGTATTATTTAATTTTAATCAATAATTACGTTCAGTCATTTTATTTCTTAAGCTGGTATCAATGTGTAAATACAGTTTCCTTTAAATAAAGTTTGTGTCTGTGGTCAGTGTCCAGGTTCCGAGGTAACATAACTCAGTGTGTCCTCAGGTAATCGTAAACTTTTCTCTTAAACACATGACCAACCCTCTGTTAGTCCCACACAAGGTTTTCAACAGAGTCCTGAGCAGAAACTGGTGAATTCAGCACCACAGAGCGTCTTCATTTACTCTGCCTCCTCTCCTCTCCATCTCCAGGCCAATGAGGAGGACAGTCAGGAGAGTCTGACCTCCCTCCCACACCGGGACACTATGGGAAGCTTCCTCCCTGACAGCAGCTCCTACGAGGTCCTCACTGTTATTGGTATGTAAAAGGCAAAGACGCTGGGGCTTGGCTGTGTGAATTAGAAAAAAAAAAGTCCTTTAGTTTTAATCAGCAGGAAGATGTTTGAAGCTTTCTTGGCTAATTAAAAAAAAATGCAAGTCTTCAGCACATCATGAATTTCATAAAACATTATTAACAAGTGAATAGCACCGACATGAACTTGAATAAAATGTGTGTTTGTGTTGCAGGCCGAGGCTTGGATGACTTGATGACAGTTAACCTGGCCCGGTACAGACCCACCGGGGAGCATGTGGCCATCCGACGGATTGACTTGGAGTCATGCACTAACGACATGGTTACTTACCTGCAGGTCTGCTGCTGCTGCACTTGGTCACAACATTTCATCTTTGCTCAGTTGAAAGAAGTCCTCTTCGTATCTCTCACTTGCTTTATTGCAGATACTTGCATGACCTTGTGTTTCATTTTCTGTTCCCTTCCAGGGTGAACTGCATGTATCAAAGCTGTTTCACCACCCCAGTATTGTACCGTACAAGAGTGTCTTCATAGCTGAGAATGAGCTGTGGGTTATTACTCCTTTTATGGCTTATGGTAAGAAATATAATTAAATTAACATATAGATAAAAAGATGTTTACATATATATACAGTGCCTTGCGAAAGTGTTCGGCCCCCTTGAACCTTTCGACCTTTCACCACATTTCAGGCTTCAAACATAAAGATATAAAATTTGAATTTTTTGTCAAGAATCAACAACAAATGGGACACAATCGTGAAGTGGAACAAAATTTGTTGGATAATTTAAACTTTTTTAACAAATAAAAAACTGAAAAGTGGGGCATGCAATATTATTCGGCCCCTTTACTTTCAGTGCAGCAAACTCACTTCAGAAGTTCAGTGAGGATCTCTGAATGATCCAATGTTGTCCTAAATGACTGATGATGATAAATAGAATCCACCTGTGTGTAATCAAGTCTCGGTATAAATGCACCTGCTCTGTGATAGTCTCAGGGTTCTGTTTAAAGCGCAGAGAGCATCATGAAGACCAAGGAACACACCAGGCAGGTTTGAGATACTGTTGTGGAGAAGTTTAAAGCCGGATTTGCATACAAAAAGATTTCCCAAGCTTTAAACATCTCAAGGAGCACTGTGCAAGCAATCATATTGAAATTGAAGGAGTATCAGACCACTGCAAATCTACCAAGACCCGGCCGTCCCTCCAAACTTTCATCTTGAACAAGGAGAAGACTGATCAGAGATGCAGCCAAGAGGGCCATGATCACTCTGGATGAACTGCAGAGATCTACAGCTGAGGTGGGAGAGTCTGTCCATAGGACAACAATCAGTCGAACACTGCACAAATCTGGCCTTCATGGAAGAGTGGCAAGAAGAAAGCCATTTCTCAAAGACATCCATAAAAAGTCTTGTTTAAAGTTTACCACAAGCCACCTGGGAGACACACCAAACATGTGGAAGAAGGTGCTCTGGTCAGATGAAACCAAAATCGAACTTTTTGGCCACAATGCAAAACGATATGTTTGGCGTAAGAGCAACACAGCTCATCACCCTGAACATATCATTCCCACTGTCAAACATGGTGGTGGCAGCATCATGGTTTGGGCCTGCTTTTCTTCAGCAGGGACAGGGAAGATGGTTAAAATTGATGGGAAGATGGATGGAGCCAAATACAGGACCATTCTAGAAGAAAACCTGTTGGAGTCTGCAAAAGACCTGAGACTGGGACGGAGATTTATCTTCCAGCAGGACAATGATCCAAAACATAAAGCCAATTCTACAATGGAATGGTTCACAAATAAACATATCCAGGTGTTAGAATGGCCAAGTCAAAGTCCAGACCTGAATCCAATGAAGAATCTGTGGAAAGAGCTGAAGACTGCTGTTCACAAACGCTCTCCATCCAACCTCACTGAGCTCGAGCTGTTTTGCAAGGAAGAATGGACAAGAATTTCAGTCTCTTGAAGTGCAAACCTGATAGAGACATACCCCAAGCGACTTGCAGCTGTAATTGCAGCAAAAGGTGGCGCTACAAAGTATTAACGCAAGGGGGCCGAATAATATTGCACGCCCCACTTTTCAGTTTTTTATTTGTTAAAAAAGTTTAAATTATCCAATAAATTTTGTTCCACTTACGATTTTGTGATCCCACTTGATGTTGATTCTTGACAAAAAATAAAAATTTTATATCTTAATGTTCGAAGCCTGAAATGTGGCGAAAGGTTGAAAGGTTCAGGGGGCCGAATACTTTTGCAAGGCAGTGTCTGTGTGTGTGTGTGTGTGTGTGTGTGTGTGTGTGTGTGTGTGTGTGTGTGTGTGTGTGTGTGTGTGTGTGTGTGTGTGTGTGTGTGTGTGTGTGTGTGTGTGTGTGTGTGTGTGTGTGTGTATGTATGTATGTATGTGTTGATATCCTAAAGTAGCTTGCGCTCATAGAGAAAAGCGTTTTTAATGTTGTGTGTCTGTTTTTATTATAAGGGTCAGCCAGAGATCTGATCTGCACACACTTCAGTGACGGTATGACTGAGTTGACCATTGCATACATTTTACTTGGTATGCTCAAAGCTCTGGAATATATCCACCACATGGGATACGTGCACCGGTAAGAAATACTCTGAACATTTAGTTTGTGTCTTAGAGATCACAGCAGCTATGCCCTGAAGAACCAATAAAGGAGTCCCTACCTTGGCGTATGTGGTAAGGTTGAAAACAACCCAGCAAGACTTTGTATAAAGATGGAGTTCTTCTTCACTTTATAGGATCCTTTCATTGTTTTCCTACGACTTAGAGGCTGGTAATTAGAAAGAATTACTCTAAAAGTGTTCCTCATCATTTCTTCTTAATGTGTGTACACATTAAGAAGAAACTGTACATGCTTATGTCCAATTTTCTTCATTTTATTTTAAATTTCTAAGACGGTTGTACCAACTGTACTTAATTTCAATCACTCCTCTTCATGCTAATGAAGGTGACACCATGAGTTTGATTTTCAACAGAAGTAAATAGATCTTTATATAGTTTCAAGAAAACTGTGGTCAAAGAGTAAAATTAAAAGAGGCAGGTGTTGATATGTCTGTTTTTTCTATTCATATTATGTCAAAACTTTATAACTACCCCAATGTTTTATTCTTTCCTATGTCTTCCATGATGTGTAGGAGTGTGAAGGCCAGCCACGTGCTGATCTCTGCAGACGGACAGGTCTGCATGTCAGGTCTGCGGAGCATCTTCAGTCTGATCCGCCATGGCCAAAGGGCCAGAGTTGTCCATGATTTCCCCCAGTACAGCGTCAAAGTGCTGCCCTGGCTGAGCCCTGAGGTGCTGCAGCAGGTATAACACTTCTTCTAAATCAATGATTATTTAATTCCTCATTACAAAATGAAGCATATTTGCCTATGAATTTGAAAAGGTCTATGCAGCCAGACTTAGTCGCTAACATTTCTACATGCTGCATTAAGGACCAAAAATAAAGAGAATTGTAAAAGAGTTTGAGGAAGGTGATGCTGAATCAACAAGTGATTGTTTTGTTTTTATTCCAAGAACCTGCAGGGTTATGACTCTCGGTCAGACATCTACAGCCTCGGCATCACTGCCTGTGAACTGGCCAACGGACATGTGCCCTTCAAAGACATGCCAGCTACACAGGTCAGACACTCACATCACATGATCTGTTTGTACCCAGTAGTTCAGTAACAACACTGTGCATCACAACTTTGTTCTATATGGACAAAGTTTTCCCAGGTTGCAGGTTCGGCCCTGAGGTAAAGGTGCACCCCATACTCAGAGGTTTTAGTCCTCCCATAGCTGCAGCCACTGGTTTGACTCCTTACCTCAACCTTTTGCTACATGTCATCCCTCACTCAACTTCCCACAGTTCCTGTCTCTCTTCAGCTGTCCTATCAATAAAGGCCAAAACTAACAAAAACTTCTTGCCTATTATCATAAAAATTAGTTTTTGCACACTCTCAGTTGATGTAATGAAACAGAACTGGTTTGGTTTTTAAAAACTCCAAATAGTTAAAACAGCCAAATCAGACTCATTTGGCAGGTGCATGACTTAAATGGTTGGTGAAGTGTGTGTGTGTTTCCTCTCCACAGATGCTGCTGGAGAAGCTAAATGGAACAGTACCGTGTTTGCTGGACACCACCACTATTCCACCTGAGGAGCTGTCCCTAAAACCTTCTCGCTCCGGGGCAGACTCTGGGATCTGTGAGGGTCCAGGAGCTGGAGGTGTTCGCCAGTCTAATGGAGAGCCTTCCTCCTCATCGGGACACCCTTACAACCGCACATTTTCCCCACACTTCCATGCCTTCGTTGAGCTGTGTCTACAGCGAGACCCAGAGAAGAGGTTGGTCTCAGTCCTCTCACTTGCTGAAATGTTATTAAGGTCATGTTTTGATTTAAGAGGATATTCCGGCGTAAATTTGAGTTACGGTCGAACACACTGTAACACAGAGTTAGACACCCCCTCAAGAGATTAATGTGTCCTTGCTTCTCTAATTATACCAACTTTAATTAACGGCCACAGGAAAGCAGCACACAGCAGTCACAGGAACCACATGCTCAACCATAAAGCCACTCTATAGCCACAAATAATGCTCAGAACAGCACCTAACTTCAACAGTACATATAGGGTCCCAGCCATAGTACTAGCCACCAAATATCTTTTTAGCTTTACCTGGTTTCTTGAGCAAAGAGACTAAAAACAACTCACCCACTCTCCTCCAGCTACTGCTTGTTTGTGGGGGGGGAGCCCTAACGAGTCGATCACCGAGTACAGTGGATAATTTCCATGAAGTAGTAATCATCATAATAATTATTTTGCACTGCAGACGGGGTAGTTCTTCTGCCTTAGCATCTTGGTTTGATTACATTGCCATGAAGTAATAATCATAAATTTTCTTCCTTGAGCTGTGAAACTTCGCTGCACTCGGTGATCGACTTGTCAGGTCTCCCCCACAAACAAGCGGCTGCTGGGAGAAAGTGGGCTAGTTGTTTTTGGTCTCTTTGCCAAAGAAACCAGGCAAAGCTAAAAAGATTTTTGGTGGCTATTGCTGTGGCTTGGACCCTATATGTACTGTTGATGAAGTTCGGTGCTGTTCTGAGCATTATTTGTGGCTATAGAGTGGCTTTTTGGTTGAGGTTTGTTTATGGCTCCATAGACCGCTGTGTATTGCTATCGTGCGGTCATTACTAAACCAGAGAAGCAAGCAGTCGGCAACATTCATCTATTGAGGGGTTGTCTATCTCGGTGTTACGGTGTGTTTGACCTTAACTTAACTTTACGCCAGAATATCCCTTTTAAGGCACAGGGTATTGATGCTTCACTTTGTTTTTCCTCAGACCGTCTGCCAGCACTCTTGTAGGCCATCCTTTCTTCAAACAGGTGTGTATGGCCTGATATCACTCACAGCTCTTTAGTAACAAGGCTTTGATTGAAGGTAAATGATTATTTAGTCAAGTTTCATTTGACACTCACTATTCTGTTTTTACTCCACTCTCTTCAGATTAAACGCCGGCCCTCAGAGGCTTTGCCTGAGCTGTTGCGGCCAGTCTCGCCCATCACAAGTTACGAGACCTCCCAGCCACAGGACTCTCCCTCTGGACTGGCCAGCCTGGAGTCAGGTCTAAGCCATCTGGAAGTGGATGATTGGGACTTCTGACAGTGGAGGACTTGGTGGAGAGACACTTGTAGGATTGAGATGGGACACTCCCTGAGCTTACAGGAAGAGATTTGTTTTTGTTATGGTCCCCTTGTAAATAATTTAGATGTTCAAGTAAGGAGTTGCTGTTCTCAGACAGAAGTTACAAGCCAGCAGCCATCTTGCCTCTTTGTGACGTCTCACACGCTTTTGTTCTTTAGATATGCACACTCTTGCACTGCACTGATGGCCTCTCTTTCCTCACAAACCCACATGTTCATGGATTGTACTTGCACATTACAAGCCCTCGAAAACCAAAACGCAGCAAGACTCCTGAATGCCTCATGCTGCGTCTAAAGGTTTGAGAGGATGGTGTGTGGGTCCAGGTGTGGACTGACTTTGAAGATTCCCATGAAACACACCAATGGGAAGCTGCTACTTAATATTCAGAGGGGACACTCTACCTCTTGTTTAAACATGGCTGCACGATGTGGTCCATCTGCTCAGTGAGACCACCATGAGGCTGCACACCGGTCCTCACTCCCTTTGCCCTTGCTGCACCAGATGGAAAGTTCTGACTGTTTCCCTGAGGGTTTACTTAATGAACAGCATGTCTTGCATTTCTTTGCTCTGCCTGTGTTACAAGGTAAACTCCGTCTCATGCGAAGGCGTCCATTTTGTTATGCAGAGGCTAAACATAACATCCATGACAAAGTATTTTCTGGAGCTTATTCTGGGTGTGATGTTATTCAGTGAATGTTACATTGGTGCTTGTTTTGTCTGCTTGTAAGTTTGAAAGTGAGGGCAAAGCAAAATGTTGCAAATGTCAAACCTGACTTTTCAAAATAAACATTGTTCACTTTAGTGTTTTTAACTGAATGAAAAACCACACAGTGATAGGGTTAGCCATCTAGAAAAAAAGCTCTTTATTCATAAAATACACAGACAACACACAGAAGGTTAAGGTTAAAGAGGTTCAGATGTTAATCTTCATCTTCAGAGGGTGGTTGGTCTAATGCGGCCTGACGTTTCTCCATCTTGGCGATCAGTTCTGGAGTACAGAAGCAGAAAAATATATGAAATTGTATGAATGATACACATCAGATCCATCTTTTCTATCATGAGTTTTGTTGAAGCGCTTTCACAACAGTGACCACAAATATTCAAAAAGGAAGCTGGGCCAGTAAGGGGTGAGGAAGTCCACTACAGTGACAGATAAAATACCAGAGAAATACAGCTTTCTGCACATGTAACTTCTGTTCCCCACACAGAGCGAGAGGAACATGATGCAGACTGTGATTAAAACACTGCTTTCGATATTAACTAGGCCTCAGAAATACTCCAACCTTCTGTTGCCATCATCTTTTCTTTTTTTTTTTTTTAGAGCTGCTTACCTTTCGCAGGGTTGAAGACACCGTTGGTTTGAGTATTGCACACATAGCAACGCTTGGACTTGCGGTAATGCTGAAGAGCACAGGCCTCACAAAAGTAGTGCCTGCACCTGGAAAATATTTCACTGGTTAATATATTGCATCCGGTATTTAACAACCATTCAGTTAGAAATCTGATTCTTATTGAAAACCTTTATTATACCAGATATATTCCTAATGCAATATAAAACCTAGATAGCAGCACAAAAACACTTTGCTTAAAATTTTGGACTAACATAGGTTAGTTGTTAAAAAGTATAATTTAGCAACAAGACTTCTGCATTCACATCATCTCTTTGCTTTTTGTGCTTCAGACTCTTTTTGAGAGTCTGTGGCTCTGACAGATGAAGTAGAAAAACAATGAGGCAATTCTGAGTGAGTTTCAGAGGTCACAAACATGTCAGTAAGGCTGCAAGTTAGATCAATTCTGGATTTTCAACCACAAGTGGCCATAACTGTTCAAAAAATACCAGAAATTTTGTAGTTTTGCTCCCTCCAAACTCCTCCAGTCATGACACCCAGTTCCTCAACCATAAATACTGCCAAACTAGACTCTGTGCAAAGCTTCTTGAAATATTTTTCTACAGTTCTCTGAAATTTGGGAGACTATTAGATGCATTTTTTTAATCTAGCTTCTACAAGCTCAGAATCATACTGCGGTTTGTAGATATGTGCATAAAAAACTTGTGGATATCTTTGTATAGAGCTTGAACTTCAAACTTATTGAACTTCCCTTCAGGGATGAATGAAGTTCTTTTTCAAAACTTACTTTGTGATGATCGGATTCTTGAAGGATTCCCTGCAGATGAAGCACTTAAAGGGGAAATCCTCGTCATCACTGCTTACCTCGTAGTTCTCATCATCTAAAATCAGAACACACCAACATTACTCAAATGCTGATGCAGCATACAAATAAAACTGGCATTAAACCTTCTTCCTGAACTCACCGTTGGCCCCATATCTGCCCTCTTCCAGCTCCCTTTCAATCTGCCAGCCGTGTTTGTAGTCTGATCTGTCATGGAGGAACTTACAGCTATCTAAAAAGCAGGAGAGAACATCAAAATAAGAGGTTAAGGCTTTACAATCTTTTAGTGATTACACAGATGACACAGTTACCCACCTCCAAAACCACAGAAACCAGTTTCCTTGTAATCTTTGCAGATGTCTGGCTGGTAGTCCCACCTCACTGTGGCTCTCAGGTGCTCAGGAGCTCTGATTGGACCTTTTCTGTTGAACAGGTTAGGAAAAAAGTATCAACACCAATGATCATGTATTAGCGTGTGTGTGTGTGTGTGTGTGTGTGTGTGTGTGTGTGTGTGTGTATGGGGGGGGGGGGTCATAAAAAAGCACCAGTTGAGTGTTTCGTTACTCACCTGACCATGCCAGAGGAGGCATTGCCCATGGTTGTGTCTTTAGGCTTGATGAATTTTTGATAATTGTTGATGCCGCGGTAGATTTTGTCATCTTCTTTCCCTGTCAGCTCCTTTTGAGGGGAAAAAAAGAGTTAATCATTTTCATTTGGCAGGAAAACTGTACCTAAGTATAGTAGTAGTTTAGAATGGCTTTAAAAGAATATCAACATTGTAGTACATACGTCTTGTATTTTCTGACTCCTCTCAAAGATGGCCTGGGCATCCTTGTCTCTCTCTGTGTCCAGCTCATAAGTAGCAGTTGCACCCATGTCCTCTGGTCCCTCTGGTTTCTTATTTGGGGCACGAATGAGACAATGACAAAGACTGAGACATACTTCCAAAGAGCATGTGGTTTAACGGCATCAAATGTTGAATGCGGAAAGGTTACAGTCACTGTACATAAATAAAGAATTTTCAACTCACTGCCGATCGAGTGGATTTGTAGGCAACAGTGATCTTCTGGTCTTCTTTGTCATCTTCACTCTCACTGGAGGACACAGCGTCTCTCTCCACCTTTCTTGTCTGAACAGGTACAAGACTGGGTCAGGTTTTCCAGGTGTTAGATAAATACTATTTACTAAATACTATAAATACTGATCTTGGTACCCTTTGAATCATGGGGTTGACTGGACCGTCTTTCTTTTGCCTTCTAACCACGGAACTCTGGTCTTCATCACTGTTGCCATCTGGAAAAAGAAAAGTTTCAACAAACTATACTTCAGTGAGAAGTAGTGACTTTGAAAACAAGTAAACAGAAAATGCAACTCGATGACAGTCTCTCTATGCCCTTGGTGAAACCTGGTTGACTAGAAAGTTGAAAAATAACGCATTGCCTATTTTCGAGGGACAGCAAACGCAGCACAGCACGGTTTAGTGGTCATATAAACTATCTAGCCTGCACTTAATTCTCGTCTTCTCATTAATCTGTTTTCACCTTTTAAGGTACGTTTCAATAACCATGCTAAAATGTTGGAACTACTTCGGAGTTACAAAGCATTTCTCTGAGCTCATTCCTGTTTAGAATCCTATAATCGTTTGCATAGCCACAGTTTCTAGCGGAAAAAGATGCTCTTCTTATGAACGCCACAGTATATTTAGCTATCAGGATGAGTAAAGAGTACCTTGTTCACTGTCACTTGCTTTTCTCTTTCGCCCGGAAAACTTCTTTGTAGATTTTTTGAACAAAAAAGTACAAGGGCCCTTTTTCGGCTCGTCAGACTCCGCCATGTTGTCTCTGTCAGTGTAAACATAGTAATAGCTGTAACCGCAGCGCCCCTGGTGTCTCGGAGTCGTTTAACGCGAGCTCAGATTGTTGCCGCCTGCTGGCCGGGAAACAAATCACCACTATCGATACAAGGTTTGATAGAAAAACATTAGATACCACTGTCCAGTATGAAAATAATTAAAATAGATCATAGAAAGGACCAATAAAATTAAAAAGTGTTCTGAGACACAGATGTATATGATGCTTTCATTGCGAGAATTTGACGGACGTGTAAGTTGTAAGGGATGTGTTACACATTTGTTATGAGATACACAAAATATTTTATAATTGAAAATTGAACCATTCCGTTAAAGTTGAATATTGAATGTCCATACTAATTGTATTTTAAAGCCACTAGTCCCGTTCAGGAAACAAATAATTCTGTAAATCAAGGAATGGTGATTTTTTTTTTTTTTCCGAGAATTTTCAGAGCTACTTCGAGTTCATTATGTAGTAGATAATGTTTTGAGATTTGAAATCATGTAACGTTTTCTGTACGACTATTCAAAGATGCATGATGGCACCGTTTATATGCAGCCCCACTTTTATTAGCGTATAACACCGCATCATGAAACCCGGAAATGATGATCGAAATTGAAGTCTTAAAATTCCTTTGAAACAACCATTCGTACCTGGGCTTTTATTTTGAAAGGTTTAACCAGAACTTTGGCGTGTTATTACATCTACCTTGACGCTGGTCGCCGCTCTCTGCTGTCCCCCCTCAAGAAGCAGCATCCGCGGCTCCCCGCAGAGGACAGCGGGTGTTTGTAGGACACAGGGCCCGCGGAGGGAGGGGTCCTGGCCTGGGCACGGATCCCGAAGAGGCCCCGGGGCCGCCGCTGGATGGAGTCGGGCTGCATTCAGACAGCAATGGCTATGGGTCTGGCATCGAAAAAGGCGTCTGCTAGGAGCATCGGCGTGGAGCGAAAAAACCTCATCACGGTTTGCAGGTATACATCACGACACCTTAGACAGACTAGATTCTCAGCAAATACCTGTTCCGACAAGGTATTCAGTCTATTATTTTAATTTTTTGACAAGCATGGATGTTATTGAATGAGCTAATCCCAGCCCAGTTATGTGATGGGAACAATGGCAGGAGGGAGTGAAACGGATGAAAGATAATGTAAAATTATTCTTGAAATAAAGGGGATGGAGAGGGCGCAGGTTCGTTTTCACCTTCACACATCCCAACTGTCACAACAATCAATTCAGAATTTAGAACTTATCCTTAAATTTTCTTTTTTCTCCTTCTGTAATAGAGTTTATACAGCCTTTGTATTTCCCCGATGTACTTAAATGTTACATTCCTCTAAACATGATGGGATTGATGCTTCTTCTGTAGATGGTTCCCAACACCATATGGAGGATGTCTATTCTATTTCTGGTTAACACAGCTGCTTGATGCCTGACCTTTCTAATAGTCAGTTCAATATTGATAGAAATCAAAATGTCACTGAGACCTCTAGGTTGTTATTGCAAACCAAGGATGGAGCTGGAGAAAATTGCAACAGCAGGTCTCCTCCTCCATCACAGCCTGTATGGGACAAGGACATTGGCAGCAGTGAAAGGACTCCTCCCCCCATCAGTGGCCCTCAGCCTGCACTGTGCACAGTACAATGAGAGCTGATAGACCGTGATGTCAAGTCTGACAGTGAAATATGACCCTGATAAATCACTCTGTGGAACATTTTGGTAGAGGTTAGGACTGTAGACTATAATATGAGAGACTTGAGCCCAGCTAGTTGTGTAAATGACATCTCTTAAAGTCAGTTTTCTCTCACAGTTATGTCAACTGTTTTCAAAGTCATGTGTTGTGTATCTGCATGTGTTTCAGGCTAATATCTTAGGAACCGACTAAACAAAAAACATCTTCATGCAACCATAAATCTGTAAGTTAAGTTTAATATGAAAAACTTTGATAAGCTAGTATTTGTTCTGGGTATTTAGTCAAATATTTAATTTTCAATCTTTAACAAGTATAATCATCAGTCCTCTCTGGTGTATTCTGTAAATCTTTATCATACAGAGTTTTATGCTCTTTAAACCTGTCAGTTTATAGTGCTCACTTTATGTGTCAGTATATAACAGGGAGATTGAGTTGCTAATAGCCCATAATTATACTCATATAGAAGACAGCCACATATTAATTTAAGGAGTAGTTGTGCAAGGTCTACAAATGTGGCATCTTGCACCCATACCCTGCTCTGCCTTTGCATGTATTTTAATTGATCGATTGTGTTGTTTCAAACTAAAAGTGACTCCCCAAAACTATAAAATGATACTGTCCACACTCCAAGTAAACACACAATCAAGCCTTTTTATTCCAGTACCTCTCGGTCCAAGGTTCTGTCTGAATTTTAGTGACACATACAGATAAGCAAAACACACGAAATTACACACAGCGTGCCTGCAAAGAAAGGAAAGTTCTCACATAGACTTACACACACAGAAAGATTAACAAGGCCACAAAGAGACTGTTGTTTTCAGTTCATACCGGCTGTGCTAAAACCTAATTAATCATTTCAGCATTTTAATGACAAACTCACAGGACAAGACGGAAAATAAATATCAAAAAGCTTTCTGTCAGTTATGCTCACTAAACAGCTTCTTTCCGTTTTCCAAGCAACAACATGATGCTGATTAGGTTCAGTTGGAGGGCAGCTTCTTCCAGGCGTGGCAGCTTTGCTGTCTGAGCTGCATCTCCTAGTTCTGGATGTTTCTTTGATGCCGCTCTGCTCGGAGTTGATTCAAGTAGTCAAAGGTTGTTGTGAGTTCGTGTAGTCTCACTGGTGAGAGATCCTGAATCAGCAGCAGGCCTCTGGCTGTGCATTAAAGCGGGAGGTGAATCATGTTGGTGCAGGATCCAGGCTCCATCCTGCTGCTGAGACACATGGCCCTGGCTACAGTAGCTAAGCTGACATTAGTGCTGTATTAGTAAACCCGACCAAGTCTTTATTTCCATTTATTACAAGTGTGTATACATAAAGTCTGACCTTTCTGTCAAATCATACATGTCCAAATCACTGCCTGCACACACAGATTAACATTTTCAACTTCTAATGACATATGTCTTTTGTGGCACTTAAAAGAAAGAAGCTTTTTTTCTGGTCAGTTTAAGGGTGAAGAAATTCAAGATTTACATGATCTGGCTTCACGTGGATCACCAGTATCAGGCACTAGACTTGCATATTTCTTATCTTGGTTTCAGTGGCTTGTTTACAGAGTCATATGTCACATCATTTTAACTAGGAACACATATGTACAGCAATAGAAGTTTGTGTACAATATAGGAAACCTGATCCAATATTTGAACCCGCCTGAAGTGGCTGTGTCAGGGACTTAATGGTGTTACAAAAAAAGAACTGTTTCATTAAAGACTGAAACAAAGATTTTATCATGAATTATAATGGCAAAGAAAATCACAAAAGAGACTACTGCAGTCAGGTCAAAAGATGTGACAAAAGCTGTCTGGGAAGAGGCACCTTGGAGTGAAATTAAAGGCTTTCACAGGCCCACAAAAATCCTTTTCTTTACTTTGAAACAATAAAAGGAAAAAAAAAAAAGATTTTTGTCACAGTTTTTGACCTGACATCATCAGAAAATCAGAGGGAACTTTGTCATAATGGCCTTGGAGAGACTGGTTGATATGTATCATGTCCATAGTGACAGCAGTGTCATTGTGGTCTACTGAATCCATGTGCTGTTGCCACTAGCAACAGGTATCATCTTATAATAGCAGAGCTGAGACTTTCTGCAGTCAGTGGGATTCTTCCTGCAGATCCAGTTTGTTTATCTGAGCTGAATTTGACAAAGGTTGATGATCAATAATCAAACGGCCATTAGTTTACAGGCCACCTGCTGCACTGTTACTTCTAAAACGGACTCTTTTGTTGCTTGGGTTTGGCTAAGAGCACTCACGCCGTTGTCCATGACTGGAGGAGCAGTGTTGCTTTGGACATGGTGAACCTAAGAAAACATAGATAGATGGGTGAGACATGACAGATCTGGTCTTAGGTGTTATCCTTCTATCTGCTGTCTGTAAACAGGAGCGACAGGGAGTTACGGGGGGAGAAGCAGAGATGTTGGCTCAAGTGTGGCTTTTCTTGGGTGTGGCTTTGGGGTAGAGAATAAAATGTTCTGTGCTGTGGTAAACTACATACTTCATGGAGATGCTTCTGCAAGTGGGAGGCTCTTTGTGCTTTTCTGGACAAAAGTGAAGGGTGCCACTTTCCACCTTTCTCTTTTCCAGTTTCAAGGAATTACATCAACAAATCTTCTCCATGATTTCAAAGGCTAACCTGATTTTCACCATTTTCATTTAGAACAACAGAAGTTCATGTATCTCACATCTGCTCTCTCACCAGCAATTTCTCTGTGACCACCCTACCGTTCATCACTTTACCCCTCTGTCCTCTCAAAACATCAAATATACCTTCTTGTTGCTTCTCAATCAAACACCCTCACTGTCTCTCCTGCCCACTTTTCCCTCTCCACCTCCTCTGACCTTGCAACACTTAGCGTGAGCGCTTCACAGAGGGGTCCTGCAAGTGAGAGAGAGATACACATCATGCTGCATTTGCATTCTTACACCAAGAAGTCTACTTAAATTTGACCCAAATGATACACGTCATTCTTTCTCTCAGTTTCTTGTGCTGATCCAGGACAGGACAAAACTTCTCCACCGACAGTTCAAGATGAAATAAACAGCACTGACTGGTGATACACAATGCTGCAGCCAGCAAGGAGTCCGCCTGTGTCATCTGATCCTGTTGCTTATGCCAATACTATAAGGAGAGAGAAAAAGAAGAAGAGAGAGAGACAGAGTGGGAAAGGGGTCAGGGAAGTGTCTAAGGGGGTGAGATAAGGACAAAAATGAAAGCTGAGAAAGTGAAAGTGAAGCTTTGTGGGTGTTACTGCTACTAAATGTCATTCTGCTTATCTCAGGTGATGCTGCAGATCAAACAGAATTGTGTAAGTACAGTAGAGGGTTACGAGAGGAGAACAAGAGGGCATTTAAATAGAGCAGAGAGTGGGCTTGGCAGTGATCCAGGCTGAGCGAGAGGGGGCACAAAAGAAGCTTGTCAGAAGGACCTGCGGTTGTTTTTCAGTGTCAAATCGTACCAAGAGCATGTTGCCATTCCTCTCCATCCATTAGCATCAGAGGCATGCCAGCAATTCCCCTTTAGATCAAAGGACTTGAACTAAAGTAAGAAATGTCTGCTGACATGTTGCTTTTAGGATAAGACTGCCTCTTTTTCTTCTCAGAGAGGCCTTTTGAAAGACTTTCCTCTGGTTTGATATTATTCATAAAACATCAACAGACAAGCTGTTCGGCCATGAATCAATGGTTCCCATACTGGGCCTGGGAACCACTGGGGGCACTTGAGGGTTTTCCAAGGGCTCTGCTCCCTGATTTCTTGTTGCATGTGTTGTTTTTAGATTTGTAAGTCTGCACAAAGGCTTAGAGTATGACAAGCTTTAGCTGTGTTTTTCACCACACACATTTCTTGCTAAATCTTGGATCAGAATTTTCAGATTTCTTCAGAGTCACGCCAAACAAAACAAATCCCCTCTTATCCTCCAGACAAAGTCCAAGGAGCACCTGGGATTGAGAGCCTACCTCCTATTTTCCCATTTCTGCCCAACACACCTGGTAGTATGTATGTCGGGTCGTGGTGGAGTTTAGCTCATACTCACTCAAACTTTACCTAAGATACTCAAGCCCAATTAAACCGTGAAACCTGATTGACCCACTTGGTCCTTCTGATAATATTATAAGACAGATTTAAGATGCCACTGACCTGTTTTCTTGGTAAATCCGACATGAAAACAAACAAGTCAAAGGTCCAAAAGCAAATTTAATCCAGTTTTGGGCCTCAGTTGGAACAGACCCCATGAAGATGCAGTAGTGTTGTCCATATGTTTTCTGTGATGGTGCCGTTTTCTTGTGACATTTTTTACCAGTCCCCCCACCCCACAATGAGGTCCCCTCTCATCTAAAGCGTTTTGCGTTTCGGGAAAATGGCTCTCCGAAAAGAGGTGGTGGTAGAGCCTCTGCTGAAGGAGGCGCCGCCCAGGGAGATCTTGGTCTTCCCGCTGGTTATGGTGGAGGAGCCCAGAGATGTTGTGCTCTTGCCCCTGGAGATGGAGGAGCTTCCCATGGCCAGCTTGCTCTTGCCCCTCTTTATGGAGGTGTTGCCCACAGTTAAGGCCGTCTTCCCCTCGGTGAAGCTGGTGTTGCCCATTGGGGAGAAGCTCTTCTTCCTGACCCAGATTCGACGGCAGGGTTTCGGAGCTCACTTGGCGAAAAGCATCACACACTCTTGCAGCACACCCTGCTCAGCCCCACGGGGATAATAGTAACATCAGCTACGATCCAGAGCAGACCAGAATGCTAAGCGTGGATAGCACGACCCCCGTGTCACATAATGCCTTCGTTGAGCTGATCGACGTGGGCTTTGGAAGGCCACATACCACCCCTGTGTCCCCGTGAATAGACAGAGGCAGCCGTAGGTGGCCACAGCCTATCTGGGCGGTACAGGACAGTGGAGTGATTGTCCCATTGCAACGACGACACCGGACGGTTGAAGGACACATTGTTGCAAAGAGGGCTATCTGCGGTGACATCACTTTCTTCTGGACCATTGTTCCCTATAGCCTCTGATTGTAAGACATGGCCTATGTGAATGACTGTATACACCATATGTGAAATGAGTTGCTCAGTGTTAAGTTTGATAAAAGAAAGGAAAAACGTCTCCATGCTCTCCACATGTAGCCAAAGCTTTGATTGCACACTTCCCTTTAATTTGTTCTTTCATTGAAAACATGGGTGTGGTTCCCTCAGACGATGTTTGCCGCCCACATCTGTGTTTTCAAGTTATCCGAGTTCTTACCATTTATGTCATTTAGATCCAAGAATAGACCCCCAAATCTTAGATCTATTTACAAACCAATCAAGCCAAGCATTGTTTAGACATGTTACTTTTATAAGCATTATTACATCAACCAGATCCAAGTTTTCTGGTTCAGATCTGTTCCCTGGTGGACAGTACGGCAGTATAGTTATTTAAACACATGCAGACTTTACAATATCTACTTATCTTATCTACATAAACAAAAAAATCCACATTCATACCAAAGGCGTACACATGTTGTTGGCTGGACATGCGCAATGCACAGGACAGTAGTGCTGATGAAAAACACACGGTCTCTTGTGTCTCCACAAATATCTCACATGGTTGTTTCACAGTTACCCTCCCTGCCACGTAGATACACTAGAAAGCATCATCCCGTCACCGTCACTTTGAGTAACACCCTCAGCATGGCTTCAGAAGATCTCACTTTTGATTGGGAACCATTAGACCTACAATTAGCCCCTTTCTTTCTTTGTAATCCACTTTTGTACTTTGTGCAAAAAAGTAACTGATGTTACCTGTTATTCCTGAAACACATTAATCACAAACATAGCAGCTTCTTTTAGACTAATACTACTGACCTGCTAAAACTGACCAGATATAAACATCCTTGCGTTTTTAAGTGTGTGCAGGAATCATGTATGAAAATTCCAGTAGATGTTGCTGTGCGTTTCTTTGCCCCTGATGAGAGTGGTTTTGAACACAGACACAGACTTGGTCCCATGGGTAAAGGTCACAGTGGTGAGAGAACTTGTGGTCTCCCCTCGTGTAACAGAAGTTGTGCCCACTGCTAAGCTGGTGTTGCCCAAAGTTATGGTTGTTCTGCTCCAGGAGATCGAGTATTTGCCCCAGGAGATGGCGTACTTAGTCCTCAGGATGGAAACCTTGCCCTTTGTGAAGGAGGTCTTGCTTGACGAGAATGTGGTTTTCCACTCATTGTTAGAGTCTTGTTTTGGCTGCTTGGCTGCCTTGGGTGTCTTAGCCCTGGCCTCAGGGGTCCTTTCCATCTAGGTGTTCCTGCGCTTGGACATCAAGGCTTTCCGAAAGGAGGTTGTTGTGGTTCCCCGGCTGAAGCTGGCCCGTCCCAGAGCCACAGTCGTCTTTTGCCTTTGGATGGTGGAATCTCCCATGGAGGTGGTGGTCACTCCCCTGAAGATGGAGGAGTTGCCTAAGGAGACGGTAGTCTTTCCCCTGGCTATGGAGGTGCTTCCGACTGCCACGGCAGTCTTGCCCTCTGTAATGCTTGTGTTTCCCATCTAAGCAGCGGCAGTCAGCCCGAGCCCGTGCCTGGATGCCGAGCTCCTATCATACAAGCTGCATAGCTGTCCTAGTGCAGCAGGGTGGTCTTGTGAGGTCAAAAACCAAACTGAAGTAGCAACGTCGGCTTCCCTAAATAGATCAGACCACCATGTATAGATGAGTGGGAGGGAATTATTTGATCATCCTTTGATAATGGCCGGTCCCTCAGAGAGACGAGACCCAAAGGGACCTGGACACACAGCATGCACAAAGGCTGAGAGAGACAGGGGGTTAATTGTATTGTTTTCAGGATAACACTGCCAAAGCACTGAAGGGGAACATTGTGTAGTACACAAGACAATTGGGGTGACCTCAGTATGATAAGATGGCGTGGTTCCCAAAAACAAAAACTCCCTCCTCCCTGCCATTGTTGTAGGGTTCAAATACAGTACAACATTTGTCTGTACGGGTACAGTATACAGATGCATTTCATCAGCTTCTACAGCGCACAGCCAAGTGACAGTATAAATGGCTAACTGAGGCAAAGTAGGAATTTTCTCCAAAGTAGTATTTTTTTTCCCCCGTGGTGTGAATTCCTTTGTCTCCGTCTTCTTCTCTTTTAGATTCTCCGTAAAGACTCTCCTCGAAAAGTACACCACAGAGCCCATAGATGACTCATCCGAGGAGTTCATTAACTTTGCCGCCATTTTAGAGCACATCTTAAGCCACCGCTTCAAAGGTAACACTGCAGGTAACATACAGGAAAGACAGAAAATTTTCAGAAGAAAAATAAAGATAATATGTTATAAATTAATAGCAATCCTTGTACACTTGATATTGTAAACATAAAGGGTAAAGAAAAAAGTTGTACCATGAAATGTCAGCTGTACTGTTGCATGATGAATCTGTGAGCTGTTTTCAGAGCAAAGTGACTCATTGCCAGGTTTTAATTTTGGACCAGGTTCAGGGAGCTGGTTCAGCTCAGATGGACAGCGCAGTTTTTGGGAATATATCCGGCTGGCATGCAGCAAAGTGCAGAACAACTGCATAGCAAGCATCGAAAACATTGAGAACATCAGCACATCAGGAGCCAAGGCAAGGATATTTGTGTGCATGACTGAGAGTGTATCTGTGTGGGGCACTGCAAGCCGGTGCAGTAAAGAGGGCCCTCTGTTGCTGCTCACTCTCTGTGTTGTCTTTCAGGGACGTGCATGGATTCGAGTCGCGCTGATGGAGAAACGTCTCTCTGAATATGTGTCCACTGCTCTGAGAGACACAAGAACAACCAGGTCAGACCAGTGCCTGATGAAAGAATCAGTTCTGAAATACAAATCCTCCTCTTTTTGTTTATCATCATTTTTCCTTTTTATCTTAGGTATGTTAGATTACAAACTATTTACTCTTTTCAACACTAAAATGTGGGAACGTCCTGCTCATGTTTAAACAATGAGCTTAAAGGGGTATTCAGGCGTAAGTTCAAGCCATGGTCAAACACACCGTAACACCCCGTTAGACACCCCCTCGAAGGATGTTGCCGACTGCTTGCTTCTCTAGTTATACCAACTTTATTAGCTATTGCACAATAGCAATACACAGCAGTCTATGGATCCATGTGCAAACCACAACCCTAGTACTATCCATCAAACATCTTTTTCGCTTTGCCTGGTTTCTTTAGCAGAGAGACCTAACACAACTAACCCACTCTCCTCCAGCAGCCGCTTGTTTTTGGGGGAGCCCTGACGAGTCAATCACCAAGTGCAGCGGAGTTTTGCATCTCAAGGAAGAACATTTATGATTACTCAGAGCTAAATCTGGAACCGCTGTCATATATGATACGACAGTGCAACACAATATAAGTAGAAACGGTACATTACAATAAAACGTAATTATGAATATTTATATTCAATGATTTCAGACTGATGCCAACGAAGTAAGAGACAATTTGGAAAAAAACATAAAACATTCATGTATCACCAGCAGCTGAATTAACTCACATAGACTGATATAGTGTGACATTATAAGATATTTATATCAGCAAACATAATCATCTATCCATCTGACAGGAGGTTCTATGATGACGGAGCCATCATGCTGAGAGAGGAGGCCACTGTGCTGACCGGCATGCTGATCGGCCTGAGTGCCATTGACTTCAGGTGAAAATATACAACACACATTTAGAATATTCTCATGTCAAGGCTATTTAAAGGTACTATTATGTGCACCCTGACTTTTTTAGATCAACAAAGACACGTGGTATGATTCTGTATGCTAACCTAAAGCAGACCTTTTAATACGGACCAGAATTTTGCAATACAAGAATCCAAGTCGCGCAGGGAATTCCAGACTCTTTTTTTCATTAATGAAAATAATATACTGTATATTATGTGTCATAACTATATTCAGGATTCCAGCTCAATGTTTATTAGCTACTTTTGTGACCTAGCCTGTCCTGTTACATTTTTTCTTCTGAATGTCTGAAATTGATGTGAGGGGGAAGGTGTCAGTGGAGTTGCCACCGAAAAAAAAGCCCCTGTTTTAAATCGTCCATGTTAAATACTCTAAAAAAAAATTAAACTCCAAAAGTCAGCACTTGACTTTCTACTTCAACAGCACTCTACTTGAACATGTAGAGGACAAGACAAGTAAAGACTGCTCTGTCCCACAGGGGGCGCCAGAATTGACACAAACTGAAAGTACCGCATAGGAGCTTTAATCCAAAACCAGTCACTTGTCTTTTTTACAGTTTCTGCCTAAAGGGGGAGACTCTGGATGGGAAGTCCCCAGCTGTGATTGACTACACACCCTACCTGAAGTTCACTCAGAGGTCAGATTATCCCAGCTTATCCTGTCACTCAACTGTTAGCACCACATTTCTGTATGCATGAAATTGGAGACACTTCTCTCTCTGCAGCTATGACTACCTGAGTGATGAGGAGGATCGTCACAGTGTTGACAGCAGCAACAGTGAGGAGAGCGTTCCAGAGCATCCCTACATCCCCCTGGTGACAGACGAGGAGAGCTGGAGCAACAAGTGTCGTAAGATGGAGCAGAGGTTTAAGATTGTTTACGCCCAGAAGGTGATTTACAAATGCAAGCATCAGATAAATGCTGTTTTTGTGTTTACTGGTATAAACACGAGCCTGTTTTCTTTACGTTGCTTTGGCAGGGTTATCTAGAAGAGCTGGTGCGCCTGCGAGAGTCGCAGCTGAAGAACATTGAGACTGAGAACAAATGTCTGAGAGCCAAGGTGGAGGGGCTGACGGTCCAGAGCCAGCAGGAGAAGAAGGAGTTGGAAGCTATCGTGCTGGAGCTGCAAGCACAACTGTAAAAAAATACAAGAATACGAGAACATTCGGATTATGCTCACCTAGGGCTGCACGATTAATCGATTTTAAATCACAATTGGATTATTTGATTATGACGATGTTAAAAAAATTAAAATCATCGAATTGATTTTCCTCTCTATCATGTCCCGCGCCTCCAGGCCACCGTAGGCTTCCCCTTCCTGCAGGTGCGCTCCCAAATTGCCACGCACACCGGTGTAAAAAACATGGCATTTTCAAAAGAAGGTGATAATTATGTGTCTAAATAGGACAAGAGCAAGTCAGTCATTTGGAATTGGTACAACTTCGCAGTTTTGGATGAAGAGCAAACCACTCCCCGCTACAAAGTTTTTTTTATCGTATCAGCGTTTCATCCACACAGAAATGGCATTTCGGGTGACTGTAAATGGTACTTTTTAAAAATGGGTCAGAGAGTGCATAAATCTGTAATCGACTACCATTTGATCTTCGTGTGGATGCCTATCTGCATCTTTTGAAATGATTTAAGTGACACACAGCGTAGCTCTTTTATGGCGCCTGCGCGTGTCGGGCCAAAACAACCTTTATATGCATACTCCATACTCTTCTTCTGTCTTTTGTGCATATCCTCAGCAGCGTTACAGCACCACATACTGGCTTGGCATATACACTACATAGTTTTCAGTGGTTTCGGTTCGAGGGGTGATTGAAAAACTTATTTGGTGAAGTTATCATTGAATAAAAAATCTAACTCAAAAATCAGATGTTCAGAGAGACAAACCGGGATTAAACTTTTTGCCAAAATCATGCATCCCTACGCTCACCTGATCAAAAAGTCTGCTTGTTTCAGTAATGTCTTTAATATGGAGGTGGATATGTGCCTCTGAATTGACTCATGTATTGTGTGCTTCATGCAGCTCTGCCCTCATGCCCTGTGATTCCTCCCATCTGGCTAAAGATTTTTCCATCCCGCTGGTCAACCAATGGTCCACCATCACAAGCAACCAGGGTGACGTCAAGCTTTTCCGCAGGTAATTTGACACTAGCTTTGCAGCAAGGAGGTAAGCATGAGCTTTCAACATACAGGTCATAGCAGCTTCAGTTATTTTGATCACAACAGCTGCTTTTTTAGGAGGAGTTTCCACAGTTTGGAGCAACTGTCTGATGAAGTCACTCTGAACTCTGGCTGCCAGAAGGTTGATGGGAGACAGAATGGAGATGCAGCTTGGGCCGCACCAGGTAAAAAAGGCCTCAGTGACCCCCTGTGATCCCAGTCCAAAAAAAAGAAAAGACTAACAAAGCCACAGAAATTCAGCTTGAAGAGGATTATATTTGTCTCATTCCACTGCTGTATAAAGCCATTCAGCTGCAGCCACCCATGTACATGCACATACATACTCACACAAAGACAGGCTTGAGGCCTGTTATTGGAGCTTCAATGTGGGCAGCTTAAACTATGCATGCTCAGCAACTTGATTTCACAGTTTCTTCTCTCTGTTATGTCCCCACAGGAAAAGAAGACACTCCATCCATGCTCGGTCTGTGCGGCTCTTTGGCGTCTTTGCCAAGCTCCAAGTCCCTGGCTAGCCTCAAGTCCAGTGAGTGTTTGGTCAGCATCAGCACCGAACCCAGCCCTGCGCTCTCACCCAGCTAGGAGCTCCACACCAACAACAACAACAACAACAACAACAACAACAACAACACACAACAAAATCAGAGATTTAACCCCCAGCCTGTCTGCCTGGTGATGCTGCGTTAATCATGCCACAACCATAACCCTGTTCCCACAATTTACCTGGACCCTCAACAGCTCCACTAGAACACAAAAGGAACAACATCTCTGGATTTTTGTTCACATGAGAGGGACGTCATCATGAAGTGGAGAAGATCCATCTCTTTTCTTTCCCTTCTCCTCGCCTTATCAGCTCAAACTCTCCCATAACCACTTTGTACTATCAGTGATCACTCCAGTCAGAATGAAACTCCTGTCTTTCCTTCAATGATATTCCCACCCTGCTCCTTATTTGAATATCAGTGTCCTTCCTATATGTGCATTTATGTGACCTATTTTATTTATTTTTATTGTCAAAATGAAACCCCTTCACAGACAGATGTGATGATCATTTTAAGAGATGCAGATGATCCATATGAGGTAGAGGATGGGTTCCTATACTTTAAAAAAATGTTTTATGACTGTAACAGAATCATGTCTGAGGATTGTCATCCTTAAAAGTGCATATCACTTCTGCTTGAGTAATCAAACATGGTTTCAGTATGATCAGATCTGTGCAGCTATTTATTGATTATATCAAATCTTAAGCTATCACATTTTTTTTTTTGGTCAAATTTCATTCAGTATGTTCTCCTTAAATGCATTTATTTGGTTATTTTTATTTGTTATGTGTTGCAATAAACTGCCTTTTTCCATTATATGTGTCTGTTAAATGTCTGTGTGGTGGATTTGACTGCGTTGAGTTAGGACACACTTCTCAGAACTGTTTATGAGTTTTTTTCATCAGTAAAGAACAAACAGTTTGGTAGTGGGGGGAACATTCAGTTCCTCTTGATCCATACAAAACAAGGGAAGTCAGTTATCTACGTCAATCCATAAAAGCCTCTTTCCATATGTTTAAATAAGATTCATTGAAAAAGATATGGAGGCATGGACAGTCGAAAACAAAGGTCAAACAGGTCATAGACAAACATTGGCGATGTTGGCTGTGGCGCTCTGGTTCCATCTTGTGGTTGACATAGTCATGCAACACGATGCTTAAATGACTGGAGGTATTCATTTAAAGCTCCCGTGTGGAGTTTTTCAACTGTTTGTGAGATAGATGAAAATGAACAATGATGCCTTTCTATGACCTACGAAAGCAAAAGAGGCCGTCAATAACAAGACTGACAATTCCAGTTGCGAAATTTTTAAAGCCTGCACCCACTATGAGGAAGTTTGTGCCAGACTAGAAGATAAACAGACTTTTTCACCATTTACACAGCGAATACCCACATTTATATATTTAACAAATAGAAAGCAAGAAAGGATTTTTGTCAGAGCCCAACCTACACAAGAACAGAGCAAGATCAGCAAAGAGAAGAGATATTCTGTCCACAGAGGGCGCCAAAATCAACACAGATGGGGAGTTCCTTAGAAGCAGCATCAACTGGCCGCGGATATTATCAACAACATTATGTGTATGTCGTCACAACTTTCCTGGATCTCATTTTCTGTTTAAAGCTCCAGACAGGAACTTTTGATTTTTGTTTGTTTTGGTGCCCTCTGGAGACAAAGCAGGCTTTGCATATATTGTCCTATCAACGCTTGAGTAGTGTCTGCTGAGATGTCTTCATTCTGACTTCTGAAGATCAAATTGATTTTTCATGGTGAATACTTTATATGGAAAGTGTGATAAGGGCAGTTCCTTTAGCTGCTTGGCCCTCAGACATTAAAAATTACAATCTAGAAAAAATCAGCCTTGGGGCTGATGGTCTTGTGTTCTTTTGCGGCTTATGAATAGGCATTAGTATGAATATTGGTTTATTTCATGAACATCCTAAAACTCCTTATAGGAGCTTTAAGTATTCTCAGGGCCCTCAAATCTGTGTAGGGGATGAAGAAATGTATTGCGTGGTGACACAAAAAGAGAAAGCGACATTTTGTGAGGATTTCTAAAATTCTACTCACAGGTTGTACTGCTTAATGATAATGCTATGTTCACATGCAGTCTCTAACACACAAGCACAAACAAATACATGTCATAAAAACAAGAGAAATGTTAATATTAAAATCACACAATGGCTAGTCATTCCACACAGGGGGTATAGCTCAGTGGTAGAGCATTTGACTGCAGATCAAGAGGTCCCCGGTTCAAATCCGGGTGCCCCCTCATTCCTTTATGAAGGGAAAAAAAAAGGTTGGTGATGCTGCAGTTAAACTATGTGAAAGCAAATCCGGTGGCTTTCCACATTTTAAAAGGGGCACAGCTCAGACAGAGAACTCCTGCTAACAGCAACTTAAACTCTCCATGTCCATCCTCATCCCCTTGTGTTAAGTTTTTGTGAGGTTTGCCAACTAATGAGCTTTGGTGTGATAAAAATTCATTTCTAGTGGGAAACATAATCACCAAGAACATTTTCATCAACAAAAGGGACTTTCTGAGCAGAAAGGTGGTAGCTAAGTATCCGTTGATCAAAGATGTGTTTACAACACGCTCAGCTTTTTCAGTAATGACAGGCATAGTCTTAAAACAAAATGCAGTCAAAACCAAAACAATGCACTGACAAGCTTCATTCTAGGACATGGAGAATACAATTTATTAGAGCAAATTCAATAATAAACTTTATGAAAAAGCTACGACATGGACACTTGGCTTACCAACATCTGAAGTTGATATATTTATATGTATGTACAGTTTGCCTTGTAATGGCATGCTACAAGGACATGACCCTTTAATAATTGAAAACAACAAAGAAAAAGAGGCAGACACAGTCAGAAAGGTGGTTCATTCTACTCCCATTTCACAGCTCACGCTTAACACAAAGAAAACGCAGCTTTCTCGAGCACAATTTTCTACAAAAGAAGAAGAAAGAAGAGTAAGTTTTAGCTAAAAAGGCTGAACAATGTCGCTCTGGTAGGTTGGTAAGTGTTGCTGTACATCACTGCGGCACCAGCCGGACTTAAACACGCCATTTGATGACAGGCACCACTGCTGTGACTTCATGAATCCCTCTCAGGTTGTTTCAGGACCAAAATAAAAGCACAGGTCACAAGTTTGAGCCTCCACTCACTATCAAACTGGACACTCACCATTTTGATAAAAAGAAATTACCACAAGGGTAAACAAGACTGAGGTACTGTTCTTATGAGTCCACACAAGGCTAAAACATAATCCTACATGTTAGAGAGGTCTTCTTCTGCCACCCACAGCTGTTTGTCTCAACCTTAGGAAATCAAACAGATGAAACACACAACATCTAAACCCTTCATGAGAATCTCACAGCTGGCTGAAATCACAAATATAAAAACTCAACAGACAACTGCTCTAAGCTTCTTACAGCTGCAGTGCAGGTGTAGATGAGCACTACCTTGTGAGCAAAATAAATAAGAGCTCTTACACGTTTAATAAAGAACGATGGATGGTAGAGATGAAGAGAAATATGTAAACCAGGTTATTATGGAGCAGGTGTATCAGACTCCAGACACGCTCAGGAAGTTCACTTGTGACCTCATCCTTTTACTGAAACCAGCAGGACGAGGACCGAAAATTAAGTCCAAATCTGTAACGACATTCCTTCTCTCCTTTGTGAAGTGTTCGTGGGTTTTAGACACGCAAGATCTCCAGGCAGTTGTTGTAGCAGATGGCGATCCAGTCGGGCTGCGTGGAGGCCCACTGCACGTTGTTGATCTCCCCTTCGGCGGTGTAAGCCAGGATGGGGTCTTCAATCGCTCGGGGCATCTGCTGGATGTCCCAGATCAGAGCCTGGTGGTCGTCAGCTGAGGAAAGAAGAGATCAGGAGTGTTTTTTATTGACAAGGGGAATGAAAGAAGAGCAGCTGATAGCAGAAATATTCAAGCCTTTGGGTGCAGTTCCACAGGATGTTTTACTAAACCCACCAGTGAGAACAAAAACCTCCTCATAGGGGCTTTAAATGCAACTCTCCTCTTTTTGAACCTTTTTACGCGTTATTATCCACCAGATTTCTTGATAATTACATAAACATCAGAATCTTAAAACTCCACAGGCTTGTCCAAATAACACCCTTTTATACCCAAGTTATATCCCTTTACAGCTGAAAATACCTGGGGGAAAAAAATCTCAACTTAAAACAATTAAAAATACACCAATGCATTCAACCATAAAAATGGCACAGTTAGCTTATATCTAATAAATCTGTGAGGAAATAATGATTCACTTTGTATCCAGCCTTCTGGTATTTATTGTTGTCCACACAGAGTGAGTTTTTTCCCAACATTAGTAAGTGTAGTCACGGTTATTCAAAAGCAGATAAGTCTTTTCTAGCTGCCAACTTCGGGATATGTATCTTCGAAGAATTACACCAGAGGCGCACAAATTGTTACACAAGATGACATGCCTACAGATTGATTTGAAACTATTGTTCCCCTGAGATATCAAGACGCCTTTACCTGCAGTGCAGATGTGACATGAGGAGTGAGGAGCCCAGGCGATGCCGTTCACACACGCACGATGGTTGTTCAGCCTGGCCACTGGAGTGCAAGGCACACGTACATCTAGGATGACCACCTACAGCACAGAAGTATCAGTAATTAGGTAAAGGAATGACATAATTCACTAAATCTTTGTCTGAAATAATCGTCATGTGTCAATAAGACTTGATATTTTGTGTTTTATGAAACTGTGAATAAGTCCGATAAATACAAAAGATTTTAGGCAGCTGGTGAAGAACAGCTGAAAGAATCCACGACCATCTCACCTCCATGCCGTCCATGGCCATTGTGGCTAAGTAGTTGGGGTCCTGCTTATTCCAGCAGAGGCGGAGAAGTGGGTGGTGCTGGGGGTCTTCATAGATGATGGTGCTGTGCTCCAGGTGCCGGAGATCAAACATGCGGACGGAACCATCAGCCCCCACAGACGCAAACATGTCTCTTCCTCCTCCTGCACGGCTGAACGCAATATCGTACACCTGCACAGACACAGACCTGGCTCTTAATTTGTTTTCAGGCACCATACATGACTTATTTTATTTTGGACAAAGACAGACCTCTTTGTCATGAGCAATCAGCTGGGTTTTCACATGTCCAGACACCAGGTTGACTCGGCCTAACACCTGGCCAGTCTCCAATCCCCAGATGGTGCAGGTGGTGTCAATGCTGGAAGTGCCTGCAGAAATAAACCAATATTTTAAACACCATTAAAAAAATTCAATCTATATCCACCCTTATGTTCAATCTTTAATTCATTCCTCACCAAGAAGATTGGGGTCAACTTCATTCCAGTCAAAGGAAGTGAGGGGAGCACAGAAGTCAGAGTTTTTGTTGTTATTCAGCAAACATTCGAGGCGTGTTTCTGTGTCGCTGACCTGCATGACAAAAGAAATCCATTATAGAGAGAATATGTGAAATGTGCTTAAGTAAAAGACCCTGTTTCAGAGCTGAAAGATGGCCAAACTACAGCACTCAGGAAACTGATTTTACCCACATAGACTGAGTGTATTTGCTCAAATGAGTATGATTAATAACCATCATGGAATACATTTTGGCAGGGGGAGTTGACAACTGAAAAAAACCTGCTTTGGGCCATGGATCAATAAACGTTTGACCTCTGCAGAGTTGCAGAAAGGTATATACAGAACAGATTAAAAAACAAACCAGAGTAAAGCATCTAAACCAGATTTATTAATATGCCAGTTGATTGAGCTGATTAATAGCATTTGAAAATAATGTGCATCAGTCAATACCTACACTCAAAATGCCAGTTAACAAACGTAACTATACTGCAGAAAGCCTCACTTATCTGAGAAGTCACCTCTCTTTCTCTAAATGACAGTAATCAACATCAAATAATCAATGCCAAATGTCAAATTCTGTTATAATGACAGAATAATAAAGTCTGACAGAAACACCAGCCATTTTCTAAAATCTAGAACAGAAATAGATATATTTTTCTATCTCATAACTTATTTGAAAATCCATCTCAAACATATTACGAGCTCATATAACCAGGTACACTACAGTGTGATGTCTATGGAATAATGAAATAATAAGTGACTGTTGATATTGTTTATCTTTGATGAAATGCATGAAAACCATAATAATAATATAAAATACAATATACATATACATATGTGCAGCAATGTTGTCTCATCAGTACTGACATCGACCATAGGAAAACACAACACAGTCAGTGAGTGTAAAAATGAGGCTCAAAAATGTGATTTACAAATGAACAAAACGCTACACTGAGGAAGGACACCAGGTTTAGACAGGACACGGTGCTCACAGACAGGATTAATTCATAGTTCGCTTTGTTATTTTTTGTGGAGTGTCATAAACACTGAAAAAAAAAGAAAATCCTTCATGACAAGCAACCCACCCTCCAGATGCGCAGGTAGTCCCCACTGGTGGCAAGCAGGTCCGGGTACACCCCCTTGGTATCTGGGATCCACATGATCTTAGTAGTGGGGTAAGGATGATCAAATGTGTTCCTGCAGACAAACTCTGAGCTCTCCTCTTCCAGACCCACCAGCTGAACCTGGACCGGATCAAACACAGAACATGTTATTTCAGAGGTACAGGACTGTCCACGGGGCAACCAGGGTCAGAAATAGCATTGGCTACGTGGAGTGTTACTGGGGGGAATTACTATTAATGGCACATGAAAAACCAGGTGAATACTGACAGAGACCAGTGTGTAACTTTTTGGGCAATAACAACAACATTGATCATGTTCGCATCGATGCTGCGCAGGGGGGCTAGCTTTAGCATGCTAGCGTTAGTCTCTCTATCAAATCTATCGGCGGATGAATGGCTCTAACCAAACAGCGAACCTTGTTGTTGTATTCCTCCACAAAGCTCCCCAGGGCGAGCCGAAATCGTTTGTCCGGACGGACGCTCCAGTTCATAGCGTACACCGTCCATGGCGCCTCGTATTTGTAGATCTCTTTTCTCTTGCCGTGAAGCGACATCCTCCCGACCTGCAGCTGTTGTCTTCGCAGCTAACACGCTCGCGTTAGCTAACTACGAAATAAGTAATCTTGATACAAAACTGTCGCCAGTTACTTAAGTTAAGGATGCAGAAGTCATCAGCGTTGGCAAAACTGATCGTTCAACTGAACTGATCTTGATTTAAACCAAGAAATTTCGCCACTTTACTTAACAAAGAGTAGCATTGCTCGTTACGACTAGAAGTTGTCAAATTTACGCCGACTCGACTAATTTCCGGTTAACACCTTCAAAATAAAAGGCTCTTTAATCGCTGCAGAAAATTTCAACCGTGGATTATATGTAAACAAAACCCTTAAAACATTTTTTTTTAAATTCCTCAATACATATGTGTTGTAAATTTCTTAATGAACCCCTCTTGTCCCAAGTTTTACTTTACTCCTTTTTGATTTTTTTTCTGAGTAGAGTTCCTGTGAAAGTATGATAAAGTGGAATTGTGATGAAATTGTTCGAGAGATTTGTGAAAGTGTGATAATTTGTGTTTGGGTAGTCAAGTACTCAAGGACTTCAGTGTGTATAGTGTATAGTAGAGTTGTCAGATGGTATGGCAATTAACAAATATAATTCTTCATTTTTTTAAATATCTGATGAATGAATAAATCCTTTTCAAATATGATATCATAGCGTTATTACTCTCTGAACATCACTTCAGAGACTCAAAATTATTTCTTATCAATGCTGACAACATGAATATTTAAGCCTAATTTGCTCCTTGTAAACTATTTCATTGCTTGATGGAGTGTACTTGTGCACTGTGATCACTAGAGGGCAATTAGGAAAAACTGACATCAAGACACACCTAACAAAACCATACAAAAGCTTCCGGTTACAAAATTCAAAATAAAATCTTGGACGGGGGGCGCTGTGGTGAGAGGTGTTCGGTCCTGGAAAAGGGGCGGGATTAAAACATCCTGTCGCGATACTTTTGCTTTGAAAGGTTGATCCCGTGTGGAGTAGTGTACACCTACAGGCGTAACATTTCTACAAGGACAGTTCAAGCCTCTTAAGCCTTACCAGTGTGACACTACTGTCAAAAAGGTAAGTTGTTTGTTGACTTCACTCAAAAACTAATTATCTTTCAATGTTTTATAAACGTAACATAGTTAAGGTTTGGTTAAGATTAGCCGGGTTGCTTTAAACAAGCTGCCATGCTATCATGCTAATGGAGATTTGCTAACAGCTAATGCTAATTCGAAGAGTGCTGGGGGATGGGTCTGGCACTGAGTTATGATGACGGCCTGTGGTTTAATCCTTAATATGCCATTAGTTAGGTTGACAAAGTTTAGTTGAATGGCCACTATACAGTCGGAGAAAACCAGACGATTCTGTTATCTAGTTTCTTGGCTTGCGTGTCCCTGGCATTAGGCAGTGTTAGCGACAGTTTTCAGAGTATATATCTTCATTTTGTCCAGCCTCTGAAAGTACAGAATCCTCTTATGGTTTCTGCCCTACATTTATTCACCTTAACGCATAGTAACTTTGCTCTTTTGAGGGGTGTCAAACACTTATTGAGTAGACGATATGAAATGTTTCCCAACACTGGCAAGCATTACTTCCTTATTTTCGACTTGGATAGTCTCGGCCCTGAGGTTTTATTTTCTTTCTTGGACAGTTTTAAAAAATCTCAATGTGTGTGGAGAAAGGGCTCACTTGGTTATTATAGGACTGAGAAGTTTAACCTGGACCAGGTTAATCAGATGATTAGTAAAGGCTCAAAATTTAACCTATATATTTCTCAATAAACTTTGTTACACAGACTATCCCTTTAGCCTCCAGTGCAGTCACTTCTGTTTATGATCATCTTTCACTGTTACCCCATGCTTATTTGTTTCCTGTCCAGTTAGTTTCATCTTTATCTCTGTTTTTCCCACACGGTTGCAGGTCCCACCATGCGGGGAACATATCTCCTCCTGATCCCTGCTCTGTTGCTCCTCCTGGCCTTTCCCGTCTCCAGGGGACGCTACAATGACGATTTTGATGATGGTGAGGACCCTGCAGACTTTGATGATAATGACTTTGCAGAGTTTGAGGACATGAACGACGATCCAGTAGCCGAGACAGAAACTGCTCCTCCACCTCGTGCCTCACAGGCCTCGCAGCATGAAGAAGATGAGGATGACGATGAAGCTACAGTGGAGCAAGAGGATGGCCAGGATGGTTTTGATGACTCAGAGACACAGGTGGAGTATATTTTCTAAATCATGGTTGTATTCTATTAATTTGTCAATGTGATTTCTCTCAAAGCTAATTCAGCCCCTTTATTCTAGGATCAAGATATGTACCCTAAATATGACCAGGAGGAGTTTGAGGGAATGGACATGGAGAAGACGGGCCACTCCATGAAGGACCCCCTCATAATCCACACGGTAAGATGGGCTTATCACTGAAATCTCCTCCCATACCATCATCTGCTGATAGTTAGCTGCTCTGGCTCTGAATGTGCACCCACTGTCCATTGCTTGTAAATGATGTTTACCCTAAAAGCTTTTGAGTATCAGTTAAGCTTCTCTATCAGGTCCAACAACATTGTATCTGTGTTTTCTTTCAACAAAAATGAAAAAAACTAAACAAAACATTTTTTCAAATGCAACTACAAGAAATATAAATAAAAGCAGTTTACATACATACAGATAACTCTACTGTTTGATGTTAGTAGCAGCTAGACTGGTTCAGCATTGTCCTAGCTTTAGTACTGATGACAACTTTTTGTTTGTCTGCAGGTTCCTGCACATCTGCAGAACAGCTGGGAGAGTTACTACATGGAGATCCTGATGGTGACAGGCCTGTTGGCCTACATCATGAACTACATAATCGGCAAGAATAAGAACAGTCGCCTAGCTCAGGCATGGTTCAACTCTCACAGAGAACTTCTGGAGAGCAACTTTGCACTTGTGGGTGAGTTCAGTCATAAGAAACAGCTCAGTTCTTCCCTGTGGTTATGGCCAGTGTGAAGCAAATCTCATGTTTAAAGCCATCATTTTGTATTTCTAGGTGATGATGGCACCAGTAAAGAGGCAGTGAGTACAGGGAAGCTAAACCAGGAGAATGAACACATCTACAACCTGTGGTGCTCTGGACGTGTGTGCTGCGAAGGGATGCTGATCCAACTTAAGGTAGCATCTGAATTTCACTGTAGGTGTGTGTTGAAATCATTAATAGAAATGCACGTTTGCAAAACAATCTTGATTGTCTGTTTCAGTTTTTAAAGAGGCAGGACCTGCTCAATGTTCTGGCCAGGATGATGAGGCCAGCCTGCGATCAAGTGGTATGTAGCAGCCAGATAAATACTTGGTACACTTGACTGTGGTTTTTAAAGTCGTCCCATAGTCACAACCGTTTTCTCACTTTCATCTTCTGTCTGGTTTATTCATGTTTTTTTTTTTTTTTTTTTTCAAGCAAATCAAAGTAACTCTTAATGATGAGGATATGGACACTTTTGTGTTTGCTGTGGGCACCAAAAAGGCCATGGCCAGGCTTCAGAAGGAGATGCAGGACTTGGTATGTATCCTCCACATCATCTGTGCATCAAAATAATCATTCTGAGCTACAGGTTAATAAAACAATGAATAAACTTCCAGACCTACGCTCATTTTTTACTTCAAGCTCCGAGTAATTTTGATGTCTGTTAGCTCTTGTTTACACTTAAAAGTGTAGATATCACGAGTAAGAAAGGCTGTTTCTTTTAAAACCGATACACAAGTAGATTTATACTTTGTCTTAAACATGCATGTACTCAACATTTCTGTTTTTATTTTCCCCAAAGAGTGAGTTCTGCGGTGACAAGCCTAAGTCAGGAGCCAAGTATGGGCTCCCAGACTCCTTGGCTATTCTTAGCGAGATGGGCGAAGTCACAGATGGGGTGATGGACAACAAGGTAAAGTCTTAATATGCTCAGCTATCACAACATCCTGTTTTTTGTACAAACATCCTCGTTTTGGATCATCTCCCTGACATGTCTGAGTCCATGTTCAATATTTGTAGATGGTGCACTATATCACCAACCATGCTGACAAGATCGAGTCCATCCATTTCTCGGACCAATTTTCTGGTCCAAAAGTTATGCAAGAGTGAGTATCTTTTTAAACATGTATTGTAGTAGAGCAACATTGCGCTTTCCCTGTATACAGCACTTAAAGTTCTTGTGTCGTTCAATAGGGAGGGTCAGCCTTTAAAGCTGCCTGAGACCAAGAAGACGCTGCTGTTTACATTTAATGGTGAGAACTTTGCCGCTGTCTCTGTATTCTTTCCGACTCAACAATTTAATTTTATAAATAAGTTTAATGTACACTAAATGTATATGTGTGTTTCTATGTGTGTGTGTGTTTAGTGCCTGGCATGGGCAACACCTCTCCCAAAGACATGGACACTCTGCTTCCTCTCATGAACATGGTGATCTACAGCATTGACAAAGTCAAGAAACTCCGCCTCAACAGAGAGGTGAGCAAACTCTGAGTCCTGTGCTGCTTTGAAGGACCACTGTGGGGTTTTCTGTCTTGATATTATGGGTCACATTACAACTATAACTGCAGCTCTCCATCAAAGATTTCCATCAGTTTCAACGCTGTTCTGTTGGTGAACAATGTCACTGTGAAGGAGGGAAAAACAAGCAGAAAAAGAGTTAGTTGTATGAATAAACAGTCCTATTTCTGCTCAAAAAGGTGATTGAAGTGAATCCTGTAACACAAGTCAAGTATTGCATTTCTCTGACATTCAATGTGCCAATCATAACTTTTGTCTGGTCTCCTTTGTTGAATAGTATTTTACATATCCTCAAGAAGCCACTGGGTGTGACGTACCTCCTAATTTTGTCTCAAAAATAAAGCTTGGAGATATTTCTACACTGATCTCAAGCCAAGTTTCCTGTTTCTCATAATCTGATCTCATAATGCTCCCAAGCTTTATCTGTATTCTCCAGTTAATTAATTTTTCTTCAAGGGGTACATTCTCTTGTATCTTGTCACATTTATTTATCTCCAGAGTTTGCTTTACTCAGGAGTATCAAAGGTGATAATGGTCTACCATCAAAGGTGATAATGGTCTACCTGCTGGAGCATAAAATCTACCTCACTGTAGGTGACTTACCGTAAATGTTAAAACAGCCCCAGTAAAGTCATATCTGTCAGCCTAGATGTGGAAATTTCGAGATAGGAAACATTTAAAATACTTGGGGCTTATGTGAGGAACTGCTCTCACTCGACACATCAGAAAGCTTTAGGCTTTACCCTTTTGAGTCCCTCACCTTGTCTGTACATTTAGGGTAAGATGAAAGCCGACAGAAACCGTGCTCGTGTGGAGGAGAACTTCCTGAAGCAGACTCATGCTCAGCGTCAGGAGGCAGCCCAGACGAGACGTGAGGAAAAGAAGAGAGCCGAGAAGGAGAGGATCATGAATGAGGAGGATCCTGAAAGACAACGCCGTCTCGAGGTGAGTCAGAAAAGCCATGTCAACCAACAGTTACACATTTTGGGGCAGACATGCCTCTTTCATTGTTTGAGATTAGTGCAAAAAAAAAATGCACCATTGATGTTTTTGGCACATTTATAACTGGAGGCAGCAAGCAGGTGATTTCAAGACAGAAACCCAACTGTCCAAAACCGCTATGGCCTTCTTTCCACTTCTGAACTTAATTGTCACTTCTTTTTTTTTTTTGCTCAGCCCACATAGAAACCATGATGTAGAGAAAATAACAACAGATTTAAGGATTTTTGTTCGCTGAACTCAGTACTTCCATTATACTTTGGGTTTTAAACACATTTGACAAGGTGTCTGTTTTCCACTGATTCAAGTCATTATGCAAAACTTCATCAGCTGCCTACTACACTTTTTTTCATTACTTTCCAAACAGGAGTAAAATGTTTATTTTTAACTTAAAAGTATCAAAGTGAACCAGCATGTTTTTCTTTATTATGACTGGGAGATAATAATGAGTAATAAATGTAATACGTTCGTATTTTTTTACTGCTGCAAGTGATTATTTTTAATGTTTTTATGCATGTTTTTATTTATTTTTTTCTGTTCAGGAAGCAGCACAGCGCCGCGAGCAAAAGAAGATTGAGAAGAAGCAGATGAAGATGAAGCAGATCAAAGTGAAAGCCATGTGAAAGATCACCACAGGAACCATGATAGAAGCACATATACAAGCAGTGCACCACTTTGACAGTTTTCTCCAGCTTCTCTCAACACAGCCTCACAGCTCTGGCTCACAGTCGCTCCTGCTCCAAACAGACATCCTGTGCCTCTGTGAAGCTTAGCCGTCTGTCACCAACTACTCCGTCTGCCTAAACTTAATGACTATATTCTGTCAGTTTCAAGAGAGAGGAACTTTTCCCCCGCCAAATCAGCTACCAAATTCCAGCATCTTCTGCCTTATTTTTTCGTCCAAGCATCTCTTCAGATCCGATCAAAGCGCTGTCTGAGGCTGTAAGCTCACTGATCTTTTTAAACAATTGGCCAGGAGGAAACACACAATCATGTTTCCACATTTTAAAAGGAATTCAATTATTGCTGTGATTTCAGTGGGTATTTATAAGCATTAATATAATCCTTAATTTTTTTTTATTTATATCTATCATGAGATTGGTTTCTTGCTGGCTGTTTTCTGATAAATATCTGAACAAACATAATAAAGTGCACTGGAATCTGTCTGGAAAAAAAAAAGGTTTTCCGATTGTTTTTAATGATTAAACTGAAATGACTGCTTTGATCAACCATAAAAATCATTATGACTGACCTTTGAGGGCTATAATACAGTTTATGATGATAGAAAGACTGATCCTCAGACCTCTTGGTACCGGACCTTAAAAGAGAAGGGCTCTATGTCGGGGACCAGAATGGGCAAGGCTAGATGCTAAATTAAGCTTGTAGACTGTCAGCAGTCTCCACACTAGATCTGGTTACATGTACAGTATAGTTAACGGGCTAGAATAGATACAATAACCATGTCCTTACAGACTTAGATTTGATATGATCAAATCTATAATTAGTGAGCCAATCACTGGGGACAGTCACCTGCGGCTTTTCAAAAACCTAATAAATTACAGATGGCATGTACTTGATTAAATACAGAATTTACCGACATTATTCAGGCTGGATGTTTCACACACATTTAATTATTACTAATTATTAACATTGAGTGTAAACACCTAATATGCCAGATGACCTTTTCTGTGCCAAAAGAGGTTATTTTTGATATGTTATCTATGAGCGTATGGATTGATGTAACAAGAACAAACTATTGCCACACTTAGAGAATGAATTCTGACATATTTTCAGTTAAATGGCACTCTCTTGTGGTTGAACTTTTACATTAGTCAAGTTATTCATTTTGTATCTTGATGACGTGCCTTCTTTCCTGCAACAAAATTTGATAATTTAATCCATTGTTTTACACTAATGTATCCACTTTTTGTGATATTTAGTGCATTTTATTGGACATTAAACTTGTTAAAAAACCATGAAACACAAAATAATGTATCAGTATCCAACAAAGAGCCAACCATGACAGTGAGGAATAAAACAAGGTGTATTCACTCTTTCACTGCACTGATTTAAAAATCTGTGTTATTTGTACTTTACTATTACCATTTTTATGATATTTTACACACATTAATTTCATTTCCCTAATAAGCAGTATACTATAGTTATAAATGTTTATACTGGCATACACAGCGGGAAAACTCAGTTCCTCTTTTTTATTTATTTTAAGACAAGACAATTAGACATTTCAAAGCAACAGCTAATTTTTACACAAATACAGAGGATACAATTAGACAACATAGGTGACAAGCCCTTAACAATTTCCAATTTTCCAAGTACTCGTGAAGTGTACTAGTAATAATAGTCATGAAGGCAAAAAAAATGTCAAAAAGACGAAAAGAAAGGAAGGATTAGTACGTGCTAATTATTTATTAAATCGTTGATTTTTTTACAGTATTATTTATTCTAATTCCTCTATTCCGACTAACATGAGGCAAATAAGAGAAAAGATAATAGAGAATAGCTCTAATAAAAACTGGAGTCTTTGTTGTCATGATCATGCCATTCCCCAGATGTTATAAGTAGGGGAGTGATACATTTCGGAAAACACAATGACTGAATTTCTCTTAAACTAATTTTGACCTGCCGCTTTTATGCTCATTCTTCAGTAATGTCAATTTAAGAAAAACATGAAAAAACAGATTTTTGTTCATAACTATCACAATAAGGAAATTATATAACGACGATACTTTCGCTGGTAGTACTCTTTAAGTCAATTTTTAATGGTTTATGTCCTTTATTGTTATTTCTGCTGTTTAATACTCTACACTCACCTCATGTGGTATAATGTATTATTTTAGATCGCTTTGTTGTCCCTGATCAGCCATACGGGGGCGCAGTGACCTCTTTCGTAGACTGGAGTTCCCATTAGCAGATTCTAATAAATTTCAGTTGTCCAAAATTGGCATTAATAAAATTAAACTAACTTGTAAATAAAGGAAGTTATTCATATTGATTTTGGGTGTAGAGGTTCATCTCGAAAATAATGGCTGCATGTTGCATTTTCAGAAACTGTCTCTGTAGAAAGTGCCAGTCGGTAATCGTAGTCTGCATTTACTTAGACTGATGGAGAACAGGCGAGGCTTTCAGGTTGGTTACGCGATGGCGGCTCTCTCAATAATATCTGGATTTTAACGCGAAAACAATGGCTTCACTGCCCGGAGAGGCGGCTTGTTATCTGGACTAGCAACCGGAATGATAGCGGTATCAGGTTGGCTGGTAGATTTTGCTTGAGCGGAGAGTCGGAGGTGTCCCGTCTCTGTTCAGGACTCAGTGTTTTTCTGGTCCGTCTCCCGGGCCTGCCTACACCGGAGCGGCGGGCTGCTACTTTCGGATGAGCGGGCGGTAGGTCTTGAAGTGGTGGGGTCTGAATTTAGCCGAACCGAAGCAAAACCAGAACCTCTAGGAAAGCGCCTAACACGTCGGTCACGGAAACATGTCATAGTTGTAGGGGGAGAGTCAGTAACGTCAAAATTGGAGTCCTGGTTTTGGGGCTCCTGCTAGTTAGCATTCTTATTAGCCAACGGCAGAATAGACTCGCATCGGCTAAATCGAGAAAGCACAAGTGATTTATCGACATTTAGCATTGTGATTTGCACTTGCTTCCTATGTGGAGGTGGAGGTGTAGTGGTGCGTGGGCAGAATTAAGTGATATTTCAGGCGGAACCCGTCCCAGTGTTTGTTGACGGGTTATTTGCATGTTGTTGGTGCAGCTAGCAGGTTGCTAACTGAACCGAGTGGTTAGTGACGTAACGGTGGTCATTGTTTTGACAGCATGCAGCATCTTTCCTGACGCGGCAAAACTCTCATTTTTACCACATTTAACGGTGTTCATCAGTGCATTGATAATAGATATCGACAGATGTGATTTTAGAGGACTTTATGTTTGGCTTACTGATGTGACGCAGCTCCCGGTGCTGTCACATTATCACATTGTACCCCAACTGCTAGTCTTTATGTTATTAACGACCAACCATAACATCATGAACACCTGGGTGATATCGTGCAACCCAATACAACAGCTTTACCTTAAATTCTGCTTTAACTCAGCCTCTATGATTTTTAACATGGTCAGATAGGTGATAACTGCTTTTACTATGTTAAAGCTGAAGCTGTTGTTGTATTACCTTTGTAATGTTTTGCACCCTTAATTTTTTGTGAATGAAGTGAACAGAAAGTGAGGAACACCTTTAAGTTTTAACAGTACACTATCATCCACTTTTTCAAAAACCACACGTCTGGTAAAATTTGTGTTAGAGCTATTATATTGGATTGCATTAGGTAGCTCAGATGTCCATGATGTTATAGAAGGTCAATGCGAATAGTGATTTATCATTAACTGCTGCGGCATTTCATGTTGGTAAAGCTCAATTTTGTGAGTTCCTCGTTCTTTGTGTACAAATCAGCTATTCATGTTGTTTTTCCCCCAACAGGAGGTATCACACTGACTTGAGCTGCGTTTTTTCTTTTACACAAAGTTGTAGGATGGATCCAGACAGTGGGGCAGAAACACAAAAAGCTGTCAGTTTGCAGTGGAAGAGCTACAAACTTGTCCAGGACCCAGCCATTAGACGGGTCACTCAAAAGATCTACAGATATGATGGAGTACATTTCAGTGTGCCAGTGAGTTCATTTTCATCTTTTCCATGTTAAATATTTCCCGTGCATGTGTGTATTTTAATCCTTGGACTTCAAATTGTACATATGTTTATCTCCCAGGACTCTGGATTTCCGCCTGTGGGTGAACTGCGGGATCCTAGACCCCGGAGACTGTGGTCTAGGTACACAGAACTGTCATTGCCAGTGCCCAAGTTTAAGGTGAGAAAAGCTTTTCCCAACAGCTTTACCTATCAGAAGGGCAAGCTATTCTTCCCTCATTTGATCTTTTTTTCTTATAGCTTGATGAGTTCTACGTGGGTCCCATACCCCTTAAGGAGGTGACCTTCGCTAGACTCAATGACAACATCAAGGAGCCTTTCTTGGCAGAAATGTGCGCCAAGTTTGGAGAGGTAGAGGAGATGGAGATCCTGTTTCACCCAAAGACCAGGAAGCACTTGGGCCTGGCTAGAGTGTTGTTTACCAGCACAAGGGGAGCTAAAGACACCGTGAAGCATCTGCACAACACTTCTGTTATGGGCAATATTATTCATGCTCAACTGGATATAAAAGGTAAGCAGAGCCAACGCCCTAAGTGAAGGGTTTTTGAATATGAGCCCTTTCGAACTTCTTGCTGTAGGAATATGTCATAATAATGTTTTTACCATGACACATTTTAAACATCAATGATCATGTAAAGCATTTGAGATTTTGCCTCAACACTATTTGAAACACTTCCCCTTTTACACACATTGAAATAATAAAAGTATCTATCATGTAAGTCTTTTTTTTTTGCTTTTGGACTTTAACATGCTCAGAGAGCTTCTCCCAACCATCTGTACAAATGCTTATATGTGGTATTCAACTGTACAACTTGACTGTGGGGTTTAATGTATGTGTTAACTTTTTATCTTATTGAACAAAAAACGCTAACGGTAAGCAGTAATCAAAAAACATTCAGTAGTATGTGAAATAGTAATTTTATGTGTTTTCATTTCATTATTTGCCCCTTTTGCCCACAATTGTACCAAATGAGCCCCAGCCTCTCACAGCTGTGACTGATTTCGTTTATCAGGTCTAAAGGTGTACTTTTTAGATAACATATTGGCTCTTGGCTGAGATTGTAAAACCTCAAAAGTGTTTGTCTTAGGAATCTGTGTAGTGTTTATAGTTGTTGCTAATGAGTTACATTAATTTTCTGTTGCTTTGTTTTCCTCCCTAGGCCAGCAAAGGCAGAAGTATTACGACCTGATAGTTAACGGGTCTTACACCCCTCAGACGGTGCCTCTGGGAGGCAAGGCTCTGACTGACAGGATCCAGCCTCCGACCCCAACACAGCCACAGCCTGATACAGTATGTAACATCATGATAAGATATTAAATTGATTTGTGTTTGGACTTCTGAGTGTTAGTAGCCATTACACATTTTCATAGGTCAGTGCATATACTTAATTGGTAATAATATGTTGAAGTGTTTAACTCATCTATACTGTATTGGACAACAGATCAGTATGACTGCATTTGCTTGGTTACTTAAATATTCTTACTTTTTTTTGTCTCTCGTTTTTTTGTTGCACAGTCATCAGAAATCAGGCGCAGGCTCTCCAGTGAGCTTGCAGTTTTGGCAGCAGGGGTCCAGGCCCTCACATCAGGCAACATTACCCCTTGCTCAGCGGACACTGGTTTCAGTGAGCAGCGTCTAGACACTCCCCCTTCCACCATGTCTGGCCCTTTCACCCCGGGCTCCTCTACTTCTTCTCAGGGTGGAGGTACACCTTACAGCTCCAGGTCTGGGACTCCCTTTTCACAAGACTCGGGCTTCACTGGCAGCAGGTCAGTTTTCTAGCACATGTTGAATTTCAAAAAGTTTTGGTTATTTTAGAGTTGCTGTGAACAAAAGTCAAATCCAGGTCCTTTGATCAAAGCTGAGACACTCCTTATCTTTTAAGTCCATGATAGAATCCAAGTTAATGAACCCTCTCATGTGGTTTATTAGAATTATAAATCTGACTGTGTAAATGAAGCGGTCAGTATTCAAATTCATTTTGTGCCAGCCTGCAGACATCGCTACTATGTTGTTAGATATGGTTTTGATCTTGATAATGTAGCACGCCAGGCAGTATAATGATCTGCATATATTTATCTGTTGGTAGACTTGTACTATTAAATGATGAAGAGTCTTATAATTACATGATCAATAACTTTTTCTTGGACTCTGAGTTTTGCCTTATGTTGCTTTAATTAGTTTTTGTGACACAGACTGAAGGAGTGGGACTGTTGAGGTCTGACAAATCTAACAATTTGTTTTCTACTTGTTTCACAATCGCAGGCATACTGGCTACAACACTGGCACTTTGGGCAGTGGGTACCCTCCCCAGGACATGCTTCCTTCCTCTTCCTCGTCCTCTGCTGTTTCGTCTACTGTCGGAGGATATAAAGTGTCTCGTTACTCTGAAGATGCACAGGAACCTGCAGTGTATCACAGAGGTCGCCCCATGTACCCCCCAACCCCATCGTACCGCTCTAATGAGCCCCCGTGCTACCCCCCATACCCCAGTGTTGGAGGGCCAGGGTCACACATTGGCCACCACTCCGCAATGCCTCCTCCACCTCTTGCCACCCAGTATGATCAGCCCTCAATGTCAGACAGAGAGCGGGACCGGGACAGAGACTCAGGGGGCCGGTATGGGGCCGGGACGATCGGCTCCAGAAGGTCATCATACCACCACCAGCAAGACACAAACTCTTCCTCAAAGTACCATTCCCATCACTCCCATCATCACTCAGATCGCAGGGATGAGAGGGGGTACCGGCGAGACAGCTTGGGCTCTCGATCAGGTGACCACAGCCACCAGAGACACCGCAACCACCACCATTCTCACAACCACCATGGCAGCAGTAGCCGCAGAAGGAGTAGCCACGACCGAGACAGAGACCGGGACAGAGATCGAGATAGAGACCGAGACAGAGACAGTGACTACTCCAACAGCTCGGACCCTAGATACAACTCAAACTCGTACCGCTCTTCCTCCAACAGCATGTCTCCTCCCCCCTCATCTTACCCTGCATACTCCTCTTCCAAAGAGCCCACCCCAGCCCCTCCTCAGGGATTGGATGTTCCCTCTCGTCTAGGGGGCACAAGCCTCTCAGAAAGAAGCTCTCAGCCTTCAGTTGGTGCTGAAAAGGATTTCAACACCGGTCACCACAGTGCTCTGCCTCCACCACCCCCACCGCCACCTCCCCTCCCACCAGCTTCAGTCATTGCAGCAGCTGTAGCTGAGACACTTGGAACGCTAGACTTCAACCAGGATAGTCCTGCTCATGAAGAGCAGTGGACCAAGCCCAAACGCCGTCCCAGCACACCGCCAGCACCGCCTAAGACACCCCCACCTCCCCCGTCTTCTCCTCCCCTTCCAATCATTGCTTCCTCCTCCACCTCTCCTTCATCAACTTCCCTCCCTCAACATCTTCCCTCCTCTTCTAGCTCTCCACCTCCTCCTCCTCCTCAACGTGACTCTTCCTCCCCAGAGCCAGATTCCACCAACGAGAGCTTACCATTCGTCTATCACAGCAGCAGCCTTGACTCTCGCATTGAGATGCTCCTTAAGGAACAAAAGGCAAAGTTTTCTTTCCTGGCCTCTGATGAAGAAGAAGAGGAGGACAGGAAAGAGGAGAAACAGAGGGGCATTCGTGGGGATGGAGGAGAGCGGAAAGTTGGGGTAGGTGATGCAGCAGGGGAGCACTCAAGTGCTAACCAGGTGGAAGACAACGGGGAGAAGGACCAGAGGAGGAAAGGAGAAAGAGACAGAGATGGCAATAGAGGGAGGAAACACGGAAAGGGTGGAGAAGTTAGGAAAAGTCCCACTGTTCTTACTGCATCAACACCCACCTCTTCAACCTACTCGACCCATATTCTGCCCCCAGAGGAGCCTCAGCCCCAAGTTGGCCTCACTGGGACTGGAGCTTTGCTGGAGGAATCTTCTCAAGCTGGGTCTGCTGATTCTCAGAGCAGGACAGGAGCACACACGCCACCTTACAACGGACAAAGTCAGGTAACTGAAGAAGCATAGAATAAATCTTCAATCTCAGCTTGTTTGATACCACATAAATTTCCTAATAAAAATAAGTGCTAAGTTGTTACTTATTGGTCAAAAAGGCTGAACTATGTTGATGTAAATGTAGGGGATCGACACCTGTTTGTCGCAAGGGCACCAACTCTGGGTAAAGTTTGAGGCTGACTGTTTTGGTAAAAGCATCCCAAATAAACAAACTTAGTGTTTTGTGTTCAAAATAAGTGGAAAATAGCATCTTTCATACAGAAAATGTTTGACTCATCTTTTAAACGCAAAGTATGTACTCATACATTTCTGCTAACCAAAGTAGAGAAGTAAGAACATCACAGCTACAAAGAGAAAAAGCACATGAAGTAGTTAATATGAAGTTAACATTCTGGTAATAGATTTCTCAATAAGAGTGTTTTGATTTTCTTTGTTGAAATCTGGCTGGTTTGGATTGTGTCGGATCAAGTGGGTCTGGTAACCCTGACTGTCTGACTCTGTTTTCTTTCAGTCCTCCCCTCATTCCTCAGGTGAAGACATGGAGATCTCAGAAGATGAAGAAGAGGAGGCCACTATAACAACAGTGGCCCCTCATCAGCCCACAGTCACCTCAGGTTCCTCGCCCTCTTCATCCCAGGCTGCCATGCCATCTCAAACATCGGACCCCTCATCTTCACCCCCACCAATTTCTGACTCAACGCAACACTTTGGCACCTCCATGCACCCTCCAATACCTTCATATCCTCCTCATTTGCCTCCTCCACCGCCTCCTGGTTACTCGCTTCAGCCCCCACCTCCCCCGGGGATCCCTCCCCTGTCTCACATGGAGCTGCACCCAGAGTACCCCCCTCCCATTCCTCACCACATGTATGACTATGCCACGTCCATGGAGCTGATGAACCAGTACAGTGGTGGAGCTCCCATGTCTTTCCAAATGCAGACCCACATGCTTAGCCGCCTGCATCAGCTGCGCATGTCGTCATCCAACGGCACCCCGGGTCCTGGTGAGGCAGCTACTGCAGACTACTCCTCCTACCATCTCCACTCTATGCCACCACCCCACACACACCACCCGTATATGGACCAAGAGGGTAGTGGGGCGGGTTCACATTATGACCAGGACCACCGTTACATGCCACCCCACATGCCCTACCCTTACCCCGACCCCCACAGCACTCAGATACCACCACCTCCACATCATGGAATACCCCCACCCCATACTGGATGGCCGCCACATGTCTTACCACCACACTACCCCTCTTACATGCCCCCACCTGGCTATGGCACCATACTGCCTAGAGATGGAGGCGAGTACAGTGCTCCTGGTGAGGAGATGCCCATGCTGGTGGAGAATCCACATGAGGCCACAGTGCAGCTGGTCCTGGCAACTCTGATCCAGGAAATGAAAAACATCATGCAGAGGGATTTGAACCGCAAGATGGTAGAGAATGTTGCCTTTGCAACTTTTGATGAATGGTGGGAAAGGAAAGAGACGAAAGCCAAGGTGAGGATAACCAATCAAAAGGATGGTCCCGTCCCTGAGTTTTTTATGTGTGCAAAGTAGGGAGATATTGTCAAATCTGTCTCTCCATGCTCCTTTTATAGACATGACCTCACAGGTTCTCTCTGCTTTATAACTAAGAAGGGGATATTTTGTTTTCCAAAGCAGTGTGAATTACTTTGCCTCATCCACAGGAGCACAACTGTGGTTCTGACTACATTAACCACTGATCATGCTGTGAAATGCACCAAGTTGAGAACTGAAAATTGTTTCTATTTTTCCTTGCCTAGCCTTTCCAGACTATGGTTAGGGGAGTGTCTGCCTTACGGGATGATGAGAAAAAAGAAGAAAAGGTCAACCGTCCTCGGGAACCTCTCACATCTTTAGTAGACTGGGCAAAGAGCGGTGGCATGGAAGGATTTTCTCTCCGTGGAGCCCTGCGGCTGCCTTCCTTCAAGGTAAAGACACTCCTTTTCACAGATCTCATGATGGATCTCCATGTTTGACAGCCCACACTGTGGTTTAGCTAAATTAGACCCATGATTACACACACGTAAGAAAAGTGTATATTTTAGAGGAATTTGTAACCCATAAATAAAACCATTGATATATGTGTTGTCATTGAAAAAAAAGTCATGTCACATGGTTTACTGATGAAAATTTCCAGCTCTGTTTGGTGAGCTCTACTACACATACATGCTTATTTTTGTCAAGAAGAAAATATTAGAAAATGAGCATGTTTGATATTGCTTCATGTGTGTGGTTTAGTCTTGTGAAGTGCACAAAATTTGCCGTTCTAAACTGTAAAGCTGTTAATCAATTCATGTGATTGTTCAGGTGAAGAGGAAAGAACCCCAAGAGCTTCAAGAGGGAGACATGAAAAGGCCACGACCTTCGACCCCACCAGACGAGGATGATGAAGGTTTGCAGAGCTGATGTTGAACGTTTCCAAAGAAGGGTTTGATTAATGATGACATAATGCAGTGAACCTCAAACTTCTCTCTTGTATTTTAGCCACTGAGGGACGAATGCCTGAGGCAGACAGGCGCGGAGCTGAAAGGGATAACAAGAGGAGGAAGAAGAAGCCAAGGAGTCGTAAACCTTGGGAGCTTGGCAGTGAGGGTGAAGAGACATCTGATGGATCCTCGACAGAGAAGGTATATCTACATGTAATTGTCTTGAAGAGGCACCAGTGTGACGTTGGGAAATAGTTTTTATCACGTGTGTCACTCATTAAAATGTTGGATGCTTTTTGCATGTTTGTAGTAAAAGTTTGACCTTTCATTTATTGATCTGTTGGTTCATAAGATTGATGATGTTGTTGTACCACCCAGTAGCTAGATGGCAGCATTTCACTGCTATTGAGTAGTATTGTAACAATAAGCTTGTCATGTGCAGGAGGATGAAGAGAGTGAAAAGGAATCTGATGGTGAGTAAAAACCTGTCTTGTTTACCTTTCTTCCTATGCATATTTTTGTTGACTTTTTGCAGAGGCAGTAATATATCCAATCATTTTTTTTTCTTTTGAAGATGATGTCCTGAGTGCGGATAGTGATGATGAGAGCCTCTCCTCATCCTCTGAGGGCTCTTCCTCTTCAGCATCCTCCTCTTCCTCTTCCTCTGAAGATGAGGATGAAGGAGAGGGAGACAGGGCAGAGAGTGAAGGGCCAGACACCATGGATGAGTCAACCATGGACAGTACTCTTGAGAAGGAGGATGACAGGTATGATCAGACACCTGAGCTCTGTGTTACATATGAGCTTTGAGAGTTTTTTTTTAAATCTTTATTTAGATTCATGTTTCCTCATGTTGGTGTCTCAGACTCTCGCTTCTCTTTTTTTTATTCTCCTCAGGGAACGTAACACTGCTGCTGTTTCAAAGACCGAGGTCAAAACAGGTCAGTCAGAGATCCACTTCAGTTGAAAAAAACATGATCAGTCACTTTGGCCTACCTCCAACAAAGGCTTTGCCACAGCAAAGGCATTTATAATGAGTTCACCCATGACTTCTGGATCCTTGCTGTCACTGCTCCTCTATGCTTCTCAACAAAGTTACTAAAAATGTATTTCTGAGCAGTCTTTCAAATCTCTGATTTTCTCTCAGGTGATGCCAAGGACAGCAAGGCAGATCCAACATTACCACCCACCAAGCTTCCTTCTTCACCCCCATATCCACGTCCTTCATCACCCATCGTTCTTGTGCCTCCTCTCAAGAAACGCAGGAAGACTGTCTCATTCTCCACAGGCGAGAGTGACAGCAAAACTCAATTACCAGCTGCACCCCCATCTCCGGCTCCCTCAACTGCTGGTGAATCTCCCCTCGTCTCTCCAAGCAGGCCTCCAGACTCGCCCATCACATCTTCTATGACCGCCTCAGTTCGTGCCACTCAGGGCATCCAACTGCTCCCCTTTGCCTCCAAACCCGGTGCAGGCAATGCCCTCATCGTGCCCCCACCAGGCCGAATCCCGGATTCTGATGAGTATAAGAAGGGACCACCTGTGTCTCCTCAGATCACCCCTGTCAAATCCCCAGGGAAACGAGGTGCTGGCAAAGAGTCACCCAAATCCCCTGGGCCTCCTGTTATGGTGTGCCGCACTGTGCAGAACCTGCCCTTGGATCATGCCTCTATGTGCAGGATGGCCTTCGAGGAGGCCCCTCCTCCACCCCCTGTCAACAAACGGTCCAGAGGCAGGCCACGCAGCAGTCTTTCTGCCTCTTCCCTCAGAGAGGAAGAGGAGGAGGATGAAAATGAGCAGAGGTTGAGACTCAGAGAGCAGCTGGGGGCATCAAGCCTCCTGCAGCTGGCTGCAGCTTCAACCACTGACCTGTCTGTGCTGGCTGATGTAGCCCTAAAAATGGACCCTGATGGTGGGGACTCTGAAGAGACAGAGACATCTGATGAGGCAGAAGAACAGAAGATGGAGGAGGATCTCCTCTCATCAGGGTCTGTGTCTCTGTTGATGAGCCCAGAGGGTGTCATTGTCCTCATGGAGCACAACTACTGCAAACCCCTTGTACTCACAGTACCAACAGGTACAAGAAGGACTTCCTCCAAACAAGACCCCTCCATTTTGCTCCCTGCAGACCTCAACACTATTTCTGGGGTGCTTGAAGCACCAGAGGAGGTCATTGGAGATGCAGTACCACCTAGGGTGGATACCGGGGAGTATGTTTCCACAATGGGGGTGTTGTGTGAGTCTGAGGATGCAGGTCAGGCTGCAGCTTTGTCTCCATCGTCAAAGAATATCAGGGCTGGCAAGGGTTTGGAACTCGAAAAGGACAAGAGCAAAAAAAGGAGAAGAAAAGACAAAGAGAACCTTGAGGTTGAGCGCACGAAAAAGCAGAAGGAGCAGCCAGGCAAGAAGCAAAGGAAGCGGAAACTAGAGGTGTGTTCTCGCAAATGTCTGTGGATGTGTGTGGTAGGCAACAATGTGTGTGACACAATGAAACTTTGAGTCATCTGACGGTTTGGTTTTATAGTTTTGGGAACCCCATAAGGTCACTTAATCTGGAAGTTTTCCTCAGAGCGTGTGAAAACGTTCATATTTTTCTATTTGAGTTCTGGCTGGATGATTAGGATGTTACTAAACGTGACACTAACACTGACCAGTGTCACTAATGTCTCTACTGGGGCCAAATCCTCTACCAAAGCAAATGTATTCATTGTAAATCAGTCTATGTATTCACTGAGTCAGTGGACACCTGAAACAGTCCAGAACCTGTGAGGCAGCAGTACTACAAATGAATCAAAACAGAATTTTATGGATTGAAAGACAGAAAGAAGTGATGTAGAGATAAAACTTAGCTGCAGTGCTTTTCCATTGTGTTCATTCACAGTTTCTTGATAGTAATAATCTTTGTCCTCTCTCAGGACTCGGAGGAAGATGTGGACGTAGAGGAGCTTGAGTCAGGGGAACTATCAAGCTCAGACACAGAAGACGAGGTGGTTGAAGAGGTGAGGAAGAGTGAGCGCCTCTTCCTGCAGGAGGCCGGGATTACATCATCTCAGCGCTGGCCTAAGCCTATCCCGGCGCCCGAGTCTTCACCAGTGAAGTTTGAAAACCGCAGTGAGTTTGAGCAAATGACCATCCTGTACGACATCTGGAACTCCGGTTTGGATGGTGAAGATTTGGGATTGCTGAAAAAGACTTATGAGAAGCTGCTCCAGGACGACCACAGCTCTGACTGGCTCAATGATACCCACTGGGTCAGCCACACAAATATCCTTATCAATGACAGCCTTCTGTGTCTATGTAAATTGATGTCTGTGTATTTTTAGTGGGCAAACATGTCATACCTTTATATCTCTGCTTGATTATCTGCTGTTGGCCTTGACCTTTGAGCTGCACTAACCAATTTGCCGAACCCTCGGCGAAAGAAGAAGAACCCAGGTGGACAGCTTCGTGAGCATGTGACCGGGTGTGCCAGGAGTGAAGGCTACTATGCCATCAGCCGCAAGGAGAAGGATGTGTATCTGGACTTGGACCTTCCTGAGCAGGTCATAAGGGAGGTGGAGAACGTTGACACATCGGTAAGTGTCGTATCTGTTTCATTCTTAGACTCTGGGATCTTTTGGTGTCTTCCTTGTTGTCACTAATAATTCCTATGCTAGCAGAATTTTGTTTTTGTTGGATTAATAGCTTTTTTAAATTTTGATCACACATAATGAAACGAGTAATTGAGAAAAGTGAAAAGGGCTTGAGCAGTATTTTAGATCAATTGGGAAGCTTTTATGTGATTTGAAGTGTGAGTAGTCTATTTGTCACAAAGTCGCTTCTGGATTTGAACTCAGCTTCATGAGTTCATGTTTACTATTGCTCTCGATAATGATAAACAAATGAGGGGTCAGTTGTGCAATGACCTGCAGTTGTTGCTGCTGTTATTCAAATAAAATGTTGAGAGCACTGAATATAAAAGCTATTAGGTTGTGAAGGCCTATGTTTGTGGGTTTTTATCAAAGTCTTCAATGATGTTGGGGCACAAATTCAGCGCAGGTGGTCCAAATGCATGTCAACTTTGATGAGTCTAAAATTAGTTAAAGAAAGTGATATTAGGTATGTATCCTATAGAAGTGCTAAACTGTTAAGATCATCTGATGTTTTTTATACTCACTCATTTATGTGACACGAGAGCTATTAGGTATTCAAAATGAAACTCTGTGGTTGCCACATTTGTTTTCCTCTCTAGTCTAACACCAGATGCTGAGCAGATATAAACTAACATGGGTGTGAGAATCAAAAGGGAGGATGTTTATCTATCTCACTTTGAATTTGGTTCAAACCCAGTGTCTTCAAAGTCATCTTAAATAGCCATGTTGTTATTTTCTGCATTATTGGTAGCAAATCAAGTGTAATAATACAGACTTCAAGAGTCTGGATATTTTTCACAAAGCTGTGTAGAAAAATACTTTGACATTAGTAAAAGAGAAGCTTCAAGAATCCACTTAGTTTGCAGAAGAACAACAGAAGGACTGGTAACATTTCAAATGTTGAGCAGTTTCTGTGGTAGAAAAGTGGTGGAGATTTGCTGGAAAGTGAAAGAAAAAAACCCACATGTCCGAAAGATGTCAATGTGGAAAGAATGCTGTTGTTCAGCTCTGTGCTGGCTCTGATAACAACCTAGGGGGTTCAGTGGAGGCTGGATACAATGGTTATTATAGGGGGTCGATATGCGGCTAGGTAATGCCCCTTTGGAGTTTTATTGGCATGGACTCTAGTCAAGACAGTTGGCCCACAGTCATCTGGCATCAAAATCAGGCCATTTGTAAGGTTTGGATTATGTGAGAGGATTTCAAAAGAGAGGACAGGGGTGATGGATTTGGGCTTTTCTGGAGCTAACATGGCTTTGCTACTGACACATTTTTGTTTTCCAAGTTTGAGGTTGTTGTTAAATCAACACTGTAACTCGTTGTTTAAAATGTCATTTTTTTACTTATTTGCTGTTTTCAGCGGTTGGATATCATACTCAGCTGCTTTCAAGTTGTGCTCCATAAAGTATCTTTAGCTTTTAAGAAAAACATATTTACTTACAAAACTAAGATATTTTTTAACATTATCTCAGTCTGCACATGACTTGGCATAAATCAGATGTAAATGCAGAGTCAGGTACAGTCAGTCTCAGGTACTCAGTGGTGTGTCTGAGTTTTTCTCCTTCATGCTACACTTCACGCTTGTTTCATTGCTTTAGTATGGTCAGTTTATTCAATATCTTGAGTTGATTGTTGGCACTGTTATTAAGGAACCTACCCCGAAGCTTTGAAAAGTCGTGTCCTTTATTTGTTGGTTGTGTAATCCATGTGGACTGAATGCCTGTAAAACTAGAAGACCAACTTATCTCCACATTTCCTTTTGCAGTTTCCTAACAGTCTTATCTGCTTACTGATCGGTTTCCAGATGAACCTTACACACACTAACATGGTTGTTGCTCATAACGTGTTTGCCTAATTCCATCCTCTTCATCTCAAGGCCTAGTGATACCGTAATTATGTTATGTCTACTTGTAACGCCCTTCACTCTGTTTCCTTTCAGGGAGCTAACCGGTTGCTATCAGAACGACGTTCAGAGCAGCGCCGCCTCCTCACTGTCATTGGTGCCACAGCTGTCATGGACTCTGACCTGCTCAAACTCAACCAGCTTAAGGTGTGTACAGCCAGTGTATCATTGGTATCTCCTGTACCCATCTAGTCCCAATACTTAATACCCAGTATGGTTTGTAGATTTAAGGTCCTTTACTTTTAAGTCCTCTTAAACAGAAAATCACCTTTTAACAATATACAAAAGCAAGCAAGGGTTAGGGACATCAAGGACAAGATTTTGAAATCAGTAAGAGGTGGTGGCAGCTGGAGAAACAGCTGTTTGTTTGACAATTTTCTCTTGAAATATTTCAGATTTATGAAAAATTTGAATCTGTCAAAGGTCAGCAAGATTAGATTTTTGTTAAGTCATTCAAGCACAGACTGCTTTGTCCATTGGGGGCACCAAATCCGACACAAACCAAAAGTCCCTCACAGGAGCTTTAAGTGCGTTTGGCGTTATCAGTGTTGAAAACAAACTATGATGACACATCTGACTGACTTTAATGCTCAACTGTAGACACTCAGACTCAAGTAAACTTGACTAAAAAATTCTAAAGTTTCTCTGAGCAGGCAAACTCATATTTCTCAGTCAACTAAGCAAACATTTTGATTTTTATCACCTTTAGCTTACAATTACTATAATCCTCCATCCATCAGCATGAAACACAAATCCATCTCTGTACTTTCAAATTGCCATTTGTATGTGCTGCTGATCTCAGGCAGATGGAGCAACACAACTTTGACCCTGGAGAACTCCAACCCTTTTATAATAATGTTGAGAAATGATTACCCTCATGTTTTTTTTTTCATAACCAGGAAAAGCATATCAGTTTTAAACTCATTAGTGTGTGTCTTACACACCACATCCAAACAGGTAACAGGTGGAAACGGCTTTCTTTTTGAGGTCTTTTGTGACCTCTGCCAACTTCAAAGCTATTTTCCATGTGGGCCGTTACCTTGTGTAGAAATGGCAAACAAGACATGACGGTTTAAAGAGCAGTTTGCTTACACTTAAGAACTATCTTCCACCAACAAAGGCTTTATCTGCCTTCAAAGTGCCTTTGATCCATTGACTCAGGCTCCCTGCTTTCTTTGTAATCTGATTAATCTTGCCAAACTGAGTTAAAACTGCAGCTTTGCAAACCCTGTTCAAGCCTTACATTGGCATATGCTGAGGTCCATTTTTTCATTTGTGTACCATTAAAAAATGCTGATACACTTCATTCTAAAGGCTTCTGTCTGAAATTATCATTCTGTCTGTGTGCAGTTCCGAAAGAAGAAGCTTCGTTTTGGACGCAGCAGGATCCACGAGTGGGGCCTGTTCGCTATGGAGCCTATTGCTGCTGATGAAATGGTCATTGAGTATGTGGGTCAAAACATCAGACAGGTACGGCTCTGAGTCTGTGTTATTGTCGTCATTTTATCAGTGTGTTGACCTAAAATCACAGGATACATAACAGCTAGTTTAAAAACATTGATGATAGACTTCTTACTCTAAACTATGGAAATATGCATCATATCTGTCAACCCTCTTCAGAGATGAATTCCTCCATTGAACTCAATGTAATTAAACCCCTTGTATGTTTAATTACAATATAAACTAAAAGGCATCCTTTAAGATTTTCGATAAGGGTTGATTGAGTGTTTATGTGATCTGTAAGAAAATGTTCTGCTGTGTCCAGATGGTAGCAGACAATCGGGAGAAGCGATACGCTCAGCAGGGCATTGGGAGCAGCTACTTGTTCAGAGTGGACCACGACACAATTATAGACGCCACCAAGTGTGGCAACCTCGCTCGATTCATCAACCACTGCTGCACTGTGAGTCTCAGCATACTCAGTCGACATCTATCCAGAGCTGACAGTGCGAGGCTTATTTGATGGTGAGTTATCATGATGCGGTCTCTCATTCATTTTTTTTGCTTTATCCCTCCAGCCAAATTGCTACGCCAAGGTCATCACCATAGAGTCCCAGAAAAAGATTGTGATCTACTCCAAACAGGCCATCGCTGTGAATGAGGAGATCACCTATGATTATAAGTTCCCGCTAGAGGACAACAAGATCCCTTGCCTGTGTGGAACAGAGAACTGTCGTGGGACATTGAACTAGTTGACAAGTTTCTCTTTCTCTCTTGCCAACAGCCAGCCAGAACTCCATTGATTCACCCTCCTCATACTTTATTACCCTGTGATACCCCCTACCACGTCTGAGACAACCTCACAGTTGTCCTCACAATACCCAGGAAACCAAGACTCACTCGCGCACTTTCACCTACCCTTTTTTTTTATTACATTCTCTTGGCAGATTGATGAGCCAGTGTATGTGGGGTTTGTGTGACCTGGCATGTAAAGGGCCTCTGTTACACAGGCAGCTCCTCTGTGACAGTATTGTTTCACTTGATGGATGAGAAGTTCCAGTTAAGTAGTTCCATGCAGCCTGGCATGAAAGGGCCTTTTTCTCCCCATGCCAATATCCGTTTCTAGAAGCACTCGTGAAGAGAGAAAAATAACACACTGGGTTTTTTTTAATATTCAAGACAGATCACATAATCAACCACCTAGATCCTTCTTCCAATATTCAATTCCTCCTCCCTTTGCACCCCTCTGTCCTCACAGGTCCGCACACTGACGCACAGAAATATAAGACAAATTCAGGGTTTTTAAAAATCGCTTAAGGGCGCTCTTTTAAGATGAAAACTTCAATTTGGTCTTCAGTTATGCAAGATTTCCAAGTGTGAAGATTGTTTTTGATCATTTTTTAAATTTTGTTTCATAGTATCACATATTGATATTACTCTTGCTGTTATTAATGGTATTTAGTTGCATTAGCTGTAAGTATCTAACAGTGAAATAAGCTTCACTGTATCCACCCACTGCCTTCAGTGGCTCGTGAATCACCAGCCCTATAAAACTCTCCTTCTCCACTGTGCGTTACTCTCCTTCTGTCTGGATGAGTCCTTTGAGTTATTGTTTTTAGTCCCTACATGAACATCAGTTAAATTGTAGCTGAAAGTGTGTTATTTTTACATGGCCAATGTTTTTTATGTTTTTTTCTGCAGAAGTATCACACAGAAATATCAGTCTGTTCCTCTTTTGTTTGTTCACCCCCCAGAGTCCTAAGCTGTGTCAACAAAGGTTTTGTATTCAGGTCTTGAGTGTTTGTACGTAGGCTCTCTGTGTCAGTCTGTCTGTGTTTAATCGTCCCTTCCATGAAATTTACTTATTTGGTTTCAACCAGCAAATGTTTGGTATATGTTTTAGGAGATTTCAAACCGCAAGTTCTTTTTTTTTTATGAACCGGCTCAGCAAAAACCCCACAAAACTCCTGCAGGTCCCTTGACCTCTGCTCCAAATGTTTTTAAAAGACACATTTTTAATGTGATCAGGTCTCCTTAGAGGTTTAGTTAAGCAAAGTTTCTATTTCCTCATGGTTTATAGGACTCCCATAATTAAATAGTGTGTATTTTATTTGATCTCGGAGTCATTTGCCCCACTTTAAGCATCCCTCCCTGAAAAATTTCAGCTCCAGGCAAACAAATGCTCTTCTTTAGTCCTGTTTGCAGTTAAGATGGTTGGAAGATATTTAAGGGCAAGTGTCAGCAAGTTTTTTGAGACGCTCCATACAGAGGGATGCATATGGCCTGTGTGTTTTCTCTGTTTATCATATGGCTCTGGCCGTCCAAAGTTTCAGCTGTTATCTTGACAAACAGGCGTCTCCTTCGTTTTGATCTCACCCGAACAGGAAAATGTGTAAAATATTTTTTTGTTTCAATGAAGCCTTTCAGTACAAACCTACCGTATTAACAACAGGAGAAAAAAATGAAAGGAGAAAAAAAAAATCAAAGTACATGTAAATATTGTAGAGGTGTTTGTTTCTCGTAGAAACACACTGATTTCAGGCTGTAAATATGTTGTTCCTTTTCCCCTCACCATGAGGAGGAAACATGTACATACCTTCCATTCATTTATTTTTTATTGTTTCTCCTTTTAATTTGATGATTATTTTAATATTATTTGCAATATTTCTCTTGTATTAATGCGTTGGACCCTTTATTAATGGTGCATTAAAATATTTTTTAAATAAATGAACCTCAGTGTCTGTCTATGTCTGCCAACAGCATAATTTTTCAAAAGCTGAGAAAGGTCTGAAGTTTGAGGTGGAGTTTGGGAGGGTGCGGTCAGGGGGTAAATCAAACAGAGATGTATGAGACAGGAGCTGCTCACTGACACAAAGATGTGCTTAACACTTAACGTTTCATGCAGTGGACGTGTCCCAACCAGTAAACTCTTGTTCCAAGTTACAGGGCTGATTGAAAACAGAAGATGCAGTTTTGAATGGCCATGGCCCCTCCTTAGGTTAATAAAATTGGAGAAAGCTGCTCAGGTTGGACCATTTGGGGTTTAATTAAACATATAAATGACAACATTACTGTATTCGTTTCTGTAGATGTATCCTGGCAAGCGATAGAAGTTTGACGTGCCAGAGAAAGGATATACGTCGAAAACTGTCTGATGAAATGTGCCGTTTCCACAGGAAATTGATGCTTAGTGGAAAATACAAAGCCCTATTTCCTTCTTGACAGAGCTGAAATCAGATGCTGCAGTTCTCGCCAACATTTCCTGTTTGAAAACAAGAGGAAGCGGCAATATCTAACCCAAGACTAGAATTCTGTCAGACAACGGCAGGAAAGGGGGATTTGGTCAATCTTCCGGTGCAGATGGTAAGCAGACAAAAATCTCTGAGCGTCTGGATGATGAAAATCGACCAAGTAATTAGTTAAGACTTTTTTCAGGTGGCAAGGTACTTGAACTGTTTGTGGGTGATTTTCCCTTGAGTCACAGCTTGAGTTGACTGGAAATGGCAGGATATATATACTGGAAGTAACATGGTGGTAAACAAAAACTATTTGCTAAGTATTTTGCTATGATAGCACTAAAAAAGTATTGTTTCTGAGCTGCCTTCTCTAACAAAGTTATTGTCCAGAGGATGTCTGAACTTTAATATTGATCTTTAATCATTATAAAATCCCAACTGGTAGAAACCTCTGGCTTCTGATTAAATGCAGAAGGGGAAAATTGGAAGTTATACATCTATTCAAATTATGGCAAAATTGCATATCTTCATACTCATAAAGGGAGTACACAATAAAAAAATATATATAAATAAATAATGGTTTATTAAGGTAACACTGTGTCGCTGATTAGATGTTTTCTTCAACTTCATTACTTGATGCCACTAAATCAATAGAGCTTTATTTAAACAGCACCATCAAACAATTGAAATGCAACTCAAAGAGATGGATTGTGCATCTATTTTTTTTAAAGAAAATATGAGTTTAGATGTATAGATACCAATATAGATACCACTGCACACAGTACACATGTGTAGCCTCATGAAACAACAAAACAATAAGAAGTCAGGTATAAAAAAATAAGTCAAAGCATCAAATGAATAAGAAAATTAATGCTTAACATAACAAAAAAGTGTAAAGATAGAAAGAAGGGTACATGAAATTATTAAAATGGCAGTTAAAGACAAGGTGCTCTATTTTTGTGCCTCGTCGGCACCGTGGCGCAGGCGGCGCAACGCAACAAGGTGGGGACCAGAGGTGGCCCCTCAACAAGTGTTGTGCTAAGCGTTGCAGAAGACATCACATCACATCCTCCCTCAAATAAGCATGCCCTGCCCTGCCTCTGTCCCAAGGTGCTAGGATGTGTATAGGCCCACGTACTCATTCATTTTTGAAAAAAATGAAAGAGCATGTGCTTACTGTCAGTCTGAGTCATAATATTATCATTATCCACCCTTTTTTCTCTATGCTATCATTCATCACAGATGTAGGACCTTCAGTGAATGCATGAAGATAAATCAACCAATTAGTCTTTCACAGTCAGTCATGTACATTCCAGCTTAAAACTGCAGAATCTTTTTTCTTCTTATAGAGTATTTGGACTGTAGGGAGCCTGTCTTAACTCAAAATAAGCTGTGACAACATGATCAAAATGTCTCCAAGATGCATAGTGAAAATACCCCCATGACAAGCTTATTTAACAGATTCTCATTAAAAGGTAGGCTACTTCAATTTTTTGCTCACATTTGAATGTATACATTTCTTTATAACTTGATGTGTTCGATGTGTTCTTATATGCAACAATGGGACAAAACTTTGGGGCTTTCTGAAGTAAAAATGTGTGTGTGTGTGTGTGTGTGTGTGTGTGTGTGTGTGTGTGTGTGTGTGTGTGTGTGTGTGTGTGTACACACACACACACACACACATATATATATATATATATATATATATATATACTACTCGTATTGGATTTTTTAAACTTGGTCTCATCTCTCCAGGACAGTGTAATCCTTCTTTGTCTGATGTGATTCAAAGCCGTGCATGTAGATACGTGCCTGTCTCAGTGTACGGCCTATCAATAAAGATTTACAGTAAAAAAAAAAAAAAACTCCTTCTCTTTCTCTCCCTCCCTCTCTCTCTTCCTCCCTCCCTCTCTCCCCCTCCTGACTCGGAGTTTATAAAGAGAAGTGTCTGCCATTCTCAGGCTCAGAGCTACACACCGTGTCACAGTCATTCAGCATGTCTGAAAACCAGCCGGGTCTTGTATATCTGATCACTGGGGGATGCGGTTTCCTCGGCAGGCACCTGTTAAGGATTTTGCTGGAAAAGGAGGACAATCTAGAGGAGATCAGGGTATTTGACAAACACACGGACTCAAGTTTGACCGGACTCAGTACAGGTAAGCTGCTCTAACGGGCTGTGGCCGTCGTGTTTTCATTTAAAATCTAAACTTGGCTTGGGTGCAGTGTCAAACATTGAAGTGTCAAAGAAGTCTTTTTGAGTTTTAATTACCTTAAAAGGCACTATGCTGCACATACATGCAGGTCTTTGTTGGCTACCTGGTTTACAGCATCTGAAGCATGTTTATGGTTTTTTATGGTTTTGTGTAGTGGTGCAGTTCAAGTATCTCTCTGTAAAAGTTCTTCAGACTAATATGTTAACTGATAAACCCTTACTGATAGTCTTAAAGAGTATTAAAATACTATAAACTATGGACAGCAAACACTTGAAAACTCCTTAAGGTGATGGCTAGAGTGTCACCTAAGTTTAAAAGAGTAAATGTGCATTAAGCACTGCTGTTAAGCCTGACATTCATTCATGTCCCCCGACATGCCATTGCCTCAGTCTGCAGATATAACAGCTGGGCTCTGAATCCGGAAAAGTGGCCTCCTATATCCTGTGTCAGGATAAAGATGTTGTCACCTGTCACTGGCCAACTTGCCAGGAAGGATTTGCATTTATTTCTCTGGCTGAACATGAATTATGGGTGTGTTATAACTTGAATTCTGACACAGGAGGAACATCAGTTAATTTCATTAACATGAAAAATAAGATGTTTTAGAGATTATGAGAAATGTAATAATGCAACAACAGCACATTTCTCCCTCTCTGGTATCAGGAAAGCACCCAGCCCTTAATGCTGCACTGATCCCGGGGTGGAAAGGCTTTGTCCAGCTTTCATCCTTTATTGTTAGGACTGAAACCTGCTATTGATGCAGGGCTCTCTGGGCCCCTGAGAGATCCGCTAACAGTAACAAGAGAACTCAGTGTCAGCAAAACACACAAGGCCTCACAGCACAGGGAAAATGAGATGTTGAGTTGTGTATTTTTTCTGTGGTGTAAGTTAAAGCTGACAGAAATTAGTGACAACTGAACTCTCTTACTACAAATCTGCGCACATGGTGAAATAACAGACTGGAAAGCAAACTTCAGAGGGAGGATTTGAACCGTGATAAGGTCTCAATGTCCAAAAGTCCAGTCTGATTCCCTGCCAGATGAGTCTTTTTGTTATCAGCTTGTCAAGGACTGTGCACTAAACCAAAGATAAACCACAGGTGCACAGCCTTTGAAAATATCTAGATACTGAATATCAGGACCTCAAGGTAAAAATCAGAAAATCCCACAAAGTGTTAGGTGTTGTTGGTTCTGGAGAATCAGACATACCATGACAAAAGTGAACTTTTAGAAAGAGGGTCAGCATTGTTTACTTTATGTGTGTAAAATAAAATAATGTTGTTGCAGCATTGTCATCTATGAAAAAAGATAGAGGAAAAGAGTTTCATTATTGACTGATCTGCCAGTAAACAAACATTTTTCCTGTTTATTCACTTGCCTTTGTAGAGTACCTGATAGGAAAGCATGCTCTGAACACTCCAGAATGATATGATTTTGACTGTGCTTTCCTGTTTACTCAGAGTCGACAAAGGTGGTGGTCATTCAGGGGGATATCACAGACTACAGCAGTGTGTTAGAGGCCTCCCAAGGGGTAGATGTTGTCATCCACACGGCAAGCTTAGTGGACGTTTGGCACAAAGTTCCTGAGACTCTCATCTACGCTGTCAACGTCACAGGTAAGACCTCAAGGGAGCGATATAAGATAACACAAAGAATGCAGACCTCACTCAAGGACAGTAGTCCTGTGTTTTATGACATGAAAATCTACAGGTCCATTTGAACATGTCCCAGAACAAGGTTTTGTTTTGCTCTGTTCTATTGCTTATTCATGAGTCAGAGACAGATCCCAAAGAAAACTGGTTTGCTGGTAAATCATTAGACCATGTTACACCCTTCTAGCAAATGTCATCAAAACTGACTGACGGCAAGGAAACCAAACCCTTTGGTGGAGTTCACAGGGAAAAGGGCTGTAGAGGGAATGTTGGATGCTGATTCTGTTTTATTACCGTATTATTTTGGGGGAAACCATAAAAAAAAGAGTGGAAACCCACGCCTGCTTCTGCTTTGGAAGAATGTCAAGGACTTCATGGACTCACAAGGCCAGTTATTGTGCCCATCTGACATGACTGGGCGATAAAATCCGCATTTAGTGCAAGCTTTTCTGCCCTGTTTTCTGGTTGGAATTTATCTCACAGTTAAATCACATTTTTTCTGGAAGTTGACTCATGAGTTTGATGAGAATCCAACTCTTAAGAAAAGAAAGAAAACATAACTTTTTCAACTCCTTGGTCGACACTGCCCCTTCTCCTCATACCACGTTCAAGCATTAAAATTGACTCTATAATTATCCTCAATCTTACCACTAAGGATCTTGTTTAGTTTTTAAAAGCTTAAATAGGCATCAGTATCAGTTCCAGTGTATTTCATGAGCACCCAAAGACTCCTGACAGGAGTTATTGTGTCATCTGTGTTCAGTGTCTGAATTGGTGACTGAGTCAGAGAGAAATAATGATAGCAACAGGGTTTGTTTTGGAGTGCATTATATAACAAAGGTGTTCGTGGTTTTGTGAACATGCATCACATGCTGCATTTACCGTCAGGTATGCAAAAAGTCAACTATCAATGGAGTACAACTTTCAGAAGTCAAATGTACACGGGTCAGTTATTACTCTGATGTTTTAGAGAAGTTGACATTTTAAAGGAAAAGTCTCACGAGTTTTTTCAACGGTTTGTTGTGCATCACAGAGCTTGAATCTGACCTGGTTAAAAAAACCACTGACAGGCTGCATAGTAACTCCATTAAAGTAAACAGTCTTCTAACTCGTTGCCTGTGTCCTAGATTAATTTGTCTTTTAACTGTTAAATTTCTCACACATCTTAATATTACAACTTTTTAAAGCACTAACTTACGTTCTTCTCTCTTCTAACCTTTTGTCCAAGCATGACTGAAGCTTACTTGTTTTGTTTTTTTTAAGTTGGTAGCAGCACTTCAGATGATTTTGAGTGAGTAACAGAGACAGTCTTCAAATTGGGTCTCTGTTTGGGTTTATGTTTATGGGGTTTTGGCGAGGCCTGGTCTATGTCTGGCCAGAAACAGCCCATAGTGATTCAGTTAACGAAATAGAGGGAGAGAACACATTGCTGTAACTGAGTCTGTTGAAGCTATTTTACTTGACATGGTCAGATATGTATGCACCCATTGTCATTAAAGCCCTACTGAGTAAATGTTTGTCCACCTGTATGAAGACTTGGACCTGTGGGAGTGATTTGATTCTGATCTCTGTTTCATGGGGTGTTTCAGCTTAGATTCCACAAGATATCTCAAGAATTTGATCACACTGGCCAAGAGTTTGTCTGAAAAAGTTCACATGCCTTTGTAACTTTTTGTTTCATATTTCTGCTGACCTTTTCCTCTTTGGTCGTGGAGACAAAATTACCGTGCTGCTTAAAATGAATTAAAAACTACACCTCCAGGAAGTCAACACATACAGTAACATTTTCAACAGATTTTCAGTGAGAATTCATTTACTGATTATTCTCAATGGTTTCTTCTCTTTAATTTGAACACATACCAGAGATTTTAACCCCCTTTGAGCCGGATAGTAAGCAGCCCAAAATACTCATGCATGTTAAGTCTCATAGTCTTCTGGCATGAGTCCTGAAAACTTTGATAAAAAGCACTCAGACAACCTAGAATTTGGACTTTTTGTGTTTGTATCATAGACTGTATATAGAATATATGTAGATACAGTCTATGGTTTGTATATGCAAGTTTTTCTCTTTTTCTCTCTCTCCTTCTCTCTCTCTCACTCATAAATTAACCTTTAGTTTTAGATATCACTTTCTTTTTGATATGTACATTGTCTATCTACCTAAACATGCAAGATTTCTACATGACCCGGATGTAGTGCGAAGGCTCCCTACAACTTAGCATCTCAAACAACCTTAAAATTAGTGCAAACCTTGCAAACTGGTTCACAACTCAGTTCTGAATGTGACAATTTCACAAAAAAAGCATTGAAAGATGATAGGTTTAATAAACTGTTAGTTTGGGAGTAAAACCAAATATTTCATTTTCTATCATCAGGGAGTCTTATTTAAATAGATTAAACAGATGTAAATGTTTTATTTCTGGCTGGATGGTTGATTAAATGGTCTGTGTGCAAAGAGGAAATTATCAAGCCTCCAGCAGAGTCCAGCAGACACTCTCATATGGTTCTTGTAATCCTCTGCCAGACTTGTCTAAATGTAACCTAAAAACTAAAAGTTAATATTCAGTAAATTGGAAATACCTTTTAAGTATTCAACCCTGATAAGAAGCCGTATATCGCTTCTTTGAGATGATCATTTTTTATTTCACTGGATATCCAGTTTCATTGACAAAGACCAGGTTCAAGGAAGACATGCTTTCCTGTTAGTGTAATGAATTGCACATGGGTCTCATACCTCTCTTTTGAATGAATTTCCTGTTGAGTGTCCACTTGTGCATCATGTTCCCTTATGCATCTGATTTCAATTTCAAGATGTTTTTTTATGGCATGTTGTGGGTGACACTTTCTGATCAGGCTGCAACAACTCCATGAACATACTTAAGAAATAAAAATTTGCTCTAAATAGTCCTTATTTCAAGGACTTAGAACAAGACCTAATAAATCTATTTAATAACCACATCGTTTTTCTGTCTTCTCCAGGAACAGAAAATGTGATCAGTGCCTGCGTGGAGTGTGGCATCCAGTCACTGCTCTACACGAGCAGTATGGAGGTGATCGGTCCAAACATCAAAGGAGACCACTTTATCAGGTGAAGCCTTGGAAATTGTCTTCAAAGTTGAACTTTTTTGTGACCACTGTGAACCTTAATTCTGCTCAACAAAATGAAAGTGGAAGAGTTCTTCTATGCTTGTTACTTACATACTTAGGCTTTTTTGCTTTCATCTTCATGGTCTCAACCTCTTATTCATTCACGTTGCTTCTCTTGATTGCACATTCATGTGAAGTCCAAGGCCTGTACAGCACAGATAGGACTGGGTGGAGACACAACGTATCTGCTTCTCGAGTGAGCTCAGAAAGGTGCTTTTGAATTCCTTTAGAGAGAAAAAGTCTGGAATGGAAAAAACGTTAAACAGGGTTGTTTTTTTTTCTGCCATCACAGTGACGTGATATTTTCCCTCCTCAAGGTTTCAGTGTGTCCGCCTTATGAGACACGTCTCTGCAGCCTTAATTCCTGAAACACTTCACTGATTAGATGCCATGAGGTAAAAATAGTGTCACTTATCACCTAAAGTTGAGCTTTTTTTAATAACATTCATGATAAACTATCTCTTTAGTTCAAGGTCAGCTAATAAACCCTTTGGCAACTGCTCTAAAGCTGCGCTCTTAATAGATATATAAAAGATTTGCTTGACTATTGTTACACGTGTTGTTCTCATTTTGTTGACAACAAATGGCAAGTACTGGCTGTCTCCAAAAGTGTCTGCATTATTTAAGAGTGTGCATTGTTCTTTCCTGAGCAAAAGTCAAACATTTTACGAGCAAGCCATGCACACGAATCACAACAAAAACAGCCGTGTAAGGCAGAAAACGGAGATGACAAACAACAGGATAATGGTATGAGTCAGACAGTGTGATTAATGCACACACTGTTTTTGTCTCTGTCTCACTGAGTGTCTCTGCTGTCGACAAACAAAGTGACAAACACTGTGGCGCCATTTAAAGGTATATGTGGGATAAAGAAACCTGCTTATTCACTTTGGGTGCCAGTCATTCTAATGCCGCTTTAAAATGAGACACATTACAACTAAAATACTTAACATTTATTAGTACAAGTTTACTGACAAGATTTAAATCGATACCAGTGCTTTTCTGAAAAACCTACAAGACTTAAGACTGTAAGAAAGGGGGGAAAAAAAAAGGTGTCAAGTGCACAGAATTAGCCGGTAATGTCATATTTTTACCCTTTGTATTTTTTTTATTTACATCCACTGATCAATTTGATGGCCATTTCAGATTCAAAGGTCAAGACCCAGGCAAATAAAAATATGATTGTTTAACTACCAGCATCTGCCATGAGAAAGAGTCGTTACATTCCTTCATGTGGTGTGTTTGTCAGCCCCACATTTCCGTCCACACGTGTGTAGCTCCAGCTGTACCTTAAAATAATATTTGGCGTAATCTTTCTGCAACAGCAGGTTTTGTCAGGATGAAAGAATGAACCTCCATCTGCTCTTGTTTGAAGCTCTGACTCTGTCCATGAACTTAGAGTGCAATTAAGTCGAGATGAAACCACACACTTATGCAAAACATCCTGACTGTCAGCCACATGTGACCACTTTTTCATGTCTTGCTCTCTTTTTCTTCCTCTCATTTTGCAAGTCTCTTTTCTGGGCTCCAGTTTTCCATTTGGCCTCATGCAATCACATTCCTTTCATAGATGTGGAGGGGTCAGGAAAAGACATTTGTTTGCTCTAGAGTGCTCCTTTGACTGTGTCTTTTTCAACAGGGGCAGTGAAGACACACCTTACAATATTTACCACACCATGCCTTATCCTAAGAGCAAGGCAAAGGCAGAGAGAATCGTGCTTGAAGCTAACGGCACCAAGGTAGTATGGTTTTAAAATATTCATGTTTTACATAAATATTCATTGTTTCTGTTGGTTTTATTTTCTCTGAGGAGAGTAAAATTAAAAGCCAAATTACGGTGAGGCTGAAACTGGGAATACTAAAACCATAAACAACAGTGTGGTAATAAGGATCATAAAACAGTGGTGATGCCATCTGCAGCTGCACCACTGAAGAAACGTGTACATGCACACAGATGTGTTTTCTGAAATATTAAGTTTAACTTCAGACTGGCTAACACAGTCTAAAAGCTGTGCTTGTGTGTTTTGTGTTGGCCTGAAAATGGCAAGACAAGACTATTACTTTGCTACAGAATGTAAGATCATCCATTTGTGGTCTTGTTGTGGTGCAACTCAAGTTATTTGCAGTTCTGAAAAAATAAAACAGTCTACCTTATTTTTCTGTGTGCCTTCTGTGTGGATCATCAAAACAAATCCTGCCTCTATCTCCTGTCCAGGTGAAGGGTGGGGAGTGTTTATACACATGTTCTCTGAGGCCCACGGGGATCTATGGTGAAGGGCACGAGCTGATCAAGGATTTCTACAAGCAGGGTGTACAAAGGGGAGGTTTGATCATTGGGGGCGTTCCAGATGAGACAGAGCACGGACGTGTCTATGCAGGTAAAATAAGTCTTTGTGAACCTTAAACACTACTGGCAGGAAATCCCTTAATGCATCCTTTTATCCTCACAAACTCTGATCTATTTTTATCTTTAAAAGCCAAGGCGGATACACCAAACTTCAAAGCAAAAACTTACTATGGTTTATTGTCACACCAGGGTGAAAGCAGAAGTTCAGTTTTCACAGAAACTTCCTCTGTATTTCACAGAAACAGTCTGCAGTTATAGAGTTTACAGTACCATAAGTCTAGATAATGATCATGAAATACTCGGGATTCCTTCAGCACTCTCCTCTACAAGTGAAAAAGCACAGGCTCTATAACATCAAAGATTCAAACTAAATTTCTTTTTTTCTTAAAACAAATGAGCAGTTTGGCTGATTTATTTAAGATTTTTTTCAGGTTTAATATGGAAATTGTTTCATACTGTATCAAAGGATGTATGAACACATTAAATAAATATCCTCCCAGATAAGAGGGACATTTTTAAGTCTGCCTACACATGCTATTTTCAGCTGTTGTACTGATATCAGCTGTTTTACTTCACTCTATTAGTCACAGAGCTTGCATGTGAGAGTGAGTAACAGTATATCTATAGCACAGCTAACAAATGCTGATCTCACAGAAGAGGTGGACTGTTCAAGTTTGCAAAATAGTGAGTGTGTTTTCTACAGACACAGTGTGGTCCCTCTGGGTATTTGTTAATTGTTACATGCTTTAAGGTGACGTAAAGGTGATGTCAGTGAAATGTGGTCAGTGGTATGAGGTAATTAAGCATACTTTTTCAATTGTCACACTTTGGCTTGATGTTGACTACTGTTACTTTCATGAAAGTCTATTTTTCAGACAGAACCATAGAAGTGAGGATTGTTATTATAAAAGCTTTTTCATATTTGGCTATGTATCTGCTTATCTGATACCTACCCCCTCATATTGATTATACAGCAGACCTTTAAAAAGAACTTGAAAAATAATCAGTTTTTGTTTATGCTAATGATAGGAACATCCTTTTCAATTCCTGTGTATACTCATATTGAGAATAAGAATGCTTGAATTGAATTGAATTAATTTTATTACCACCCAAACCCCCCTCACAGCAGTTTTAAAACGTTGGCACTGTTAGGAAACAGCTGCTTTCCATTTTACTTTGAAAAAAATAATTAAATAAAACAAATCATAGCACAGCCTTGTACAGTATTGAGCATGAGTCAGGAACACAGGCTCTGCAAGCTAGGTTAACATCATGAACTTTTCACACACACACTCGAAGTGTAAGGTGTGAGAAGTGAAGACAGTGTGAAGAGGTGTGAAATAACAGAACTGACAGCAGAGACAGAATATTTTCATTCTAATGCTTGACTGTATTTTGCCTTGTTTTCATTCCTGCTGTTTTGAGTACTTCTTCATTACACAATCTGTTATCATACCTTTTGATTTTGTTTTTAGGCAACGTGGCCTGGATGCACGTACTTGCAGCCCGTGCCCTGAGAGAGCGCCCTCAGACTGTGGGAGGTGAAGCGTTCTTTTGCTATGATGACTCGCCCTACGAGAGCTACGAAAATTTCAACATGCTATTCCTCTCTGCATTCAACTTCCGGAGGGTCCGCATGCCCTTCATGGTGCTCTGGTTCCTGGCTGTGTTAAATGACCTGCTCCGCTTCATAATGAAGCCCTTTACTAACTACACACCATTGCTGAACGGTTACACCTTTGCCGTTGCTAGTACCTCCTTCACAGTGTCCACGGACAAAGCCTTGCGTCACTTTCAGTATCGCCCTCTGTTTGACTGGGAACAATGCCGAGCCCGCACACAGAAATGGGTTGATACATTCCCCCTAGATAAACCCAAAAACTCTTAATGTGACCGCAACAACTTCAACACACATCAGATGTTGCTACATATAGAAGCAGGAATCTGGATATTTGTGTAATGGAGAGCATTAATATAGAATTAAGCAAACTAAAGCATACAGTATTTATGGTGGAAAAATTTCAGTTTATTGTTATTATTTGTGTTTATACTGAAGTATAGCAACTGTTGCTTACTGGTAGTTACACAGAAACCATAACAAAGGAAGTTTTTCTGATGAGGCACTTAGGTTACCTCCAAACTACATGCATAAAGATGAAGAAATTGAATATAGACAAATGTTCACACAAGCATTAACCATACAAAAAGGGATTGAATATCTATATTTTAGTAATATATTGTTATCAATGTTCTGTTTTGCATAAATTAAAAATATACACTTTTTATGATGACATTTTGATACCTGTATCCTGATGAGTTCTTTTGTAATTTTTATTAAATATAATTTATTGTATTCTACAAAGCCTGGCTTGTTATTTTGCACTTGATTCATGTTTCTGGGAGAGGCTGTATGGCTCATCTTATAGACTTACTCATTTATCTTCATGTGCAGTTGATGTTATAATGAAAGTCTGAGCAAGCAGGAGATCCAACTCATGAATGGTTCAGTTCCTCTGAGCATGTGTATCATTACAGTATACACGTGGCTAGTTGGAGCTCTCCACCTCTGTTTTTCCATGGAGACAATAAACTCTGTTTACCTACAGTGCAAAGGGCTGAGTGTCACTCCACAGTCTTGTGGAAACTTGTCCACAGACTCCATGACAACCAGCTGGTCGGCATTTATTTGTGTGACTAACAGCAGGGAGGTTCCTTTCAACATAACTCTGCGTTGTTCCAATTACATCGGGGTGTCCCTCATTTCTGTGGTTTTCCATAGCGATCTACACAACATTACAACATTGTGGCTTGAAAATAAAAGCAGAGAAATGACTCACAATCCCCAAGAAGAACGCATACCCTCACAATACAACTGAACAAAACAAAACAATGTGAAGTTAAAGGACTTTGGTAAATAGAAAACATTGATTTATCTTCATCACACTGGTGATTGTCACAGACATAACTGCGGATGTTAGGTCCCATACGTAATCTAGGTCTAGTCAAAGGCTGTGTCAGACGAACATTGGCTTGGATGTCAAAAGCGCATGTGTAATTAGATGAGATTGCGCCATCTTCTGGTGTAGTTAAAAGATGCATGTACGTGAAGAAAATTAAACTATTATGTCTGCTTTGTATTCGCATAATTTTACTTTTTCCATTATTAAAAATGGTGCACTGGCTTCTTTTTTGGTTTGGCCACCATATTTCATGATACATGTGTTCTTAAATGTGATATGTGTGCTTTACGTAAAAATGCTCTACTTAATACGGTGTACTTTATGTGTTACAATCAAATGAATCCACACCCAGGAGACAAATAATTTGAAGCCAAGAAGCAGTATCAATGAATTATTCATGAACCTGATCCCGCTGAAGAAGGGTGGCTCCTGCACAGGCAGCGTGCGCGCTCCCGACAACACCCACTAGAACGCACACGTAGCTGTCAGTAGGAAATGCAGGCTGCGGGTGTTGAATGTACCCCATCGCTACGCTTGGATAAATTAAACAAAGAACATCCCCTGTGATTTAGAATCAAAGCTTCACAGGGGGGGTGAGAACGGTCGCCGCAAGTCTGAATGTGAGACTGGAATAGCCGAGGAATTCGCCTTACTATCTAGGCTAATAGAAACAGGACACTATTGGCGCTAATGCTAATAGTTACATTAGGCTAAAATAAGCTAACTTAGGTAGCTGGTAATTTAGCCAGCACCCTCACCGAGTGCAGGACATTTGCTCTTCCAGGTCTTCATCCAGTGCTGCAGTTCCTGCTCCGGTTTTGCTCTTTTGTGTTTTCGTTTTACGGAGGAGGTTGCGGAACCCGGAGCTGTGGCGGGGGGACGTGCGGACAGGAACCCCCTGGCTCTCCAGGCGGACGGATCACAGTGACACGCCGGTCGTGGGTGAGTTGTTCAGCCGAGTAGAAGTTGGAGTTGTCCGAGGCAGCGGGGTGGACCAGGCCGTGGACGCTGCTCGGTCAGGGCCTGGCCGGCTCTGGGGGTGTTGACTATTAGCTATCAGTAAACAATCGCTTCTGTGTGCTGAATCGGGAAGTTGAGACGGGCCGACAGAGGCCTGCAGAGAGGATATGACAACAAAGTGGCTGATGTTATTAGCTCTTAGCATGGAGTCACTCACTACAGCCGACATTTACCTGCTTCGTCAGCACACTGCTGGATCATCATTGTTGTTGGGAATACTTTGTTGATAGTGTCAGATGTATTTTAATCTGTACTAGTGTAGCAGTAAAGGTTATTTCATCCTCTGACAACAGTTCAGGTTCACTGTCACGCTGTTCGCCTGCTCTTCAGACTGATTTCTATGGATGCTGATATTGTTTTATCGCCTCAATCAGAGTATTTGAGGTTTGGGTTGTTGGGAGAAGGGTTGTGTGATTCGTTTTTCCGCCAAAAGTCATGTTGCGGTATGATTTTGGTTTGTGTGTGGCAAAAGAGGAAATGTAGCCTGAGATTTATCTTGCATTAACATTAGTTTTTGCAGAAACAACACACCCTAGTCACTTTTGCAATCCAAAAACATAGAATACTACAACTGATTCAAGGCCACGTTGTTTACTTCTGTGATCTAGGGTTTAAAAAGACAAACTGTGCAGACAGAACAGAGACAGGTTTCTATAGAAGTCCTGTCTCATGAGATTCTGCAAGTATGTTGGGAGAATGTGTATGGTCCTGTCTTGTTAAATTGGTGATGTTGTGTTCTAGAAAAACATGGGGTGAAGAATTTGGATGTTTAAACTAATCATGAGCAAAATTTGAAGTGAGTGTATGGTGGAGTACTTCCAGGATGAAACACCAAGCTAAAAAGTCTAAAGAGAATGAAGCCAGAACCACATGTAATTAACTCAATTCATGAAGTTATTAATTGGTGAATCTACCTAAAAGAGCACAATAAATGTAAAGCTTAACAAACAGGAACCTCCTGCTCTGTCCTCAATAGCTAGGGATTTTTTTGTCTTACAAAACTTTTAAGATCAGATCTGAGGCCCAAAACATCTGTTCAGTTATTTATTTATTAATTAATTTATTTGTCATTTTAAATGGAGAGGCGGGGTTTGTGTAGTGGAAGAGGCTTCTGGGGTGTCCTTAATGAGACAATAGCTGAAATGAAGTTTTTCACACAGAAGCTGAAATTAGGATTTTCAAAGATAGCAATCTGAGCTAAGTGAAGAATTTTCAGCATGAGAAAACTCAAATCAAACCATTTTTTCTTTTATTTTTTAAGGAGAGAACAGTGTGGAACCATGGCTGAACTCTCCACCTTATCCCCATCACCACCTGCTTTGGGTGATCCGCATGCAGCTCCTTCTGTCCCGCCCTCATCAGCAATCCCTGCTCCCAACAGCCCGACTGCTCCAGAGTCTGCCAGGGAGATGCCCTTGCCCAAGTCTTCCCTCTACAATGATAAAGCTCTGAATGCAAACACTCCTTTAGGGGGTTCACCTTTGCCCCCTCAACCACCTTCAAGCCCCCCTAAACTCACTGCTGAGGCTCCCCTCACATTGTTGGTACACGAGGCTGCCCCTCAAAGAGAGGAATCAGAAGGGTTAGTTGCAGAGACTGGAGCTCAGGTTGTTGAGCAGGAACTGATGACCAGTGGCCCAGCAGCTCCGGAGCTCTCAAATCCTGAGACAGAGACCAACTTTCAGTCAAGTGAGACATCAGCACAGAGTGAATTACAGATGGCATCCCCTTCTCCTGATCTCAATCCTGGTCCTAATCTTTACCCCAATGTGCATGTCACCCACAATCCAAATCCTGTTGTGGATGCTGGTCAACCTCCAGCTGTTGAATCCGAAACTCCTACAGCCTCCAGCCTCACACCTGCTCCTCCAGCACCAACAGACCCAACGGCATCGTGTACAGCAGAAGAGGAGAAACCTCAGCCACCTCAACAAGCACAAAATCCTCAAGGTCAGCCTCCTCCACTCTCCCCAAAGCCCGAGACTCCCAGTGAAGTGAAGAAAGCAGAGCTGCCTGGCAGTCCTATCAGAGCAGAACACCCCAGCCCCACTGTTCCACTAATCAACGAGCCAGCCTCTGTACTCCCGCTGCCCAATCCCAACCCACGGCCAGCTCCTGACACTCTCAGCTACCTTGAGTCTGCCAGCCTGATGTCAGGGACTTTGGAGTCTCTGTCTGGGCTGGGAGAGGATGGCAGCTCTGTAGGCTCAGACTCTGAGATTAATGGCCTGGCTGTCAGACGCACTGATAAATATGGCTTCCTTGGTGGGAATCAGTACAGTGAAAGTGGGTAAGTATCAGGACATGACTCATTCTACCAGCCACACTGCAAAATATTGATCATCCACTGTGTGATTGCTTTATTTCTAACAGAGTGGGCTAATAGATTTTTTGATTGCAGACACGTTTTAGGTGTGGCTGTTTGAAGACTGAGAAAAAAAGAAACTTCTCTTCTTATTTCTGTAGTTTCCTTGCCAACAGTCCACCATTTGCTATATGAGGCATAAATAGATCGAAGGAGGAGCATTGGTTTACAAGGATGAATGTAAATCCTGCTTGACTATCATCTTTTTTATCTCTCACTTTGCCTTCCTTAAACCTCTTATTCATTCTGTCATCCATCTGCCCTAAAGAGATCTTCCTCTCTTCATTCTTGTCTTCTCCTCCTCTTCTTCCTTGCAGCGCTAAACGTATCTGTCCATCCTTTTTTGTCCTTCCTTTGGTCTGACTCAGATAATGCTGAGAGCGTTTTTGTGACTCAATATGTACTGACTGTGTGTCTCAGCGGTTTCAACCCTCATGCCCATCTGCTCTCTTCCTCCCATTTATAAACTAGCTTCTGCTTTTTGTCAAGCTAATTGCTCTTCCAGTGCTGAATAATTAAAATGTTATTGATTTGATGTCAGTAGTGGCGGACAGTGACTTCTGATCGACATAAAGGATGTCCTTTATTGAAGGAGTTTAGTGCAATTTCGTGCAAACGAATGCATGAGAGAATATTTGGTCGTTCATTTTCGACATCAGATAGTAGTAATTACAAATCCCAACATGTCAGCATGCTGACTGTGATATCCAGGATTGAGTTAAAGAAAAGGATTCATTTCTGTTTCTGTTATTGATGAGGACTTTTTGTGTTATTGGCAATGCAGGGAGAGGGACATTCGAGTTGAAGTTGCCAGACAGAGAGAGGTGAAATGGCTCGATATGTTCAACAATTGGGATAAGTGGATCAAACATCGCTTCCAGAAGGTATGCATGTAAACCTGACAGAAATGCTGGCGTTGGTTACACCTAGCATTACGCATAAGTGAACACCATGTGTGTTTGTCTTTATGCTGTAGGTGAAGTTGCGCTGCAGGAAGGGGATCCCATCTTCTCTCAGAGCCAAAGCCTGGCAGCTGCTATCCAACAGCAAGGAACTCCTGGATGCCAACCGTGGGAAATTTGAGGTATCACTGTAACCATATTTCCTGTTGAATTCCACCATGAGATTTGAAAGTGTTAAAAAAAAACACAAGGTCTAGAACACAGTCAGTAACTCTCAACTACAACTGCACAGGCATAGATCCTTCCTCATGGATTCAAGCACTGTCCTCCCCAGAATTTTAGACAAAAAGTAAAAAGAGGAAGAATGCTGTTTGTCCTTCCTTGGAGTAAACTCTTCTTCATGTTAAGTAAACGGCCAAGAGTGTCCAGGGGACATGTTCACTGTACATGTCTGTTTTAATGTTTTTATACTAATGAAAAGCTTTCTGGCTTTTCTTCCACTGAATAACTGATGTGGCTACATAGACAGTGAAAGATACCAAAGAAGCTGCAATTTTGTTTGTTTGTTTGTTTGTTTGTTTGTTTGTTTGTTTGTTTGTTTGTTTGTTTGTTTGTTTGTTATGGATCCCCATTCATTCTGACCTTAGTCAGGACTATTCTTCCAGGGGTCCAGACACTGATACATAACAGTCAATTCATAGTGCATTAAATTACAGACAATAAGATATAATTACATTCATAGAAATGTACAAATGCAAAAAGGACCTTTAGTTTTTATAACCTTCAAAATTCGAATTTCTTTACTAATAATGGCCTCTTTAATTTCCTTTTCGAATCTCTATTTGCTTTCAGTATATTAATCATATGTGGTGGAAGCCAATTCCAATGTCAATATTTGTGCTTCATAACTGGTGTGAATGTGAACTATCACCAGAGGAAGTTGGGACTGAGTAGGGCAATTTTAACTCTCAAGGTGCCAAAGAGGCAGGCACAGGCCTACAGAACTTTAAGCCTCTTATCAGTACCAGTAATCCTGTCAGTCAGGGCCCTTGCTGTGTCCTGCTGGCAGGGGATCTGGCCTCAGCTGAGCCGAGTCCCAGTAGTATGTTCAGTTTTGCTCTTAATGTCTGGCGAACACTCTAATGTTGTTTCATACACGGCTTTGCAGTTTAATCCACTTTGATGACAAATTAGAAAAGTCACACCTTGGATTAAAGAGAGATTTTGAAAACCTCTTATCTGCGTTTCTACTGCAGGAACTTGAAAGAGAACAGGGGGAAGCTAAATGGCTGGACATTATCGAGAAGGATCTTCACAGACAGTTCCCCTTCCATGAGATGTTTGCTGCACGAGGTGGCCACGGGTAAAAAAGGAAGACACACATAAATAATCTGTCGTAAATTAGCAGAAACACTCGCATTTACCTTCAGTGACCTTTGCTGACCGCAATCTGCAGATTTGATATGTAAACGCTGGAGCGATCTTCATCTGGTCTGTACCATTGGACTTAGTATACTGCAATTGTAATAATGTGTGCATCGTTACCTTTGATGTTCTTGTCTGTTGAAGTAACCGGTGATGAACAAAAATTGTGTCAATTATAGGAACATAGATATATGTAACATAGAAGCACCATCAGTAAGTCAAATACAAAATATTTATTTACTGGTTTCATTGGTATACAAAACCAGTAGTGACAAATTTATAAAATCTTTAAAACTACATATGAATGAATGAATGAATTCATTTATTTCTAAAATTTATGCAAGAAATAAAATAAATAGAAATTTGCATACAAAGAAAAAAAAGAAATGAAGTAATTCTACACGTTTGAAAAGAGTAGGAAGAAGTAAATACGTTTTAAATTCCTACCCCTTATTACTATTCCTCGTGGGTTTTATAAAAAAATACAGAACTCTGCTATCGATGCATACATATGAAGTTCAAATGATAACTTTGAGAAAAAGGAATCCATATTTTGTTTTTTGTTTCGCTGGAGACAAGAGTTTGATTTCGGTAATATCAATTCTTCTTGTTCCCTTAAGGAGTCGGAGCAAACTGCATGAAGTGTTTAATTTGGCCTCTTGTTAAATTAGTTGTTTGTTCCTCCAGGCAACAGGATTTGTACCGGATCCTGAAGGCCTACACTATCTACCGGCCTGATGAGGGCTACTGCCAGGCGCAGGCTCCTGTGGCTGCTGTGCTGCTCATGCATATGCCTGCTGAGGTGAGGGGGTGAAGGAGAGGCGTTCAGGTTTTCACTTTGATTGCAGATAATGGGATACATTTTTTAGACTGAGTGGTAGGTCAGACGCCCGCTGTATGATTCTGAACAGACTTCAAACTTGTGGCTAGTCAAGCCTGATCAGAAATAGCCTCTTGATTTTATTTCGGCCTGAGTTTTTTTTTTCTGTGTATGCCCGCTCAGCTGATGCGCTAACAAAGTGACAGCTCATGAGAAAAACGAGTGGGTGAACAAGCAGACAAAACAAGCTGAGACTATTTAGTTCTCTTTGGCTCTGACTGAGTTATAAATAGACAGGCAGTAGACTGATGACACTGCTGCAGCTATACAGACTAGACTGTAACGATATGTCCTGCAAATATGGAGCATGTGTGATACAGGCAGCACTCAAGTCTCAGCTGTTTAGCTGTGCATCAGCCTGAATTGACCTAACTGTAGAATGCACACAAAAACCTGTCACTCTGTCCTATAGATTAATCTAAAAAGAGGGTGTGACATTCAAGAAGCAGAGAGGGTTATTTTATACTGACTCTTGTTGTATTGAATGCCAGGAAGTAGCAAAGGTGTTGGTTTCAATAGTCAGTGTTTTCTGTCTACTAGAAAAGCAGGAGACTGTATGTTATTATTTTTTAAGCAGCCTTGCCATCCTTTGATTATCTATTTTTGGAAAAAGCCTCAAAAATAAGCGGAAAACAAAAGGGGATTAACATAATTGTGTCTCATTTACATTCATTAATTATAATTTGGCTTCTATGTCCAGCAAGCGTTTTGGTGCCTCGTCCAGATATGTGAGAAGTACCTCCCTGGTTACTACAGCGCTGGACTGGTGAGTGAATGAACTGACCCATGTCTGTTTTTATCAGTGCCTTATGCTGATTTTTGCAGCTTTGTTCACTCCAAATTTCCATCTTTTAGGAAGCGATCCAGCTCGATGGCGAGATCTTCTTCTCCCTGTTACGGCGTACGTGTCCCATGGCGTACCGACACCTCAAGAAGTTCAAAATTGACCCTATTCTCTACATGACTGAATGGTTCATGTGCATCTTTTCCCGCACATTACCGTGGGCCTGTGTGCTGCGTGTTTGGGACATGTTCTTTTGTGAAGGTAGGATTTATATCTGCTCAGCCTATTATTAACTGAGCTGTTTACACACATAAACCTGTAATTAGAAATGAATTGTATGTATTAAACAGAAACTGTAACTATTTATGTTTGTAGTAGAAGACGAAAGAGTTTTGTGTTATTTGACAGAAAACTGACTTTGGTCTTTGTTTGTAGGGGTGAAGATAGTGTTTCGTGTTGGCCTGGTGCTGCTGAAACAGATGCTTGGCTCCGTGGACAAACTTCGGGAACTACAGGGCATGTACGAAACCATGGAGCGTCTGAGGAACATCTCCCCTGACTCTTTAAGAGAGGACATGTTGGTACAGGAGGTCGGTCTCTTTCTATTTTGCTCCCAATAAGCAAAACCTGCTTCTGTTTTTACTCAGCCACAGCATTTATGAGTCACTTTGTCCTGTAACGTCCAGTTGAGTAATCTTGACTTCCTCTGTCTGTCTCGCTCTTATCTGATCTGACATGCAGATCATCACACTCCCTGTGACAGAGGCGCTTATTGAGAGGGAATGCAGCATCCAGGTAAGAAAATGGAGGGAGTCCAGGGGGGAACTGACACACCAGCCAGGCCGTCGCCTCCATGGTACAAGGGCCATCTATGAGTACAAACGCCGTGCTGCATCCATCAGCTCCGGCGGCAGCCTGTCTTTCCTAGGGAGCTCGATCCCACCCCCAGGGCCCCTCAGAGCCTCCTCTAGCCTCCTCTCACTTCCTGGCTTCCGCAGATCCAAGACTCCTTTCCATTCTCAACCCAAAAAGGGCTCCTTCTCAGGGCCATCAGGAATGGAAGGTCTGCCGCATCAGTCTCCACCTGCAGCAACTTCAAGTCCAGGACGAGGCCCCGCCCATAAACCACCCATTCCTCCTGGGGCAGGTCAGAAGGCAGCTGCACCCCATGTTCAGAGCCCGTTGGTCGGTGGTGCAGCTGCATCATCCCGTGGGTCGGCTCAGGCCTCAGAGGGCACCTCAGCACAAGGCCAGCCTGAGTCTTCAGCCCCACCACAAAGCACAGCAACACAGCCAAGCACTCTGTCCCCTGCCCCCATGATAGTCTCTGAGCAAATTACACCGACCATCCCCTCTCCAACAGCAAACAACACCCCTCTGCCACCGTTTCAAGAAATAAAAAAAGAAGCTGCGCCGGCGGCTGAAGCCCCGCCCGGAGAGGAAGATGGAAAGAAGAAGAAGAAGAGTAAAGAAGACAAAAAGAAGGAAAAGGAAGATGAGAAGAAAAAACTGAAGGAAAAGAAGGACAAGGACAAGGCAGAAAAAGAGAGGCTCAAGAAGGAAAAAGAGAGGCAAGAAAAAGAGAAGAAAAAAGGAGGCAAGAAAAAGGACAAAGTGGGGGGAGAAGCTGAAGACAAAAATGGAGCTACGGCAGCGAGAGATTTGGCCTAGTTTTTCACCTCATCATTGAAGGATCATAAAAAAAGGGACGCTGAACAAAAGGAGAGGTCAGGGGGACAACACCCCAGAAACAAAGTGATTAATAAGAAGAAATGGGACGGCTTCCTGTATAACGTCATTATTATAAAGACTTAGTGTAGCCCAGGGACTATGATGGAGAAAACTGGATCATGGTTTTAATAGCACCTCAGGGGGCTTCTCGCCTCTTGCTAAATGCTTTCATTTCCAGAGTTTTATTAAGATGGGACAAACTTCCTTTTTTTCAACTGGAGCACGGACTGTGAGTCTGAAGATTTCCTCAGAGTATTACAGTCATCTTTTAGGTTTTTTTTTTATTCCTTTTTTTTATTTTTATCATTTTAATCAGATTGATGGTAGTGGTTGAAGAAAGGTTGGAGACATGGATTGTTGAAATAAGGGTTTGCAGAAATAGTTGTGGTGCCATAGAGTGTGTAAATAAGTACTAAGTCTACCTACAGTACATAAGATCCTGTTAGTGCTCCATATGCCCCATCAGTTCTCATCTGTGGACAGTGTTTCAAGATGCCTGGAACAAAAAAAAGAAAAAACAACCCTTGACATCCAACGCAGGCACTGTGGACAGAAAACTTAGTAATGTTGTTGAGGATGTATTTATTGTCATGTTCAATGTTGTGAGTGAGTGTGTGCCTTAGTAGTTTAGTGAAGTGTGTTACTGTTCTCTGTGTGGCCTCCCTGGTTACAGCCTCCCTCCGCCTGCTTTATTTCAATCAGATCAAATCATCTCCGAATCCTGTCTCCCCCAATTCTTTTGTTTAGTTCTCAGAAATTGAAGGATGCCGATGAACAAAGGGGGGAAAAGTTGAAAAAACAACAACAACCACATACTATGCAGTGGTGATTTAATATTTAGTTTATGCAGGGAGTATTACACTTGTTCTTATTTCAGGCAAAAGTATAAATTAATGTGTCTGAGGTTTTGCATAAAGCAGGCGCAAGATTACTGACAGTCCGACAGAATACATGCCCCTCTTTAAAGTTAGTATTATTTTGCTCCAATGAACAAAAATCCCGCTTACAAATTCAGCCATATTTTGGCATGGGTAAGAACTTGAGTTCATGAACCTAAGTGAATGTGATTTCTAATCCGAAGAGAATGAAGGATGGTTTTTGCACTTGTGAGTTTTGTCACAAACACCACTGAAGTCAACCACTCCGTTAGTGTAGTGACACAGAAAACGTGAGTCTCAACAGGCCGGATTCATCAAGCTTGAAATCTGTGCCTATCGGACCTATAGGAAGCCACTTGACTGGAGGTGCCAGGTGTGCCAATGTAGCATGAACCTCTGATCTTTGACCTTTGGTCTCTGGTGTATTTATGTACAAAGTGGTTAATTTAATCAAATATAGTATATTATGAATTGTTATTATTATTATAATTATTTTGGATTTGACTATTTTTCTATGTGAGCAAGAGACACCTGGTTGACTGGAATGATAGGTGACTACACTCAGTGTAGCTGCAGAGGGATCATTTTAGAGTTCAGTTTTTCTTTTCTGCACAGGCCGAATCCTCTGCTTTTACACATCAAACTTCATGCATGTCTTTGCTGTTTTTACGTTTACCGTTAGTTTTGGTCAACTTTAGGTTCACGAGTCTCCAGTTTACTGAAGTGCAGTATTAAACAAACTACAGAGGAAAATCGTCGCCCCGACAAAAAGATAAAAAAAAAGAAAAAAAAAAAAGAAGAAGAAGAAACAAACTGAGTGATTCAGACAAAAGTTGGAAACTGAAGGTCTTAATTGTACTGTATCATATACTAAGAGGAATTTTTTTGTGCTTTGAATAGTTCTTTAATTCAAGATCTTGAGTTTGTCTGTTTCACCAAGTTGTGTTGTAACATTCAGAATAACTTATGGACTAACTCCCTAACCTATTTACACTCAGTGTCCTGTACTGTAAGATATTTATGCATACATTAAACGCACTGAAGCCCATCAGTATATGATGAATAGTGCCAGGTAGTTCATTGTAAAACCATTTGATGACAAAGAAATTGATGCTCTTAAACTGTACTGTTTTTCATAGTAAAGGATTTAGAGGGACTTTCGTGTAGCTTTGTAGCAAACGTCCTCCATTTTCACCGTTTTCACTGATTTCAGGTTTTTCCATTGCAGTCATTTGAATACAAAAATATCACACACACTCCCTCCCTCTTCTGATTTGACACCAGTGCATTACCAGGCACAGTTCAGTGTGGGGTTAGTGAGGAGAAACTGAACACATCTATGCAAACAATATAGACTGTTTTAGTGACAGCAGCACTGCGTACGTTGATCAAACTGGTGCCATGGAAAATTGGATTTTGTGCTGTATTAAATTTTTGAATCTGAGCGCACTTTCAGGCTCGTGGATGACAGTATATGATGAGCAATACGTCAATGATCAAATTCTGTAGAAGCAGCGCTCTGATCTGCAATATTGTAGTTGAATTTAGGATGACATTTCTGCAGGTCTTTTATACATTTCCACACTGATCCTGAAATCCTTGTTCTTCATTTGATTGGGAATGACCCCAGTGATGCAAATCTTCAAAGATGCATTTCAGCTGTTTTTCTCCCTATGCCGTTTTGTCTTTTCTTTGTGTTTTTAAGTTTACATGTCACTCTCTCTGGCGAAAGTGAAATAAAAATCATAGCTAATTGAATTCATTCCTTCAGATCTACAACTGATGTATTTAATTGATGATGATAATGACAATTGTGATGAGTAATAAACCATAATATATTATCAGGGTGTCTGTCTTTCTTGGTGAAGATGTGCTATTTGTGTTTGACTTCTAAAACCTAGTGATGAAGAGTTTAGACTGAGAAACATGATTTTGATTAAGACCGAGTTTATATTACATTTTCTAAAGAAATTGTAGCTGTTTTTTTTTCCTTGATAGGGATACTATTTTTTTCCCAATGAAACAAGAATAAGATGAACTTTATAAATTAATTATTAAGTTTTGAAAATAAAAGTGTCTTTAAACAACATTCATATTATTAAATAAACCCTGAGATAAATCAATGTTCCAGTATTAATGAATCAGGGAAATTAGATCAATGGAAATAAGGCTTGTAAAAAAATTATTAGGCACATTATTAGAAATAATATCATTTCTTGATTCTGAATTTACTTCAAAACTTTTATTTTGTTATGTGGCATATACACTCACCGGCCACTTTATTAGATACACCATGCTAGTAACGGGTTGGACCCCCTTTTGCCTTCAGAACTGCCTCAATTCTTCGTGGCATAGATTCAACAAGGTGCTGGAAGCATTCCTCAGAGAGCTTGGTCCATATTGACATGATGGCATCACACAGTTGCCGCAGATTTGTCGGCTTGCACATCCATGATGCGAATCTCCCGTTCCACCACATCCCAAAGATGCTCTATTGGATTGAGATCTGGTGACTGTGGAGGCCATTTGAGTACAGTGAACTCATTGTCATGTTCAAGAAACCAGTCTGAGATGATTCCAGCTTTATGACATGGCGCATTATCCTGCTGAAAGTAGCCATCAGAAGTTGGGTACATTGTGGTCATAAAGGGATGGACATGGTCAGCAACAATACTCAGGTAGGCTGTGGCGTTGCAACGATGCTCAATTGGTACCAAGGGGCCCAAAGAGTGCCAAGAAAATATTCCCCACACCATGACACCACCACCACCAGCCTGAACCGTTGATACAAGGCAGGATGGATCCATGCTTTCATGTTGTTGACGCCAAATTCTGACCCTACCATCCGAATGTCGCAGCAGAAATCGAGACTCATCAGACCAGGCAACGTTTTTCCAATCTTCTATTGTCCAATTTCGATGAGCTTGTGCAAATTGTAGCCTCAGTTTCCTGTTCTTAGCTGAAAGGAGTGGCACCCGGTGTGGTCTTCTGCTGCTGTAGCCCATCTGCCTCAAAGTTTGACGTACTGTGCGTTCAGAGATGCTCTTCTGCCTACCTTGGTTGTAACGGGTGGTTATTTGAGTCACTGTTGCCTTTCTATCAGCTCGAACCAGTCTGGCCATTCTCCTCTGACCTCTGGCATCAACAAGGCATTTCCGACCACAGAACTGCCGCTCACTGGATATTTTTTCTTTTTCGGACCATTCTCTGTAAACCCTAGAGATGGTTGTGCGTGAAAATCCCAGTAGATCAGCAGTTTCTGAAATACTCAGACCAGCCCTTCTGGCACCAACAACCATGCCACGTTCAAAGTCACTCAAATCACCTTTCTTCCCCATACTGATGCTCGGTTTGAGCTGCAGGAGATTGTCTTGACCATGTCTACATGCCTAAATGCACTAAGTTGCCGCCATGTGATTGGCTGATTGGAAATTAAGTGTTAACGAGCAGTTGGACAGGTGTACCTAATAAAGTGGCCGGTGAGTGTATTTGAATCTCATTACATATCCACATTCAATTGCAATGACCCACTGGAGATAGAGGCATAAAAGTAGATTTACTAAAAAAAAAAAAAGAAACATTTGAATAAATAATATTTCTTTTTTCTTTCTTTATTTCAAGACTTATTTTGTCATGTTGCAGATATTAAGAATTAAGTTGAATTTCCCTTCGGGGATAAATAAGGTTATTCTTATGTCACTACATATCAACATTCAAGTGTTAATAACTTACTGAAGATAGAGGAATAAAAGAAGGTTGTTTTTTTTTAATAAGAAAAAAAAATTTAAAAGTGCAATTTCTTTATTCTCTTGATTAAAACTGTTGTAATGTTGCAGGTATAAAGATATTACACAAACATATTGAAGTATCAATGAGACACTGAAGTAAGATGATTGAAATCTAAGTAAATTAATAAAAACATTTCAGGAACATTTGTAAAAATATATTTTTTATTTAAATCAAAAATTTTAATTTGTAATGTTGCTTGTATTTTGATCCCATTACTTAAACATATTTAAATATTAATAGGTTACTAAAGTTAGGCGAATGAAGGTTTATTTTAAAAACTTTTAAGAAACATTTGTGAAGATAATGTATTTTTTTTTATTCTCTTTTAATTTCAAGACTTTTTTGTAATGTTTTAATTTGATCTTATCACATATTCATACAAGAGAGTTGAGGTCATTCAATGAACTCCAAGGATGTATTTATATTTATATTAATATCTCTAATTTTATAGCTGATATCGCTATGCTCATACTATTTTATACTCTTTTTTTCTCTTACATATGTTCAAAAATTTACTGTATGTTTTTAGATTTTTTATTTGCTTTTTATCGTGGCCTGCTCATGTTTGTGGTGTCAGTGCAGTAATATACAGACTGACAACAGTGTAGGACTTTCTCAATCAAATGTCCCTCAATGGCACGATTACATGCAGTTCCAAGAAGGTTCACCAGAGGGCGCCAGCTTTGCTTGAGTGAAGGACTCATTGCTTTATTCGACCTGTTACTACCCTTATCCCTGTCCCACAGAGCCACTGACCAGAGACACTATTTTACAAAAGGAAAGAGATTTTATTCACAGTTCGTCCCTTTTATTCATTACAGAGGAAGAGTCCAGTTTCTGACGTTGAGACAGCTTATGGAAAAGAAGAGGATTTTACTCATGCAAGGAGCGAAGGGAAAGACATCGAAGACTTGAATGTTTTCTTTCGATCCTTTCCCTTCTCTCCTTCATTCGTTTCTTTTACCTTCGAGGACAAAAGTTGTTGTCACTTTAAGGAGGCAACTTTTGTCCTCTCTAACCTGCAAATGCTCCTCCTCCCACCTCTTCCACCCAGAAAGAGGACTTCTTCAAAATTTGGAATGAGGTCCTCAGATATTGCAGACCCCCTCTCTCCTCAGACTAGGAGGGGAGCAGAGGGACACATCTCATTCACACAAACACCTCAGGATGAAGTGACAAGGCAGGCAGACATGAAGAGGTGAGAAGACAGATGAATGGTTGCAAGGAAAGAAAAGGTTTGTGAGAAAAGCTTGTGGATGGAAATGATGTTACAGGATAATTTTATTGAAAATCACCCCTATTCCCCATAAGCAAACATAGACACATCATGTGCACCGACCCTCTCACGTGTCAGCATGAGTCTTTGGTGTGAGCGGCCGAGCACATGGGTTACAACAAGAGGGGATTGGGAAGGAAGAGTAGGACAGATTAGGACAGGGAAGGCAGAATAGCAAAGGGATTGCTGTCTTTTGTCTTCTAGCTCTTTTTACTCCTCCTTCTCCTCTCCGTGTGTGATGACATAGCAGATGTTCTTGTAGTCTACGTTGCCAGCAACATCTGGGGGGAAGGCGGCCCACATGTTCTTAATCTGGGGAGGAAAAGGAGGGACAAGGTGATGCACCCTGGATATATCTCTGATGAAATACAGATTTTTCACATTGTTTTGTCTGCCAAGCATCCTCTGTACTCTAAAACAGCTCTCAAGTGTAATTTTGACCAAAGATTTAACACTCCTATAAGGAACTTTGACTTTAAATAGGCTCTGGCAGCCCCTGTTAATCTTAAAAATTATCTTTTAAGTTTTGTGCAAAGAGATCTGCTGCTTTAGTCTTGGGATGGATAAATATTGTAGGGGATCTGCACATATATGTTTGACTAAAAACCTATGGAAAAAGGTTCGTACTCTCCTAAAAATCCGGAAATGGATAACCTGCTCATTTGAATAAAAGCTGTTGAGCCATGTTCTCACTAAACTGATCAAATACGTTGAAAAGTGTGCAAAAATAAACGTTATTGCCTCATCTAAGGAGTCCATACCCCCCTGATTTATGAACAAGTTGATGAAAATCTACATGCTGCAATTAGACAACGCTACACCCCTAACCTGGAAAATCCTGAATGACCAATGAAGCCTGTGAATCAGTCTACAAAAGCATGCGGTATTACTCCAACAGGTGGGTGATTTTTACCTCATCCTTGTTGAACCTGTCGCACTGAGTGGTCAAAAGCTCCTCAAGGCTGAAGAAGACAGACAGACAGACAGACAGACATTGAATTCAAATAATCCTCCATGAAACTGTATCATTCATGAGCATTAAAATAAGAAATGAAGTGCTTACAATTGCTTCTTGATGGTTCCGGTACCCTCGGGGTCCAGGACCTTGAAGGCGCTAAGAATAACGTCCTCGGGGTCAGCACCTGGTCAGAGACAGGAAGAGATCAGCAAATGATCAAAACAGTATTTTCTAAATAAAAGTGCTCATTAAACAGGAGATATGTCGATGAGATGCTGATCTAAAAGCTATCAGAAACTGCTACCTTGAATCTGAGTAAAGTCATGTAAATATATAAAAATAAACTGCACATACAATAGAAAATACGACAAAAGTACAGACCATACAGAAATCTAATATATGTTTATAAATTGAATTATGTGAGATGAAAATATAAATCTACATGTTTGGACAAACTTTACATCAAACAAAAAAAAATTGGAACAATTTCACACATGTGGTCCATTCAAATATGTAGGTTTCATGGTTTTAATGTATGTCAGTATGAACATTTTTTACGGGTATTGCATGAATGTTCTTAACCTACATCTTCATTTATCCTGGGAATGTCTGTACATTATATGATATTGTGTTTGCCTTATTATGTTACATATAAGGCAACATCACACCTGATCTGTTGATATTCACTTCCAGGCCTTGAGTAGGCTAGTTATATATCTTCTCACTGACAGACAACTGCCTATGGTTTAGATATTGATGACTTTTTGATGAAGGATCGACAGTTGGTCAAATTAAAAATGTACCCTTCAGCTTCTCGCCGAACATGGTGAGGAAGACGGTGAAGTTGATGGGGCCGCTGGCCTCCTTGATCATGGCCTCCAGCTCCTCATTCTTCACATTCAGCTGGCCTAAACATCACATAAAAAAGTCATTTAACTACAAGAAAACAAACATTCATACATGTTTCTACTATTTAAAAGAATCCCACACACCCATTGAAGCCAGCACGTCCCTCAGATCATCTTTGCTGATGATACCATCTCTGTTCTGGTCAATGATTGTGAAAGCCTGCGGGGAAGAAGAAAAAGAAGAGCATTACTCAGAGAAGACACAAGGGGAGCAGGGTGTGTGGATGGACTTGGCATTGGGTGGAGCTTTAGGAAAAGGAGGGGGTTGCTTGAGGTGGCTCTGAGTTTTTACTTACATGTTAATCTGGGAAAGTATCATTTGAGAACAGCTGTCTGATCCTCTCACCCGGCACAACTTACCCCGATGAAATTTAAGATTACCCTTTTGGACCTGAACTTGAACTCAACCCCCAACCTCTGGCATCAAACTCTCCTCTCTCCCTGTCTTCTCTTCCTCTTACACGCACACTTACACATACAAACAGGCATGCCTCCCTTCCTCGGATGGTGAATCCGTCGGCTGGTATCTTTCCATCAGTGTGACGTGCTAAGATCATCCTAATCATCAAGTCATACATTCCACAAGTGGCACCCAAGATGCCTGTATCACTTATCGCAGGAGGAATGTTCCTTCTATTCCCAGCACTCTGAAAACCGCATCATTATCCCGTACCCTGACAGCCCACCCTCAAATGAAATACCCTGACCTTACTGAACCATCACACACCCGTAACGCCTCACTGTTACACATTCTTCTTACAGTTAAGGGTCTTTCTTTCTATATTTATGAAGTAGTAGAAGTAGAAGGCCTTTCTGGAGCAAACTTCAAACTCTCTAAAAATATCAAATGCAGCCCTTGTCTTTACTGTCCTGCCGTCATATTTAAATATGCTTCTCAAAGTCCAGCTGTTTCTGCTGGGCCTCTCGGCCTTCAGCAAGAGGTTTAGCGAGATGTCTAAGTGACAGCTGGAGGGGAGTTCAAGGGTCAGTAAAACAGGGAGAGCTTCAGATGGTGTCAGAGATTTCAAAGCTCCCTCCTAATGACATTCTGATGCTTATTAAACTGTCAGGGGAGAGGAGGGGGGCCGGCAAAATAGCAACTGTCGTGAAAATGGATCTGAAAGGTTGCTCAACCAGATGCTAATTTTGGTTGCCATCTTAAGAGGTTGATTTGAAAATACACCAGCTGTAATTCCAATTCTTAAACAGTTTCTATCTTTCTATTATCTATCCAGAGATGACACAGATGTCTACTGCATCCTGAGGCTGCCAAAGGGGCTGCTAGGTCAGACAAACCTCACCTCTTTGTACTCCTGAATCTGGCTCTGCTCAAACATGGAGAACACATTGGAGGAGCCGCTGTCTCCTGCTGCTGCCCTCCTCTTGGCCTTCTTTGGTGCCTGGAGGATTATAACAGGAGTGAAAATTTCAGGTCAGTCATTTTGGCTTTTGGTTAAAATACACAGTAATACTTACGGGTTTAAAAGTTGTATATTTTTCATTCCAACTTGTATTTTTATTGATTCATTTAGGCACCTCAAAAAGCATGAAAGTCTCAAAATTAAAATTACTATTACAGAGAATATCAATATTTCTCCACCTTTTTGTCAAATTAATCATACCACAAACCAAGGTCCTAATATTTGGACCTCAGGTTAGCCATGTCTTGTCTCGTGCCTGCCACAGCAATATATTGTGCATTTCGAAATAAAAAATAAATAAATAATAAAAATTTGTGGGTCTGCAGATGTCAGGGTTTGGCATGCATCTGAATTTAACACCAAAAAATTAAAGCACCCTCAAAGCTGCATCATTAGTACACATAAATGTCCAGAATTACATGATGTTTGTTCCAAATCTTAAAATTAACCTTATTCAAGATTTTTTTTTAAATGCATAAAAAATGATGTTTATTCCATTAGGGTTGCTTTGATTTCCATGGAGATATTTCCAGCAGTATAGAGAGCAGGGATGAGGGAACCCTGGTACTCACCATCTTGAGACGGTAAGAGCTGAGGTTTGGATGATCAAGAAGGAGAAGACAGTGTGAAGCCGCGTTATACGTACATCCCGGGGGGCTTATATAGCCCTGCACTGGCCAATCTAACTTTAGCTACAGCCTCAAGTTTGGATGGGGATAAAAAAGAGAGAGAGGGAGAGAGAGGATGGTCTTTGATGAACTGATGGCAAAAGAGAGGGAGACAGGGCGGCGGAACAGTGTATCACCTTACAGGAGATCAAAAATAGACCCAGGAGTCTTGGAATTAAGTAAACCTGATAGCAGAGGGACCACGCTTTAGGTTTGTCAGTCCCACGTGGACTAATAAGGACATTCGGGACATTGATGCTCGTTGGACAAGAGGACGCTCACTCTCCACCCTCCTCCTGATGTCCTCCATCTGCCTGAAGGGACACAGCAGCCTCTCACTGACTTTATTTTTGGTTTGTGATGTCCATCGCTATATCACCGATTGGGATACTAGCATTCTATACCCTCAGCAACTGATTCAGCTTTTTACCCTGTATGTGCACAGGTCGGCTTTCTTTTTTTAAGTGTGACAAAGTCATGATGCTAATGTCAAATCTGGGATTTCGTCCACGGGAGTTACTTCTCATTCCAAATATGTAGCTGTGATTGCAGGACAGCAATCTGAGTCATTCCCAAAAGCAATTAAAATATCTCTTTACACAACAAGCAATATGGAAGAGCAAGTATTTTTATATTGGTGTGCAAGCCGACGCTTATATGTCCAGTAAGAATTTTCAACTAAAGAAATGTGTACTGAATCAGATTATTAAGATTTGTATAATTTCAGGTATATGTGTTTTACATACTGTATATTTCTACCGCCATTTCCTGTATATTATTATAGAATTAGGCTGTGCTTTACTTCAATTATTACAAATCTCTGATCATCTACTTTTTCTTTTGTTTTAAGTTTTCTTAAGGACAAACAAATAGCACCAACATAAAGATTGGGAAGTTGTAATGAAAATGAAATAAATGAAAACATCAAACAAACACCATCATGATTCGTCATTATCTCAAGTTAGTGTTGGCACTGTTGTTAGGAACAGCATTTTCTTTAACTTTAGAGCACAATACAAAGGGCAACAACATCTATGATTGAGAAAAAAGACTGAATAGACGCTTTCAATGTAGATACTTCAATAATACTTTTTGCATTACGATATGAAAGGGTTAAAGGGAAGAGGTCTTATCAAACATTAAAAACAGTTTCTACTTAAAACTGCTAAGAGAAACTTTCAGCTTGTGTCACTTTTGGCGCTCCCTGCAAAAAAAAATAAAATAAAATAGAAAAAAAGTCTTTGCTTATCATGTCTTCTGCACTTAGTGTTGTCTGACAGAAATTCTCAACCTGCTGACATCTGACAATCAGGTGTGCCATTTATTGTAAATACTTAACATATACAATGAAAAATTGTATGTGTATACTTATGTGTGTGTGTGTGTGTGTGTGTGTGTGTGTGTGTGTGTGTGTGTGTGTGTGTGTGTGAGAGAGAGAGAGAGAGCACAGGAGAGTTTCTTTTGGTACTCTGTTTATGTGACTTATTTAATTTAGTTATACAGTCTTCATCTTCATTACATTCTTGGTTTTATGTTTTACAATTGATATTTGTTCTTGAAAATGTGAAAGAAATGGTCTGACACCTACCCTACTGACACCGGTTTCAGGCTTCAAAAATCACAATATAGAAATTGTCAATCCTACTGCTGATGTTCTTGTTTCTCTGTGAATATCATGAAAAGGCATCAAAATGAATTTCAGTCTCTTTTAAAAACATAAAAAACTCCTCACAGGAGCTTTAAAGTCATTATTTATCAATCTAAATGTACCTAATTATTCCAGCATTTAATCCAGCAAAATTATGTTTTAAGTACAGAAGACTGCTCACCAAAATAATCACTTGGCAACAAAAGGGGCTTTATAACCAAACTGAGGCCTTAGACATTTTTTAATTAGTACCATTGATCAGTGTTCTGACAGCAACCTTTGTTGTAAATGAATAAGAATAAGCTGGTTTAAAGCTCCTGTGAGGAGTTTTTAGCTAGTTATAAAACAGACTAAAATGAATACTGATGCTCCTTCATGACCCACAAAAGCAAACAAGACCATCAGCATAAAATTGACTATTTATAAACAGGTATTTTTAATGTCTGAAACCACTTGTGGAGGGTAAGTGTCAGTTAATCTTTCCAGTTTAGTTCAGTTCAAACAGCATGGGCAAAGATTTTCAATGAGTGTAATGTCTAAATACATCAAAGTAAGCTCTTTTGGTCAAAAATGTTATTTACTTATTTACAGAACAAATTAGCAAAAAGATTAGAGGTCAGGCTTTGTCCACAGGGGGCACCAAAGTCAACACAAATCAAAAGTTCCTTACAAGACTTTTAATTAACTTACATACCACTGAGTAGTCCAGTGCAATGATTTTTAACCAGTGAGGCCAGGTTCCTTCAACCGACCTCAAGATAAACCTAAATCCAAACACTTCAATGATTATCTGCAGTTAAAAGGCTGGAGTACAAACTCTCAGAATGTCTCTGTTTTAATTTATGTTTCCTCACATTTTTGTTCTGTATTGAGTCTATGTGACTGTTTGTTGTAACTATGTATTGCTGCCATTCTTGGTCAGGGCTCTCTTGCAAATGAGATCCTCAGATCTCAATGGGACAAACCTGGTTAAATAAATGTTAAATAATAAATAAATAAATTATTTAGTAATAAAAAAAACAAACAAACAAACAAACAAACAAACAAACAAACAAACAAACAAACAAACAAACAGATAATGGCCAAAAACATTATAGAGACCAAGATGCAAAATAAAATAAAAAAATCCCATTTTGGTTTTTTTTTATACTTTCAACTGCCTCAGGACAAAAATGTGTTTTGAACGACAACTTTTGAGTCAATTGAATGCACCACTGACCTCTGGCTGCAGTCCCATTTTATCACCAATACAAAACTGTGTGTGTGTGGTAATTTGTCAGGGTTATGAACACTTTCCCACCCGCCCCTCCCCCCAAATACAAGAGAAATGCTCTGCAGGCTGATGGCAGCAGACATTCCTGGAGAACAGAAAAAGAACAGCTGAGGGCGACCAAAATAGCTAAATAAACCGGACTGTCTGCCAATTTGCTGGCCCCTCAGAGTGAAATCCCCCCTTTAATTAGTGTTTTCATGTTTTTCTTTCCAAATTTACCTCAGAGGTAATCCATTTCAATTTCATTAACAGCTTTGTTAATCCTGTGTATTGAAGGAATTACTGTATGCCTCCTGCCTTAGCTTTGCTCGGGGCTGTGTGTGTTTCCACTGGCTCTGATATTCTGATGGACAATAATGAGTCATGTTTTGAAATGTACTGCTTTCCAATCCTACACTGGATAAGACAGGCGCTTGTTTGTCTAAAGGGTGCTCATGACATTTAGACCTGATCTTAGCTGTCAGTGCTCTATTCGACCTCTGACCCAGGGCCACTTGTTTATCACCACCTTGTTGCTGGGAGGAAATTTGTCACAGCGCATGTTCTGACAATAATTTTGTACAGAGACCTTCACAAATTAAAATGACTTCTCAAACATTATTTTTAAAATGTCCCTCAAACTTTTCATATCAATATTAGGTTGAACTAAAGCACACATTTGTGTCTCATGACCTTTAAATCTCAGTAATCCATTAATATAAAAATATTCTTGTCTTAGATGAGTAAAATAACTAGAGATACTGGGGATGTTTTCTATGCATCAACAGATAGGAAAATCATTAAAAGGCATTTTTTTCACCTGCTCTTAGGATCACATTAGGTTATGGTCCATTTATATATTTTTAATGTGTTCTAGCATAATTTTGATCAAATTCAGTCATATTCTGGCTTCCATTTTTCAGAATATTTGCTGTTTTGAGGGATCATGCCAGAGTAAAAATCAACATTGATTCATTGAGTGAAAAAACCCAACTAAGTTATGTATGAAACCTGACCAGATTTTGATTCATGTCTGTGATATCAAAATTCTGGGTATTTCAATGATTGACTTTATAATATGGACTATTTCACTTTCAAACCAGTCAGGATCCTTAATTCAGTCATTTATTCATAATGAGCTGTGTCATGTCAGACTCTTCTCCGGTGTGTCAGCTGCTGCTGTTCAGTGACCCTCCATCACGCTTATAAAATAACAAAATGGTCACATCACAATGTGTTTACATGCTGTTACCTCGAAGAAGTGTTTCCATCCAAATGTGTGCATTTCTGGGGGCCTTTGCTGCAATGTGAGACGTTTTGGCACGCTCCTCTGAAGCCATCCATCACTTTTTAGGTGGCTGGTATGTCTGTCTGTTGGGCTCTGGAATCCCAGGAAGCTTCCGGGTCGTTCTTTAGGGGACGACCACCATAAAGAAGAGCTGTGACAGGAGAGGTGTCATACTTGGAGATGCAGTACTACTACTACTACTACTTGGTGTCTGATTACCCTCCAGCTTCAGGTATCCCTCATCAGCGCCCGTCCAGGAGTGTTTTACATTGATTGCCATTATGAAAGATGTCACCTTTTTTAAAATTAGTCCAGTCAGATGATATTGACTTAAGAGGAGGTTATACAGCTGAGAGAAGTGCTTCATGAAAAGCTAGTTCTTAGCACTTCATTTTTTGGCTCTGAAGCAGTTGTCTAATTAGCACAGAGGATTTGTAGGACAGTACAGACAGACATGTTGTAATGAGCCACATAAATGACTTAATAATTTGATTAAAGGTCCCTTAATTTCCCCAAATATTGACACTGTCAGTTTTAACACAGGCTGCATTTTTTGGATTCTTGCATACTTCCATGAATTAGTGAGCTACTGCAGGCTGAATATAACACAGATAAGTTTACACTCTTTCGAGGTTCAGTCTGGCCTGGAGTCAGCACACTGTGCCTGCAGCGCCCCCTGCTGCTAACATCCTGCAGTTACAAACACGTTTTTTGGCTCTAGGATTACACAAAATCAAAATCAAAACAATACCATTTTTAAATCCACAACAGAGACATTCAGTCATGTTTATTTATTTGTGCTGTTGGTTGTATATTTTAACAAATTCACTTTGACTCATTTAAGTCAATAACGGCATATCATACATGCATCAAAAATATAATATAATTTGTGCTTATTTTTACAACAAACATCATTAATACCAGTATACTAGTTATGAGATGGGTATCAGTACAATATGTCAATAAAAAAGTGGATTTGGAACTGTTTCAATATACAGTATATATTCGAAACAAGCTTTTATTTAAACTTTGAGGCAAGTTTGATAATACTGCTCTGTAAAGCCTTTCCATGCCTGCAAGGAAATGAATTGCACTACATATGAGTAGCTGCAGGAAATGTTCATGCTTATTCAATTCAATGTTTATATAGGACTAAGCAATGTAAAGGAGTAAAGGAGGAAGAAATGTTGCCATGCCGAGTAGAAAAAGCATGAGAATAACGACATTAAACTTGTAGTTTGTCTCAGTCTTGGTTCCCCCCATAGACAAAGCAGTCTTTGTGTTTGTTGTGATCCACATTTGTAGGTAGTCTCATCTGACAAAAATCTCATCCTGCTGACTTTTGACAGTTGCTTGTATTATTTATTATGAAAACTTTGTGCAGACAATAAAAAACAGGGCTGTCTCTTCAGCTCCTCAGTTAACATCTAACCCCTTCGCACTCAGTACAGGCATCAAAAATCAAAAAGGCAACAATATGACTTTAAGTCCTTCATTCGCATCAAATAGACCCCCCAAAGAAGCTCTAAATATGGCTTGATTCCATTAAGCGGCTTTAGTTTCTGGGTAATCACATGCTGGCTAACTTTAATACAATCACAGTTTACTGGGACTAGTATTAAAGTGAATTAAAAAAAACACTGTTTATATAATATTGTAGATAACTTCATCAAATGCTGTAAAAAAAAAACAAAAAAAAAACCACTCAGAACACTGTTACTGTCCAAAAGGTAGAAATCCTATAGCATCCCATTTCATCCCCTGGACACTTGAAGGCCACTACAGCCCAGGAAAATACATCCCTATGTTAAATGTAAGATAAAAATTATTCCAGCACATAATTTAAAGCATTTAGCACATTAACAGATGTCTTTGTTGTGATATGTTCCCATAGTAACAATGAAGTTCACAACACATTTGGTTCTGTTCCTTTTTTGCTCAAGTGAACCACTCCTTCTCACTTCCTCTTAAAGTGCTTCTGGGCCGTCTATTTTTGCTTTCTTTCACCCCAGGTTGATGAGATCTCCTCCACTGCGTTCCTCTTCTGCTTGTCGACTCCTGAGCCATTCCTCTCTTGTCCTCTTCACCTCCTGTCCGTAATAATCGTGAAGTTTGCTGAACTCCTCCAGGGGATCAAAGCCCACCAAAGGCCACTCTCCATACAAGGGTGCAGGTCCATTGAGTGGTGTGACATGAGCATTTCTCCTGTGCCAAAGTTTAGGGGACTTTTTAGTTACCACTTTAGAGGATCCCAAGGGTGCGTTTAAAACTGGGCCAGTGCTGAGGCTTCTCCCTTCTCTGACCACAGCTGATGAGCCCTGCACAGGGAGGAAGAACTGGGACTGTTTGAAAGTGCCAACAGAGGAGCTGTGATGGAGTTCACCTGAGCGTTGTTGCTGTTTAGCCTCTGCAGAATGAAGACGAGAAGAAAACAAAAAACTAACACTCATAATAAATTGCAAATTATTATTTGGTTCCTCTTGAAAAACACTATCTGAAAATATATCTCAAATTTGACAAATTGCAAGACACAATGACCACAATGAAATGAAGATGGTAATACTGAAAAAGTTCAAATGAGAATTTGGAGCAGAGGGGGATTTTCAATACCCAAGGAAGAGTAAAACTAAGCTGTGAAAGACAAATGTTATTACCAGGCTCATCAGTCCATAACCTTCAATCTGTCTTACCTTCATATTGTCTCTGCAAGTCTGTCAGCAGTGAAGAGAGGTAACAGTGGCTGGCTGAGAGCAAAGCTTTCAGCCAGCTCTCCAAAGTCTGATAATCCCCCGCAGAAAATCTGTATGTCCTCAAACCAGGTCCTTCAAACACCAGAGAGAAGGCAAACTGTCCATCGGACTCTGAACGCCTCACTGAACACCCCTCCAGAACAATGACACCCAGGAGGTGTCTGTCAGCAGGGCGCTCCTGGTAGAAAAGCAGGTTTGCTTTCAGCACAAACCAGCGCCGATGGTAGGTAGCAGTTCTCTCTTTCTATGGACGGATATATGTTCAGATAAAGCAGGATTTCATCACCAGGAAACCATTTGTTGTGTATTATTCAATTTTGTGTAAATACTTTTAGTTTTTCAAACCTTTTTGTAGAGATATCCCTCTTTATCTACAGGAGAGGTGCATGAAAGGTAATGCATCAAAATCTTCTCATGGAGCTTCATCACAACACCTAAAGAAAGAGAAGTGTCTTTACTCTTCAAAGCTAATAGAGGCTGTTTCTTCATCTACTTGGCCAACACCAACCATCTCACACCCATTTCAAGCATTAAAAATTACAGTATTGACATTATTTATCTTGTCTCTGATAGTCCTGTTTGCTTTTGAATATCATGAAGAGGCATCAGTATACATATCGGCTGATTTCACGAACATCAAAAAATCCTCACAGGAGCTTTATGCCCTAATTAGCCGACACCGATACTCTTCTACTGAAGTCGGAAGACATTTCACTCATTTGAATATACTTTTTATGAATATAGTCACCTTTTACATTTCATTTATGGTCCTTTTTATCAAGTAATTTTATAGTGCCCTCAATTGACTTTCTTTGAGTATTAGTAGTTTTAGCATTAACCACAGAACCAGGACACAATGCAAAAGTATTTTTATATTTTTAAAAATGACTTAAATCATACAGAAAAACAATTTCAAATACACTTCACAAAATTACTACATTTTTACCCGTGTTGAGCATTAGTTTAGATAGATAGATAGATAGATAGATAGATAGATAGATAGATAGATAGATAGATAGATAGATAGATAGATAGACATTTGGGTTGCTGTACATTGACTCAGACAGTAGTGGCAGAACAGAATAGAAAATAGTGACTCAGACTTACCTCTGCCAATGCTGACTGGCCCACAGGGTCACTTCAGTCTCCCACACAGTCTTTACATTATTTACATTTACAGATATTTCTCCTGTTTTTCAGCGTTCTCAAACATGAAGCCAATTGTTTTCTGCCAGTCGCTTTCAGATGCATCCAGAAGCAGACAATGTTTAAAGGTATAGTTTCAGGTTACTAACACCAGTCTCCCACGGGTACAAGAGGACGAGTGTTGAAATATAAATAACTCGACCCACTTCCTGGTAACAAAATCCTGACACATTATATTCTCCCTCCTCTATGCTGCTGGATTGACCAAAACCAGCAATGGAAATGTACCTCTGACAAGAGCTGCTACCTGGAAACGAGATGCTGGATGTTGAAGTGGAGTTTTAGGACTGATGTATTTGCCTCAGGACTCTCACTTCTGCTTTTTATGTTACTTTTTTAAATTTCAGGTGCTCTTTAAAACTTGAGTCTGGTAGTTTATTTCAAGCTGATTCTTTAAAGAGGTGCACAGCTTATTTTTTGTGATGATTAGTTTATTTCAAATGATCTTCTGTGCTGTCTTGCAGCATTTCCCTCTGAATGTTGATAAATATCACCAAGACGTGAAGACAGACAAAATGGCCACTTGATTATGTAGTTCCCTTAATGTTGTCCCTATTTATGACTTTTCCATTGAATTTCTTGGGACTCTGAAGAATCCCAAATCAAGGGGATCGAGCTGAACGGATAAAGAGGCATTTATGACACAAGCGTGCCACGTCTTGAGGGTTTAAATCAAGTGCGAAAGTCGTTTTTAATGCCATTTATTTTGAGTAAAACTTTGGTGTTTTAGTAATGCAAAGTCTCTAGGGTGTCATTTTTTTTAAGTGTGTCTAAAACTTACGCAGCAAACAAGTTCACGTTAGTCTTCCTAACCAAATGATGGCGGTATGCTGTCGTATAATGCAATACCGCCCACCAAACAAATAATGGACGTGAAGAAGAAAACCAACGAAGAAGAGACGTACGCGAACGTCGCTTGAATTACTTGCACCAGGTTTGCCACATTTTCAACATGAGCATTAATATTCTGCCATATGGACGTTATTTGACACTAGTGGGATGAACAGCTTTCATTATTGTAGTAAACGAAGTATTAACCCTGACTAAATTCCCAATGCCCGCTCCTCTTTACCTGTGCGTCCGCCGCTTTTGGCTAACATTTTTAGCACTAAAGCTAACCTGCGTGCTGTTGTAACGGCGCGTATTTACTACGTTGCAACAAGCCAATCTATAAATGTGCATTAAAACCACTCACCACAGCACCCTTCTTGTAATAAAGGAGATACTGCTTTGCCTTCCGCAGCACCATGCCGAAGAGGAAAGTAACATTTGAGGACGGGACCGGGGAGTTCGACCTGGATGCAGATCTGCCGAACAAACAGGTACCACCGTCTCTAACACGTCATGACTTTGTAAACACCGTCTGATTTTCAGTCCAATTATCACAGGAGGTTTCATTAAAACCTCATATCATACAGCTCAAAAGGATATTCAGGACAATAATAAATAGCAATTGATTTCCCTGAATTCAAAACAGCCAATTCAGTTTCTACACTGATGAGTTTCATCCTTTAGAGAAGGGCAGGTACTTTCTTTTTTTATGCCATTTTTTCGGCGGTTTCTGATTAACCTTTACATAGTTGAAAATATTTTTGAATGAAAATGTCGAATAAGATAGGCAACGAATCATGGTAAAGGCAAGGAAGCACACCACTATACCAAGAACAGGAAGAGCTGCCTACACTGTGTTCCAAATTATTATGCAAATTGTCTTCAAGTGTCATACAGGTTCTATATTTTGTTTTTCAATTAAACTCATGGATGGTACTGTGTCTCAGGGCTCTTTCGATTACTGAAATCAATCTCAGACACCTGTGATAATTTGTTTGCCAGGTAAGTCCAGTTAAGGGAAAAACTACTAAAGAAGGACGTTCCACATTAACCAGTCCACCATTTTCAAGCAATATGGGAAAGAAAAAGGATCTTTCTGCTGCTGAAAAGCCTGAAACAGTTGAACGCTTTGGACAAGATTTGAAAACCTTTGATATTTCACAAAAACTTATATGTGATCACGGTACTGTTAAGATATTTGTGGCTGATTCAGAGCACACATGGGTTTGTGCAGATAAAGGCACAATGAGGAAGGTTTCTGCCAGACAAAAAATTGGATTAAGAGAACAGCTGCTAAAATGCCATTACAAAGCAGCAAACAGATATTTGAAGCTGCTGATGCCTCTGGAGTCCCACGAACTTCAAGGTGTAGGATCCTCCAGAGGCTTGCAGTTGTGCATAAACCCTGTATTCGGCCACCCCTAAACAGTGCTCACAAGCAAAAACGGTTGCAGTGGGTCCAGAAATACATGAAGACTAATTTTCAAACAGTCTTGTTCACTGATGAGTGCCGTGCAACCCTGGATGGTCCAGATTGATGGAGTAGTGGATGGTTGGTGGATGGCCACTATGTCCCAACTAGGCTGCAACGTCAGCAAAGAGGTGGCGGAGTCATGTTTTGGGCCGGAATCATGGGAAGAGATCCGTTCGGCCCTTTTAGGGTCCTTTAAGGTGTGAAAATGACCTTGGCGAAGTTTTTAGAGTTTCTGACTTAACAGTTTCTTCCATGGTACAAATAGAAGAACTGTGCTTGCCGTAACAAACTCATCTTAAATCACCTTCATGCATGACAATGCACCATGTCATGCTGCAAGGAATGCCTCTGCCTCATTGGCTGCTATGGGCATAAAAGGAGAGAAATTCATGATGTGGCCCCCATCTTCCCCTGACCTCAACCCTATTGAGAACCTTTGGAGCATCCTCAAGTAAGAGATCTATGAGGGTGGGAGGCAGTTCACATCCAAACAGCAGCTCTGGGAGGCTATTCTGGCATCCTGCAAACAAATCCAAGCAGAAACTCTCCAAAAACTCACAAGTTCAGTGGATGCAAGAATTTTGAAGCTGCTATCAAATAAGGGGTCCAATGTTAAACTGTAACTTGACCTGTTAAGATGTTTTTGATTGAAATAGCTTTTGATTTCAGTAATTATGACCTCCTAATGCTGCAAATTCAACAAATGACCATTTTCAGTTCTTTACAACCTGTAAAATGTTTTAAAACTCTGTTGTGCATAATAATTTGGAACGGTACATTTTAAGTTTTTTGTTTTTGAAAAAATTACTGTTATCATTGTAAGGGTTGTTCAATAGCATATTATACTCTAATGGTTAATGACTTGAAAATTATGCTGACTGTCGTTCGGTTGACTATTTAGAAAATCTGAGAAAAATATCATTTGCTTAATAATTTGGAAGGCAGTGTATATTAAACATTTTTCTTGCCTATTCTCTTCTGTGAATTTAGAGCTGCGAGGCTGTGAGTGGACCAGGCTCCAGGTTTAAAGGCAAACATTCTCTTGATAGTGATGAAGAGGATGATGGAGATGACGGAAAGACCAGCAAATATGATATCCTTGCGAGTGATGATGTGGAAGGTATGTTCAGTAATTTTAGATTTTTTGACACTGGAAAATGTTTTCTTCATTTCTATTATCTTGCTAGACGATGTCTGTCCTAGAAAGAGTATGTAAACACTCACTAGAGATGGTATTCACTGTGATTCAAGGCCAAGAGGGGGCTACCATTGATTTCGATGAAGGAGTTTCAATCACACCATTTAACCTGGAGGAGGAGATGCAGGAAGGACACTTTGATTCTGAGGGAAATTATTTCATCAAAAAAGAAGAACAGATACGGGACAACTGGCTTGACAACATTGACTGGGTAATTATCTGTTAAGGAATTTTACTCAATATTTGATGAGACCGAGCTATTAACTGTGTTTCTTTTTTCAGGTAAGAATAAAAGAGCAACCTTTCAAAAAGAAGAAAAAAGGGCTTGGAGCAAAACGGACACGTAGGGCTGGTGATGAAGACGAGGCTGAAGAGGAGAAAAAAAGAGAAGAGCAGCAGGCGGATAGGGAAAACGATGAGGAAGAGGAAGAGGAGGAGACAGAGCCCGCAGAGGACCCGCTGGCATCCTACACGCAGCACCAGCTCACCGAAGCTGTGTTAGAACTGATGCTTCCTGGGGAGACAGTCGCTGCAGCTCTCCGTCGGCTGGGAGGCCTTAAGGGACGAAAGAAGGGAAAGCTGAGGGAAGAGAGTGAACCCACAGAGGAGCACAAAAGGGATGCAGAGAAACTCGACAGGCTCACAGCACTCGCTGACAGATTAGTTGGCTCTGGGATGTTTGAGATATATCAGCAGACTTATGAAAAACTGGCCTTTTTAATGAAGAGCATGAGCAGCAAGAAACCAGCTGTGAGGCAGAAAGCCAGCGGAGATGACGATGAAGAGGATGGTGATGAACTTGACATGTTTGCAGATAAATTTGATGAGAAGCTTGGCGAACAGTCAGAAGATAAACAGGAGGATGACGAAAGAGGTTTGTGTTATATATACCTTTGTGTTCTCTAAAGTGTTATAAATGTTCTCTCTTCTGTTTAACTCTGTTTTGTCTTCTTCTCAGTGAGTGACGAAGTGATGTGGGAATACAAATGGGAGAACGAAGAACATTCAGAAATTTACGGCCCCTTCACAAGCCAGCAGATGCAGGTAATATGTTACCCCAATTCTAGCAGAAGCATGGCATCAGATCCAAATCTTTGGTATTTTTTCATGAGACTTCCTGGTTTCCCAAGAACATGCTATAATGATCTGAACAAACTTAATCTCTTACTTCATGTGTGTCAGGGTGACAGCTCCTAGTAGTAGCAGTTTTTGTTGGATAAAAAAGCAATTATTACTGGTCTTTAATAAGAAACAGCAACAAAAAAATCTAGAAGTTGTAAGATATAATATTAATATAAATCATGTTGATAATGAATAAGTAAGTTTGAGTTCAAGCATGAGACCAAATGTTTTTTCAAGTGATGGAATGGAAATGTCTTTTGATCCCCTTCCACATTTACACAGTCACATTAATTTCCATGTTGTGTACAAAAAAGGGATATAAAGAAACGATTTGGGGTTTTAGTAAGAGACTTTTTCATCCTTGTCTTACATTTGCTTGAAAACAGAATTAAAGAAATGTAAAAAGATTGTGTTGACCGAGATATTGTAAAGTTTTTTTTCCCCTCAAAGTACATCTTAAAAAGTCTGCCTTACATTACCTGGAGCTTAGTGGGTATGTGTTTTTTAAAGGTAGATGCAAAGTTTGCACATGGACAGATTCATCATCGCCATAGAGGCTGCATACCGTTGTTTTTAAAATGAGAGGGGTGGTCTAACATTGATACACCACAAATTATCTTCATTCTTGTGGTAACAATGGTAAATACCAGAACCGCAAGCGCTTCTACTAACATGATTACAGTTCAACCTAATTTAATGTTTTACTCTTAGAAATTGAAACAGCCGTTTGATTTTAAATGTGCTAAAACACCAATACTTTTTTTATGTGTTCAATCATAGACTGTATATTCTATGGACAACTTAGTTCCGCCTTCCGCTAGTATATGGATTTGAAGCCACAAAGCTCTTGTTAATTACGTGTTTTCTCTCTATTTCCTGAAACCAACATTGCGCAGTAGCGTAGTACACACTCCACCACTTGTGCAGTAGCATTGTGTGCGCATTCGGTGGGAGAGTCGCCGAGAGTCGCTGTGATGACGCTCAGCTCAAACACAAATCCCCGGGTGAGCTACGCAATCCTTGAATGCCCATAAGCTGTATCAGGTGTCAATCATAGAAAACATGAAGCCCTATTAACGTTTAAAAACAGAGCTGCACAGAAAAAAGAGGACTTGAGCACAAATCAGTCTGACAGTAACTACATGTCAACACTGCAACCAGGGGAAAAAAAACATGTTCTGTGTAATAAATTCCTAAAGTTTGTCCACAGCCCCATAAGCTTTGCTGGCGGAGGTGGGATTTATGACCTATACTGCAACCTGTCACCAGAGGGTGCTGTTCTCGGAGTGGCTTACCCAGTGAGGAGGCAGACTGCGTCCATTCTATATACAGTCTATGTGTTCAAGTGTTTCTAGTATGATTGTTTTTCAAATAAAATTGCTTTCTTTGAGAAAAAAATAGATTAGGTTTTAAAAATGTGTCTCCACAAACGTATCTTGAACACAGGGATTATCTTTCTATCAGAGTTGTCTTATATTTGAACCAATAATAGTCGAAGTCAAAGATATTGGTACTGGTAGTAACTGTAGGCCCAGTCATAGATACTTGATAATTTGGTGTGGTTGCTATAATGACGCTGTCATGCAAATGCACCAAGGATGACTATGTTATTGAGTGACTAAGTACACTTGATTGAGGCTTTCATACATGGGAAAATGCTTTTGAGAAAGTTTGGCTTGTTTGTGATGTTTGTGATGTTTTCAGGATAACATAGCAACAGTTTGGGTTTCTGCATTATTATCTGACCAAAAATATATGTTGCTATGAATGCATTAGGGTAAAGTCTTTAGAAATTAGTAAATCCCATTATGTGGTTTGCAAGATCATTTGGTTACAGGCTGGTTCTACCTTTAACCTCAATCTGGCCAGGTGGGTCCTAATCTTCTTATTGTCTGTTTTGCAGGATTGGGTGGATGAAGGCTATTTTAGCAGTGGTGTTTACTGCAGGAGGAAGGACCAGGAGGGAGCTCAGTTTTACAGCTCCAAGAGACTGGACTTTGACCTCTACACATGATTTGTAATCAACATGTAATGAACCACAGTCTTTACCCTCTGTAATTAAGTTTTGTCCTTCAATCTTGTCATCCAGGGATTCCAAATGGTGTTGAATCTGTCATTTTAACAGGGCTTTGTTTTCTGTATGTTGCTTTTTAAATAAATAACTCATGTATGATGCTGCTGTCAGCCACTTCTAGCTTTATCTTGCAGCTCCAGTTGCACTATATACCTTGCTATGCTGTTTGGTGTTGGGGGGGGGGGGGGCTTAAGGGACCCCATGACAGGGGCCATTCTAATTTTGCACATTTACTGTAAAAATTTGAAGTTATCACAGTTCTAGTTTTTTGATCTAAACAGCTTTTTGTCTTTATCTTAAATTTGGCAAAAATTGAATTTTATGCCAAATTTTGTAGTTATTTTTAAATGGATTTACATTTTTAGATGTTCAGGATTTAATTCTACTGCATACTCTTAAGTATCTAAAATAACTGAGTAACCTTCTATAGTTATTAGTTAATTTTTATTTCATGGTGGTCACTAGTACAATTATATTGCACCTACAGTTTTAAGAATCAAAGGATGGTATATTGATCCGACCAAAATTGAGTAGATGAAAATCAATTGTGTCTCAGACGTGGCTGAAACAAGAGTAATTATTTGTAGGTTAAACTCAGTTGCGCATTTGTCGGTGGTGGGGGGTCTGTCAAAGACTCAAGACATGTATGTGAGCATTTACTGCTGTGCATGTATCATTGTGATTAGTGGGTGGTGGGGTGATTTAATATACGTAAAATAAAAATCATCAGATGTCAACACTCTATCAGCCCAAATCGTTTACCGTTCAATTTTACATACGAACTCTCGTAAAATGATTGATAATACTTTCAAATGTCCTACAACGTCAATGCTTCCAGTCAGTTGTAGGTCTTCATGGAGATACTAGGTCAGTCGAGGACATAAAAGAACTAAAATTTTTACAAACCATTTGGCTTCTCCTATTGGCTGCCCTTCATCTACGAAACCTCAACTTCATCTCTCATTGGTTAGATTTCAACATGGCTTTCCGGGCGGAAAATGAATTCGTGCTGTGATTGGTTGACCCATCTGTCTGGTAGCTGGATTTGTAAAAAACGGATACATCTACGAGTCGCTGTAGGGCGCCGTCCGTCCGGCATGTCTTGTTTACGGTGAGGTTGGATTACTACAGTCTGGTCCTGGAAATCGCTTGAGGTAGGTTCCTTTAATGTTATTTAGCTCAAATTATCGTGTGCGGCCTAAGCATAAAAAGGGACTTTTTTCCAGTTACACCATAGAAAGCACAAGAACATACGAGGAGATGACAGCTACGGGGCCATGGCTATTCCCTGGTTTAGAAACTGTGTGGCACACACTGAATATTGGTGTTAGCCAAAGCTTGCATCGCTGCGGAATTACTAAAAAACTCAAAGAAAATATGGCAAAAATCTTAAACTCGCATGTAGTTTCAACTACGAGTTACCTGAAACGCAAAAACGACGGCTAACGTCACCATACATTACCTCAAAAATAAAAGTTTTAAAATGGGACAGTCCTCGTTCCAGCAAATAGACATGCTCAGTTTTCAACCGCCGCTTTGATTTAATTGAAAATATTCACCCAAATGCCGTGGTTTAAACCAGCTTTGTATCCTGGTTTATTCCTACCCTAAAGGCATGCCTGGACCCTGGTTTTGGAGCGAGAAGACCGTAATCTATCCGACAGGGTGCCATGGACAAAGACTCGCAAAGGCTGTGTCGTCAAAACACGAGTGTTGGTGTTTTTCCTCAAACCGTATCATTATTGTGGTTTTGGCTTTAAAGGGCATTCTCTATTTAATACAGCGGAAAGAATCTACGTGTTATCGGTTTATTCTACATATCATTACAAGCATGCTTGTAAAAATGAGTTACCTTTAGTTTATATTCATCAACAATATTCAATACCGGACTAAATTTGCTCGTGTTGACGAAATTTGCAGAGGAATTCATTTTTCCTGACTCATAATTGCCTCTCTGTCAGTATTTTATATCAGCCGGTCTACCTATGTGGTTTTTGAAGAAACAATAAGCCAAAAAAAAAACAACAAAAACATTCATTTACAGAAAAAAGAGCAGTATTGTCGTTGTCAGAAATAGTTATGGTCAGTGTTGAGCTAACATGCATAAACGCCTTTACTTAGATGAAATCATTGATTTTATCTCATGATCACGAATTTGTTTTCATGACAAAATAAAATATAAAATACTCAAAGAGGTCCCATCTACTGTTTAAAGCTGTGATGTTGAATTGCACTTCTTTGTCTCAGTATTTGTACAGCATTTTCATTGAAAAAAGTAACCTGAAGTGCTGTCAAACCAGAAGTAAAATAATAATAATAATAATAATAATAATAATAATAATAATCATAATGATAAGAATGATTTCACTGACTGATGGAAAAACACATTTTCCTGCAGCTGTTTGTTTTATGTATGATTTTAACCTCCGTTGACACCCTTTCATTATTCTCCATTTCAGAATAATCCCCAAGACCAGAGAAGTAAGTTTAGCCTCCTATTTTAGATCTGTGTTGATGTGCTTCATCTCGATATGATACCCTGCATGTTTTTTTTTCATTTACATTATTTACAGAAAGACAAGGACAAAGAGAGAGCAAAGGGATGTTGACTTATCCCTCTGACCCGCTCCCTCAGATAGTTTGTCCAATGGACGAAGATGCTATTCCCCCAAACACTTTCTGTAGTGCACCTCCCTACAGTGAGCCTCCACCACTTCTCCTCCCCCTTTCCTCCATCAATCCCAGGTATAGTTGTCCTTGCACCTTTTTGCTTTTTGAGTTATATTTCCCCCTCTATGCTCTTGACATCTTTTTCACTGGCTGCATGACTTTGGAACTTTAGACTGAAGTCATTACAGATAGTCATTAAAAAAGGTTCTCTTGCATGGATGCGCTTGGTTTAAATGTATGACCCAGTTTGTTCACAAAACACCAGCATTTTAGCCCCTATTCTGACAAATAAATTATCTTTTCCAAGTTGCTTCAGTCACCTATGTTGATGAGTAGCACATCCTCTCTGAGTTTGAAGAGAGTCTGTTCCATTTGGTTCGAGAATAACAGTAATGATGGAAAATGAAAACAGCATCTGAAAACTTGCAAAGAGGGAAATATTGCAGAAAATTCTTGTTAATCAAAGAATTACTGTATTAATTCTTCCAAATGATTCTCTCTCAATGCTCTCCATTTATTCTAATCCAACAACTACACATAGCAGAGTCAAATACATGGATGTTACTTTGTATTTGGCTGAATAGAAGTTAAGTTGAAGTATTGATTTGATTTCATCTTTGATGAACACACAGAGACTTTTCAAATGCATGAGCTGTGTTTGGTGTAAAAACAACAGATTAAAATTGTACTTTGCAGAGCTTTAAGTCTAAGCATAAGAATATAATCCAATTATCTCCGATGCTGGGTCCTCATTGTTTTTACAGTATGGATGATATGGTGAAAATATTCATCTTTCTCTCACATACATGAATAAAAATGAAGAGAAGAGTTACAGTTCCAAACAATTCCATACACATACTGCCTCCACTGAGGACCTATACTGCTCACAGATCTCCTGATTCGACAGTAATTATCAAAATGACTGAACTACGCTGCTTGCTTCAAACCCTGTTTCTGATCTTAATTTGGTCTTGACCGGGTTGTGAGTTTAGGGTAAGTTATTGTGATCCAGCCAGGTTAAAAGAGAGCCAGCTTGGTGACAGGAAACTCTGACGTCCAGCTCGGCAAAAATCCATCTTTACCCTCTAATCTCACTTTATGGTGCACCGTCTGCTAGCATCAGTTGTCACTTTTGTTTGCAACTTGATAACTTAATGTTTCTTGTCGAACATTTCTCGATATGAAGTTCTGAATATCATCTTATCGACTTCATTATTTTGAATCAGGACTTCTTCTTGAGTTAGGTAGCTTATGAAAGAAGTGATGTAATTAATATAGCACTGAATATAATTTCAATCCGGAAGATGAAGTTTTCTTTAATTTCCAGAGAAACAAGTATTTAACTCCATCTACAATCAGCAGATACTGAATTGTGAGGGACTTGTTTTGGGATCGGGGCCAAAAATAGGACATCCCTATTACAGAGGGTTTTAATGTGAAGACAAGAATGTTGTATTAAATACAAACAATGCGGCATGCTGGATACATTGACTGTTTTACAAACATTTGCAGCTCTTCGAATGATGGGTCATCTGGCCACAGAAGAAGTGGTCGTATTAAAGCACAAACTCCTAAGAAGCAGAGCATCACAGACAGTGAGGCAGCCCAGAGATCAGCAAGACAAAACTGCTCACCCTCAAAGAGACAAAGGGACACAGGCAGCATGGTAAGAGTGTCACCGAAATCTTGTTCACATACTGTCTCGCAAAGTCAAGTCATTGCTTAATGAGAGTCCATGTCAAATTCTCAGGTACAAGTGCACCACTCTGAGCAGCCGAGAGTTGACAGCACACATGGACCTGAGAAACAGAGCAAGGTCAGTTTTTACTCTCCTTCCTTTTTCATTCTCCCCTCTCTGTGTCTCTGTTGGTCTCTCAGTCTCCATGTGCTCTTCATGGGGCTGTCCTTGTCGTACAGCTTTCAGTGTCTAATCTGGAGCAGCAGCTTTACTGTAACTCTGTGTATGACAATATTGGAGACCTGTACAGTCAACAGGGTGCGAGGGTTAATTGAGGAGCTTAATCCTCCTTCACGGTCTGCTGCCTCCGACACAGACGGGCCGTCATGTGTCCAATGTGACCTACTAATGTGAAAATCTTTACATTACAGTGTGTGCATGGTTACATTTTCCCTTGACTAGAAGCATCATGCCATGTTTAGTGAGTGAAGTAAATCGAACAGTTATGGGTTACAAACTGTTTGAACGCCCCCCTTCATTTATACGATTTTATCGATCTATGACCAAAGTTTCTAACTGCTTCGTAGAGCAACTTGGTTGTAGTTCATTCTCTCAGTTCATATGGTATGAAAAAGAAATTTAATTGTTTTGCTAGAAATTGATTTGTGTGCAAACACCCAATAAATACACAACAGTTAGGACACATAAAAACTCACAATAATGATGATTTCAAAGTGTTTTTCTAATCCAGAGACTGATAGTTGTTAAAAAATTAAGCTTTTGAAATGAGCTTTTCTGTAAAAACAACAGCATTTTCTCTTGTTGATTGTCATTTGGTTGAAGCAGTGACTCGGATATTCAGTAAGGGTTTTCAAGTTTTAAGTACTGGACAACTTTTTCAGTATGATACTATAAGTGCTGGGGAAAAAAAATCTGCACCCTGTTTTTTTTTATTTTTATTCCAAACCTGCCGAGATTAAAGGACACAAGGGCAGATAATCTGAAGGGCAAGAGCTGCTGTTAAAAACATACAAGTCAATAAGAAAAACGAAACATTAGTTTTTATACTGGTTCACAAGGAATCACTGCAAAGGATCAAAACAACCTGCCCACACCTCACACACAATCCTGCAGGACTGTGCCAGTCTGTCTGGATGCAGTAGCTCTTCATACTGTCGTCTAGATTTTCCTTTTCAGTTTTTTTTTTCATTTATTAATTATTATTATTTTGTTTCACCTTGATTTAACCAGAAAGAATCCTATTGATAATCTCTTCTTTTTAAGGTAGTCCTGGCTAAGTCAAACCACAATCAAAAGCAGAACCAAATACAGTGATCAATAAATGATCAGCTTTCGGCAGTAAAATGTCCATCTACTGGTGGTCCTCAGTGTTGGTTTCTGTCACTCTTTGGATTGATTTGTTGCATTACCAATGCCCAGTCACACATTCTTATTCAAAATCGTTTCTTTTTTGCAGGAGGGGTGCGTGTTTAGCTTTGCAGCAGAGCAGCATAAAGAGTAAGTGTCAAGGCAAATGCGCCTCAGCTTGTGGATGCATGATACTCATTAAACTGCTGTGGAAGTATTGAATTTAAAAAAATCTGTATTTGATAGAACTCCTGAACTCTTTTTTTCTCTCTTCTCTTGTTGTTACAGGCAAAAATTACAGAGGAGCTCAGAGGAGCAACCAAACATGTCTCCTGAAGAGAATGTAGGAGGAATTTTTGCTGATAACTCTGCTCAGAATCTTGACGCCACTCAGTTTGCCGTGGATCCATGTAGGGGATTGGCTGTTGAAAATGCATCCGTCCCAAAAGGATGGGTGATTGGCCCTTTGTTTCAGTCATTCAAGTCCAAGATGGCCAGTTTCACGGAGATCGTCATGAGTCCTGTAAAACTCTTCCGAGCTAGTAGCCCTCCACCCTCTATGGACCACTTAGAAAAACTGGATGAGTGTGAGCTTGAGAGTACTGGGACATCTGATGTGGAGCTATCAAAACCAAGTGATATGTTTTATCCAGTCACACAAAGAGAGACTGAGGGTCTGGACTCTGTTGAAGTAGAAGGTGTACAACACACAAGAACTGTTGAATACTCTAAAAAATTATTGTTCGACGAGGAGATGTCAGCAACAAAATCTGAATCAGGAGACGAGTGCTCATTGACTCAAACTGAAAGAAACTCTCCTGAGTCTGTGCCTTTGCAACACAGCTCCCTGCCCCTGCGTGTTTCTGAGGAGGTTTCAGATTCTTCCATTCCTTCACAACCCTCTGTCCACGTAAGTGCCTGGCATGAGTCAAAGTTAAAGAAGACCACATCTGTGGAGGACCAGAAAGGCAAACTGACCGTAAATCTGCCAAGGAAACCACTGCCCCGGAAACGCACAGGAAGTAGAAGGAAAACTGACTCTAAATCTTTAGTGTGTGAAGTCATAAGGGAGTCTGAAGCAGAGCTTATCCATGAGCAGGTCTCTCATTGTAATGAAATAAATTCAAACAAAGCTGACTTACACTCTGACAAATCAACATCATTTTCTTCTTCAGGCTGTTATCTTCAGTCTGATAAGGACCTTCCTCACTTTGATGGTGGGGATGATGATGTCAGAAAGCTGGTTAATCCCAACATCCAGAATAACAGTGAACGTGCTAAAGCAAAGACACCAAAGCCCGCTGTGGAAACTCAGCAGCTGCAGTTTCACTTAAACCCTGAAAAGTCTTCAGCTGCAGGGCTTGGAAGAGCTAAAAGAGAGCGTATGACGGACTGCCATACCCAGGACTTTGTGAAGAGGAAAAGATTTACTGCAGAAAGATGTGCAAAAGTTACACTGAAACAGGAGTTACCAGATGTGGTTACAGATGGAGGGATTTTGACAAGGCTAAAACCACAGAGAAAGAAAGCTGTGTTGACAGATAGCAGTGTTGATAAGTCAAAGCGTGCAAGAGGACGACCAGCTGTTTCAACAAGGGCAAATAAGAGAGAGGAAGAAATGGTTTCTGTAGTAAACGAAGATGCGCCGAATGCAGAGACTAAAAGCTCGTGTGATTTGATGTTGTCGTGTACACTGGATAAAGACAGCAGTGTGGCAGACAACACCCAAAAAGTCAGCAGCAAGCGGAAGCCTTCCAGTTCACGCAACCGATCCAAGACTAAAATGGATTTTAGTCGATCTGGGGCAGATGTTGATGACAACATGGATGTAGAAACCGACGTGGCTTTGCCTCAATCCAACCACAAACCTTTCTCAGAAGTTTTCATCCATCCTGATATAAAGCAGTTCCAGAGCCCAAGTAGATGCAGGAGCATTAAAAAGAAACCACTAAAGAGAAAATCGCCAAACCAAGCGGGTTCAACCACACAAACAGATAGTTCTTTAGTTTCTACCTCAGCCTCATTGCAGCTCTTAGAACTCACGCCAACAGATCTCACTGCCTCTCAACAGGATGAGTGCACAAAAGTGGAGCCTAACCAGCTGTCCAAGAGACCCAAAAGGGGTGTGAAGGGTGCTCATAAAAAAACAGTGTCTACAAGGCATGGAGACATCCAGCAGTGTGTCCCGGACCTTCATTTGCAAACCAAAGAAAATGTGTTCCAAGAAAGCAAACATACAATGTCAGTGGACCCTGTGTATTTTGAAATGACACCCTCTGAAAGTCCTCTCCAACCTGATCCTTCAGTGAACCAGCCTCATTTAGCCTGTTATGTGAAATTAGAGAATATAGATGAGTCTGCTTTGGATAAGAATGAAAAAAGTGGTGCTTCTGTGTCAGATGAGGTGCTTCCCACAGATGTTGAAGTCGGTATCAACAATGATGCTGCATTGATGCTCTTGTCTGCTCCAAGAGGAGTCAACTTTAGGCCCAGGAGAGTAGATAGGCAGAGGAGAAGATGCAGAGTTTTGCACAGTAGGACACGTAAAGGTGAAGAGGTCACCAACTCTACCACAATGGATGACACAGACCTGGCTACACACTCATCAGAGGGTAACTCCTCAAGGAACTTGTTACGTAGTTACTCCTGCCCAGAGATCCATTCACTCCGTCACCATGACACCCCCTGGATTTCCTCTCTGCATTCACCACATCATAGCAGGATTCACACATCACACCAGCATCCGTCTTCCCACTCTCCCTTAGTCCATCATGCCCACAAACACCAGCGACGAGCTCGCAGACATACGGTCTGCAGCCTAGAAGTGGAGAGGGAGATCGCCCCCCTCTGCCTTCGTAAGGAGGTGTATCCCTCCAGGAGATCAGTCCCATACGACAGCTCCACCCATCACCTGTCTCCAAGCATCGCACTTTCTCCCACCGCTTCCCTCAAAGTCCTGGCGACCTGTTTCCTCTCAAGCCCCCTGGCTTTCCTCTCAAAGAAGGTTGACAGTAGAGGAGCTGCGTCCAGCCCCAGTCATGTTTCTTCTCCCACATCCTCCTCTCCTCACCCACTGAACCCCTCCACATGGCGCCTTCCAGGGTTCTTCCAAAGATCTGATTCCTCGAGTGTCCCCTTGGACTCTAGTTGCAGGTATGTGTCATAATAAATCCATGTTATGATGCTCAAGTTTCTTAGCATGTTAAGAATTCTCACCATTTGCTCCTCTGCAGTGGGAATCCTATGGAATGTGAAATTGAGAGAAGAGGACAGAGTGAAGAAGAGGATGACGGTGGGGACACAAGCTCGTCCAGCCAGGAGTATGAAGATGCAGCACTGAGAGAGGAAAAGTCTTTGTCTGATTCAGAGATCAAGGTGTGCATTACTTCACAGAAAAGTGATGTCGGAGTAATTTTTGGCTTTGATAGTTGAGAGGAGGAGACACAAGCATCAGTTTGTGTATATAAAATATTTTTCCATAAATACTCCTCATTTTTACTCTTCACCTAGTTCAAAACAACGACCATGCAGAACATCCCTCCTTTATCAACCAAGAATAACTTTTCAGAACTTTAATTTGAAATAAAGGATTTGAGACTCTAATCTTTTTTTCTGTCATGACAGGTGGTGAAAAAGCTGGAAGAACGAGGGAAGGTGTCATCCATTAGGATTCGGAAAACTTTACCCAAACCTCAGAACAACCTGACTCCCATGGGCCTGCCCAAGCCAGTCAGGTAAATATCATGGATGCACGAATGAGACTCAAAGTTAACTGTAGGCCAAGAGAGCTGTATGTGTGGAAAACAGGCACATAGAAATCATGACTGAACTTTTGACTCATTATTGACCTTAACAAATCAACCACCTTTCAAGATTGTTATTATTAGCAAGATGAGCAAGTCCATTTAGACAAAGCTGGTGGGAACTTGGCAAAGGTAATTTCAACCAGATAATACTACCATAAATCTTCAAGTACAGATTGCTGTTTAATTTGTGACAGGGCCTCTCATTATGACCAGGTTTGTGTCCTTTTATGGGCAGTTATTGGCTAGAGCACTTTATATTTCTATCTTGGAGAACAACTCACCCGTGGGTTCACAATAACCATGCTCCAGCCCCATACACAATAGCATTGATGTCAGATTAGGAGTGGATTGCATCAGTAGCCATCTCTGTAAAGCTTGCTGCAGTTTTTTCTGTTATCGTCAGGACTGAGATTTATGGCAACTGTCACCATATCCGCTCTGCTGCTCAGAGCTGCACTCACCACTTACAGTTTAAATCCCCTCAAAGTTTTTTGTGAAGTCAGTTCACAACAGATGTGATAGCAATCATCCATTTCCTGCAGATTTCATTGTGTACAACCCACTTGCTTTCTGTAGCGAGCTAGCATAAAGCAGCTAAAAAAAACAGAATTACTCTCATGTGATGTTTCAGCCTGGAAGGATCCACTCCCATCTCTGTGAGCTTGTCTTTGAGTATGGTGGGTTGGATGGTGTTGAATGCACTTGAAAAGTTGAAGAACATGATCCTCACATAAACCCCAGGTTCCTCCAGATGAGACAGGGCACGGTGAAGCATGTAGAGGACAGCATCATCCACTCCAATGTGTTCTTTGTATGCAAACTGCGGGGAGTCCAGTTTGTTTTTGACCTCAGAAGGTGTAGAATCAGCCGCTCCAGGGTTTTCATGATGTGTGAAGTGAGGGCCACTGGTCTGTAGTCATTGAGTTCAGCAGGACATTTTGTTTTTGGTACTGGCACAATGCAGGATGTTTTCCACAGAGCAGGTACCCACCCCAGCTGTAGACTCAGGTTGAAGATCTTGTGGAGAGGTTGACACAGTTCTGCAGCACAGTCTCTAGGCAGCCTTGGACACACACCATCTGGACCAGCTGCCTTCCCAGGACAAAGTCTTCCAAGCTCCATCCTCACCCCTGTTTTGGTGACAGACAAGGACTGGTGTTCTAGGAGGGAGGCAGTTGAAGTGGTTGAGACATTTGAAGGAGATGGAGGAGGAAGGGGAGAAGTTGTAGTGGAGATTTGTTGCGGAGAGGAAGGTGGAGTAGCAGTGGAAGTGGGAGTGACAGCAGTGTCAAATCTGTTGAAGAACAGGTTGAGATCATCAGCTCTTTTCACATCACCCACCACTGGCTGTCTTTTCTTTTGACTGCTGTGTCCTGAGATGGTACTGATTCCTCTCCACACTTCTTTTGTACAATGTACATTGTAAAATGTACAATGCAAAGAACAAAGGCGCACACAGATGCTATTAGCTCAGCAGTCTGAGGAGTATATACCCTATGCCCATCCTTTGTGAATGAGGTGATGCCATTTTGACTCTTGCCCAGATTAAGTTGGCACAGATACCACGCTAACTTTAGTGAGTCAGGCCCTCATTTTATACAAAAACATGAAGAAGAATTATAATTGTTAGAGGAACTTTGATATAAAGGACTACCTCTAATACAAGACTATATAAAATATAAAGACCTGTAAAAAAAAAAAAAAGCCCCGGGTTTATATTTGAGGATTTATGGTATTTTTTTGTCAGTTGAACTAAACAGAATTAAATCATTTTAAATTAACTAGTTTCTGGTTAAAATAACACTTGTAGCAAGTTCAGATGGTCTGAAGGAATAGTTTTCTGTCTGTCACCATATGTGTGACCGAATGCCTAACAGTAACATGTGATATGCAAAAGTCTTTGAGTTTTCTATGGATACAGCCTGCGAATTAAAGAACCTGCTGCTGACTGAATATCAGAGGTCCAGGCTGAGCATTAAAATATGGGCTAAAGGATCAAATGTAAAGCAGCCATTCCCAAATCACTCCACTTTTAAATTGAGAAGGATTACATTTTACCAGGTCACTATCTGTTCTCCTGCTGTAAACTGTTCAATGTGAATGTATGTCAGTGTCAATATGTGTGTTGACTATTGAACAGCCTCTGATCAATGTTCAGTCTGTTAACCACAGCATGTTTTTTACATTTCAACACAGGCTGAAAAAGAAGGAGTTTAGCTTGGAAGAAATTTATACCAACAAGAATTACAGCAAACCGCCTGAAAGGTAAGATCAACCCCTGGAGATACTTGACCTCTGGCTCTGTTCTCTCTGTTTTAAGTCGAATGAGCCTAATTAAGATCTGCTTCAAAGAAAATCTGTGGCTTAACCTGCAGATTTACTCGTTGCAATATACAATAAATTTCCAAGAAGTTGGCCCAAGTGCAGCTTTGGTGTTCAAACATCAAGAACTGAATGAGCATTGGAGCTGGAATGCTGTAATAGCTGGTATTCCCCAGAAACAAAACTGCTGCATCTCTCTCCCACACCTTGATTTATCCTGGACTTTTCCTTTACATCATACTGTGTTTTAAAGCTCATGATCAAAATGTTTATTTAAGAATAAGAATAACTTTATTCATCCCGGAAGGGAAATTCAATAATTAATTTAATTGGAATAATTAATAAATTCAATTTGACCATTTTACAACAAGCAGAATTTTTAAAAAGTTATCTTGCAATTCCTTTTTCTCAGTTGTGCACATGGCTTCTATTGCCCCCAATATTATGTATTTGTTAGAGCTGTTCGGTGGCTTTGTTTGGTCATGTTTCCTGTTTTTGAACACTGTATGCTCAAAACCTGCTTAGAATCAGTTTGCAGGCCAGACTTAAAACACCTACAGAGTTTTATCTCTGTTTTGACCAGAGGGTGGCACCAGAGAAGAGATCATGCCCTCCAATTAGCTGCATTTTATACTATTGTATTTATGCATTCAAAACTAGTATTTATTGCACCATGGCACAGAGGCACATACTGAAATAACTCCAGGTATCAACTACACTGTAACCTAAGTCACAAGAGTAGATGGAAATGAACAAATTCATTGCAGTCACACACACAAAGGTAGAGTATCATTTAAGGGTTGCATTTCAACTTGTATTTATCGTATTTATCGTGAGGTGGCAAATATTTATCATGGAGGATTTTTCTAAAGATCTATCATGAACGATAATTTATGGCCCATCCTTAATGGGATACTGGAAAAATAAAATCAACTGTAAGTCAGTGTTACCTCACTAACTCTGCCTGTTGATTGTTGTTCAATTTCATGTTTCAGTCGGTTGGAGACAATATTTGAGGTGGCTCTCAATCGCAAGAATGGCTCTGAGTCCTGGTTCGGCCAGAGGCGTCTGAAACGATTTTTGGAGTTCCCGGAAGTTGGTGAGGCAAGAAAACCAAAGAAGCCTCTCGTGGGTGCTGGAAAGGCAGGTAATTCAAACTCCAGGACCCGACGCGGGGGCTTCACTAAGGATGAACCGTCCCTCAGTCCACAGGATGTGGACTCGCTTCTCTGTGCCAAGCTGGATCAGCTGAATCTTTGGCTGATGCACGATCAGAAAGACAGCTGACGGATTTCCATTAAATGTTCATTTATGCCATTAAAAGAACACAGCTTAAGTGCAAATACTGTTAATATGACTATTTCTAACATGATTTCTACATGAAGATTTGCATGTGTCTTCCAGCACAGAGTTCATTTTCTTCTGGTGACAAGTCGTAATTGAAGAATTTCATCCTCATTTTGTAGTTTGCGAGTTGAAGACACACATCTTAACAACAAGGATGGACGTTGGTTGTAAACATAGTCATAAATTCCATTATACAGTCTGTCAGTTTTTCTTTTATCACTGCCCTTAAACTGTTGCCGTCCATCAACTTCTCCAGCCGCTGTCTGAGTAAATAGGGCCTGACTTTGATGCCCTTTATTTCACACCTTGATTGTAACGCTGTATTCTTCTGTTCCTGTTTCATGTTCCGTTTTCCCAGAGCAAAACAAATCTGCACAGTCTCTCTGGGTTAGTGAAGATCCGTTTTATCTTTTCAAGGTGAATTCTGAATTGTCCTTTTTTTTTTAAAAGCACCTTCTCATTTGAAAGAAAGCATTATATTACCTGATTGAGTAGTGCAATGGCAGCATCATCATTTTAAAAAGGCAGCTATTTTTTATTCAGTGTAGACTAAAACTTTTTAAAAATGCCAGACAGAGATTTGCAACCTATTTCACAACCAAGTATCTGTCCAGGGGTTTTATGTAGTCAAGTTAGTCTGCAAGCTCAGACCAGAACCTGTTCATTCTTACCAATTTTATTTGTGTTTGTATTTGTGTCATGGCTGAAGTTGTTTTTGTCATATGAATCATATCTTAGAAACAATGACGCACTCCAGAGAGCATTTCAAAAGTGAAGCGTCCAGTGTCCTTTGCTGGTTGGCTTTTATTTTTAAATATTTGATCAACGGTGGGTCTCTCTGTTGGCTGTTTTGTGGTGACTGTTTGCTTTATTGATATAACCTTTTGAAAAGCTGCCCAAGTAAGATTTTTGGCCAAATTAAAATATCAGGTTGCCTTAACTGTAAACTCATATGTTGTTTTATAGGCGTATTTGTAAATGCTGCTGTTTTTATGAGGGCATGTCGAGATGCTTTAAATGACACAGCACAAAGTTTTGTCATTTTGCTATAAAACTGTTTATAGGTTTGTATAAAAGTACAGCATACTAATACATTTGACAACAATGAATCTAACGTGGTGGTGACAATGCAAAAATACCAAGAAAACATAGGTAACTAAAGTAGGATCTCATGACGTCAAGATGATGCACTGCCATAACCACTGCCGTGCCATTTTTTTTTCCAGTGGTGACCCAATCCTTCAAGGTTGTGTTTATGTTGATATTTTGTAGACTGACAAATTCAGTTATTTATTTACTCTTGCATTTAAGGCGCAAACCTGTAAAGGATTGGGTCATTACTGAGGAATCACAGCTCTTATCTATATATATATTTAAATGTCTGGTAGTGTAATGTCTCAAACTATGGTAAATGCTGGATTTTATATAGTCCTATAGATTGGAATTGTGCATATGTTCATACATTGTTAAATAAATATTACAGCGTATAAAAAAACATTTCAAAGTTGTACATTTTTTTTCTCCACTACTTGATAAATGCTAATTTCTCACAGAAATGCTAAGAGGATGTAGAAAAGTGTTAACCTGTCTTTTTTTGCTTTGTTTAAGTGCCAGCTTCTTCATGTCTTGGTGGCTTTCAGTTGATAATCAGCTTTGTACTGTCCAGTGTCAGTGTCCCCACAAAACTGATATCAGAGGAGCTGCTTCACAGGTTATCATCTGCAGAGGTTTTCCAAAGTAGATCAGTCTATCAGAGTGAGAAGATAGGAGATCACTGCCATCAAAATTGGAACTGAAACAAGAAAGGCAACCCATGTCACAATGGAGATGATGCCCAATTTTTTGGCCCGCTGCAAATGCTTTGCAGCCACCACCGGATTGTCGGTTTTCTCAGCCTGTTGAGAATAGAGAAAAGAAAAATCACCGTTAGCAAAACGTGACACTGAAGTAACTGTAAGTGCAAAAAATAACAACTAATAATCCACTTTCAAAGATTCTTCTATTTTTCTTCTGAACTTAAAACCAAAATGAACTGTTAATCTGGTAGCCTTTCACAATTTCATTCAACTTCAGCAACAAAACATGTTTGTGTACGCACCTCTTTTTAGTAGATTTTGTGTTTTCTGCAGGATTGTTCAACATTACTTCAACTGACGGTTTAAGTCAAAGAGTGAGACGTACTTTATGTTATTGTTGTAGGATTTTGCAAAGATCTGCTTTTTCTGCTGAAAATAATACTAGCTTTGTAGATGTCAATATCTGTGACATTAACAACATAAACCACAGTCCTACTTGAGTGTAGCAAACATGTTTTGTTCATATGCATGTTAAAATCAATGTGTAAGCCCATTTCTTATACTGGATAATCTTATTTATGTTGTTGAGGTGTAGATTTCAAATAATTCATAATGATCCTATCTCAGGACTGTGCCTACTCTGTCCTGTACATCTCTAACTAGCCTTTTCTTAACAAAATGAATTTCATCCTTCTGACTATAAACAGCCATATTTATCACCTACTGAGAACCTGCATTGAAATGAAAAAAAAAAAAAAAAAAGTTGTTTCTGATCATCAGTTTTTTACACTTACCCTGACACCAGTCTGGGATAAACAAAAGATATATACTATATTAATGTAAGCACGTAATTTATGATGTAAGTCTTGTTTGCTTTTGAAGCTCAGAAAGAGGCACCAATATTAGTTTCAATTTCACCATCATTTCAAACTCTCCGCAGGAACTTTACACCAGTTTCATTTCTTACTTTGTGGGAATTTTTGTAAGTATTTTCTGATGTTTCTCAAGCTGCGACTTTTATAGGGGTTGCAAAAAGTATGAATGCACACACATGAATGGATTACAAATATTTACCCTTTCCGTTCACTTCAATCTGCTTTGTTAAAGGTAAGGATCACACAGATGCTGTTCTGTTTTCCTGAGTAGGCCTATATTTTTTTTTTAAGATTTCTACAGCAGCACAGCAAAGTGGCTTAGTAGTGGCTTGATTGCAGTCACTCAAAAAGCTATATGTCCAAAATCATGATGTCAAGTATATACAAGAGAAGGTGCTGAATGTCAGTACAATGAAAACTAGAGACTACACAGCCTAAGCGGTTCATTTAAACTTGAGTCCCATTTTTGACAAGCCAAAATAACCAATCATAGTGAAGGGCTTTTTTTGTGGGGGGTGGCCACCTCTTGGATCCACCCCAGCCCTTTACTGTAGCTAAACAAGCAAACATATCCTGTTGAACCACAAAGAAGATGTATTTCCCTCAAAAGATGCAACTTTGGAGGTTACTTTTTCCTTTCTTGTTCAGATGAACTTTGACATTCATCATTTCCCAGATTAAGGACTGTCAGTTTCCCCCCCTCACCACTTACACTTAAATGTCTTTTGGAGGTTATTTCTGTGCTGCGATTACACAAACAAATTTTTACATGTTGTTTTAAGATGGGCTAAAAATATACAGCCAGTCTATCAAACAAAACAAAACAAACAGAAACTCTTTTCTGTCTTTCTGTGGAAACAGCAGTGAGAAGTTCACCAACAGCATAACCTCATTCTTGTCAGCAGGTTTCCATTTGTCAAACCGTCACTCAGCTGCAGTTTAAGGCTACAAGATAAAAATGTGGAATGTGCAGCTTTAGGCTCTGACATTTTCACCAGCTAAGTAGAGAGAAAAGAGCTCAGCAGTAAGATACCTTGACTGAGTTTATTAGAGCCTTGATTCCAATGCAGGAGAACCCACAGATGATGCTGCAGATGGCCAGTTTCCTGTGGTTCTGGTCTCGGCAGCAGGAGGAGGAGGCAGGGCATGGTCCAGTGCAGGTGATAACCTGGTGGCTGCTGTCATTGTTTGGTGTGTCGCCTGAGCCTGCGACGACATTCAGTGGTAACTCTTCATCCACTGTTATACATGTCTGAGGTGAATCAGACATTTCTGAAAAACAAAAGCGTGTGTTAAAGAGTGCTGGAGAATATTTCATGGTATTTTAGCAATATAACCTGATAGAGTTGTTTGTTTGTCATGGAAAACCACAAGCTGTAAAGAATTGGTTGTGAGAGCCAGTCCTGCTGAGGTAACTTGTCAAAGAGGAGCTGTCATGTTTATCCTTTTGAGAAGATTTCTCACATGCAGAGATGTGTGGCTTCATTTATTACCAACTTCAAAGAATGTCTTTAATCTCTCTTGCTCTATTTTTACTCCTGCTCACGTTATGAGTTTAATGACGTGAGTCTGGACGTCATCTCTTTTATACCAGAACGTCAGAGTCTCCCTCATCTATGAAGCTTGATTGAAACTGGAATGACACTGCTTTAACACCTATTTCACAAATAAATGACTGTCCTGGTTTAGTTTGGAATTCTTCCTTGCACAATGAGCTGAAAATAACTCAAATCTCACATGAAGTGATGATAATCCAGAATCAGCATGAGGATATATCAGCAGCCAAAATTAGCATCAGGATTTTCATGGGATTTTCAACTGATCCAAACTCTTGTTCTTGAGAAAATTGCTGTTACATTCAGGTTCCTCTGTGCGTGCTGCATCTATGATCAATGAAAAAAAAAAAAGAAGTATGTGCTCCCCACTCGGTCTCCTGACCCGTGGTTACCATTTATAAATAGTTTATAATGTGGTAAACAGTTTGTCCTGTCATCACCTCGGCAACACAATTACAAGTCCAAACATGTTCTTTGAGGTATTCAGAAGGTATGTCCTCTCCCAGGAGCATGGGAACTTTCCTGAAGTGGGTATTTCCAGAGAGAAACAAAACAAAAAGTATCCACTGAAATCTCATGACACTGGGGACTGTACCAAGTGTTCAGAGTAAGTTGTATATTTAAAGAAAAGCTTGAAAAACTTGTATGATCACACTTTAAAAGATGTCAAAACATCTTGCTTGGCCAGCTGCTTGTTACAATGAATGAAAACAAAAAAATCATATCTAATCTATGATTTGATCAAACAGCGTCACGGCAGCATACTCTACATGTTTGACACATCAACAGAGTTTCGACATGTAATGTTGCACAGAACAGTGAATCATTTGTAGAGGAGATGAAATAATGTGCATCTCATTTTGGGAGCTGTGCATGGATAGACGACTGCCATAGAGTTACAAAGATACAAGCAGAAGTCTCTGTTTTGTAATCCAACCCATCTGATGGGAAATTGGATGAAGAAAATGAAGCAGACTCCCCAGTTTGACATCAGTCCTAAATTCTTACAGTTAAGTACAAACCTGTTTTCTCTTAAAGGGCACCTCCTCAGTCCTAACACACTCCTTCAGGGAACCGAGCTGCTTCTTAGCTTGTCATGTGAAGAATGGCACAACAATCTTCAGGAAATAAAAGCAGGTGTCTTGTCTCCTTGTCCCAGAATAAAACTCCAGATTACACCGCCTCTTGTGGCACAGACTTAGTCTTTTTAGTTCCAGAGGAGATCCCTGCACGTGGTCACCCAAACACCACTCCTGTCATTGTACTCAGAGCTCAAAAGACACCAGCTTGGAGGCCGCCCTATCACCATGAAAGTCCAGAGCTGTATAAGTTGTTGAATGACGAACAGGACTGTGAGCTGGGAGTGAAACTCTGTGTGAAACTTCCACGCCCATTCTCTGTGTAGTCTCTTTCCTTCTCCTCCTACGTCTCCCCTCCCACACTTGTCAGACCCTTTCCTCACTCGCTAGTCGTCATCCTGTCTTCCTTGTGCTCTCAGGTTAGACTTTCTCAATACTTCCTGCAGTCGTATTTTTAACTGCCATTGAAAGCTGTGTCCTTTCCTTCACTTCTTTCCCGTACTGCATTCCTGTGGACTTGGGAAAGGTGTGTCAGCTTGTCTTGCCTTGGGGGTGAAACAGCCATGGGTTCAAGTCTGCCTTGTTTTTTAAATTCATCCTGGGAAAGTAAACAGAGTACAACAGTGTGTGTTCTTAAGCTAAATCACTGACACAAGTATGATCTCCTTTTTTTTGGCGTCTGCCATACCTCTGATCTATGACCCAGAGATAAGGCTTATTTCCACCCTCTTGGCCCAATGGTGGATGACAACCTGACTGCATTTTTCAGAGCTGATGTCACCCACTGTGACCTCTGCCAGCATCACAGACTGCTGGGTCTTTCGTCACTGAGAAAAAAAAAACATGGGAAGATTCCTTCTATGGCTTTTTCTTCACTGTCTGTTGTATACTGACTATTTCTCCTTCTGCTGAGTGCATTTGTCTCTTTCATGACTGAGATGTAGAAAGGGAATTGAGACTGCAGGAAATGTAAATTGATATTGAGGCATTTTTCCCTTGCAGGAGTGCATACCTGTCTGATCTCCTTAAACTGGGATCTCCTACCCAGCTTTGACCTGTAAAATCAGTGTGTCATTTGGGGTGACATGGACCCCTTTGATATCTAAGGAGCAACACTGGGCCACCCTAGAATCAACTGGTTTGAAACAGACTGCTAGTGTTTACTTTGCATTTCAGTTTAGCACACTCTCCTGTCCGTATTTTAAATTGTAGGAAAATGTTCACATATCTGCAAAGCATTTCAAGTAGAATATTTTTCACTGCGAAACTGCATTAGGAGTTTACATACAATTTTTAGGTACTTTTCAAATGTTACCTTGAACTAACATCTTTTTTGTCCTTAACACTTATAATGTATGTTGCCATTCTGTTGTGTATTTTTAATATCAGTTTGTGACCTTTATGGTGCCCCCTATGGACATAGCTTTACAACTCTTTATTGTTTTATTTTGCTGCCCTTGTAAAGTGCTTTGTAACTTTGTATTTTTAAAGGTGCTCTATAAATAAAGTTAATTAATATTATTGTCTAAACTGGTAGCTACTGCCAGCCTTGTGGATATTTGAAACATAAAATGTCTGTTTCTGATACTTACAAGGCCTCATACATGATCATCTGACACCTACCATAGCAATGGTGACAAGCATTAAACATAGCTCTCAAGTAACAGTCAGATTTGTAACTGATGGTCTCATTTGTTAAAAGAGCTAGGTTATGATTGTTCCTGAAAAACCAACAAAATCACAAAAAACCACATGTCAAAAACTGAAATAAAAATAAAAACGAGGCTCTGCAAAACATGATATCCAATGAAGCTAGCTAATATAGAATAAAACCACAAAGAGAATGCCCTTTGTTTTTGTCTTTGAGGCACAGAGACACACTCTGGAACAGCACCAGGAGTTACACTTTGGTCAGAGTTCACCAAATGTTGATAAATTAACCCACTCAGGGCGAGCTACACCAACAAGCAGGAGAGTGTCCAGAGCTTTTTGACTGCGGGGCCCAACCTCTGCATTAACATCAGTTATCTCTTAGCAGAAGAGCCGTCCTGACTCACACCCTCACATTCAGGAAGAGCTTCTTCAACTAAGCACTTTAATAATCAGAGGTGAGATAGCCCATTCAGTGTCTGTGCAGTGACCCTGTAAAACTGAACTCCCGTTAGGACTGGCAAATGAGGACCCCAACACAGTCGAGGATCTTGGGACTGTATTTAGACAAAACGCTGGCATGTCTTTTTTTTGTGTGTTGCAAAAATGGAACCATATGCTGTAGGACTTTTATTTTATTTGAAGATTTCCATAGATTTTTGTTACTGAAGTAGATATTTTTCCAAATTTGGCACAGGCTATTCAAAAATGATGAGTGCTTTTTAAATTTACCTTCATTTTTTTTTCTTACGTCGAAGAGTCAGGACCGCATTAAAGAATTTTTTTAAAATGATTTTAAAGTAAAGTTGTTATGTAAGAAAAACAAAATATTATGGTATAGAATAAAGTCTTAATAGAGATATAATATTCCTTTCATAAAACGTTGTCATGAAAAAAGTCATTGCAGTATGAGAGTAAAGATGAAGTACTTTAAAATGTTGTGTGTAACTTTTAGTGTGTGTCAGTTTCAGTGCCCCTTTTGGACAAACACTCTTGTTGTTTTTATGCTTTGGTAGAGTCTTCTGACAAAGAAAAATCTCAATATTGCAAACTTGTAATGGTCAAATGAATCTTTCTGGGGAACTTTTAAAGTTAAAAATGGAATAATTGGGATTTTGGCAAACACCCCCTTGCAGCGATCTCAGGCGTTAAAGTTTGGGTATAAAAATGGTAAATTATCATTGGTGGTCCTGTTTGCTTTTGTATTCCGAGAAGAAAACATCAGTCGTCTTCAGTATATTCCACTTATATAAAAAAAAACTTAAATTAGCTTCAATCTTTTGGCACATCACCACATTAGAGGTATCAGGGCTCTAAAAACACTGTGCGAAAAGCTGAGCCTTGTTTTATTCCTCTTCAAAACAGTATTATGCGATGACTCAAGTGATGATTTTATTGGTGATACAAAGACTGTAATTTACAAAAACAACGTTTTTTTTAATTCTCAAATCTTTTTTTTTCATGTGCTCCCAGTACTCCGTTGTAGTATGAACTATTTCTTTAAATGAAAAAAAAAAAAAAAGTCCGAGCCACGCCCCGAATTCCCAACCCACCAATGAGGAACCGCCAAACTGTGAGCGCGGAAAAAAAACACGGAAATGCTCCAATAATAAAGGAGAGCACGACACGTAGGCTTTAATTTCCACAGGGCTACAATGAGCTTTAATTAAATACACTTAAGTGTTATTCTAAACGTAGTGTTATTACATGTTTAGCTTTGCACAGAACCTCTTTGTTCCGTTCTGTAACTGCCGTCATGGAGAGAGGGACAGGTCCGGTTTTGGCAACTGAGAGATATGGGAGTTCAGAGTCCTGGAAGTACATAGCTAAAGATGGAGTGATGGAGAGGAAAAGAGATGGTCCTGAGAGTGAGTCAAGAGGAAACTCTGTTGTTGGAGTTTTTAAAGTAAGGATTTAAATATTCCCATGCACTTCCAAAGCCCGTTTGTACATATTTTGACTCTTCTTACTCCTCCTTTCACTCCTTTACTCAGAGCGTCTTTCTGCCTCAAGGATATCCAGACAGTGTCAGCAGGGATTACCTGCACTACCAGTTTTGGGACACTGTGCAGGTGCAGTAGAAAATTCATTTTCAAACTATTTAGGTCTTCCTCATCATTATTTTTAGCACTGACAGTCCTCTCCTCCTCCTCTTTGTGGACTCAGGCTTTTTCCAGCTCTCTGACTGGGACTCTGGCCACTCAGGCCTCTCTTAAAGGTGTCGGGGTTGGAAATAAAGAGGCAACAGTAGCTGCAGCCACAGTCACCTGGTTACTCAGAGGTAATACCATACTTTAAGCCGAATAATTTTTCATAAAGTGTGCAATTCATAAACTAGATTTCTTCTCAAGATGGAACTGGCATGTTGGGAAGAATCCTCTTTGCTTGGCAGAAAGGGTAGGCCCATTTTTCTGTCCATTTTCATGCTAGTTAAAGCTCCTGTGAGCAGCTTTAAGCTTTTGTCAATATTGTCCACCTGTGCAGAAAGTTATTCATTTTATCTCTGTTGACTTTGCCCTGCACAGGAAGCAGTGTTTTTTTTTAACAATCTTTTTCTGCTACTTCATAAACTATTGAACATGGCACCCATCACGGAATCTTTGTTGCTGAAAATGTAAAGAAAGATCTTTTTTGGTACAAACATTGCTCCAGTCATTAGAAAAAACTATTGACAAATTTCAATCTTCCTCAATCTTACATTTTTTTTTTCTTTGAGAGACATCAACATTAATTTCATTCTGTTTTATAATCAGTTAGAGCTGCTCACATTAGCTTACAGCGAACAGATTCTTTTACATTTTTCTTTACATTTTTGCTGTATTTTTTTATTGGATTAAACTTTTTTTCCCTTTGTCTTTCAGGAGCAAACTTGACTCTGAGGCCAAAAAGTGGAGGTATTTATCATGCAATGATTCCGTTTTTAAAGTTTTTCCCTTATGCTGAACCTGTTATAAGTTCTTCCTTGTTATTTCATCTCAGACTGTTTGCTGATGTTCTGAACGACATTGCCATGTTCATGGAGATACTGGCCCCTTACTTTCCTCCTTTCTTCACCCTGATTGTCTGCACAGCAGGGATATTCAAGGTAAAAGAAAGAACTGTGAATAGCGTCAGTCAGGGGTGATTATAACTCAGCTTCAAAAGTTTGTTGTTACTGAAGCTATTCAAACTCTTTTACAGAATAAGCATTAATTGGTCTTTATTTGAAGAGACGGATACAAAGACTTGTTTCCTAGTTGAGGTGTAACAGACAGAGATCCTGCCCCCTTTAGGGTCCAGAGTAGAAAAGTTCAGGAAAGAGTGGCCTTTACTTTGAAGCTTTATAGTCAGATCACATGGCTGTTTTCTTTTACTTCATGCATTCATTATTATCTATAGTTTAACTATTGAACATTCCTAAAGTGTGGCCACTTCAGCATGTGGAACCGATAACCGACTAGTCTGCAAAGCTGTGTTATAACTGTGTTATAACTGCTATCAAACTTAGCATCAGCCATGATATAACTGCTTCTGTTCACTTTGTCTTTATAAAATATTCAAAATATGAATTGATTGGTATAAACTGACTATGTTTTTTTTTATTTTGTCTTTTTGAGTGACACTTATATTGAAATGTGGCTGATGGTATGCCACCAGAGTGCCAGTGTTGCTAGATTGCTGTGCCAGTCCCCTATGTGGTATGCCACCAATTTGCCACTTGTCTTCTAATGAAACATGGCATTGATGTCCCGGCATATGCAGCGGCACACGGCAGGCCACTTTTAGATGTGATGTGATCGTTGCTGATCTCATTTGTCTTTGCCTCCATCAGTCCATTGTTGGTGTGGCAGGTGGTGCAACAAGAGCTGCTCTGACTGTCCATCAGGCACGCAGAGACAACATGGCTGATATCTCAGCCAAAGATGGTAGTCAGGTAAGTTTTTGGATATTATCTATGAGCTTTGACCAATTTCCATTTATGTGCAGTTTATACCAAAACACAAAAAGTCTTCATACTTCTAAGAGATAAAAAGTTTCTGAAAGGGCACTTTGTCTTGTCTTTATTTTACTTAATTCCACAGGAGACTTTGGTGAACCTGGCTGGACTGCTGGTCAGTTTGGTACTTATTCCTCTCGTCACTGATAATCCAGTGTAAGTACTGTCTTATATAGTATCAAAATCATACACAGGTATTCGATTAGTCTCCTTTATGATCCACCACATTCCCACCCTCTTTTTCTTCCTCTCTCAGACTGACCCTCAGCCTCTTCTTCCTCTTCACCACCCTCCACCTCTTTGCCAACTATAAAGCTGTGCGTTCAGTTGTCATGGAAACCTTCAACGAGGAGCGGCTTTCAATCGTTTTTCAGCAGTACCTGAGAGACAAACAGGTTTTGAGTCCACAGGAGGCCAACCTGAGAGAGCCAGTTTTTATCGGTAAGAGTCATAATTTTGCTGACAGCTTCTTCGTTTCCAGTAAGAACACAATAACAATCAGATTTGTTCAATGTCATTGTCTTGTTTTTCACCAGAGTTTAGGAAAACTGTGCCTATCAAACTTGGAGTGAGGCTACAAGAGGTTATCCTAAGGTAAATTAATAGACTCCCTTTATTAGTGTGAATTTGTAAAAATACAATCTATTTATTTATTTCATTTTGCTTGTTTTGCAGCCTAGATGAGCTTGAGTTGGCTTTAAAGCAAAACAACATGCCTTACCTGTTAGGAGTGAAAAATGGTATGTAGTCCTCTTTCACACATAATCAAAAGGTTTAGATGCAGATATAACACACTTGAACATGTTTTCCCCACAGGTTGTGTTTGTGTATGTCTTGGACCAGAAGTATCAGTGCATGATGAAATCAGAGCTATGTGCCAAGCCCTTTGGCTCAGCAACAATTTGAGCACTCAGACAAGAGACTCCCCAACACAACAAAAGCAAAGTGAGTCTCTGCTTCTGAGCAACCGCCGAAGAAGGTGCCTTCTTTCTTCACTCATTTTGTGTGGTTTTTTTTAAGGTCACTGGGAAACTGTGCACGAGAGTTTCAACCTGATGGACACAGTTTTCCCTACATTTATCAAAGGTGCACACATATACACATTTATAAAACATTGAAACTGAGTGTTTACACACATTTTTGTTGAATGGTAGAAATATTGTTTTCCTCACATTGTTTTCAGGAGTGGAAGCTGCAGGCTGGGACATTAAACGAACTCTGCTGGACTGGGATGAGTGGAGAGTCGAGTGGAAAACAAAATGCACCTGAGCCATAATATCTGGAGCTTTTTGACCCCCCCATGTTTAATAAATAAAAAATATTTTATGTACCGGTAATGCTTATTTATTGTATGTGTATTATTTATTGTAAATCTAGTAGAATTCAGTCGGTACAGTATGAATAGAAAAATACTATTGATTTTCAAGGATTTTTTAAATTTTTTCTAATTTAAACAAGAAGCCTGATTGCAAATGGTCAGGAATTCAAAAAGTTTATTACAGAATCCAAAAGTTAGCCAGATATTGCTTGTATACAAGAAACTTGGTTACAGCCCCACCTTGACTTCATTTTACCTGGATATCAATCAGTAAGGTACGATAGGAGTGAAAATCAGGGTGGAGGTTGTGCAACATCCCTGATTTTTCCAGAGACCTGGAATAGAATTAAGTATTTTAGAGTTAAAGAAAGAATGGCAAGAGAGTGAGATAGGAATTCTAGCAAGTCAATATATAAGGCACAAATATTATTATTATTTAGATAGATACTCAGATGGGTCTAAGGATGAAAATGAGAGAGTGGGCATAGGAATACATATACCCTCAATGAACATTAATATTGGAAACAGGATACCTGATAAGATCTCAGTATATACAGCAGAAATGATGGCAGTCATCATGGGGCTAGAGTGGGTAGAGGAGGTAAGACCAGATCGGGTAGTACTTTGTGTAGATTCAATGGCAGTCCTTCTTAGTTTACAAACTACAACTTCTGACAGGGAAGACTTAATGCAGGAAATTCAGCAAAATTTGTATAGATTATATAGGATTGGGATAGAAGTGAAATTTTGTTGGGTACCTGCCCATGTGGGTGTAAAAGGCAATGAAGGAGCAGATAGAATGGCCAAAAAAAGCAACCAGAATGACAAATATTATAGATATACCATTTGGTAAAGGAGAAACTAAGGCAATACTCAAAAAAGAAATAATGAAGAAATGGCAAGATAGATGGGACAGGGATAACAACAGAAGGAAATATGACAGGGTACAGAAGTCCTTCAAAGCACAAGGAGTATATAGAAGAAAGAACAGAACGAACACAAAGAGTAATTAAGGCAGGTAGAGTGTGGAGCCTTGAGGGTATTCTAGGAACAGCAGGAGAAGGGGTACAGGACTCACAGACAGCCATAGTGGATTATCTGAAGTAGACAAGATTGTATTATAGAATTTAGGGTAAGGGTTTATTATTATTATTATTATTGTTGTTTTTGTTTTTGTTGTTGTTGTTGTTGTTGTTGTTTAATTTATAATTTTTTTTTCTATTACCTAAATGATATAAAGTAACTAGTGACCCATGCTACATACTCCGGTACAGTAGGTGGCGGTATGCACCTAATAAGCTATGGTTGCAACCCGCCAGAAAACCAAAAGAAGAAGGATGTTGTGGAATAATGTTTACGTGATTCCAGCAGGCAAGCGGTTGTTCCAGTTTAGTCTCAGTTAAGCCTACAAAGTGCACCAAATGGGGAGGTATAAATGTGTCTACAACTGCGAAAGCTCCAGTGATTCAGATTTAAAGTGTTTTAAGTAAGTATTGGCGTTTGTTCGTAAGAGACTGTTAAACCTGATGCTTGACGGGCTAACCAAGCTAATGTAAACAATAGCAACTGCCACCTTAGCTATAATGTTTTTATTTCTATCTGTTTAACAAGTGGGGAGTTTGTTTTGCAGAGTAGGTTGTTCTAAGGTGCAGCTGTAGTTCTAAATATAAATAGGACAACATTTTATTGATACTATTAATTCTTTATCCTCTTGGAATAGTTTATGTCTATAAAATATAAGCGGTTAATAGGGCAAAAGTGTTATTAAAGTGTTTTCCATCCTTTGAAAACAGCGAAATTTAGTTTGAAACCTAATCGTTTGTTTGCTACCACAGATTTCCTCTATACAATCCACGCAAACTTAAACAATGGTTAAACAACATGAAGTTGGAGGACTGGACCCCCTCTCGCTTCTCTGTGCTGTGCATCAATCATTTTGAGGAGCAGTACATAGACAGGACTGGCAAATGTGTAACACTCACAGGCAATGCTGTTCCCACCCTGTTTACTTCTTCTGATGACATACAGAAAGCAAAGGTTTGGAGCTAATACATTGAAAATAAAACCCTAATTTTGACAATATTCTCAAATAAGATCTCATGCACAACTCTCATCCTGTTGTAGGCTCCCATCAGCCCAAAAAGAAAGCCTGGCAAGGTAAGAACATACCTGGCAAGATCAAATAGATCTGTCAAACATTTGTGATCTAGAAATCAATAATTTTTATTTTTATTTTTTAATTTCCAGGCTTGTTTTATTTTGACTAAGCCTATTGGCCATAAATGAGTACAGCAGTTCTGTCATGATTGTAGCTGTCTTTGCTTCAAAGTCTCAGGGCCAGTATCTTGAAGGGTTCGGCCCAAATCAAACCTCTGAAGAAAACGTGTTCTTCCCCTATTTTGTGAACCCAGCAACCTGCTGTCAAAGCCACACAGACGAGTTCAACTCAGTGCCTTACATCCACTCCATCCACAGCAAAGCCCAGTACCCACAACAAAGAGCCCGGCCATGCAGAAGAGCCCCCTGGGTATGTGAACCTAGACAGAGAATTGTCAGAGAAAACAATCTAATTGTGTATGTTCCCAGTGAACCAATTCATGTGATTGTTCCCTTTTTAATGTGTTTGGCTGTATTTTATTTACAGAGACAAAGAGCAAAATATGCCTGAAAGATGGAGGATTATAGTTGATGAAGGACTGATGAAGATTAAGTCGTTTCCACATTTCTTTCATGGAGATTACTGTGTGCCACAGGTAACTGGTCGGAAGATTTTTCAATACTTAATAATACAAAGGGAGTACATTTTAAGTATGAGCTGTGATTTCATAACACTGATTTGGCATGAAGAAGTAGAAGCATTTTGTTGTGAGCTGTTACTATGAGCCCCATAAAATGATCACTTTCATTATGTGCGCACAATTTATTTTACTTGCTCATGGTAAATATTGTGTACACACCAGACACTAAGGGTAGTCACATTTTCACCTCGGGATTATCACGGCCAAAAAACTCTGGTGTTGGTTATTGCAATAGCCTTCATACAAATGATGGAATTGATCACCCTTGCAGCACTTTAGGGGCTCTGTATTTGATTTGTTTTAGTTGATTATCAATAATTTTTGTTTAATCTTTATATTCATTTGTGTAATTCTTTACATGCACCAGAGGGACCTTCAGTGGGCTCCAGATGACAGTTTAAGTGTGAGTTGTCTTGTTGATTTGAAACTTCATCTAATTATGCAGTTTAAGCTGATTTCTTTTTTAGATTTATAATCCACACATCATCAGTGTGGAGTATTTTAATCAAATATGTGTTTGTAATTTCCACAGGCAGAGTACAAAGATCCTGAAAAGGTTATAAAGGTTAGTTTCAATAGATTTTAATGGACTTCATTGAACAACAGTTAGAGACTATTACCATCATTCTTTGAATGTCTTCATGATGTGCTGTGATAATATCAGGTGACAGAGCCGTGGCAGTGGCTTGGTCTGGATGTCAGAGGACCCTTACCTGAAACTCTGAATGGACACAGATACATGTTGACTTTGACAGACTACTTTTCTAAGTGGGTAGAAGCTCTGCCTATGGATGCTTTGCTCCCTGAACATGTGGCAAAGCATATAGTGGACATCATCGACCACTTTGGATTCCCGCTCAGGATCCTCTCCAGACTACCGTGTGACATGGTCCAAAAAGTGAGTGAACTGATGATTGAAGTGGTTGCATTTCTGTTGGAAAGTTAAGCCCTCTTTATGACCTGTTTTGGACTAATTAATCCAAGTCATATTATTCATTTCACACCTTCTGTTAAATGTGAAGGTTTCTGAAGGACCAACTAGATCACTCATGACTCAAAGTCTGATTTTGGAGGTTTGGGAAAGGCACCCAAAAGACACTCATGTGACCTTAAAGAAAGTCCAAGATGATGTTTTAGTTCTCAGAATGAGGTGAAGAAATAGGAACTGTATGTAAGAAATGTTACAGTTTGATGAATTTTAATTTTACTCCACTCACTGCAAAGACACACAGTTTTTGTACTACTGAGTGTTGGTTGACATGTTGTATCCTCATCAGCAGATGTCTCACTTGGATCATCTCTCCTCATTTTAGATTAACAAAGAACTGAAAGAGCACCTTAAGGTCACCATTTCACTTGTTGTCCATCATCGGCAGACGGGCTCCGCAGATCTGACCACAGAGCAGCTGATTGACAGGTCTGTACATGCACAGTTTGAAGAATCGTCTACAGCTCATTTTCAGAGTCATATGCAACATTTTTCATTCACATTATACTGTGCAAAATGTGTGCTCAAAGAAATTGGCAATTACCCTTTCATTTGGCTGTGATGTTCCAGAAATTGAGCCACTTCCTGGGATGATTTTTAATAAAGGTAGGGAGATTAAGAATAAGAATAAGAAGAGCTTTATTAATCCCTGAAGGAAAATTCAATTGTCTGTTGTCTCACATAATATGTCTCTAAAAATTGATCTATTATTTATTACTATTTATTATTTACACAAGAAAGAGTAGTTATGAAACCTAACCCATTTTGTGGTAGTCTCAATATTTATGCTCTGCTGATAAATGATAACCTACCAAATGGCTCTGAATGTTCCCTCAGGGCCTGGTTGCGAAGCCTAGACCTGAATCTAGGCTTCAAAGCTGGAAAAAGAAACTAATTTAAGCTGTATCACTATGGCAAATGGCAAAATCACACACAATTCATTTCTAAATGCCTTTATCGGACCTTCACTGATGCATATCTCAGCAGAAAAAATGTGACAAGAACAAATCAAGATATTTGATCAATCTGTTACAATAGATCACCTGCAATTAAAAAAACAAACAAACATGTCTTTATGTTTCAACCTGTCCCCTTCTTCAAAAGGATGGTCAGTGATCTAGTGGAGGAGCACTCACCTGACTGGGATGTCTACCTGCCTGCCAAAGTTTTCAGTCTGTGCTTCACAGAGAATTCTCAGACAAAGGAGAGACCCTTTTCAGTGCTCTGCTGTAAGGAACAAGAACCAGTCAAATCTCCCCGAGGACTGGATGTAAGTGGAGTTATTGAACATCTCAGCCTGGCTTCATAAAATCCTTTATGTTGACTCTGAAGATCTTGACATTTCATTTCACAGTGCACAGATTCCAAGATCCAAGAGAGCACCTTTGTGGTGAGATAGAGTGAGTTTGGTATTTTTTCGTTTTAAGTGGAAAAAAAGGCAACATTTCAAGTATTTTACAGACTGCATTGTGCAACTCACTCAGTGTACTTAATTTTCAGCTCAACTGATGTGGAAATCAGTCACTTTGGTTTTGACATGGAGTATAGACAAGTATTGGATTTTCACTGTACATCATGTCCATGGTGAGAACCAGGTGCCAAGTGTACCAGCAGGGCAAAAATAAAGTTGTCTGCACTCCTCCTGACAGACTAAGCTACAACCAACTCTTGGACTCCAACTTACTCAGCCCAACCCAGTTGTAGCAGCACCCTTCTAACATGGACACAAAATTTACACGATCATGCAGCTGGAGAACTCAACCCTGGGAGGACCAGCATGAGAGCATTTTTGACACAACACATAACAAAAGACACCCCTAAGCCTTCTCCTCTTCTTGGGACTCATGTCATTTTCAACCTGTAAATTAAACGCAGATCTTCACTTATACCCATTTTTTCAGATCAGTAAATTTTTTTTTTCCTTTTTGTTATCTTGTTTATCTCAGCAACATTTAACTTTGTTCAAATGATGAAAAGCAAAGCTGAAGAGGATTGCTAGGATTGAAAAAGGAAGTCATTTTTGGTTGAACAATTTGAGCATAAAGATACAACTTTTTTTTGTTGACATGAAGGTTCAGTTGTATTTCCTTTCTAACCTCCTGTTGTCCTAAACTGGTCGATTCTCCAAAGCATTTTAGCAGGAAAAAATGTTGTTTTTTATGCCCATGTCATGTAAAATATGTCAATAAACATGAATTTTGATACAAACACATTTGATTACATTTGCATTATGCAGTAATAGAAAAAAACTCCTCTTACAGAAGACAAATGTAAATAGATATCTGTTATCTCTATGCATGGTGTGAGCACCCTTAACCATGCTCTCATGAGTAGGTACCAGTGATTGTTCAGTATTCATGACATCTGCAAATAGAAGAAAATCTCTGGCTGTTTCTTAGTTGTGTCTACACTGCTCTAACAATTTCTGTCTTGCTTAAACAAGTGAGAGCTTCTGTGAGGGATTTTCAGTTTGTGTTATTTTGGTACCCCTTGTGGACAAAGCAGTTCCTTACACCTCTTGGAAGACTTGGTCTACTAGTGCATGTGTAAGTGGCTGATTTAGCAGAATGCAGTATACCTCTTTGTTTGGCACCTACTCTGTCACAGGGATTTCAGCTGCAAAACCCAAATATGTTGGTGATGATCTGGCTTGATTTTTGTAGCCCACAAAGAGTCTGTTTTATTACCAGTTAAAAACTACTCAATGGAGCACAACTCTCTTCAACAGTTGAAAGCCACACCTGAGTACAGGAGGACAGGCTAAATGGTCAGTTTCTAATGTTGTGCCCCGAACAAAGAAAGCTGTTCTTCTTTCAGTGTTACTTTTGGAAGCACTGTACTTGCCACATTGTCCTGACAGTCAAAAAACGTGTGGCTGATGGTTTGAGGTGTATGTCACAGCTGTCGTCAGTCCATTTGTCCCACTCACTCAGAGGAGGAACTAAGTCCTCCCACATAAACGAATTCCAAATAAACAGCTGTTTATTTTATCAAGAAGGGAGGTAACACAAGGCTCTCTCCAGAGAACAAATAAGATGGCCACCACAATAACAACCAAAACTTGTGTTTGTTTTAAGATACTTATTTGATTGGGCTGTTTTAAATTGAGGATAGTGGCATAGTTTTCTCAGTTTTGAAACTGCTTTTAAAGATATGAGGGAAAGACAAAGAAAGTTTTAAACTTCATCCTACACCCTTTTGGACACATACTGCTTGCATGTATGAAATATGTTCGCAAACTTTTATTTGCGTTTGCAATTTGTGCATATATGTATTTTGTTTTCAATATGTTTGAATAAAGAAATAACCAGTAGAACTGAAAGGGTGAATACAATTTAAAGTGATCTTAACAGTTGGAGTAAAAGTTTTACCAAAAGATGGCACTACTGCCTCTCTGTTCAAACTCTGCCTTAAGAGAAAATGAATAAGTAGAAGTTTTTCTCAAGTAAAGATTAAGTGGAAAAACGGAAAATGTAGTAGGGCTTTTTCAATGTTCCTTGGAGATACAAGTATAGAAAGTAGGCTTTATTTAGTTTTTATTTTATTTTTTGGTATCAGACAACAACGTGAAGAACAGCCCTAGTGTGCTATCCAGTACTTCCAATCATTGGTTGCGATTCGCCAATAGAATGACAGGAGGAGAGCGTCCCGGTGCTGCCACCTACTGGTGTATTTTGGAGCTGCAGCTGTGGCTCTTGGTGCTGCTGTGCTCTCAGTTGTCGCTGTGCAGTGGAGGCGTTTTTTTCTGTGTGCTAACAACCGCAAGAAATGGTGAGTGAGGAAAACAGATAGAGCTGAAAAAGTAACGGCCTGTTGACTGACCAGATCTGTATTCAGTTTGTCTCTCAGTTCCTCTCGGAGTGTCTGAATGTGAGCTGACTGCAGCTGAAAGCAGTTTGTCGCAGAAACGAACATCTAAAAGCATGTCTTTGTTTAGCTAACCTATTGCTATCGTGTGTTAGCCTCGAAACGCTGGTTAACGTCAATAGACTCGGAAACGATTTCTTGACTTAGAGTTACTTTACCATCATAAGAGGCATATGTTGTCACGGGAGAATCCAGAGGAAAGGGGCAGATAAATTAACATTGATCTGGATTGGTGACAACTCAACCTAGGAAACTTTGTTTTTGATCAAATGGTGGGGTAGCCGTGAAGGAGCTAACTAGCTAAAGTTGCCTGTGGATGCGTCGGCTCGGCTAGCGCTTCAATTTGGGACAAAACTTGGGAGACATTGACGGGTAAACGCCACAATTTTAGCGTGTGGTTAATTCACATTCCAGTATTTGTCGTAAACGTCCATATGCCGCTTAGTGAGCTGACATTTCGTTTGAGGCAGCCTAAGAACTGTTAGCGTCATTGCGAGTTAAGCTAGCTGATCATGACGCTGCCCCGCAGCTGCCGCACTGAGGCTCTTTAAAGTCCGGGTGGAGGGACAGCTGTGAGCTAATAGACCAGCTTTCTTATCCTTTTACCTGCTGGACTTGTTTAACCTAAAACCATTGCCGGCTCCAATAACACTGCTGACACACAGCTGAGCCCTGTCACACCGTCATCCTTCATGGTTACATCCTTCTGTATCATGAGTCAAGTCTTTGCTCAGAAATACGTGTCTCTTAATATTAACGTGTTGTTGTGGGTGTTATACCATTTATGGTTTTTTTCTTTACATAAGTTAACCCCCCCAGTAGCTGGAAAGTGACAAAACGTACTTAAGCGATGCTGACATGTAGTTACTGTAAGTCTTGTTTTTGCTCAAGTCCTCTTTTTTTCTGTACAGCTCATGTTTTCTATGATTGGCACTTGATACATTCTGTGGGCATATGAAGATTGCATAGCTCACCCGGGGGATACGTTTTTTTAGCTTAGTGCCATCACAGCAACACTCGGCGACTCTCCCGTCAAATGCGTACAATGCTACTGCGCAAGTGGTGGAGTGTGTACAATGCTATTTCGCAATGTTGGTTTCAGGAAATGAAGAAAAAATCGCAGAAATACTGAGAGCTTTTTGGTTTCAAATCCGTATTGTGGCGGAAGGTGGAACCAAGTTGTCCATAGTGTATACAGTCTATGGTGAAACATCATAAATGATATATTGAACATAAAATGTCCCCCAATGAGAGCAGCCCTGTTAGACTTACCTGACTAACTTTTACTTTTCTCCTTTCACCTGATCTCACCTAGGATGTGTTTCTAATGATCAGACGTCATAAGACGACCATCTTTACTGATGCCAAAGAGTCTACCACAGTCTACGAACTGAAGCGCATTGTGGAAGGTATTTTAAAGAGGCCACCAGAAGATCAGAGGCTTTATAAGGTAATTCAGATGGAAACATTGCTCAGGTTTTATCTTCTCTGTATGTGTTACCCCAACAACTTTACAATTTTAAGTGTAATAACGTGACAACAAGGTTATGGAACATATAGAATAAATACACGTTTGAGAATTCAAGCACCAAATTTAAATTTGTGTTGAAGCACATGGAAATTAAGGGTTAGAGTGGTGGGCATGAAGCATGGATTAAAGTTTACTTCAGCAAGTAGTCAGTTATTAGTTAAATAATTCAGCAAGAGTTTTGGATCCTTACACAGATTAAGATGAGCAAGTCAAAGGCATCATGACATATTTATATCAGAATTCTAATTTGGCATTTTATTTGATGTTTTATCCACCAAATGATTTACCAAAAGTAGTCAGTTTTTTAACCAATACTGAATATAATGGAATTCAAATCAATAAGAGAGGCCACATTATAGCATTATTGCATTTCAATTTATGTGATTTAATCTGGTTGAGTTGAATGTTCACTTTATTGATAAACTAAACAAACAGACCTTGCTGATTGTTTCATCTATGACACATTTGTTTTAATTGATGTAGCAACAAAAAAATCACAAAATCTATAGAGGATCTGATCCATGTCTACATCCCTTGCAGATTGTTGAAAACAGTTGAACAATTTTGAGTTATTTCTAATCGACAATGTACATGTAATGGATGAACAGCTGACCTTGCCTTATCTTCGCATTTACTCATCTTAACTTAATGTTTTTGTTTTTTTCATATATCTTCATCAGGATGACGTGATGCTCAATGATCAACAAACTCTTGGAAATTGTGGTTTCACAAATCAAACAGCTCGACCTCAGGCCCCAGCCACAGTGGGATTAGCTTTCCGTTTGAGTGGTAGGTACTCCAGTCTTAATCCATCTGCATATCAGACATTTATCTTTTGGTTAAAATCAACCATGTTTGTTGAGCTTAATTAATTCTGATTTTCTTCAGTGATCTAACTTACTTTTGATTCATCATCACCTGTGTCTGTTGTGGCTTTCTCTCTCTGTCTCTCTCTCCGTTGTGTCCCAGATGATTCATTTGAGCAGCTGAGGATTGAGCCCTTCTCAACTCCCCCAGAACTTCCTGACGTCATGAAGCCCCAGGACTCAGGCAGCACAGCCAACGAACAGGCTGTTCAGTGAGGGAGGGGTCAGGGACAGCGGAGGGACACACAGGGGGTTCGAAGGGAGGATGCACGGGGGTGGGAGGGGTTGATTTTTTTGAGAAGTGATGCCTCAGCGCTTGAGTTTTACCTTGTGGACAACAGACCCTCAGCTGAGCATAAACAGTTACAAAGACAGATTCCCCTTGTTGTAAATTTGAGGGTGGATGTTTCAAAGTGGCTTCAAAGTTTGTCCTGAAATCAGTGAACGCATGCTAGATAAATCGATAATTTCACACAAGACCCTTCAGAGATACCTGATGGACTTGTCACGACACTGTCAGTCATCCATGGGATTGGTAAAGGCTGAACATAAAGAATTGTACCTCGTATTTAATTAATCCTAGTCTTTTGGGGGGGGTAAGGTTATGCTGCCTTACTTGTTTTTTTATTTTGCTGGCTTAAATGTGGGAGTTAAGAAGGTGTGACATTTTTAGGCTTTTATGTTTGTGTGTTACTTTATTAAACTATTGCTAGGATTTAACATGTTTTTGGTCTTTGGCCTGAATATGTGTTGCAATGATAGCTAGGATTTCGTGAATTTCTAAGTTACTATCTGTGTTTCAAAAACTTTTGAACAATATGAATCTGATAATAAAAGAAGATTCAAATGTTGGCAGAAGATCCGGCATTAAGATGAGCATTTCTTGATATTTTACTTATAAGTAGTTGTAGTTTTCATACTGTAGTCACCCACAGATGTTTTTGAGACTGAATGTGCTCAGTCGTGGGTATCTACAAAACAATGTGTGGACCTGGTGTTCAAATAAAGTGATCCACAGGTGTAAATCAGCAATCAAAATAAATTGATAACATAGAAAATATTTTATTTTCATTATTATTATTATTTTTACCTTACGGCTAAAAAAGGCAGGGACTAAGCAACCTGCCTCTCCAGTGTTGGATTGTAGCCCATGATATCTTGGAGGTGCTGAAGTGTAGTAAACCTTAAATCATTTTAGGTGAAATAAGTAGTTTGTCATGTGATGAGTTGTTTTTGTTTGTCTGTGTGAGTGCTGGGCTACACATTTGACTTTCCACGGTCCCTCAATCATTGCTCTTTTAGGTTTTCTTCATCAAGCAGCTGTGTTGTATTATACACCATGAATACCTTAATGCACATTGTTTTCCTAAAACTTATGCTTGATCAAAAGAAAACTCTTTCCCACATTAAAATATCCAATTCTATAACACCTGTTCTCACTGTCAGGAAAACTATGATTTAAACAGAAAACCCTTTTAATAATTACAAAGTATATCCTGACCTGGAGGTGTTGAGTGAGAAAGTTGACATAAATGCATTAAATATTGAGGCTGTTAAACAGTGGGACATGATCAAAGTTGCACTTGTAACTGATTTAACATTAAAACAACTGTTTTTCACCTGTGTCTACTGTGGTGTTTTGTATGTCTTCTTGCTTTTGTTTTTAGCAGTAATTTATTTAGAGTATTTCTGCACATGCACTGTTAATCTGGAACACACTTTGTTTTGTAGGCAGCTTACACCTCATATGGTATTTACTGAGTCACCGTCGTGTACCGTAACTGATGGTAGTACAGAGGGTAATATGGGTTTGAGAAGAGTGGTCCATACCTTGAGTGGCAGATGTGGAAGGAAGCAATGACTAATGCATTTCAGTAAGCTCCGTTCAGTATAAAGTTTGTAATGCGTCATTCACAGTATTGAAGGATTCAAATCAATTTCCAGCTTAATTTTTGTGAGGATATTCGTAGCTATTGTATCAAAGTCAGATTCAATGTCCATCTTATAATACTTAAAATACCATTTTTAAGTAACTTACTGGATCAGTCTTTCACCTAAGGGAGTGTATGGTTGGATCTTATTTTAATACATTGATACGCATTAAGTTCAGAAAGTTGTGGTCGATGTTCCGATCTTCACCACTGCACGTGAACGCAGCATATATCAGTTAGCAGCCGGTTAGCTTAAAGTCTCCCGGCGGTAACTCATGATGCTTTTCCAGGAAGCTACCTATAGCTGGAACTGCCTGACTCGTGCGTGAAGACATATAAACCTTACTTTCTGAAGACCTAAACGAAAAAAAATGGATATGAGTGAGTATATAGTTTCGGCGGGTCGAGCCGTGCTAGACATCGTGGAGCGTGAGTGGCAGCCTCTGTCCGCGGGCGAGCTGGAGCAGCGGCTAGATCAGGCGGTGGAGGAGATCCTGGAGGCTGACCTGATAGCAAAGGTGAAAACGCAGCCTTCTCCTACTTTATATGTGCAGATACTACAGAGTGAGGCTAATGTGCAGCCACAGGTCTTACAGACGACAGTATGCAGTCCTCAAGAGGAAGATGAGACGCAGGAGCCCCGGGAGACTTTGCATAGTTCTGACAGTGCTGCAGTCCAGGTAACAGACTGTACACCAAAGATACGGTTGTTGCAATTGTTATTGATATTTCCAAGTGTTTTCTTAGTAATGAAAGAACTCGAGTTAAAACATGTGACAATACTCATTACATTTCCACCCTATCATATTGAAAATTAACACCTCCACTCTCTTGAACCACTTTAGATGAAGGGCATATTTGTTTGTTTTTATATTGTCCCTCTGACAGCTTCTGAGCAGATTTACATGATTAATAGTTCAACAAAGTTTTCACGTATTTCAGGGTGCTGTCTTTGAAAACCCTCATTTCAACCTCTTTCTGAGACACCCCAGCATTCCAGAGCCCTGCATTCTGGAATCCTCCTTCACTGTTGCCATGTAACAGTTTTTTTTCCTTTTTATAAACTGTCAAATTTTCCCTTTGGAGGAGATTCACTGTCTGGTGATGTCTCGATGTGAGCAAATCCCTATAGTCCCATCTGAGGATTACTTCAACACACATTAACCTTGCAGTGTGAAACTTTGCTTATGTGTAGAACTGATGTCCAACATTTAACTCTATATTTGTTTTCAAAATATGAAAAAAAAAACAACAACACAAAACCGCATCTATAAAAAATTTTTCAGTCACTAAGCAGACTCTTTAATTTTTTGCCTATATGGCATGGTGCTGTTGTTATCTATGTCATTTTGACTCAGAAAGACTTGCTGAAAATACAAACTAACAACTTGTTTTGACAATTTTCTCATATTTGCCTCATCAGCACATCGCAGACTTGCTTCAGAGCTCCAAATCCAATGCCCGAATGGCAGGACGGGCTTCTTTATCCCTGTCCCAGACCATCATGCTGTCCCTCACTCTGCTGTCAGAGCGCATCAGTTACCGCTCTGTTTCTCACCGTTTCCACCTGGAGAAAGGAAACATCCACAGGATCTTCTTTTCCTTCTGTGAGCGAATCAATGTGCTGGAGGAAATGCTCATTAGATGGCCAAGTGGTGGGTTGCCTGCAATGTTTGTGGTCGATTTTGTTGGACTCATTTGTGTTTCAAAGTTAGTGTTTTTAATGAATTAAAGGAGAAACATTTTCTGTTTTCTACAGGCCAGGGGGCAGAAGAGGCCCTTTTCCCACTGTACAGTCCAGTGAAGGAGGAGGACGAAGACATCCCCATGGTCCTGGGAATATTGGGACATACCTGCATACCCATACGCCTGCCAATTGTGAAACGTGACATGGAGAGCACAGTGCCTGAGATGAAAAGGATCAAGATGGAGGCCCATGCTGACTCCTGGCTAAACCTTGAGTTAGTATGTGATTACAGTGGTCGATTTTTACACTGCAGAATCAGTAAAGGATCAGAGGTGGACAGAGGCAGAACTCTGAGAGACAAACTAAAACAAAATCCTGAACTCTTACCCTCTGGTTCCTGCCTTGTTGCCAGAGCTGGGTACCCACTTTCAGCTCAGATTTTAACTCCATACTCAGGAAATCTCAGACCAAGAGAAGAGCTCTTCAACAAGACACTAGAAGGACATTTCCACATCCTGGATCAGGCTGTTGCCAGTCTCAAAGCTAGATTTCAAAGGCTGCAGTATCTGGATATTGGAAACTATGAACGAGCCAGGACTGTTGTGTTGACCGCCTGCGTGTTGCATAATGTGTTTTTGGACATGGGACAGGTGGTTCAAGGAGAAGTTAAGAAAGAGGAATCTTTATCTGGCGAAGGAGAGGGAGAGGTAGATGAGGATGGTGTGCAGAGACGTGAAACCTTCACAGAATTGTTGTTGAAAAAATGTGATTCTGGAGGTACGTAAAGTGTTCAAACCTTTAAGAAAACTGTGTTCATGGATGTAAATGACGGGTTTTCAAATAAATCCTGTATTTTCTACCTCCATGTCTACCTTTATACATACAGTAACAGTACAATTGGATTTAAAACTTTTTTTTTTTTTTTATCAGGTGTACAGCAAATACTGATTTAGACTTGATACACACTCACACAATAGTTGATCAGAAACCACTGAATCAATGTTCAGGGTAACTTTTCATCAAACAAAAGTTCCTGTCACACTGTCTGTATTAACAGCATACAAGTAAAAAAAATACAAAAAACATTCACGGTGTATAATCAGGGTAATGGGAATGATTTGCCAGGAAGGGGGAAAAAGAAAATCAAGAGAGGAAGAAATGTGATCTTTCTGATTTTAGTTAGATAACTACTTTTGTTTTGAAGACATGTCCAGAACTCTACATGAAGCCAGAGTAAACTTGAAAATAGTTGTACCTCAATACATTTACAAATCACCACTGATGTTATATACATAACGCTCATCACAGTGGCCACAAGCACAATTCTAGACGTGACCCTTTGCTGCAGGTCTTCCCCCAATCTATACTCCCCACATTTCCAGCCTCTTTGCCCCTGGTATATTAAATAAAGGCAAAATTCCCTAAAGTATAACCTCAACACCTCCATTGTCTCCCTGTTCCCTAACACATTCAGTTTAAAGTCCTTCTCCTCACCTCTACAGTCCTGCATACTCAGGCCCCCCTCCTACCTTATGGACCTGTTCCATCCCCAACATCCCTTCTCACATCCTCCAAATCTCAGACTCTAGGCCTTCACACCCCTGCTCTGAGGACCAAACACTGACCCTGGGGGGACCAGGCTTTCTCCATAGCTGCCCCCTCCCTTTGGAACCCTCTCCTAAAACACATCCAAGACTCAACTGATATTCAAGTTCAAATCCCTCATCAAAGCCCACCTGTTCAAATCTGCTTTGAATTGTTGATGCAGCTGTTTAGCCTGTCTTTTGATCTGTTTTTACTCTCTATCTAATGTGTTTTTATCCTTTTTACTGCCTTTTATGGTGTCTTTGAGAGCAATGAAAAATTCTATATAAATAAAATTTGATATTTTTTTTATCTTAAAACAAAAACATCTAAGATGTATATATTTACTCAGGGGTTACAATATTCCTAAATGTAATCATTATGCAGAACTGTTGACATGGTTAAATCTCTTATATCATGTGGCAATTTCAACTGTAAAACTTCAAATCTAGGTTTAGTCCCAGAAGTGAGAGTTGGATTTCCAGCCTCCACCCCTGGCTTTATCTACTATTCTCTCTTTTATCTCACCTGGTCAAATACAGACCAAAAAAATTAGATGATATCCTTAAAAAGTAAGTATAATTTTTGTGAGTGTATTGTTTTAACTGTAAGGTGTTAGGTTTTATTATGACCTCTTTTCTAATGATCACAGTGATGCCGTTAGCCTTTGTCTTAGCCATTTTAATTGTTTCTGTCTTGTCATTATGCTGCCTACATATAAAATAAATCTACAATGGAAAAGGTTATGGACATATCAGTACAGTGAAAAAAAGGTGTTTGTTATAATCAGCAGAAATTAAAGATGAATACATCCACTGGGGCGTCAACAGAAAAGCACAAGAACTATTTAACTTGCTATGAGTATAAACAAGAGTCACAATGGCCATGCATGATAATTTGCCAATTTGTACCCCAGTTTTCATATTTCCTGTTCCAGTGGTTTTAAATGATGTCCCAATTATATAGCTTCAAAGAACTAAGACAAGCCAAATAACTCTTGGAGGTATAACTGCAAATGTGTCACAATGTAACTAATCTACAAGTGTATAACAAATATGCTCAAGTCCTTTCACTTATACAACACTGTAAGAAAAGTCTTTGGTAAGAACAACTGTCAAACACTGAAGTTCAGAGTTACTTCATGTCTCTTGTTGTTTTTTAGTGTCCATCTTTTGATGTCTGTGTGCTGCTGTTCTTCTGAGCCAGACTGGAGATGGCCTGGGCCAAGTTGTTGATGGCCTCTATCTTCCTCTCCTCTAGGGCTTTCTGCTGGGCCCACATGTTCATCTTCCTCTCTTGCAGCTCCATATACAACTGTAGGACGTCCTGAGGAGGCCGGGGAGTGCAGGGGGCAGCTGTGGCAGGAGGTGTAGGGAGAATAGGGGTGAACCTTTTGCTTGCTAGGGCCTTGCCCACTCTGGTGCTGCTCAGTTTGGCCCTTCGCTGAGCTTCCATCTCATCCCTGCTCTTGCCCAGGACATCGTGCATGGCTTTGAAGAACTCCCAGTGGACACTGGTTGGCCCTAGTCTCTTGGCCCTCTCTGCATTCCTCCTGTACGTAGCTAGTATATTCCTCCACTTTAGATCACACTCGTATGCTTTCACAGAAACATCAGTAACATCAGACTCCCTTAGTTTTGCATTCACTTTCTCTGCCACCATCTCCCAGAGTTTCTTTTTCTTGCATACTGGCTGGTCAAAAGCTTGGTCCATTTCAAGTCTAGTGTTGACAAGGTGCCATGTTGCCTGCAGGGTCCATATTAATTCTACAAAAGAAAAACAGGTGTAACTATTGTAAAAATTCTTTGATAAATTTTACTTTCTAAATTCTAAATCTCCATCCCATTTTCATTATATTTTTTCAGACCCCACTTTTCTCATTGAAACTCAGCAGGATGTTATTTACTCGACAACAAATGAATTTTAATACCACAATCACTGCAGTGGCTACGCAAACTCAAGGCCCTCCCACAGACCATATAAATCGGGCCCTCCTCGCTTCATGCGATGACTGGTTAAAACCTGTTCCACTTCTGGCTGCGTGTACTAACCTGCTTTTGTTTTATCCGTGTCCACACTGGACACGACCGTTTCCTTTCCTTCTACGTCGGTACTTTGAATCACAATTGTCTCTATAACCTCCATTTTCTTACATTAAAATCTAAATTGTTGTTTTCATCCGCGATGTATCTATCGTGGAATTTAACAACCTTCCAGACGCAGCGATGCGGCTTCTCGCATCGAATAAAGCGATGACAATAACAACGTCACTAAGCAATATGGGAAGTGAAGTCCGCGCTGGTTGATTCACAAGGGTTTTTGAATTTTCTAGGGGCACTAGCCGCACTACAATCCACGAACAATGCGATACTTTGAACATAAGATGCATTTTTTGTTGTTATTGGAAATATAATCTATTCCAAATGAGGGAATTTGGTAGCATATGTGACATCAGCGAAAGTCAAACTACAATTCCCAGAATTCATGTAAACGCCCCGCCTCTTCACTCTCTGCTCCCGCCCTAGTTCGCCCCTGTTTTGTTGTTTGGCTAAAGATGGCGTTAGCGGCTAACACAGGCGATTGCATTTTGTTTCACCAAAAATATTCGACAAGTGGTAACAAAACATGGACCAAAAAGAGCTTTAATTCGTCTCTCACTGTGTAAAAGTAGGTTTTATAGGGAATACGGCACCTCATTTATGTATTATTACGCCTCTGTGGCCTTCGCACGATGTAGGCCTGTTTTTGAAGGGAGTGGACCGGAGCTGTTGGAACTCCATCTCCCATCGGCAATTGCGGCGTCAGGTGGTGCGACTTTTCCTTCCCACGGTATCTGTAGTTTGTGACGTTAATGCTTGTTGAGAACTCAGAGGTACATGTTTAAGAAAAAACAAACTTTACACGTTGAGTGTTATTTTAAAATATTAGAACGGCATGTAACTGTTTTTTCTGAATGCATTTAGTAATTTCTGACAATGTGCATGATGTTTGCCTAGGGTGAGAGACAAAACTTGGATGATTGAACCAGCACCTGCAAGGCAGAAGGACCATGGCTGTATCACCTGTTCAGGGTGACTGGAAACAATCTCGAGTACCCCCCAAAGAAGGCCATTCAACTTCTACGGAGTCTTCTTTGACCTGGTGCTTGGAGCACCTCCCTAAACCCAAATCAGGGTCTGAACTTCAGGGACATGGAAAGTCTGACTCAGGTGGTGGCAGAGACTTTGAAAAAAGGTCCAGAGTCTCTCAGTGGCGAGCCCTGGTTGCTATCAGGACACAGCACATCAAAGGTGATAAGACTGGCATTGCCAAATTTAGAACTCAAGGTGGTCTACCACCCCTGCTGGACCTTCTTAAAGATCCAGAGTGCTCTAAGAAAATGTTGGACCTGGCCCTGAGCATTCTGGCAAACTGCTGCACTGAGTTGGAGACGCGTGTAGAGGTGAGGAAAAAAAGAATTTTCAGAAACCAGCAAAGACTATTTTTATAAAATCACCCAGTATGCATGCTTACATTACAAATGTCTTCCACCAATAGGTCAGAAAGTTGGATGGAATAAGTATCATAGGTGAGTAGAAGTTCACATATTTGATTCGATTTTATTCATTTAATGACAACATTGGTACTGTCATAGCTGATGGTGAATAATCTCTGTTAAAAATACGTCTGTTTCAGTGGAGATCCTGAAGAGAAATGTGGCACTCGTGACTGTCCAGAATCGAGCTGCCCGGGCTTTGGGAAACTTGGCCATGGATCCAGAGAGCTCTGCACTCATCCACTCAGCTGGTAAGTCTGAAATACAAGCCTGTCTCCCTGCATCATTTTTGTGTTTGTTGACAGAGCTGAAGCTGGTTTTAGTGGTACTGTTAAAGTAGAAGCAGAGCCTGTCTGGTAATAAATGAAGTTGTATCATATTGAGGGACATAGTCATCTGTTGGACATTGTACAGTTTCTACATTTATAAGCTGTTTTAAGGCAACTGGTCCCTTTTCATAAAAAAGCGACATCTACAGCTACCAGGTATGTTCCATAAAGCCGCAATCTGGTATGAAACATGTCATTTTTTCTTCCTCTTGTTATGCAGGTGGGGTTCCTCTCCTCCTCCTTTGTGTGTCTTTGACTTCTGGCCCTTCATCCCCCACAACTGCTTCCCCCAAAGACCCCTGTCCTAAACTGGAGTGTGCTCAGTCAGCTGCCCGAGCTCTCCTCTACCTCTCAGATACACACTCTAACCGCCTGTCACTGCTCACCCAAGGGACCTTATCTTCACTCGCCCCTCTCATTGCACCAGAATACCCCCAAGGGCTGAGGCGGGCGGCACTCAGGACCCTCCATGAGTTGACACGAGGCTGTGGTGTTGAATGTGCCAGGGAGGTGTCCCGCTCTGGAGTCCTCGCTCAGCTTGGCGTCATGGCCTCAGGGGAGTCTGGCAAACCTTTTGAGGAGCTGGCACTGAAAACCCTGGCCAACTTGTGTTCACAAGGCTCCTTGCGGCCTCTTGTGGGGTCTCTTGGGGTCATTCAGAAGTTTACAGAAGAGGTCAAAAGAGACCCACTGAAGTCTGGAGTTTTCTTCAAGGCGCTGTGCTTATGCTGCAAAGAGGCGGTTAACCGTGCCAAGGTGAAGGAGAGCGGAGGACTGGAGGTGCTGATCAGCTTCCTGGCTGCCCATCAGAGTCATCCCCTCTCCAAACTCGCCATCCTGGCCTGTGTGGACTTTGTTTTTGATGAATCTGCGATGGAACAGCTGCAAGAGTTAGGGCTTGCCCCTCTGCTAGTTGCACGGTTAGTTGAGCTCAGCAGAGGAGAGGAACAATCTGTGGAGAAGATGGATGTTAACCTCTCCTCCAGCATGTCCCCAACTGAACTTCTGCCCTCATCATGTTTGGACTCTTTTGACTTTCCTCCTCCCGAGGGCTACAAGAAGGAAGAAGCTGCTAAAGAGCAAGGTCTATGGTCATCAAGCTTTTTAAGTCTCAGATCCTGGTTAATGTCTGAGGGATTGATCTCCTCAGAGGGGGATCTGCTTGACTCTTCTGGTGTTGAGGGGGAATGGGGGGGTCTTCAGATCTCTGCATCTTCATCCCCTCAAACCTCCTCTCCAAATCCTGATCCCTTTTCCTCTCTTAAAAACTCCTCCTCATCCAGTCCTTCTGCCCCCTCTGTTTCTAAAAAAGTGGCATGTTCATCCAAACCCCCTCCTTTAAGTCCTCAACCTACCAGTTCACCAGCACCACATACACAGCCCACTTCTTCCACCAACTCCACTCCCTCTAGAACAACTCAAACACCAGTTTCTCCGTCAAAGTTCTCCTCCCCTAACAGGAGGAGGCAGCGTGCTCAGTCTACAACAGGTTTGACCAAGTTCAACTTGGACACCCCTCCTTCTGTGTCCCGCCCCGTAGCTTTCCACCACCCCTACCACCCTGAACCCTGGACCCCAGAGTCCCCTATCTTTCTGCTGCTCTCCCGCTTCTCCCATGCCACCGACCCAAGTGCTGCTCTGATAAACTCGGGTGTTATGTCTGGCTTGCTGTACTACCTCACCTGTCATCAGGACCCCAGCAACAGGTGCCTCCGGATGCTCTGTCGCCTGAGCTGCAACCCAAACTGTTTGCAGGCACTGGTCCGGACAGGCTCAGTTGCACTTATCCATCACCATCTCTGCCAGAGAGAGGAGGGATTAGAGGGAGAGGAGAGGCAGACGAGCCGAGTGAAAGCCAAAGTCAGACAGCTGGGTAAGATGCAGAGCTCAGCTGATTGGTGATTTCCTTCTGTATTTGTTAGATAAAGAAGTTAAAGGTTATTTGATGCATAAACCTAGTTACTCGGTAAGTGAAGCTGTGCAAACACAACCTACAGGTGCATATGGACTCCTGTAAATATGGATAAGTCATTAAAAGTAGTATTTTCTCTATTCTTGGTTCAATATTTTACCTTAATCTCTCTGATTATGTGTATATGTCACTTTTCAGCCCTGATTTTGCCACTCAATTCTTTTTTACTGGAAAGCAAACACTTACCACTTCAAAGTTGAACACAGTATTGGATATTTTTCGTTTTTGTTAAGTTTATAAACCTCCACCTTCTGTCTCTGCAGGTGTAGCTCTTCTGAATAATCTGCGTGTCCAGTGCGAATCTGGATTTGGGTCTGGGGTTCTTGCCCATGTGATGTTGTCTGGCTCTGAGTCTGACAAGATGAACTGTGCACTGTCTCTACCATTAATCAGCAGGTGAGTGTAACATCTATATAGAAGTGACTTGGTGAGAATACACAGGTGTAATGCCTTCACTTTTCTGTCACTGTATTTTAGTGTGAGTGATCTGAGGAGAGAAAAAAAACATGGTGTCTCTTTCTTTGCTGAAATATAAAAAAATCACACATCATTTCCCTGTTTAATATTTTTTTTAATTTTTTTTACCAACAGCAATAAATCCCTGTTGAAGAAGCTTCTTCTGGACAGCGGTGGGCTGCTCTTGGCTCTGCAGCCACTTGGTTGTGATGAAAATGATGTGGAGGAAGACCACCCAGCTGAATATGGCAAGGTGCCCTCTGATTGGTTTAATTCACCACATTCTCAGCCTCCCTCTTTTTACTTTGCCCTCTTGATTGGATGTCTATCCACCCTGATGAGTGGCACCAAAATGGAGCTGAACAAAAAACACACAAGCAAAGTCATGTCTGTGAGTAATAATGACAGAGTTTCATCCCCTCCCTCAAAAAAGCCTCGCCTGGCTAACACTTGCCTGTACGGTGACTCAAACTTTGACCTCATCTTGCTGCTGGATGACGGGACTCAGGTCCCAGCCAGCAGGGAGGCCATAGCAGGGTCTGAGGGGACAGACGGGGTCGGCTCAGAATACTTCAGGGCTCTGTTGAGAGGAGGATTTGGAGAAGCTCAGGGAAGTACAAAAGATCCCATTTGCATTAAAGATGTCAGTGTAGGTATGCTGCTACCTGTGCTGCATTACCTGCATGGATGTCGCCTCTCTACAGACACAGAATCTACAACAGAACATGATGAGGAAAGGAAAGGACATTGTCAAATTTTGGACACATTAGCCCTTGAGGGTCTGGGGATCTGCCAAAAAGAAAGAAATAACCGTTCAGTTGAAGACTTCCCTTTCCAGAAAGCATCTCTCGGTGAGATGATGATTGGTGCATGCAGGTTTTTAGTGCCTGAGCTGCAGAGAGAGTTGGAGGATCTGTGTGTTTCTCTTCTTCTGTCCCATACCACCAGAGCTTCAAGTCGAGCTGCAGCAGCTTTCAAAGAGGAAAACACTGAAAAATCTGTATCCAAAATGGACCCAGTATGCCTTCAGTCTGCTGAGGAGAACTTGGCCAGTCAAACATCAGAGCTGGAGTTGAGTGGTTTTGAAGTGCACACTGAACTGCAAAAGAAACCAAACAGTTCACCACATCTGACAGATAATAAAACCTCTTTATCCAGAGACCATGAGAAAATCAAGAGTTTGTCTCCAGGTTCAGGGGTCTGTCCATCAGCTGCAGGCAGATCACCTGTTGAAGAAAAGTTAGGGTTGGAACCAAAGAACTTGATGAAAAGTCCAGCAGTTCAGGACTCTGTTTTCTCCTCATCAGCTAGTACTGGAAGTGAAGCCCTGGCTGCCCTTCTCCCACAGCTGTACTGGTTTTCTCAGCGCTACAACTACCCAGCAGTGGCTCGGGCCTGCCTGTCTTTGCTGCTTGGCTGTCAGGACTGTCCACGGCCTTTCTCGTCCTCCTCCCTCGCAGGTGATTGCCTCCGCAGGCTTGCCAGAGAGGCTGACTGTACAGAAACCCTAAAACTGGATCTTGTACATCTGGCCACAGCAGTTCTGAGTTAAGAAGTCAGTGAATACCAAAAACACTGATTTGGTGTCTGCGCAGCAGCAGCACGATTACCTCAAAAAACAGGATGTATGAATTTCAACAGCAAAAGACTTACTTTTTTGCATAAACTGGAGGCAAAAATTTCTTTGAAGTTTTGATGTAATCTCATATAAACTGTAGCCGGTCCCAGCATGACTCAATGTATCACGTCATTCTGTCCAATCCATTTTTGAGTACACATGAATTGAATTTTCTTTTCCTAGTTAAGATAACTGAACAAATGTCTCCGATGCATTTGATAAATGCCATTAAACTTGGAGAAGTAGAGGGTTGGTCCTATAGCTGGTTGTTTATTTTGTACATAGAGATATTATGAATGAGCTGAAGCTGTGTATAGAAAGGCTCCAACTGTCTATATTCATTTATGTCACTGAATATATTGTTGGAAAACTATTTGGCTTCTGTTTTCTTTTTGAAATGTTGCGAGTTCACACTTCACAGTCAGCTACCTAATTGTGTGGCTTCGGGTACATGAGTTATTCATTGTTTTGTTTTCACAGCAAAGAGTAAATTTTGTCTATAATTTAAATTCTATGATAATAATAATAATAATAATAATAATAATTGAGGTTCAGATACAGTGAGATTTCCTATGTAGCAAATCCAAGATTTGCCCCCAGAGCCCCGCTATACAGACCAGGAGAAACAGAGAGGACAATCGCAGAGCGAGTGTGTGCGTAGTGGATTGAAATGCTCATAAGAAATCTGATTATGTTATTGGCCTTCATCATACCCCCAAAGACATTTGTGTCCGAGAGCTGAATAACTCCTATGTTACTTGCTACTTCTACTGCACCGGCAATGTTAAGCTACAAGCTAGCACGAAGAGGAGTGTTTAGAGCAGTGCTGTCTCCGGCCATGACTTAGAGGTGAAGTGCTAATGATCTACCGGAGCTAGGCAGAAGAAAAGACCTTAAAAATGACAAAGGTAACGTGACTTGGGCTAAAAACTTCATAATCACAATTAAAAGACCACTGAGAACAATTTGAGTAGAAAAAAAAACGATCGGAGTGGGACTTTAAAGTCTTAAATTTGTGATCTCCAAACAGTATTTTTTTTTGTCAGGACTTTTGATATTGATAACTACAGTTGGTGTTTTAACTTCTAAGTACTACAAGTTTTAAATTTCTCCTGCATTTTATCATCCCTGACTGAGAAGTTATCAGTCTAATATTAGTCAAAAGTTATGTTTGGACTTCAGTGCCATGCCATATAAAAAAGCCACTTTTTCTGTATTAATAAGCCTTTGCTTCTGGACATCTGGACATCAAGCACACAAGCATGGAAAACTACAAAAACAAGCCTAACTGGTTCTGTTTGCTCAATACAAAGGCATAAAGAGCTTCTAAAAAAAAAGACTTTCTACCGAGGGAAAGGTTTGTCAGACCTAAAGGTGAAAAAAACAGAAACTAAACTCGAGTTTTTATAATGTATGACTTTAACGTGCCTGACGTTTATGGTACTTTTGACTCTGATGCACAGCATGGCTAAGCTCTAAAAACTGGCTTCTCCTAAAAGAAGCTGTGCAAACAAGTATCTGTATGTGTCACTCTTTCTGTTGATAAGTGATTTTTGCAGCACCACTTCAAAAAACTCAAACTATCCCTCTGAACATCCGTTAAAGAGACAAAACCCCCCATATCCTTGTGGAGCAGACACAAAGATATTTCCAGCCAGTGTAGAGCATTGCCTTTTGGTACTGTAAGTGCTTTTGACACTTTACGGCACACTTTCCTTCAATCAACCCCAAGCATGACAAGCAGAAATCTACAGTTCCCTGTCTGAAATGTCATTTCCACACATATCATCTAGTATTTTTATTGAATTGAGTAAAAAATTCAATTTGTTTCAACTAGGAGTTGATACAAATTTGAGAAAGAAAGGGTAAACTTAAGTGAAAATAAAGGAGCTATGACGCAATGAAAGTAGCTTTCACTCATGATGCTTGCTTTAAGTTGAATTAGTTGTTTGTTTTGTATCCCCTATACAGCACTAAAGAAAACAGACTTTTACAAGACTTCTGTTACTTCTGCAAAACTGTCACTCAGGATTTGAACAATTCTGCCTTTTTATCTGAGATAGTAAAAAATCCATCATAAGAGATCTCGCTTTCTGCTGTGACTCTAAAAATACCACAACCAGGTCAATAAAATGAGATGCAGGGAAATGTTTTGATGTGTCATCGGGCTTGATTGATTAAAACACTTCTCTTAGTTACACAAAAGACATGGCACTCATAAATAAACTCAGTATATATTTATTTCTGTCCATATGCATTTGGTTTATTGGCACTGCCTCTTGGCCCCTTAGTATAACCAAGAAAGTACTCTGCTGAGAACTCAATGATCGTGGCCCTCGAAGCCATCGGGCAGAGCATTGGTGTGAGAATTGTGGAACAGTGAGTGGTTTCCATCTCCCCAAGGAAATTTCTGGGAATTAAAAAACAAATAGAGTCAGCAGGATCATATTCAGAAAGAATGGGTGGGTGTACAATTACGCAGTTCAAGACTTACCTTGGTGCGGATACGCAGGTGGGAATATGCCACAAAATCTGGCTGATCATGTGAATGCGCCTGCATCTTCATGTAGGCATTTGCCATGCAGACAGCAACACCAGGAACGGCTAACACAATGGTGAGTATCTTCCAGGTCCTTGCTGTAAAATAATAGAAGAGGCAAGTTAAAGATGACTGAAGCAATAAGTGTGGCATAAAGAGGGTGGCTTCGAAAAAAGAAATCGTGTCTCCAGAGTCAATATTTATAACATTATATACGTCCTGGAGATTGTCCAGGATGGCTGCCAGCTCTGCAGACTTTTAGTTAATATTCAACAAAAGGCTTCTGCTGCTTGTGATTTGCAGTTGCACAAGGAAGCTTTGAATACGTAGGGTTTGATGCACATTCGTTTCAATTAGTTGAGAGTTACATTAAAGACACACTGACCTCCACCCTCATGACTTGAGTGTGCCGCAGCGGCAAACACCCGACGTGCAGCCAAGGCAGCTGGAGACAGAGACATCTGCAGAGGTGAAAATAGGTAGACGAGAAAAAGATTCGTAGACGTTTCAAGGAGATTTTATATCATGCACCATGATAAACAGTAAAGAAACATTCTGACCTCAGTTAATCCACCTATCTGTATTAAAGTCATCATTTATGTTGAGATAATGAGTCAATAAAGCACATCCTAGGCTGTCTTTTAAACCAGTTTTTCTTAAACTACATGTTTCATATGACTAATAAAGACTACATGTAAATCAACAGGCAGGATTGAGGCCTACTAGTTTGGCTGGTTATTAGAGAGCTGTAGTCACCCAACTGCCTCTAAAAATATTTAAATTCAGGCATTACTTACTGTTCTCAATGCAGATAATATCCAATATGTGTTAATTTTCTATGGTATTTCCAAAAAACGAAATTTTCTCTTCCTTCCTGGTTGTTTGTCCTTCAGTCTGTCCTGAACTGAACTCAGTCTGTCAGAAACTCCTCCCTATTTCAATCTGTCACTGTGCCAAGAAACTTAGTTTATATTTGGGCAAGTGCAAAGGCGGGCTGATATGTGACGAAGAGGACAAGGATCAGGGAGGTGGGGTGCTTTTGCTGCTGTGGAGGACTTAAAACCTGCATTGCAGACTGAAATAAAGGAAAACGGCCAACTTAGAGCAAAGATTTAAAGACACCCTCTTCGAGCTAACTTTCACTTTCAGTTTTAGTAGGAGGGCAGCAGAGAAAAATCCATCTTTGTTTGTAATTGTTCAGATATGGTGTGTAATCATCCCCAGTAACTGTATGTAGTCTCAGTGAATAATTTACCTATTCAACCAATTTGGTTTTCACTTTATATCCTGAAGTAAACAAATAAGCCACTTTGTATCTATTATGGTTCACTGAAAGATCTTCCTCATCAGAGAGTTTTCTCACATTAACTTACACATCAACTCATCAGTGATTTACATCTGAGCCATTTTTCAACAAATATCTTGTAAGTGGAAAATGTGTTGTTAAGAAGAAGAGGAGAAAGGATGTATTTCATTGATCTCAGTTATACTTCAGTAATTAGCACCAATCTACAGAATAAATTGTTCTTAAATTATATGCTTTATAGTTGCCCAGTTTAAATCTATGAGAATCCAGACGTGCATTAGTGAACCTTAATTAACAAATCCCAACAACAACAAAAAATAATGTTACCTTTAGCTGTATGTCCACTAGGTGGGGTACAGTTTCTATTTTTAGGACACTGTCCTTAAACACACCTTTGGATTCCCACCTCATATGTACTTATAACATGTTTCAACCTGTAGCGGGGTTTCCTTTCTTTTTGTTCAAGTTTTCCAGTTTGAACCTCTTGTGTTAAATACAGGTGTTCACCATACTTTTGAATTTTGGCTGTATTCAGAAATTTTTTGCGTGTTGTTCTCATATTCAAGTGTCTTTAAAAAGGGCTCTTTTCACATCATCTGAGTGGTTTGTTTGTCTTTCAGTGAGTGTAGATTCGTATTTGTCGCAGTACTAGTTAAATGTGTAGGCTTCCTTGTCTCTGTCTTGGCGGCTTCTGGCTGTAGAGCAAACACCTGCCAGAGCCAGCAGTGATGTCAGACAGTAACCCAAGCTGCCCGTCTGAATGTCTGGCACTCTGTGGGCAGATGTTAAACACCATCTCAGTTTTGAAGACGCCATGCATGGACATGTACAGACTAACAGACACTTGGCGCTGGGCATATGCTGCAGATGTGCTGTCGGAGCTTCTGAGGCCTCATCCTGGAGACAGCTGCTCAAGAAAAGTGGCTCATTGATAGTTTTGATGAGCGGCCAGTTTTCCAGTTTAACTCTCCTGAGCACAGTCAGGTCAAGTTTTAAAAACTTGGATTTAATACTGTGGGCCATGACCAACCAATGTCATTTATATTAGCTGTAGCTTACCTTGATAGTTCACATGTAAAACAAAAAAACAAAAAAACAAAAAAACAAAAACAATATATATATATATATATATATATATATATATATATATATATATATACAGTATATTTAGACCTTGGCTTTTGGATGCAAAACATATCTTTAGCATTCTGACATTAACATCAAGCTAATGCCCAAGCTAGCATTAACTGAACTGGTGACCAACTCCTCTTGCTTTTTTGTATCACTGTAATACAGTATACTTACAGCATTGATAGGTTTTCTGTTGCCAAGATGATGGAAACAAACAGAAAAACCCTTTTGACTTGAAGCTCAAGAAAAATATAATTTTCATTACATGGTTTGGAGTTATACGCACACACAGACAGCCAGAGGAAACACTCCAGACACACAAAACAAGCAGGCCTACACCATAACCTCCAACATCTCTGAGCACACCCCAATTTAGCTCCTGCCTTTTCCTAAAGTACTGAAGACCTTTGTCCCTGACTCAACCTGTTTAAGATTTCTTTGACGCCACTCACACAGATTATTAATTTACCCCCATAAGTCATCCTAAAGTGTGGGCAAACTGTGCTATGCAAACAGAAAGGCGTGTAAACACCCACAACTGTCTCTCCGTCTGTGTATGTTTCATGCCCAGACAACTGTGGATAGTGTGCGATGCAGTAAGTGTGTGTGATGTTGGACAGAGGTGAAAGCGGTCTGTGTCAGCCGTAACAGTCTGTCCTAAATCTCTGAGTCTGTCTTCTTTCTGGGCACCTAGCAACCATATTCTTGAGTTCATTTCAGAGCAGCTCACACCAAAGCACTTGACTGCCTCTCAGACAAACTGATTCAGGAACTTTTATGTAAAAAAAAAAATGTTTTAAATCAGTGCAGGGAAAATAATTGTTTGTCTTTTGCACGTTCATGTAGCTGAACTGCTTAATTGCTGTGGATACTACTATCTGAATCTTGTTAATAAAATGAAGTATTTGATAAAAAATGCTGTGAAACAAAATCCAGAGAACGTTTTAGTTTTACACCTCAGAGGAAACTTCCATAGATTGTCCATCACATCAGCAGTTTATATGTAGACAGAACAGGTGGAAAGCATGTCTATGAGCTACTGTGTGGATGAAAGCATTTTTTTTGGTACAAGTAGATGTATTGTGACCACCTGAAACACCTGCATGCAGATTTTTCCAGCACCATTGCTCTGTAGGTCTTTGTCTTTGTGTTCTTCCACTAATGTGTACATGCTACATGGACCCGAACGCTAATATTAAGCCCCTTAGGGGTGGAGTGTGGAGTCTAACGAGGTGCAAAAAGAGAGGCATGAAACTATCAATAAACACCACTGTTCCTATTCCTCGCCAAGGAAAAAAAATTTAACAAAAATTGGAGACCTCATTGTTTTTAACAGCTTTCTCAATGGTGAATATGGAACAGGCTTCTCAATGTAAACTAAGCATAAGAGGAGTGGATTTCTTCTTTATTAATTATTAGTCAATTGGAAGTGCATAGCTGTCACTGACTGGACTGGAGTGGAACAAGGGACTAGCAGTGAAATTTTGGTACAACAAACAAGTACCACTTGGTATGGCTCATTGGAAACAAAGAGCAAATCAAAGGAAACACAACGTCCATGAAAGATACCTACCTGCTCCTCTTGCTCCAGCCTTCCAGGAATAAAAAGAAGTACAGTGTTGTGTATGTTTGCAAATCTAAGAATTTAATTCAGCTCACCTTGTTGGATTTATTTAACCCTGAAATCCTTCCTCTGTGTTTTTGGTTATCCAAGTCCAGCTTGTAAATCAAAAATTGAACTTGGACTAAGAGATCCCACCAAAGAGCCGATTTTAACTTGTACTTACCTGCAGAAATCAATAAAAAATGAGTTTATAAAGCCAAATCATAGATTATCACTGTTGAGAGTCAGGATTGCTAGGAATACTTTCCAGGCTGTGTTCAAACACACCAAAACCTGCAGAAACACTAATGCAGGGGTGGGCAATCATGTGCCATGGAGGGCCGAGAGGCTGCGGGTTTTCTTTCCAACCCAAAACTCCACCAGGTGATTTCACTGTTTAAATCCAAGCAGAGAGCAGGGACTAATCAGTGAAATCACCTGGTGGAGTTTTGGGTTGGAAAGAAAACCTGCAGCCTCTCGGCCCTCCATGGCACATGATTGCCCACCCCTGCACTAATGAATAACCTAAAGTCTCAAACCGGAGACTGTGGCAGACCATTGTAATATTAATGTATCATAAAAATGATAAATGTTTCAGGGAAAGTAGATCAACTCAAATGAAACTACGAACATTATCTAAAATTTGACAAAAAATCATGATTCTGACACAACCAACGTGCCATCCACCACCAAGGGGTAAGGCCTGAGACGATTGTGCAGAATAAGTTTTTCATGTATATGTCGGGACATAGAGTGTTTCTAATATGACAGACCACAATGAAACTACCACTCAGGTGTGTCCTCACAGATACTGTTCAATGTTGAATAGGTAGAGTAAAACAAACCCACAACACCTTTGTCTTATTTCTATGATCTTTCTTTTTTTTTTTCACAAGGCTTTGACTCCTCAGTATATAAAACCAGATTCTTTCTGTATGGATAATTTTTCTGTCTTCATTGAGACCTTTGAAAAATTCAGACAGATAAATGTTTACAGGTGAATCATGGGTGAAGATGTGATGAGTCAGAGGTGGATTATATTATTGTCTTGTGCTTGGTACCACCAGGGAAGACGATGTGGTGGTCTGCACATATGACATCAGTTTTCCTCAGGTAGCATAAGAAAATTGGCTCCTTTCACCATCATATGTGGTTCTCCAGTCAAACATTTGCGATGTGCAGCAATACCTGAGGCTCGGACACAAACTTAAACATTGTGTTCAGGGACAGCTGTTAGACAGGAGACCTTCCATACTATAGAATATAAGCATTAACCTGGAGCCTGTGTTGATACCACTATGGACCAGTGCTTCTCATACACAGTCTCAACAGACTGTGCCACACACTGTTCTGTCCTAAAATGCCCTGTGACAGCTGACAGGTTGTTTAAGTTCAGGTCGTGCTCTCCTGTATATAAAAAAACAGGGAAACTCTTACAAAATTATATTTAATGAATGTCTGAAATTTCTATGGTAGCAATGTGTGTTTCAACATTGAGCTTTTATTGTTGCTTGCACTTGCAACATAAACAGAAGAAGGATGTAATGTTTGCTACGCAATTTGCAGTTCGGCTTTTTTTACTAGGCTATTTAAGCAGTGTAAACTCAGTCTGTTTGCTTTCTTTCATTCTTTTCCCTGTTTTGTTTTTAGAAGGTGTAATGTTTACTTTACAATGAAGGGCAAAATAAGACTGTTGTTAACAGTCTCAGACATAGATGAGTTTGTTTAGAGAGGCAATGAGTTCAACCTATTGGTGGAAACCCAATTTCTTCAAAAATGGAACTTTCATCCTTCATTGTAATTTTGCACATTTATTTTCAGACAAGGACAGTGTATTCACTATGTGATTATGTCTGTGAAGTTCCTCAGTGATCAATTATGAGTTTTCTCTGCTAGCTGCTCTTCTTGATATTTGCTCACTCTGTTGCAAATATCACAGAGACAATACTTTTGCATTTGTTGTAAGACTGTGGAAAAATCCTAAAAGTGGGCATTTCCAGTTGCTCTGGGAACTCCTCTGCCAGACACCAGAGCCTGAAAGAGAACAGTGAACTCAAGGGAGTGTGCCATTAAATATTCTCTTGATGTTGTAACACCAAAATAACAGAGGCAAATACCTCTGCTACACACCTAACATAGTGAGATTGGATGATTAATTTCACAATTTCGGTTTTTCAACCTTTAATTTGGAAAACAGAAACACATTTTAATGGAGGAAACTGAGTGTCAGAACTTGCTGCAGATATATTATTTTTTCAAAGTGGGGGAAAAAAAATACCATTTAGATGTTAGAAATGACCTTTTTTCCTGAGTGCCAATCATAGAGGTGTCGTGAATCTTTTGGTGCAGGTGAAAACACAGCATCTCAGTTCCCTTGGATGCTTGCATTCATTGTTGATGGAACTAGACCAGAATGGGCCTTCAGAATTGCCCACTTTATTCAGGGTATGAGTACGCATGTGTGTGTGTAGAGGGCAGGACTGGACAGTGGGAGTGTATCAAAGCAAATACGGTATATAAGACATGGGGATCGTGGTCTTCTTTAAGAATCCATCTTTAAGAGTTCCACTTTAAGTTTTTCTGTCGGTAGTTGACCTTCTAGAAAAGTATCTTTTAAGCCTGGTCTCCTTCATCATGCTGGGTCGCACTCTGCTCCAAACCTCTCTGGTTCTCTGGTTGGCTCATCAGACTCTGCAAGGCGGTAAGACACTGATTACATCACAACAAACAGATATGTTAGGAGAAACTTGATATTCAAGTTAGTTGTAAGCTTGTTTGATCAAGATGTCTGCAAAAATAAAACCTTGATGAGGGTGATATTTATAACTGTGCTCTTATCAAATACTGTTCATCTCCTCTACTGTTGATTTATGCAAAATTGTATCGATATAACAAATGATTTAAGAATTAGTTTGAGTTTCTGTTTGATGTTGATATCACAAACTTATTAAACTTATTAAATAAATACAGTTGTACATAAACGGACAGCGTTTGCAAATTTGGGCTTTTAAAATTCTGAGTGACAACTTCACTTTATCACATCGTGCATACAGTAAGTCAGCAGCACCATGAGTGCTTTCATGTTTCTGACCCTCCGGCCAGTCACTCTCACTCTCTTGTTAAATATCATGTCTGTGAGACCAAGAGAGTAACTCCTTGACTCGAGGAGGACTCCATGAAGGCTCCCCCTTTAGTAATCCTGCCAAGCTACTGCGGTTTAGATCATCTAATACCTTTGAATCAAAGGATGCATGAAAAGATGGCAGAGGTAGGTAAAATCTGTCGACCAACTGTGAGAAAAAAACAGGCTCCATACTGTCGCTCCAAATTGGCTCATCTTGTCTTTTCCATCAATGGATATCTGTTTCTTTCTCCTCTTGTTGCTAAGTCAGATTTTAGTATTCATGAGACTCTAACTTTACTGCCATTATTCACATTAAAAAGAGACTATATAGACTTAAAGACAAACTCTCACAGTCTTAAAAGGACTATTATAGACTTCATGTTTGAAGATATCAAGTCACAACGTTTCTTAATATGACAACCATTAAAACTTTAAACTGGGTTTTGCTTCAGAGAGACCTCTATAGCTGACTCCAGTGACACCCACAAGCATTAAGCTTCTCTTGAGCACATTTTCATATCGTTTGAAGTGTTTGTGACGTGTACCTTGTATGCTTCATTATTATTGTCATAGTTTTATACAATGAAAGTAAGTTTAACATCACAATAAAATGTGGGTAAAATTATCAGTGTGAGTGATGCATCTTTACAGTGTATTTAGGAATGTTATTTTATATCATTTTCCTTTAACCTTCATGTTTATCATTCATGGCATAATCTAACATAACCAACATTTTGATCCATTTATAAACTTTACTGAACAAAGTGGCACAAAAGTACAAAAGTAATCTGTAATATACTTCCTTTTTTCAGCTGTTAAACCTCAAACTGTGTCCTGGGGGAGAGTGCTACCAGCCAGAGGTGAGTGATGAAGTATTTGAATTTTTTAAGATAAATGTGCTTTGCATGCTTCAAAAATTAAGAAGGGTTGTTTTTGATCAGGGCATGCACAACGTTTTAGAGTGGAGTTACAAAGTGTGAGAATTTTTTGTCACTGGGAAGCAGCATGTAGCCCAGGAGTTAGTTAGTAGCCAAGTTACTCTGTAAAGTATGCGCAATTTGGCATTTTTGTTTAATTCCTCGCTCACTGTCTGGGTTTTGTTTTCTTCAGGTGTTGGCGTTGGAGTCAAACCCGGGGGTGAGTAGTTTCTTTGCACATGCACTAATCTCTTTCCTTATTTTCTTAGTTGAATTTATACATGAATCCTGCTTTTGGAAGAGCATAAGGAAGGTATACTCTACACTGGTCAATGAAACTGTGTGAGCTCAAGGTTATAATAAATGCCGTAAAAGCTAGGATAAAATGAACAGTTTCTAACAATAAAATGGCTAAATAAAGTAAAAGTACTTTAAAACAATCCAACATTTAAAATAAGGACTTTGAACAAACAGTAAAAGCAGAGATTCAAGTTGAAGATGAAAAACTGAACCTTTGGGTGAGGGACTTCTTTTTTCTTGTTCCAGTGACAGGTGCCCTTGGAGCAATTGGGAACCGATATGGCAACAAAGCAATGAAGGCTGGACGTATGTTTTACTCTCTCTTGACCTTTCTGCACAATTTACTCCCTAATATACTTATAATTTAGAATTTAAATGTTGCTTTTTTAAATTATTTTTATCCTAGTTGGAAGGTATCCTGGGGCTCAACTTGGTGTTGGTAAGTTTACTTCACTGAAATAAATATTGCTGATTTTCCATTAAGTGAACTTGTAAAGGAACTTCTTCGAGGCGGGCAAATAGGAGTCAAAATGTGCATGTTACTCAACTATGTATAATGTTGTTGATGAGATGTTGAGTTGTGCAAAATTATAAAATGTAAAGTGACAAAGACACAGAGGCATTTTAAAACAAGACTAACATTAAAACATTAGCCATTCCGGTTGACTGTGACTTTCAGTGCCACCAGTGTGAATTTATTATTGTTAAATTTTTGTTTTTTTGTTTTTTTTCACAGGAGGTTACAGATCTCTTGGATTAGGAGGTAGAGCCGGTCTGAAGCAAGGTGGATATGCAACCCCAGGTGCCTATGGTATGTACATTTATCACTTATTATCAAACTCTGGAAACTTAATATCTCTTTATTACCCCCCCCCGACTTACTTCGTGTTAATATTTGACAAATTCTAAATATGATATCTTTGGTTGCAGGAGCTAGTCTGGGTACAGGACTGCCTTTGGGGACTGGATTCACAAATGGTCTGGGACTAGGTTTGGGCCAGGGAGCAAAAAGGGGTAAAGCACATGCAAAACACAATATGGCAGATTACAACTGATGTTTGATTAAGATACTGAAGTTAAACAGAGACTAAACACACAGTAGATCTAGACAACACAGTGTAAACCAACAAAGAAGGTGTTATTCTATAGCATCTTCACCTGAATACACTGTAATGAACATTTAATTTTTTTAACAGTACAATACGAGAGTGTTTAAAAAGCAGTCTTTGCTATAAATACAATGAAGAGCACTTTCATTTGAAACTAGCTGTTTATTTGATACTTTCAGGTTATGGTGCTGGCCTTGGTGCAGTACCAGGTCAGTAATTGTGTTTTATTTTCATGATTTTCCTCCTTTATTAGTGAAAGTGAGAATATACAAAGTGAATTACTTATTCTGTCTGCCCCTCCTTGTTTGTTTGTTTGTTTGATAAATTCTGGGTATTCTGCTTGTGAACATACTGGACATATTTTGTCACAGCGACCAAATCATAGGCTCCCATAAAACAAGCAAACTCCGATGCCCAAATGATGTAATCAGAGTACTACACATCCTCTGAACCTGATGTTTTGTTTTCTTGCCAGGATATGGTACATTAGCTGGCATTGGTTATCCAGGAGCGCGACCAGGTAAGTGAGAAATCAAGTCCAATCCCAGAACCCATTACTGCTCCTTCCTGCCAGAGGGAACTTTTTCATATAGAAAAACCACACACTTGAGCTGCCAGTCGTTGTTTGAAGTCAGGTTAAACCATCTGTAGGAAGGAAACTGTATTCATTAGAATTTATCAGTGCCTCTGTGGGCACCTCTACAAACAAGCCTGAAGACTGCAGATCTCCTTAGGGTTCAGACTGGCCTAAGGGTCCTTGTCAGGGGGAAACTAATAACAGCTCACCTGTCTGTTATCATTAGGACCTGGACTTGGGTATCACACAGGGCAGAAGGCTAAAGAACAAAAACCTGGTAAAACCTTCACCACAGCGTTGTCGTGGTCATTATAATCTGTCTACATTTGTCAGTGACCTTTGTCAGACTCGAGTAACCAATGTTGTGTTCATGTGAACTTTTATTTGCATGAAATCACAACTTTCACATTGTCATCTCCTGTGTTTGATAGTTGCTCACCAGTCTTATCAGACCCAAAGTAGCTGTGTTGCTCTTTGTATGAAATGGTCTTTTTGCTGTTCACTAAAGGCTCCTCTTTCCTAATCGGTCAGTGTTTTAATAAGCTTTGTTTGTCAGTTGTCTTTGCCACACACTGATGCTGTCTGAGTCAGGGGGTGTCTTTGTCTTGCGCTTCTCTGTTTCATGGTATTTCAACAATGTGAGCTGGTGGCATTTTGTTGCCATTTCATGCTTTATCTGTTGATGCCATCGCTCTGACTCAAAACACTGTGTATGTGTTTGTGTGTGTCATTCGAAGTATAGCCAAAGTTGTTTGTGTCTCTTTGTTGACTCACTTCCTTATTATGGTGATGATTCTGTCCCCCATAAACTGGACTAATATCAGACCATAATGGATCATCGTTTTGTCTCCATGTGGTCTTGAATGAACTCCATTTGAGTCCCATCTTCTCTGTGGATGATGTGTTGTATGGCCTTGAATGATTTAATACACACATCAGCTGGAATACAGAGAAGTGAATACAGTGCACACCAGAGTGCATTTGAGCCTCTAAGAAATCCTGAATACTTGATGATATTTTTCTGCCAGGTTTGTCAACAGCAGAAGATTTGGGTGGACCCGCAGTGGCCAATCTGGGCCAAGCCGTTCAAGAACTGAAGAGAGACAAAAGCAGTCAGTCATACGGACGAAGAGAAAGAACTGGTGAACTTGAAATGCCTAGTTTGGGGAGAAGCGGTGTACTTGGCCCAGCTGCTCCTGAAACCAGCCTTAGAGAGCTCAAAAGCCTTGATCCACTGGTCAAGTCAACAGGTCTTAGATCTTTGACACATCTTGATAAACAAGGCAGAACTCTATCACAAGGAAGACAAAGTTATGAACCTACACTCACAGACAGAAGAGGCTCAACAAACCATGGAGCCACACTTGCTGCCAGAGGTTTAAGACAACAACAAGTACCTCTTATTCAAGCTAATACCCGAACTCAAGGCTCCCCTCAGATACAGCACACGGGAGAATATGATTCATTAATCCAGCGACGCCCAAACTGTGGATCAAGCAGAGATTTCTCAGATGTTCTAGAAATGAATCACCACGAGCATCTTGGTTCAGAGACACAGAGGGCTCAGGGTATGGTGCCCAGACCTCATGCTGGAAAGGACAGCAAACACCTTGGACATGCCGTTCAACCAGCACAAGGAGAGCAGAACTATCAACTGCCTCTTCCACAAACTCAGGAAGGCAGAGACGGTATTTTCTCTCTTTCACAAGGTCAGGCTCCTAGACGCTTTGTATCTGCTGTGGCTGATGGGCAGGCTGTTAGAGACCTTGGGGCGTCTCCCAAAGGCGCAAAGGGATCCAGGATCCACGGGGCGATTGTTGTTGAGGATCTTACTCCTAGTGCTCTAAATATCCGAGTTCAAGGAGTGGAGAGCCACGCACCTGTGAGCGCAAGCAGAACTCAAAGTTTAGGCATCGCTTCAATACGAGGGCAAGCTGGTGAAGGCGTAACAGTTGATGGTCAGGAACAAAAACAGCTGGTTCACTCTGAACATGATCTCAAAAAGTCAAAAGCTCTCAGCATCCCAGGACAGACTGGGAGGAGTAACCAGGCACCAAGTAAGAGCAAAGCTTTATCTTTACACACTATCACAGTGTCTTTGGTTTAGTTTCTTTATCATCCCTATATTTGACCTCCAATCAGTTATCTAAACTGTTAGTCTTCATATTTGCTTGGATAGTTACCCAAATCTCTTTCATTTCCTGACTTAATTTACCAACAGTGTGATTTTTCTAGGTATCTATTGTCCTAAGATAGTGGTCAATCTCAGTTTCTGTTCTTGAAATCATGCCTCCTTTTAGATCGCTCATTTACACACTGATCAGGGTGCAGGATTAGAGCTGTCGTTTTAATCACTTTATTTATAGTAATTCACTCCCTTTTTTGGCTTTTTGTGCAACAAAATGGACTATAAAAAAGTAGACATAGGCATGACATCCAGTGGTTTGCAACCCCCTGTTCTGAAGCTCCTACCTTTGGCATTTTGGTTGCTGCTGTCTTGTGTCCTTAAAAATGGCTATAAAAAGAGGAAGGGGTGGATAACTAAGAACACCCAAATTTAGCTAATTTATCAAATGCCAAATCTTGATAAAGCCATTGCATTACAGTCTTTATGAATCAGAAAGCCTCTTTTGGGAACAAAGCTCCTTTTTGGTATCAGGCTGTGAACATGTTTGTTTCTGCTCAGTAGGAACTGCTGTTTTAGTGCTGTTGGCTCTAATTTTCTAGCCCTGGAGGCCACAGCTGCTTTAAAAAACAGAAACGTCTGAAGTTCTGTCTGACTGCGGTGTGGCAAGCAAAATCTTTGTCTTAATTTCTTCTATATCAGCCAACTATTAGTGTCAGTGGCTGTTAAAAAGTTGGCATCTTGGCTCAAATATCAGAACTCTGAAATTCATTTCTTCCTGATTTGTCTGGCATATTTCTGAGTAGTTGTTGGTTTGCTCATTATTTGGTGTTTATTCTGGAAGACTTTGTATAAGATTTGAATATGCAGGCAAAATCTGATAATTTGGTATTATTCTGTATCCTGTGAGTGAAGTCACAAGAAAATACACTTATCTGCCATCATGTAAATGATCTTTTATCATATCTTTATTTACAGATGCCTAAAGGTTTTTTCTTTTGTTTGTTGTACTTAAATAGCTTTGCTGTTGTGCTTTGGGCCATTTCAGTAAAATAACATTAAACTGTCACCAGCTTGTTCCTGCATGTCCTACACAAACACACAGTCTTCAGTCTAAAACTGTGTCTCGAGGTACAAACGGTAAAACTGTTGTTTTTAGGGGCTTGGCTGTCATACAGGTAACATTTGTATAAAGTGAGTTAAACAAGCAGTTGTTGTTCGGTAAATTTTTGACTCAGAATCAATGCCTGAGTGCTGTACGGTCAGAAATTAAAACTGAGATAAACAAATGGGGAAGAGAGCAAAAAACAACAAAAGAAATGCACTTATGAAGTTATTGAGTTGGATCTGTTGTTGAATTTTTTGAGATTCGCTCTAGTTTCGAGTACAGAGGTTGTTTAAAACCCTCTAATCCTGGCCAAGATGCTGGAATCCTTTGTGTGTGTTTATTTTTGTTCACCTGTCAGCTGCACATGCTGAACACAGAATTAAAAGCAGCCTCTCTGTCCTCTGTATATGGAACCACTGAATAACACTTGGGCATTAAGTCTCAGTTTTATCATGTGTTTCAACTATGATTCAACCCTAAATGAAATAAGACTCTGAGTAGTGAATGCTCATGTTTTTCTCCATGAATGTTGGTGTGAATGTATGTGTTCAAAAAAGGGTCATGACCCCCTGCCTAGAGCTGAGCTTGTGCACCCTTTCTCCACAGGTTACATCGGTGGAGCAGGAAGCTATCTGGGGGCACAGGGCCTGGGGGCACAGGGCCTGGGCACACAGGGCCTGGGCACACAGGGCCTGGGCACACAGGGCCTGGGCACAGGAGGGTATGGAGCAGGTAATAGGATACACTAACACAAGGTGGAAAATCAACACAAGTGGTAAAATAAGAGCATACTTACTGAGTGTGTCCCTGTAAACATCAATAAAAATCTTGATGTATATCTTTTAAGAAAATGTACAACTTTCAAAAGCCATTTGATTGGTAGACATGGTGAAACATAAGTCAGTATGGGACAATAATACAGAAGTACTGATTTAGATGACCTCTCATAATAGAGTATCTTTCCCTGCTGACAGGTGTAGGGCAGGGAGCTTACCTTGGTGCAACTGGCAAACTTGGAGGTGAGAAAAGATTTTCATTGATGTTTCTTTATTTTAATCAAGAGCTTTGTTCTCATTTTTACATCATGCTCTCACTCTAAACTCTCTTGCCAACATTTTCAGCTGCTGCTGGTCTTGGACAGGGTGGGTATCCCCTTGGTATCGCAGAGCGGTCAACTGGTGAGACTGTGAATTTAACCACTACAACTTCAACTACACTATGTTTTCTTGTCATGTTGCCTCCTCAAATGTAATGACTCTAAACAAATGCTGATGCTTTTTTTAAAAAAGAAAATACAGATGAAGAAAATAAGGACTGTTCTTTGCCTGATTTAGTTTAGACAGTGAGAGAAGCTGGCTAAGACATTGCTATTCTTTTGTCCAGTTTTCTTTTTCATTTAGCCAGCAGGCGAGGAGAATAAAAAAGTGTTTAACTGAACAAATAACTTAAACTGTTTCAGTAATTTCCAAATGAAAGGGTGTGGATGTCTAATCCTCATTTTTGCATGTAAGGAAATCAGAGCACCATTGAAATGGGAAGTAGCTTTTTATGTACTGTATTTGTAGATGTTAAATAATATATATATTTTTTTTGTTAAAAAAAAGATAGTTTGTATTTAATTCAATAAATTTGAATGTGTGTCATCACAGGGTATGGTGATGGAGTAACAGGATACCTGGGTGCTATGGCAGGCAATGGCTTAAGTGAGTTTAAACTTACCGGTACATGCACAGGGAAAATTGAATTCATGCAGAAGAATCTCTCAGACTCTCTCATTCTACCCTGCTGGGGGCTGAAATATCAAGTGTCTCTTGTTTTTCAAAGTTATCATTTTTTTTATAACGGTCTCTGTTTCTCTGCAGGTTATGGAAATGGTTTTACTGATGGTTTTGGGGCAGGTGAGTATTAAAAAGAATAAAAATTATTTGATGATTTGAGAAAAACTGTGATGTTTTAAACCTCCTTTAGCTCAGAGAGTTGTTGATAATGCTAATTAGAACTATGTTTCAGGGCATGGTTACCCTGCAGAGCTAGCCGATGGTGCAGAACACAAAGCAAGAAAGAGTGAAGGTAACAGTTTTGAGGAGCTACAACTAAGGCTGCATAATATGAAGAAAAGATTAGATTTCCTTATCTATTGGCCAAATGATTGGGATATGAATAACATTGGTCATTTCTGAATCCCATTTTAATAACAAAACAGCTAGTTAAAATCCTGATTAAGATTAATTGTGCATCCCTAGTTGTAATCCTCAAACCCATAACAGGCGATGGCACTAACCCAGACGCTTATACCTGCAAGCATGGTCTGAAATTTTTTCTCGCCAGCCAAGGTGGCAGGTAGATGAGAAAAATCCACCGGCCAATCATATTATCATATAATTACCTTTTTGTATCACATACGCAGCTATTGCAATCTATTCCAATGGAAAAGTAAGGTATTATGTTGGCTACAAAGTTATTGTCTTTTGTAAGAGCATAGATATCCAGCCTCTTGTGATAAAAGAAAAATACAGGCTGTATTTGCCAGCTGGTTGCGAGTTGAATAGCTGTGTTTAAAGGGATATTAAAGGGTAAAATTAAGTAAAGAGTTAGACACCTCCTCGAGAAATGAATGTTGCCGACTGCTTGCTTCTCTAGTTATACCAACTTTAGTAACGACCACATGATAGCAAGACACAATGGTCTATGGCTCCACATGCAAACTTCAACCAAAAAGCCACTCTATAGCCACAAATAATGCTCAGAACAGCACCTAGCTTCATCGACAGTTCATATCGGGTCCCAGCCATAGTACTAGCCATCAAACATCTTTTTAGCTTTGCCTGGTTTCTTTAACAAAGAAACAAAACACTATGTACCAGCTCTCCTCCTGTAGCCGCTTGTTTGTGTGTATGATTAGTTCCTCATGGAAATACAATAAGACTGTGACGCTAAGGCAGAAGAAGTACCGCATCTGCAGTGCAAAATGACTATTATTTCGTGGAAATGATCTGCTGCACTCGTTGATCGACTCAGCAGGGCTTCCCCCACAAACAAGCAGCTGCTGGAGTAGAGTGGGTGATTTGTTTTTGGTCTTTTTGACCATAACTTAAATTTACAACAGAATATCTCTTTAAGTCTTGATCTGGAAAATTGTTTGGAGCAGGGTAACTGATGTCCCGAACAATAGAAGGTGGTGCATGGTGACAGGCACTGCTGTGTGTGTGAACACATCAGTGTACCAGGACAGTTTACATGAAGTTTGCATGTGTCAGCTTGACCCTGTGAACTTCCGTCATACAGATTGCAGGAGCAGCAGGTGCATGGACACAGAGCACAAACTTAGGATGATTATTTGTCTTTCATTACACAATGATTGTGGTACAATCATTTGCCCCCACATGGCGTGTAGCTGTCAGGGAATTACCCACAAATTAGAGCATCTACATACAGTGGTGGCCAAAATTATTAGAACACTTGGCATATTTAAGAATTTTCAGTTGTTTTTGTTGAGTTGGCCATTAAAATACCCATAAAACAAATTAAATATCTACAAAGTCATCATTTTGCTCTATAAACCCTAGAATAGAGCCATCATAAGGAGATTTAGGTCATTTTCCATACAAAAAACAAGCAAGGCCTGTCAGTGTCACACAATCATGTTCCTTCACAGAAGCAGCCAAATTACTTGTGTAATCCTTCTCAGGTGTGATCGTGGTTAAATTGATGGTGATGCAAGTCTTAGGACACAGCTGTGTGATTCTTTTGAACGTACAAGGCCTATCCTGCTCATTAAGTGATTGGTAACATGAGGGTTTTGTCACTGAGGCCACACCACCAATTGGTATAAATTCAAAGCCTCTAGAAGTAGTCTTGAAGCTCATGTTGCTCTTTGAACATGGCTAAGGTGAAGAAGGAATTAACGAGTGAGCAGCGGGTTCGAATAAAGGCCCTTTTTGATGCTGGCTGGAGTTACCGCCGCATAGCCAAGGACTTGAGATGCAGTCCAAGCACTGTAAAGTACACTTTAGACCGCCATGATGCCACCAATTCACACCAGAACCGAAAGGGGAGAGGTAGAAAAAAGAAACTTTCTGACAGACAAGTGAAGCATCTCAAAATTCTCAGTCTTCAGGACCGAAGAAAGACCTCACGAGAACTGCGTGACGAGATCAACACCACAATGACTAATGGTGCAACAGTGTCTTCAAGAACTGTGCGTCGGAAACTGGGAGAAGAAGGACTTGTTGGCAGAATAGCAGCAAAGAAACCATTACTGAGAGAGAAAAATAGAGTGAAACGCCTGAAATTCGCTAAAGAACACAAGAAATGGACAAAGGGAGATTGGTATAAAGTGTTGTGGACTGATGAGTCCAAATTTGAACAGTTTGGCAACAAGCGAAGAGTGTATGTTCGACGGAGGGAGGGGGAGAGATATAAAAATGAGTGTCTCTTGCCAACAGTTAAACACGGAGGGGGTAGTATTATGGTGTGGGGTGCCATTGCAGCCTCAGGAACAGGTGACTTAGTGAAAATTGATGGCATCATGGATAAGAAAGTATACCACAACATTCTGGTGAGGCACGGAGTACCATCTGGGAGTCGTCTTATTGGGCCTGGATTTATTTTCCAAGAGGACAACGACCCTAAACATTCTTCTAAGTATTGCCGGAACTACCTGCGACAGAAGGAATCTGCTGGAACATTGAAAATGATGGACTGGCCCCCTCAAAGTCCGGACCTCAACCCCATTGAGCAAATTTGGGGCGAGTTGGAAAATAAACTGGACAGATCTATTGTACATTCAAAGGAAAGCCTTTGGCTTGAGTTGCAGAAGGCATGGGATAATATTAGTGTTCAAGTTCTCAAGAAATATATTGACACTATGCCAGAGAGATGTGCTGCTGTAATTGCTGCAAAAGGTGGACATACCAAATATTAAAGTTAAAAGTGGATAAAAACAGTAGGACTCACTTAATCTGATATTTGTTGTGCTCAGAGCAACCATCTGCATGCATCATGAACATTTTGAAAGGAAATCATGTTTTGGAGGCAAAAAAAAGTTCAATGTTTTCATTTCTGTCAGGTGTTCTAATAATTTTGGCCACCACTGTATATTTGGCGTACGGCTGGTATTAATTTCAGACCCTACTTGCAAGATTTGACAGCTGAAAGAAAATAAGAGGCCATCAAGGAAACACACTACATGAGTTTACATGTCCAGTGTGGTCCACCAGTTATCCACTGGGTGTAGCTATTGTCTCTTGCTAATCAGGGCTGATCAGTTTAATCTGGTGGTCTCTGACTTCTTGCTCCTGAAGATGCTTTTCACACGGCTCATCATTATGTAAGTTTGCCATGTCTGATCTTTGTTTTTTTCTTCTTCTGACCTTTCCAGCTCTCAGTACAGGTGCTTATGCTGGGCAGGTCCAGGGGGCGCTAGGTAAGAGGTTCAAGAACGAAGCATCAGCAGCAGTAGGAGGAATGACACTGCATGCTTCTCTAGCTGCCACACACAGCTAAAAAGTTGTATTTTTAACTCCTAAAAATGTCGGCTTTTCAGTCCACCAATAAGAGCTTTATAAATGTATATTCTGTGATGTTTGAGAGCTTGTTACTGAACCTTCTCTTGTCTTAGGAGCTCTTGGCACAGGCCTTGAATCAGCTGGTGGAAAATATGGTGAGCCATGCTACATGACCTCAGCTGATGTTTCACTTATATACGCTTTTATCAACATGAGAAAAGAGTCATTATCTCCCATTTTCCCCCTTCAGTTGGAGGAGCTGCTCAGGTTCCTTATGGTGCTGCTCCAGTGATCCCTACTGGATTGGAAGGTAAGAGCTTTACTTGTTGGCTGGTAGATTTTGTCAGTTCCTGGTTGTTTTTCTCTTTTTTTGTGTGTGAAAATAAACCGTCCCCCTGCTCGCTCCAGCTGATAGATCTATTATGATGACCCAAACAAGGTTAAATAAAGTTAAATTTCCCCTTGGTCATTGAGTCCCCATATTCTGGTCTTAATGCTTAAACTCCATCACAGACCTTGGAGTGACCTCCCATCAACTCTCTGCATAGCCTTCAATGTTGAATTTCTCTTGAGATTAACTATAGTGATGGAACTTCATGATAAAGCTGTAATATAAGTGGGTCTTCATGTTACAGCCACATGTACAGCTAATGCTTTAAAAATTCATCTTCTCAGGCGAGGGTGGCTACCCATTGGCTGCTCAACAAGTGGCCCTGGGTGCAGAAGGTGCGAAGACAGCCAACAAATATGGTGAGAACTGTGTGGTCCTGTTTGTGGTGAAAAAAAAAATGGGTCGGTTGTTTCTCTGAAAAGGAGGGGTGTTGGTTAGTTTTAATTTCGTGAGAAAACATCGTGATAGGAAACCTTAAACAGGTCAAAGTGAGAACTGATGCAACTTAAAGGCCAAAAAAGAAGCAAAGAGGGATAGACCAGATCCAGATACTAGATCCACACAATTAAAGATGTTTTTGGCCCCTTATGTCTTTGCTCTGAAAGAAGGCTTTTAATGTTTTGAGGATGCATGGTAAGAGTTTGCGTCTATGAGTATGAGTGTGTGTAAATTTCGTGCGCTGTGAGTTTTTGTGTGTATCTGCATGTCCGGTATCTCTGTTATGACTCATAGTTACCGCTAATAAAGTATCAACGTGTCTTCGGCTGTTTCAGTGGCTGGTGCAAGGTATGGGGCTCAGCAAACAGGTGATTTTTTATGCAAGCACTCAGAGAAACTTTTTTTTCACACCTTGCATGTAGCTTCAACTGTCTCTCTTAACACTTTTTTATGGACTTTTCACATGTTGTTTGCAGATTCTCCAACACTGTACTCTGTATTTGCACATTAAAACTTTGTTAATATTGTTAACCAATTTTATTATTTTATTATATTTCAACTGTAAATTATAGTAACATTTCAAGCATATGTATTAGTAATACAGTATTTGCAGATGTTAGACTTTCATTATCCTGGTGTGTTTTAAAAATGTCACTGCTGTCTGTGTTTTTAGGTTACGGTGCACAGCTAGGAGCGACTCAAGATGCCCTGGGTGAGCAGGAAGCCACAAGATTTGCTCATTTATGATCGACTCTCTCTCTTTCTCTCTCTCTCTCTCTCTTTCTCTCTTTCTCTCTCTCTCATTTTTCTTCTCTCAAGTGACCTTAGAAGCCTTCTTTGCCAATTTTTAAGTTAAAGCACATTTGGTACAGCATATTGTGCTTTGCCAAACACAAGCTTTTGTTTTTCTAAGTTTTACATATTTAACTTAAGTAGTACAACTGCATGTATTGTGAGTTACTTTTCATTCAGTAATGTTGAGTTTGAAAGTGAGTAGGATGAGTACAAGAATAAAAGACAAAAGCTTTTCTTCTAAGTTTATGCTGAGATTAAGCCTCTTTTTTTCTTCACTGCGACAGTTTTCTTCTGAGCATACCTTACAATAATAATCTGATGCTTTTACAGGAGAAGAAACTGGCAAGTTTGGAGGAGTGAATGCTGCCCTTGGCAATGGATACAAAGGTGAGAGGGTTGGATATTCCCAGCTATGACTGTGCTGTCAACAGTATGTTAACATAAAGCACAAAACATCTGTTTATTATTTTAAAAATCCTCAATCTGCCACCCCTCCAAGCCATTGGACATGGATTAAGAATGACTGTATGAAAACATTAAGAACGCATACACCTGCTGCAGTCTCATCAATCAGTCCAGTGACCTTACTGTGATCCTTGCCCCCCATTCTGTCTTTGTCTTTAACCAGGTTAAATCAACTGACCTGAACTCCTTCTTCGAGTGGATCATTTCCCTAATTTGTTCAGTGTTGTGTGTTTTTAGAGCTTTTTGTGTGTTTCATTCCCCTCGATCCTGTTGAGCTGTCTGATTTGTCTTTTGTGTTATCTTTCATAATCCCCTGTTTCTTTCTATGTGAGTAGACATTTGTTACCCATGTCTGTCTCTGTCTTTTTATTCACACCTTCAGTTCCTCACTAATGATGCGCATAAATTGATGAACATTGTCTCTGTTTTAAAATAAATATTGAAATGATGACTTCACTGTTTCAGTCTGATAAATCGTAGATCAAATAAGGTCTGTTAATTCTGGATGTTACATAATGTTTACTTGCACACAGCTCCCCGTAAAAGCAACAGCAAAGCTTCAGCTGTTGACAGGAAGTTTTACCACTTCCTTTTTTCATGTAGGGCATCTGCCTCAAACAGAGCGAAACTCAGATCAGAACTGAATGTAGTAGGACACATCATCTCAATACTGTGATAAGCAAATAAAGGCTTTTATTCATCAAAAGGGTAATAACAAAACACCAAGTATCAATGTTGTTTGAGTACATTAAACACACTTGATGATATAAAACTTAGTACTGAAAGCAAAATCTCACTAAGTGATTGCATAGAACACATAAACTCTGAAACGTTTAACACTCTTTTTTGCGTATGCAAATAAATCTTTGAAAATAAAGGGTGAGATAAATTGTGTACTACAAGAATTTATGTTTAATATATGTTTAAGTTTTTATGAAGAGGACCTATAGAGCATTAAATGCATTTGCTTTGTTGTGCTGAGACGTACAAATTGGGCACACATTTCTTCATTGCCTCTGCTTTCATTCAGTCTGTATTTTGAAAACATTTGTGCACATTTGAACCATTTAAATCTTTTAAACTTTCTTAATTAATAAAGGTGGCTTACATAAAAAATACTACACTGATGCACAGTTTACATGCTGTAAATAAATACTTATTTTACACTTTTAAAATACTCTCAGAATATCAAAGATGGCTGTCAATGTTGATCTTTTTTACATGACAAATTCCAAAACACAAAAATGATCTTTGTTTGGTTGTAACTCTAAGATTGGTGCATATAAGAAATCAAGCGTTGCATGGACTTTAAATCAAATCAACTTTTTGACCCTGGTTTCTCTGTGGGCTTGTTTCATTCACAAACACACCCATCTCCAACAGGATGGCCTTTGGAATAGGGTGGGCATGACGGGACACATACAGCTTCCTTAGGTTTTCACTCATAGGTGAGGGTTTGTAGTCCATGCAGGAATCTCCACCCAGACTTGGAGCACATTTCACTTCCCATTTAAAGAAGAGCCGACCATGCTGCAGGTTACAGAGGTCAGTCTTTACTCCAGCAGACAGATCTTGCACACAGTGTCCCAACAGATCATCATCCCAGTTGTTGTCCTGGTCCCACACTTCAAATCTAACTTGACGGCCTGATGACAAATCTTGAGTACCAAGGTCCACAACCATGCCCCAGTGAGGATTGTTGTTGTTCTGAATGACAGGAGAACGTTGGACCATCACCTTGTTGAAAAACACCTTGACATAACCATCTGTGGCTGTGGTGGTGTCTCCCCAAAGACTTGTTGCTCGTTGTACTGTTATGATGACCCGTGCCATACCCTTACGAGTCGGGCAGCAGTCCTGGTTTACAGCACGGTCGTTGTGGCATTGGCAGACACAGGAATCCCTGGAGTCACTCTTGATGCCAGCCTGACAATGCTCACTGCAATTCTTCCACAAGCCTTTCTCCAGGATATAGTGGCTGATAGCAGAGCGCAGGTTCTTCCTAACAGGGTTGTTCTTGGGCAATAACTCATGAAGTGAATCGAGGGAGTATGAGATTATGTCTGGATTCTGTGGGATTGTGTTGAGCCACTCTTTGTAGGCAGATGGATCCTTGTCTGCAGAGAAGAGTAGGTCTGGCTCTGTGGTATGGCCCCCCTTGATTTCTGTGAACCTGTCGGGAGAGCATTGTTTAGAGTAACATTAAAAGTAGAAAATTTTAAGTATTTAATCTAAATGTGCAAGTGGATAGGAAAAAAATAGGGACCTCTCATTGAATTGGCTTGAAAAAGAGTTCTTGTTTTCCATCTTATCAATGTCTGACTTGCAGTGTTTTGCTTGAGTGTTAATTGTGGCTATGAAGCTGGCAGATGCCTCAGCTTCCAGGCACATCTGCACCTCCTCCACACTGAGGCCCTGAAGGCTGGCCTGGCACTGCCTGATGCTGGTCACAGACTGAACACTTCCTCCTAGTTTCACCTGGAAAAAATTTTCATATTCAAAGTCTGATTTAAGAATCTATTGATAAAAAAATAACTGTTTGTACCTTCACAGATCTTCATTATTTGGGTTTACCTTGGTGATGTAATGGGTGCCAAAGATATCAATCAGCTTGTAAAATCGTTGCTTGTTTTCATGATTGTAGACTTTTGGGAGGTCCTTCACTGCTTGTCGAAATTCTCTGTGGAGCTTGGGTTTGACTGACACTCTGTAGCTGATTAAAGTGACACAACAAGTGTATAAAATGAAAATGTTTAGTATGAAACACATCTCTGACACCAGGAAATCCATTCATGTCAAGGAAAGTGTGCAGAGGACAGTTTTCCCCTGTTTTCTTTTTCTTACTTGTAGTATTCACAAGCCATGCTCTGACTTGTGAAGCTGAATTTGTCATTCTTGGTCTTCTCCATAGAGTACTCAGACAGTTTAGAGTGGGTACCAGCAAGCATCAGTGAGCCACTCTTTTTACCCACATTAACATCCAAATTGAGCTGCCAGTTGTTTTCAACAGAAGAGGTGCTGGAACTGAGCAGGGACTCACTGGATTTGTGGAGTTTACTGGTCACTTTATTGCTGCAGGACTGCATTGCTCTCCAGTCCACCACTGACAAGGGCAGCTTTTGCAGTTTGTTCTCTAGAAAGGTGTTTGTACACAGGGTGCATGTCTTGTCCTTGAGTTTCCACTGATTCATGTCGATCACATAGGCCCCCTTACGTTCCAAGGTGGTGATGTCGAAGCCTTCTCCTGCCAGATTAGTACCTGGAGCAAATTCTGCCTCTTGGCACTGTCTGGGTGACCCATTGATGCATGACTGATATGTTGACTGAGGATGAAACAGCACAAGGGTGGCAAAAACACAAATATTTAACAGAGGCATGTTGCCTTTCAGTTTCATGACCTGTGCAGCTGATGGTTCACCCTGAAAGAGACACAAAAATAGACACGCAACAATAAGCAAGTGAAGCAGTTTACAAATACCCTCTTCATCAAGTCCATTGATTTGCCCAGTTTATGCCTTTTTTAAAACACGTTCCAATAGTTATGCTGCACTTCTTTTGAAAATACAATCATAAACCCTTATTTTAAAATCCCCTGTAGCTCTGTTCATGATCAACATCACTTTCCATTAATAAAATTATACAAAGTCTTTGTACAAGCTGTTCCCTCATAATTTTTTTTTAGAAATGACAATAGTTCATCTTCTCTTTCACTCGTTTACATGGGCAAAAATTATCAGAATAAGTGCCCGATTGGAATAAAAATGCGTCAGGTAAACATGTCGATCAGAAGATTCTGATCCAGTTTGGCTCAATCGGAAAGAAATCGTATCCTGAGCAAGACAGGTGGTTTATGCTGATCGCTATTCCGAAACGCGTCCTTGTAAACACTTATTCTGATTGTGACTCTCTAACCTGACGTGGTCTTCACTCTTTATCTATTGAGGCCAGTAGGCCTACAAGAGGTTCTGTTATTAACACTCTGGCATAAAACACAACGGCATGTGTGGTGTCTGCTCCTCTGATAACATACAGCAATGATATCATATCTGCACGCACAGTGCAACCTTTGACAGAACAGTAAAATAAGTAAGCAAGGGCGCCATCTAGTGACAACATTTAACAAGGGGAAAATCCTTAATTGGATAGAGTGAGCCACTATCGCGTTTGTTGACAGCACAGGCGTAAATACAACTCTTCTTCTGCAGTTGTTGTAGTGAAATCAGAAAACTCTGCGCATATCCAAATACTTCTAATCTGAATAAAACTTGGTGTATGGGGGCGCACAGATGGCCGAGTGGGTTAGCGTGCCACATGTATGGGGACCACAGTCCCCGCAGTGGTCGTGGGTTTGAGTCCAGCCCTGACCATGTGCTGCATGTCCTCCTCCTCTATCTCCCCACATTTCATCCTGTACTATCAATGAAAAAGGCAAAAAAAAAAAAAAAATCGCCCAAAAAGATACTTAAAAAAAAAGAAAAAGAAAAAACAACTTGGTGCATGTATATGCAAGTCATGGTCAGATTATTTGATTTTGCAACCATATAAACAGTAGATTCAGATTATCCAATCCCTCAAATTTTTAATCAGACCAAGAAATTTTGCAAACATGGCTAGTGTTTCTGCTTGTCAGTCAAACCAGCTGTGTTTCTAACTTGTCAAATTTGTAACCATAATGTCTTCAGAAAATGTGTTGTAAAAGGATTTCAGTTCACAAAAAGGAAATAAGCTATCTAGTCAAGAACACTTTTTAACCAAGCAGTAAACATATTTATTTATTATTTATTTATTTTTGCTGTAAAGATGGGTTTTTTGAATGTGTGTATGTGGGTGGCAGAGTCTCTGCACCCAGCCTCATGTGGACACTCAGGGAACTGCAGTTTCAAGCACCTCTACGTCAGCTTCATTTCTGAAGACTGAAGGCTGCCACTCAGCATGGTGACTCATTAAACCATGACACTGATATTCAACACTTATTTACTTTACAAAAATAGTTATCCATAAAATAATCATTTTGCTTGTGCAAAAGTTTATTTTTCTCCATTGTATCTGTGATCTTTTTTTTGACATAATTGTGTACAAGAAAGTGGCTGAATGCAAATGTTACAGAATCTTCTTTGACTTAAATAAAGCCTGATCTCTCTCCAGACCAAAACTCTATTGTCACTATGTCTGTTTATCATTTCAACATCTGAGAAATGATTGTAGTTTGGCAGCCTTGAACAAAGTAATAATACATGATAACCATGCACAAGTTTCCCACCCCACACATGGGGCTCTATTTTCGTGCCTCGCCGGAGACGTGCCGCAAGCGCAAATGTTGGCGTATAAAATAAATTTGGCTCACAAAACTGAATATTATAATATCCGTATGTCGGCTTAAAGTAAATAACTCATCTGAGCACTGAAACAAATCATCTGTTCAGCTGCAGCAGGACGGGGAGAGGACACGGAGACATGTCCAGGTCGAGCTGCGTGCGAAATAAGAGGAAGAGGAAGAAAGAAAAGGAGGGAGACGAATTACATATCTTGTTAACTTCATCATGTGTGTTTATTAACTAGATATTTAATTTAATTTAATGCGGTTTCAGCTGTGTTGATTCGGTCAGGTTGTGTGTCCAAACGCGTGCCAAACGCGCTCATCAGATCAGATATAGATCAGAATATATCTATATAGATCTAAATGTATGTGCTGACTCAGATTATTAGTTGTTGATGATTATTTATTGCACTGAAATGTGCCTGACACTGTGGAAACCTGCCGGTGAGGCATGTGTGATGTATGCCGATACGCCGCCAGTCTACCAAAATACTACTAGACCAGCTGCGCTCCGCCTGAGCTGAAAGCTGACCAGGTTTGAAGCAGTGAGCTTTCAGCGCACTTTACACGCCACTGGCGAGCACGAAAATGTCACTGTGCCTGCTGATTCTGCACAGCTTGGCGGATCTCGGTTCGCCTCCGTGCGCCTCAGTCCATGAAAATACCAAACTGGCTGTACGCCGGGCTCCGCCAGACGAAAATACAACTGTGCGGGGTCCGCCACCCTCCGCCCACGAAAATAGAGCCCATGGTGTTAAGATGATGGAAGCCATTATTTGAATAAATTCCTTTCCACTGAGTGGTCGTCATACAAAAACACAAGACAGATTTTGAAAATAGTGTAATCTTATGTTATAGAACGCATGTCCCTCTTTGGATAAAAGTGTCCATAACAGATTTTAGGCTGTCTCAAACATGTACTTCATATTTAGGATGAGGCCTTGTGGTTTAACCTATCTGCATTACACAAAGGTTTCAGTTATGGTTTGGTTTCTCTTAGTCCTCTCTCATGATCTTTTCCACTGCTGGCTTGAAGTAACTGTTTGAAGAAGCAAACAGAAGCCATCATCCCTTAAAAGCAAAAGGATCCTGTCCACGAAAAAAACAAACAGGCTCCTTGACAAGAGACATTTTTTTCTGGAGGACAGGGAAAGTGCTTTACTTTGGCCTAAAGATTTTGTTATAGCTCTTGTTTAGGTTATAGACAGCTTGTGACTACAGTTCTGATGGCTCACGTTGTCGGCACCTTGCACTGGGTGTTTTAGGAGACACAATGATGGCCAATGCTTCCACTACAGGGGCTTTAACTTTGGCTCATTCAAACTAAGTGGATGCACCAGAAAGTCCTCTTGGAGTAGAAATTAAAGCCCACAGGGAAAGGAGCCTCATTCAAGCACTCAAATTTGCCATCCTTCGCCCTGGGTGTACCAAGGCTGGCATTAGACACCACACTCTGGAAATAACTCACACTTAAATAGGATTTTCGTCATGGCCAGTTCATCACCAGCTCAGAATCCAATGACAAAACAAAGTTTAAGATCAGATCTTAAGAGTTTTCTCTACCATATGTTCAGTTCCCTTTCTTCCAAGTGGGTGCTGAAATTCCAAGCAGTACCATACAGTCCCAGTGTAGAACTTTTTCCAAGAGCCTCCATCTAGAGGCTTGAAGAAGCAGACATATTCTGAGCTGCTGCTTGGTGCATAAGTAATCACCAACAGTCTTCAACTCTACATTTTGCAAACGATTGGAATCAAGATCTTACTTCTTAAAGAACTATTAAACAACAAACTCACCTAGAAGCTACCTCAGTACCTTTAGTCCTGGGCAACCCCAGAAAAAAAGAGTCCAGTACCACTTCACAAGTCTGGCTCCAGAGACAATTCTGCATGTGAACCTGAGTCCAGATCTGTTTCTTTGTTAAGGCTTCATCTTCAAAGCTTCATGGGTCAAGACAAGACAGCTAGACACCCAAAAGCAAGCCCGGGCAGAGTGGGTGAGGAGCACAGTGTTAAATGCCTTGTGCAACTGTGGAAATGGAGTGTGAGACACTGACCAGAAACTGTCCTTTTCAGTGCAGTTTTTTACAAAGGGCGATTGCAAAACTGAAACCTCACTTGTCTTCTTGAGGTCTGGAGATTATTCATGTTTCTGTCTCCTAGAATAGTAACCTCTGCATTATTTCAGAGTCAGTGAGTCACCTCTCTCTCGCCTTGCAATCAAAAAATGTTCACACTTAGCACCAACATGAGATACCATTGACACTAACAATAAACATAAAGATTAGTTTTATTTTCAAGCACTGCATGAATTTGTCCAAGTTGACACTTCAGTCTCATCTTCAGCTTTTCTCTTATAAAAGCTCTTTTTCATTAATGGATTCCAGCTTACATTATTAGTCAAAATTCAGAGGTGTTGACATGTTCAGACCTTGTTGTCGTTTCTTCTTTTACAGATCTTTGCCTGTTTAAATCTAGATCTCTACCCCCCCCCCCCCACCCCCCATTTGATAATTGTTATTTTAAAATGTATTCTTCATGGAAATAGCTTCACTTATAGTATTGCTAAATGTCTAAAACTTCCGAACAAAAAATGTACAGTGACATTTTTATACCAGATACCAATTTGCTCAACACAATACAAGTATTAAGGAGCTATATTTAAATAAAGCAAAAACAAAAAATCTGTATGAAAAATCAGAGTGGGCTCACCTCTGTCTTGCTTGTTCATGCTTGATTTGTGAAACTGACGCTTAGTCTGAGCATGTATAGTATTTGTTGCAAGCAAAAAAAGCAGGGCAGGGGGTGGTGAGAAAACAGTGGCTTTAAACAACGCAGGGGGAAAAAAGTTGTCAGGCATTTTCGCAGAAGTGAACAGAAAACAGGTGGGGGAGGAGTTGGTGGTCCACAAGTGAACTCACCCAGATACAGAGGAACATGAAAGTCAGTCTGGCTTTCCAGTCAGTAACGAACCCAGAGACCACAAACCGATCATTTCTCTCAAGTGGTGATGGGCTTTGGCCATAATGAGGGGAACAAAGCAGAAGTCACTCTCTGATGATCAATATCTCAAGTTTAACAAAAGAAGAAATGACTTTGATGCATAACATAAGCTTTGATTAAATTTATTGAGACAAATAAGAAAACATTAGAAAACAGAAAAAAATTAGAATATATTGACAAACCAAAGCCTGATGGAAATATGAAGTATAATATCATGTAAATCTCAGAACTGATTTTTTTTATCAGTATACAGGAGATGTAAAACACCACTGAAACAAATGAGAAATCTTATAACCTGAGATCAGACCAAAGGTTATAATATGATCTGAACATTAACACTTATTTTCATTTTGTCTCTTGTTTTGAGAGTTGTAATAGCATGCCATGATCAAAAAGTTAATGTGGCTGAAATATAATCCACACAACACAAGTACATTTTAAATGTTAATATAGAAGCAATGAGATATAAAAATAAATGGTAATATAATGTAAAAGCAAAATATTGTTTTTTATCTTGTTAGTCTGAGTTTGTTTCATTCACAAACACACCCATCTCCAACAGGATGGCCTTTGGAATAGGGTGGGCATGACGGGACACATACAGCTTCCTTAGGTTTTCACTCATAGGTGAGGGTTTGTAGTCCATGCAGGAATCTCCACCCAGACTTGGAGCACATTTCACTTCCCATTTAAAGAAGAGCCGACCATGCCGCAGGTTACAGAGGTCAGTCTTGACTCCAGCAGACAGAACTTGCTGACAGTGTCCCAACAGATCATCATCCCAGTAGTTGTCCTGGTCCCACACTTCAAATCTAACTTGACGGCCTGATGACAAATCTTGAGTACCAAGGTCCACAACCATGCCCCAGTGAGGATTGTTGTTGTTCTGAATGACAGGAGAACGTTGGACCATCACCTTGTTGAAAAACACCTTGACATAACCATCTGTGGCTGTGGTGGTGTCTCCCCAAAGACTTGTTGCTCGTTGTACTGTTATGATGACCCGTGCCATACCCTTACGAGTCGGGCAGCAGTCCTGGTTTACAGCAGGGTCGTTGTGGCATTGGCAGACACAGGAATCCCTGGAGTCACTCTTGATGCCAGCCTGACAATGCTCACTGCAGTTCTTCCACAAGCCTTTCTCAAGGACATAGTGGCTGATAGCAGAGCGCAGGTTCTTCCTAACAGGGTTGTTCTTTGGCAATAACTCATGAAGTGAATCGAGGGAGTATGAGATTACGTCTGGATTCTGTGGGATTGTGTTGAGCCACTCTTTGTAGGCAGATGGATCCTTGTCTGCAGAGAAGAGTAGGTCTGGCTCTGTGGTATGGCCCCCCTTGATTTCTGTGAACCTGTGGAGATAAGTTGCTGGATAAAAACTAAATGTAGCACGGAATGTAATGCTGTAACTCTAATGCTCTAACCATACCTGTCGTTGAAGATGTTGGAGAAGGCTGACTTACTGTCCATCTTCTCAATGTCTTGTTTGCAGTGCTTATTTTTGGTTGATAGTGTAGCATGATAGGTTGCTGACGCCTCAACTTCTAGGCACATCTCCACCTCCTCCACACTGAGGCCCTGAAGGTTGGCCTGGCACTGCTTGATGCTGGTCACAGATTGAACACTTCCTCCCAGTTTCACCTGCAATGTTAATGTTTTTAACATGGGTACTTTTTCCCTCTGGTAACCACTGAGTTGTTTTAAACTAGAGTTTTCCTATCACTTGGTTCACCTTGGTGATGTAATGGGTGCCAAAGTTGTCGATCAGTTTATAATATTGTTGCTTGTGTTTAGGACTGTAGATTTTAGGGAGATCCTTCAGTGCATTGTTAAATTCTGTGTGCAGTTTGGGTGTGCCGGAAACGCCGTAGCTGTTAATGAGACATTGAAGAGCACAGACCAGTATGAAACAACAGGTATGAGACAGTGCTGTTGTTCAGTCATTCAGTCAATTAATCATCTTGATTTGGTAACCTCACCTATAGTACTCACAGGACATGCCCTGGCTTGTGAAGCTGAATTTGTCATTCTTGGTCTTCTCCATGGAGTAACCAGCCAGCTTAGAGTGGGTACCAGCAAGCATCAGTGAGCCACCTATTTTTATTAAGTCAAAATCCAAACCAACCTGCCAGTTGTTTTCAACAGAAGAGGTGCTGGAACTGAGCAGGGACTCACTGGATTTGTGGAGTTTACTGGTCACTTTATTAATGCAGGACTGCATTGCTCTCCAGTCCACCACTGACAAGGGCAGCTTTTGCAGTTTGTTCTCTAGAAAGGTGTTTGTACACAGGGTGCATGTCTTGTCCTTGAGTTTCCACTGATTCATGTCGATCACATAGGCCCCCTTACGTTCCAAGGTGGTGATGTCGAAGCCTTCTCCTGCCAGATTAGTACCTGGAGCAAATTCTGCCTCTTGGCACTGTCTGGGTGACCCCTTGAAGCATGATGAGTTTATCAAGTGTGAGAGGGACAGCACGAGGATGACAAAGACGTAGATTTTCAACCGACACATAATGGTAAGTTTAGTGATGAATGAAAACTCTGGTGTTATCCTAAAGAAGAGAAATATAAAATAGTTGGTCAACCATGAGAGAATGAAGCTGTGCTATTTCAATCAAGTTCAAAACCATACTTAGTCACCTCAGTCTTGTAAATTGTTGCTTTTACAGGATAATTAACCAGACTTCAAGGGATATTCCGATGTAAAATTAGTTATACCAACTTTAGTAATGACCGCATAATAGCAATTCACAGCAGTCTACGTCTCCATGTGCACACTTCAACATAAAAGGCACTTGCAGCCACAAATGATGCTAACTTTAGCACCTAACTTCATCAACAGTACATATAGGGTCCCAGCCATAGTACTAACCACCAAACATCCTTTTAGCTTTGCCCGATGTCTTTAGCAAAGAGACCAAACACAACTCACCCACTCTTCTCTGGCAGCCACTTGAGGGGGAGCCTGGACGAGTCGATCACTGAGTGAAGTGGAGTTTCGCAGCTCAAGGAAGAACATCTATGACTATTACCTAATGGAAATGCAATCAGCGTTCTTGTGTATCTTGTATGTCAGTTTGTAACTGTTATTATCAAGTGCTGGCTGGGAAATGAGCATAACCTGCATAACCCTAAAACATAACCTGCTCCTGAGCAGGTTTGGCGTTCAGCACAAGTTCAGCAACCGATCCGGAAAGAAAGAAATCCACCTTGGTAGTTTGGAAAACCCAGGAGCAATCCAGGAATTATCTCGCAAAGATCAAATTCAGCTTTGTAGTACGGGCCTCTGGTGGCTTACTGTTTTGAGCATAGATGTCAACATGCCAACCGAGACACTAAGGCAGAAGAACTACCGCTTTTCCAGTGCAAAATGATATTATGATTATTACTTAAAGGAAATCATCCACTGCCCTTGGTGATGGACTTGTCTGGGCTCCCCCCACAAACAAGTGGCTGCTGGAGGAGAGTCAGTGAGTTGTGTTTGGTCATTTGCTAAAGAAATCAAGCAAAGCTGAAAAGATGTTTGATGGCTTGTACTGTGGCTTGGACCCTATATGTACTGTTGATGAAGTTAGGTGCTCTTCTGAGCATTATTTGTGGCTATAGAGTGGCTTTTTGGTTGAGGTGTGCGTGTGGAGACGTAGACTGCTGTGTATTGCTATCATGTGGTTGTTACTAAAGTTGGTATAGAGCAAGCAGTTGGTAACGTTCATCTCTCACGGGGCTGTCTAACTTGGTGTTACAGTGTGTTTGACCAGAAGTGAATTTTACGCTGAAATATCCCTTTAAGATTTTTTTTTTGATGTAAAAAAAGTAATGTTTGAGACAGTTGGACCAAAGATCTTTTTTCCTCTCCAAGTTAAAACATGACACATTCTAACACCACATCAAAAATTTTCCATTGATTTTTTTCCCTAAAATATTCGGATGCTTTGATAAACTATGAAAAAAGTTTAACTTCAACTTTCAGTGTAAATCAACTTAAAATAAAAAATAGCAGTACTGACAGGGTTTATATTTCAAAATGAAATTGTAAGATTTTAAAAAGAAGATATAAATTGATACAGACTCACCTCTATCTTGTATGTTCATGCTGTATACCGGACTAACTGCATGCAACTAAATCTCTCCTGTTTTTGAAGGCTTTTTAAGTAGGAGGGCCTAAAGATGAGGTGACAGTGGTCTCTTTCAGAACTGGGGCATAAGAAATCGTGGCTATAAGTACGTGTTTTCACACTTCGATGGCTTTATGGGAAACCATTATCTGTTCTAATTTTCTTCAGTGATGTTTTGATCAAATACCATGGCCCTAATTCCAGTAAATTTGAGATGTTATGTAAAACTAGAATAAGCGCAGTAAACTATGATGTATAAATCCTTTTCCACCTTTATTCAATCAAATACACTATGAAGACAAAATATTTAATTTTTGAACTGATAAACTTGATTGTTTTTTTGTTGTTGCAAATATTCACTGATTTTGAGTTTGAAAAGACAGGCTCCAATGAAAGCAGATGTTGCTCCTAAACCTGTCTGTACATTTCAGCACTAATGAAGCCTTCACAGGTGTAACAGTTAGCCATGGACACTAACACACCCCTAGACCATCAGAGATACTGGCTTTGACCTTTGACCTGAGAACAGTCTGGATGGTCCTTTTCCTCTTTGGTCCGGAGGACACCACATCCATGATTTCCAAAAACTGTTTGAAATGTGGGCTCGTTAGACCACAGCAGACTTCTCCGCTTTGGGTCAGTTCATCTCAGATGAACTCAGGTCCAGAGAAGCCAGCAGTGTTTCTGACTGTTGTTGATATCTGTCTTTGTCTTTGTATGGTAGAGTTTGAACTTATAAAGATGAACTGTATTTACTGACAATGGTTTTCTTCTTGAGCCCTTGTGATATAATCTTTTACTGAATGATGTGAGTTTTTAATGCAGTGCTGCCTGAGAGGTCAAAGGTTACAGTCATTCATTGTTGGTTTTGGCCTTTGCTGCTGACATGCAGAGATTTCTCTGGATCCTCTGAATCTTTTGATGATTTTATGGACTGTGGATGATCAAATCTCTAAATTCCTGCAGTTGTACATTGAGAAATGTTCATAAACTGTTGGAGTATTTGCTCACGCAGTTGTTGACAAAGTGGAGAATGTGGATCCATCCTTGCTTGAGAAAGATGGAGCCTTTCAGGATGCTCCTTTTATAGCCAATCATGACCCTCCCACATTAAGTCTTTCAAGAATGCTTTTTAAAATTCTGTCCTTTGTTAGTGTGGATGTTAAAAGCAAATTGGAAGATGCCCACCTCATATGCTCAACATATGCATGGCAATTCTTGTTCATATTTGTTTGAAGTTGGGGGTCGTCTGCTTAGTACTTGGTTTAATTGCATGTTAACAGGAATAACTATCTTATCCTAATCATTGTATAGCAGTGGGTTGGCGGATATTTGGCTGACACCTACTTGTTTTTAAATTGACAGTAAGTTGAGATGCTGTATATACTTGTCCACAATGTTCCTCTGTGGTGTTTGATATGACTGACTGATTATGACCACCTACTGATCTTGCATGCTTACTTGAACATTTTCAACCTTTTTCTGTGCTATGTCGACAGAGAAGGGAAACCTTGTTTTCAAATGTACCCAGTAATCCATTCAATGGGCCCAATAGACACACAATAAAACAAAGTCGATATGTGAGCTTTGTCTGCTGCTTCAGCTCCTACACAAATTAAAAATAAATGCTGGCTGTTTCAGCTGGGTTAGTTTAGTTTGCCATTATTTCAGACTAGCTGTAACACAGTCAGTGTTGGCATTAAAGCCAAGTGCATCCAAGCGGCATCAAACAAGTCCATTTCAGTGAGACTGAAAGCTAAAAGAGTTTGCTTTTAAAGTATATAACCATACAAGAAATAAAAAGGAAACATTTGGGTTTGTTGTGCTACAGTAATGCAGGTGTGCTCGCTACAAGACAATGTACACAATGCTGTTATGGCAGGTCAAGATAGGATGAATGGTTGTACTTGTCCAAAGGCAAATATTAGTTTTCAGCCTTCTCAAGGCGGAGTCCCATCATCACCTTGTGTATTTTTGAGTTCAGTGTTTATCTAAGCTCAGCTGAAAAGTATGCACACATGACTTTAGTGAGCATACTTTCATTATACTTAGAAATGTAAGTACTTTAACTCTATACTGTTTCTATACTATACTCAAATTACCACAGGAACCTGTAACCCTGCTGTGTGGTGGGGATGAAAATAAAAGTGTACTACTAAGTTTATTGGAGTGTAAATGTATATGTTGCAGTTTAAAAAGCTGCACTTTTTGTAAAGCTATGAGGTGAAAACCAAACACAAAAAAGATCTATCATCATGCAGTGACAAAGCATGTGACATGATTTTGAAATTCTCATATGTTACAATGTATTGGTCTACAAATTCATGTTGCTGATATCACGAAGCATAATTAAGGTAGAGACCTGGATAAAAGTAATATTTAAATAAAAATACAAATAATAATAAAATGTATCCATACATCACTTTTCAAAACAGGGTTACTAAGTCTTTTACAAATAAGGCAGGATGTCAAGAGCCCAGGAGGAGGGTTTTATTTTGTTTATCACTTTAGTGAGTGTATCAGTTGAAACTGTGTTGAAAGAGTGAAAGGCTGCTGTGGTTTTAAAAGAAAGTAGTTTTTGAGGAGGAAGGGTACTATGAGTTCTAATGCTGGAAACCTTACTGATAAAAAGGTTAAAAATTCCTCAGATTTTTAGGGGAAGAGTCCATTCAAACAGCTGCCTCTGAGGCATGGTTAGTCACATTAAACAAAGTCCCTGAGTTGAGACAGTTCTTTTCAATCAGAACAGAAAAATACATGGCTTTGGGCTTTTTTAACCTTTGCATTGAAAATCCGCATTACATTTTTTAAAATCAATTTGGAGGCTTTCCACTTACATACTTCAGTGCTAAAATGTGATGCCATTTATATTCATCATGAACTGCAACTTAATTTGAAGCAGCTTTCATATTTCTTCTGTAACCTGTAGGTATTACACCCGCACTACACAATGTTCATGTCCAGGGATGTGAGTATTATTTTGAAAACAATGACCGGAAGTGTCGTCATCTGTAATCCATGTAGCTTGATAGTTGTGTAAACGAGATGCAGGGGACCTGAGGCCGCCGGGGAAGAACACCGCATTTTCAGGAATACACCCAGCCAGGAAAAAAATGGAAAATAAAAGGATTAAACAGGATATCCCGAAACTGAGTACAAGCCTTAGAGCCAGGACCGTGAGTGACTGGAGACACCTCGCTCTAACATCAGCGTCTTCAGTCACAGGACATCGGTAGCTGACTGCCCGGCTTGCTAGCCCGCAGTCCTTCCCCACAATCTCCACTCCACAATCACGGATCTCCGTGTTTTAACAGGATAATAAAACCTAGCCCGTACTTAATAACTTGAGCGATTCCTCCCATCTGCTTTCATTCAACCAAAGGAATGACCTGCTAGTCCTCTACAGCAAATCTGACCGCTAGGATCAAGCTAGCATCCTCTGGAGTTGGATGGACTCGCGGCTCTCACTCAAACACCCACAGCATCCCTGCCCGGGACGCGTTCAAGCCTGCGCGACTACCGCACAGGAATGCTAACTAATGAGGAAGTGGCTTTAAAATGACGAGAAGCGCTGTGTCTCCTCTGCTCCAGGCGTTCAGGTGCTACAAGAACATTTTTTAGATGCCAAATGTAATGACCGCCCTGAGTTTGCGCCATGTGTGTGACTGGCCGTGTCTGTCTCCAGCCCTGCGGATGACACTCACACAGGCAGCGGCGGCTCAAAGCGAACAGCGGCGGCACGGATTCACCGTCACCGGGTAGCGCTGAGAGACTTGACGTGAGCCTGCTAACGGCAAGCTAAGAGGCTAACCGCACAATATTGGAAAAAAAATCAATCACATACCCACACCAATGGTATCCCATAAGGTTTTGGTCGCAATAATATTACTTAACGTGTATATAGGTGTACAGTCTATTTTTTATTTATTTGGCGGCGTCCTTTTAACGGTCCTGTTTGCTATGGCATTTTTAAATGGACCCAGACTGCTGGACTGGGCAAATTCACCTCCACATCTTCAGTTCAACAAATACGTCTTAACGGGGTATCGGCCAATCTCTTCGGTGCAAGACTGCATCAGGAGCCTTTTCTACCTGCACAATGAACTGGGAAACATCTACACTCACGGTGAGTCAAGCGTCAGCAGGACCTGCTTAGTCAGCAGTTGAGATGTGTGTAGCCGGTGTGACTTTGAGTATTAAACCACACATCAGTTCAGCCTCGACCTGCACAAGGATGTCAAGCCAGCCGCTCTACACACTGCACACACTGGACTGCTGTCCTCTTTTTGGACCACATAGATACAGAGCTAAAATATACCTTTTCTTAATTTTAAGTATTTTACTTAACACAAACTCCACTTTATTTTAAAGAGAAATAATGTGTGAGCAATGCCCACTTTTAATTAAAGGAGCACTTTTAAGCCAGTGAGTTCAAACTGCTTTCTAAGGTAAAGAATATAAATACAAAGCTTAAATGAGAGACAACCACAAGAAGTAAATAATGAAAAAGCATGCACACACATGCACAAATACTAATTTGAACAAATAACAAGTGCATTAAGAGTAGCTTATTTGATGGAGGTAAGTATGAATGGCTGTACAAAAATGCAAAAAACCATGTAACCTGGTAATGTGTTCAAAACTTGGCCAACATACTGACACACCATTTAGAATAAAATTAGCAAAGAGACTATATTTGATATTAAATTAATAAATTCACGGATTCATTGTGTTCAAATTTGTCTTTTAAATATTTGTAAAAAAATTTAAACAGCTGACAGAAAGACACCCACAACTTCTAGGAGCCCACGAGAGATCTTGTTTTGTGTAATCATGGAAAGAAAACCTGAAGATTTGTGTTTTATTTCATATATATGACACAAAAGTAAAAGATGTCTTTCATGTAAAAAGAATCCAACACTGTCTGCATCACTTCTCATGCACTGAGTCATTCTGAAAGTTTGCATCATTTCCCATGAAACTTACTCTTGTGGCAGTGAAGGACTGAGAAATTTCTTCGACACTTTGTGTTTAAATTTTCCATTTGTTGGTCTACTCTTTTTGTGCCAATAATTCTGTTTTAATTTCTGCTATAAAACCTGCACTTTTTGGTAAAGATGTTGAAAATGACTGGCGCTGTAGCTTAACTGTACAGACCTGAAAGTACCTTCAGTGGCAGGTAAAAGTTCAGCTTCTGGAGTCTCTTCCAGGGGTCTTCAGCAGTGAGAAATCCAGCTCTAAAAATAGTTAGGCATGGTTAAGTCGCTGAAGCCAAATCTTCCTGCTCCACAAAGGCTCTTTACTGGAACCATTCTTGGGTTTTACGGTTGTTTAAACTGTGGTTGGTTTGTGTACACACATATCATTAAAACGATTTTATGTTGTAGTACAAAGATGATCCGATGTCCTCATGGGGGACTGCTTTGGGACACTTCGTCCAACTAATGAAAGATCTACGCCCTTACACCCTGATTCTGAGGGACTCTGACGACACCACAGATAAATGACACTGTACTTGTGACTTTACTGTAAGAAGTGATATGATGACATTACAACAAATTTGGAGAAATAACAAAAAAATAGAAGCCTTAGTTGTGTCTCTCCATTATACAATTAGGCGTCACTGATTTAGCAGGTCTGGGAGAGTTAACATTAATGCACCTACAGTATGTGTTCATGTGTGCTCCCAGAGGTTAAACTGACGTGTCAAGCTCTTACTGTCCTCTCAGTCTGTGATTGTCTATTATGAGACTGGCAGCATATCTCTTTGTCCCTCCCAGGTTATGCCAATTAAATTACATCCTGAATCGGAACAGGGTGCAGCAGGTTCATCCTCAGTGTGCCTGCACAACTTCTGAGCCTTTCACAACTTCCTCGTTCTGAAGGTCGCTATTTCATTGCACTTCACTTGCCAGAAGTCACACAATAAACTGCAGGGATGATCACTGAGGAAGTGGCCCTGGAAGTCTTAATAACCCCCCAGTGATGTCAGCTGAACATGTGACCTCAAATGCACCTTTAAACATCATTGTCTATATCAGGAAGTGATGTGTAATCCAGAGAGCCTCTGTCCAAATTGTTTCAGATGAAGTCATTTTTAATTGTCTTTTAGTTTCAATAGTTTTCAAGTTACCCCAGCATTTGTGTTGCATGTAAACTCAACACCTTTGAAAGATAGACCTTTACTGTCATGCAGTGTACAAGCACAGGTACAATGAAACTGGATGGCTGTCCTCACCAGTGCAAAAAAATCTTGAATGAAATGAAATGACAGTAAATGCATACATCAAAACAACACTTAAGTGTAAAAACTTCACTCAGCGGAGATTATTGGTCTCTGAGTGAGGCCGAGTATGGTCTGTTGTCTATGCTAGGACGAGTGGGGGGAGGAGCCGAGATAAAACACTTAAAATAGATGTGTTACATTAGATGGTATTGCCTGTATCACCTGGCTGGGCATTGACATTGGGAAAGGCAGAGTGAGCAAAATAAAGAGGGGGAAGGGAACGCAATATGTGATAAATGATCGCAACAACTGGATGTGGATCAAATTTCAAGGTCTGGATTTTGCTCACAAAGCAGTGAACGCCTCTGCTGTGCCAAATACAGACACTCTGATTTGAACTAGGTAGCTAAAGCAGTGTGGCCCTTTAGCTGCATCAAAATAAAAGCTCAGTGTAAGCGTTTTCTTCCCCTCACAGGGTAACACTGATACATCTGTGCCAATCATGTACATTTCTGCTCGTGCACAATATTCTTGCTGGTGTCTGCACACACTCAGCATTGTGAGGTGGCCTTTGCAACGACTCAGGCTTGGACAGTGAAAAAAGAGGGTACCCTCAGGCCTTCAAAAGTTCTTTGCTAGATGACCTTTAACAGTTAGCATGGCGACTTCGTTTGATTCGTCAAAACATCTGTGTTTTGTGCTTAAGTGTGCATTTAACCTCAGGCATTATTTTCACTCAACCACAGCAGGAAAAAATTGTTCATTCATATGCTGTAAATATGTTGCTTTTTACAGAGCTCCCAAAGATCCCTAAAGGTTTCTGCGTTTTTTTTATCTTGCGCTCCTCAGGAAACAGCATGTAATGGTTGTGTGTGCTTGTGTTGTGCCATAGCACCTCACAATTGACTCCAACTTGCTGTTTACTCTTTTAACAACAGCATTTAAAGTCAGTGCAGCCACTGTTACTGTAGTATGACACTCCAGAAATGACGAAACAGGGCTTGACACTTACTTTTTTCCCAAGGAGCACATGTGCTCCTAAGTTAAAAAAGTAAGGAGCACACAAAGAACTTTAGGGGCACAATGAAAATTGATCAAATAATGTTTGTCTTATTGGTTGACATAAGTACTATTATTTGAAATCAATTTTAGGTCTTTTGGTCACATGACATGGAAGCTATTGAAGGAGAACAGCCTTTTCTGAGAACATTAACCGGTAATTTATTGATTGTCGCTTATTCAACACCCGACGTTGACAGCAAGGATGCCGAGTAGATTTAACCGCGCTGCTGTTGCTATCACCGGTTATGGAGAGTGAGAAGACACTGGTGGGTCCGCAGTGAAATATCTAACCTAAAACTAACTTCACTGCACATGAAAAAACATTTGTTACCTCGGCTATTTTTTTATGCCCACATGTGCCCCTAAATACACTTAACAATTAGCACACATCTATTTTAAGTCGCAAATGCGAGTGAAATGGTCGCACTGTCGAGCCTTGTAAAACCACAAAAAGAAACTAATTTGATAAGAGAATGTTAATTTATTTTAGCGAAACATATGACATGGGGCGCTACCCTTTGTCCGCAGGGGCCTCAGCAGAAAGTGCTTGTGCTTAATGAAAACAGCATATTACTGGCCAATGGTGCCTGATAATGACAAATGATGGCAGTTGATTGCAAGTGGAATCATAAATTCTGCTACGTTAATATAAGATTATAATCTGTATGCATAGATAGGTACTTGTTTGCCCAAATTCAAAAATGATCACCCTTTAGGACTTAAGGGCCTCTATTGCTTTTGCCTTCTCCTGTAAAGAAGACTAATTTCTTCATCAAAAGCATGAAGAAATGATTTCTTAAATATACAACAATGTGTTTGGCAGGTGCATCTTTATTCTTATTTACAGCTACCCAACAACAGATATTTCCATTTTTTTCTCTCCAGGCATCCCTCTGGTTTGCTTCCTGGTGCTGCTTCCTCTTAACATTCCCTGGTCCCAGATCAGTGTCACGTGGCTGGGCGTGGTGCACTTCCTGGCCTGCCTGTCGCCTCAGCTGGGCTCTGTGCTCTATCACCTTTTCATGAACCATGAGGGAGGTGAGCCCGTCTACCACACCCTCCTCAAACTGGACGTGTGTGGAATCTGCATGATCAACACTCTGGGTGAGCCTCAGCAAATTTCTTTACAGCGAATCCTTCTGCACTCAAGCACTTCTGTTATTGCTGCTCTGTTCACTTTGAGGGTGGAACTTCTCGTTATTGATTATTAATGATTTACTGAGGAAGTGTTTGCTTGGAGGTTTACCGGTATTGATTTGTCAGGACAAATTTGACTGAGTCAAAAGGCCAATGTAAGCAATGATCCAAGCTCTGGATTTATTACTGATCTGCCCGCTGCCTGTGTTATGATAACACAAAGGTCTATGGCAGTATCTTACTTTAATTTCAGATCCTCACAGCAGACTGCTTAGATAAGCCAAAGAGTGATAGATAGAGTGAGAAATAGATGTGGACTTGGATCTTGATGCCTGTCCTATAAACAACAATTTAACAACCAGTGGCTTAATATACACAGGCCCACGTTATTAATGATTTATTCCAAAGTCATAACATTTGGTCAACAATTGTCCTTTGTTCCCTGGCATTGCTCCTGCAAAGTTTTGTATGGTATTTAAGAGGTAGTGGTGCCAATCAAAGGTGTCAATCAATCATACCGCTGCATGATATTACAGTGCTGGTAGCTCCTCATTTGTTTTTTATCATCGAGAACAAAAAGTTAAAGAAAATTTAAACTTTGTTTTTACTGCATTTCAGCCTTTCTCCCCTCATGTTGAAGGTGGAATATTAAGCCAAATTTACTCTAATGGAAAGTTTTGTTTAGTAGAAGTGGAAGGCTTCTTTTTGCCTGGGCTCTCAACAGCTTGCCCTCTTCCTGTTGGTGTTGTGTGAGGTGTTGCGCTGCTGCTGCTGTAGGGTGGGTGTTAGAGGTCTTTCTTTTTTTTCATACTTGTCTTTGTGTGTTTTCTCATCTCAGGGGCACTGCCCATTGTCTACAGCACACTTCTGTGCTACCCTTTCATCCGCACTGTGGCCCTGTTAGTCTACATCCTGCTGTCCAGCCACGCCATCTACTGCGCTGTCACGGCTCGGAGCAGTGTTCGCCGGCTGCGCTCCTTCGCCTGGCAGGCGCTTTTTCGCTTCTCCTTCTTCCTGCTGCGCTGGGTGGGTGTAGGTGGCGGAAGCCCCACCTCCTTACGCCACTTCCTCACGATGGACGCGCTGGCCGTGCTGGGCGGGGTCATCAACATCACGCGCATCCCAGAGCGTTTCCGCCCGGGCCTCTTTGACTACTGGTGCAACAGCCACCAGATCATGCATGTACTAGTGGTTGGATCCATCCTTTACCTGCACTGGGGCGTACTGGATGACCTGCTGTGGATCAACAGCTACAACTGTCCCTCAGAATGACCCGCCCTGCAGCCCCCAACCCCCTACCAGGAGCACTTGGATGTATTTTGAAGGACCTCTAGGGGGAGGGGGGGTGAACAAGGAAAGGGGAAACTGAGGCTGCGAGGTCAGACGAGGTGTTGTCCGTGCATGTGTTCGCCTCATGCACTCCAACTCAGAATGTTCATATCTTCGTCCATCTTGGTACTTTGTGCGAATGCAGGCAAAGGTTTGTCAAGTAACACGCACAAGCAGTTTGACTCTTTCACTTGCAGCAAACATGGACTCTCACAGAAAAATGGAAACAGCAAATGAATCAAATACCGAACACTTTCAAGTCTTAGGTAATGGCTCTAGTTAAAGGTTCTGGCTGGTTTTAAAGCCTTTATTCAACAGTAGAAGTTGAACTTGAGCATTAGATAAAAGGGTCAGTCCAGACAGTCTGTGGCTAAACAATATATCACGCTCAAGTCCTCTCAGATGTCACTGTTGCTACCTATGCAGCACATCCATATCTAAACTCACCCACATTGCATACACAGCACAACGCTCAGACACCCTCACTCCTATATTTTTATACTACATGTACATAATACGAGTATTGCACGCAGCACTCATTTAACTCTCACTCCATCCAACTGACTGAGTTTTACTGGACCTTTTGTCCCATCCGCGTGACCTTGTTTCCCGCCACTGCCTCTTTTTGTTTCTGTGTGCGTCAGTCTGATTTGTGGTTCTTGTCTCAAAGTGAGATAAAAAATGGAGATGGGTGAGAAGGTTCATTCCTGAGTGTGCCAGCATGTTGGTCATGAGTTTACCTGCTAAAGGACTGCATGTCAGAGAGAGTGGTGCAGTTTGATTAATTTCTGAGCACAGTGCCAATTAAATTCAGGCACTCTTCATCAGAAAAAAGTGCACACCTTTACAAACTGTACTGTTCAATGGAGTTGTTGTGTAGAAACTCCTTTTAATGTATTCATGAATATTTATGAAATGCTCAAAGTTTTTATTTAACTTAAGTTGTTAACTGTCTCATATGTTGAAATGTTTTCATGCACATACGGGCTGTGGGAAAGTCCTCTTATGTGCACTTTAGGTTAGCAGAACAGACAACAATAACCACACCGATGACCTCAAAGACTCGATAGTCTCAAACTGAGAAGCCGCTAAGTCAACAATCGATCTGTAGAACAGGGTGGCAGGATGCACTGAATAGATGAAGCCCTTAAAGCTGACCTGTGTATTGGCACTGCATACACAAAATACTGTAAAGAAATATGTTATAATAATGATTAGACTTTATTTATCTGTTGACTGATCCAGTTCAGCTTGTGTTTCTGTCGGCGAGCCAAACAGTATATGTTGATGCTGTGCAGGATCACTGGCTGACAGGTCAAGTTGGAGGTCAGAGAAAATCTTTTGTTTTATTCAGAGCATGCAAATCCGGAGGATTAGCTCCTTGCCTCCCATCCCCACACACACTTTTTTTTCACAGATTTTGACTCCCACTTCATTGTGGAGATAGACCTCTCTCTTTCTATCCCTGCTTGAGTACATTTACACAAATGAAGTTTGAGAAAGCGGGTTTGTTTTGATCGAACTGCACTCTGGCTTGAAAGAAAATGTTTACTATGTATGGGTGTTTGCTGTACACTGTGACCCTACTTACTGTGGATTATAAGGGTCAGCCATTAATGCTACATAGCAGGTCCTATTACTGACACTGTATGTGTTCATATTGAAATGCCCTGCTTTTGCTGTGCAGCTGGATCTGTGTTCAGTGATGGATCACAGCTTGACTTGCACTTTATTTTGATTTGTTTGATGTCTTTGTGGAGTTTAAGTGGAGTTGTATTTTGTGAAGCTGGCCTTGCCAAACAGGAATGAACCCTTACACCCTCTTGTAATGTAAAAGTTACACGAAACCATCATGATTGTTCTGCTACTGTGTTTCCTCTGAGATGATACAGTCACTACTATTGTAGGATGGGCTCCCTGCCTTCCTGCCGTGGAGGCCCGTTTCTGCCAAAAAACTTACACATATAGAGGAAAAACTGAGCCCTGATGATTAAAAGCAGCACAAATGTAAAGTAATTACTATGAGAGGACAAAGTGTTGAGGCTGAGGACTGAAATACCAAGAAGAAAATCACTTTTATGAGATGAACATAACATAACAATGATGTCAATGGGATAAAAGTTCAGGAATTCAAAACAAACAAACAAACAAACAAACAAAAACTGCATAATTATGAAAAAGCGAGGAAAGTTATTCTAGTGCGAAGTGTTGGATTCTTGTAAGAAGTGCAGAAAGTCAATTACAAATGTGACACAGAACTTTAGGCTAAGTTATTCAATAAAAGATATTCAATGAAAGGCGAGGCTTTGTTCTACTGAGATAAAAAGTCCATTTTTTTATCATTAATTTGTAAGAGATGAGAAACTGATAATGAGATAGAGTTTTTGTGTGATAAAGGTTAAGTGATAAAACATCTGGCTTTTCTTACATTATGACAGACTTGCTGAAAATTTTTTAACTATTTACCTCATATTTTTAACTTTTTTTTTCGTATTTTTGACTTCAAATCTCATAAAAGAGACTTTTATAAATCTCATTTTAAATCATTATATAGTTAAATTGACAGTCTTTAAATCTTAGTCATTCAATTTGCCGTCATTTGGACCGATCAGTCATAATAATGACTTTATTTTGTTTTTTATTCAACATAGGTGACTATTTTTAATCATCAAGGTTTGTTTGGTTGTTCCCATTTTTGTCCATACTGGTAGAAGCGGGCTTCCCCATGCTAGTGGACTGAGTAGTGGCTGAACTGCTGTTCCTCCTCCAGAGGCCCACTTTACTTTCTTAATGACATTGCACTGGTGTCCCATGCCAACAGTCACAGCCGCCCACTCACTCGAGTTGCCAATTCTGTCAGGCCCTCTTCATCTTGCCAAACGAACTGCGTCTGAGGTGTAGCACATCCTCTGCTTCCTGTGCTAACACTGACTCATAGGTGAAGAAGGATTTCCCACAGTCGTAGTCACGTACTCTTGCCTCAGACTGCACCTCCACCCTACCTAACCCCCCCCCCCAATACCATGCATCTACTGGTCTCATTATGACACAGTGATAATTACCCGCTGTGACCGTAGTACAATATAAAAGCTGATGTAGTATCAGCCATTAATGGAACTAAAAAATAATGCATGAAAGTAGCAGAGAAACTTATGTCTCAAAGTGTTAGCCAATAGTTTGCTCATTCTAGCCGTCCACAGGTCACGTCACTCAGAAACGACTGTGTGGTTACTTACGTGGCTGACTTGGGTTTGGGGAAGGGGGAGATGATTGAGCAGATGACATCAGAGGCAATACATCTCCAACAAACTAACTGCACTGTTCATCGTTCTCAAAAGGGCTTTGGATTAAAGTAAAGTAAAAATATGAGACCTATTTAAAATCTATATAAATAATGTAAATACATGTATGTAGATGATATATACATACAGTGCAAACCATATACCCTGATTCAGTTTTGATACACAGTATGTTAAAAGACAGAAAATAAGAGATGGGGATCTGCCACATAAGCTGCTGCTCTCTTTCACAGCCAAAGCAAATTATGAAAGAGGACAGCAGATACAGCTCGGCGCAGTGATTTGGATTCATTTCAAAGAAGTGTGTTTGCTTAGCTTTGTCCATTTGTATGTGAACAACAAAGAAAACATTGGCTTCAATGTGGAGTTGTTTGGCCTTTTGTGACCCAAACCAAGACGCTTTCAAGCATTTCAATGTAAGAAATTCTTGGGAAAGACATTTTTGACCATCGTGGGGTAATATTGGCGGGCATGTGAATACCTCATGACTACCACTGGTCTATCTATGCATTATCAGCCGAAAAAGGATCATAACAGTGATTTGTGCTTTTTTTTGTAACAAGCAGCCCTCCAATCCACAGGGCTTCTTTGCTCCAACATCCTGGGTCTCCCACTTCTCAGGGTGCCATAACAGTAGCTGTAACGTCCGAGACCTGACCTCGGTGGCCTGAAACATGGCTGCGAGACTTTGCATCTACCTCCACCTGCCTCCACCTCTTTGTCCAGTCTGTTTGTGCTGGGGGACTGGGCGACAGATTGGACAGAAGGGAAAAAAGAAGGTGGAAAGGGAGTATTTCTCTGAATAACCATGTCACAGGAGGGGAACCTGGCCTGAAAATTAATCTCTGTCCTTTTGTCTGTATGTTAAAGTGATAAAAAAATGACGATGTTGGAACACATCACTAACAAAACAACATTCTGTTTTTTTTAATAAACACAGGTGCCGGATAGCCTGTTAATGACCTGTTTATAATGGATTACATGTATTGTTATATACTGATTATTATGATTACTGTTATTCTGTGGATCCTAACAATGACACTGGTCTAAGTGTACAGATTTTGAGACAAGCCCTTTGCTTTTGGATTAAGGGAGCTTTCCAGAGGGTCTGTCTGTTATTTGTCTCCTCATAGCTGCAAAGTCAAATGTCTAAAGGAGTGAGTGTGGCTCCATCTAGAGGATGTTCATGTGCAATGATGCAGGCATTACTGTAGCCAATCTGCAGGCAATGAAAATAATTGACAGCTTGTAAAACTGTCAGCTCTGGCTTGCAGTTATCCTCCAGGGTTGTTTATTTATATTCCCTTACCATGTATGTATGACGTGTGTGTATGAGCTCTCCTGCAGAACCCATACAAGCATGAAACCTGTTTGTTGTCAACTTGACTTTCTCCCTTTGCACTGAGGGGCTCCTGATTGGGTCCCCAGAGTGCCTCATTACCCAGTCTGTGTGCTTGCAAATTAACATGCATGAACCCAGATGACACAGTTTGTCCCTGTGTTGCAGCTCACCTGTCTCTTCAACATAAGTGTATCCTGTGTAACAGACAGGCTCTCACACTCCTCAGTCTCCAGCAACGATTGTGCAATAAACTGAAGTCTATATTTTTAAACTTGTCTTCTTGAGTCTTCTCTTTCATCCAAGTTTCTTTTCATGTCCTGGTGTGACACTGCACACCTTTTAAAGACTACTTTCAAGGCATGGTGTGCGTTAATTGAGAGGAGAGGATAGTGGGTAGAGTCCTAAACCAGAGATGGAAGGGGTGTATGGGGATATCCTGGGATGAAGGGCTGAGGGATGGACTGGAGTCATGTCGCTCAGCCTCAGCCTCTCATATCCACAATATAACCACTTAAACTGGCCCCCAAGTATTTAGAATATTAAATGAAACATTTTGTCTGGTCTTAACCAATTTCCTTTACCATTTGAATGATATTTCATACCATAAAAGTTAAATTATTATCACTGGCATGACACTATGATTAACACTGAAGGGGCATAAGCTTTTTTTTTTATTCAAAGTTTTCATATTTATACACAGAGGTCACACAGGTCCAGACCTTAAAGAATACAAACAGACAATTAACATATTCAAAACACAACTGCAAATAGGGAAGATCAGTGCATGCTAATACTTAAATTAATATTGAATTCATTGTCATTAGGTTCAAATTGTCCTATGTAGATCAGGTTTCAAAAACACAACTTATTTCATATTGACCAGATTTAACAATCAATTACATTTAATCAAATCAATATGGCGAAAATGATATGTGCCCCCACATCTGCTTTCAGATGGTTTCAGACCTAAACTTAATGTCATTTAGTGTATCTGTTATTTGCTTCATACCTAGAAGATTAAAAAAGTCAAATGCCCATGTTTCTATATATGTTTCTATAGCGAAACATTTTGGTTTGGTTTGGTTTGGTTTGGTTAGTGAATTACCCAGTTTGACATAATCATTCTTTTGGCAGCCAACAAGGCTAAACCAACTGTCTTCCTTTCTTGTGATGTTTTTGATTGTAAAGCCCTGTGACCCAACAGACACTCAGATGGACATGGAGCAATATTTACATGAATGATCACTTAAATTAACTTATTGAATCCTGTCCAAAAACACTTGACTGCCAGGCAGAGCCATAACATATGATACCAATTTCCCACTTGTCCACATTCATTCCCACAAAGATTTGAAACACTTGGGTCTACTCTTTGAAGTCTAGAGGGAGTAACATATGTTTATGAATAATTTTCAGCTGTTTTACTCAACTTCTGACTGATTTTGAAGTTGTTTATGTCCCACCAAATGTTTTCCCATTCTGCAGAAAATAAATTTAACCCCTAAATCAATCTCCTATTGTAACTCTGTTTTTGAGTTCAGGTTTGGGGAGAAATGAAGAAGCAACTCATATAAACCTGAGACTGCTCCTCTGTGTGATGATAAAAGTCCGATTTTTTTTTTGTCAGTGTCGTAATTGTTATCAAAATATTCTTTGGGAAATTTGGAAACAATTGACTTTAAAGAGGAATACTGTAAAAAAACTACTTGTATTCAAGTTATGTCTTCTTCTAAGTTCCTCATAGGGCAGAATCTTTCTGTTCACTACAATCTAAGAAATTTCTATTATATTGTGATTGCACCATTATTACTATATTGGCTAGTAGTTGGCTGTTCCAAAGTGAGGATAATGACACATAATTGTTCTTCTTCTTTACAAGATGTTTATTTGTCTCTATTCTTTTTATCGCCCCAAATAAGTCAATACTAGGCATTAAATTCAAGAAAATACAAATAAACATCAGGGATTCCAAGACCCCCATTGTCTCTTGGTAAGGATTATTTTTTCTGATTAATTCGAGGCTTCTTGGAGGGGCATAATCACATTAAAGGTCCCATATTATGCAAAATTTACTTTAGAATGGTTTTCTAACAATAATATGCTTCTCCAGCCTGTCTACAACCCCCCCCCCCAAAATGAGAAAAATTCTATCCTCTCCTTCTCTTGCTTGTTCTACCTTTCAGAAAATGTCTGCTCAAATAGGCGGATTGAAACTATCGCCTTCCATGATGTCATGGACGGCAATAAATCCTCCCCTCCAGGTTGGTGACCCTGCCCAAGATGTTTGTTCTGCCCCGCCCCCCCCTGAAAATTTCCACTCGGACACTATTTTTCTCCCTCGCAAACGCTGGTTCAAAGTGGTGACGATAGGAGCAAATCACGGCAGTTGCTCTGTTGTCGGCTGCACAAAGCAGCACAGGAGTCTGTTTTTGTAGACTGCAAGAACATAGTCAGGAGAGATAACTATACTTACAATATTGCACATTCATTAAAAGAGCTCCAAGTAACCAGAAGACAGCGGAGATGTAACCGTTAGCAGGAGCTAATGTTACCTAGCTACAGTTAAGTCACTGTGTACCAACACACGAACAAAGTAAAAAGAAAAATATTGAGACACATAGTATTTGTAACTAACCATTCAGAAATGTCCTGCTGCAGACACAGAGCTAGACTTTCTCCAGGAGCCTGTCCTTCTGGGTCAGACTCTGGATCAAACTGGTAAGTACAGCTGGACCACAGCGCTTTAAGAGCCATACCTAGCACTCTGTGTAAACATAAGCGCATTGTACCATAGCACAAGCCCCTAACCCCCTCTTTCAGAGAGAAAGGGAGGGGCGTGGCTTACGCTCAAGGATGTGTGGACAGGCGAAGCATGCAGAAACAGTGGCCCTCATTTATCAAGCTTGCGTACGGCAGAAAACTTGCGTACACCTTGCGTACTACAATTTTGACATGAGGATCAGCGTTTATCAATCTGCATGTGAGCGTACGCTACGACCAAATCTCACGACAGGTCTGACATCGTGTAACAAGTTTGAGTCCGTGGGGATCTGCAGTGCAGCAAATGTCTGTCTCAAAATAATTGATAAACAAACCTCAAACCTGTCATTAAGCACAATCAGCCAGATTTCATTAAAGATTAAGACGTAAATAAAATAAAATAAAATAAATTTGTTATGTCCTTAGTGAATAGGCCTATTTGATAACTCTGCCCAGAAACACTGCCACAGAGTAGGAGCATCGTTTCAACATTACGCACACATGCACACGCACCACTGTGGAGTGCTGCGTTTGACTCCTATAAGGCAGGTGTCTCTGGCCCTCATTTAGGTTTCAAAAACACAATGTTTTTCATATTGACCAGATTTAACAGTCAATTACATTTAATCAAATCAAAATGGCGACAATGATATGTGCCCCCACATCTGCCTTCAGATGGTTTCAGACCTAAACTCAGTGTCATTTAGTGTATCTGTTATTTGCTTCATACCTAGAAGATTAAAAAAGTCAAATATCCATGTTTCTATAGCGAAACATTTTGGTTTGGTTTGGTTTGGTTTGGTTAGTGAATTACCCAGTTTGACATAATCATTCTTTTGGCAGCCAACAAGGCTAAACCAACTGTCTTCCTTTCTTGTGATGTTTTTGATTGTAAAGCCCTGTGTTACGGCTGTGTGTTTGTTTTGCATGTGTTTTTCCCCTTTTGTCTCTCCATAGCTGCCCAGGTGAAATCACTTGAGTGACAATCAGACTCACCTGGTGCTGGGAGTCTAAAGCCCAGAGCTGCCTGCAGTCTGGAGAGGCATTTGGTGGGGAACTGCTGCCCTGCTGCCTCTCATTTGTGTTGTGGGTGCTTTGTGTTTACTTTGCAATTTTGTTATGTTGTCACATTAAATCACTTGTTAAACTTTTGAAGGTGTTTCTTAATTTGATGGGTAAAAAGTTGAGGATAGTTGTTAGCCCCATAGGGCCGCCTAAGGGTGGGGCGTAACAAATGGGGGCTCGTCCGGGATCGAACATCCATGAGGTTCTTTGAAGTTGTTTTTTTTCCTTTCGTAACTAGTGACCATAGTTTGGGTTTGTTAGTCTTCTGTTTCTGTCACGATCTTAAGTAGTTGCTTTTATTTGTAACTTCTGAGCACCCTGATTATTTAGTCGCCGGGCAGGGAAGAGCTTGCCACTTTTTTATTTTGCCTTTCTTATTTTTGGTGGTAATCCTGAGGAGGGGGCACACTTAGGTGATGCCTCGAGCTTGGCAAGCCACTGAAGACTAGCTAGGTAAGTCAGACATCTTAAGCAGGTAGGGGTTGGGGTGACTCATTTTGATCTGTAATTGTTTTGTACTATAGTACTGTTTTTGTGTGTTTCAGAAGGCTACCCATTCTTGCTTGGTCACTCTGTGTGATAACAGTTAGGATTTTGTGTGCAGTAACTTGTGTTGTGTGACCATTCGTTGGTGGTAACTGCTCTCCACATTTGGTGGGTCACGTGTGAGTTGCATCTTGGGTGTAAGGTGGCAACAGTTGTGTAGTGGTGACTACTGTGTGACCATTTTGTGTAGTGGTTTGCAGTCCACATTTGGTGGGTCACTTGTGTGTTACTGTTTCGTGTACCTATTTGTATGTTTCGTTCGTTTGGCTTGTTGCCAGCCTTCTCACAGTAACTTGTGTGTCTTTTGAAGACTTTGGTCCATTTGTGTTGTGGTGGTGGCAGTCACCTTTTGTTGGATCTCTGTGTGCTGTTTGTGAATGACAGCAGTGTTGTAGTTTTACTACTTTTGTTGATCCGTTTGTGTGTGTGACTGTTCACTCCACTTTAGTGTTGGACATCTGTTACTGTGTGTGGTATTGGCAAATTTAGTGTTTTGCTCTTTGTTTGTGTAAACCTCATGGTAGTAGCCATTTTGCTTTGTGGGAGTGGCACCCACTTAATTGGCTACTTTTGGGATGGATGCTCTTGAATTTGGTTGCAGCATCTTCCTTGGCCCTAATTTAAGATTGTGTTCCTCACGACCCATTTTGCACCTTTTTGTCAGCAGTGGTTGTCTTCAGTTTTGGGTAAATAGTGAAGGGTTTTTTTTTTTAAGCTTGTGCAGTGGTGTGTGTTTTGTAACACACAGCCTTGGTGAGTAACACCCATTTAGTTAGTTTCTTGTGTTAATATAGTTGACACAATGCACTTTAATTCAATGAATAAATGTTTTGTATTGTTTTGGATTTATGGTGTGCAATTGTGGTGTTTATTTTTGCAGTACAAATGATTTATTCATTGTTTTAAGGGTGGGGGTGTTACGGCTGTGTGTTTGTTTTGCATGTGTTTTTCCCCTTTTGTCTCTCCATAGCTGCCCAGGTGAAATCACTTGAGTGACAATCAGACTCACCTGGTGCTGGGAGTCTAAAAGCCCAGAGCTGCCTGCAGTCTGGAGAGGCATTTGGTGGGGAACTGCTGCCCTGCTGCCTCTCATTTGTGTTGTGGGTGCTTTGTGTTTACTTTGCAATTTTGTTATGTTGTCACATTAAATCACTTGTTAAACTTTTGAAGGTGTTTGTTAATTTGATGGGTAAAAAGTTGAGGATAGTTGTTTGCCCCATAGGGCCGCCTAAGGGTGGGGCGTAACACCTGTGACCCAACAGACACTCAGATGGACATGGAGCAATATTTACATGAATGATCACTTAAATTAACTTATTGAATCCTGCCCAAAAACACTTGACTGCCAGGCAGAGCCATAACATATGATACCAATTTCCCACTTGTCCACATTCATTCCCACAAAGATTTGAAACACTTGGGTCTACTCTTTGAAGTCTAGAGGGAGTAACATGTGTTTATGAATAATTTTCAGCTGTTTTACTCAACTTCTGACTGATTTAACCCCTAAATCAAGCTCCCATTGTAACTCTGTTTTTGAGTTCAGGTTTGGGGAGAAATGAAGAAGCAACTCATATAAACCTGAGACTGCTCTTCTGTGTGATGATAGAAGTCAGATTTTTTTTTGTCAGTGTCATAATTGTTATCAAAATATTCTTTGGGAAATTTGGAAACAATTAACTTTAACCTAATCTTAATTACAACATTTAAACAAAAAAGACTCTAAACATCTCATTTTTAAAAAAAATTACCTTTATGAATCAATTATATATTTTTTTTCACTATATTCTAATTTCCAATTTTTAATATTTCTTTATGTGCCACTGAATGAAGAAATAGGGTCCAGTTGCAAAATTCAGAGATATTTCCAAGGTTTAAAGTCTGTTGAATCAAGCTTAGGTAAGTACATAGGACGTGGTAGCACATGCAAAGGTATCCGAAATATTAAACAGAAAGGGAAAGTCACTTAAACTAGTCAGAAACACATTGGGGAAAACATAAAGAAACCCCTGACAGCTGACACAAGGGTAAAAATGAACTGGCTCAGAAGGAGGGGAAGACAGAGCTTAAATACACACAGGGAGAGGGGATAAAGAGGCACAGATGGAGCACTTAAGGACAACCAGGGAGGCGGGAGACATAAGGGCAGGAAGTAAAGCACGTGAAAACAAGAGACAAGGGTAACTTTCAAAATAAAACAGGAAACACAAGATGGTAAACATGAGGAGGGACAATCTGGAGCTGCAACACTTTAGAACAACCTCTATCAGAGGCCAGTGTAAAGATGAGTAAGATCTGCTAAAATGTACGGCTGCAGTGATTTTCCACAACACTGTAACTGCATGCACATGTTTCTCTAAAATGTTAGACTAAACAAGCAGAGTGTTTCACTTGTTTGATGATCACTGCACTTTCTGAAATAAGTGATTATACCAATCAGATGAGGTGTGTGCAATGATGGCTTGAATTTGCGTTAATCAGAAAGAAAGAAACTGAACTTCCTACCAGCAGGGTAAGTATGTACTGTTCTGGCATCTTAATCTTTACATAACCTTACCAAACATATCATAAAACTCACACTGCCTTCCCCTTCATGTGGCAGTTTTTTAACCCTCGTATGTCACCTCCCACTTCCACCACCATTTGAAACTGTCACTTCCTCAAATGTGATGTGAGGTGATGTACTTAACCCTACCACCTCTTCTGAGTTCTTATTCTGGTGTTTGGTGCACTGCTGAAAAACTCCTCCATCTCTACCACCTACACCTTCTCAGGTAGGCCTGCAACATATGGATGCAGTTTTACTTACTATTCATTAACTCAAACATCTCTGAAGATCAATCTTTTTTCATCCAGGATTAAGTCACATGTAAAAAAACAAGGGGTCACTGATTTGAATTTAGCATCTTTGATCCACTGGCTCGAGTTTCTTCTGTTTCAACTTAGTGAATTGTTTCCTACTTTGTACATGCTGATGTTTCCCATCACAACAGGGAGAGAGACAGCAGTAGACAGAAATTATTGACATGCATTTAGGCTCCTGATAAAATTACAGCTCACTCTGTAAAGGGTTATTGAATTAGGCACAGAGCAAAGAGAGGTCTTGTGATGCACATGCAGCAAAGCTGCTGCACCGTTTTGAGTTGAGCATAGGCGCGGCTGCAGATTTCAGGAAGTCTGATCGAAAAATGGAGGTAATGCAAAAATAATTCTGAGTTTCTGATGTGGGGGGACTGTTGTCGAATAGTGCAGGGTCTGTTTGTTTTGCAGTTGCTTTCAACTAAACTTGTGAATGATTTGAAACCTCTTCAGGCTGTTCAGTTTTGATTCCCAAGTCTGTAAACAGTGCATTTGTTGCATGGTTTTTAAAAACTTGCTGATTCTTATGCTTTTAAGTGTGTAAACTGTGAGAGAATCAGTAAAAACATGAGTGAGTGAATGACAAATATGGCAACAGAGAAAGGTTGGTGGCTTCCTCTGAAGGATGTGGTGTAACTGCTGCTTCGAGTGCCTCATCTCCCCTTTCAGCTAAGAGCACATGCAGCACGCCTGATGATGAAAAGCAGGTTCTTTCATGTAAACCCAGTGCTGTTGTCTTGTACTGTGTTTAGCAGTCATGTTTAATTAGCTTACACATAAAATCTCTATAGAAGACAAGGAAACACAGAAAGGGGGCTGCCAGCCACAGACAGACTAGAGGAAGCAGTTGTGAAAGATTTTACTTCCTCTTTTTTAGCTTTCCTATGTCGTGTCTTTGAGCTGTGTCGTCAGCTTTGTGTCTGTCAGTTTAAATCCACATGTATCTGAAAGTATAAATGTTAAAGTCACCTCTAAATTATTCTCTTTGGCATCAAGTGTGCATTTTAAACAACACAGAGTCATAAATATGTTTTAACTAATAGGTTCTGTTCATATGGTTTTTGTGCTAACTGTTGCTTTTTTCCAGTTCACCATGTCCAGACGGGTTGTGAGGACCAGTAAGTTCCGTCACGTCTTTGGCCAGGCTGTGAAAGCGGACCAATGCTACGATGACATCCGAATCTCTCAAATGACATGGGACAGCCTCTTCTGTTCAGTCAACCCCAAATTTGTGGCCATGATTGTGGATGCCAGTGGTGGAGGGGCCTTCATTGTGTTACCTCTAACTAAGGTGAACTCCTGCTCAGGAAGTTATGCTTGTGTTAGCATATATAACAAAAAAAAAAAAAAAAGGCTGCATCTCTATGCGTCACTTCTCAAAACACCTTTTTTGGATGTCTTTATCATTTCACATGCAAATTAGTCTTCATTTCAAGAACACCAGCAGTACATTTGAAAACTGAATTCTGCCAGTCAAAATCACACTTACAGCCAAAGAAGGAAGTTTAGGGCAGACTTAGTCTTTCTACACGTCACTCACTCTGCTGTCGAGAAGTTTTCACCATATTAGGACTTATTTGTCTGCTCGGTAGGGCAGGATGTGGCCCCAACCCGATTACTCTGCACTCACTTTTTGAGTATACAATCGATGTCTTACAGTTTCTTTATTGCATTTAAGAATGTGTCTGAGAAAGGAGGAGATACATACCTTGTGGCCTTGTTTATGCTTATTTTAACATCTGAAAAGTGTTTGAACTCAGATGAGCTCCTCTTTGGGACACCTGCAGGTTACCTCAGACCTCTGAGATGTTGAACATGTTGATTATTTGGAGGTTAAAAATTCTTTTTTCATCCATATTTTGTAAACGAAACTCTTAAATATGTTTTCTTTACCCCAATAATTACTTTTGATGGTGTCCCAAAAATAACTTTATTTAATGTGATATGACGATGGATAATTTAAGGCTAACTGTAAAACAGGGATAAGTCTGTGGTGTTAAAGGTCTCAGTGAACCTTTCAGGAGAACACATTGTTCATGGTCTTATTTCTGATGGATTATATTGTTCTCATGGGGAAGAGTGCAAAAGGGACCAGTGAACATAAAGATTGCAAAAACTAGAGAGACATGAAAATATTTCTTCTATTTTTAGATAAATATTATAGATAACATCAGGATTGTGTCATGTTACTTTAAGAGCAAACAACTGATATAAAACCAACAAGAGAAACTACATGGCCTCAGGTGGAACTGAAAGTATGCTATTTTAAGACGATAGGTGTAAGTGGAGTCGTAGCTATTAAGTTTCTTTCCTGCTGCTCCCACCTAAACTGATTCATTGTGTGAATAAAACCTGTTACTACCTCAAAGCTGCCAAGTTTATTCAGAAAATGCCTTAGACTTTTATTCACCTTTTTTAATGGTTTGTTTACCTGCAGACTGGACGCATTGACATGTCCTACCCCACTGTGTGCGGCCACACAGGACCCGTCCTGGAAATTGAGTTCTGTCCTCATAATGACAACATCATTGCCAGTGGCTCTGAGGACTGCAGTGTCATGGTAGGCAAACGGAGTCTATGTGGATAACATGTCCTTGATCTATGTATGGTTATGTGTGAATTCAGCGTCTTTAAAATTTTCTTCGGTACATAGATTTGGGAGATCCCTGATGGCGGGCTTACCACACCACTAACAGAACCTGTTGTTAAGCTGGATGGACACTCCAAACGTGTGGGCATCCTGAGCTGGCACCCCACCGCCCACAATGTGCTGATGAGTGCAGGTATAACACCTTGTTCGCAGATTAGCTGATAGGAGATTTTGTGCAGAAATGTGGCTGGCTATTTCTTGTTATTTATGTAATTACAGTGTATAACAAAGCTTAATACATATTTTTTATGAATATCATTGATATGAGGATTGTGGATTATTAATTATTTTCGTTGATTTTAATGTTTCAATATAACAATGGAGAAAGGTAGAAGTGGGGTCGTAAGCAAATTTTCTATGAGTGAAGTATTGTATCCTATCATATCGTATTTTATTGTTATATTCTTCTATATAGTTTTGTATCATATCTTAGCCTTGTTACCCTGTTCATTCAAATCATATTGTGTGAAATTGCATTATTTATCCTCCCCTAAAATATCCAACTCTGTCTACGTACCCTATCACATTATTTCTTGTCATTTTGTATTGCATGAATCTTACTATACCTCATTTTACCTATAGTATCCTTTTGTGTGGTATTATTTCATATCACATAACATCTAGTTTCATGTCGTTTCTTCTCTTATCTCTTTTCAGTCATTTGAGTCTCTCACCATATAGTATTATATCTTGTTTTATTGTATGTTACAATACCAAATTGTGTCATAAAGTATCCTATCTTCTATCTTAGTTTAATCTATTTACTCTTATGCTGCATCACCGTAACCAACTTTATCTATTTGTATCATCTCATATCATATCATTTCATATTGTGCCATATCATATTGTATTGTATCATTTTATATGGTGTGGAATCATATCATATTGTATCATGTCAAGTAATGTTGTATCACATCGTAAACTTCTGATAAATCTCAAAGATGAATTGATGAGTCACACCCACACTCAGCTCAACAAGAAAATTTTATAGCATCCATACACCATCTTTACAATACCAGTGTATACTATTGGTTTGCCCATTAGTCTCCAGTCCTAACATGATTTGATGCATGTTAACCCATGTTAATATATATATCTTTGCAATATAATGAGTGTTTACAAGACAACAACCATTTTATATTCTATGTACTTTTTCAACTTCAAGTAATATATCACAGGAAAACGATGTCTGAAAGTGTTTTGTCTTATCAGTGTAGAATTAACAGCATGCTTCCCACAGCAATTGTTTTATCGCTGCAAAATGAGACTATCCAGCAGACAGACTGACCAGCACTCTCATAAAAACCTGACAGCAGTGTTTCAGACTCCACATTAAATAAACTCCTAAACTTCTGAATGACTCACTGCTTTGGTGCCCAGTGTACTTTTGCGCTTGTGTTGAAGAGTAAGCTTGTCCTGAAGTCATGGAGCCACCCCTGATGATGTCTTGTTTTTCCCAAAATGGGAATATTATGATAACGATGTCCGATAAAGTGCAGAAAAATGTTTGTAAGAATAAAACAGCAGAAAATGACTGCTCAGAAACCTGTGGGAACACATGGTTAACTCATCACTACAACTCCTCTCTTTCTTCCCTGTGGTCGCGCTGTGTCCCCTCAGGCTGTGATAACGTGGTGATCCTGTGGAACGTGGCTTGTGGGGAGGCGGTGGTGAGGATCGACACTGTGCACACTGACATGATCTACTCTGCCTGCTGGAACAGAGACGGCTCCCAGATCCTCACCTCCTGCAAGGACAAGACAATGCGGGTGCTGGACCCCCGCAAGGGAACTGTCCTCATTGTAGGTTTCATTTTCATTGTGGCACATTTTCATTGTCATTGAAACTGAACTGAAAAAGTCTTTGGTAATCATTCTCTGCTGACGTCTGAGTGACATTTGAATCAAATACTAACTTGGACTCCGACTAGGGATTAATTCCTCAGATTCATGACATTATTCTGTTAAATCTTTTCTTTGCAATGAACTTTTTATTAATCCATTAAAGATCAGAAACCATTATCAAAAAAAGCTTTTACCAAGTTCAGGAAAAATTAAGAGAAGAAAAGCAAGGAAAAGGCACTCTGCAGCTAAATTAGTGGTTTTTATTTGATCCATGTCTGCAGCAATGTTTTGATCATTCCTATTTCATGACATTATTTTAGCCCTCATTATAATACAACAATCACAGTTGATGTTTTGTGGAGCAAGTATGAGATAAAACAGCGTCTATGCCAATGATAAACAACACTTCTTAGTTTAGATGTAGGTGTGTGTGTTTGATTCTGGTTGTTTGCTACAGATCATTGGCTTTGATTTTGATTTCTTTAGCTTTCAGCCTCATATTTAGAAATCTTACTCAGCTGAATTACTATCATTCATAATTCTGGTGTATTCTTTTGCCCTGGGATAAAACATGAGACGTGAATTGATTAAATATTTTTCAAACATGTGCTAATCTATGGTCTCATCCATCTCTGCTCTGCCCACAGGAGAAGGAGAAACCTCACGAGGGTTCCCGGCCTGTCAGGGCTGTGTTCGTATCAGATGGGAAGATCCTCAGTACCGGTTTCAGCCGTATGAGTGAGAGGCAGGTGGCACTGTGGGACCCGGTGAGTGTTTACATCCTTACTGTTGCATTTTGCTTTTAAAGTTCAGATTAGTCATCCAGTTAGCCTTTGTGCAACTCTAGAATTACTTTAGTTATTCATTGTTTCACAACTGGCAGCTTACAACATTACAGGTGTTGTTGTTGTGCAATGTAGTATCTCAGTCTTGATGAAATGAATCCTTGGCTTACCTGCAGTCTGCTGTAGCAGTTGTGGGTTAGTTCATAATCTTTCACTGGTTGTAACTTCAAATTCAATTCCATGTATCTGATTCTGTGTTGGTAGAAAAACTTTAAGGAACCGCTGACCCTGCAGGAACTGGACACCAGCAGTGGCGTCCTTCTCCCATTTTTTGACCCAGACACTGGAGTTGTCTACCTCTGTGGCAAGGTCAGACTGAAATGTTGAAACAAAGCCCCTCCTTTCTGTGTCTGTCTCATGCACATGGAAACACACAGCTGACTTGTACATCTTTGTCACAGGGAGACAGCAGCATCCGTTACTTTGAGGTGACAGATGAGGCTCCTTATGTGCACTACCTGTCCATGTATAGCAGCAAGGAGAGCCAGAAAGGGATGGGATACATGCCCAAGAGGGGTCTGGAGGTCAACAAATGTGAAATTGCCAGGTAGAGACTTTAATGTGTTTCAAAATAAGAAGTAGCTTGGTGCTTTATAGTTTAAAGCTATAGTGCGTAACTTCTGTCGCCCCCTAGAGGATTTCTGCGTTATTTCAACGATACATGTACACTAACACTCACCTGACACAGCATACTGTTTATCACAGTACACAAAGTAACACTGGCTACAAAATGTGTACAGCTTGACAGGTTACATGGAGAAACACTTTCGACACACCACATGCTGCTGGTCACGGACCACTGAACACAACGTGTACTTTTCGTCACAGTACATGGACTGTAACTGTCTACACAACCTGTAGGCTACTAAAGTTACTCGTCACAGCACACAGACTCCCCGAATTAAGTTACACACAGAAACACAGGCTACACACCTTATAACTTACTGCTCGTTAGGCTAACGTTACACAATGTGGTGAACACCAGACTGCTAACAATACATGACATTCATAGCACCATTTCCAAGAAAATACTAAAGTACTTGGTCAAGTACATGTAACAGTAACACATCCTGCTCGTAATAAACGGAGTCACTTACTTATCCAGCAGTATCAAGGCAAAATCAGTGTTGGACCTCAGTCCAATCTCCTCCTTCAGGACTCTCTATCGAGGAAAAGCAACGCTGATGTAAATCCGTTAGTCTTTTCTCTTTCTTCGCCAACAGACCATCAGCCGAACGAGAGGGCTTTTTCTTTTTAGTAGAATCCACTTCTGAACCTTTTGGTCGCTTCTTCGGGTTCTCTGCCATCTTGTTCTAGCAGCACTCTTCTCCCCCCTCCCTTCTTGTCAGGTAAAACCGAGTAGTGGAGGAATGTCGCCTCTTAACACCAAATACCAAAAAGAACAGATACTGAAAAATACTGCGAGTTGTTAGAGGAACTGAACGGCTTACTCAGTATTGTGTCATCTCATCTTGTAGTGGCTTGAAAATGTAGAAGTTAGGTAGGTAGTGCAGGTGGTAAATATCAATATCACAAAGAACAGGTCCTTTCATACTTAAGCTGACATTTATGTGCTCAGTTCATGAACTGTACCAACACTGATAATCCCATGACTTTTTATTTGGCACAAACACCTGGACCTTTACAAGTAATGACACTCCTGTCAGTTTTGTCAAGCAGTTCTGACCAAATTTTAGCCTACAACACCCTGTGTACTGTGACAGCTCACAGATTAAAAACATACCAGTCTAAACAAGATAGACAGACATTTTTTGACATTGGTTACTTCAGAAGCGCTAAGTTGCTCTCTTAAATAGAAATGGATCTGAAAAATTGTGTTCCCCAGAGAAATTAATCTTACATTAATATTTTTAAACAATACAGCTCAAAAAATTTCCCAAACTTTAGAAGCTGTCAAACTGACTTTAGGATGTTGGGATGACTTATGGAGCTGGCTGACTGATGTTAGAGAGCTTGAATGTGAACCTTCCTTTTCATGAACTGATTTTTCAATCACTCCACCTCATGAATAAATGTGTGACTGTGGCTTTAGTGTTTTCTGACCTCGTGCTAGGCTGCCACAAAAGATTTTTTGATATGAACAATTATCTGTCTTTAGATTCTACAAACTTCACGACAGGAAATGTGAGCCCATCATCATGACAGTGCCACGCAAGGTACAAACTAAGGATCTTATGAGAATGTAATGAGTATTTATATGGTTTATATGGTAACTTGGACTTTCCATCTCCATACAGTCGGATCTGTTCCAGGAGGATCTGTACCCTGATACCATTGGTCCTGAGCCGTCAGTTGAGGCAGATGAGTGGTTTCAGGGAAAAGATGGTCAACCCATTCTGATCTCTCTAAAAGACGGGTTTGTAACAACGACCAAAACCAAAGAGTTCAAAGTCCACAAGAGTCTCCTGAAGACTACATCTGCTTCTTCTGGGAATCAACAGGGAGGTAGCGAGGTGAGATATTAAGGGATAAACACATGCACGAACGCACACCAATAATTTCGTGTTTTAACTGTCCCATCTGTGTGAGCTGCAATGAAGGAAGTCCATTTATTGATATTTCATAGGTAAATTTTACAGTTTTAACTCCATTCACATTCAGAATGTTAAGACCGTTTTTTCAATTCATGAGATTTTACTAGACTGTTAAATTCCCTCTGAATTAAAACATGGGGCTTCCATTCTGCAGGCTCTGTGTGTTACAAGGTTACAACTACCTTCACTTGAAGGAACAGTAGCAGTGAAGTCCTTCTTAGACACAGGTTGTAAATATGATGACTCAAAAAGGGGATATTTATGGTGATATGACACATGTTGAAGCCTTTTCCTCTGTATAATTTTTAAATTTGCAAGCTCAATTTTCTACACACCGTCCTTGATTAGCTGTAAATCTTTGAATTAAATTTGTCCATATAGAAAACATTAACCCCCTGTTTTTATTTGTGTTTCTGTGCAGGAGGTGCAGTCTTTGAAAAAGGAGGTGAAAGACCTGAAAGCAGCAATAGAGGAGCTGACCAAGCGTGTGAGCGAGCTGGAGAGCAAGCATTAAACTAGAGGGGGTGTGGGAACAAGGAAATTAAACAAGAGCAGAAGTTAGGAGATAAAACACCAAAGTATTGAAAGGAAATATGGCTGTTGTAACTTCTCATTGGAGTGGGACAAAAGGGAGAGAGTTCAACAGCTTAAAAATGTAATGTCATTTGACTTAAGCTCGGAGCTTGAATTAGTTGTTGGGTAGTCGTTTCAGATTTAAGAAATTCTTTGTTTAATATATGCTTTTTGTTTGAAATAAAGTCTTCTGTATTTTGGAAAAAGATAGTTTGAATTTGTTTTGTTAAACATATAAAACACAAGAAACACCAACTTGACTTTAACATGTTTTAATCCTTTATACTCATCAACATACAAAATGAGAAAAATAAAACAACATGAGATTATTATACAGAACTTTCTTAATGTTATGGCTGTTCAGAAATGACATATTTGAGACATGAGTGCACACAGATGCTCCCTGAGGCCGGATGAGATGAATTTGGCTGAGGACTGTTATAAAACAGCTTTTTTTCTGATTGAATGAAAGAAACAGAAAGAGACTGAAAACAAACAAACATTTTAAGACATTGGATTTTATAGGATACATTAACTTAATGTAACTATTAGCAACTAGTGCATCTCACAAAGCTGGCTGACCCTTTTATGATGAAATGTTGAACTTTGATCTCTGCATTTCAGAGAACCTTCTTAAAAATAAATTCATTTACATTTTTACCATTTTGGATTTCATTTATTACTAGTTTGGATCTAAGTTAAGGACAAATAACCAATCAAAAGCAATTTCAGGTTTTTCAGATGTTTTTGACTGACAAAATGTTGTCTTAAATCTCAAAGGTAGAGCTTGTTCTATCTGTTTCCCTTTCAAAAAGCTTGTAAGTGTAACCCAACACCAACTAACAAAACAGTTTAAAACTTAAAACATCACCAAGATAACTGTGAATATGCAGGAAAACACTGAAAACATGTATTTACAATCACTTTTTCCCATTTTCTCAAAAACAACTCCTGGTGTCAGCTACTAGGTGTGCTCACCAGTCTTTAACCAAATCAGACCCCCTCACACACCAGTCCCCTACAGAATAAAACTACACGTAGTTTTTGTTGGGGGCAGACGCACTGTTGCTGTAGTACTTGGCGGTTCCTCCAGAGCTGGACTTTGGTCGGCTGAAGCAGCAGAGCAGACCTCCACCGAGGAGCAGCAGCACACCAGCACCCCACCCCACATAGATGCAGGCTCCCAGCTCTCTCTTCTGTGAGGCAAGCACTAGTGGGTCGTTGAACTGCCGCACAATGATGTTGGCAGACCAGCTGACGGGAATTATGACCAGCAGGCCAGCAAGCAGAAGGCCCACCCCGGCCACCAGGCTCATCTTGGGCTTGGCGTCTTCGTTTTCTATGCAGGTGGTAAAGTCGGCCCCGCAGAAGAGGATGAGGAGGCTGATGATGCTGAGCATGCAGCTGATGATGGTCATGGCGCGAGCGGCCTGCAGATCAGAGGATAACACCAGCAGGGAGTCGTAGTTCTTGCACTGCTGCTGGCCTGTACTCTGCACCACACACTCCGACCACAGGCCTTGCTGGTTGCTCTGCATAGACACACACATAGAAGGGGAGATGAGAGTCACTTCCACTACCACAGATAAGAGCGTAACTTTTTCTATAAACTTCTTCATGATAAATGAAAAAGTTACGCTCTTATCCATTTCATGTTCAGCTTCAGAGATTCCACCACTTTGTTTTGTATGAAAAGTAACTTGTAAATAAATAAACAAACTTCCTCAAACTTTTCCTTTATATCCATATTGGGTATTGGGTATATTGGGTATATAAAAATGGCTTTTTCAAAACCCACCTCAAATCTGAAGTTGTCAGGTAAACAGCCTAAGTCTTTTTACGGGTCTAAGATATTTCGGTAATCCATGTGAGCTCAGATCCCCAATTATACATGTATTTGACCATAAAAATCTCTTTGATGGGCTTTAAAAGACCCAATTATGAAATATATGAACTGACTATAACAGTAATACTCTTCATGCTACAACAGCCAAAAAACACATCTGTAATTTTGTGATATAATTATATAATAATAATAGGGATAACATGGATAAGTGGTTTACTGGTAAGATTAAACAGTAAACACAGTTTTAAATTACCTAACATCAGGGTTGGAGTTCTCCATCTTAGCTGTCTTTGTATTGACGTGTACAGCTTTTATTTTGAAATATGTTAAGTTAATCAGACTGGGAGTGAAACTCTGAGAAGGTAAAAGCACTAATGAAGACCTGGTCCTGCATGCTTTTTCATTGTTTCTCTATGATGTCAGACTTTCTCTCCGCGTCTCCATGTTTTCAGTGAAGTTTTTCCTTACCTGTGCAGTCACAATGTTGGCTCCTGTGAAGGAGGACACCTTCCAGCGTGGGACGGCACAGCATACGATGACCCCAATCAGGCCGAGGACTCCAAGGGCCACACACACAATCTGAACCCCAATTGATCCCATACTGGAGGAAAAAAACAATCCAAGACAGAGTAGAAGTTAAATGAAAAGTTTTCATACATTACAGTGCAATCTTCAGCTTGATCTTCTACTGTTAGTATTTCAGTCATTTTGATCGACTCTCTGAAGATCTGAGACGTCTGTGTTCCACACCCACAGGTTTGTCGATCAGTGTTTGGGTTAAAAAAAATCTTGTTCACTCCTGAAGATAGAGAGGAGGAGTGATCACAGATGTCATTGGTGTAACTGTTGATCTGCTGGGGGTTTTGTGATCACATAGCTGAAGCCACTCTCAGACAAACACCCGCTCCCTCAGACAGGCCTTCACAGGATTATGTAGCTTTGGGCTATGTTTTAAAACAAATTCAAGTCCCAACAGGCCTAGGGCCTCCTGGATCTCCACCCAGTGCTCTGCTCAGCCACTCCCTCACAACGTTATACTTGAAACATCTGCCTTTTTTATTGATTGTATTGACTTTGTGTCAGATTCAATCTTATAAAGATGATAAATTAAGTTTGTGTTCAAAGCTACAGCTCTGTTTTTTTGTGGTATGTCCTGAAATCTGGAAATCTAAAATAAGATAACAATACTAGAAATAGATTGATTCATTGTTTCACATGCTACAAACCTCCAATAGTCAAAACACTGTACATGCCAATATTCTCTGAATATTTATTATATGAAACTTAGGTTTCAAAATCAACAGTTTATCTATTTTTTCAAGCAAGGAAAGCCCCTCCTTTGTTCTTCCTCCATGTAGGCATTCCAGATGTTCCTCACACATCCACTCTCAGAAGAGCCCTTCAAAAATTGGTTTACCAACAATCACTCCAAAAGAGTGTTGAAGTCATCTCCAGTGAAGACAGGATAATTTGGACTGGATTAACCAAGTAAAAAAAAAACGGTTTAAGTTTAAACATGCATGACCCGCCCCAGGCCACAAACTTTGGAGTAAGCTGAACACCGAGAGCTCAACTAAAAAGGTCGCTTAGTTTAAAGTCGGCCATTTCAGTTCTTCAGCATTTCTAATATTGTCAGCAAATGTGCACATCAGGCATGCAAAGTCTGATCAAACCTCTCTTATAACAGACATAAAATATATCAAAGCATCACTTTTTTCCTTTCCTCTATCACAATTATTACACATTTTATGCTATTTGTTTGTAAGAAAATCCAGATCATTCTCGATCAAACCTTTTTTTTTTCAATCATTTAAACATTCACAGAATCACACCGTGTTTCACTATTCAAGTAAATTAAAACCAGCCTACCTTTAGTTTTGTGCCTTCTGAACTTCTGAAAACCAAAAGCAATGCTTCAATGTTCTTCCTTCTTGTTATGTAGAGAGGTTGTTGTCTGATGTACAAATCTGAAGTCTGTAGGATAAGATGGGGGTATTTGTAGAGGAATGTGAGTTTTAGGGTGGGACCAAGCTGCTGGAGGAGGGTACACTGGAGGGAAGAACCTCAGGACCAGACTGGACTTGTCTTCAATGTACGTTTCCTTCTCTTTTTCCATTGCAGAGCTGCCACAGAGCTCAGAGGAGTCTTCTCCTAACACAGCTTTGGGGATAACAAATAAGTTGTGATGCCTCAGGTTCAGTTGTTCTAAAGTGGTGAATTTACAAACACAGAGGCTGTTCTGATGATTCAGTTTCATTGTATCCATCTCTGGTAGCTGGAAAAAGAAAACTGAGTCATTTGCTAGAATTTTTTTTTCTCCTCCCACGCTTCCACACCTGCACGTCATAGACCCCACAATAAACACACACACACCTACCTGTGTCGAAACTGTGACGAACAACTCGAGGAGACTGATTTAGGAAACGGAGACAGATGAGATTAGGATTTTGCGTAAGGTGAATCATGGATCATGGGATGGAATGAATGTGAGGTAATTAAGAGTGATGTTGGGAAACCAAATATAATGCAGACAAAGTGACACACTTGAACAGAGTTTTGGTTTGCATAATGTAAGGATAATTTTAGATTTCAGCTTTGAGGAGAGTTCACTGATGAAGAAGTATATCTACTTTTTTCTGAGTTCGATAAATAATGAAAGGCACTAAAAACGCTCTGAATGGAAATCAGCCAAATTTGAACAGAAATTTAAACCAACTGTTGCCTTATTTCCAAATATAAAGCTGGATTAGTTGTTCTTTGGGAATTTTCAACAAAAAAAGGCTGTTTCTTTTACTTTTGTTTTTGTTTGACCACAATGAGCTGGAGAGAATTTTGGGTTGGATTTTGGATTTTGAAACGAATCTGTGGTTTGTGAAAATAATATTTGTGGTTTGTGAACAAAACTTGAGGATTTATCAAGACACATTTCTAGTCAAAATTATATTTTATTGGTTCATCATAATTTTGTTTGAAATATATTTTTTTGTTTGCATTTTTTTCAAGTCCATTCTTTTTGATTGGATATTAAAAACACAAAATTCTCAATAAGCGCATAACATATTTTTAATCAGTAGGCCTATCCAGTGATACAGTGATAAATATATTACCCTATGAATATGCTCCTTAACAGAAAAAGTGTTTTATTATGTTGCATAGGTGAGAGCACAACTGATGATAAAATCAAATAAATCAAAGTATTAAGTACCCAGAAAAGTACCCAGAACTTCTCTCCAAGGAACTAAAAGGCTCCTGTGACTGGCCTTTCTACCAGAGCCCCAAAGTCTGGGGTAAATAATGTAAATCCGGCAAGTGGGTTTTATTGAGTGTCTGCTGAACTTTTTTTTTTTTTTTTTTTTTAACATTTTTAGTGATATTGTGTACATCTATGGTGTCTCTTATATTGTGTTGTTTTTTATGTTTGATTTGCGGACTTCTTGGGTCTTATTCTTGTTGTATTGCCATTGTGTATGCTGTCTTTTGTGGGCTCCTGCTGCTACACTAATTTTTCTTTTGAGGCAATAAAGAGATTCTGATCCTTTTTTTTTTTTGGTCATTTTTGTTTCTACATTTTTTATCCTTCTCTTTTATGTTTCGACATTTTTTATCCTTCTCTCTGCTCAGTTGGTGTCTGTGTGTTAATTTAAGACCAGCCTATGTTGTGGAACAAATTGTTTTTTGATAAGTCTGACTCCTGAAACTGTTGTAATACCCAACAGCATCCCTGAGATGGAACATGTATGAAATCAAATTCATATATTCATAGTTTTACTGATGACTACTGGGTTATAATCCAGAATATCTCTCCCCTCCTGTCTTTGTGTTGTCAGTTTTATAAGCGAGTCAATGACCTGTTATTTTAGTGTAATTTCAATCATCAGGCCATGCCTACCAAAGTTCCTGGAGCATTAAAAAGTCCTTCACCCTGAGCAGGACCAAAGATTCAAATATAGACCCTTGTTCACATGGTCAAGACAGACAGAGTTCCTGGGGCAAGTTAAAACAGTGGAGAAGCACTTTTATGATCAGTGTTAATACTGTGTCTACGCAAAAAAAAAAAAAAATAAATAAAAAAAAAAAATAAAAATATATATATATATATATATATATATATATATATATATATATATATATATATATATATATATATATATAATTGTGAAGTGGGACGAAAATGATACATGGTTTTCAAAAATTTAAACAAATAAAAATCTGAAAAGTGTGGTGTGCATTTGTATTAAGCCCCCTGTACTCTGATACCCCTAAATACAATGCAGTTCAATCAATTGCCTTCAGAAGTCACCTAATTAGTTAATAGAGTCCACCTGTGTGTAATTTAGTATCAGCATAATACAACTGTTCTGTGAAGGCCTCGGTGCTTTGTTAGAGAACACTAGTCAACAAAGAGCATCATGAAGACCAAGGAACTCACCAGACTGGTCAGGGAAAAAGTTGTGGAGAAATTTAAAGCAGGGTTAGGTTATTGACAAATATCCAAAGCTTTGATCATCTCAGGGAGCACCGTTCAATCCATCATCCAAAAATGGAAGAAGTATGCCACAACTGCTAACCTACCAAGACATGGCCGTCCACCTAAACTGACAGACTGAGCAAGGAGAGCACTGGTGAGAGAAGCAGCCAAGAGGCCCATGGTCACTCTGAAGGAGCTGAAGAAATCCACAGCTCAGGTGGGAGAATCTGTCCACAGGGCAACTATAAGTCATGTACTCCAAAAATCTGGCCTTTATGAAAGAGTGGCAAGAAGAAAGCCATTGTTGACAGAAAGACATAAAAAGTCCTGTTTGCAGTTTGCCACCAGCCGTGTAGGGAACACAGCAAACACGTGGAAGAAGGTGCTCTGGTCAGATGAGACCAAAGTTGAACTTTCTGGCCTGAATGCAAAATGCTATGTGTGATGGAAATGTAACACTACTCATCACCCTGAACACACCATCCTCACTGTGAAACATGGTGGTGGCAGCCTCATGCTGTGGGGATGCTTTTTTTCAGCAGGGACAGGGAAGCTGGTCAGAGTTGATGGGAAGATGGATGGAGCTAAATACAGGGCCATCCTGCAAGAAAACCTGTTGGAGGCTGCAAAAGACTTGAGACTGGGAAAGAGATTCAACTTCCAGCAAGACAAGGACCCTAAACATACAACCAGAGCTACAATGAAATGGTTTAGATCAAATAATATTCATGTGTTAAAATGGCCAAGTCAAAGTCCAGACCTGTCCAGAATCTGTGGCAAGACTTGAAAATTACATATGTACACATTGGTTAAACCTTAGGGGGCCCTGCAGTGGTGTAGTGGTTAGCAATGTCGCCTCACAGCAAGAAGGTCCTGAGTTCGAATCCAGCTCAGGGCATTGTGTCTGTGTGGGTTTACTCCGGGTACTCTGGTTTCCCACATCCCAAAAACATGCAGAAGTGCCGTTAGGTTAATTGGCCACTTTCAAATTGCCCATAGATGTGGCTGTGGATGGTTGTTTGTCTCTACATGTCAGCCCTGCAATGAACTGGCAAGTTGTCCAGGGTGTCCCCTGCCTTCACCTGAAGATGCTGGGATAGGCACTAGCCCCCCCCCCCGCGACCCTGGGAACGGGAATAAGTGGTAGAAAATGGATGGATCGATGCGAAACCTTGACTTGCAAAAGAATCTGTAATTTGACATACAGCTGTTGGCATAATATCAAAATGCAGAAACTTATCCATCATGACCCAGTGACAAATAGATATAGTAGCTTATTTATGGTATTTTTTTCTTTATTTCTTCTTCTTTTTTATTATTTCCATTATTATTAATGTTGTTGTTTTTATTATTTTTTTTTATTATTGTTGTAATAGTAGTAGTGGTATCCTTTGTATTATTGTTGTTGTAATTAATATCATCATCATTATTAGTAGCAGTAGGAATAGTATCATTTGTATGTTGCTGTTGTTATAATCATCATTTATTATTTATATGTTTATATTTTAGTGATATTGGTAGTTGTCGTAACAATAGTAGTATAATTTGCATTATTGTTGTTGTTATTAGTATTATTACTGAGATGTAGTAATAGTTAAATGCCATAGTAGAAGAATTTGTAATTGTAGAAGTAATATTACTGAGACTCTTTGCAGTAGTAGCAGTAGAAGTAGCTTTATTTAAAGTCATAAAACCCTCTGGAGATTTTGTTGGCAACATCAAGAGAATCTAAAATGACACTGTTAAAACCCACTTGAAAAAAGGCACAGAAAGATATTTTTTTTCATTTGAGAGCTAAAGTTACAAAAATGCGAGATACATTTTTGTTCAAGTCTTTATATAGGACAAAACTGTAATTTATGCGTCAGATTTACTTTAACTGTGCCAATGGATCATACATGTGTAGCTGTGTGTACTGTACTTGCTTTTTGCCAATTTTTTTTTACATTGCAGTTCCAATTGTAGGCACACGGTGTCGCGCGTTGAACTGTTACGCTACTCTCTATTAAAGCCGGTTGTAAACGGCTAAGGTAGGAGTGTATGAGGGACCCATCGTGTATCCAATCAAATTCAAGAGACTGGGCCCTGAATTCGGGGTTGGACCAATCAGCTGCCGAGAAACACGTGAAGGGCTTGGTTTGATTCTGCCTCCTACGTTACCGTAAGACACTTCGGTGAAAACGGCCTTCTTTTAAAAGTCCAGGGGGAAGAGTGGAAGGACCCGGTCAAAACCCAAGGAAAGGGGGCAGGATCGAGCTCAGAGGACGAACAATTACACAGTATTCTTTCCCAGGGGGCTCCAGTTCAACCAAAGTCCAGGTTTGGAAATAGTATATTTATCGATGGGTTCAAATTCACAGCTAACTAGCCGTCCTGTTTCGCTCCAGCTAGTTTTATGTTTAACGTAGGCTAGTTGGCTCGAAGCTAACTAGCTAGCTTGCTTCGCTTGAGCTCTTATACGCTCATTCATTGTTTTACTTCTCTAACCTTACTCTGTTAGTTATAGCGTGAAACCAGTTATCATACCGATGTGAATTTAAACGAGTGTAATGTGTAGCTAACTGCTTGGGCCCGTCTCTTTTCTGTCTCTTCCTGAATGATAAGGTGCAGCTCAGAAAAAGGTCTCCACTGCCCGAGAACGTCAGAAAATAAAGAAAATGGCGGAGCCAGACAAATTAAACATCGACTCTATAATTCAGCGCCTCTTGGAAGGTGAGGAGGACCGAACCCACAGCGAAGCACTGTCATTTATTTAGATTATAGCATATCATGAAGGGATTGAAATCTGTGTTTTATACAGCAGGTAAGTGGGCTGAAGGCAAAGGCAGTAATGCTGTAGTAACGTCAGCCTACTTCAAACTGCTTTGCTCGCTATCACCATGGTTGGATCTGGATGAAAGGCTAGATCAGCTCGACTCTTTTCATTCTGGTTTGTGGAGGGGATGTCATTTTTCCGGTGTAGCCATGAATATTTATTGTCAACAGAGAGGCTCTGGTAGTAAAGCATTGTATGTATATTCAAGGGGAAGTTGTTGGTTGCAAGAAAAAAGGGGAACAACACAGTAAACACTAATTAAACCTCCCAACTATTTCCTTTCTTTGAGTGATAAATTTGATTTTCACATAAGTGCACGTACTTGGCTGAGATTTCATAGTTACTACAGCAGGAATTACTGAAATAAGCTGTGCTGTGGGGACATTTTTAATGTGTCTTTGAATGTTGCTGTAAGGCATCATTACGTGTAGCTGCGTTTTACATTGATCGCCACTGTTAACCGTTCAGTGGCTTGAGTTTGTTTTTTACCCCCTTTTTTGCCTCGTCCCACCAGAGCTTCTCATTTACAGGGTGGACTCTCCTGTGTTGTGCTTACTGTTTAGCTGTTGCGGATCTGATTACGATTTGTATCCACAGCCTTCCCATGGGGTGCCTTGTTAATGAGGTGTACAAACAAAGATGCTTTGATTGGCACATTCTCTCTGTAGTACTGTGTGGAACTGCTGATTGGCCCTCTTTGCTGTTACACAGCCACTTTTGTAGGAATACATGAAGTGCTTACATCATTCCTTTCCCTATAAAGCAGTGTTGTCAGTCTTATGTTGCCCCCACAAAAAAAAAAAGTCTCCACAGGTGCATTTATTGAAATTGTCGTCAAAGCGTTGTTCTTCTATCACTCAAACTGGGTTAAGTGCATAATTTAGTCAAGATAAAAATGCATTAGAATGGTTTGGCATTAATAAAAAACAGGCACAAGCAGTTTTTTGGCCTAATGGTGAATCTTAGCTGTGCAAATACCATCTCTAAGTAGTGGGCTTTACACATCTGCTTACACTCGGTGTACAGTGTGTGGAGACAGATTTGTTGTGATTTCAGCTGTGTGTATGTCCTATGAGGGAAAACAGGCCTGTTTTTATCTTCACATCCACATGATGATTGTGTAACAGGAGCCCAGAGGACATCAAACAGAAACATAAATCTCTTCACACTCAACTGTACAGTTCTTCGGAAGAGCACAAGAAATATGGTTGTGACCTCTGTTGTTGTCCTTGTGAGGCAAGTACAGTGGGTGCACAAATAAAGCCTGCTTCACATGTAAACATCAGTATTTCCCCCATTGAACCGCTGTCACAGAGAATTTTTTGTTTGATTGTTCCACTGGAACTACATCACATATGTTAGTATTGGTTTTTTGTGGCCTGTGTAAGTTGTGATGCAGAAATGTTCACCCCTCCTGGTATCAGAGGATGATTCTTTCTTGACCTTTGGTCTGTAAATGAGAAATACTTGGTGCAGAGAATGTTCCCAGGCTTCTAGATGTAAATGTGACCATTGCCCTTTGTTTATTTACCTCCTTACGTACAGACTCCTCATGATCAGACTGAGCTGAGCCCTTGGAGGTAATCAGGATTATACACAAATATGCATGTGCAGTCATAGCGCCTCCAGGGAGATTGACTTTCCCTGTGGACCCTGTCAGCTGCTGTACTGTTTAGTGCATGGATTGTTATACTTGGGCCATGATAAGGTTGTCTGGCAAACACTGGAGAAGACAAACAAACCTGACTTTGGCAATATTTATATCCTCTTATGTAACTCACTTGACCTTTTTTCCTCTGCAGTTGTGGTTTTATTGCTTTGACTAACCCATGCCTGTTAAGAGGTAACTGTTGTCTAGATCTACTTTGTTAAAGACGACTTGAACACTTGCTTTCTGCCAGTGACGAATCAATTATTGATAAATTATAAACGGCTCACTGTCCTGTGGACAACAAGGTTACCCTCCCTGTGACTGACTATGTTTTAGGACCAAACCAATTAAATGTGTTTGGATAAGGAGCACTTTCAATTGGATTACTGTCGTAGATCTAGAGCTCAGTGAACTCGGAGAGTGTATGTTGCTATTAGCATGTCTGCAGAGCATGACATCACATAAGCTTAGCGGGAGCGCCCAGCACTGAGTCAGGAGTGACGGACCAAACCAACTGTTGATTCCGGCACTCCCAGCACTGCTTTTCTGCAGTGCTGGTCCAGCTCTTTGTTTCCTGATGCTGATCAGTGTACTGGAAAGGCTTTTGTCTGTGCCCCCTGGATGATAAGCCTAGTGTAGCCCACTGACTATGTGGCTAACTTTGGAGTAAGCTCTATCAGGGCTTAGCCCTCTGTAATCCAGGTTTAAAGAGACAAGCAGCATCGCACTATTTATTCCCACTTTTCACTGTTTGGGGCATGGAGCGTTGCTTGTAGTTGCAGCAGCAACAATAGCGCTTTTACATCTATCTGTAGATTTATACCCATACCTCCTGGTTCATAGACACTTTGACAACTTGATTTGTTCACGTCTAGACAGTGGGCTTTTTAATATGGCTTTGGAGTAGTTTCCCTTTAGAGAACTGGAGATGACTGTACATTAAGAGGCTGTTATCTTTTAGACATTGAGTATGTTCATCAAAGTTTCTCAGAGCCCAGATCAGTGTCCTCTAGTTTCTGCTTTTTTTCTAGTTTCTGTGAGGTCCAAAGCTCCTAAGACTTTTCATCCTCTTCTAAAGAAATAAAACCTGAGAGAGAAGCTGACTTTGACTGTCAAACAAGTTTTCTATGAATTTGTTCCAAATTTGCAAGTTGATTGATGATCGCTGCCCATACACTGTTAAACACTGTTGGATGAAATGTTCCAGTTGTGATCTCTTGATGTGAGAAAAGGATAAAAACGTGGTCTGTATTTATGTTTCTGTACGTATACAAACACAGTCTGTCGTAGTTTTAAAGATACGACCTGTGACACTGTTGATCAGAAGTTGCAATCATGTTATTTTGCAGCAATGAAAGTCTTTGATCCCTTTTATGCTTCATTTGAAGATCTGTTGGTCAGCTGTCTCTGCAGTAATTGTCTAGTAATTGTAAAATTATGAAAGGAGATTTATGATGCTGCAGATGAAGTCTGTTATATTTGTGTTGAAAGAAAACAAGAGGTCTGTGTTCACATGAAAAAAGTGAAGTCAAATGCTGTAAAATGTCTTCATCATAACACTTCACTCCTGCTTATTGTGCCTGATGGCCCTGTGGTGCATAGTATTTCATGAAAGACAAGATTAACCTGTTTACAAAGGACATGCGCGAGTCTTTTCATAACAATTATCCAGAGGTGGATCCTTATTTTTATTATGTTTTCATTCAAAGAGCTAGCTGATGGTTTTCACAAATCATTTGATCGTTTGCATCGGCAGTGTGAAAATGGTGGCAGTTTTCTGTGTGAGTCTATCTGTGATATCTTGTTTTAACATCCTGATTAATTCTAATCTTAGTTTAAAAAAGCTGCTACTGTGAAGACATAATTGTGCAGTCTTGCCTTAGAGTTTAGCTCTAGTTTTGCCAGTAAGAGGAGCTTCAATTACAGTCTTAATGATGTGAGACAAATCTATAAAGCCACACTCGAACTGTTATTATTCATTCTCGATCTGCGTCACTCTGAGTGTTTGGCATTTAAGGGTGAACTCATTCATCTGTCTGCTGGTTTAGTCAATCCTCTGTTCACACCCAGCTCTAAAATAATTGTTGCTGAGACGGTTTGAGGCGGTTCTGTCAACATTATTCATAAGTTACCTGCTCGGTAGGCTGAGACAAAATGGGTTTGCTGAAAATCCAACTCCTCATTGGTGGGCTTGTACAGCTTGTGTTAACATCAGGCAGCACATGTAGGAACGGGGTTTTGTTTTAGTCAGTGAGACCAACAGCCCGGATTCCAAACTCCATTAGGAGCTCTCTTGCATAACACAGCAGAATACACACACTCAGTGATATACAGTTACATGGCATCATTCACACACCCTCTGTTAGCACGTCAGCTTGCAAATATTATAAGCGGACTTATTACTAGTAGGTCTGCTGCTCTGAGATCAGTGATTGTAAAAGCCTATGAGAATACCAACTGCTGTTTCTGTTGTTGAAGTCCTACATTTTCCAGCATTAAACTCAAGATAACACAGATTGATGTGAGGTATCATTATGATAAAATAATCTGTCAGTTTTTTTTGTTCAAAATTTTCAAATGATCTCTGTGTTTGGCTGCGTTCCGTGTGTGGGGTACGTGTGAAAAAGCCTGTTAAGGAGAGACCTGACAAACCTGCTGAATTCTTTAGATAGCACTAGTGAAAGTAGATAAGAAGAACAGAATGTTATCTTTTTTCAGTACAGTTAATGTTTTATTTAACTATATGTGACAACCTGTTTCTTGGCCTTATTTTTACTGTAGTTATATCCCATTACCTTTTTATATTCTTTGTTTCAGAACAGTGCAAATGGAGCACTAATTAACTTCTTGTACAGTGTTTGCAGCAACATCCTGTAGAAGGGAGGAAATGGGTTTCAGTGCTTTCTCATAGCCTTGGCTTGAACCGCCACCTAAGCAGAAATACGTGCTGTTGACACCAGACCAGTTCCCACTGGTCAGGTTGGTCTTAGGTTCTGCATCTCATTTCTGTCTGCACTGAGCAGAAGCTTGTGTTGTTTTTTGCGGTTTGATCAATCCTTGTTTGTGTATCTTGTTTGTACCTGCCAATTCCCAAAATTAAAAAAAAAAATTGCTTCTAAAATGTGTGGTTACCTGCTAAAGGGGCCTGTTCGACTGGAATGCTAACAAACTGCCAGCATTTGGCTGGTGGGAGGTGTTAACTTCCCAGTCTGGAAGCCTGTCTTGTAGTCAGAGCATCATGGTGTGTTGCTGCTCCTCCTGTGCATCCTCACTTGGTGTTTCTAACAAATTTTCTTAAAGGTGTGTTTGTGTGGCATTATTTTATCTCCATTGAACATTAACTCACTTATTCGCGGCCTATACCAACTCTTTTTTTTGTTTTCTCAGTCAAGGGTTCTCGGCCTGGGAAGAACGTCCAGCTGACCGAGGGTGAGATCCGTGGCCTGTGCTTAAAGTCCCGTGAAATCTTTCTGAGCCAGCCCATCCTGCTCGAGCTAGAGGCTCCCCTCAAAATTTGTGGTGAGTTTGATGCTGCAGTTTTAATACTGCATTAGGAGCAGGTGTGAAGTGCAAACTCCAAGTTGGTGCGTTGCTGGCCAACGCTACTGTTAGACAAACTGATCATTACCTTCTCCCCCGCCTTTCCGTGGATCAGCTGACAGTTTGCTCATCTGCAATTATCTTTTGTACAAGTTGTGAAGTGTACACTGGCATGCAAAACAGCTACACCCAGCAGCAGTAAAAGCATGATGTTATTACTGTGTTCCTCTGCTGCCCCCTGCAGGTGACGTCCATGGCCAGTACTATGATCTGCTGAGGCTGTTTGAATATGGAGGCTTCCCCCCAGAAAGCAACTACCTGTTCCTGGGTGACTATGTAGACAGAGGGAAGCAGTCACTAGAGACCATCTGCCTGCTTCTAGCCTACAAGATCAAATATCCAGAGAATTTTTTCCTGCTGCGTGGAAACCATGAATGCGCCTCTATTAATCGAATCTATGGCTTTTATGATGAGTGTGAGTGCAGAGTACTTTTACAAACTATACTAATCATCAACTGAATTCTCCTGAATATTTCACTAACAGATTATTGATCTTGTTCATAGGCAAACGGCGGTATAACATAAAGCTGTGGAAGACATTCACAGACTGTTTCAACTGTTTACCTGTGGCTGCCATCGTAGACGAGAAAATCTTCTGCTGTCATGGAGGTATGGTACGACGTACGAGATGTTATGGACGATGACTGGATAATAGGACCCTGACTAAGAAGTGAGTTTGATCTTCCTCCAGGCCTCTCCCCTGATCTTCAGTCCATGGAGCAGATCCGCAGAGTAATGCGACCCACAGACGTGCCTGACCAGGGTTTGTTGTGTGACCTGCTGTGGGCCGACCCAGACAAAGATGTGCTGGGCTGGGGGGAAAATGATCGTGGTGTGTCCTTCACTTTTGGGGCAGATGTGGTGGCCAAATTTTTGCACAAACATGACATGGATCTAATATGCAGGGCGCACCAGGTAAAGTTCAGCCAAGAGGCTTTTTGTCCTTGATAGCTGAGATATATCTCAGAAAGTTCTGTTGTGTTGTCTGCTGTTTTTAATCATTCTTTGTGAAACTGCAAACCCAGAGCCAAAGCTTTAATATATCTGGGTTTCTTTTTTTTTATTTGCTTTTTTAAAGGGAAAAATAATCTATTCCCACACATGAGACTAGGAGTGTGTATCATTTCCAATCTTTGATGCAGCTTGTAATGTGTCATATTCATCATAGACAGTCTTGGTTACCTCTGCACTAAATTGTAAATCTCCATTGCATTGGTCAAGTGTCTTCCCTGCAAGTTTGTGCTCATGTTGAACGTTTTATTCATGTCCTCAGGTGGTAGAAGATGGTTATGAGTTTTTCGCCAAAAGGCAACTCGTCACCCTATTCTCGGCTCCCAACTACTGTGGAGAGTTTGACAACGCCGGTGCCATGATGAGTGTGGATGAGACGCTCATGTGCTCCTTCCAGGTTTGTAAAGCAGAGGTGTTTTGTGCTGGTGCATGTATTTTTTTTCCCAGTGGTATAAAACCACAATAAGTATTTTGAATGAAATCAGCTGGATGATTTTGTCGCATGTGTTGTTCCTCTATGGAGTTTTTTCTCTTTTCTGTGATACAAGTGTGATAAAACTCAGACAATCATCAAACTTCCTGTTCATGTCAAACTGAATGGAACCTTTCCTCTCACAGATTCTGAAGCCAGCAGATAAGAAATTGTATCCTTATGGTGGAGGGGGAGGAGTGGGATCTGGGAGACCGGTCACCCCACCGCGAAATTCAGCCAAGGCCGCCAAGGCCAAGAAATAACACCCGCCTGATCCCCTCCATGTCCTGCCAGCCCCAACTGTCGGCCCAACGCCCTTTTTTCCCCTCTACCTCCCAAACTTGTTTCTCCCTTGTCACCAAATGGCAACAAAGCAGAAAAATGTCCAGGGTTCAGTCATGTTTTCTCTCTCTAAAATTATTTTTTAACTGTTTGTTTGGCTGTTTGTGTGCAATTTTTGTGTGAGTGTGTAAAAGAAAAAGTGAGTGTTTCAGAGGGAATTGCTGCATTCTGTTTTTTTTCCCCTCCCCTTTTACCCTCCGTTCTGCTTTTTTTATTTTTTTTGTCATCTTGTAGAGATGAGTTGTCACCCATCTGTGATGTGGTTTCAGACGTGGGTGCAGGGGAGGAGGAGGAGGAGGAGGAGGGAAAGAGGAGCCTTTGCTGTTTAGGTTAAGGCTCTGCACTGTTTAATGCTAAACACAAGCTTTTGTACATCCTGTTTCAGAGGTGTGTGTGTGTCTGTGTGATGGGTCGGGAGGGGGCAGGGGGCGGGATCACACTGCACAGTCAAATAGTAAAGGCACATACTGCTTACACACACACATGCGCGCGCGCACACACACACACACACACACACACTGACTGCACAGGTGGACATATGTGCAGGTGAGTCCTTGAATAGATAGGATTCACACTGAGTATGGGTAACGTTTTTCTTCCCTATGAAAACCAATGATTTGACAACATGGTCATGGATGTGAAATAGTTTTTCTCTTCTTCTATTTTGTAGATACATGAAACCTAAATGGTTTAATTTCTTTTCTTTTAGTTCACTGAAAGTTGAGGATTAATAAAAAAAAACCCTATTTGAGTTATGCTATCATGCTGATCACTTTGTGTTTGCCATTGCTTTGTTATGTTATGTCTCCTATGTTTGGCTGTTGTTTTCTTTGAGTTTGACACCTTGTATCAACTAAACAGCAGCCTGAAGAGATGTCTAATGAATGAGAATCCAAACTGTTTATTCTAAAGTGTAATACTTGGCCCAGCTAAAGCTTCAAAAAGGCCATTTCACATGTTGCTTCAGTGTGATTTAGCCAAAGATGATTTGAAATGGAAATTCCTCTTTGACCCAGATGTTGCCTGTTGAATCACAAAAGTAGATACTTGATGAGAAGTCTCTTCAGTGGAAAATGTTTATATTTTTCTAATGATTGCTGGTAGTAAGTTACTAATGGCTTGTTTGTGATTTGAACGTGAATGGTTTTCAATGCCTCACAATGCTCACAAAATACAATATCACCATGTGCCGTTTATGTTTCACTTCTAGATATTTAGTGCTGGATAAACACAACATCCTCCTGTGTCCTGATGAGGAAGAGCCATCTTTGCGGTTTTCCGTACTCTGCCGTGTTTAAAGGGAGATGAGGTGGTGAATCATAGCTCTGACCTTTACAGTTTGAAGTGCGTTTGTAAAGACCACTTCACTTCAGGCCGTCATGAAAACCAAGAGTGGGCTTATTGTGATTTAAACCCACACCACATGAGAATTGTGTGTGAGAGACTAGGAACATGAGAGCTAAAGAAATCATGTTTGGATAGGACTAAATGAGGCTCTCTCTGAGGGGCAATCTGAGCACATAATCAGCATTTTACTGAAGGATGAACGTAACTCATTCAAGATAATGTTCAGCGGCCTCCCACTAAACCTAGCTTAATGATTAACTGCAACATCAGGTAAATCTTATATCATGAGTGTTTAGCATTTACTGAATAAGTTTGTCTGCTTCATAGATGGTGCTACGTTAATTAGCAGGACTGTGGAAGTGCTTCTCAGTGTGTTCCTACCTTTTAGCTGTAATAAGCGTGAAGAGCCATAGACCGAGATCAGATACTCCTCACACAGTGTTAGAAATGATCGAAGGGGATCCTGTGACAACTGTGAACCTTCAAACAACACACCCCTCTGGTTTTATAACTATTTAAAGAACTCTTTGCTTCTTCATTTAGGCTTATCAAAAAGTAGGAACTATTGTAAAATACCACAGAATATCTCACATTGGTCATCCAGCATCAGTCCAAGTTCACTTCAGGCATACAGGGTGTCCCAGTTGAAACTGTCTTTAGTTCAGACTGTTACAACTGGTTTAGAAAAATCTTTCTACAGTGTTTCAGGGTATCCCACTGCCCATTTCTTGCAATGTAAACACACTCTGCCCCTGAGTACATATTGAGCATGTCTGGCTTTGTTTATCCCTCATCTGTCTTATTCTCCAGCCCTTAAACCAGTAAATAAAGGCTCTAGTTGAGTGCAAGGCATCTAGGCATGCTGTCCTGGCCCCACCTTCACCTTCCCCTTTTGTAAGGAAGAGGTTTTTAACTCAGTACCTTTAGGAAACATGTTTTGTTTTCTTAGAAAATTATAATCAGTGTAAGTGAGCTTTATTCAGAATACTGCTTTGGCTTTTAACAGTTTCACATATGGAGGGCAGATGTAAAATTTGTAAAATTGGAAGTCAATGTGTGCTCATGTTCAATTCATTTCCAGTAAGATCAACTCAGGAAGTGAAATTTAAATGAAAAAACTATTTAAGGAAGTCATATTTATATTCATATAGTAAGAAAATATACCAATAATTTCCGTTTTACATGGCGTTCAAAAGTCTGATGATTTGTAGTTTATGGTCGTGTTGGCTAAGTGGAAGTGAATCTGACTTTGTCATTGGGGGGAAGGGGCTGTGCTCACAGTGACCTGGTGCTTTAAATGTCACTCTTGATTTGTAAAAGACACAGGCCCACCTTTTGTGGATTCAGTTCATATGAGTCAGAAATCTCACACTGTACAGAAGTTTATGGTATTAAAGTCTAATAGAATTATAAAAAGTGAAAATTGATGTTTGGGAGACCAGATTGTGTCTCTGCTGTTAAAAAAGCATTGAAGTGGCTCCTTTTAAGAGATCATATTTAGTACTGACACATTATGGAACGTGTAGATCTGTGTCTTCTGATAAACAGAGAGGACACTTTCATTCCCATTTTCATAGCTGTACAAACCTTTGCTTAAAACATTTTTTTATTCTTACTCTATATTTACTGTTGTTATTACCTCTAAGAATCTGGTCTTTATTTACTTTTTTTTTTTTTTGTTCATATTATTTTTACTGACAAATTTAACGCTAGATACTGCAAGCTTATTAGTGTAGGATTTTATAATCAATCAGGGATGTTTTGCACCATGCACTGTTGCTGGGTAGATTTGAAATGATTAGATAATTACAGTAAAGAAAAAGAAACAGAAGATATGAACTGTATTTTTTATTTGTATTTCTTTTGTTTTTAAATCAATCACAAATTGTCTCTGTTATAAGGTAGAAATAAAAGATAGAATTTGTATATTTGTGTCTGCTTTTCTTTATATGTGTTACTGACCACAGTGTAAAAATTAGCCTTTTTAATATCCAATTTTACTTCAGTGTGAAAAGTAGAAAACAAATTAGCTGCAGTGGAGATAACACTGGAATTGAAATCATTTAATTTCCTCTCTTTTTACCTGCATACTGATTAGTATTAATTATTTCTTGTTTCAGGCCTTTACTGACTGAAATATTTTGGTATGTGTACTTCATTAAAAGATGTCACTGGACTTGTTTGACACACAGACCAAAACAAACTTTATCTTCAAGGATGACTTTTAATACTGTCGCTGAGAAAGATAACGATCTGTGTTGGCATCAAGTTGACTAATGCCTACATAGTTAAACTATGAAAACAAGTAGATAATTATGTGTACTTCCTGTCTCAAAACAAAATCTGTCAACAGTAGTTATTGATGAAAGCCTGATGTTCAGTACAGTATCAAACAGGATGGAAAACATTCACATCAAGTGCCTGAGTGCTGTCTGTGATGATCCTGAGAATTTACAATGCTGAACGCAGCCTGGAGATTTCAAGGACTTCCGTTTGAGTCCTTATCAGACTGCAGCAACATCAAATCTTGTGCTAGCCATGTTCTTGAAAATAAAAGCTGAAATGGTGAGTATGCATCTTTGTGGTGTGAAGACGATTAGTTAGTAGATTCACAACGCATTTTAGCTCTATATAGTTGTTTGAACTTTTTTTCCTCAGACCTCTTGAACCCTGACTAAACTTAACCTTAAATGCCCTCATACGAATATTTTTGTTGCAACAGAAAATAAGTATAGTGCAGCCATGACTTAACTTCTCCTTAAATGCCCTCACATAAATAGTTTTATTGCAACAGAAAATACGTATAATGGGGGGTGGTAAGATTTTTTTTTCTTTTTCATAAGACAGTATTATTCAAATGAACAAATTCTGGATAGGTTATCAGACTCCACTGAGTTCATGAAACAGCAGCTATAAATATTAAGCACCAGCTCAGGTTACTATTAGAAATAAGTTTCTGGACCTTCTTCTCACTATTCTGGTTACCACCTTTCAAAAGAGGGCTGCCTAGTACTCAAGTTGATGGGGGATGGCATCCCCCCTGAAATGAAAATGGTAAAAATCATCCTTCTAAAACCGTCATCCCAGCTTTCATCATCTGAGCCATTTTTATGTGGAAATATTACTGGTAATTTAACTTTGGAAATATAACCACCATCTCAACGTTTAGGGGGTGTGAAGGCTGCCCGACTGCGGGCAGCGCATGGAGCCACACGCACAGACAAACCTACATAAGGGCCAAACATTTCCCTCCCTGCCAGCGTCGCTAGTTACCCACCAAACAGTGCTACTTTCCTTCTCCCTTCTCTGTTGCATAGGGTAACCAAGGGTACACAATTGGAGCCCTACTGGCTAACTTAGGCTGGACCTAGGACTAAAGCAATAAAACCATGATAAAGTATCATAAAGTGTTAAGTTAAATAAATAAAACAGTCTTAAAATCAAACAATAAAAGAAAGTCAATAAAATACACGTAATAAAACACAAAAAAGTAACTCGAGGACTAAAATAGGGGGAAATCACAGAATGCAGACAAAAAGAAGTCCTACCTCTTGGACGATCAAAGTTGCGATGGCACCTGGGGTGGCCAATCAACATTTCCAGCCACGCCACTGAAAATAACACATCTCTTTCTTAGCTGCTTTTTTTCAATGTGTTTCTTTGATGATAAACAATGATCATCTGAATTTGAGACTTGTGCAGTTCTGGTTGAAATTGATCCATTTTTAAGAGATGCACCAGTATTTCTTCATTTGAAGCATTTTTATCTCTTGAAGATAATTTTCGTGGTTTTAAACTACAAGATTGAGCAATTGTACCTCTGTGTGATAAATCCTCTCTGTGACCAGCTTTAAGGTTGTGCTGCACACACAGAGAAACTTGTTTGCATATTAAAGAAAACAGACGTTAATGTGCAGCTTTTCAGAGTAATTCAGTCATGACTTCCATGAATGAGGAAACAGTATTTTGACTGATAAATATTCCTACTTTGCTTTTTTCAGTAGATTTTTAAAATTCAGAGCTCTTTCGATCCTGACACTTGATCTGTTTGATCTTAACACAATATAAAACCTTTTTTGTATGAATAAGCTCCGAAAGTTGCAGAAGTAAAGTTTATTGTTTATTGTTTTACCAACAAAATGAAACTGTTTTTGTCTTATTTTTGTTTAATATTATTTTAATCAATAAAATAAAATAAACAATTTCATCTTATTTTAAGGGTTTTATATCACCTTTCACCAATCAAAATGACCCTGTGTTATCTTATCTCAATGGATTAATATCACTTTTACAAATGAGATGAACTCATTTTATCTTAAAATTGAACCTTTTGTCTTATTCAAATGATTTAATATTCCTTTTAACAATCAAAAGGACCTGTTTTATCTGATAGTAATTAATCAATCAAATAAAGCTTTTCGTCTTTTTCTTAAAGACAAATATCACTTTAAAAAGATAAAATTAACCTATTTTATCTTATTTTAATGGATAAAAATAGCCTTGCAGGAAAAAAAAACTTTTTCTTTATTTAAACAGTTTTATATCACCCCTCACCAATTATAATTACCCTGTGTTATTTAATGGATAAATATCACCTTTACTATAAGAAATTAACCTTTTTTTTTTTTTTATTGGTTTGATATCCTTCTGGCTAATTAAATGAACCTGTTAATTTTATTATAATGAATTAATATCCCTTTCCCAATAAACAATCCCTTGTTACTCTCTTTTCATGGTTTAGTGTCCCCTTTACTGATAAAAAATGAATTCATTTTGTCTTATTTTGATTATCCTTTTTTCATATCAACACAACATGTTGTAGGGGCCCCAACACTGACTGTTCATGTCACACTCAAAGCACTGAACTCAGAGCACTGTCAGAGGTGCGGAGCAGGCTGATTTTATGAGCATGGCTGTGTTTATCAAAACTAAGAATACATACATCATCGTTTTCAAAAAAGCAGCACTGCTCTGTTTTAATTTCAAAGCTTTAGCATCATTTTACAAATTTGAAATGTTTGTTGCACATGAAAGTCAAACCTCTTCAGCTCGGAGGCAGAGTACATGAAACACCTTCTGCTGTTGGTTTTGAGGTTTGGTGGTAAATTTTCTAACTCAGCATCATGAAGAGACACATGCAAACACACAAATCATATTTTTTTAGATGCTCGTGGACAGAAATATGTTCTGTCACCCATGTATTTCACTCTGATAGTTTTTCAGTAGGTGTTTACGTGCATCAGATGACTGCAACATGCATTTGACAGGCTGGGTTGCTGTTGCTCTCCTAAACGTGGCCTGGGTTTTCTTCTTTTTGCAACCCAATCCTTTTGAAGGTAAGACTTGAATGCATTCAATGACAGTGTTGCTGTTTGTCTGAGTCACTTTCCCACCATCAAATATTAATAACACTGTTAAAAATCTTCACCATCACATCATGCTGTGCACTCTTTTAGTTTTGTCCTAAATGTGCTTTTAAAGTGTTTCTACACAAAAGAAGCTCCAGTGAGGAGGGGATCTTTGGAGAGTTTTGTTTTCAGCCACAGTTTGATGAGAGTCAGACTTCAGCTCCACATGCAGTCACTGTTACTGCCAGTAAAACCAACAGCACCAACACGACAGCTGAAGGTAAGTCAGTTCTGTCAGTTCAGGCTTTGCTGCATGTATGTAACATTAACTTAGATTTTTTTTTTCCTTTTCTAATGAAAACTTCTCTGTTGATATTTAAACAATGCATTCTTTGTCTTGCTATGAGCATCATATGTGGTCATTTCTCTATAAAGTCATGCTTGAATGTGTCTATTTAAGGAGATTACACTGCTGTGCAGTAGGTTGACAATCATATAATTTCTGACATTTTCATAATTTTATGGCTGCAGAAATTATCTGCAATTTATGTACACATTTGCAAACTGTGTGTGCAGATTTTAAAATTGCAATCCCAGCACGTTGACTTGGTTCACAATGTGTGTGAAATTTAGTATGTGAGTCGTGTGCACAAATGCATCCACACAGATGTGAAGTTAGTATTCACAGAATTAAACTTGTGTTTGCTTGGACTCTTTTAACGTACAGTGTGGATAGTTGCAGAGCTGTGCAGAGTCAGCAGGACAATACAAAACAGTGTTGTCTGCAAAAGAAGAAGAATAAAGTTAATTACAGGGGGGACAATGTTGATAATATAAATAGTATAAAAGCAAAACTGGGCTCAGAAGTAATCCTTGTGGAACACCTTTCATTAGAAGGCACTCTGGATGAATATTACCCACTTTCACACATTAAAACCTGCCAGAAAACACAAGCTATGTTTGTCAGCAGGGGACTTGTTTACTCACACATTTTATGTTTATTATTACTGACTGGGTGCTTGATGGGAAACTTGATTTATACCTTTATAGTAGTGGGCAAACAATTAAATCATTCCATTTCTTTAATCCTGAGAAAGACTTTATTAACAAATATTAGAGAGGAACTTATTTGTTCATAGTTCGTTAATTATTCCTGCTGTTGATTAATTTCCATCCATTATTTTTCAGGGAGAAACTTTACATTGTCTGATGTTGATTTATCATGGTTCATTAATACGCCTGCACAGAACTGCCAGTGCAACCACACAACAGTGCAATTCAAAGATTTACAGTTATTGGATATAGCTTTAAGACCTCTTGCACCAGGATGTGAACCAAACATTGTGTAAGTCAGTTGATAGTTTTTTTGTTTGTTTAAACCAGTTTTTACTTCTATGTATTTGTTTAACGCAGTGATGTGATTGTGCTAAAAGCAGCTTAAGTGAATAAGATATTTGGCTAATTTTTGTGGGAGCATTAAATGCAATGACATGTGACATTCATCTATTTTTGTTCATGTTTTCTTTTATTTGCATTGTACTAGCATGACATTTTCCAACATGGAGGTGTGTGTTGATGGAAATAGTTCCTTTGCTGAACTGGGTCAACTTGCAGTGTAAGTCCTGGATCTGCGGTAATATTCTTTATTATTAGTTTAAACAGGAAGACAACGGAAATATAGAAAATCCAGCCCGTATGTGAGCTGTTCAGTTGAATGCCGGTGAGGATGGGGCCTCTCTGAGGTGGCAGATTTGGTTGGAAGAGCTGACCCTGACTTACTGATAATACTTACAGCATGACTGGTTTTCCAAAGGCATGTATGAGGATTTAAAAAAGTCCAGAATCAATCACTGTTTATTGTTTTACAACATCAGGGACATGAATCATTCCTGATGTGGCTGAAACAAAATTTACCCCTAACCCCGGGTTGACTGAGACCAGCACTTCAGATGCTCCTGTTTGCACAAGCACCCATCATTCAAAAGCTCCAGATGGAGCGAGAGGGGCAGTTGAACATGGTGAGTACATGTCCTGATTAAAGCTTTCTGTCTTCACCTCTAAAAATGATTCTGCTCTTTGTCAAGTTGCAATCCTTCACAATCCTTCATTTTTTGAACACTGATTATTGAGCACAAACTCAAGGAGCAACTTGTCTTGTATTCCTGTTGGTACTTTCCCAAATGGTCATAGTCCGGTAGCTATTCCTCAACTTGTTTCCATCAACTTTTTTTCACAGCTATTACAGGGAGAAACCTTTCATCCCCTGAAGTTCACACCATTGAGAAGACCAAAACTGTGCAGGATTGTCCCTGCAATGAAGGGAGAGGGCTGAAAAAGATGCACAGTTGTTGGACATAGCTCTCACTCCTCCTGCAGCACAATGTGAGCTAAAGAAAATGTAAGTCACTATATTTCATATCTGCTACATATTCATGTGTTTCCTTTATCAGCAAGTGTATTTTCTAAAGCAATGGTATGATAACACTGAACATAAGCTGCATTAATGGACTTCACTCTCATGTTTTTCTTTATTTGTATTATTGGGCTAGCATGACGTTTCCCACAGTGGAGGCATGTGTTGATGTGGAAGATTTCATAGCTGCCTTTAGTCCTCCTCCTGCATAAGTTCTGGGGTTGAGTAAGTGAAATCAGTCACATCTGATTCTGCAAAAGTCAGCCTTTATATAATCAGATCAGACTGTCCTTTAAGATTTTAGAAATTTTTCCATGAAGCACCCAGAAAAGTTTATAATGAACTGCAACTTAACTGGCTGAAAAGTTTTTCTTTTCTTTTTTCTTAAAGCTCTGTCAAACAGGACAACCGAGTCAGAGCAGCACCGACAAGTACACTTGGTGAGTGGGTGTCCTTGTCCTAGCTTTTCTACCTCCACCTCTAAAAGCTTTTTAAACATACTTTAAATTACGATCCTTCCTTTTTTTTAGGTTGTATTCCCACTGAAGTGTGTCTCAGCCATGGCCATTTAGATATGAAAGGGCTGTGAAAGCCAAAGGAGTTTGGTTTCTATTCTTTTCTTATCGAAGAAGCCGAACTTTGTTAAAACAGGTGATAGTTTACCTGATGATCAAATTTAGGAGCTGATGCTGCTCAAATTCTCATCTTGGCACATAGTTGGTGGCTGTACTAAACTGTGCTCTCACATGACCTGGAAACAATCTGCAGTTCAATTATCTACAATTTAATACAAATTATACAGAGGAGTGACTGTAACTGCATGTTTAACTTTCCTTGCAGTTGTTTCCCCATGCACACTGTGCAATATGAAATCTTTGATAATGAACAAACCCTTGATGCAGGGGTCTCTTTGGAGTAAAACCATAGACTGTATATACTATGGACAACTTGGTTCCGCCTTCCGCCAGTATACGGATTTGAAACCAAAAAGCTCTCGGTAATTCTGCGTTTTCTCTCCATTTTCTGAAACCAACATTGTGCAGTAGTGTTGTACGCACCCCACCACTTGCGCAGTAGTATTGTGCGCATTCGGCGGGAGAGTCGCCGAGAGTTGCTGTGATGACGCTCAGCTCAAACAGCGTGAGCTACGCAAGCCTTGTACGTCCATAGGCTGTATCAAGTGTCAATCATAGAAAACATGATAACTTTTAAAAACGGAGCAGTACAGAAAAAAATGAGGACTTGAGCACAAACCAGTCTTACAGTAACTACATGTCAACATCGCAACCAGGGGGGAGAAAAATGTATATTCTGTGTAATTAATTTTTAAAGTTTGTCCACAACTCTGTAGGGATTTCTGGAGGAAGCGGGATTCATGACCTATACTGCAGCCCGTCACCAGAGGGTGCTGTTCTCGTGGTGGCTTTACCCAGCGCAGAGGCAAACGGCGTCCATTCTATATACAGTCTATGGTTTTACTCATTATTGTAAGACTGGTTTGTGCTCAAGTCCTCTTTTTTGTGCAGCGCCATTTTTACAAGTTATCAGGAGTTTCATGTTTTCTATGATTGACACTTGATACAGCCTATGGGCGATTGCGTAGTTTATAGATAATTGTAACTGAACAGCAGATTGTTTCCAGGTCATGTGAGAGCACAGTTTTGTACAGGGTCTGTTTAAGTCTTAACTTAAGCGAGTTATTTGTACCCACTGAATCTGGTCTTAACGGTATATATTCTGTTATTGAGTTTCGGGCAATATAATGCCTGTATTCCTCTAAAAATCAGCTTGTAACATTTTTTTCCATCATGTCAGCGATCACTTTATATCTGTCTCCTCTCGAGTCCAGCTGTGATCACTCACACAAAATCAATGACTTTCCTAACCTCTGAGGACCAAAGTTGTCTTTAATCTCCACAATATCACAAACAAATGTATGAAAAGCCACCGATCCGGACAGGTTGACATGCTGTACACTGTGTTACCGTTTCTAAGCTTTCCAGCACTCAACTCCCCCTTCCCCTGAATATGTTTTCAGACCACTCTTGGCCGGTCCATCATGGCGTTTAGTTACCATGCTCTCCAGAATGTGCCCACCCATACAAAATCTAACCAATCATGAGGCTTTAACAAATGAGGTGGGTTCGGTTTTGAAAATTGACCTTGACCCCAGCGAATAGCGATGCTTGTGGGCGTGGTCGTTAGTAGTTCGGTTGCACTGGACGTTCCCCATCAACTTTTGCTACTCGATGAGCGTTTTGCAAAGCTAGTTAGCTAGCCACGTAAGATACATTTGAAGCATTTTGTTGTGTAATGGGGTGCATATATGTATTTTGGAATCCAGTCGGGAATTTGCAGTCGTCAAGAAATCAGTAAATTCCAGAAGTGACGAGGAGACTCCATTTTCCCAGGCTGCTGGCCTGGCTAACCAGCGACACGGCAGAGTGGCAACTGGATGCTGTGCTAGGCTAACTCTCCCTGCAGGGGAACCGCAGCTCCAGCAAGCCAGGAGCTTGTAATAAATAGTCAAACTGACGATACTTTCGTTGACTACAAAAGACTCCCAGGTATGTGTCAGCTGTTTTCTAGCACTGTGGGGGTGTCTTGTGTCGTGGGCTAGCCTGGTTTCGATCAACGGGTTGTTGCAGCCATCTACGTTAGCATTAGCTGCAGAGCCCAGCTGATAGCTCAGCTGATAGCTCAGTTTAGATGCTACACAAGCAGACGAGCTAAGCTATAGTGCTACAACAGAAGCTAACGGGAACCAGGGCACATTCCTCAGCCACACGTAACCTTATCATTTACTGCTTATTGGAAGCATGGGGGTATTCAGCGCAGTTTAAGGCCTGTCTGCATGACGGGGTTGTTATTGTACTCAGATAAGTGATCAAGAAATTGATGTTATACTGCTTTGATGTCGGAGAAGATTAGCTGGAATGCACAACTGATGATTGTGGTTTGTTATTGTTGTCATAGCGGTACTTTGACCCTGTGATTGCAGCATGCTGATGGTGGGAGGCAATGGACGGATGCACTAGAATGAGTGTGAAGGAGCTGTGTGAGACCGATGACCTGGCAACTGGTTTGGTGCTGGACCCTCTGTTGGGCTTCAGCACCCACAAAATGAACATAAGGTACTGAGGCAGTCTGTGCAATGTCACCAAATAACCACTGGATCATAACAGAACTCATACGTTATTGTAAACACAATCATACAGATTTCTTAAGTATTGCAGCACTCCTTCACTTTCTGCAAATCAATGTTTTCCATAATGTGTGTTTACATGCTATCACACCCACTCATCTCTGTCAAGTCTCCAATTAAACATACAAACAAGTTTAGCTTTTGGGAGTCTAGTTTATGCCAGTTTGTGCAAACAAAGTTTCCTGTGCAGTATTTCCACAAACAAATGTTGTAAGACACCATTTCTGACCACTGAATGTTCCTTTTCAAATGGAAACAATTTATTAGAACTATTACTTTTCCCAACCCCACCACTGAAGTATATTCTATACTGTATTATACTATGGTATATTGCTGCTTGTTCTTTTTGCTGCAAATGCTTAATTAGGTGTTGAAACAGATGTCATGCAGCTTTTTATAGGTGATAAAACATATTTGATTTTAAATATTAAATACATACCTCTAACCTTATGTATCTTTCCTTAGCACATAGATGTATACATCCACACACTTTTTTAACTCCCTGTCATGCTGGTATTCTTGAGTGACATTCTTGTCCCTTCACTCCTTTGCAGTCCCCCACCAGAGATTCGGCGATGGGGTAACCTCAAAGAGACTCTATTGCGCTTTCAGCGTACCCATGACTTCAATGCCACGTTTGAGGCGTTGACAGTAGGTGAACTGGCTGGTGACTACTTCAATGCCTTGGGAAGTCATCGACAGGAGCTGCTGAGGCAACATGTAAGCTGGTGTTTTACCTCCAGAATAGTCAAGATGTTAAATTGTGTCGCATAGTTAATGCATAATCATTCACCCCCCCCCCCCTTTATTTTTGTAGCAAAACAAATCTGTAAAAATATTTTTATTATGACCCTTTTGCTTTTGCATTTAGTACATATGAAGTAATTGTGGTTGATGAATGTGTGACTGGAAAGTTAAGGTAGCATCTAACTTATCTCTGCTGTCTGTAGGTGTACCGCTACCTTAGTGCTTTTCTGTTGGATAGTGGCATCAAGATTGAGTCGTGTGACCGATACTCCTCTGAGACAAATGGAGCAAAGATAACCTCCACAAGGCACTGGTAATCATCCACATTCCCAACAGCTTTTTTATCAAAGCAACATGCATCTGAACCAAAAGTGCCGAATTTTCTGGGTTGTGTTTTCTTTTTCTTTGGAAGTAAACTTTGTGCTGCTTAAATTCTTTCTCTATAGGTTTATCGGTGAGCGGGTGGAGGTCCTGCTTGGTTGCATAGCGGAGCTGAGCCCCACTGACAGCGCCGTGCTGAGGGCAGGAGTCAATGACTTCAGTGTGATGTATTCCACGCGAAAGCGCTGTGCCCAGCTCTGGCTCGGGCCTGCAGCCTTCATTAACCATGGTGGGTTTGTTTGCATTCATGACTCATTCTTTCCCAGCTCGCACACACACTCGCACACACACACTCATGTACCAAATTGAAATCCTTATAGCTGTTATAGGCTGTCACCTTCGCCTGGCACAAAAGTTTTTAGTGGCACAGTCTGAGGTCCAGTTTTCCACACCACATAACATTCACAACATAAAAATGGAGGAAGCTATCACTCTCACACTGACTGACAGATCTTTTATTATTCTTAGTCACACTATACAACAATTAAGTCTTAGTCACTTTTTTGTAATGTTTTATAACTGACACACACAAGCTGAAAGATCCCTGTGTGTGTGTGTGTGTGTGTGTGTGTGTGTGTGTGTGTTTTGTACTTTTCTCTTCTCAAAGAGGGAGGGAAAATTTAAATGGAACACCTGTCAATATTACACATTCCAGTAAACAACCAAGTCCCACCACAGCTTCAGTTACCAATTCACAGAACAGCTTTCTGATCATGTCTTCCATTAGCATGATGCCTAATATCTACTTTATGAGCGTCCCTTAACATAAATAATTATGCACATAATTTCATATCATACAGTTTTGACCTGGGAAACTGTGAACACTATTAGCAACGTGTGTGTTTGTTAAATTGAGACAAAGTGATTACTCACTATTTAGTCCTTAAAGTTTGAATATCACTCCACATGAATAAAAAAAAGAGTCCAGTTTTAGATTAATCAGGAACAAATGTGCACCAAAAAGTTAATGTACAGCTACTCAAGTGTGACAGTGTATGATAACAACTAAACCTGAATCTAATATAACTAGAAAAATGCTGTAAATCATCTTATTAAATGATGTAAAAAACAGGGTTATTACTCGTTTTAACACATATTGGACTAGGTTTAACGTCTACATATGGGAATAACTTAGATCAAACATAACAGAACATTTTAGTCATTCTGCTCAGGCTGTGGAATATTTTACTATCAATGAAAATTTATGAACAAGGTGTGTAGTGATGATTTTGTAAATTGTTTTTTTTTACACTTCCCTTCAGCTACATCTCTGCAAAGTGTGTGATTGTTTTTTTTTTTTTTGAAGTAGTAATTTTATTACTCAACCAAGTTGTCAGTCTCACAGATAAGCAGCTTGCTTCACAGTGTTTAATGAGATGTAATGTGTACAAAAGATCCAGTGAGATTCTGCTTAATTCCTTGGTCCACTCAGAGGCCAGTTTCTGACAAGATCTCCTAATAGTGTTTGAGAGTTAATCAGCTTAGCCTGTGAGTCTTTTGCTCAATGAATGAATTCATCACAAACCAGCTGATCAACAAAACATGAAGTCATTTATTCATGACTCTGACTGAATACTTTTTAATAGCTTCAAATCTTTTTTGTGTTTTTCTCCCATCGTTTCTCCTTCTGGGCTGAAGACTGCAAACCAAACTGCAAGGTAATCGGCTCTTTTTACTTATCTTTGCTCTCAACTGATAAGAAAAAATCAGGGGATATACTTCCTACTTTAAAATGAATGCACCTTATTTGCTTTATCTTGTCATTAGCTTTTAACTCTTCCCCTGCTCTGTGTCACTTTGTCCCATGGGTCTACCCTTTTGTCTTTGTCTTACACTGTTTTTTTCCTTTTCACCCGCCCAGTTCCTCCCTAGTGAGAAGAACATTGCGTGTGTTGAAGTGATTCGACCCATATCACCTGGGGAGGAGATCACATGTTACTATGGTGCCAGCTTTTTTGGAGAAGGCAACGAAATGTGTGAATGCTGCACCTGTGAGAGGTGTGTCCATCATCTGATCAGACATTGTCTTTATGATGACTTCTTTTACCTCTTTTTGAGTGAATATGAAGTACGATAGGTAGACCCTTTTTAACAGGAATTTTAATTTGAAATGTAAATTCCTCTTTAGGAACGGGGAAGGTCATTTCAAACATCGGGGGAAACAGCCTGATTGTGAAGAAACAAAGGATCCTGTAGGCCAGAAGTACCGCCTGAGGGAGAGGTATCTCCGTCATCACAGAGAGAAGGGCCACTTTCCTTCGAGGCCGACGATACCAGGGCTGCACTCGGGTATCTTTAAAGGTAACTGCTCTATGACTTGGCCTTCAATCCTATTCTTTAAATCTTATCTCATGCAAACATACATTGTACTTGATTGCCTTCCTTTAAGTCCCCCAAATTATAGAACAATTTAATAGCAGTTATGTCAACATTAACAGCTTGTAATACTAAATGCTTGGCAGTCTGCTCTGTAGTTGTTAAATGCACCGTTAAATTGAAGCCTTAGGACAACCGGTATGGCTCATTTGTTAATTTGTACAAACTGTGCTGCGATAAAGGTTTCAAAATGGCAATGCATCAGAATTAAGATCACAAAAAAATGTTTGCAAAAACCTAGTACAGAGGTCGGCTTTGACTTTCCCACTGTACTACCCCACATACACTGTGACATTTTTAAAACCTTGGCTTCTCTGATTTTAGCTGAAAAGATTTCAATGCCTTGATGAATCAATCAAAGCAAAAAGGACTTTTATGACGGAGTTCGAGAGCTGTATATATTCTTGAAAACCCACATCTCTGCTTTGTCAGAGCTAAAATATAATCAGGCTCAAGCAGTCAGTCAGCTCTTTATGACCAATTTGTCTCACTCTCTGGAAACAGATGGCATTGTTGAATGGCTCTGTAATTACTGTGAATACAGTCATTAAAGTAAGAGTTTGAAACATGATCTACAGCAACATTAGGCCTGTTTCAGGAAGTAGATTGTGGTTCTTCTCGCTGACATAAGCTTTAAAAACTGCATAGAGCCAAAAGTTGATGTATTCGTTGATTGTGAAATTGTTAAAGCGCCTGTTTTTTGTTGCCTTGTGGAAATGTGTATTAATGTGACAACAGTAGGGATTTTGGATGCATGATAAATCATATAATGCTGTCTTCTTTTGTAAGAAATTAGGAACTACAGATTGTAAAACCCACAGGACACATTGACTAAAAAGAATTTGATACTTTAAATTTTTGTTTTTGACACGTCAAATGGTGTCAAGTCTGGAAAATTAGTCTTTTGCTGATATTCAAGGTCAGAACTGTCCTGAATTAAAGACTTTTCCTGAATTTTCTTCCAAGCAGAATCCAGAATTTCATCCACAGGGTTGTTCATGTAAAACCCAAATCCCTGCATGGATTTAATGTCTTGCTTGTGTTTTTTGTTTTTGCATTGTATACAAATTCCACTATGATTGAGAACTGGATAAAGTGTTAGTTTGAGCCTAACTTTGTCACATTGGATGGGCCAATGCTGTTTGTCATTTGACCCGTTGTTGCTAAGGCCAGTAGAGCTGATGGGCATTAGTAATTTTGTCATTGTCAAAAAGGACTTTTCAGAATTGTTGACAAATTTTGCAAAATGCGCAACGGATACAAAATAATGGAAGCCATTATTAATCAGTCAGTGAAGTGGTCAGGTGAATGTTATTGAGAGCTGATGTTTGACAGTATGTTTATCATACTACGGTTCATTTTAAAAGTGATCATGAGAGAATCTGAAAAGCATAATTTCTATCTGATTTCTATCTGGACTAAAAACTGTCTTTATCTTAAGCAGCTCTGTTTCTGTGTTTTTCTTTCTTTCTTACTTAGCCATCCCCTCCAGGAATTCCTTCACCCAGCAGATGAGGAGGAACGCCTTGAAGAACAAAAAATTAAATCAAACAAAAAAGTGGAGACGAGAGAAGCACAGACGATCAGGCAAACATCCGCTGAAATCCTCCACTTTTAAACAGCGTTGGGCGGCTCCGCTTTTGTCCCAAGTTACTTTGAAGGATCTCAGTATCAGAGTGCGGCGCCACTCAGTGGAGTTCTTACTCAGTTGTAAGGATCCAAAAAGCAAAGAGAGAGCCTTGCTTCAGCAGCTGGAGGAAGTGAAGTCAAATAGTAATAGTGAGGTAAACTTGAAGCCTTTTACACTTAATTCATCCATGTCAGCCCATCAGAAAAGCAGACCTGCGGTGAATGGCCCAGGTCTTAATGGGAAGTCTGTCACAGTGGTGGATAGGCAGGCTTCTTACCAGAGGACCTCTTTAAGAAAAAGAAACATGGTTCAGTCCACGCCAACACATCAAACGGGGAGCAGTAACACAGGCAACAATACAACTGTTTGTCAGACTGAGGGAATGAACAAAAGCGGCAGTGCAATAAAACAAGAGACAGAAAAAGCAATCACAGAAAGTCAAAGCAACAAGAGCAACGAGTGCGGCGTTACCGACACTGCTGCTGAGCTAACAGAGCACAGGACCATCAGAGCGCCATCCCTGTTAGAAGTTAGTCAGAACACCACAGACAGACCGGAGAAAGTTAGAGACAATCCACTAATATCACTGAAGCAATACCTTACAGTCAGTGTGACAAGGTTGTCATTACCACCGAGTTTAGATGCACAAAATACTCTTTCAGTCAGGACAGACCAAGTGGAGTTGAGAGGAAAGAGCAGCCAGCGACACAGACCAGCCCCTCTATCAGTGCAGACAAAGGGGAGAGGGTCCAGGTCTCAGCAGAGGCAGCGAGAAAACTCTGGGATTTGTTCAACTGAGGGCAACAGAGGGGTAAGAGAGATGTTTTTTAAGTCAGGTGATAAAGTTAATTTAAGGAAGCGAAATGCAAGTGAATCTGTTTGTGATCTATCCCGCAGCCAGAAAGAAGAGACAGATAATGTGATCGAGATACAGACTGTGTCAGAGGTAAAGGATGTGATGCAAACAGAACAGCAGGAAATGGTGAAAAACCAAACTGATGGGCAGGAAGAGAAGATAAAAGAATCTGTGAAGCCTCTGGGAAAGGTAAAAGAGTCAGAGTGTAAAATAGTGCACAATGAAAAATCGGGGGGACAAAATAATGTAGAATGTGTCCGAATTACAGCTGAGGAGGGACTGCTTCATCTGTCTGAACAGATGGCTAGGTGTGTGAGTAAACAGCCACAGTACAGGCACAGACAAGATGTAGTTCTAAAGCCTGCCAAGGTTTTACTGTCTGATATTTTAAGAAAAAATGAATCTTTTCTAGGTAAGAGGTTACATGGAGATATTGTAGAGAGTGTTTTTTTAACCTCAACCTGTAAAGCAGCGCTAAATGCTGAGGAGGAAAAGGCAACTGGCAGGAATGGAGGCAGGTACCAGACTTCAGCACAGAGGAGGATCAGGAGACGTCGAAGGATGAGGCCTAGAACAGTGAAAAAAGTAGAAAGTAAAGGCATCAAGGGACACTTGAGCAAAGAGGTTTCAGCCACAGTAAAGACTGAACTGAATGAGGAAACTTTGTCCCTTCAGTCACCACAGAGACACAAAAACCCGCTGGCCATCTGCCTAGAAGCACTACCTCACAAGTCATTATTATCAGCAAAAGCCGTGACTAATTTGTACTCAGACACCAATCCACAGGCACACACCCAGTCCAACATACCTCTGAAAAAACGAACATTTCGCAGCTCTGTGGAGCCCGACTCTGAACAAGGTTTGAATCCTGCCACAGATAAAGCTTCCAAAGAAGTGGCAGAGTTGAATTCATCTGCAGAGCTGAGTCAGGATGTTTGCACGACCTCAGAGGACAGAGGCAAACTGAAGAAACTTTTTAAACGCAGAATAAGAAAGACTGAAATCCAGAAGTTAACCCCAAAAAGGATCACAACCTTTAACAGGGTACTTCGCTCTCGTGCTAATAATGTCCAACGAAGCCATTTATTAAGGAGAGCTCGGAGGTGTAAATTAGAGAGGCAAGATGAGGTCAGCATTGACATGGCTCAGACACCAGAGAGAGATGAGCTCTTAGAAAGCAAACAAACCAAGACTCCAGCTAAAATCCTGAGGCAGTGCAGGAAAACCACAAATAAATCCCAAATAAAGGAGGAGCTGGAAAAGTTTCCTCAGCAAAGTGGTCTGGAGGAGACGAAGCCAGGCCTCAATTTTAAGATTCGATTTAAGAGGAGGAAAGGAAGAGTATGGGAAATGCAGGGCGCAGGATTTGATAATCTGGCCTTAAAAACAGAGACGGGAGATGAGCTGGTGACATGTGATCCCTTTAAAGCCATCATGGATTCAGTGTCGATCTTAAACATGGAGATGGAAGCAGCTCAGGCTCATGTGCAGGCTAGTAAAAAGTCCAAGAGCAGATTACATCGTTTGAAGAGGAGAGGGGAGAGGCGTAGTGAAAGGACAACAGTGACGGCCTCTTCAGACGCAAAGCCAGATAAAGATCTTGACAAAACTGTACGTGGGCCCACTGAAATGTCTAATGATGATGAAATAATTAAAGGCAAGCTTGATGGGGAACTTCAGAATGGAGTCAAGCTCCTGACAGAAAAAAATAGAAGTCCTCAAAGTGATGGGATCGTATTGCCAGCTGCAGGACAAGCAACAAAAATTGAAGATCGTTATGTAAAGAATTGCTGCTTGTTTGAAATGGGGTCACAGCAGAAGCTGCCGTCTGAACTGGACTCAAATGGTCTTCCTTTACCGGTGCTCAGATTACGCAGAAAGGCAGAGGATATTTGGGAAGTGGAGAGCAAAGAAGAGCTGAGACAAACTCAACTCAAAGAAGAGCCTGCTGTGAAGAGAGAATTAACAGGTCATATTTTAGGCAGACAAAAGAAAGGATGTGTCGATTTCAGCAAGTTGAAAGAAGAGTGCCCGTCTTTGCAGAGACTGAACAGCAACTCAGCACTCCTAAAAACAGAGCCCCCTCCATTTTCCTTATCTCTTTCACCGTTGTCTCTGTCTTCCCCACTTAATGAAAATAAGGCTGAAGTTAGATCCTCAGCCGCAAACACAGTCATTGACAGGCCAGAGTTGAACAGCGGGGGAAGGAAACAGAGGTATAAAATGGAGAGAGTGCACAAGTGTGGGCCTGTAGAAACACCCACCCCCTGTCTTAGTCACACTCTCCAACAAATTGACAACAGTCTCTCTCGACTCTCTGAAGGCTTGTGTTCATCTCAGACTCTGGAAAGGCCAACAGCCTCTTCCAATACTTCCAGCTCAGTCATCCAGCCCCCAGCCTCCCAGTCTCCTCCATTCACAACTGCAGATAGCATGCTCTCCAGCGAGCCCAGCTTCTCCAACTGCTGTGATGATATTCTAGACTTTCAGTGTCTGAACTTTGAGGGGTATTATCAGCCACAGAATATTCTTCCATCCTCCCCATCTGATCTGTGCTCACTGGATCCACCAACAGATCCTTTCAGCAGTCCTCTTTCTCACAGCCCCTCTGATACATGGACCACTGAGACGCCATACCTTGGCCCTCCCAGCCCAGGAAATAACTTTACTAGTGAGGATCTGCAGTTTTTTCCCGGTCTGATTTCTTCCAAGGGTGACTCAGTTTCTCTAGAATGTGAAGCGAAGGATACCTCAAGAGACAGAATCCAGCCCAACCCTGGTTTCAGTTTTTCAGCTCCTGGCAATGCCGACATGATTGCCAAAGAAAGAATTGTAAGTAAAAATCTGGGAACGAGACCATCAAGGGACGACCTGAGAAATCAGGCTGTTTCTGTTGTCAACAAGCCTCGATTTTTTGGCGCGACATCATCCTCTGTTACATCCCAAAGTCCTGTTACAATAACCCAAACTCCCATCAACTTCAAAGCTGGCACCAGTCAACCCAAAGCCCAGTCTCACCTCAGAGCCCAGGGACCCTTCCACCGTATGTCCATTCCAAATAAATCCCAGACTTTCCCGAGCAGTCAGCCGAACACAGTCAGAGGAACCCCCCAGGCTTGCACAACAAAATCCGTCCCTTCATCCCAAGTGCCCAACAAATTCCTGTCTCCTCAACTTTTCACTGTGAAAACTCCCAACCCCTCTGATAACCTATTTAAGCACGAGAAAACCTCGTCAGTCATTCACCGGGTACTTAAGTTCCAGGGAGGGGACCAGATTCAGAACCTGTACAGTGCACCTTGTAAAGACGCTATGGCAACTGCTGGCAGCTCCAATGTTTCATCCAGAACAGTCAATGCAAAACCAGGTGCTTTTGAGAGGATCCACCAGAGTCACAAACCAGGTGTTGGTGCAGATAGTTACCAAAAAGGCAATGTGTCTCTTCAAGGGTTTGGAAAAGATGTCCAACTCACATCCTCCAGCAACCCCAGCAGGCCCAATATTCATTTCAACAAACCCAACGCCTCTTTTCCTCAGTCTTTTAGCAAAAACAAGACAACGCCTGAAAAACACGAAAGTGTTGAGACAAACATGATGTACAAAAACCTCTCATCACTGCCCAGACCTTTCTTTTTTCCCAGCAAAACACCAGAGAGTTACTCTTCAATACAAGACAAGAGTCTAAAACATGACAAGTCCACTATGTCAGCCTCAGAGAAGCACCAGCCTTGTTACACCCAGCAGGACCCTTTCGACTTTAGCTTTGGCTCATCTCTTTCACCCATGTCTCAGCACAACAGCCCCCAAGTAGTTCACTCTACACCTCCCAGTACACCAGCACCAGGAGTCAAGAGTCAGTCCTCCACCTCCTCAGCCTCCTTCCCTTATGGTTACCAAGGTCCTCCTTACGTGTTGAACTTTAGCGGAGACCATTCATTGACCCTCGGTCTCAGAGATGGGGCTGAGGGTTATCAAGGCTCAACAAACTACACCTACCATTGCCTGATGGAGCCTTCAGGCACCCAAGGGCGTCTGGTTCTTGAACCCTGCGGGCCCCAGCTCTCCAACCCAGCTTCCTTTTCTTTGGGAGGCTTTTCAGGGCTCAAGGGTCAGGACGAACACTGCAGGAAGGACATGCAGCAACAGTGCCAGCCAGGGGAACACCAAGGCGCACCACACTATGGACCTGTTACATCATCTCACTCTATGGGTGCCACAAAACCCAAGAGGGTGAGGCTAGTGGTGACAGACGGCACAGTGGACTTAGATCTCCAGTACTCGGATTAATTTATACACATCGCAGTCACTGGAGAATATTTGGATGTTGTAAAACAATATTTTGTAAAAACTGTAATTTATAGTCTACCAGTTATTAATGAAAGTCCGCTGACTGACACTTTTCTAGATGACTCTTTTTTGATGGACTGTTAATGAATTGTACAGGGTTTTAACAGCAACAGGCTTATCAGCTTGTTTTAACTACTGTATGATTTTTTTATCAAAAATGAGCTCTCCACTTCAATTTGCTGACAATACCAAATTTTAATCAGAAAATTAACTACAAGGCATTAATACAAATGTGACAAGGACTTTGACTCAAACATTGAAAGCCCTCCTCATGTACTGTAACATAGCTGTATGATTTTTTTCTATAACATGTATTGAAGTAGAGACAGCAGCACCTTCACTGGTTGCTGGTACTTGTATGAGTTGGTTTTAAAAAGGCAGCTTTGTGCCACAGTCTTTGATATGTTCTTGTGACTTTTTGAAGCACCTGTTGACACAGTTCACCCTGGTTTCTAAACTCAATAAGCTTTTGTTTTTTTTTTCCTCACTTGTTTGTGTGCAAGTGTCTGCATGCATTTTGGCAGGCAGGTGTTTAAGGGATCAAAGTAAGGTGTGTTGTTGTACCTAATTGTGAGTGTTGCTCTGCCAAATTTCTAGTAAGGTCATTAGTCAGTAGTGCATTAATGAACGGTTTGTGCATGTACAGTGTACAGTAAGATGATTCCCTGACATGAAAAAAAAATATATATATATTTAGGACAACTCTCCTAAATGAAGATCTGTCACATAATCCTGCAGCTCCAAACAGCTGTTCAGCTATGGATGAGTGAGTTGGAGAGACGACGGGAGGTTATTTCAGGCCATTTGTCCTTGATGAATTGAGGGACGGTACCGCATGAATTCTTTGTATGAGAATTCACTCAATTGGAAGTTAAAGAAAAAGATTTAAATGTTACATTGAGTAAAGTGACAATCTTCACAGAGTGGCTCACTTTTGTCATTCATATGGGTTTGTGTTTCATAGATTATACAGAAAGAACAGTAGGATAAGTTGTTCACATCCAATTGATACTGTTTGTTATGTTGTTGCTGATGGAGCTACACGTTTATAGGTGTTTGTATTGTAAGCAGAGTTACTTGCTGTCGATTGAGGAAGTCACACGAGCATTCCCCTCATGTCACAATGTACTATGTGTTAAACCCATTTGACATCCCTGGGCAGGGGTGTTCGATGTGACTGCACAGCCTTACATTACTATCATTATATTATACTGTCATGATATGAAAAGGCCAATTATTTATTTAATATCCTCATCCTTGAAATGGTGCTTTATTGTAATTTATATTTCACATTGATTGTTCAAATGATGAAATGTTTTTTTTATTATTATTTAATGGAACAAAGTACTGAAGTGAATATTTACATCAAGTATTTAATTTCAAAGAATTTGACATCTTATTCAGTTTTTCAGTTGTGAAAGGTTAAACTTTGTCCGTCTCTTTTCTAATTGGCAGTTAGTCTTACTGAAAATCTTCTGTAGAAATGTATAAATGTAGCCTATATATCATTAAAGACACTTAATTCCTTTTTCATATTTTCTGTCTTTGACTTTTTTGTGTTTACACTTCAATTTTAAAGGTGCAGCATGATTTGGTTGAGGATCAATATGATCTTTTTTATTTTCAGAACTATTGGCAATTTTGATTGATGGTCATTGCACATTATGTCATCACAATTTCAGTCAAACTATAATATCATTATAGTTATGCTTCATCATATTGTTTTGATCATTTGTAACCTTAAAACAAAATCATTGTCTTCAAATAATTCAATTTGTCTAAAAAAATTCTAAAATACCACAGATAACTTATTATCTGAATTTACTAAAGAAAAAAAGTTTAAATATAAACAGTCATCAAATAGTTGCTGATCATTTTCAAAATTTATTGTCTCATGACTTATAAATAAATTATATTTATGTCTACAGAAATAGATCCGTAGAGGTCCAACTACTATTTAAAGTTTACAGTAAGTTATTTTTATGAGCTGAAGTTTAGATGATATTGTTTACTGCCAGTTTAGATGACTACATTTTTCTGTTTAGCTTTACATTTGCATCAGTTATTTGCATTCAAAGCTTAAGGAGAAGATACATCCTCTTGGTTTAGTGCTCAGACTTCACTTCATCCTCTCTACCTGTGCTTTCATCCTACCCAAGCCAGTGTTTGTGTTTTTCCCCTCTTCCCTTCAATCCTCTCCCTTTCTAAAGCTTATGACCCACTTCTGCCTTTCATTCTTGCTCTCAGTTGCAGCAAAGCAGTTAATTCTGATGCCAAGTATAACAGTATTTTCATAATGAGGACGGAAAGAGAAGGAGGGATTATCATCCGTTATAGTAGAGAGGGCGAGGGTGTCTTGGAGTTGGTACAATTAAAGAGACAGAAGAAACAGGAAAAAATAGGCTAAAAACTGTGATAAATATTCATAAGTAAACCCGGCCTTCTGTGCTATCAGAGGAGTACACAGGTTATGTGCTAAGCTAAGGTTTATGCACATTAATTTCATATTGTTCCAGTTTGTTTAAATTTCCTGAAAAAATTATATTCTATCTTATTTACTAGAGTGGGGAGCATAGTGACAGTTCTTAGAAGTACAGCGAGATAAACAAATCAGAGTTATAGACTAAAACAGAGTTATAGTCACATTAAACTCTCCTGTGACAGAAAACTATCATACTTGCACTCAATTGTTTCTCCTGATGATTTGATACATGGTCAGCATTGAACTGCTGGCTGGTCTTAGTGCTTCCTAAAACAGTTATTAAGGTCAGAAAATTCATGAAACTGATTCATCTATTATTTTTCATTATATTAAGAACTATAATTTCTTAATTCTGGCATCTAGTCGCCTAAGTCACACATCTGAGCAGGAGTTTCCATTTTAACCATCTAGATTTTGTTCTGCTGTTTGAAGCCTGAAGGTTTGGTTTTTTTACATGTGCCATGTTAATTTTTAGTTAGACGTGACTGTACGAGGTGATTAAACATTATAGGAACCTGAGTTTATCATCATCTATATGATAAGAGTTACTCAGTCTGCACTGAAGGAACATGTATTTATTAAATAAGTTGTCAATTACGAATGCTCACTGGCCAGGTGAGGTGGTTGCAGGTGTACTTACGTAGCAATGAAATGCTACAAATGACCAATAACACTGGGGTACAAACTCTTTCTGCTACGGTCATACAATAAACCTGAAAACCATTAACCGCAGACACAGGTGGAGATTTGCTATTTCACAAGGTGGTCTAGTTAGGGGAGCTTGCATGGGCGACACCAGCAGGAGGCTAGCAGCACCCACCTGTCACTCAAATCTTCCACGAATCTTATTTACTTTGAGACTTTGTGTAAGTCAATGGGAAAAATGTAAATAATTTCATTTTGTGTAACGTTTTGCTCAGTTTTTGCCACATCTGAACCCCCCTCTCTTTGGTAAAATGGTTTGGTCCTGCCTTCAAACAGTCGTGAATGTTCAGCTACATAATATGCAGTTGATTGACACTATTGATGAAACCCAATAATACAAGTCAGACAGGAGAGAAAAAGACAAATAACACGGTCTTCAAGCGGTAAGGTTGATGCACTCAGAGAGGTGGACATAAACCTACAGGTTATCGCTGTATTTTAGACGACCTTTGTACTGAAACAAGCCAACTTCTTTGGTTCACTTTTTTCGGTACATCATCCCTTGAGGTCCAGACCTAACAAGCAGCTTTAGGCTCAGGTGCTTCTTTTTCCTCACCCTAATGCTCCCACCACCAAAAAACGGCCTTCCCCCAAGCTAAAGGAGGTGAGCAGACTACATCTCTCAGACTTGACGAAGTTATCTGTCATATTAAATACAACAAAACTTAAAATCACTGCTTTCAGTGAGAACAATTTTAACTTTTTAATGTTTTTCCACATAAGGACCATTACATGAAACTAACAGCCTTGATCTAAATTGGATGCTGGAAGTTTGAATCATTTGATGACTCACTCTGTACCAAAGTGACAGCCACACACACCACCTACATAGGGTATCAGTTTTTCATCAAATAGTAAATTCAACTGAAGGCACACTGTTGCCTGTGTTCTTTGTTGTGCTGTATTTTCACTGCTCACTGCTGTTAAGACAGGAAATATTTGGCCACAAACAAGTAAAGCCTTGTGTAAAATCCTGAATGGGTTGTGTGCTGTAAGACTAGGTTGATGTGGCATGTGGTGGACTTATCTGACCATAGGACAGATAGGGCTGATGGTTCCACCTTTAAAGAAATGTGTTAGTGAGCTTTTTCAGTCTCAAAAGCTGAAAAATCACAAGCCTAAGTGTTAGAATTAAGATTTTGATATACTTGTCTTTGTATAAATAATCTGACACTCTGTGAAGACATGGCATGTTTTCAGCAATCTTTCAGCAATCTGCTGTAATGCAAAGTTAACTATCACTCTTGAATGGAGATGTAAAAGCTTTTCACGTTGAGTTTCTTGCTCCTTGAACTGCTCTGAAACCATTGTAGTCTGCTAGATTTCATATACTCAATTTTTCATCTGGACTTAATCTAGTCCTTGTTTTACAGTCATGTACATCACTTTTCCATTAAACCCCAACTGCATTTTGCCGCATGATTTCATGTTCAGGACCCAGAGAATATTCTGACATAGAATATAAGCGTAGCATGGTGGTGGCAGCCTTGTGAAATGGCTGTTGTGTTTCTGTTTGAATTTGCTTTCCTGCCCTGGAAGTCCCATCAGCAGCAACATTAGCAGTCACTGCTCTCCAGGTGTCAGAGCAGTGAAACACAAAAGGTCCAAAACACTCAGCAACAGAGGAGAAAATACCAATAGAGGCAAGCTTTGGAGAGGTGTATGGGCATTGCATATTGTTTTCCAGGTGATAAGTGGCAGAGGCTACAGATGACTGGCTATCGGCTGAGGTGTCAGTGCATTGGTGTAAACTGTGACTGTAACAGAAACCTTTGTGTCTGACAAATCTGTCAGCTGCACAAGCAGAGACATTGCTCTTATAATTATTACCAAGGCTATCTTCCTTGATTGAGAGTAACTGTGTGCTGTGAATGTGACTTCCTTGGTCATGTGTGTGGTTTTGATTAAGTACAACAATCCCTTTCTGCTTAATGCAACTGCTTGCTTACATGCTTCCAATTAATACTGTTGTTCCAGTTTGAGCCTGATGAAGTATATCTCTTCAGCACACCCTGCAATACATGGAGCTTAATCAGTCAAAGCAGCAGTGCTGGCAGATACACGCTGCCTAATCAATGCGAACCTCATTTTAAGAACCCAATAGATCAGATGGCGTAATAGTTTTCATACCGCTTGTATGAGAGAGTTACCTCCGCATGAGTCACTGGCTGAGTGAGGAGGTGGTCAGCCCCCGCTGTGAGAGGCTTCATTTCATTCACATCCGTTTGTGAATGCCCACTTCTAAGCTAATGGATGCAATGTTAATGAGAGAAAAAAAGAGTGAAGAATACTGATATTTCTGCTTATTAATGCCACTTTGAAGAGCTGTGGGGTCTGCCTATCAGTGTCACCTTTGAGTTAAAGCAGAGACTGTTCGGGGGAGAAGCCATGACAGAGATTTTCATAGCAGATTCAGCCAGAAAAAAAAGCAGATTATGGGTAAGAGTGACAAGACTACTTGACAGAAAATAAATCTGTTTCATGATATCCTCGATCATTCAAATGTAAGATGTAGAGAAAAAAAGGTGAACGCCAGCCACTGTAATGCAGCATGATACATTTTTGCTGGTAACCTGGTTTGTCATGTTTGTTTCTTTTTGGTTAGTGGTTACTTTCATGGTCAATATTTGACGAACTAAATGCAAATATCTACAGGTCCTTCCCATTAACTGTTGAGTGATATATAACCACCGCCTCCTCTGCTGTACAAAAGTAAAGCCAGAATACCCTACACACACACAGGTATATGCAAATATCATTATATATAAATTAGTGTATATAAATCAGTATATGTATATACTGATTTAAGATTTAGATTTAGATTTTTTATTCAGTGACAACTTGACCTAACTTCACTTTAAAAATAAAAAGGTTTTCTATCATTTCTCAAAACAAAACCATTGAAAACGATGTAGTGCTCATGCCAAGCCAGTAAGTGGCGCTGTAACGCTGCACAGGAAATGCACAGAAGACAGAAGAAGAGCAAGGAGCATGCGTACAAAGGTGGTTTTGGCCGGACAAGCGCAAGCATCATAAAAGAGTTACGCTGTGTGACATAATCGTTTCGAGAGAGATGCAGATAGACATCCACACAGAGATAAAATGGTAGTTGTTTATGGATTTATACACTCTCTGACCCATTTTAAAAAAGTACCATTTACTGTCAACCAAAACACTGTTACCGTGTGGATGAAACGCCGATACGACAAAAAAAACTTCTGCCTTTAAAAAACGGCCTATTTTTCGCTGTTTTGATTTTGTTTTGAAACTAAAAATAGAATATGAGAGAATGGAATTATCATTGGATTTTTGTTCTATTCATTTTTGGTTTGTATCATTTTCGATGTGTTGTAACCCGGGAGTTGTTGACTTTTTTTTCCCGTACCTCGTACATTGAACTGACCACAGCTCTCTCCAGTTCTGCATCAGTAACATGACGTTACCACCTGAGGTTGTGTTGGATGCAGAAACGTCTGACACTCATTGCAGAGCATCTTCGGACACCCATCTCCTGCAACGTCTCTGAAATGTCTGTGTGGGTCTTACCAGCTTCGAACAACTGCTTAATAACATTGGCGTACTGTTCTAGTGCGGCCATAGTGGTCTATTTATATCGCCTTCTCTATCTCTGTGAACAGGTTTCAAGACGAATAGAACAAATATCCCATGATAATTCCATTCTCTCATATTCTATTTTTAATTTCAAAACAAAATCAAAACAGCGAAAAATGGGTCGTTATCTGTTTTCCGATTTTGGATTCTAAGACGGATATGGAATGAACAAATGATACACTGATACGGTATCAACCCGTCCACACATCTCTGTTCTAAAATGAATTCAGGATTAAACGCAGAAGTTTTTTGTCGTATCGGCGTTTCATCAAATGAAATAAGTCGTTATCCGTTTTCCAATTTTGGATTCTAAAACGGATATGGAATGAACGAATGATACACTGATAATACCGCCTTCAGACAGGCTTTTCAGCAGGGAGTCGTTTGCTCTTCGTCCAAAACTGCAAAGCCGTACCTATTCCACATAACTGACTTGCTCTTGCCCTATTTAACCACGAAATTATCACCCTCTTTTGCTAACGTCATGTTTGTTTACACTGGTGTGTGTGGGAACTGGGGAGCACTCCCACAGGAAGGGGGAGCCTACGGTGGCCTGACATGGTAGGAAAATTGATTTGACGATTCAAATTTTTTTAACATCGTCATAATCAAATAATCGGATTACGAATAAAAAACGATTAATCGTGCAGCCCTAATCGTCTATTTTTTACTGCAGTGGTCTTAACTGCAACGAAATGGACGTGTTATCTGACAGCTGACAGTGGGGTGAAAGAAGAAAGGTACTGTAGTTTAGGGTAAATTAAAGCACTTTTATTCCCACGGACAGTTTTAGAAGTGCATACTCTGAGTTGTGAATGGATTGACTGGGTGTAATTAAAGCACCATTAAACTTCTCATATCAGCAGACATGTTCATTAGGGGCTGATACTGACGTCCAGAGGCTTTATCAGCCTAACCCAGTGACACTTCATCATCAATCACTAATGTGATGAAATAGTGACTGTTTTCTGAAGGTGACTGAAGGTTTTTAAAAAAATCAGATAAATATATGTCTGATCGGAAACAGTTGTTAGATTCAGCCCAGGAGTTACAGCCTGTTTTCTTGAAATTGTATCGCATTAAAAGGTGACACCTCAGCCTAACAGGGTCTTTATCAGAAAATGGATAACATAACATGAGCAGTTGTGCAAAGTCAAATGAAAGTGCTAAATTAAAGATAAAGTAAATCTCAGACTCCCTGAAATAGTGTCTCTAATTGCATGAACAAGAAAGATTAAATGGCTAAATCACAGATCTAAGATACTCTGAAAGATTAAAATCCCCGCACGCCAGACACCAAATGTCTCAGGAGACTAACATATCACCTGAAAAACATGAGGATGTACGATAAATGAGGCAGAATTTACTGGAAATTGTTTTAAAAATACACAGAGAGACTGCTAAGAGTCAGAATAGATGCAGAAGGCTTTTTTCATCTGTGTAGATCCGCCTGGTGCAGTGGAGCTTGCTCTCCTACAGTCATCACTGGATTCTGAGGCTGTGATATTTTGTCAACATTTGACATGCAGCGTTGCACTCTGTAACCAGACAGCAGATGTAATTTATTTGGTCGTTCTGAGGCTCGGGTATCTCGCTTGAATATCTACATGAACCTCTGACTATCCGAGCGTCAACCTAGCCAGCACGGGCTTTGTATTTATTCCCCTCAGCAACAAACACGTCTGTTTTCTCTGTGATCTTTGGCTTCATCCAAAACCATGACAACCCCCTGCCAACTTGCAGCCCCCCTTCCCTGCCTTAACACAGCCGCAACTATTAAATGGATGTTAGTCCATCAAAGCGTATGTGGCGACTTTGACATGCTTCACTCAGAAGTGATTGGCATAATTGAGCAGATTTCTACTTGCTATTCAGTTCAGCTCGTTGGTAGAAGGCTCCCTCTCCTCCCACACTCTTCCCCCCTTCCCTCACCCCCCTATGTATGGTAATAAGCATTGCAGCAGTGGCTTCCCTCATCCTCTTATACACATCTCTTTCATTCCTTATTCATATTTCTGTGTGTGTGTGTGTGTGAGGATACACATGTTGGGTGCACTGCTGCAGACTGCATTGCTCCACATCTTCAATTTTCCTTCTTTGAAAATAAGAAATGTTTCTGTCATTGATGTGTTTGCTTTTGTTGTTAATATTGCATGGTGAATTGTTGGATAATCTTAAAGTGCGTGCGTGTTGCTAGTGTGTGTACATCTCTGCGCTGTTGGGTGGATCCCTCCGTGTTCTGTGGTGCGATCGGCTGTTTTAAGAGGAAAAAAAGGCAGACTTTTCTCACAGCTCAGAGTCTAACTCCAAAACATCAAAGACAGAGATAGGGAGAAACAGAGAGAGAGAGAGGGAGAGAGAGAGAGAGATAAAAAGAGGGAGGGAGGGGTATGCCCTGTATCCGGGTAATGATGGAGCAAAGAGAGATGGTGGGAGGGAGGAAGGGTGACAATGGAGAGACAGGGAACGGGAGAAAGAGAGAGAGTGAGAGAGAGAGAGAGAGAGAGAGAGAGAGAGAGAGAGTATGGAGGAGGGTGGAGGGGTGAGGGAGAGAAACCTACCAACCAGCACAAGAGAGAGAGAGAGAGAGAGGGAAATGAGCGAGTGATGGGAAGATAGCTGGACTGAGCGGATAGAAGTGTTACTACAGAGCTGCTGCCGCTGCTGGAGGAAGGGGCCAGGAGCCGAGGATAATGCTCCATCCCTCAGCGTTCAGCCGTACGCCGGACACCTCCTAATTTGTCTCGGCAACGGCGGCGCCCGCAGAAGAGAAGGAGGAGGGTGTTTTTTTTCTGTTGCAGCAGTGATTGTCTTCTTTTTCTCTCCCTTTAACCACAGTCTTCTTCATTCTACTGCTCGCCCCTCCTCACTCCTTATTCCTCTGCAACTGGCAACCGCTGGGCCCCCCACCTCCTCCTGTCTTTTCTACTTCTGTCCCTTTTTCCAGAGGAGGGATTTCTCTTGTTCATCAGGGATTGTAGAAGACAGTAAGAATATTTTCTGCCTTTTTTTCCCCTCTTGAGGCATGCATGGAGATGGTGCATGGGAACGCAGAGGGTTTTTATATTTGCGGAGGGAGTCAAAAGGGAGTGTGTGTGTGTGTGTGTGCGTATGTGTGTGTGGGTGTGTGTGTGCAGCACAGACTGGGAGGGGGATTATTGCATGTTCAAGTTTACTGCATTGATGTCGAACATGTATTCGTCCCTCACATGGCTTTCTGTGCTTTGACTTTCCCAGATATCAATGAACATGCACAACAGATGCATTAAAAAAACACTTGCAATGAAAGTAAAAGAAAAAAAAAACTGTCATGAAGGGGACCGACCAAGGCAGGCAAACCAAACAGTTTTTAGCAGTGGATTACTCCTTAATGCCAGCAGATGAAAACAGGTTTACAGAGCAGGAGAGGAAAAGCAGATGAGGGAGAAAATGGGAGAATAAAGCGAGAGAGATTTGTAGATGGACAGGCAAAGACAAGACAAGGAGTCAAACAACATATGTGGCTGCATCAATAAAGAGCAGAGCTAAAGGTAGCTGCATGAGGGATGCTGCTTGTCAGCTCTTGAATGTATCATTGTGTCAAACTGATAATCCCTCCCACATACATTTGCATGCCTGCCAAGGAGTGCTGATGATCTGGTGCACAGAGCAGCTCAATGCTCAGTCACATTAAAAGGCCAACCAGTGCACAAAATCACCCAGTACATCACACTTAGGCTCCTCTGACATACTAACTGTGGCGTGTAAGGCAGGGTATGCACGGCTGGGCACAGGCACAGATGCTGCTCAGCTCTAAAAAAGCTCTGAGCTGCAGCTATACCATCAAGTGTTTTGCCATGCATTGAAAAGCAGATGAGTCTCATAGCTGCTGTCCTCTCACTGAAGCGGCTGCTTTGACAAGAAAAGGGTCACCCTGCCAGCTGGGAACATGTGTTTGGTCTATCCCTGCTCATTATCGCTCCACCTGAGTTAAGTCTATCTATAGGTGCCTTTTTTCTCTATTGAAAACAGCCCACCAGAGGGTGATGGGAGGTCACTTTACATGGCAAACATAATTACACGTACTGAACAACCAGGAGAGTATCAGAAT